TGGTCTTATGCTCTTGAAGAGCATACTCAAGGCCTGCACGGGTCTGTTGTCTCAGCCCTTCGACGGTGGCACCAGCAGATTCCATGAGTGCACCAATTGACTCCATGTGGCGCTCCGGAGGTTTGAAAAAGTTGGCAACTTCAACAACAAACTTTGGGTTATACACAAGCTCCATGGCCTTGAGTTTGACGGTCAGGTCGGTATCGGCATGACCGTCGAGAGGGTTGTTCTCAAAAGTCATGGCAAAGAAGGGATCTAGAGGTGGCTCGTCTTCCTCGTCGTCACCTGTAGTCTCATCGTCCTTGACTTCCTCGATTCTCTTGTCGTCTGGAATGGAATGCTTGATATTGAGCATCTGAGGGAATAGGTTTCCTTCAGTCGTGCCATCGAAGAGCTTCATAGTCTCGAGACTAACTTCAGCAAGCATGGAGTCAGTACGCTGCAAGAATTTGGTGTCGAACCCTTGAAAGACGAGATGAAGCATTTCGGTAGCTTTGCCATGAGGGTCGCGTTTGAGAGTAAAGCTACCCTCTTTAAGGCTCATGTCTACTTGAAGTTTGATGGCTTCCTTGGGCATGTCCACAGCATCGGCGAGTTGCTTCTTCTCATCAAAATCGATTGCATCATACAACTCCTTGCGCTGTTCTTCTGTCAACTGGGTCTCATCACCAGGGTGCTCTTCAGTTTTCTTGCTTCCCCAAACCCAAGAGGACCATGTCTGCTTTTGTGGAGCCTTCTTGACACCAACATTTTCCTTGCGCAGCTGATTACGAGCAAGAGACCTCCAGAACCGTAAGTCTTCGTAGCTTAACTTGCGTTCGAGTTGATCGAGTTCAGTGGCTTCCTCTGGGGTGAGCTTTTCCTCCTTTTTCTTCTTCTTGAAGAGACTAATGTATTTGATGCGATCATCACGACGCTCCTTGAAGTAAGCCCAAGTCCAACGGCGATTACGTTCATGAATCTTGTCATGCACGGACTTCGTCGCGAACCGAAGCCAGGCGCGCGGATCCTCCTTTGGAGATGATTTTGGCTGGAACTTGCGGTATTCTTGGTGTCGGATAAAGTAGTGGAAGAGATCGACCAACATGAGAGCATCGCGGTATTGGTCGTCATCAATGACAAAGCCCAGTTCATTGAACAAGAGACGGGCCTTCATCTTGGGGCGGTCAAGCTTTCCAGTCTTGTCCATCTCAAGACCTGCACGACCAGTGACGGGTTTGAGTATGTATTGATGCGCTCCAAAGTCGGTGTCATCCTTCTTTGCAATCATGTCTCTGAACCTGTCAACGATTGTAGTGTGATCTATTCCTTGCTCTTCTGCAGTCTGCGACCCCTTGCCAGAACCCAGTAGCTTGGCATCCGTGTCCCAGTATATGGCTAGGGCACCAAGAGTGGCAAGCTTGTGTGTCGAGCCAGCAGATGTGCTCTGTATGAACGTAGGCTTCCAGTTCTCGTCTGTACTGACGGCACTCAGCTCTTGCAGGGTGAGACCAGCAGCGAAGGGGTGGCCAGGGTCCGAGATGGAGTCTTCGTAGCGGATGTGGACATTTTTNACTGAAATCTGCAGATTGTCGACAATCGCAGTAACCAGACTGGCTGTAAAGCTCTGGTTTTTCTGTTGCTCTTCTTGACTCAAGCCTTCTGCGCTTCTTTCTTTGAGCAGCTCTGCGCTGTCGAGCTTTTCCATCTTGACGGCATGGTCGCGCTTGTCTTGATCCTCGGGGTTGTAATCTTCGTCTTCTCTTGGGGCGGCCAGCAAGTACACATCTTCAATCTTGACTTGCACGGGCTTGCCTCGAAGGTTGGACCATGGGATCGAGAGGGTCAAAGAGCCCAGGTGGCCTTCGACGACGTTTATGGGAAGGTGGAGTTGGTCGAGAGCTTCTCGGCGGAGCTCGAGGTCGCGTAGCTTGACATCACCAGACCAGATGCCGACATTGAGCTGCTTTGGATCAAAGTTCTGGACATACATGCCCAAGAACCTGTTGAGCAGGTTCGAGACGAGGCCTTCCAACATGGCGGCGGGTGGGTGCTTTCAGGCGGATGTCTCGAGTAGAAGCGTAGGACGAACGTAAGGTACTAAGTGTAATTATCGTAGACAGATCATCAGGTCATGAGGTCGCTAAGGCAGGCAGGCGGCAAGCCGTGTGAGTAGGTACTTGACAAGAGTACCTTGATTGTAGGCGAGCAGTCGTTGTCAGGCAGCTAGCTGCTGAATAGTCGCAGTATTTGTGACCTGAGGAAACACTTAAAATCACAGACGAGGTCGTGGTCGTCGTAACAGTTCGTGAGCACTGAGCACAGAGTTTGATGGATCGTGGAGAGTGTCTGCCTTGGAAGCAACGCCGCTGATCGTACCCGCCCACCCACGACGCGAAACGTGGAAAAATGACGTACTGGCAGGTTTGAGCTTCTCGCGCACGACCTCACTACCGTGGACGACGATGGTTATTTATCTAGTAGGGCCTTTCAGAACATGCGGCTCAAGTTTGGGATGGGGACTCTTTGAGTATCTAACTACAATATGAATTCGAATTCTGAATCATTCGAGTTGACTTCTCGTTCCCATACTGCACTACGATAGTGATTAGAGCGGGATCGGGGAAGGAACAAATGACGTTGCCAGCCGGAGCTCCACCTTGACGAGCAGCTACGCAAGAGCTGCGAGCATATAATAGACGAGAGCTTGGTCGAGCCTACCCTAAAAGCAACCGGAGGTGTTTCCTGAAAGCTCCTTCTCTACTCTTGTACCTTTATCCCCTTCTCACCTCTCCACTCACAACATGTTCCGCGCCGGTGCTGCTCGCCAACTACGCGCCCTCAGCGGCCTTGGGGCCTCGGTTCCTCGTAGCTCTCAATTCTCCTCCAAGCTATGCACCCTTTCGCAACACACTCGTCCGCTCGCAATTAGCAAGCCCGTGACACTTGCCCTGGCACGCTATGCTAGCCAGCAAGCGCCTATGGACAAGATCAACAAAGAGGTGGAAACAAATCTAGGAAACGAGAAGCTCAAGGCGGATCCCGACACTGTTAGCAGCACGTCGTCAACTCATCCCGTCTTTGGCGAGGTTGGCATGCCTGAGGACCAGCACAAGGATGCCGACATGATGGCTGGTGTCAAGAACGACATGGTGAGCGGCCGTCTCGTCACTGTCAGCTGGCAGCACACTAACAATCACTCTAGANAAACCATCAAGGACACTTTCTCCCTCGAAGACGTCCCTCGCGAAGCCTATACTTTGGGTATGGCCGGTGTCCTTCCTTACCTTGGAACCTCTGTGTCCACAGTCTACTGCGCCTGGGAGATCAATCACGCGCACAACACTGGTTCTGGCTTTTTGATGAGCGAGCAGACTGCTGAGGCAGCTCTGCATGTTCTCGAGCCTCTTCAAGTCGGATACGGTGCCGTCGTAAGTCCGACTAGCAATCTCGCGTCCTACTCGGCCAGTTAACCGCGTTCGCAGATCATCTCCTTCCTTGGCGCTATTCACTGGGGTCTGGAGTTTGCTGGATATGGTGGAACCCAAGGTTACAAACGCTATGCAATTGGTGTCTGGACCCCCGCAGTCGCATGGCCCACGATCCTTCTCCCGGTTGAATACGCTCTGATCACCCAATTCGTCGCTTTCAACTTCCTCTACTACACAGACAGTCGTGCCTGCAAGAGAGGCTGGACCCCTTCGTGGTACGCTGTCTACCGCTTCGTTCTGACTTTCATTGTTGGCGCCAGTATTGTTCTGTCCCTCATCGGTAGAGGCCAGATCGCAGACCGCATCAACAAGTTGCCTGGTCCCGCCGACAGAGTTCGCGCACTTCGCGATGCTCAGGCACAGCAACTTTCCGAAGAGGAAGCTGCCAGACGCGCCAAGGTTGTGAAGAAGGACGAGGAGGATGATGATGAGGAGTAGAGATCCAAACACCATCGCCCCTCATCTCACGCTACCAAGAAGTCGCATGCCTAGAGCAATGCACGAAGACCATTTGCTTTCTTAATTTATGTACCTCGAATGACTAGTTATTAATCAGCAAGCCAATCCCACGCACAATTGAACAGTATACTATATCAAGGTGGCCTTGTCAACTGCATCAATGGGTGGAAGGAGGCATCCAGGCTCTGTATTAGACACAAGGCCAGATAAGGCCTCTAATTAGCTGCAAAGGATTGATCAGCAGTCTGCGAGCCGCACACCATCAGGGGCACATCCAGGAGCGGAGATGACAATGAGAATCATCCGGAGTGTTGTTGTATGAAAGTGAATACGATGGAGCAGTTTCCACACCTCGAAGCTGACGAGGCCTGCCTGCCGAGGGGTACTCGTGACCCTTGATCTCGATTCGTTGTGGCTGCTGAGTGATCGGCACTCGAACTTTTTCAAGTTTGTGCCTTGCCGGCCGTGCATCCAGGATCGTCGCTCCGACGCCTTTATTTCCAAGCACGCGACAAGAATTCGGAAGAAAACATCTTGCTTACCGGAAAGAGGCTCCAGAGCTGAACGAGAATATACAAGATGGCCGAACGCAGACGGCATCACAAGAATGAGCCTCGGGCTCGTCGACAGCGGCCGGTTAAATTGCTACAGTGGAGCGCAGGGNCTGCCCGGCATCCCCGTGGGAATCGATACCACNCGAGCGTAGCCCCGAGACGCTGTAGTCCCGAAGGCGGAATTGTTAGTGGGGATGGTGGGGTTCGCCATGGACAAGTTGAANGTGTGTGAAGTCATCCTGCCCAGCGTTAACAGCACGTCCATCACTGAAAAACTCACTTAACTCTGGTTCCCTCACATCTCTCTCTCTCTCTTCTGCCATCCAGCTCGTTGCTGCAACCTCTGATACCCCCTCGAATTATTCCGTCTTTTTCCCTTTGCCGAGCGACCTCCACCCATCCATTACAGCCGAATTTTGCTTTCACATTGCATTGAAACAGACGCCTACGCATTTTTATTTCTGCGTGGTCCAACAATAAAAGACTCTCACGTCGCAGAAGCCAGTACCACACCAAAATGGACGGCTCAAAAGATATCCCCAACATCGACCAGAATCCTCAGCAGCAAGCGGATCCCACTCTGAAGAAGGCTTCTGCTGCCACTGATGCAAAGCCCAAAGTCAGAACCGAGTCCAAGTCTGGCGCTCAAAGACCGCCGTTGAACAGATTCACCACCAGCCACGAGAATGTACTGCAAGAAAACTTCATTGGTGCAATTGACCAAGGTACCACTTCATCAAGATTTATCATCTTCGACGGAGTTGGCGAGCCTGTAGCAATGCACCAAATTGAATTTGAGCAAAAGTACCCCGAGTCTGGGTAAGTCTACGAGTTGCTCTGTTGCATCTGCAGCAGTAGTATTAATACGCTTCGCAGTTGGCACGAGCATGACCCTTGGGAACTCGTCGCTTCGGTAGAGACTTGTATTGAGGAGGCTACCAAGAAGTTCCTCGAAAAGGGCCACAAGGTCTCGGACATCAAGGCAATTGGCCTCACCAACCAGAGAGAAACAACTCTGGTTTGGGATGCGGAGACCGGAGAGCCTCTGCACAATGCCATTGCCTGGCCCGATACCAGAACCAAGGGTCTTGTCCGCGAGTTCAAGGAGCGCAAGGGCGACCAGAACTTGTCAGAGATTTGTGGTATTCCCCTCTCGACATATCCATCATGCCTCAAGCTCGTTTGGATGTTGCGCCACGTTCCCGAGGTGCAAAAGGCCTACGACGAGGGTCGCCTGTGCTTCGGTACCGTCGACACCTGGTTGATTTACAACCTCAACGGAGGAAAAGAGAAGAACATCTTTGTCACAGACTCTACAAACGCTTCAAGAACCATGTTCATGAACCTTCACACCTGTCAATATGACGACAAGCTTCTTGGCTTTTTCGATCTTGATCGCACCAAGCTCAGACTGCCCAAGATTGTTCCTTCGTCTTGCGCAGACGCATATGGTACCCTCTCCAAGGGTATTCTGAAGGGCATGAAAATTGCTGGCTGTCTTGGTGATCAGTCTTCGGCACTGGTCGGACAACAAGGCTTCACTCCTGGCTCTGCCAAGAACACATATGGTATGCATTCTTCAGACTCATTCTTTCTGTCCGACTAACACATCTGCTAGNGTACCGGTTGTTTCCTGCTCTATAACGTTGGCGAAAAGCCCACCATTTCTACTCACGGTCTTCTCGCAACAGTGGCCTACGATTTCGGACGCAACAGAAAGCCTGTATACGCCCTTGAGGGTTCCGTGGCCGTCGCTGGTTCTGGTGTCAAGTTTTTGATGAACAACATGGGTTTCATTGCCCACGCCGAAAAGGTTTCAGAACTTGCTTCCACTGTCGACGACAACGGTGGTCTCGTCTTCGTCACTGCCTTCTCCGGTCTCTTTGCACCATACTGGATTGATGATGCAAAGGGTACCATCTTTGGTATTACCCAGCACACACAAAGAGGTCATATTGCACGGGCTACTCTGGAAGCTACTTGCTTCCAGACAAAGGCCATTCTCGACGCCATGGAGAAGGACAGTGGACATGCTCTGTCAGACTTGGCCGTTGATGGTGGTATGAGTAACTCGAACATTTGCATGCAGGTAAGCTTGAAGAATCAATGCGATCAAAAGAATATGTGACTAACTCTCGAACAAGNNACACAATCCAACATCATCGGTATCCCTGTCAACCGTCCTGCTATGCGCGAAACAACCGCTCTGGGTGCCGCAATCGCCGCCGGTTTTGCCGTCGACATCTGGAAGGAGTTCAGCGAGCTCAAGGCCATCAACCAAAAGAACCGCATGGTCTTCGAGCCCGAGGTCACACCCGAAGAGAGCGAAAAGATGTTTAAGAAGTGGGATCGTGCTGTCAGCATGTGCCGCGGTTGGCTCGATGTTGACGAGGTCACCGAGACGTAAAACTGCAGCATCGTTTGATGACCACATGTAATGAGGAGGAATGTTACGATAATATTTTGAGTTGTTGGGGGATTTGCTTCGGATTGGCATACTGTTCGATACCCTTGTTATGGGTTCGCATTGTCGAAGGAAAGTTTTGGAGTTGCATACACATGATGACTTGTCGAACCTTTACAGTACAAAGAAGATACATTAGAAGGAATTAGATTGTCTTGCTTTCTATCAGCATTCCCCAAGTGACATTAATTTCACAAACCACGTCCACCGATATCGCCCATAACGTGGCTGGCGTGAGACAAGAAGCTCTAGGATGATTCCGCTCCCCGACGCCTCTTCCGCAACCTTGGGGGGAAGGACGGGTTCGACTTCCTTCCCAAACCTTAAAAACGCCAACAGCTGCATCTTACGATATTGAGATTTGAGAAAAGACCTGGAGTGGATCCATCTTGCATACTAATATATCTCCAACCATATCAAACATGAGATCCCGCACACTTTTCCCATCTCACAGGTTCAGACGAGAGACAACTTGTCCCACTGAGCATTCTGGCTCCAAGCATACGCTGCTGTCAAAGCCCGAGTTTCACCACATGACAATTCAACTTTCGTACGACTGCTACATCAATACATGCAAACCATGCAAAACATTTGATGGTGACACCACTGACCCATAGCCATTGTTGTCAGTCAACCTCTATTGGCGCTTAAACACACATGCCGCGCGCCTGTTCCTGGGGCTCTATACGAACGAAGGCCTGAAATGACAGACAGTGGACTGACACGACAGGTCGCCAAAATGCAAGGCAACCGGTCGTGGTTGGTTCAGCGGTACGGTACGAAAACGGTAACACGATTTAATACGCCATCCTGCACGCCTCCCAAGCAACGCCATGCTTGCTCTCTTTGCCAAAAAGCACGTTGCATGCAGCAGAATGATCTCCAGGCCCGGTTTTCGGTGCAGCGGTCAAGGATGCGCGATTTGCTTTGCATCGGCGTCGACATGAACGTCCCTACTCATCGGTTAACGGTGGGGATTGCGTCAAAGGCAGATCTGTCAAGTATGTGATTGGAACAAGCTATCAGAGAAATAGCTTACTAGACTAGTCTGGATTACTTGCATCAGTGGGCAGGGGGAGCTGTATTGTTTTCCCTCTGGCTTTCTCGCTTGATCGGGGCACTTCGGTGGTACGACGAAAAGGATGAGGTGTTTCGAGATGTTCATCAAGAACAGGTCAGTGGAAATTTCTGCTTGCTACCAACCTTTTCATCTTTGCTTGCTTCAACCTCATGTAATGTTGTGATTTGAAACTGGCCCAAGTAGCAAACTTGTCTCGATTTGTGGGAAAGGCTTGCAGCATACAGATGCCCGACTGATTTGAACGAGTCCATTTTGCACGGATTCAAGCACTATATATCATCTTGGCTCGTCCCTTCGACACAGCCTCTCCTTGTCATCTATCCGAACTCCAGCCCAAAGACATATCACCATCCTATCAAGCTACTTGATTCAATTTCACATTCATCATACCGACATCCTTGAATCAACCATCATGTGTGATTACACCAAGGTCGAATACTGCTGTGGCCACCTACGATACACTGTACGTGCCTGGTGCGTCACATACCAGGAATCACACAAACGCTGTCCCCCCAATGTTGTTGCCGTGTAAGTCTCTCAAAATCACATGGCTTTCGACCTCTTCTGACGCCGCGGATAGANNGAATACAGATTCGAGGAACCATGTGGTACGGATCACCACTTATATGAACATTCAATGACTCGAAATTCTGTGAGATACTGACATTCAGCCTTTGTAGGTGATTGTAAACCGCCTACACCTCGATATGGCTACAAGGCCAAGTCCAGCAGCAGGAAGTGAGGATCACCATAACATCAACAAACTCTTTCTCGTCCATCTCAACCTGTAGATGTTTATCTTTCGCATATTATTCGAGCTACTGGAACACAGGACATGGATCTTCTTTTCTCTGTTCGAGAGTGCCCCTCACAGCAGGCGTGCTGGGCAACTTTATGGATCACAGGACATGGCACCTTGGAGAGCAGATATACCCCTTTCATTCACAATCGCTTGTTGTCGTTGGCAGAAGGACTTCTACGATTATCATGATATCTTTATTTGTAAATTTAACCGCTAAAGTCACGATTGATTTCTCCTTCCATTCAGACATTGTGATTTGTCTCAAAGCTGACATGACCGGGTTCGCTCTGATTTCCAGACTTCCAGACTCCCATGAACCAGGATACAACAAACACGATCAGCTACGTTTTCTCCACATCATCGATCTTGCGCAATCTCGTTCTCTGCCTTGTTCAGATCATTTCGCACGGTCAGAGGTTGATCAATGTCCCTGTGCGACGTATCACAAGAGTCAAAGCTAACATCATGTGGCAAGTGCGGTGTGTTTTGCCTCAGACCTGCATAGAGAGCAGATCTATAAGGTGCATTACCATGCGTGAGCCAAGCTCGACGAAAGAGTCCACTTGTGCCTTCTCCACTACTCGAAACATCTGCGAACCAACAGTTCAAATGGGCCCGAGAAAGGAAAGACCGACCAGATATGAACCCATCAGATACGATGGAAGGATAACATGAGGATCGCACTTCACTCAACAATTACCAGGCTAGGGAGAGAAAGAGTCAGAAACGGCCGCACTTGCCGTCCCAGCGACAACAAGCACTCCCGGCACTTGAATGCACCTCATGATGACTCGACCTGGTCCTTGGTTAACCGATCAATTCTCATGGGTACCGATCAACTGCAGTCCGGTACCTGCCAATTCGGATCCGTTTTCTGTTACCTGTCAAATATGACCTGTTACCTGCCAGATTAGTGATGCGAATCAATTTAGCTTGCACCCGGATCATCTCTTCCAGAAGACTGGTCACGACATGATATTAACTCGGCAGAGCTTTCTCCAATTTTCCAGCACTTACGGCAAAAGCACGAGTCCAAGAAGACGAACCTCTCGGCATGAGTCGCAAAGACTCTATCAGTATGCTCGTTACTTCAAATTTCACTCTCAATTTGGATACTTACGGTGAGGAGATTGAGCTGTTCGAGTTGCGGTCGCAGTGGCCCATATATTCTTCCGCCAATCGAGCATTGATGTCGGCACCGGCACAAGAGCGAAGGAAACAAAACTGGAGGAAGTTACAGCAGTGCTGCTCCACCGGCCCAGAGAACAGCATCATGCAATGTGGGACGTCCCACCCCGACTGCAAGGTTGTCGATCGTATATGCATGCACGTAACATGGCGTCTAGCGGTGTCGGCTGCTTTAGCTGGAAACCATGCCTTCTTTTGATCTATCGTCACTTGATCAATTACACAGGTATGTGGTTTGCCTGTCATTCTGTGTTGATGGTGTGTAGAAAAATCAATGGTAATTGTGATGGTATAGCTAGATAACCTCCGCACGTCCATGGCCGTCGCCAGTCATCGCACTCTTGCCCAATGTCACTATTAGTAGCCTGATTCTTCTCTGGCAGTTATAGATGCATGACTTGACGTTTGCAAGGTAGAATATTGATGGAGCTGGTGTAGCAGAGACGTCTGAGATGCACGAAGCTTTCAGGATGGTGACGTGGCCGGTGCCCACGATGGCAACAGCGAGTTCGACGACACCGATGCCATCATCTACCTTCCACCGTTGTCAACAGACTGACGTCGATCGCTCTTAGCCGGAACATCATGTGACTTATGTATGATGCCAATGCTGAAAGTATGACCCTGTTGTAAGGTTGAATGCTTGGAATATCGTCCTGTCCCGCATCAGGCGTGATGACTGATTCTTGTATGGTGTTATTAATGACTACTTCAATAATGGATAGTTATAGTGTAGATATCAATCGATACATGGATTCTCTAATCTCTCTCGACATGATTGCTAAACTCTTGTCTGATTCACATGTGTAGAGCATGTAGCTAGCACCCGAGCGGCTACAGAAGACGGACATATAGTGATCGAACTAAGACAGATCACAAACATTATGTTATTGGAGCAAAGTCCAACTCCAGTATAAGTCGAAAACAGGTTGCGATGTTGGATGGTACAGCCATCATGGTATACCCTAACTCCATGACGATATTCGGAAATACTGTTATGTCCGCATCTCCGTGTAGCCCCTCCTCTGTTTAGCCGCCGTCCACATGAGTACAAGTATCAGCGAATGTCCCTTACGAAGAGTCGGTGTAGTTTTTACTAAGACTGCTCGAAAATCGAAAAGCGAAAACCGAAAACACACTTGCAACATGTCCGACCAAAAGGATCCCGTGCTCGAGAAGATCGAGAATACCAAAGCTGTCTACAGACGTTTGGGTAAGAGCGGACTACGAGTTTCTGTGCCCATTTTGGGTGCTATGTCATTCGGCGACCCAGCATGGCAACCCTGGATCCTGGACGAAGAAGCATCACTACCTCTTCTCAAGGCTGCCCACGACAGAGGCATAAACTCTTGGGACACGGCAAACATCTATAGCAATGGCGTGAGCGAAACAATCATTGGCAAAGCCATCAAGAAGTACCAGATTCCCAGAGAGAAGATCGTCATATTGAGCAAGTGTTTTGCCTATATCGGAGAGGAACCTGGCATCAAGACCATGACCTACGGCCAGAAGATCGCCGAGTCGCCAGACTACGTCAACCAAGGAGGACTTTCGCGAACTGCCATATTCAATGCAGTCAATAAATCACTTCAGCGTCTGGATCTTGAATATCTCGATCTACTTCAGATCCATCGCTTTGATCCCAACACTCCAATCGAAGAGACTATGGAGGCTTTGCACGACCTTGTTCGTTCTGGCAAGGTTCGTTACATTGGCGCAAGCTCCATGTGGACATACCAGTTCTGCATGATGCAAGCCTGTGCCGATAAGAATGGCTGGACCAAGTTTGTCAGCATGCAAAATCAGTACAGTCTTCTGTATCGCGAGGAAGAACGCGAAATGAACAAGTACTGTGATGCAACTGGCGTTGGACTCATTCCTGTAAGTCCATCCATTGTGTCCCTTCCTGAGAAAGTCGCTGACAACACTTTAGNNTGGGCTCCTCTCTGTCGCGGACATCTCGCTCGCCCTGCATCGGCAGCTGGAAGCACAACGAGATCCTCCAAAGAGGCTGAAGGTCTGGCTGGAACCTCGGAAGTCGATGTCAAGACCATTGGGCGAGTACAAGAGCTTGCCGAGAAGAAGGGCTGGAAAATGGCACACGTCGCCCTTGCTTGGATCAACAAGCGTGTCTCCAGTCCCATCATTGGTTTCTCAAGCGTCGAACGCATGGATGAGGCTCTCGGCGCGAATGACAAGACATTGACTGAAGACGAAGAGAAATACCTTGAGGAGCTTTATCAGCCAAGAAACATTGTCGGTCACTCGTAAAGAATATAGAGAGCGATGAGGTGGCGTTGTCTATCTTGGAAATTCGTTGCTAGGGGACAGTTGGTTAGCATTCCTCAAGACAAGTCTTAGACACGTCAACACACACTTTTACCATCAGTTCGCTCTTGTTACCGTCTTTATCCTCAATTGATCGCTCCTTCTTTTCAACGATGACTCGAGTTCGTAAAAGCCCGGCAAAAGATGTCGACAAGCAAGCAACTCCCAAAACCGGTGTTCAGAAGAAGACGCCCATCAAGTCGGCTGTGAAGAGAGACAGGAAGAAATCACCTAGCCCGCCACCAACAACCAGGTCGTCTCGTTCGCAGTCACAAACTCGCCGTCCAAGCGTCAAGCTTGCAAAGACGAGTACTGATGAACACATACGAAGCAGGTCCAGACCTGCGGAGGTCAAGGACCCGTTTCGTCCTCTTGCAGTAGACATCTCGAGCGATAAACTGGTAGAAACGCCAGTACCAAAAGCAAAACTGCCACGAAACTTCTGGGTCACGAACAACAAGGAACTTTCGCCTCCATGGATAGCATGCTCGGGCTTCGTACCACCGGCCATGGTCGAGTTCTTGATGCGCTGCAAGAAGAAAACAGCCATTGGAGTGAAGTGGAAGAAGGGCGACCAAATCACGAACATGGAAGGTGCTCTGCATACTTTTGCAAACAGTATCGAGTTGGCCTGGCTGCACGGTGAGAGAGGCTATAACGGTGGCCACACCTTTACACCATACCTTCCAATCGGCAAATTCAGAAGTGGTCGACAAGTCCTGGTAAGTAACATGATACACCAGGACTTCGAGACGAATGAGGTGATGACGGTGTTGTCTTCCTTGAAAAAGAACAAAACGACTCTTGTCGTGAACTTCAAGATTCCCCTCACCAAGGAGAAGCAGTCCGATGACATTCGCAACAAGTACGATGATGCCTTGCGCCGACTCATGGTATACAGCCTAACCCTGGATGGAGAGCTTCCAAGCATCGAAGTGGGAAGCGCCATCGCCATGTCGCGTGCCCAAGCCAAGTCTTTCCTCGCCAACAAGGTCTTGAAAGTCGCCAGCAGCAGTGTTCTGGAACATGTCAGGACCAGGCTGTTTTGGATGTCATCCAAGAAGGATAGCCCGTTACTTTCGCTCGAGATCCTGGTCACGACTGCATATCATCAATTCCGGAATGAGATGGATGCTCTCATTTGCACCCATCAAGGTTACATCTTTACCTTCTCGGCACCGAAGATCTTCATTGGAGAGTTTGGCAGCCAAGATGGTCTGATGGCGTGCATCTATGCTGCTGGGCTCAAGCATTATCTTCAGACCACGAAGCTCAAGAAGATGAGAGTGTTTCAAGTGCCTGATGTGCCGGGAGAATGGGTTTCGTGGATGCGAACGGCACTGTCGGCTGCACCAGGGGTGCGTGTAATGACAAAGCAAGAGTTGTACACCAAGAAGGACCCTTCCGACCCCTACAACCCACCGTATGCAGGCACTATGCTTGTGTTGTACAACTGCTCGGATGGGTTTGGACAAAACATTCAGTATGAGATTGGGGCTGGCAGTCTTGATGCTATCATCGAACGCTTTACGAGTGCAGCAGGAAGCCTACTTAACTACCGCGAGGACCTTGTAAGCATGGTCTCAATGCATGCCGAGTAATGGTAGAGCCTTGGAGGGTCGAGGTACCGAGGAGGGGAACGTTTGCCTTGTGTTTGCTCTCGAGTTGCGGCCGTGAGATGGTCACATGTCTGCCAATTCTCAAAGTACCTTTGATAGTCGTCGCCCCGTTATGCGAAATTTAGTGCCTCGTCAGCGCGCATCTCTCTTGACTCCGTACTTCCGAGGATTGAAGTTGCTCTCCAGGTCGGCGTCGTCCGACTCGAAGCTTGCCTGACAAAGCTCGTGTGACCAACCCGGGAAGCGTCAAACAACTCCACGAATTCACAGTCCCATAAGTCGTCTTTCCAGAATTGAATTGATATCACCAATCTCCCTGGAGATCCCTCGATAATTGCTTTTGATGTGTGTTTCAAAGGTACACATGTGATATAAGGTTTCCCCGCATTCGTAGCGTGACTACCCCGGATTGGTGGCTCTGCCTGAGAGGGCGACTGCCGTTGGGTCTCGTGCCTCTCAGTGGGATGATCTCCTCAGAGCTCCGAACAGAGCTATCCCAGCTTGGCTCAGAGCTTGAGCAAAGACAACCTGTGGTGGTCCAGTGGCATGCAACCGTCAGACAACCCCGCACGGCGTGACTGCTGTCTAGGTATTTCTACACTCGACTCCCTCAGCTCTTGCTCTCCTTCTTTTTCTTTTCAAGGTTGCCTTGTATTCGTCAAGTCGGTCTTATAACGCTCCCATCAATCGCCTAACAACTTGCATCAGCTTTCAAGCTTATCCTAAGCTTCAACACCTCCAGTTCCAACCATGTCTGCCGAGATTGAACACCCCTTGACCAGACTCGACTCTGCCGTCTCGGACACCACCTACGAACCCGGCCATGAGAAGCAGATTAAGCATCGCAGAACCAGCAGTACCGTCTCGGGAGTATTCAGAATCGAAGATCTAGGTAAGTTGGAAATTGTAAACTCCTCTTCAAACCTCGTATGTGATCTGACTGGGCCTGCAGAACAAGAAAAGGTCGAGCTGCAAATAGCACCGGAAACGCAAAAACTCGGATGGTAAGTCTCCTTTGAGATGTTGATGTTGTCGTGATATCTTTTCGATAACCTTGATATGTCGTGTGAGATGTGCCTCCAGATGCTGACGATGTCCAGGAAGCTAAACAAGAACCCAAACACAATCGATGACAAGGATATGTTGAAAAAGTTACTCGTGACGCCGCCAATCAAGAAGATCGACCTACACTTCCCACTAGGACTCAACGTCACTGCCCGTAACCTCAAAGGAGTGACAATCAAGGATGCTGTAGATGCCATCTACAAGCAGTTCAAGAAGAAGGTATGTCCTTATCTCACTTGCCTTCACCCATATCGTGTCTAATCACTGCTCTGATGCAGGNAGGACGATGACATGGGTGAGAACCCCTACCTCGCTGGTTTCGAGTGGGACAAAGAAGAGTGCTACACCCGCTTCATCGTTCATCAGAAGAAGACTGCTGGAACCAACGATGGTGCCCCTACCGGAGGCAGCAAGAAGAAGGGCAAGAAGGACAAGAAGGAAGAGGCCGACCCTCTGCTGATGTAAACGCCTGTTGGTGTTTATGCCCTAGATGGGTGACCTCAGTCTCTTCTTGCTCCGCCCAACACTCCTTTCACATCATCGACCGCGGGCCGGGTATTGAGAGGCATGTTGTCGTTGTTGACTCGCTCCGAGAGCGTATCCATATTGTTGTATTCATCAAGGCATCGGGTCCGGACCATTTGCTGGTGAATACTGGCAGATCGACGAGCTTGTGTATTATTCTCTTCTGATCCTACCTCTTGCTCTCATGTTTCCCGTGCTCTTGCTTCCAGTGTCCAGTATTCCATGTGCCTGCCTGTGATGTTGGGAAAACTTGACGCGCCGCTGTTCTCGCTCAAAGATTCATCGGTCCAACGCCCGAGGATCTTCCGTGGCTAGTGCCTCTAGGGACTCCCTCTCAGCAATAACGAGGTCTTGAAGACTCTATCGGCATGTTGTTGGTTTTGATCCTAGTTTACACTCGTAGAGTGTTGAGATGAGCGTCTTTCCTCTGAACATGGTCCGGCGTGTGCTTTTATGTCTTGCCTTATGTTCTGTAATACATGACCCAAGTTCAACACGCCATTCCTCTAGGCGTAGATAAAGCAACCACGTTCGCACTCGCTACATGGAAGAAATCGTTAGAAAAAGTAACAATTCCTAAGAACGACATTATTATTGACGAATCAAGATGCCCTTCTGAATTGTACAAGTATGTTTACTCAGATCGACGGAGGCTGTTTCTACTCCGGTTTCCTTATCGTTACCATCGCATCGACTTGCCCAATCAAGGCATGGAAGGCTGATATATATACATTTACCAACCGTAGCTCATCTCCTTCATCTTCGGTGAGCTCTGGCTCTTCTTCTGCCTCAGCAACCCGGCGTTACTTCGACATGGAAGAGAGAGCTCGCATTCCCGTAAGCCTGCCTCGAGCAAATCCTACCACATCATATTGGCAAGATCCACCAGATGAGATAGCGAATCTGCAGAGCACAAAAAATTTGCCAAAATTTGCCGACTATATCATCATTGGCAGTGGCATCAGCGGTGCAGCCATATCCTATAACTTGACCAAGAAACAACCAAACAGCTCCGTCTTGATACTGGAAGCAAGACAGGCATGCAGTGGAGCCACAGGTCGAAATGGTAACTTGAGCTCGGTCATGCAACATGGTTTGAGGATATGCTGATGACTCGTTAACANNGGCGGTCACACGAAGGCAGCAAGCTATCGCAGCTTCCTTGAACACGAAGCCGAGTACGGCCTCGAGGACGCCATCAAGATTGCTCGCCTCGAATACGCCAATATCAGAGAAACTCACGCCTTGGCTCGCGACCTGAACATTGATTGTGCATCCATGCCCTGCGACACCGTAGATATTGTTTATGATGCAACAAACCTCGCACGAGGAAAGGAAGCCATTGCCAGAATGCAAGAGACCATGGGGCCAGATGACCCGGCGGCAGAGTATAAAATCATGTCTGCCGAAGAGGCANAGGCAAAATATCATACACCTGATGCTTTGGGAGCATTCGTGTATGAAGCAGGGAGTGTCAGTGCATATCGCTTCACCATAGGACTGATAAAGCATTGTCTCGAGAGAGGTGTAAATTTGCAGACCAACACGCCAGTTGAAGCCATCAAGCCAGTCGAGAACTTGAACCCAAAGGCACCGAGATGGATAGCAAAGACACCGAGAGGCAATGTCGAGACTGCCAATTTGGTGCTTGCGACGAACGGGTACACTGCGCGTTTGTTGCCGGAAATGCAAGGTATCATCGTTCCTCTGCGCGGACAAATCACTGCACAGAGACCAGGGTCCAGATTGCCTGGCTTGGATACGACTTACTCTTTTACCTATGCTCAGGGGTACGAATACATGATTACTCGACCAGCGGGTACTTCGGATGCCGGCACTATCATCATCGGTGGTGGACTTGGAAGACTGCCCAATGCAGGTGCGTCCGAGTATGGAAACACTTTGGATACAGAGTTGAATGAGGAGATCTCAACCTACCTTTATGACTGCACAGCAGGCTACTTTGACGATAACTGGGGTGAAGACGCGAGCGAAGGAAGAATTATCAAGGAATGGTCGGGGGTAATGGGCACGAGTGCTGATGGATTGCCATATGTGGGAGCCATGCCCGAGATGCCAGGAGTATTCATCTGTGCCAGCTTCAATGGCCATGGCATGGTGATGTGTCTCAAGTCGGCAGAGGCACTGGTTGACTTGATGAAAGGTGGTAGAGACGTAGAGTGGTTTCCAAAGGCGCTTTTGGTGACTGCTAAGAGGTTCGAGAAGACGTTTCAGGGGAGGTTGGATATGCGTGCGCCTGGTGAGGCTCTGTTTGATCGATCGACTGTAGACAAGTGACGGGTTGACGGTGAAACTAGGAGAGGGTTATGGAAAGTAGTAAAAAAGTCGTTGCGGCACTATGCGCGCCTCGGACATGATATTTTGGAAGCCTTGAGCAATGATTTTCATGTTTTTATAAGAAAGTCGCAGTGCCTTGTAGCGGGGAGAAAAAGAACAAGCCCATGTCCGATTTTTGGTGTAACATTCAAAGCGCCGCAGTAATATTGCTCTTGCTCACCACGCGCCCGTTCCATTCATTGACCGCAACCAAAGTCCATTTGTGTGTCGTGTCAAATCGCTTAGAAGACCATCTCGTGGGGCTTGTCGCCCGATCTAAGGCTGAAGGTGGAGCCGAGGTAGGAGATGAGGAAAGGCTCCTTCTTGAGGCTGGCAAGAATGGCACGGTCGACGGACTTCTGGTCCTCGGCGCGGCCGGAGGCGACCTTCTTGGCCTGTGGGTGGGTATCAGTATTTGGCATGTCGCATTCCATCTTTTGGCGGAGTGATCGTACCTGGGGCTTCTCGCCCTGCTTGAAGAAAGCCTCCTCACCCTTGGCCTTCGACTTCTTCTCTCTGGCGAAGTAGGCGTCGCCACCAACCTTCTCAACAACCGACGAGTCAATGCCGGAGATGTCAACCTTGGTGCTTGTTGCGATAACGTAGCGGGCGTTGACGCGTCTGAGGGGGACACCGTTGACCTTGAAGGGGCCGGTGACGAGGAGAACACCCTGGGCGAGGTTCTTGAGGAGAACAACGCGCTTGCCGCGGAAACGACCGGCGAGGAGGATCAAGACGGTACCGGGCTGGAGGGAAGCGCGGGGCTTGCAAGGGCGCTGGTTCTTGCGGACCTGGAGGGAGGGACTTGTCAGTGACTGTGGTCCCTTGGCTTTGTATNNGAAGCGAGAGAAGAGCGCTGTGGTGGCCGTGTGTGTGGTGTGCGCGCAATCGTGTATTTCTTGACCATGTCCAACTCTTCCTGCTCATTCTCTCGGTGGCATAGACGGTGTACGGGCGGCGTCGGTCGTGGTGGTGCATACCTTCTTAGCCTGGCTGTCGTCCTCGGCCTGGTAGTACTTGGGGGCCTTCTCTGCGGCAGCAGGGATGACACGTTCACCCTGTTGGAACTGCTTGGTCTGCTGGGCGGACATTTTGGCGGGTTTGGCGACGGTAAGNGTGGTGTCGTTGATTTGTCGTGTCTCGTCTCTTCAAAGTCGCGGAATGCAAAATCGGTGCGTTTGGATTCACCAAAATGCGGGAAGCGAGTGCGCCAAGCATTGTCCTGTCCGACCAATCACCGCCCGTGCACCGCGACCATCGACATCGATAAAGTCGTCTTGATGTTCTTTCTCTATTGACTGCACTTCTACCCAAACTTGCACCTCCCCATGTACTAAGTTTGTAACTCCACCCTTTCCCACGAACGTGTAGAGCGATTTGTGCATTATGAAAAGGCACAAATGTCTTCCGGAGCAGGAAATTGCCCAACGAGAGCCGCCAGACGCTGGCTCTCAGTGGAAGGTGCCTTGTTTCCTGACAGAACGGTGCATTTCGATGGCTGCACGCGTTATAATCTTTAGCATACGGGGAGGTAGTAGACTCACATGAATCCCAAGAACATATGAAGCAAGTTCTAGATAAGTTTAAAAGTCTCTAGAAGTGGCAAGTGCGGCTGAAGACTTGATGGCTGTTGTTGCTGCTGCCAACAACTCGACATTTCAGCACTCCCCTTTGACTTTCGTATGTGAAGAACATGTTTCTTGTCTCAAGCATTTACATGTAAGGTATAATTGTTTGCAGGGTTGTTGATATGCTTCACTTTCCCTCAGTACGAAAGTGCTTGGCAGGATCGGCGCTTAGCACGGCCGACGGAGGTGAAGCTCAAGCATCCAAGCAACACGGCGGGCGTCATCGCGAGTCTGTCTCTCTAGCAATCCATCAAACATTGCAACTCTCTTGCATTTGTCTCTCATCACATCAACCCTGCAAGCCATCAATACACAACATGGCTACCGATGCTCTCATCACATTCAAGGCTGGCCAGTGCGACGTAAATGTATGCCAACCTTCTCCAGACTTGTTTCCAAGCCCATATCTAATGCGTATCGCAGGGCAAAAAGGTCAAGCCTGATGCCACTCCCGGCTACCTCTACCTTTACGAAGAAGATGGTATCGTCTCTCTGCTCTATAAATCTCCGACACCTACCAACTAAATCCTCCCAGAGCTCGTACACTTCTGCTGGCGCCCTCGTTCCGCCCCACCTACGTCCCCCGAGCTCGACCTGATCATGTTCCCTGGCGATGCTACCTTTACTCCTTACACTGGCAACACCTCATCAGCCGATACGAAATCGCCTACCAACGGTCGTATCTACATGCTCAAGTTCTCGTCATCTTCGCAACGCCACTTCTTCTGGCTCCAATCCAAATCACAACACCCTAGTGGCGACGCAAGCTGGTTCAGCTCAAGAGACAAGCGCTATGGTGAAATCATCAACAACATTCTGGCTGGCGAAGAAGTTGACGTCGGTTTCGAGCTTCAGCGTCTGAGAGGTGGTGACGACGACGACGACGAAGGCGGCGACGATGTTGATATGGAAGACGCACAGCCCGAACATCACAGACAGGGTAGCGGTGGCGCTGGTGCAGATGCCACTGGCGCGGATGCCAGAGAGGAAGGTGAAGCCGGCCGTGAGGGCGGAGCCGACGGCGGCAGAGCGTAGGTCCTCTCCTTTTCCTTTACTATCTTGAATTTGTTTCTGCCTACCTCTCAGATAGAGCTATTAGGAGGTGGTCAAAGGCGTTGCAGGGGACTTATACCATCAGAATTGCATAGGCACGGGTATATCTGCATTGCGAGGATAGCATGTATCTGAGCCACCATCAGACAAGCATTTATGTCATCCAAAATTTTCGAGAACTCGTAGGCTGATGTGTTATGTGTATCTGTAGTGNCTCCTCCTAGCGACGCCAACGATGCCGTTCAAAACTTCCTCAGATCCCTCCAAGGCTCTTCGCTCGGGTCCCAACAACAGCAGCAACAGCAACAGCCTTCCTACGATCGACCCTTTACCACACTCTCCGAGCTTCTGTCATCCAACAACACTATTCCCTGGCTGTCATCGACTTCGCCCGAGCAGATTGACGCACTTTGCTTGCACTTGCCTCCCTCGCTTTTCCTACTGGCCCAGGAATCTGCTGCCACCACTTCATCCGCTGAGCCCAGTGAGGAGACCGCACGCGCTGCAATCGAAGCCATGGCAACTGAACAGAAGCGTGAACTGTTACAGCGTGTACTGCGCTCACCTCAGCTGAGCCAGAGTCTGGGTAGTTTGACCTTTGCACTTAGAGATGGCGGACTTCCCATGGTCTCGGAGGCTCTTGGTGTCAAGGTCCAGAACGGCGGTATGGTCAAGGGCGGCAGCGTACCTCTCGGTGGCGGCGAGGCTGTAGAAGCCTTTGTTGAGGGCGTCAAGAAGGGTATTCAGGACAAGAAGTCAAAGTGAACTCGCATCTAGACTTGCTCGACTTGGCATCTAGTCTTTACGGCGGTTTGCTACTACGTGTTGACAATACGAATATCTGTTCAAAAGCATGGCTCAGTTTGAACGTCTCATGCCAGTTCTTCGTGTGATGCTTCGGATCACCCCACATTCACCACTTCGCACACTCCACTCCCTTGAACTACCACCACCTCTTTTCCTGCCGGTATCGACATGGAAGATCTAGATCGCTACCGTGTGTATCTCGCTGACTCATCTCTCGTCCCACATGTGCAGTCTTACAACCTCTGCCGAATCTGCAATCCTTATCTCGTGGCGTCTGCTACCACTGATATGCCGCCGATATGCTGATAACAACTTTCCTGTACCACTCCAGAACCGCAGGACGAAAGACAGACTATCTCCATATGCATTTTCTACAAATGACGCCTCTGTGCATTATCGCAAGGCTGTTTAGGATAAGAAATAAGTACAATTACAAGAATAAGTAGTGGTAGGTTCCATTAAAGTCCAGGATCGGTGTCATTAGTTTGTTTTTGCTGTTTCGCAATGTCGCACGATATGGATGAAAACAGTCCACTTCTTGACCCTGAACGGGCCTCTGATCGCAGGCTTAGTAAATTGGTACAAAAAGACGATGTGGCGAGTTCGATGGTCAAGAGCCATGTTAGTGTTGACGAACGGGCTATGCCTGGTAGTACGATAGGCGAGAGACTGGCCTATAATGACTATACCACTATAGACTGGTTGCATGATCTCGTAAGTGTCTGCATATATCTCGACTAGATCAGGAAGACTTACATATCTCGCATCAAAACAGNNGTCAAAGACTCCTACCGTCTCCGCAACATCCATAGCAAAAAAGGCTTGACAGGAAAAGCACTCGCCCTCTTCGACTCGTCTTCGGGTTGGATAGCGGCCGCAGTAATCGGTGCTTTGACAGCTTGTGTAGCCTACCTCGTCGATATCGCCGCCGCAACAGTCAGTGATTGGAAACTAGGCTATTGCACTGCCAATCCCTTTCTCACTCGCGAAGCCTGCTGTTCCTCTTCCACATCAACTCCCGGGTCTATAATCGAATGCACTGGTTTCAGAACCTGGAATGATGGATACACTGCTGCTTTTGCGATCTATGTTGCTNTTGCTCTGCTGTTTGGTATTGTTAGTGCTGGGGTTACTATGTTGACCAAGAGCGAGTTGCCCTCTGCCAATACGCCAGATACTGAGGATAAAGACGGCATTACAGCATCGGGGAAAATAATGTATATGGCTGCTGGCTCGGGTATCCCAGAGATCAAGACTATACTCGGGNGTTTTGTGATTCCGGATTTCTTGTCTCTGAACGTGTTGGTGGTGAAAGCGGTGGGTGCTGTGTTTGCTGTTTCTACAGGTAAGACAATGTTCAATGCATCTCAGGATGATTTTCTGTCTGTATGCTGATATGTATCGTCATCANCAGGTCTCGCACTTGGCAAGGAAGGACCGATGGTCCATAGCTCGACCTGCATTGGGTATCTCGTCGCCTCTCTGTTCCCCAAATATCGCGACAATGGGCGCAAGATGAGGGAGATGCTGAGCGCAGCTTGTGCGGCTGGATTGTCTGTGGCATTCGGTGCACCCATCGGCGGTGTATTGTTCAGTTATGAGGAGATCAGTACCTATTTTCCTAGAAAGGTGCTGTGGAGAGCCTTTCTCTGCAGTGCTGTTGCTGCCATGGTGTTGAAGGAGCTCAATCCTACAGGCACTGGGAAGCTGGTCTTGTTCGAGACCAACTATGGGACAAGTTATAGTNGCAGTGCATTATCTGGTGTTTGTTGTGCTTGGTAAGGAGCTCTCGTCATGACTGGAAAAGCATAGTGGCTGACGACGACCTGAACAGGCATTGCTGGAGGCATATTCGGCGGCATCTTTTGCAACTTCAACTACCTCTGGAGCAAGAGCTTCCGCAAATACGCCATCATCAAGAACCACCCAGTCTTCGAGGTCTTCTTGATTGTCCTCGCCACAGCCCTCCTGCAATATCCTAACCCATTAATCCGAGAGCCCGGCGATATGGTAATCAAGACCCTACTCGTGGATTGCAAGGACGACAATTCTGCAGACTCATGGGTTTGTAAGAACGAAGCCCGTACTGATGGTCGTTGGGATTACGTGGGTTGGTTGATTTATGGCACGCTGGCCAAACTGGTGCTTACCATCATCACATTCGGGATCAAAGTACCCTCAGGGGTAATCATTCCTGCCCTCGATGCTGGTGCATTATTTGGTCGCCTCATAGGTCAGTACGTTGGTGGTATTTCTCCTGGCATATTTGCCATGGTTGGTGCGGCAGCATTCCTGGCTGGAGTGAGCAGGATGACATTGTCTCTATGCGTCATCATGTTCGAACTCACAGGCGAGTTGGACTATGTGTTACCTCACATGGTTGCAATCCTGGTTGCCAAGTGGGTGGCCGATACACTAGGCAAGGAGTCAGTCTACGATCTCGCTCAGAACGTCTTGGGACATCCATTCTTGGACCTCGATCATAGTCTAGGATACATCCAGATGGAAGATGTTCTGGTCGAAGAGCTCGTCCCTCCAGAGCACACAATGGAGCAGATCACCATTCATGTGCCTGCGAGCAACAAAGTCAGGAGAGAAGTGTTGGAGGAGAAACTCGCCCAGCTCGAGAGCAGGGGTCTCCTAGATGCTGGTCTTGTTCTCGTTCAGAACAATCGAATGCTGCAAGGATATTTGGCAGAGGGTGAACTCGGCTTTGGGCTCAGAGAGCTAGGAAGGTTGTACCCCAAAGAGACGGAAGTGCGACTTTTGGGCGACGCAGAAGAGGGAGATTTTGACCTGTCGACTTTTGTAGATCGTACTCCCATGGTTGTCTGCGCAAAGGCACCAATGGAGTATGCGGTTGAGCTGTTTGGAAAACTAGGATTGCGGCATTTGATGGTTACTGAAGAAGGCACTGGGAGATTGGTAGGTGTGATTATCAAGAAGAGGTTGGTGGCATATTTGGACGGGCTGAAGCATGGTTAGGAAGGAAGTCGTGATAACGAACCTGCCTTTTGTATCCTTGCAGCTTAATCGTCAATACAAGAGTCAGGAAGGTGGCATGTACTCGGCTGATGTTCCTGACACCTCAACTTGGAAGGTGCTCGTCTCGCTCGATACTGCGAGTTGCGCGTGCACTATGTTTGAGCGTCTGAAGCAGCACCTGAAGTTGAAAAAGAATTCATTAATCACTCATGTGTCTGCGTCGTGTCTAAAAGCCTACAGAAATGCCCAAGTATCCGCGCTTTTTGTGTCACAGATTGATGATCTTCTTTTGGAAATTTCGCTCCGTAAAACGCCTGTTTCTTTTTTCGTCCCAGAAAGAACCAAAATCATGCCCACACATCAAATGCCCGGATATCCTTCGCAGAAGAAATGCTTTTTGCTGTCTCTCTCTTTCGAGGATGCTCCGTTATTTACAACCACCGAGACGTAACAATAACCTAGTCGTCGCTGGGGACGAGGTTTGACTTGACGGCAAACATCTTTGCGGAGATGGAGGCGGTGAAAGCATCGACCTGGCGGGCGTATTGTTCGACTTGACGGCTGTTGACGAGGGTCTCGAGTCTTGAGGGCTCCTGAGGGAGCTTGAAGAGCTTCTGCCACTCGTCCTCGGGCAGAAGGGGCTGCTTTGTGGCGGAACGGCTGGCGTTCTCGGCCTTGCGCTTCGTTTGCCATTGGGTGATCTTGGCTTGCTCACGGGCGAGCGAACGCTGGTAGAATTGGTAGTTGTTGAGCTCGGTGTGGTGGGTCTCTATGCTGTCGAGGAGGAGATCGCAGGTCTTCTCGAGGAAGGGGTCGATTGAGAGGTCGAGCGAGTCGAAGTTGGGTGCCAGGGGGAGGGAGGTGAGCGAGGGGTCTTGCTCGAGGGTGGCGAGGCTGGGAGGGAAGTTCAGGGCCTTGCTCGGGGGAGGAGTAGGGAGCTGGTGGAGGAAAGAGGTGAGAAGGTGCGAGTTGTAGACGACAACGGGCAGCTCGGTGAAGATGTCCTGGTAGCGGAGGCCGCTCTTTTGGAGGCTGCATATCACAAATCAGCATGACGGCTCGAGGCGGTGTACCTTTCTGTATGCTCACCTCTCAGTAGTGAACTTGCCCTCCTTGTATGCGGCGATGAACTGGGGAGACAGGCGGTAGGCGCGGAGGTTGAGACTGCCCTGGGAGCTGCGGCTGACGTCGTGAACGAGGGTGATGGTGCGCTCGTTGGCCTCCTTCTGGTAGTAGAACTGATTCTCGATGGCGGCAAGGCTGACAAAGTTGCCCATGCTGGCGCTCATGTACCAACCGACGCTCTGGGCGTCAACGTTGACTTCGCGCAGCATGCGGATCATCTCGGCCTGGTATGCGATGTTGGCCTTTGCGCGGGGAGCGGCAATCTGGGCGGCCAGTTGTGCGTCGTTGGCATCGCCCACGGTAGCGCCGCCGTCGACTTGGGGCATGTTGAAAGAGTTGGTGACCTGCAGTTGGCCCTCGATGTCCAGACCGACCAGAGATCCAGTTGCGATGCTGGGGAAGACCTGCGAGCTGTGCTTGATGATGCGCATGACGACCTGTTCCTCTTGTCAACTCCTGCCCTCTCTTTCGTCCTGTGGCTATCGTGGTTCGCATACCAGAGCGTCGACGCGCACTTCGCGCAAGATTGTCTCGTTGCTGCTCCCCTGTCAGTACTGGGTACGTAGAAATTGCACCTCAACATCTCATCCTTACACTGCAGTCTCTGCCATTTTTGCGATATGGAGATGTGTATTGCGTACGAAGCGGTGCGCTATGTTCTCCCCAACTTTCCTGTCGCTGTTCAATCTGAAAAGTCTCCGGTTGATCTTCGGCTGCCAGCTTCGACTCGACCGAAGCACTTTCGCCCTTCTTCACTTGATCACGCGATGTACAACATCATCTCACTTGATATATTGACTCTTACTTGATGTTGCTTTAATCTCTGCAATTATTGTACAGTTCTGCAACTACATCACTATCTAGTCTTGTGAGATGGGTAATGATCCGGTTGCACCTTCCCTTTAGGCCTCGATGCCTATATCAACCTTGCATAGCCAAAAGCAAGTATCTACTTCAAGATAGCTATAAAGCGTAGGTGCCGTCACACTCTTGCTCTCCTCTCATATCTTTGTCGTTTTTGGACATACTCAAAAGAGAAACACTTCAACATGGCTTCCTCTACCTTTCCATCTAGCTCAACCAAACCCAAGCAAAAGATAAAGATCGCCCTCTCCATCGACTTTGACGCAATATCCGGCTGGCTAGGTACATCCCAACATCCCGACAACAACATGGCCGACATCTCATCTGGCTACTTCAGTGGCTACGTCGGTGTACCTCGTCTCCTGAAAGTATTCTCTCGCCTCGGCATCTCTGACAAAGTGACTTGGTGTATCCCTGGCCACTCCTTGGAAACTTTTCCTGAGCAGGCAAAGGCGATCGTCGAGTCAGGGGCTGAGATTGCGTTGCATGGCTACTCACACGAGGGAAGCACGCAGATGACTGCACAACAGGAAAGAGATGTTTTGGTCAAGACGATGGCGTTGGTGGAGNGGATGACGGGTAAAAGGCCGAGAGGATACAGAGCGCCCTTGTATCAGATTCAGGAGCGTACAGTAAAATTGCTGCAAGAGCATGGCTTCCTCTGGGATTCGAGTCTGGCACATCTGGACAGCATGCCCTACTTCTTGCCAAAGGAGGTGGATAAACTCGACACGATTGAGTTTTCTCCTGACAAGGATGCGAGTAGTTGGATGAAGCCTTCCAAGGACTTTTTGAAAATGGAGCGTAGCAGCCTTGTGGAGATTCCTTGCAATTGGTATATGGAGGTAAGATCTTTCACTTTCATTGTAAGTTTTCGTGACTGATACGCTACAGNNGATATGACGCCCATGCAATTCTTTCCCAACGTGCCAAACTCTCAAGGCTTTGTCGACGTTCGCTTAATTGAACGCATGTGGATGGACCGCTTCGAGTGGCTCAAGAGTGAAGTCGAAGATGGCAGGGAAGACATGACAATCTTTGCTCTCGTCCTCCACCCAGACACGAGTGGTATGGCACATGTGATTGGTATGATTCAAAGGTTCCTGGGTTGGCTAAAGTCGTTCGGCGAAGTTGAGTTCTGTACCTATGAGCAGATTGCAAGCGAGTTTGCGAGTGCAAGGAAATAGTGATTCTTCATAAAAATAATTGAAATTCTTTTGCCTGAAATTCTAAGGCACAACTTATAGAACAAGGGCAAATGGACAAGGGGTGTAATTTTACAGGAGAAGGAACCAAAACGCCGCATCGATGCAAACCACATGTAATCCATAATGCAAGCATCAAGCTTATTGCTGGGAGAGCTTGTTGATGGCGTTCTGCTTCTCCTGGGCCATGACCTCTCCGATTCTGGCGAGCTGTTCCTCGGACAATTCGAGAGGGTTGGCGAGTCTCTCCTGTCGCCTTTGCTCCTTCAATTCGGCAAGAGGAGTAGAAACCAGACGGGCGAGGTTCTCCTTGTGCTTTGCGGCGCGGTCTTGGGCTTCCTTTGCGGCAATGTATTCTGGCTCGTGGCGGGAGCGGAAGATAGAGTACTTGTTTCTCAGCTCGTCAATGACGGACGGAGGCATAGGTGGTTGAAGCAAGTAAGGGCGATGGGTGGCTTCGTCGACTGTGATACGGAGGGTGTCGTCGTCGTGACCCTCTGATTTTTCTTCCTTTTCAGTCTTGGGCCATGGGAGAGGNGTCTTGACACCGGGAAGGAAGCGTTGGCCTTGGAGGTATTCACGACGGCCGCTTTTACGCTCGACCCAACCAGCATTGCGCAGATCGACCTTGTCCAGGACGACGTCTTCGAAGTGGCCGGTGGTCTGGTCGCGAAGAGGAAAGACGAGTTTGACGTCTTCCCAGCGAATTGGCATCGATTGTTGTACAACTGCGCGGTTGTCTTTGTTCTCTCTACGCACATACTCGGGGACAAAGTAGTCGGCCTTNAAGGTGGTGTCAGCATTGGTGGGAGGCGTGGCGGGTGTTCCGGGACATGATACCTTTCGCAACTCGGTTGTGCGTACAAAGCCAGAGTCGGTCTGGACTTCTGAGACAGTACCGATCTTGCCAGCGTCTTTGCCCTTGGTGATCAGGACTCTGTCGCCGACAGCATAGGGACTCTTGAGGTGCTTGTACATGGTCCAGTGGAGCTTTGGTGTCTGGATGACGCTGGGGTCGACAGTGCCGTACAGGTCCTTGAGATGGCCAGTATCGCGTCTGGGGGCGAGCAGAGGACCGACTTCATATTCCTCGCGTCTGCGGTGCTTCTCGTCCTTGAAGTAGATGGACTCTTGCTTGCCGCGAGACATTGCCTGCCAGCGCGCAGCCCATTCCTTTGCGTTGTCGACCTTGCTCTTTTGCTTTGCGGCACGGCGCAGAGCCTGGTGCTCGGCGGCTATCCTTCGCTGGACCACCTTCTGCATTGCGACGCTGTGAATTGGATATTATCGCTATGCACAGTGTCGGCGTGACAAAGTCAAGAGTCTCGCTGGATTGCGGACCAGCACGGGCTGTGATTGGCTGGGGGCGTCTTCTCCGCTGGCTCTTCCGAAGAGCGGGTTGCTATTTAGTCGGGCAGTCGCGAGCCGAGGGTTCGACAATGTCTACGAGAAGGTTACCTAACGACATAAACAAGACCTCTGCATCTCTTCGCCCGTCACTCTGCATCACGCCAGTGTCGTGGTTCCAACCATGCCGCCATTTCCCACCTGGACTAGAAACACGCGCCTGCCCGTCTGATACCACCACACACGATACAAGATATACGAGACACTCGCTCCTCCCGCTTTAGTGTTTTCTCACCACCATGCCGAGTCTACTCGCGCCACGTCTGAGATGCTTCTACTGTGGCATGCGATCGCCTCATGTCAAGGACGGACGTACGCGACAATTCATCTGCACCGGCTGTGAAGCCACCAACCACCTCGACTCTGTGCGCCTACCACAATCCATTTGCGAACTATCCAGGCTGATTTTTGCTACAGNNAAAGGTGACATTACCGATCCTCCGGCTACACCCCACTCTAAACAAACCGCATCCTTTGCTCATCCTCCTCAACGACCCACGTCTCCAGTCCAGCCCGAGTCGTCCAACCTCTTTTGCAAAACATGCCTCAAGAACCAGCAAATGGTCACCACCCTGCTCGCCGAGTACCTGCCCGCTGAGAACCACCCACAGTACGACAAGTACGAAGCCGAGTACCCACAATATCGCAAAGACCTCGAACGTCGCTTTCCCCAAGTCTGCCCCAGGTGTGCTCCAAGAGTCGAACAACATCTCAAGAGGACAAATTATGTCGCAAAGGCCGACTTTCTCACACGAAATCTCGAACGCTCAAAAGCTCATGCCTTCAACAACCTCCCCACCTCGTCCTCTCTCGCCATATCTGCTTNNTTGAGCGTCGTCGCCGTCGCCTGGTGGGGAAGTGCTCTCTTCCAGGTTTATTGGCACGCTCTGGCTTTCTTGGGCATTCCAGGAGACAACCAAGAAGTCGCCGACCTGACTCCTCTGATGCTCGTTGGTTGCTCGGTCAATGGTTTCCGCTTACACTTTCTACCCGCTGGCTGCGCTCTCCTTNTTGTCACTCTCGTGAAGAAGTCTTTGTATCTGAGTTTCTGGCTTCTGTGGTGGAACCCCACCTTCAAAGACCGCCTGAGGTTCCCTTACCGAACACACCATGCACCCGGCCTTGCCGACTTTTATCGTTACCAATTTGCCATCCTCGCTTTTCGAGCTACTGCCTGGTGGTACTTGAGCGGCCCTTGGATGGATGGCTCCGCCAGTGATATCACAAAGGGAATGCACGGATGCACTACCCTATTCATTGTCCTGAGCACAATCGCTTCTTTGCGCTCCGTGACATACTCTTCTGCTCCTAGAGTGTCATGGAAGGCTAGCACTGAGCCCCTCGTCGAGCCAGGAAGCTTCCATCCGCCCAACGACGACTTTATCAGTCAAGCCTCGCCCAACCTTCCTACCATGTCTCCTTTGCGACAGCCATTTCCTCTTGAAAACCTGGGTACCGCTCGTGTCACACGATCGGCGACACTAGCTGCTGCTGCATCGCCAGTTCTATCTCGCTTTTCACGACCATCGCCGTCTCCAGGCCCTGCTCAGGATATGGAAGATTCTATGGATTGGGAGCCCATCAACCAGTCTTCGCCCATCAGACCGACTCACACTGCTCAACCCCAAGCAGTCTCAGCTCTTCCACCATTCTTGCGTCCAGCCGCTAGCATGGCAACTGGCGAAAAGTCTCCCTTCACTGGCCGCCTACCTCCAGCCCCAATATCACCAGCACATCGCCTACGGAACCCTCCACCACCGCCACAATTCAAGCCAACCCCTCTCTCGCAACAACGCGACTTCTTCCAGAAGATGGGCCTCTCATCCGCCAGCGTACCTTCTCTTTCCAAANAGCCCGTTGTATCAGAAGACCACGAGGACGAAGACTCTCCACGCAAGCCCGCCGCCTACGTCTCCAGTCTGGATCGAAACAGAACAAAAGACCATTTTGAGCTGCATCCTGGAAAATGGACCTTGAAATCCGACATGGAAGCCGCAGAAAAAGGCACAGGCCTCGAAGACATGTTCAACACGAGCTTTAAGATTGCCGACCCTATGACTCCGAAATCTTTGCGCCGCACTGCTGCTGCTCGATCTCCTGCATCGCCCACTGGTACCGAGCGTCGCCATATCTTTGATCACAATCCCATCGACCCTGTTAGAGACGAGACTCCTGCAGAGGTCGTCATAAGAAACGCCAAGGAGATGGCTCTGCCGGTTGGATTGGCGTTGGCTGCTGCCATTGCTGCTTGGGCTAGGGATCCGGGTGCTAGGGAGTGGATGGCTGGGGTTTGGAGTGGATGATTTGAAAACAAGCGTCTTGCATTTCTTGGTCTGGGGGAGCGGGTTGGTGTTTTTGGTTTTCTTTTGGGGGTGTTCTTTGTGACCCGGGGATTGGGAAAGGCTTAAGATGTAACGACATGTGAAGATACAACCGTCTGTCGGTTTCAACGTTCTTGCGTCTCTTGGAGGAAGAAGGTTTGGTCAATTCAAAGCGAGACGCAGTATTTCACCAATCACCGAAGCAATGGAGCAAGTTCAGACACATTCCTCAAATGCGAAGATGGCAACCTAGTCCGTTCTTTGATTCTACAGTAGACCAGATGTTGGATGTATCAAGTGAGTCGTTTGCTAAGACGGAACACTTAGAAATTACAGGACAGGGTGACACCAAGCACATTTCAAAGAGTCGTGTATATCCTCCTTTCTCAAGTCCGAGTAAACCTGAACACGAAATCTGGAGAGAATATGAACTGGAAGCATACGATCAGGAGTTGAATCGGTGTCAGTGTCTCTATAGATCCCTGAGACGTGGTTCCTTGGCTGTACATGTGGGTTTGGCTGAAACGACATCCGAACCAGAAGAGTAAGATCTTTGAAGTGAAAAAGAGAAAAAAGAAGAATAAAAGAAAAACACATTAGAAAGATTGTTGTAACGATAGCAATGACTCCGTGTATCTGTCAGCATTCGTCCGCTGGGACGAGAGACGAGAGGAAGAAAAAAGAACGCCATTCCTTGATGCATCCATCCGAGACCTCCGACAACGCCAGTCGCTATAAAAAATGCAGTAGAAGCTGTCTTCTTACTCGGAAGAAGACTCGGAAGAGTTGAAAGTTATTCCCAAGAAGGTCAAAGATGAAAGGCGCATATGGGCCACATATGATGCTGACCATCGATCATCTAGCAAGTATTCAACCATCAGAGTCCTAATCGGTGTTGAAACCACTATGCGTTTCACTCCTTTCCCGAACGGAATGTTGTCTGACCAGACGACCTTCACCTCCGTTCTCGAGGTCGATGTTGTAGACCAAAAAGTCGCCTTCGCTAGTGGCAACCATGACCTCGGGAGCTGCCTCACCCATGGCGACTACACTCTTGACAGGTTGACCATTGCGGCCTTTTGGGNNTATCTTGACCCAGGCAAAGTCACGGGCCGGCTCCCAGATTTCGGTAACGGCATTGGGCAGGTATCCAGCAGCACGCGACACTAATGTGGTGGAGACGTTTTGGGAGGTTCGCCGCATCATAGACATCCAACCCGGAGAACGCAGTGGTTTCGCAGGTGAGTCGGCGGAAGACTCGCCCAGAATGGAGCTTGACGAGGGATCTGACGAGTCATTGGGGCTTTCGCTGCGTTGGCGTTGGTAGCGCTGCGGTGTTGTAGGAGCATCAGCTGGCGCTTCTAGGCCTGAATCTGGTAGGGTATTATCGGTCGAGAGGCGGAAGATATGGACGGTCTCGGTAGCACTTGATACACATAACAACGTGCTCGCCTCGTTGAAGGACATGCAATGAATGCGGGCAGGCATACTGCCTCTTCGGAATTGGTAGAGCTTCTGAGCAGAGGGGATGGCAAAGACTCTGATAACGGTGCCTTTTTCAGAGGCCGTAGCCAATAGTGTACCTTCCTTGTTCATTGCTATGCATGATAGCGGAGCCTGGTGGGCAGGAATGACCTTGACTTCTTGCATGTCATTGGCGTTGTAAAGCATGACATCCCCACCCATGGGTTCAGTGACTCGAGGGCCAGCCGGAGGCACGTGAGTCGGAGCAGTCTGTGAAGTGTATTCTTTCTTGCGCATGGGGTATGCGATGTAGTTGTTTGTGGAGTCGGGAGAGAGTGCGCAGATGGCGTAAGGATTCGAGGGAGTGACGATTTCCTGGAGGACCTTCATAGACGAAACATCGTAGACGAACATGAGGTCGTCCATAACGACGAGAAGACGCTTGCGATTCAGTCTGACGGCGCCGACTCTGGCCGGGAAAGTGAGCTCGCACACGGTGGTTTGACGCTTTGTGTTGACGATGCGCAAGAGTCGTGGGGACAGGACCATGGCCACGAGCGAGGTCGAGAAGAGCATCTCGAGGATGGCAATGTCGCCGGACGCGCCATTTTCAGTAAGAGGAGTCTGGAAGACGAGGGCGAAAGGATTGGTCGAGTAGACGCGCATGCCATCCGTGGTCGCAACGGCCAGGAAGCTGTGGTCCTGGTTGAAGGTGATGTAGTTGAGCGCCATGGTGCCGAGTCTAGTTATGTCGAGTGGTTGGGCAGAGGGCGGGGCCCATAGTCTGGGTCGCGTAGATGGGTATGCACGTCGGTTGACAGTTGACAGTCGGAGAAGGCACGACAGGAGAGGAAGCTGCACGTCAGTTGGAGTGTTGATGCTTTAGGAAGGTGGGCTAGGTGGGAAGGAGCGTCAAGCATGTCATGGCACGAGCAGTTGCAAGGAAAATGACTCGGCGGCCCACGGCTACTTAGCCCTACTTTCTGCCTCGTGGTGCTCGTGAGCCTAATTCATGAGGGCTTGCCCACGAAGTTAGGGTTAGAATAGACTTGTAGTCGTACTAAGATGATACGCTCTCTTGCCCTATAGTACATACTGCCGTGACGACCTGTGAACAGACATGGTGTTTGAGACTGTGTGTTGATGGCGACGGGGACTCGAGGCATACGACGGCTATCCGACATGGCGTAGTGCACGGGTGTGCGCCTTCCTGGGCGAGGGGGACAGTCACGTCGAAGCGCATGATTTCGATCTGCCAAAGAGCGTCAGCTGAGAACCAAGACACCTACCGTCGTCGAAAAACTGTCGTCGATACCTTGTAAGACCACAGGGCTTTGTTAGGGCTATTCGGTTATCGTTGCTGGAGCCCTAGACGCAAGTTTAGAGATCCGACCAAAACATAAGGATGAGTACGGGCGAGATTCCCTTGACCGATCAAACCATCGCTAATGGCCTCTCGCGCNGTCAAGCCCTCAGTCATGCCTTCGTCCAAGGCCATGGAACAAAGCGCCTCAGAGACGACGTCTCGACCAGCTTTTTCGACTCTGAATCACTCCTGCCCGCGTCGCAGAAACGCGCCCGCCCCGACCTGGTCTATACCAACGACGTGAACCCCTCGTCATACCTTGTGCCCGCCTACAACCCTCTGGCCCTGTACAACAGATCGCCGGACACCGACTTTGCCCTATATCACCCACATCTCGCATCCACGCATCCGAACCCTCNNAGCCGCAGTTCGAGTCCGCCCACGCCCACGCACACCTTGCGTCGCTGTCTGTCGCCCNAATACCAGCAGCACCCCTCGTACTGGGGCCTGCCTGTCCAGCGCCTGCCCCAGCAACAACCTCAACCACACCCCCAGCTGCCGTCGCAACCTCATCTCCAGTCGGCTTTCCAGCCCCAGCCTCAGCCACAGTCACTACCCCAAACTCCCCAGCAATACTACACCATGCCTGCCGATCACGTGCAAAATGCCTCATATAACAGCGATTGGTGGCAGTCCCGCCCGAGTCCAAGCAACAGTGTGCTTGAGACCTGGAATTACCAGATCGAGGAGCCGTGCGTCTATGGTACTGATGCTAGTCAACACCTCAAGTTGCAGAGTCTAGCCACGCTCGACAATCTCGTATGTTGCACTTGTATATAACCATCCATCAGCCCTGCCGCTAACAACCCCACAGNNTCCACGCAGATCATTCTCAATCTTGCCAAGGGCTCATTGAACGACATCCTATTGCTCACCGCAGGTCGGGACCACGAAGGAAGTCAAGCCTACTTTACAAGACGAACTCTGTTCGATCAAACGCGCAAGGTCTACGCCAAGAATGCTGTCTTTATTGATATGCATACCCTGCCTGCCTTTACTGCTTCACAACAGGAAGTTGTGCGCAAGGCAAACCGCGCAATCTTCATTTCAAGTATCCTCGAAGGTCACGACATCAGCTTCTTCGACCTGGATTCTCGTTTCATGGACACCTTCGTTTGTCCCGGCCAGCGCCTTCTTAAGTGGCAGGGCACCATTTTTCTCGAGTTGAAAACACAAGCATACATTGCCGCTATCATGAACAACGACGGCCCATCAGAATCATTGCTGGATGAGCTGTTCCCTAATGACTTGGCCGACCAACTCTTGTCTCGTCACCCGGATGCTCCTAACCTCGCACCTAGCGAACAGGACTTCCTCGACAGAGCCCGCGCTAGAAAACAATACCTCTTTGACGAACCCTCCTACGATGCCTATAGCACCCTGCCTCGGAAATATGGTTGGCATGATTTCCTGCGAGAATTTGCCGTGGCACTCAGCAAAAACGTTGAAGCCGTCATCAACAATCCCGTAAGTTAATACCTTTTTGAACACCTGTATGGTCACAGAGCGCTAATCGATGTTCAGGCACGTACCCCTCTTAGTCAACCTGGAGTCATCTCTCCATCATTCCGAGCAGGAAGTCGTGGAACACCGTCATCGGGCAGGTTTGGAAGCTTGAGCAGTCCAATAGTCGGAGCTCAAGACCCAAGCAATGGTCTTGGAGGTCATAATGACTTAGTCTCTGAAAACGCCCAACGACAAGCCTCACCACCACGACCAGTTCAAGGAACACCCGAGATTGGTCAGTCCAAGTCTTCACCAAAAGCACGTTCAAAGCCGAAGACTGGAGGTAGCGCTACACAACGGCAGCCTTGGAAACAAGAAGAAGAGGACGCGCTGATGGCCGGTCTGACCGAAGTCAAAGGTCCCCACTGGTCACAGATTCTCAGCTTGTATGGTCGTGGTGGTAGTGTCAGTGAGGTGCTCAAAGACAGGAACCAAATCCAACTCAAGGACAAGGCTCGCAACCTCAAGTTGTACTACCTCAAGATGGGCAAGGAAGTACCTGAATGCCTACGAGGTGTTACAGGAGAACTACGCAAGAGAGGCGGCGCACGCGTACGTGCTGCGCTAGGTTTGACAGACGACGATGGGCCTCCATCAAAGAAGGGCTCAAGATCGGGTACACCACTCGATCCATCGCTGAAGGCATGAGACCGTGACCTTGATGGTCATGGCGATGCGAATGTACAGAATTATGTTTCACTTGTCGATAATCATTTTTAGAACACTTGGTAGTGTCACTGGCTCTGACAATATCAAATTTGCTCAGCTCATTAATCATCTTTAGGGGTTGTCGATCTGGAGTGAGACGACAAACACGGGCAGCAAAGTTCAATCGAGCGGGGCATGCACTTTGCCCTCTCTACCATCTCTGAGGAGACGATAGAAATATTCATGTCTTTTTGTATGGCGGCAACATGACATGCTATGGACGTTGCTCCTTTCTCTTCTATTCTAGCTGGTCTTTGAAAGAAATGAGAGACACTTGGTACATATCTAGATCTCTTCTATGTACATTTGCGAGTCTAGATCTAGGCAGCATGATAGCTTGCCACTACCACATAAATCTCTGTGTCTTTCCAGGCTCTTGCGGCCACTCAAAACCCCAGTTCAAGAAGATGTAGCCCACACCCGCATTGACAACGATGAACCACAGCGTCTCGAGGTAAAGTCTGTGATCATGCTCTGCCCACAAGACAGTATATAACCAACTCGCCCAGCTCTGGCGATCGATGTTTCGTCTTTGCCTTTCTTTATCCCACCACTGTTTCCAGTTCTTGTGTGTCGGTCTCGTCATTAGCGAGGCACCAGGATGGGCTTGCGGAACGCGTAATCGCCACATAATCCATGGCAGGATAAAGTAGCGTGGTTCTACCAGAGGNGCGGTAATGAGTTGCAAGGCAGACACGCCAATCCATACCATGACGAAGCTGATGGTGCAGCCCTCGCCAAAGGGTGCATCGTTGAGACGGAGAAGCTGGCCACGCTCGTTGTTTTTGCGCTCGTTCTGACTTTGTCCGGATGCAGCGCCCTTGCCATCGTCCTTTTCGTCTTCCTTGATCTCGAAGAGTTGGGCAGGTGCTCCGAGTGCTTGCAGGACAGACCATGCACAAGACATGTAAATTGGTATGGCGAGATACTTGATGGCAGGATATGCGAGCAAGTAGCGAAAGACATAAAAGGTGAAGTGTCTGTTGTCGGCGAGAGTGAAGGGATGTACAATGGTGTTGAACCTGACCGTCAATGCGATTACCATGACGAAACCGACAAGGACTACAGATCGAGGCAGAAACTTGCGTCTGCTGAAGATCAAGAGTGGTTCCATGATGGCCGCAATCGGAAGGGTCGCGAAAACAGAGAGTAATCCTTGGGCAATGAATGGATAGGTAAGGCCAAAAGAGAAGAAGCTGGTATAGGCCCAGATATACAGCATCTGCGGCAGATGCAGTGTGGCGACATGGTTCGACTTGTCGCCNTATAGGTTGAAAGATTAGTTCGGGACCAGTGGTTCAGTTTCGGGAAACGTACCAAGCACAACTCCGCCGTTCCATAGAACAAAAGAGCCAAACAGTCCAAGAACAAAAACATAAGGCCAAATGAGTCGCAAAATTCTAAGTAGTGTACGGGGAAAGTACAGAGCACGCAAGGCCAATGTCACAGTAGAAATGCAGGTGAGCCAGAAGTCTNNGTACTGTGTCAGGAACCAAAACGAAGATGAGATGATATAGATCAACTCACCGTCCAATATAGAATCGCGCATTTGAGGGTCATAGAAAGTGGCGTTGTTCCATGCCTGCAAAACAACAGACTTGCCGTCGTGTGGTCTTTCGCCCACGACTCCGTCATGTAGAGCGCCGAGTGCCAGCAGGACAATAGGGAAAACACCAACCCAGAAGATGTTGGTTTGGCGAAAAGAGAGGGAGATGACGGCCAAGATGATGGATATGCAAGCCTGGAAGAAGGAACTGGGACCACGCGAGTTGTTCTCAAGCAGATGTCTTGTAAACAAAAGGACACTCAGAGTGGAAGCGACGTCGGTGTAGTAAAGGGCGCAGAAGAAGAAAAGAGGTGGGAACAGGCAGACGTTGAGAGCGGAATGGATCTGCTGGGGACACAGATTGGCCAGGGGAAGAAAGAGAGTAGACTTTTGAGAGGGCAGCTGTTTAGCAGAACGCGGTGAAACAGGAGGAGCAGTGTGTAGAAGGAAGAAAAAGATGGCAAAGAGAGAAAGAGCGTTGACGACTCTCAATGCGTCCAGATCACAGCGGCCCGTAATCTTATAGAAGAGGATGGACAGAAAATAAAGACCAGGTGGGGTGGTTATCTTTGGATCCCAGTGCCAGTAATTTCCACGACAATATTGTTGGACTTGGCCGACGTGGAAGACCTCATCNCTGAACAAATGTGTTAGAAAGCAAAAAGAAGAAGAGATGATTCTGGATGGTTGACATACGAGATATGGCTCGCGGACTTGACTCGAGACGGCGTTGAACCAGACAGCAATGGCAACAGGCAATGTAACGAGGGACAAGAGCAGCGGTACCGAGTTGTGGGCCACACGATCCTCGTGGTTCTTTTCTGGCATGGCGACGAGTCGTCTCCTGTCGAAGCGAAGACCAGGAGGGCGTTGTAACCAAACACGGTAGACGCCAAGCAGGAGAGGACCAAAAGGTTGCCGTCAAAAGCTCATGGGCAAGCGTCACCCCACGTTTTGGAGACGGCGGCGTGGTGGGCTTGACGGTTGGATATATAATCACTTACTTGTATACATGACTTGACCTGCGACTCTGGGGGTATGGCCCTGCTATGAACGCGCTCAACATCCTGTCGGGACTGAGTCCTCCGCCCACGCCCACGCCTCCAGCTACTCCTATACCCTCCCGCTCGCGCACCGGCAGCACCAGCACCAGCACCAGCACCAGCCATGCCGACCACGCCGACCAGTCAGACCAGCCGGGCCCTTCCTACTTTGACGACTTTGAGAAATCCACCAAGCCTCACGCACCGCTGACTGCACCTTCACCGTCGCCCTCGTCGCCATGGCTCCTTCCGTCGCGTATAGCCTCGATGCTCATCTCCACCCTCAAACTCGCCCTTGACTTTCTCTTGGCCCCCTTCCGATACTTTGTCGCTGCCTTCTACGACTCCAAGGGCTCCTTCTCTCTCCTCATACCAATGCGATCCATGCGCCGCTTGTTCTCGCCCGAGCCTCGTGAAGCCACCGCTCACGCTCCACCCAGCAAGCCACACACACGCCCGCGAGGCACCTCTGTCGACTCGACCACTTCCTCTGTCCTCTCCGACGACGAAGGACAAGCGTTTGCATCCTTTGACCAAGGTCCCGCCCACAACACCCGCTCCAAGTCTGCCGCCGACAAAGACGAGATAGCTCCCGCCAAACGTTCGATTCGTATCAAGCTTCACAACAACGAGGATGCTCTGCGCCGCAGACGCCAACGCAACACCTCGGATGCAGACAAATCTGAACAAGACAAGGTCGCCGCTGTTGCCAACTCCCTAAAATCTCCATCAAACTCGGCTGCTACAAAGCTGAGATACCCACGCGCCCCAGCTCCTCCTAGACCACTTGTACCCAGGCGTCAGCCCTCCTATGTCATGTCCTATAATCCCGACCCACCCAAGAAGACTCTCATTATTGACTTGGATGAGACGTTGATCCACAGCATGGCCAAGGGCGGGAGAATGAGCACCGGCCATATGGTCGAGGTCAAGCTACAGGGTCCCATCGGAGGGAATGGTATGGTGCTAGGCCCTCAGGTACCCATATTGTACTACGTGCACGAGCGTCCGTATTGCCACGACTTTNTGCGCAAGGTGAGATGCGGCATCTCTGCAATTTCTGTCATATTTTGCTGACTCTGCCATTGTCAGGTTTGCAAATGGTACAACCTCATAGTCTTTACTGCATCCGTGCAAGAGTACGCCGATCCCGTCATTGACTGGGTAGAACGCGAACGCAAGTACTTTAGCGGCAGATACTACCGCCAACACTGCACCTTCCGCAATGGCGCGTATATCAAGGATCTGACGCAGGTCGAACCTGACCTGAGTAAAGTCATGATTCTCGACAACAGCCCTATGAGCTATATTTTTCACGAAGGTGAGTCAAGTCCATCTATTTGACATGGCGATGTTGTCTCTGACCGATTTCATCCAGACAATGCAATCCCGATAGAAGGCTGGATAAGCGATCCGACGGATAACGACCTCTTGCATCTGGTCCCTCTTCTCGAAGGCCTACAGTACGTGACGGATGTACGAGCTCTTTTGGCATTGCGGCTTGGACAAGCGGAACGTACTTGATATACTTCTCCTGTTTTTCTGTTTTCATTGCATCTTGATAACCGACTTAATTTCCCATTCTTTGTGAGGCTTAATTGGTGTGCCAGAAGCGCTTCGATATGGAGTGTCTTGGTTATATATAATTACCAGATTCATGGTCGGAGTAGTCTTGTCTTTCGATCTACTGGATCTCGAAGAGCGTAAGGCGCGAAACATACCTTTTTTTTTTTTTTTTTTGGCTAGACACAAGTCCAGGAACTCCTCTTTGTGCGTCTTACTTGTGTGCCTGAAAGTGCCACACGGGCTGAGGGCTATGCAGGGGGTCATTCAGGCACGAAGTAGTCACTCTGTTTTTGTACAATATTACGGCCGATGGGTGTTTACAGCCTTGTACGGTGACGTCTCCCAAGCAATTGAAGATACCGACCTGTCAAAAGAAGGCGCAGAAGATGGTTCTCGAGATCCTTCGCGTTTGCCTACCGGTTGCCTGATTTGACGATGCCTGGAGACAAGACGGGAATTAGGCACTTGTCGATCATCCTTTGTGCCTGCATGTGCCATGCTGTGCCCCTGTTTCGTGGATCTCCCCGCTAAGAACATGGAGGATGTGAGCGCCAAACCGAAATGGCAATGATGAGCTGTCTCTGTTGTTTAGTGATTTCTTGCTCTTTGTTTGAAGAGTTGTAGGATCCAAGTATCCATTTTCTCTAGGCCTGCCGAGACATAAGAGGCTGAGGTTGACGGGTGAGTAAACTTGGTAAATTACGATCAGGCGCAGCTTCCGCTTTAGTTGAAGCAGTAGTGAATCCTTCACATGCACCTGTATTTATATATCTGCGTTGGATCTCTCTTTTCCTGGGTTGTTTCTCTGAACATAACTTTTACTGATCAAACACATCTCTGTCACAACCAATCAACCAACAGATCATCACAATGCGTTCTTCTGTTGCTCTTCTGGCTGCTTCTGCCATCGGTGCTTTTGCACAGAGCACCTCGACTGTGTCGATCTTCATGGGCGGACAGCCCCTTAATGGACAAGAATATGCGGGATCGGTCGTTTCTGTAGGCCCCAGCGACACCGTCTACGAAATCATGTGCACGGCAACTGAAGCTTGCGGCACTTACTCCATTCCCGTAGGACTTTCTAGGCATCTGTCATTGCCATACTAAACCAAGCCGTGCTGACTCGAGACACAGCAAACCATCACACTTGGCCCATCGCACCTCAACTACCAGTTCGTCACCGAAACCATGGGCGTCGAGGCCTCTGCCTCCGAGACTTGCCAGATCAGTGGAACTTCTTCTGCTGTTTGCTCTGTTGTCTTTGACCTCGAAGTCGACGTCCCCGGCGTTACCTCTACAAGAACATCCATTGCGACCACCACGACCCTTACTGGTAGCGAGTTGGCTGGCGTGCCTGTGGCGCTGACTGCTGGCGTCGAGAAATTGTCTGCTGCCACATCGGNNCTTCTGGTTCTGGTTCCACTACACCTTCTGGCTCTGCCGGTGCTGCTTCCACATCCAGCGCATCTGTGAGTGTTGTTCTGCGCTGTGTCACCTCAGTTACCGAACTGACTTCAACAACAGGGTGCATCTTCGACCATGACGAGCGGTAGAGGCGGTAACATCCTGGCATTGGTCATGTTCTCGGCCGTGTCGGTGTCTGTCGGTGCTCTTATGATTCTGTAGATACAATAAAGATGCCTGCTATGAGAGGGCTCTTCAGGCCACCTTGGTATCGTATGTCACGAGAGCAAGACTTAGATAATGTTTTCTCTTTCTGGCGACGGGGTTCGAGGAGTGTACGAGTGGCCGGAGAAGTTCATGTCGCACAAGTCCCGTTCGTCTTGAAGTCAAAGTTCTTGCACCCTCAACTCTGATGTACGGAGAGCAATCGAATGATCATGTCTTCTTAGTTGTCTTGGTCTTCCTTGACTTTGCTGGTTCTGGTAAGGAATCCGGCCCATCGAGCTCGATCTTCCGTGCCTTCAGCGTTGCAAGTGTTATCTCGGTGATGTCTTCGTAACCTTTGGGCATTTTCTCTAAAGCGTTGGATGTGCAACAGAGAATAGGCGGCAAATGGATAATCACGAGATCGACTTGACAGTGTGGCTGGCCCATAAGGATGGAGACGATGGGAGAGTCCAAGAATGGGATGCACGAACTTCCTGGATGGCTCTCTTTAGACCTGCAGCCATCATGACAGCGATCACTTTGATGCTGCTGCAGAGCAGAGAAGTGATGTTCGTGAAAGAGGCAGAGTCTCGGATGGAGGTGGTCCGAATGCCGACGTCTTTCACATGTCAAGCGCGACTCCACAATGTTTGGCTGTCACTTTCGACCTCCTTTCACGCCCAGCAATCCAAAAACAAGCAGCACATTCAACTACGCAAACATGAAGAACATATAACAGGGACCACTCTATGCTCTGTCGGCGATCACAACCTCCACAGCACTCTTTCTCTCTCCCCTCATTCACTCGCCAGCATCAGTCATTTCTTTGAGGCTCGACACCCTCACACATACAACCATGACTCTACTCAACACCCCCATCCTCGCCATCTTGGCCACCTTCGCTCTCTTCGCTCTCCAATCCACAACCCTCCGCCTCCTCTCCCTCGCTCCCCACCGCCGGCCCCCACCAACCCCTCGCAAACGCGGCACACCCGCCCACCTCCTCATCGTCCTCGGCAGCGGCGGCCACACGGCAGAAATGATCTCCATGCTCCGCCGCAGCACCACCTGCAACAAATTCACCCACCGCACCTGGCTAGTCTCTTCCGGCGACAACTTTTCCGCCGCCTTTGCCAAAGAATTCGAGCAAGAGATTGGAGAAAAGAGTGGCACGTATAGGATTGTGCAAGTCAGAAGGGCAAGAAAGATACACCAGAGTTTGATCTCTGCGCCTTGGAGTTGTTTGTTGTGTTTGTGGGATTGTTTGAGGCTTTTGATGCCTTCGTCTGCTGCTGCAGAGTATGCGTACCCTGACTTGATACTTACCAATGGTCCTGCCACTGCGACGATCCTGGTCTTTGCGTCTGTCTTGTTGCGTTTCCTCGGCTTGCAAGGCAAAGATGGCAAAGGAGAGATGCGCACAATCTACGTCGAGAGCTGGGCGAGAGTCAAGAAGCTGAGTCTGAGTGGAAGATTGCTGTGCTGGGTCGTGGACCGTGTGCTGGTGCAATGGGAGCAGCTGCGGGGTGCTGGAGTAGGAGGGCGAGCCGAATTCAAAGGTGTTCTGGTTTGAGAAGATCCCTGAATGCTCAGCTCGCAACACAACATACTACATGGACAGGCCTGGATCTAATCTTCGGACATCCACGGAGGGTAGACATGACCACTTCACATCAGAACTCCACATCTATGTTCAGGGGGCATTCGCCCGAAGTGACAAGGCACCTCGACGCAGGCTTGACTCACACCCACGCTTTGCTATGTATGCAGCACAGCAAACCACTGGCAACACAAACTGGACCATGCTCAGATGATGCAATGTCAGGGAAAAAATGCCATTCACATATACTGTTACTTCCAGAAAACAGAACCCACACGCACGAGAAACAGATCAGCACAAGCGGCGAGTTCACTTCTTCCCTGAACACATATCTGATTGTTCGTTCCCTCCTCCTTTCTCAACGTCGTCAACAAGAACAGAGAAGGAAACCCTCAGATCAAAGAACAAAGACCACGGCAGTGGGCAACAAAGTCGAAGTTGAATTATAAAATCTCGAGGAACGCCAAAAATGGAGCGGGGGAAACAGATTAATCTCAAAGACAGGAGAATATCACAAGGGCAACTGTTCCTTGGGACAAATCAATCTCAAAGCAGTTGGAAGTAGGTTCCCAAAAACGGCACCGCGACACTGTGAGTCAAAGTTAGTTCAAAGATTCATGTTATAACAGAGTAGAGGAGATGCAAACATACCCCNATAGCCATAGTGGTCAAAATTCCCAACGTTGCTCTCTTCTTGATCTTCTCCTTACGAAGCTCAATCTCGGTGAAACGTTGTCTCTTGGCCGGACGCTCGTCAACCTCTATAGGAGCGACTGCAGCAGATGACCCGACTGTGTCGAACTCAGGGAACACAGAGATGGATTCATCGTCATCTTCGAATGCTTCGAGGGCCTTGCGCTTCTTGCCAGGAGTGCGGCTAGCTGTCAGCTTGTGTGCGGCAACGATAGATTCCTTGGCCATGTCGAGGTAAGCCTGAGGATCGCTGGGTTGTGCAAGGTCTGGGTGGGTGGCTGGTACATTTACTACAGCACGCACACTCTCAGTGGGGCTAGCACCATTGATACCGGGCACCGTGGTGGTCTCAATGTCAACTTGGACTGTGTCGCCAGAGCGAGCACTGAGGGTCACAGGGATCTCATCTGCAAGTGCGGCTTCTGCGTCTGCCTTTGCTGCTGCTTCGCTAGAAGCGATTATTGAGTCGAACTTGACGGACTCGGGCTCAAGCGAAGTTTCTGGTGCAGCAGACTCCTCGGCGCTCTCAGCGGTAGGGGCAAGCGCACTCGACGTTGCAGGCTTTGCGCGTCGGGTCCTTCTGGGAGTTGCGATCTTGCGGCTGGGAGTGGGAGGAGCCTTTGCAGGTGAGGCAGAACGAAGAGTACGGCGGCGAGAGGTGGTTTCTGTTGGAGGAGGGAGAGTGGTGGCTTCCGAGGTAGGAAGGAGGAAACGCGGAGGTGTAGCAATGTTCTTGTTGGGGTCGTGAGTTCCCTTAGCGATGGGCTCGGGGTCCAGCAGGGCCTCAATCCAAGCACGCATACCGTATGCCTCGGCGAGAGTCAGAGCTGACTCTGCGGGGATCCACACGTTGCCAGCAATCTCCTCGCTGTCGGTCTCGGAGAGCGACTTGATGTACTTCTTCTCAATTTCCTCCTCCTCGAGCGATGACCAGGGGAAAGCGGCCTTGTACATGCCGGTTGCGCTAATGTAACCGTCGGTGGAGCGTCTNCTGGCAATACTACGTCAGCAAAGCTGCGCGTGTTTGCGCGTGTTTCCTGTTCCCCTCACCATCAAAAAGTAAGCTTCCGGGTAGGACTGATTGCGGCGCGACGGGGCGAAGATGCCGCTTCCTTGCAAGTCCTTGGGAAGAGGTACGCGCAAGTGGGCGTAGTCGAACATGCCCAGGTTGGAGGGCTTTGTCGCATTGGAAGTGCCGATTTGACCAGCCTTGACTGTGAGCTCCGTCTGTCCCAATCGACGTCTTTCAACCAAAATCTCAACTGTTCCCCATCAGCCATGTGGCTATCACGTCATCTAAGGTCTGAACATACTTTGCGGAGTGTGTTTCTCCTCGACCAGAGGGTTCCTCTTCTCGGGCAAAGCGCGTTCCGCGTCCATGGTAAAGGTCAAGCGCGTCGGCTAGCTGAGATTCGTCGTCGCGTGCAGCTGATTGATATAAGGGATGTGTCTATGCGACCAGAGCAACAGAGCGATTCGGTCGTGAGTAAGGGCGAGATGGAGTGGGGGCTTGGAAAATAAAGTGGACGAAGGTGGATGAGGTCAAAAATGGTCAGAGACGACGCGAGCGCGCACTGGCGGGAATGCACTACCTACGCAATACCACAACGTTGCCAACAAGAAAATAACGGCTGTGGGGTTGCTTTTGACTTTCACCGACATCACTCACTTTTGACAACCACTGAAGACCTGTGAGACGGCTTTGCATTTCTCGTCACAAGTCTGCTTGCTCTGTCTTGTTTTCCTCTGCACGCAAGCCAGACCGAGTGTCTCGAAGTCCTGCCTGCCATCAAAAACATGGGAGATTGCAACACAAACAAGCCCAGCTTGCGGCATGCGAGAAACAATAATACTTTGCACACCGACTACATCAACCCGAACACTCCAGGCACGATCGTGGCTTCTATATGAGTTCCTCGATTCAACTTTAGATATCAAATCTGTTACACAGGCGAGCACATGTCATCTTGGTCTATTATGCTGTCCAAGCCCTGCAATTCTTCATTAATGAGACAAGGTTGTACACTGCTAAGACACTTGAAACCACCTCGTCTCTACACTTCTGAGTCTCGTACATGTCGTGTCTATGCAGATGAATAAACCAGTGGTACCCATCTGTGGTGGTTCTTGGACGAGTCAGGCAGCTTCGAGCCACCTTGCAAAGCCCCGCGTTGTCTGCTAGCCACAACAAACAAACGCCCATGCTAGATAGATGTACAAATGCTACCGCGCTCGTCGTCTTTGCTGACTCTGTTTTCTTCTTCCTAAGGCAGATTCAGGACTAGGCTTAATCTATTTCTCAAACCGCATTGACCTCTCCCTACGTTTTCACGTGATCTTCGGTGTTTTGACCCTGAGGCGGTGAAGTCGGGCGGGTCTGACGTGTACAGAGCTAAATTCGAGGCCAGTCTTTTGGGGGCTCCACAAACGACACCTTAAGCTTCCTCCCTGAACATCTTACCTTGCACACTCACTCACCTGTCTACCTATCTTACCTCTGTTCATTTCTGCCATCTACCTCCTAGTATCACTCCTACCCATACAGCTACAATGTCTGGTGCAACCGACTTCCACGAAGACGAGCTCCGTCCTGAGACCACTGCTGGTTTCAAAGTTGGCGAGAAGAAAACTTTGGAGGAATACCAACAACTTGGTGAGTACCTTTGAGTTCGTTTTCGCTCGTGACTTTTCTGTGCCTCTTGCGCGCGCGTTTCTTTTGCCTCTGTGTCTCCCGCTCGAGGCGGAGGAAGTCCGCCCTGAGATCTTCTTATGAGCCCTGGTCCTGGACATTCTGAGGACTTGTTTGCACACTCTTATACCAGGATTTGCACATGTGTGCCAGCTCGAGTGCCAGGCTGCATATTATGAGTATTCAATTCGTCACTTTGGGACCGCCCAACGATGGGTCCTTCTCAGGAGAAACACATTCTGGACTTCCCAAAGAAGACGGTCAAGCCCAGAGGAGCCCCTCCGAGCCTCGCAAAGCACTGTCCATCGATCGTTCAAGCAATCGCAGGCAGCCGTGGATAGATGCGAGAAAGCTATCAGATGAACAGAGACAGCAACACATCGATGCCGAAAACCAGCGCAAGGCCCGGAGATCATCCGTCCGAGCGGCACTGGAAACCACTGTCGATGTTTTCTCCAAACCGTCCTCAAAAGCGTCCTCTCGAGCTACCTCACGGAACGAGAATGAAGATCCTCCTATCTTCGTTCGAGCAATGCCAGGGGATGAAGAGTTCAAACCCTCGAGGCGGACTGTTCTAAACGATCGAAGAAGATCTCTTGTTCATGGATTGCATACTTTCCACAAACACGACAGCATGATGGGATCCTACGACAAGGGTGTGCTGAGCAGATACTCTGGTGGTCGCGATCGAGATTCGAAGATCCCTCGCAAGCAGTCGTACGTTCGAACTTCAACTCCAAATGCTCTGCTCCCAGCCACCGATGAGGAGCGAAAATGGGCCCGACAAGTCTTGCGACACTACTCATCTACCATGGATGCTTCCCATTGCGACGTGTTCACTTGGCATGCACTCGAGCGAAAGGACGATCCTGTACATCTTGTCATTTGTCTTGGCGAGATGATCTTTATGGATCAATATGGTCAGGAACTACCTGGACAACCTACCATCACAGATCAGCTGGAAGCCATTCATCGCCGAGGGATGCTGCAGCCAGATTACGAAAATTACGAAGTGCCTCTTACTCGTATACCAACCCGACAAGTCGAAGAAGAGACTGCCGAACACTTCAAGACGATACTCGAGCGCAATGGCTCCGAACTCTTGTCCCCTCCTTCAACAGTACAAGTTGGATGGTGGCTTCATAACTCGCCAGTATACCGCGTGAGGTACCGCGAGGCCGAGCTCTGGATAACAATTGATGGTCGCAACATGCCCAACCGACCAGCGGCCTCCGAGCAGATCAAGCAAATCAGAGCAAAGACGAACGATGCTATGGGAAGTGACGGATCTTCTGGGGACATATCTCCTGGCCACGTTGGACCGAGCAACAGCCAGCAAACCTGTGCTAATGGACAGACCGCCGAGCAAACAAGTCAAGATCTCCGCAAACAGACCGAAGGCCGTGGAAAGACTGGAATGAGCCGCTTCTTTCGCTGGATGGGTGTCCGGTGAGCGGCCACGCTGCTTGATGCTTCTGCCATGATTGTTCTTGCGATTACTTTTTTTGCGATGTTCCTTCCAAAGTTCTGATCGCTGACTATTTTGACACGACAGACCAAAACGATGAGAGCTTGAGAAAGTGGAAGGAGAGCCTGGGTATCGGCTCAGGAACCACCATTGGTGATGCTAGCGACCCCCGCAAGGTCATCATCGTCTCCCTTGGACTCGAGGTGAGTTGCATCTCGCAGACATACAGCGAAGTGTTTGACTGACTCTGTCTCGCTATTTAGGTTGAGGGTCGTCCCGACATTATCATCGACCTGTCTTCTCCCGGTGCTCTCGAGTCACTCAAGTCCAAGCCCTTCACCATCAAGGAGGGTGCCACCTTCCGCATGAAGGCCCGCTTCAGAGTCCAGCACCAGATTCTTTCGGGTATGAAGTACGTCCAGGTTGTCAAGCGCATGGGTATCTCGAACAAGATGCAGGAAATGATTGGTTCTTACTCTCCCAACACCACCGACAAGCCCGAATATGAGAAGAAGTGTAAGTTTTTGGCTCAAGCATATTTCGTTCACTCGTACTGACATAATCAAACTANNGTCGAGGCAGAGACTGCACCCTCGGGCATGATGGCTCGCGGCCACTACAATGCCGTCTCCAAATTCATCGATGACGACGAGCAGACCCACTTGAAGTTCGAGTGGTCCTTCGACATCAAGAAGGACTGGTAAACGGAGATTCAGGGTGTCTTCTCTTCAACCATGGACTGGCCGTTTCTACTTTCCTCACAGCAGCATACGACAAAGCATCAAAGGGGGCTCAGAATTTCTTTCTTGCGCGCGTTATTAAGGGTTGATTTGTTTTGCTTTTTCGTCAACCGAATTTTCTCATTTTCAGCATGTAGGTCCTGAGTTTGACACTTGGACTTGGATACAAAATGCACTCTGTTTTCTCGTCCATACTTCTTTAAGATACGAAGTTGTTCCTTGTCTGCTACCTCGCCCAGTGTCTTGCCAGTGGTCCAGGATATGACTCTGACTACCTGTGACCGCTGATGAACTGTCTCATATCCATGTCGCACATTGCTGAAGCTATCATTCTGTGCATCTTGCGACCCCAGATCAAGTCAGTGCGTGCGGGCGGAACGCATGTGACTGCGAGGCCTCAGTATTGCGACCGTCCTCTTCGTCTATGGAGTCTGTCTTATGCCATTCCAATCCAAATGGCAGCACCGAGTCAATTCTCGCTTCTAGACGTGAACGATTGGGTGCCTAAACAGGGCCCAGCAACCTGTAGCCGTGGTGGTCACATTTGACTCTCGTGCTTCGTGGTACATGTCTGGTCCTTGCAGATATCGCGCTGGCTCAGATCAACGAGAAGCAATAGCGGGAGCCCATACTCGTCCTATACGGTTGATCTCGTTGGTGAAGTTGCGGCTAGTGATCTGAGTTGAGGAAGCTGATTGATGGGCACTGGCGCTGGGAGAATGGTCCTCGGGTGTGTAGAAGGGATTCCTCAACAGATTGATATATGCCTTTTGCAATGCTTGGAAAGCCTGTCGTAAGGAGAGAGTGATCAGCATTCGCGCTTTATGTCGAAACCAACAGCACAACTTACAGGGNGTAAGATCTGAGTTCTTTAAACCGAGTACAGGAGGAGTTCTAGAGTCATTGGCAGGAGACTGACGACCCTCCATATCTACAATAATGACTAGTTTCACGCCAGTATTCGTGAGCCAGCCGTACATGGCCAGGCGTTCATCAATGGCTTGGAGGAGACCAAAGTCTTGGCCGACATTCTTTTCAGGTAGACGGGCTTCAAAGATATCAAGACAGGTCGAAAGCATGAAGGAGAAGTCGAGTTTACTGCGTTCCTGCTTTTCACCTTCTGCGGAGAATATGGAGATGTGGAGAGGGTTGTTCNNTTTGGGAAATGTTAGATAAAAGGAGGTACGCAAGGAGAGAAGTTATGATCAAAATCTCATTTGGATTTTACATACTTGTCTGCCAATGACACCTATACAGGCAATGGCTGGAGTTTTGATGGTGGCCATGACTGAAGAATTGTTTGGAATAGCAGAATAAACAAAAGGGCGATGATAAATTGAGGTTGGAAGTCGAGCTCAGGGCAGTCGCATAAGCGGTTGTTGCTGACGATGGGCAGCAGCCAATCAGAGGGCGAGTCGCGACTTCCAATCAGATCGGGCGCGACTTCTGTACATCCGATGGTCAGCATCATTGAATTGCAGCGTCTCGTCCCTTCCGCCACCACTTGCACGCAACCACAGCGACAAGCCATAATCTCCACTCCGCGTCGCTTCTTTTCTCGACATCTCCCATACACATACCCTACGAGAGTCGCCATGTTCGCCGCCACCCGCTCGACAATGGCCCTGGGCCTGCGTGGTACGTGAAATTCAATGCCAGCGCCAGACACACGCCCCGACTAAGACAATCATGTATAGNCCAAGCCCACCGCCGCCCTCATTCCCTTCACTCGCGCTGCACCCGTCGCCTTCATCCACAGCTCGTCGACCAAATCGGCAACCATGGAGAGACCCGGCCTGGTCAAGGGCAACCCAGGCACCCCGCCACCCATGAAGAAGGGCATGCCCACAAACGTCCCTCTTCCCAGCCAGGAGGGCAAGCAGGGCGTCATGCAATACGCTTTGTATGTACATCAATTCGAAAAAGCCAGCCGAATCAATTGCTGATAGCATACCCACAGGACCACTCTTGACCAAATCGCAAACTGGGCCCGTCAGGGTTCGTTGTGGCCATTGACCTTCGGTCTCGCCTGCTGCGCCGTCGAGATGATGCACTTGTCCACCCCCCGTTACGATCAAGATCGTATGGGTATCATTTTCCGTGCCTCGCCCCGTCAATCCGATGTCATGATTGTCGCTGGTACCTTGACCAACAAGATGGCTCCCGCCCTCCGCCAGGTCTACGATCAGATGCCCGACNCCCGTTGGGTCATCTCCATGGGCTCATGCGCCAACGGTGGCGGTTACTACCACTACTCCTACTCCGTCACCCGCGGCTGTGACCGCATCGTCCCTGTCGACATCTACGTCCCCGGCTGCCCGCCCACCGCCGAAGCCCTCATGTTCGGTATTTTCCAGCTGCAGAAGAAGATGAGACACACCAAGATTACCAGAATGTGGTACCGCAAGTAAACGTTTCGCCACGTTTGTAAAAATGCTGCTGCTATGGTCTTCTTTATTTTCTATCACATTCATGGGGCGTTTATACTTACGAGAGGCTGGGGCATCATGCTGTAGCGCTTCACATGGGAACCGTGTAAATATTTGACACCTTTTTTTTTCTCTTACCAATTGGCAATAAACGAAAGCTTTCTTTGTTACCTGGTATGCTCTCGGTTTAGATGTATCATCTGTTTGTGCTACGCGATGATCATGATTGGAAAGTAACAGCTCACACACTCCATTGCCTACCATGGTAATCAACTCTAAAATCATGAAGTGGCATATGGAGAGTCGAGTCTATGCTAGGTCGGACAACCAAAACGTTCTTCAAGTACACGGACTTCTTGATACGGGTGGGAACAAGATCGATGATAAGGGCAACAAGCAGCAAGCCAACGATTGTTACAATCTTCACGGAGGTGAATATGAGTATGGATGGACACAGTAGAGATACCCAAGGCGAGAACGACGACAAAGGTACTGATGGTCCAAGCAGCCTGGTTGATGGTACTGTTCCACCACCCAATGACAACGGCGGCGACTCGAATTTCAGCATACAGGGTGATGATAGAGTTATCCGCGTTCCCGGAACAATCCTGTTTGCGGCTTGCCTCAAATCTGCCGGGTTATCAGGGCGGCATGAAGAGTATCAAAAATATCTAAGATGTGACAGGGTCTCCCCAGCCACTATCTGATCTGTCATATTCCAGAATCTATACACACTACGCATATATTTAGAATCGACCCATCCCATGACTCAGTACTAGAGTATCTCCAACGTAGTGTCGCTTCTACACAATGGCGTCTGTCTCATAGTACGGGTTGTTCGGATCAAAAGGGAACTTTCTGACCACCACATCGCCCTTGTAACCCCAAAGATCCACTTCCACAGGACTAAAGTTGACAGCACAAGTACCCTGCTCTTGCCCGAAAGTCTCTACGGCGCTCACATTGCCGCCTCCATAGTCGATCCTGACTTGATTGACTGTCTGACGGCTCGGGTCACCGTCGAGATAGTTCAAAGGTGAAAAGGAGAGACCCGCATGAGCTGTCGAGAAGACTGTGTTGGGCAAGTCACCAGTATGGGGGACATGATGCATTCCCAAATTCAGCCAAAGTACGAGATCAGTCTGAGTCAGGTTTTCGCTGTTGAAGAAGGCGTCGAAGTTGATGGGTGGGTTGTGCACATCTTGATTGTTGTAGGCGTGTGCGGCTCGAGGCTCTGTGTCGTACTGCTTGGTGACTTGAAGATCGTGGCTTGCCCAGCGGGCGGCATTGGCCAAGTTGCTCGAGTCTTCGACCGTGAGATGGATGGCTCCGAGAGAGGGTGAGATGCGGTAGCCTCGGTACTCTCCGTACTTGTTCACTGCATCTTTGTTGATCACGCTGTACTGAGTCGCGCTATTTTGTCCCCAGAACAAACGACTTGCGTCTTCTGAGGTGATGTAAGACTTCTCGAGTTTCATCGTGTTACGCGCTTTTCCGTTAGACCATGGATATGTCGTCGAGACGGGTACCTGATTCACAACAGCGACTGTATTGTTGGTACCTAGAATATCGAAGTCTGCCTTGAAGTTCAAGACATGATCGTGCATACTTCCAGACAGATTGTCGTGAATCTTGTAACCGTATTCATCGTTGTTGGCGTAGTAAGCACTCTGGATGTATCCCGAAGCGCGAACCTCGACATTGATGCTTCCGTCTGCCACAGGTTAGCTTTGCGATCTCTAGGCTCTCTGTGGTCTGAGAAGTTTACCCATGTAAAACGAGTAAGAGAACATGTAGTCATAGTTTCCAACAGTACTGACAGACCGAATAGTGAAATAAGTATTCTTCGTCGCACTGACGTAATCAGAGGTGCTGTGTCGTTGGAGAGGATAGTTGGCAGTGTACTCGAACAGACAAAGACTATTCAGATGCGTGTGCATTGTCTCTGACACGTAGAAGGAGGTGTTGAGATAGGTAGCATATGCTGGGCAGTCATAGCCTTTCACGAGCTCGAAGGCGTAAGGGCCAAAACCATAGTAGCTGTCCAGATAGGCAGTACCACTCTGAAGAGGATCTTGACCAGCGTAGTGAGCTAGTGCTTCCTGCAGTCCTAATTCGTACAGTACTCTTTCGCCTTTATAGCGGATGTCCCACAAACTGAGACCTGTATCACGCTGATAGCCGACGAAGAATGAAAAGTCCATCCATTGAACCCACTTGTTCTCAGCATCGACTGCGAATCTAGCACCACTGGGAGCAATAGATACAGGAGGGTGGGAAGTGTCAAGCGGGAGCAAGGGTCCGTTCTGGTCGGTTCGTGCCCAGTCGCCTTCAACGTTGGCTCCCAGCTTGGCGAATTCCGGCGTGTAGAACGCGTTCCGGAACGCATCAGTCGTATCGTAGAAGATACCATTGTAGTACCAGCCTTCTAATCTCCATTGACTAGGATCGCGTCCTGTCACATCACTCCTGAAGTAAAGACCAAGTGGCAGAAGTGTTTGTGTGTCAAAGTTGTCGATTGTGTTGGACCAGAAAGCATCCCATCGAACGACGCGTCCGTCATCTTGCCAAAGAGGATCGATGCCCCATATGGAAAGGGTATCGTTATCATGCCCAAGAGCGGTTCCTCCCCAGAGGTCGAGTGTGATATCTGAAATGGTAGCACTGATCTTGTATATCCATTGAGTGTAGAGAGTGTCATCAGAATCAGCATCGAGATTGCGCACACGGCCAGCTGTCTTACGAGTGTAAGGATATTCGAGAGGCTCCCATCTGGTTGTGCCATTCTTGACACCAGACGGTTCGATCGGGCCGACCAAAAGATCCTCGTAGTAGGGCTCCTCACAGGATCGATGGTCCAAGACGACGTGAGCATATCGGGATGGGACCGGTCCAGCGTTATCAAAATAGTTCAAGACGTCGGTCTTGTTTGGGTGCATGAGCTCGACCAAGAGACTTGAACACGGTTAGTAAGGTGATCAGACCAAGACTTGGTTGGCATACATGGTGTTGTCCCATTCGCCGGCGTCATCACTAAGAGTGAGGTTAAAGTCTGACTGAGCGAATAACCACTGGGTGATTGAGGCGGCTTCGACGTCGGTCAAGCCTCCNCAAACGTTGGCTTTGGGAGCCAACGTCTTGGTATAGTCGTTATCCGAACACGAGGTGACAGTCGGTTGTGCCGACGTCTCGTTTAACCAGCGTTTTCCGATTCTCAACGCAGCCTTCCTTGCCCTGCCCTGGCGAACCCAAGCGGCCTTGGGGTCGGGACTAGGGGCCGACAAAGCGTGATTGGCATAGAAGATGGAACCAGCAATCAGAAAACTCAGAGAAAACTTCATGTCGTACGTACAGGTGACCTTTCTGATACTCACGACCATATGGCCTACCTACCTCTCGACTTTATACTCATTATCGCTTGACTACTCTTATCTCTTCTATACAATCTCGATGACTTAATCAGGAGCGGTGTGCATCAATTCACTCCACAAGTCATACAGACACAGATGTCGTCCGCATGGAGCTGCTGTATTGAGGTGTTTATCAGTATGCCCGCTGCAAGACGTCGCCTATCTGCCGCCTATCTCATGAGACTTGTCTGGGGGACAGATCGTAGATAGGCCTGAGGCGGATTTTCTTTTCAGCCATCGGGCAGTGACAAGACTTTGCAATCGAAGCTGTCAGCATGGAAAGCACGAACGGAACCGTGCTTGGAAGGCGAAGACACGTCAATACAACTGTGTGTCGGTGGATGCTGATGAGATGCGCGCTGCAAACGGCATCATGTCCGGACGTCGGAGAATTATTGATATCCGAAGGCTGAGCTTCAGACAGCTGAGGCTCGAGGGAGCCGAAGCAAGAGGTGCGAACCGGTGCTGCAGCGGAAGGACTGACCTTTGCAGAAATACGAGAGCTAGAGATGGACGTCAACAAGGTGTGAGAGTGACAGGCAATCTTGGAGGCAGATTGGATGTGACGGGAGTGCTTCGAGATTGACGCTGGATAGAGCGTGTTGAGCTTGCATGGGAGCACAATCAGCATAGCACAAGCAAAGTGGGCTGCAGATTGGGGATGAGCAGGAACAGAGCGGAGCTAGTGGTAAGTGGCGCAGGTTTGTGGATAGGTGGCTTTCTTTGGCGCGGTTTTGATTCGATTCGCTGCAAGCGCAAGGGTCTGGAAGGGGGTCGAAGTCCGGGGATCGAGGAAAGCGTAAGCTCTGCGCAGCTGCCGTTTATTCCGTGCTGCGAGGCGGAAGCATGACAGGTCGCCGATGTCATATGGCAGTCGCAGCAGCGGAGGAAGGAGCGAGCAACAATGAGATTCTGATAATTGAGATTCAATCTAAATTGATGTTCGTGGCGGTAAGGATTGACAGGATTAGCAGGATTGGCAGGGCTCCTCGTTGGCGGCCCTTGTGGTTGGGTTTGCGATGCCAAATAAAGCGGGCGGAAACGAGGTGGAGGAGCCTTGAGTGCAGCTTTCGAGCAAGTGGAGCATGTCGTCGGGAGCTGCAACTCGTCGTAAATCGGCCTTGCAGATGCTGGTTTTGTTCTGGCTGAGGCGCCGCAGGTCGCCACGGAATTTTGCTTGCCCTTGTGCTCCCTTCTTCTCTCTGACCTCCTCTGTCCCTTGGTCCTACACGTCGTCGAGAGTCGCATATGCAGCTGCCCAGTCCACTCCTCTCCGTCTCTCTATCGCCATGCCACTATGGCCCTTTGGCAGGAAGAAGCGGCGTCTGAGCGCGTCGACGGCTGCAACGACAACGTCGTCCTCGCTAACTGCTCCAACTGCCCCGGCACCAACAGCCAGCGCAACCACAGCAGCAACAGCAACCGCACGCCAACAACAACCCCAGCAACAACAACAGCAGCAACACGACCAGGCGCGCCCTGCAGATGTTTCAGATGCTCCGGCACAGGCCATAGCCCGCCCGCCCAATGACAGCTCCACCCACATAATTACCCCAAACGTCCTCGAGCGTCAGGGAAGCGTGCAGCACGACTTAACGGCCCTACCTGAATTGTCCGAACTCGAGCAGAGCCCGCATCTGAGGCCTGCTAATGTCATCAAACCCGTCCACCCCTACACCCTCGACCGCCCGTCGTCTGCTCGTCCTTGCACCCCATCCGCCACGCATCCCGCGCCTTCTGACAAGCAAGCCCCATTTCGCCGTCCCTCTAACAAGCGGAAAAAGGACCAGGCCCTGCGCGAGGAAGAGATCCGTCAAATGAGCGCCCCCATGCAGATTCCGAAGAGACCTGCCGCCAACTCCGGCCATGACCTGCTCCGCCGCGACAGCAAANAGGCTCGTCGGACCCTGACCAAACGCCCCGACGATTCACGTTCTTCCAATGTCTCCCTACCCCTGCCGGAATCAATTCACTTCAACAGGTCGCACTTGTCAGAGCAGCGTGCTTGGGAGATTGGTGCCATGTCTATCCTCAGTCCACGTCCGACCGTTCGCGTCTCGGGCACTTACACAAATCCTCCCTCGCCCTTTGGGAAGCGTCCAGAGAAGATGGGCAAGCTGCCCGAACTCGCTCGTGCATCGAGTGGGAGAAAGGATCGAAGAAAAGTTGCCGACCTTGCCGACGACCTCAATTCTACCGAGCTGCGCATTCTCATGGAACGCGATCAACGAAGAAAAGAACAAAAGGCCCTGGAGCAACATGAGCGTCTCGATCGCAAGTTGCGCAGGAGGGCAGAGAAACAGCGCGAGGAAGACGAACGTAGAGCTCGTGACGCCCGCCTGAATGCAACTCCGCCTACAGCCATCCACCCTGCCTTCCGCGAACAGCAGCCTGATGCTGAACTCATTACACCTACTTCGCTCAGGAAGCAGGGCAAACAGCCGATCCCTGAGATGCAGGAGTCCNCCACCAAGGGTGGTACTTATCTACGTTACCCACCAGGCGAAGACATACCCCAGAACCCATTTGCAGACCCAGAGCCCGACAACCCTTTCACCGCGCAGGGCGCCGAATATTCTCCCGTCCAGACTCCACTCGACGAGCCAATCTTGCAAACCGCCAGAGCCGTCAGGCTGTCGGCCGGTCACCTGTCTCCACCTGCTTCTCCAGTACCCGTTGTTCAGCGCGAAATCCAGCCGTCTCCCAGCTTGCCTGAAGTTTCTTACCCACAGTCGCAGAGGACCTCTAGCCATCCTGCCAGTTCCTTCGAATCGAGCCGACGCAGACCCTCTGAGAGCGGCAGTCGGCGTGTAGGGCCTAGTGCCTGGACCAATATCTTCCGCCGAGGTCTTGGTTCAAGCCGCACATCAGAAGACAAGCCTCCATCCGAATTCTCCTTTGTCAATACTTCTAGGGAGTCCATGTCTAAGCAGCCCATACCAGCTCACCTGGTAGGACCGCCCTCGTCGCGTCAATCTGGCGCGCCCACCCGTACGCAAAGCAAGTTCCGTGAGGATCTCCCTGAACTGCCGATCTCTCCACCATCCTCTCGTGTCCAGTCGCCTGAGTTGAGCGTGATTACAGCCGGGGTGTTGGCTGCAAGACGTACTAAGCGTGTCGCTGACACGCAGACGAAGACGAAGACTGTAGACCAGTCTGGTCTGGTTAGAAACGACTCGCCCGCCATTGTTGAAGATGAGGAGTCAACAGTACTGTCTCAATCATACGGATCCGTTGACTCAGAAGGCAGCTGGATCAGTGGACGTCTGATCAAACGCACGTCTCACACTTCGCATCCTCACAGTAGCTTGAGCTCCCTTAAGAAGGCAAAGCCCGAGTTTACTGCAAGTTTCGACCGGCTGCCCGTTCCAGAACATGAATATTTTGCTGCCTTGACACCAGACAACGGCAGCCGTCGCGTATCAGCTGAACACGCAATTGCAACACCAACAGCAGAACCGTCCCCTGAAGTGGCCGCGCCACTCAGGCAAGCCACAGCACGCCGTATACCGACAGTAGTACACAACGATCCTCGCTTTAAATCTCGCGAAGGACTTCTCACAGAATATCAAGCAGGAGAGCCAGTAACGCCGTCTCGCGAAGGCAGTCTGAGTGGCGATTCGGCTGGAAACTCGCCTGTAGAATTGCACAAGGCGCAAAGTGTCAACTATGGTCAGATGCATGGCCACGGAAAATCGCTCAGCGCAGGCAGTGCTAGGATGTTTGATATCACGCCGAAACGAAGTAAGAGTGCTGCAACGCTTCTCACAGGAGCGAGTCCTCGGTCCTCGCCAAGGATTCCACAAGAATAAGGGAGCTTCCTCAACGACCGTCGTTTAGACCATCTCATTTGTTTTTTGGGCGCCAGATGATGACACATGGCATGAAGTTGAGTTGTTTATTGCAATTTCGTTTTTATGACTCCGATTCACAGATGGAGATGTTTTTTGATACCCTATTTGAATTGCTGGCATGGATTGAAGAGCAGTGTATTGGCTCTATGCATGGGTTGTTTAGAAAGCGAATTTGCTGTAGCTAGGGCCATGGTGGGGTGGCTGGTAGCGAGTTGTACAGTACAAGCAGATGCTACAGAAGAGATACAGCATCAAGACAGTTACAGAAAGCGTTGTTTCTATTCAAAGGACTTGTTCTAGCAGAGGTCTTTCAGCATTTCTATGTCATGCTTCTGCCATGTCGTGGAAGGTGCAAAGATGATAAAGCACGATTAGTGAGGCTGCTCGGATACAAGCAGCAAGGTGCTAGAAGTGTCGCGATAGTGATTAGTGATGGTGGAATTGCACGATTGGGTGGTTGGTGGTTGTTAATTAGAACGGCTTGTTCCGAACCGAAGGCGGCGGAGGGCTGCTTATCAAAGCATTAGGTCGTCATTGTTCAGCTGTGGTTATTGCTTCCAGTCGAACTTGCACACCATAACAAGCTACATGTCCCTTGCCTCCAGTGCCCGCCGCAGCCTTCTTCGCACCGCAAGAAACACCTCGACCTTCACCGTCGCCAGAACTTCAACCAGACCCGCCGCTCTTTCGCACCACCTCCAGCCCGCTTTCTTCAAGCCCGCCGCAACCAGGTCTTTCACCGCTTCAATGGCTTCTTCCGGTGTCCACAATCTCCAGGCGTGAGTAGTCACTCTTTACAGCTTTGGTTCTGTCGCGGGTTGCGCATACGGCGACCCTGCAGCCGTATGCGCCCTGCGACTCGACGAAGCTTCACTATTTTTCTGCAAGGGCCGTGACTGACAGACTCCCAGCAAGGCCGACTTCGACTCGGCTCGCGCTGAGACCGGTACCCTGATGGTCGTCGACTTCTTCGCCACCTGGTGCGGTCCCTGCAAGGCCATCGCCCCTCAGGTCGTCAAGTGAGTTGCCCAACCACCCCGCTTTCGCCGCCGACAACAAACTAATCGCCTTCATCAACAGGNNATGTCCTCCACATACCCCAGCGCCCGCTTCTACAAGATCGACGTCGACGAGGTTCCCGAGGTCGCCCAGGAGCTCAGCATCCGCGCCATGCCCACCTTTGTCCTCTTCAAGGACGGCCAGGAGGTCGCTACCGTTGTTGGTGCCAACCCCACTGCCCTCGAGGCCGCCATCAAGCAGCACGTGTAAATTTGTCTTTTCCTTGTGAACTGCCATCCTTATAGCCTAATGAGAAACAAAATACACGCATGATCTTTTTTTTTACCTGCCCGATCCTTTTTCTTTCAATTTATCTTTTTGCATGCTTTGGTCAGAGGTTCGCTTTTGCGAGAGAGATTTCTTGCTCAGTTAGACACTCGGTCGTTTTGAATATCAGCTCTCTCTGCTTCTGCTTCCGAGTGTCACAGCAGTGCGTATTCGTACACGAGCAAACTACAATATACTGTGTTTCATGTTTACCTCCGAAAATAAGCAATAATTTAAGCTATAAAATCGCAATGGTTTTGGAGAGAGCCAACACGACAACCCACGATTCTCTATGGATCATGCGTTTTCCTGAGAGATGCTGTACACTTCCAAGTCTATATGTTTTGCAGACTATTACATGTCCTTGCCTTGCCTTTTGTTGTCAAGTCTGTTGCCTCGACTTGCTTTGTTGTCCTGGTCTTCAGGACGAACAGCTATCAATTACCTACGCAATCTGCAATTCACCTTGCTGCCTCCCTAGTCATTGCCGCAGGAAAGGTTGAAATGAGTGCCTTCAACCGGTACATTACATTCAATACCTCCATTTCTGAGTTCCCTCGCGCAATAGTTCAATGCCATTTTCCAACCCATCTCTGCTTGATCCATGGCATGGATACTTGGCATGTCGTCAATACCGATATCCAGGGTCTTGAGGTTTGGAAAGCTTTTGTATTCTTCGGCGAGCACTTGAAGATGTTTTGCAAATCTCTTATCCGCCATTCGCAGGTAGATGTCGTCGATTGAGGTGGGCAGTAGTGCGGTGAAAGAGGGTTCAGGATCTGAGGCTGAAGCAAANAGAAATTCCATGTTGATTTCCAGCGCCCTAAGTTTTGTGAAAGAACGGAGGTCGAAACACTCGGCCGGTGTTATGTTGTTGTGTTCAGATGAACCTCTCGATAGGTATATCTGTAGTTCCTCCAAAGTTTGAAAGCTCGGAGTGAGGCTCTTGAGAAGCGCTTGCAGGTTGCAATATGTATCCGATTGCTTCATGTAGGACGGTAGCTTGATGCGAAGAGATCTTAGACTTCCGCAGGACTCGACGATGGATCGCAGATAGATATCAGAAATTGTGCATTCTTTGAGTGTTAGATTGCGAATGTGTTGTAGCGGTAGACGGAATGGTGTTGCAAACGCGAAAGGCGTTACGTCGCCCTCAATGCAGAGAGACTCGAGGGATGGTATGCATGCAATGTTCTTCAGAAAGTTCATATCCATAGATGGAGTCCCCTCCCCAACGGCAAGAGTCAATGTGCGCAGCCGAGAAAAGAATGGCAGCTTGGAGGAAGAGGGCGACTGCAGAACTTTGAAGACCGTGATCCGTTCACCATTCTCGACTTGTGTGTCTTCTTTCCATGAGTACGCCTCCACCACATCATGGCAAAGCATTTGCACGAACAGCCCAGTATTTCTCTCCGAAGCATACATATCGAGGCTTCCAAGGTTAGGAAGTAGTGTCAGCAACAGAACGACCTCTGCACCTTGGTAAGTTCCAATCCTACGCAGACGACGTTTCCAATCATCTTGCCATACACAGGTACGACGCCAGTGAGCCTTATCGAGCGGCAAAGACGCATAGATGGACAGAAGCTTTTCGCTGGCTTTGACAAACAGCTCGCCAAAGGGACAATACCACTTGGCATCCGGGTGATCCAGACAGTCTGCCAGCTTCAAGTACTCTACCTTGACGGCCAGATCTGGTCTGCGAATTAAGGTCCGCAGAAACAGCTGGAGCCTCGTGCACTCATCTGCTTCGCCGCTTCTGCGTCGATTACAATCTTCCTCATCCTCGATGTACGCTCGGTATAGCAGCGGTTCAGCGAATGTGCGGAGGAATCTGGAAGTCCGACAAATGGTTGCAAGCAATATGGATGTTTGTCTGTAGTCCTCAAACTCCTTCTTGTGCGTGAAACCGGTCAGATCTGGTAGACACTGTAGGATGTACAGATATATCTCATCTGGTAACTGAACCATTTCTGATGGATATGTCGGTTTCTGGTTGATGTCGGATAGAGAGCGTGTGGTCGGAAGGCGACGAAGCTGTTGGCTTCACATCACATCCACGTGATATCTACTCGTATGCATCTGACTTACTCAACATTGCAGCTCAGCATGACTCTTGGGTACTCTCAGGAGATGTCCAGATAGCCCAGGGTGCAACATGAATCCATTTACGCTCATAAAGATGAGAGTTAATGAAGTTGTCAAGACACACGTGGAGCGCCGAATGAGGAAATGGCAAGCGCGGAGTGGACTGTGCCTGCCAACGTCAATCCGCAGCACAAGCACGCCATCATCGCACTTGTTCAACCAATATCGCGGCTAAACTGCAGCAACGCATAGCCGAAGTTTTCATGCAAACCAATCGTGCCTACTTTGCCTCAGGCGACTGACTCACATACTTTCCACCTCTTCTGACTGTCAAAGGAAGCCACGTCCGCCAGAAAGCCATAGCCCAATCCAGTCATAATGTCAGCTGAACTCGCCTTGGAGTCGAGACTCCCCCTTCCATCAAGTGACGCTCAGATCCCCGTCCTTGGTCTCGGAGTGTGTGTGTCTTCAAGATGTGAACAATCCGTCTTGTCTGCACTCGAGAAAGGATATCGCAGTGTCGATACTGCACAGATTTACTACAATGAGCGCGAGACCGGCACTGCCGTCAACAAATTCCTGTCCCAAAATCCTTCCGTCAAGCGTTCCGACATCTTTGTTTGCTCAAAGCTCTGGGAAGTAGACCTCTCAAGATCTGACATGCCAACCTCTTTCGACGAGTTGTGCAATGCTGGACCGTGGCCACTGAACAGTCTCGAAGCCGGCCACACCACATACTCAAAGGAAGCAGCACTCGAGGGCATCAACAAAAGTCTGAAAACCTCTGGCCTCGAATACTTCGACCTTTACCTCCTCCACAACCCTCGACCCGGTGCCGAAGCACGGCACCAAGCCTGGCTCGGACTCCAAGAGGCATTTAAATCTGGCAAGGCCAGGGCCATTGGTGTCAGCAACTGGTCTCCTAAACACATCGACGCTCTCATGGCACACTCAGATGTTGATATCCTGCCCGCTGTCAACCAAATTGAATTCCATCCTTGGAACCAACAGCGCGTTATCATCGACTACTGCCGCTCAAAGGGCATCGTTGTCACAGCTTACTCGCCCCTGACCCAAGGAAAGCGTCTTGGCGATCCTGTCATCAAGAAGATCGCCGAGAAGCATGGCAAGACTGCTGCTCAGATCGTTCTGCGTTGGTGTCTGCAAAGGGGTATCTCTATCATCCCCAAGAGTGATCGCGATGCTCGCATCTTCGAGAACTCGGACGTCTTTGGCTGGTCGCTGGATAGTGAGGATATGTCTGAAGTCGAAAAGCTGGACGAGGGACAGAAGGGAAACATTGGAGAGTGGGATCCTTTCGCTTATGAGTGAGCAAGTTTGCCCGAACATCTTCATATTGTAAATATAAAATGTAAAAACCAATTGATCACAAGTCCATCCCACAAGCCCCTAAACCAGATGGGTAACAACAAATTATATAGTGACCAAAGCATCAAGTGCTAGCAGGTCATGTCATCGGGTACTGAAACGATATCCATCAATCAGGCCGCTTGGATCACGATCATCATCGCCGTCGTTCTTACGTTAAACATCTTTACGATGTCCATATACGAAAAGGCTAGTTTTTATTTGCCAGGTAATTCGAGCTTGTATTTGCCATGAAAATATAAATTTTGTAACTGACAATCTCTAGTGTCAAATTTGTAACAATCGTTGGCCTGCTGCTTGTTGCTCTTGTTGTCGACCTACACCTAAGCAGTATCGTCTTGAAAATATAAATCACGATCATATATTAACCACGGCGAATGTGTATATCAACAAATGCCCAATCTTGCCACCACAAACATTAATACTGGAACCTGAAGTCCAGTCTCTTGTTACCATCATTTTCCCTCTCCGCCTGGTCTGACTGATAAGCCAGCTGCTCTGCCTTGCTCATCTGCGACCACTCCTTCTCCTTGCGACGGTTCATGTAGCGCAAATACTCACGCTGAACAACGAAAACGACGAGTGACAACGCACAGATGGAAACAAGAACCTTGTTACCACGGTAGTAGTAAGGTGCATCATCCTTGCGGTAGATCTGCGACGAGATAATGCTACCGATCTGCACAATAACGTTGTATGTGGCAGCTGAGATGGCGCGTTTCTTTACATCGAAGGTGTTTTCACTGAGCCAGGCCACGACGATTGGGTGGAAGTAGGGATATCCACTGATCATTGTTGAGATGGAGAAGCGGCCCCAGTTATAGCCGCCAGCGGGTAGAGCGAGGAGAGCGATGAGCAGTGGCATGATAAAGAACTCGCCGATGATGCAGTGCCATGTGCGTTCGAGGAAATAGTTGCTGCTGTATGCCAATCCAAGCATCAGGATGATTTGCAGGACAGCGGCAGGAATGGTCAGCATGTTTGAGTTGAAGGTCGAGAAACCAAGACGTTTCAAGGTCAGAGAGAGGTAGCCAGAAACGGGTGCTGCAGGGATATATGCAATAAGACCGATCAAGTACAGGCCCCATGTTGAGCTGTCTTTCCAGGTGTTGATGATGTCGCGCATGGTGGCTGGTTCTTGAATTGCTGTCAATCCTTTGGCAGGGTCGTCTCGCAGAATACGGTTCACGAGAATGGTTTCTTCACGCTCGTTGAACCATCCCTTACGCCACACCACGCTCTTCGTACGAGTAGGTGAGTGAGGCAGGTAGAAGTAGCTTACGAGACCGATGACGAAAGTCAAGAGACCTTCCAGTAGGAACAACCAGACNTGTTGGCCATTAGCTGTGTTTCACATATGATCATGAACTAACTTACACCATCCAGGACGGCCATGAATGCCGCGCATCTCCAAGATGCCGGCAGCCAGAAGAGCAGAGATGACACGGGCAATGTTGAGAGTTGACCAGAAAGCCGCCAGCCGCACCGATAGCTCGGCAGACTTGTAAAAGTAAGATGCGAAGAGGATTGTTCCTGGGATGAAACCGCCTTCGAACAAACCTATNTCAATTAATCAGCACTGTGCCCAACAAAATCCGCGTGAGATGTACGAACCGATCAACGCGCGAGTGATGTAGAAACCAGTCTTGTTGGTCATGAATGCTTGACCCCACGAGACAGTACCCCATCCCATCATCATCAAAGGCAGAATCTGCTTAAAGCCATAACGTTTGATCAAGAGTTGAACTGGGAACTCTGCTGCAAGGAAGCAGATAAGTTGCACTGTAGTACCCNNTAGAAGATATGAGTATGTGTGATTCCGAACTTCTGGAGTCTGTCTTACGTTGTTGTAGTCGTTCGTGTCTAGGCCCAGATCTGGCAAAAGGTTGTCTGTCAAGGCGTTCGAAATGTTGCCTCGATCAAGCTGCAACCCAAAGAACATCAAGCAAATCCAAGAGAGCAGATAGAAATCCACCTTCCGCACAACTCGGGCCTCTTCCTCCGAAGACCACTCTGCCAAAGGATCCCAGCGGTGTGCGCCCTCGTAAGACTCATGTGGACGAAGGTCGATATGATCTCTGCCCACTTGAGCGGTAGGCTTCAGATCTGTTTCCACAGTAGAAGCGGGATACAGAGCTGGCTTGATAGCAGAGTGATCCATGGCGGAAGCGGGAAATCACAATTGGCGACTGGAAGCGGCTGCGGCCTACCAGCAGTATCCGAGAGGATGTACACTCTTTATACCATACACTTACATCGGAATCAGACGGCCTCGGCCGGCCTAACGAGATGCCTGAGGTGAATCACGTAACTTCGTACGCGAGACGACCGGGCGGGTCCAATGCAGGAAACGGCACCTTACCACTCTAGAAAGACAATGGATTCTCGCTTCTCAGAACATTTGCAGCTGCTCGGCAGTGGGTATGAGTAGATCGTGGCGGGGTTCGTGGTTTTTGTGAGGGGAAATGGTATGGCTTGGCGCCTTGTCGTGCTCCTGCGAGCTGATGGCGACATCGACTAGTCAGGCAGGATCATCACTAACATGCTCTTTCCTCCAATAAAGAGAGTCGCATGTGTTTGGAGAAAGGAGCCTCGTGGATTGTCGCTTGTGTTGTTCGCTTCCGGCCTCGTACCAAGATGTTCTGCGGTCACACGTTGCGCTACCGGCTATTGCATACTATCCACAAGTGGAGTAGGATTACCTGTGATATTTCTTACCTATCCAGGCGGTGGTGTCCGATCGTTGAGTAGCATCCGAGGATGGATTTGCTTGTAGGTATAAAAGCTTCCCGGCTAATCTTCTTTGGCTTGCATCCATCCGTTTTTTGCAGGAACGCCTTTTGTTTAACCAACCAACAAAAGACTAACAAGAATTTACGCATAGAACATGCCTGGAAATATTATTCCAGAGGTGCTTGAAGTGCCATCACCAAGCGTGGCTCGCACCCGCCTTTCCAAGCCATTGGAATACAGCGGTCTGTTAGATCCCTACCAGAACTCGGACTTGACTCCTGTGATTGGCCGCGAATACATTGGTCTCCAAGTTGCAGATGTGCTTGCTGCAAAGGACAGTGATGCTTTGATTAGAGATATTGCTGTTACTGGTCAGTCTTACGTTCCTGCGAGCTCTGAACATACCGGATTCTGACAACCCTTGACAGTCTCTCAACGTGGTGTAGTCTTCTTACGCAATCAGGATGTTGCGCCGCAGCAAATGCAAGCGTTCATGGAACGTCTGACAACTCTTTCGGGCTGTGTAAGTATTAAACTCAGCTTCCAGGATTGCCTTGACTGACTGATATGACATCCCAGCNCCGAATCGTCTGGCCTCCATGTCCACCCCTTGACCGAAGAAGGCAGCGAGCTGGGTGACCAGATCAGTGTCATCAGCTCCGAGAAGCAGAAGAAGGGTGGCGGTCTGACTCACCAGCTCAGCGATACCACTCGCTTTGCTAGCGCCGGATGGCATTCAGATATTACCTTTGAGCCAGTGCCTTCAGATTATGCCATGCTCAAAATCCACACGCTGCCACAAACCGGTGGCGATGTAAGTAAGAATGTCTTGTTAATTTGACCGGAGCTGACGCGTGTCCCAAGANCACTTTGGGCGTCAGGCTATGAAGTCTATGATCGCCTCTCACCTGCTTTGGCTCAGTTCCTCGAGGGACTCACAGCAACCCACGAAGCCAAGTTCTTCCATGAAGAGGCTGCAAGGCTAGGCAATCCACTTCGCACAACAATTCGAGGCTCCCCTCTCAATCAAGGACCAGCATTAGAGGCCGTGCACCCCATCATCCGTACGAACCCAGTAACAGGGTGGAAGAGCGTCTACGTGAACCGTGGCTTCACGCGTCGCATCAACGGTGTGACCAAAGACGAATCCGATGTACTGCTGCAGTATCTGTTCAACGTAAGTCGCATGATACAACCATCTGCTTGTGCGTCAGCCTTACTAATCAAAACAGNNCTTGTTACGCAAAATCACGATGCGCAGGTCCGTTTCAAGTGGAACAAGAACGATCTCGCAATTTGGGACAATAGATCTACCTGGCACACAGCAACATACGATTATGAAGCTGCAAGAGCGGGTGATCGTGTCTGCTCTTTGGGCGAAAAGCCTTTCCTTGATCCTGCTTCAAGTAGCAGAAGAGACGCGTTGCGCTTTTCGTAGACACTATTAGCTCTAATACCTTCAACCCATGTAATGGCGTATCTTCCGGTGGCGTGCGATTCTTGTCGGTCTCATTTCCTCGCGACTGTTATCGCTGGGCAATTCTGTAGCTGTGGGACAGCGAGAGAATAGAGCTGCGGTATGTCATCTCAAGTACCTTTCGGTGAGTATACGATGCCGATGCAGACTCGTGGACCATTTACAACGATAAATGCTCGTGCCAAGCTCGAAATTTTTGCGGCAAAGTTTGGATTTGTCGGCAAAGCTGTTTGACCTGATTTCCGCATGGTTTTCCGTTCCACTTTTCCGTCGGGTTTGCCGCGGGCCTCGGAAAACTTGGAGCAGAAACCCATTCACGCGCCCTGCGGATGACAAGTGAGTCAGCTTTTTCGCTCATCAGATCAGAGTATATGATTACTCAATTTCAGTGCGCTCTGGACATCAAATTCGGATCAGGTCAAAGGATTCTCATCTCTACTGAATCTCTCCATGAATCGCCAACAATCCTCGACTAATGGACTCTCAGGACTACCAACCAGCAGGCTATAGATGCATGCAGCATCGGCTGCAAAACTACTTACACGAGGACCGATACTCAAGGACAAGCAAAGACGCTCTACGTAAATCAGATCGCAGAGGCCAACCACCAGGGACCGGAACATTTGCATGAAGGACGTAAAGCGTTATTATTTTATTATCTACAACAAGAAAGTGAAGGGATGTCTTTTCATCAACAACATGACTCGACCGACGCGTTTAAGCAATCCAGAACCAGATCTTCTCGATGATGTTTCTGGGCTTCTGCTCTGGCCAAATTTCAGCATCCATGGCGGCCTTGCCAGACCAGATGTCTGCCTGAGCAGGCTTGACAAAGGGCTCGCGCTTGAACACCTTCCAGAAGAGGTAGAGGACGATGTAAATGGGGATACCAATGTAAGCAGTGATGAAGTCATCGATGGTCCAGTTGCCCTTGGTGAAGACTGCGAAGCCGTTGAACAACAGAATCATGCAGAAGTAGGCCAAAGAGATGTATGCAGTCCAAGGCTGCCACTTGCTCTTCATAACGAGGCTGTTGCGGTCAACACCTTGAGCGATCAGTGCCTTGCGGAACTGAATATATGCGATCAAGATGTTGATCCAGGTGATGAGGTTGGCAATGGAGCACAGGTTCTGGAACCAGTTGAAGACGGTGCTGGCACCGGAACTGATGCTCATGTAGGTGAGGAGCGAGATCGAAGCGGTGACAAGGACGGCGTAGTAAGGAACGCCGCTCTTGGAACACTTGAGGAAGACCTTGGGTGCTTGGCCGTTCTGAGCCAGAGCGAAGAGGTAACGAGAGCCGCTGAACAAGAAAGCGTTGGCTGACGATGAGGCAGAGGTCAAGATGACAGCGTTAATGATCGAAGGCAGTGCGGGGATACCAGCAGACTGGATAGCGATGACCCAAGGAGAGGACTTTGCTCCGACACCACCAGCGGTAAGCAAGGGGTTGTTCGACTTGACAGTAACACCGATGGCAAGAGATCCAAGAACGTAGAAGAACAGAATACGCCAGAAGACACGACGAACGGCCTTGGGGATGTTCTTTCTCGGGTTCTCGGCCTCACCAGCTGCAACGGCGACCATCTCAACACCACCGTATGAGAAGGTGGCATTGATCAGGGTAGCGAATAGACCAAGGAAGCGACCCGTGTCACCCTTGCCAATGTACTCCTTCATACCACCAGCATCAGGGACGACCCAGTAGCGGAAACCAAGACGACCCTGCTTAGGGGCACCACCAAGGTCGATGACAAGGGCAACAAGCAGCAGGCCAACGATTGTTACAATCTTCACGGAGGCGAAAATGAATTCTGCCTCACCATAAATAGAGACGGCGAAGATGTTCAAAGCGAGAACGACAACGATGATAATGGTGATCCAAGCGGCTTGGTTGATGGTGTCGTTCCAGTACCCGATGACAACGGCGGCAGCCGAAATCTCAGCACACAGAGTAATTGCGGAGTTGTACCAGTTATTCCAACCAACAGCGAAGCCCATAGCAGGATCGCAATAGCGAGCACAATACTGAGGAATGGCACCGGGCAAGGGCAACCAAGTCGCCATCTCACCAAGACACTGCATCATGCCCCAAATGGCAATACCAGTGAAAGTGTAACCGAGCAGGACAGAGAGTGGACCCGAGTGAGCAAAGGCCTTGCCGATACCCAGGAACAATCCAGTACCAATGGTGCCACCGAGGGCAATGAACTGGATGTGACGCGACTTGAGACCGCGAGAGACGTAACCAAGCTGCTCGGCAGTTTCGATGTCTCCATAGAGGTCAGCAGCCTCGCCAACCGCTGTTGAGCCACGGCGAGGTGCCTTCTCGTCAGAGTGGGCATCGCCGGAGTCGACGATGTATGAGGGCTTCTCAGAAGACATTGTGCTTTTTGATCTTCCTGATAACGAATGAAGAGAGGTAGGTGAGAAGTAGGTGAAGAGGGAGAGTCAGTGCTCTCAGAGTCCCTTATAGGTAACGAAGGACGAGGAAATGCAACAGTCGCTGATGAGAATCAGGGGCGCTATCGAGGGGTGTGAGCATGGTCTTATATGGTAGGTGGCAGGTGGGTGGCACACATACACGCTCGCGTGCTCCGTGTGCCTCGACATGTTCCTCTCGAGGCAATCCCCAAAGTCTACCGGCCTGGGCCTCGACCCAAACTCAAAACATTCTAGCTGCGTTTTAGCGGCAACAAGACTGATAGTGGCACTGCCGACAGACCACTCAGAACGCGTCGATCAATCTTTGCTTATTGTTGGTATCAGGGCCTTGTCTCGACGACTGGAAATTGGCCTATCGTCGCATACATGGCCCAGCAAGATTCTGGTTATGCTTCAATCACAATGTCACCCTTGCCACAAGGAGGAAAATTCTGGAAACCCGCCCAGGTACACCCTTATCGGAACATCTCGAGCTTCGCGCAGACATTCGATCATCCAGACCTAGCGATGCGGCGATGATCTTCCCAGCGCGAGGGTTCTGGACATGGTTCCTATTGTGGAGCCCATCTAGGAGATCAGGTCGACCCCATCTGAGCGTCCACGAGGGATCCCCGGATAACGAGCAATCCATTACTCTCTTATTTCACAATTCGAAGGGGTAATGGAAACACGCCTTCGTGGCTCGTGCTGTCACACCATATTCCAATTGCCCAATATCGTAGTCCCCGAGAAAAGAGGTATCTAGCGGAAGACGTTGTTCGCTTTTACTTTTTGGTTCTTCACGTGCTTTTTCGAGAGTTTATCGACCGTGGCATGCGCCACAAGCAAATTGAAGCTCGCTTGGCTGGCCAATTGTGTTTGCGACGCCAGTGTTGAAATTATATCTGGTCTTCCCTAATCGAATCTTCAACGGCACAGGCTATCTTGAATATAGAACGATAACTACGACAGAACACTGGGCCACTCCACTGAACCACGCAGTACCCATGTAAAAGCCGTACTAAAGGTACACAGATCGGTAGCCGTTTGAGAGATTCAGAGAAACACTTGAGCGTAGACTTGTTCTTATCGTCCTCCGAGTCGGCCCGGCACCATTGCAACAGGATAAGGTCACACTCCCTAGAATGGGGCAATAATTGACGAAGAGAGTGCCACCGTGTCGGGTATCATGAAATCGATTTTCTCTATCTTGGAGCCAAGACGATTGCGACCAACCTGTAAGTATGCGACAAACGTCGACTGAAGCATAGCGATAAGAGCGCAATTAATGGCAGTCCACTGTATCCGTCTTTCTCAACACAGCTATTTCATACGTCCTACTTCTACATCTCGCACCGTGTCAACTGGTCAAAAGGTCATCCTCATCTTCTTAACATCCCTACCTCGACTATGCGATTGCCGACAATGTGATGTCGTAGGTGATTAGCTAGCGACCCCAGAGACCGAGGTGTCGTCAAAACTCAATGTTAAACCCCGCTTGAGTGACACATAAAATCTCCCATATACGATACTCTGACACATCTGATTCTTCTCTCCTCAGTCCCCCATTTCCCCCATGGGGACCGCATCGGCAGCCATCGGCAGGATCAACAAGCGGGTCTTGTCGTTGCAAGATACGATCGACGAGGAGTCGAGAACGGAGGACTGCCGACGTCGACAGACTGTACAACCTGGTTCTACCTACGTGGTATACAGCGTGCTCTCATCTGCGAGACACGCGCACGCCGTGTGAACATCTTGTGGCGATTGGCCACGCGCATTGACAACGACGTCCTCCGACACCGGAATGCAAGACGCTGCCGAGAACAGAAAAAACCGGCGGAAAGCCGAAGTCCGCCATAGCTCTTTCGATCCGTAACGACAAAGCCATGTTGTCTGACGCCAACCCAATATCCGAGAATGGCTGTATCACGAAGAACCAGGTCAAATCCAAAACCTCATGATCAAAGGTGCGAGAGGACGCGTCACACGACTCTCCCGCAGCAAAATGCCATAAAGGTCGTTACAAAAAGAGTTGGTACAAAATAAGACAACGATGGCTGCTCTAGCTAAAGAGGCATGAAAAGCCACTTCAAAGCAATCACCTTGCGGAGAATACTCGGTTTGCAGTGCATGGGTGGTTGGCAACTGGCAGACCGGCGCGTCCACGCTTGCGACCAGGACCATACTGCTGGGGTTCGAAATTCATCGAAGTAAATTTCTGGCAGGGCATTGGTCGTGGCGCGAGAATTGAACACAGTCGTTGTTAAACTGGACTAAGTCTTGTGATTGGTGGTTGCATGGTTGTGCGATTTGCTGCAGTGACGACAACCAACGCTCTTTCCTCAGGCGAAAAGGCGGTAGACGAATCTCCAAAGCTTCATCGATGTAATTTCTGTTCCCCATCTACCACGCGTCTGCCACTTTTCATCGCTCCTATCTTCATTCTTTCAACTGCTTCACTGTTTCATCATGAGTGGCACCACCGGAGGAACCGTGACCATGACTGCGACTCATCTCGATGGAGCACCTGTACCTCCTCCGCCAATCACACAGAAGCTGTTCATCGAACTCCATCCTACCGTCATCGAGAAAGACAATTCTATCCATTCCGAGCATGGTGTTATCCACTACCCATTCTGGTTCGGAGGATTGGCAAGCTGCGTGTCCAATATCTGCACACAGCCTCTGGGAGTTGGTAAACACCCTTGTATCGACTCATGAGCTTGACAGAAGCTGACACAATCCGCAGCGGGTGTAAGACCTTNNGCATCGTGCAGTGTCGCATAGTCTCCGCTTACACGTTCTAGCTCCGCTTGCAGACACTCCATCACGACGCTCCCCAGCTTGGCATGATCCGAATCTGGCATCAAGTGTGGATGCATGAGCGTTTCTTCGGGCTCTAGAAGGGCGTGAGTTGACTCTTGCTGTTGGTCATAACTGTTTACTGACCTGATATAGTTGAGTGCATCGCTCACACGAACGTTCTTCTACTCGGGCGTGCGTTTCGGCATGTACGAGAAGCTCAAGGAGCTGGGAAGCACTTCCACTCATGCTCCCTCCGGCCTCACCCTTGCCCTCATGGCTGCATCTTCGGGCTTCACCGGCAGCGTGTGCAGCAACTTCGCCGACGTCGTTTGTCTCCGCATGCAGGCTGATCCAGGCTTACCATCTGAATTGCGTCGCAATTACAAGAATATCGCCGACGGTGTGCAAAAGATGGTGCGTGCCGAAGGCTGGAACAGCATCTGGACTGGTGTTTGGCTTGGAGCAGGCAGGGCAGCTATCGCCACAGCAACTCAACTGGCTGGATACGATGTCATCAAACGTGAATTGATGAAACGAACCTCGATGGGCGACAACGTTCCTACCCATATCACCGCCAGTTGCTTGGCAGGCTTCTTGTCCACCTTCATCTGCAGCCCCCTCGATGTCTTCAAAGCTCGCTTCATGACTCGCAAATCTTCAGCTCACAGTATGGCCGTCATGCTTGAGCGTACATTCAAGAATGAAGGTGCTGCTTGGATGTTCAAAGGCCTGACACCTGCTTTGATCAGCAGAGCACCTTCCACCATCATCACTTTTGTCACTCTTGAGCAGCTGAGGAAAGTCTATCGTCACATGCATGGTTTGCAGGAGTAGATATACACTATGCGGTCCTTGACTCGGGCGTTATCCTGAGTTGGTTATAAAAGCTATCCTGTTGAACCTATTTCTCTCTGAATACATGGTCCTTGTCATAGAACTCGTTCAACAGTCGGCCCTTGTCAACTAAACGTACTCTCTTTTCGATCGACTATTGATGGTAATGATTAGGCAACGGCTTAGTGAAATGACAATTGAAGATGCGTTTACTTGTAGGATTTTGATTCGATGCGGAGCAATCGAAACAAAATCAAATCTTGATTTTCCCCCATGTCTACAACTGTTGAAACTATGTTGCATTCTCCCATCCTCAATGACCATACTCCTTCAAAAATGTGCGAGATTGCGCACCAAATAGTGCACCGTCATGATTGCCATATCATCTCACAGCTGATGAATCAATCTGAATCTGCTCCTCCTCGCAGCTATAACAGATCTTTGAAGATTGTCTCTAGAAGCGACTCCGCAAAATTGTGGGGGCACCATGCTGAAGATTAGCAGGGAGATTGTTGTACTCATTGGAACCCGTGATTTGCAGAGGATATGGTGCTGCCGGATCAGGAAGTACTGTTCGAGTGGCGCGCATTGGATAACGTGTAGCTGGGATATTGTTCCTCCAGATCTTCGTGCCGTTGCATGCGAGGCAGAATGTGGCTTGAGGTGCAGCGGCGATGATATCTCGATAGACATCTCTGCCACAGCGGCAGGAGATGGTAAAGTCATAGGCGCTTCTGACAGTTTCCCAGGCATTTGAAACGAGTCTGCGCTGGCCACTGGCTGAATGGCCTATGCTGTGGAGCCACTGCTTGTTGTGATCGGCTGCGTACATGCGGTCATCCAGAGCTCCTTGGAGGCACTCGNNTAACTATTGGTTTCCAATCAGTCTCTCTCACACACACATGTGCTCGCTAGAGGTCATTTACCAGTAGTGTGGATGAGTGATGTACTTCTTCAGACAAATACAGGTGTTTGTATGTCCATCAGCGACCCATTGAGCCTTGCCTGCTAATACGGCATTCGAATAGGCTGGATCAACTTCACAGCGTCTCCATTGTGCGATCTCTTTCTTCGTGCAAGTAGTGCAGAGCAGTGCCTGAGTGACTTCGATATTGATGGGAAAACCTCGCACTAGGGCATGGTTACGTAGATCCCATCTAAGCACGCCGCCATGTGGCACTTGATGGTAAATGAGTCCGTTCAGTATGTCTTCAGCACGGCGTCTAAAGTCAAATCCTGCAGGCGGAGGTTGGTTGAGGGTATCTTGCCAACAGTCTAGACACACTGTTCGAGGGTCGTGATCGGGGAGCGCAGCATCTGCACGGCCTGTTGGTTCGTGATCGCATACCATCCAGCCTGGTTCGTGGCCGACATCAGGTGGGCATGGAGGCCTGCCTGGCCAGAAATGATTGCGATGATCGCACCATTGGGCTGCCATTGCTGTTCTTATTCAGAAGATTTGTCGAGGGTGACATGGCTTTTGATGTTTGGTTCCCATAACTCGGACTTCATCTTGGTGATATGGATTCGAGTTTGTCGAGAACAAAGGGTGCTCCTCCGGATCCGGCACTCTGAACAGTAATTGCACACAAAGAAGATGGCTGTCGAACTCACTCAGAGAACCGCAAAGGAAACGTTCTAGCTCAGCAGTGCCTAAGCAAAATCTTTGAATAGTATAGCAGCTGCGTCCCTGTGTGTGGAATCGAGAATGGTAGATGTCTGGTCGCTAAGGCCGCTCCCATTTTCAGGTCGATGAACGGCCACCAAGCAGGTTCATGAAAAGTTCTAACCAGCGCAATGACCAACTACTCTCGAATTGAGAGCTCTGCCTCTTTTTCGTCTCTTTTTGAGCCTTCACTATGATCGAAGAGAAAGCGAAATGGTGGAGACCAACACAGATTTTACAGTCTGCAATAAGCTTACCCAAAAGAACGAGGAGCGAAATAGTACTGATGATCCGTCCGTGACTGACGTCGAACTCCGATACTGGAAGATGCGCCACATAGTCCTTCGAGCAGAATCGTTAGAAACATGGTAGTGAAGATGTGCGGCGCGTGCCACAATCCATCTTCGATGGTAAGCCTTTGGTGTAGCCACAACTCATAGAGTGTGTTGTCATCGCATCGGTCGCATTTTGATCTGAGTCCCAGCTTGAGACAAATCATCCCCGAACGGTGCATACCGGAGTAGGATGAAGGAAGAAGGTAGGACGGAGAAGGTGAAGTTCACGCGTCAGCCACCTCCCAGCCACGCGACCTGGAGCGACCGTGCACGGTCGGTTGGTCGCGACAGCTTTCTCTTTGGACGATGCCGCACTTCAACCTCCATACATGACTACTGGCTTGTCTCGATTTGCCTGCAATGTCGACAAGTCTTGGCGTCAGCGAGACGAACTGCAATGAATGCCGCCGCAGGAAAGGAAAGTGTGATCGCGTGTTGCCAGAATGCACTTCGTGTTCCCGTAACCGACGTCACTGTCTGTATGAGAAGGCCGCTGGTCGGACGCCATTGACGAGAAAGAATCTCACGGAGGCCGAAGAAAAACTACGGCGTGCTGAGATGAGGGCCAGAGTGGCTGAGCGTAGAGCTATCGCAGCTGAGGAAAAACTGGCTTCTCTTATGCGTACAAGTAGTGCTGGTAACATGTCTGAACATCCACCCATGCAGACCAATGGCCCTGCAAGCTATATGCCACTCGTTGAACCAGGTATATGCTTAGGCTCAGAGGCTTCTGGGTACCCCGATATGCTGGAGCAACATGTCCTCACCTTGGATGACGATTACCAACCGGACGATGGCTGCAGTGGCCTGCCAGAAGAACCGCCTTCGGAAATTGATGATTTCAGCTGGGATGAGATCACTCGTGTCACCACAAATCATCATGAGGACGACCAGCACGAGACTACGACACATATCAAAGACGAAGAGGTTGTGGATGGCATGGCTTCACTAACTGTTGAAGAGAGAGGAGCCGGGTATCTCGGAACGGCGTCTGGCGCTGCGATGCTGCGTCTGCTAATGCCTGATGTGGAACCGCGAAATGCTGCTAGACAACGACGAAAGACCAACACAGATGAGCCCGTTGTACACGACAACAAAGATCTGGCCTACGAAGAGCTCGGTCTAGCTGACATTGATCTTGACTCCGCCATTGACGCATACTTTGCATCTTATCATCTACAATATCCTATGGTCCACGGACCCACGTTCAGGGCACAGTATTCTTCAATTATCCCTCGTCCGAACGGGGTGGCTTTTGAGGCACTGGTTTATATGCTAGGTGCTATCGGCCTTTTCTCGACAGCGACAACAACAAATGAGAAGAGCAACGACGATCTCAAGTTGTTTGAGGCTGCAAAGCTGAATATCAAGATTGATGTGCTAGAGAAAGGCAATGTCACTCTCTTACAGGTATTGGTCCTGATGTCTAATTATCTACAGAAAAGAGGGAAACCAAACAGGTATGTGATGGTGATCTGAATGCTTGTTCATCCACATACTTTTACTGACTTACAGTNNAGTGGATACAACTATCTTGGCCTCGCTTTACATATGGCCATGGGTCTCGGCCTACACAAGGAGTTTGCGAACTGGAAACTACCCCCATTAGCCATCGAAAATAGGCGGCGCATATGGTGGACGCTATACAATTTATTCGCAGGCGCGCTAGTGACTTTTGGTCGACCGTGGTCTTGGCCAGACAAAGGCATTGAAATCTCCTTGCCTTTAAACATTCAAGATCGAGATGTCACTAACGTCACCAAGTCATGGCCTGAGAGTCGACAGGCTATTACAACCTACACTTTCATGCTCGCTCAAGCCAAATTTCATCAGGCGACTGCTGGAATATACACACGGGTCATTTCTATGCCTTATCCATCTGCTTCTGAACTCTTGAGTCTTGATGAAGAATTACTAGGCAGTTGGCTTCATAACCTAGGTCCGTGGTATGTCGAACATGCTCAGGTGCCTGCTAAGTTTGCACTTGGACATCACATCATGCACAACAGAGCACGAAACTTTCGAATCATCATGTACCGTCCGTTCGTGATTCGCAGTGTACTGAGCTCAGCCAAGGGATTGGACGGATTGGGCCCATCTCCCACTGAACAGGCTGCGATCGATCGCTGCCTCCATGAAGCAAAGACAACTATCTCTTCAATCCGCACATGTTGGTCTACTGGAGTTCAGAACAGATTGGCGGCTTGGTATTCTCTGTAGGTTTTAAAACTTTCCTTGGTCAGACTCGAACTAACGATGCTTAGCTATTTCATCTTCCAAGCTTCTTTGATACCATGCTTGTGTCTACGCAACCAACCAAACGCTCCACTAGCCTCGGACTGGCGTTCACAGATACAGCAGACTCTTTCTGTAATGACCGAGATGAACGGGATCAATCCGAGTAGCATCGAATGCCAGTCTGTGATCATGCGCCTTTGCGGTCAATTCCTCGACACGACGGCTTCCGCGTCAGTCACTAGCTCCGTTCCTCTGGTAGCCACCGAAGAGAGCCCTCAGACTCAGATCAACAATGTTTACTCCATGATGTGGCCGAACACTAGTCCTGCAAGCACAGATCTGCTCATGAGCGATCCACAATGGGCACTTGTCATGAATCAGGGACACTTTGATCCCGAATCAGTACCACAGACTTGGGACTGGACTTAAAGACTCGAATACGTCTCTATAATCTGGACTACAAAGCTGTCCAGAAGAGACTGCGTCAGACTCGCTCGATTTTCTCGGTGGCCTCGACCTCAAAGCCTTTCTTGACCTCCTTCTCGCTCTCCTCCACATTTCTTGCCACCTGTGGACCATCGAAGATCTGCACAATCTCTTCCAGTGAATGCCCCTTGGTTTCTGGAAATGTGAAGTAAGTGACCGCAAGAATTACAACAAGGAAACAACAGAAGACGATGTAGAACTTCCACCCAAGATTCTCGAGACCTATCGGGTTGGTGAAGGCAGCGATGACGAGGGATACATAGATCGACAGGAGTTCGCAGGTCAATCCCTTGCTACGCAAGCTGTAAGGGAAAATCTCGGTCNNTGAGGGGTCTTGTTAGCATATCTTTTGTTTAGAGAGGTGCTCTGGCTCTCAACTCACTGGATACGACATCAAAAGAGGCGTAAAGGCGATATCATAATGGTAGTAGNNCTGGTCCTTGTCAGTCAAGATATTCTTCCCACATATGATATAAAATGCTTACAAGGTAAACAGACACACAATCACGACAATACCTGCCGGCTTGCTTCCGTCGATGCTGTTGACTGCTGAGCATGCAGTCCATACGATGTAGGAGATCAACATCCCGATGCACGACCAGATGAACAAGGTTCGGCGTCCGAGGCGGTCGACAAGGAAGGCTGCAGAAAGGGCGGCTCCGAAGTTGAACAGTTGTAGCAAACCATTGAGAAGCGTTTGCGTATAGGAATCTGTGATGCCAACGCTGTCGAGTACGAGCGTAAGGTAGTACGAGACAACACCGATACCATTCCATTGAGCAGCAGCGCCCAAAAACACGGCGATGAACAGCCGTTTGCGATTGCCAGGNGTCTCAACCAATGCTCCCCAGCCTGGTGTCTCGATCTCTTTCTCCATTCGGATGGCATCCACGATCTCGCTCATCTCGCGGATGACCAGCGGACTGTTGACGTCTCCGCCGGCATGGTACTTTGCGAGAATTGCCATGGCTTCTGGGACGCGATCTTGTGCAACTAACCATCGAGGAGACTCAGGGACCCAGATCCAGAAAGCTGCTTGGATCAGCGGATATGCTGCTTGCATGATGGTTGGAATACGCCAAGCCCAGCTGCTCTGAATACTTTCGCAACCAAAGCATGTCCAACTGGCCAGAATTGCTCCGAGATAGTACATTGTCCAGAAGGCGCTTGTGTACTTGCCTCGATGGGTGGGATAGGCGAGTTCTGCGATCAGCATCGGTGCTGGTTGTACGACAAGCATTCCCGCGGCACCGACTATCAATCGAGAAACAACAAGTTGAGCCAATGTTGTTGAGGTAGCTTGGATGATTGTTGCCAATACAACACCAATGATTCCAGCGAGGAGGACTAGTCTTCTGCCCCAGCGGTCGCTTGCCCAGCCGACGACTGGCAAGATGACGACTGAGCCAATGGACTGGGCGGCGTTCACCAATCCAAGTTTGGTTCCTACTGGGTTGCCAAAGTAGTCGCGCCATTGTGGGAGGGATTGGAGACCGTTCATCAATGATCCTNNTGGATCTGTTAGCCAGCGATACAGGAGATTGCAGTGGAGCTGAAGTCTCTCACCATCGTATCCCGCAACTGAAGATGAGAGTAAAGGTACGAGGAGAAGGAGGTTCAATTGGAGTAGATGCTTCTGCTGGAACCAGTACTTGTTGGTTTGAGGCAAGACTTCAGCCAGCGACTGGCCAACGATGTCTGCGTCCTTCATTATGTTGTCGAGTATGGAGCGGTGATTGGATTGCTTTGCTTGCACTCCACCATTGAGAGGAGATATCTTCTACTTATAATGATCCGCGCCGCTCTATCGTCTCTATAAGGTAGTCCGCTGCCGTCTTCCCCATCCCGCACGCTAACCCGCACGGCTTGAGGAAAGTGGAGCCTCTGAGGTGATCAACCCCACGGAGACCCCGCAAGCAGGCCACTGACGCACAACACCACACGTGAACCGGTGGACAGTCTCCCTCTGTCTTTCCTGCGTGATGCATGACTCGCATGCTTCTCTATGTTGACCGGGAAGCCACCACCTCGCAGTTTGGAAACTCTACTATACTGCAGGTGGTGAGTCGCGCCTACCCATCCCTTGATACTTACGATACTAGGGTTCCGATCTCATGTCAACAGCCTTTGGCACCACATTCATCGATACTCCCTTGGTGTGTAGATTTCGACGACCCATTGCGACTCTATCAAACAACGCGGTCAAGAGTGACTGCTGTATACCCTTGCCAAGTCTATGCATACAATGTATCAACGGTACGACGCCACGATCCTTCAAACCTGATTGAGATCCAATATATCTAGAGCTACGGGTGAGACCGGGCTGTACAATCTTGCACATGTCGGAGATTCGACTTACATGTTTTGCTACGAGCAGGAAAGAACACCGATCCCGTCACAACAAGGGCCAACATGGATACCTTCCAGCTCTGAGCCTTGAGCCTATCAATCGATATCACGTTCAGGTAGACTGTGACCTTTGCGGTGTACAGTTACAATGTTTGTGTATAGTGTTGGACTGCCGCCTCCCCTTGTGCAAAAGACTATCACAACCTCACTATTGACGGGTCTCTCATTTACGAATACAGGAAGCGCCGTTGTAGCCTGTAGAAATGCACAGTCGCTTTGTAAACAGAAGTGTGACTATGCTCGAACATGAAGTTCTCTCTGTGGATCGCGCTCTTTTATGAAAGGTATAGTGTATTTCTATAGCTACCTTGGGATAGTGTTGAGCACATGTGGAGCATAAGAAGAGAGTCTGAGTGACAACTACCAAACAGGTATCGTGCGATATAAACATACTGATGGTGTTTCCTTCCGATTTTTAGTCCTGGACACCTTCAATTATGACCTTGAGAACGTCTTCNCTACCAGCTTTGACGAGTTCAAAGGCTCGCTCTGCCTCCTCAAACTTGAATCTGTTGGTGATCAATCTCTTGACGTCGATTTTTCCAGAGCCCACTAGCTCGACTGCATCTGGATAGCAGCCTTTGGTGTATCTTATAGAGCCCCGGATGTTGAGCGCTCTAATACAAGCGGTTGTGATGGGAAAGAGTACGTTTTCCTTACCCATGCCAGCCTGGACGTAGGTGCCGCCTTTCTTTGCGGCAAAGACACCGGCTTGAATGCATGGCTCGGCTCCAGTACATTCTAGAACCACCTCGGCTCCTTCGCCGAGATCAAACTCCTTCCTGATCATGGCCGCGACCTTCTCGGAGTGTTCCATAGGTTCGACACCTTGATCAGGCTTGGGTGGTAGAAACACGGCATCAGCACCGTATGACTTGGCGAAATCGAGTCGTGACTTGACGACATCGACTCCGATGACTTTCCGAGCACCATATGCCTTCGCTACCGCCTGACAAAGAACACCAATAGGTCCGCATCCAAAGACGAGCACAGTCTGGTTAGCTCTCAGATCGGCAACTTTTGCTATTTGGACAGCAACAGCAGTCGGCTCTACCATAGCAGCTTCTTCCATACTCATTGAATCAGGGATCTTGTAACAATAGTCGCTTGCAACTGTATAGAACTTTGCGAGGGTTCCTNNACTCGTGATCAGCTTATGATTCGATCATCGGATATTCTGAGGCTTACCGTCCCATGGCGGCGTGGCAGCAAAGATGGTATCGTTACACAAGTTGTACTCNTGCGACACGATGAGTATCTCGTCTGGCAAATTTAAGATCGAAAAATACTCACTGCCGTCACGACAGTAATCACATCTGCGGCATGGGACACCAGGTTCTATGGCGACCCTATCACCCTGCTTCAAGTTTTGAACTGCTTTTCCGACCTCAACAACAGTGCCGGAAGACTCGTGACCAAGCGCAATCGGGCTCGTCAGCACGAAATCTCCAATGCGACCTCTTTGCCAACTGTGTNNGTGTCAAAATATTAGTATCCACTGTCCAGAAACAATCGTAATGCTTACTAGTGTACCTGCAATACTTAGCATGAATGAGACAACAAGTCAAGATCTCAAACTTACATCACTTCCACAAATTCCAGTCTGTGCAATATGAACTCTTACTTCGTGCTCATCGCGGAGTTTGGGGATGTCTCTATCTTCAAATGCGACATCTTTGATGGCTCGCAGCACGAAGGATGGATTCTGGTGGTCAACAAGGTCAGTGACACGGTCCGCGTCCGANGTGCTGTTTGCCGTGGCTTGGCAGACGTATTGCCGTCGAAANACAACCAGAGAAGGACCGGAAGTTGGAACCCACTCACAGACATGACCGAGGGAGAAATGTTTCTCTATCCGCTTGATGATTCAATGTCAATGAACCGCCAGCGGAGACGCAACGACCTTTATTCGTGGCTTTCACATGTTTGGTGTGTACTCGCGCATGATTGACAGGCAGAGACTCCCCCTCTTCACGGTGCGGTGCACACCGTCACCCATTTCTCTTGGTCGAGCCAAGCGCAGAGCCAGACGTTGCTTGACACATCTCCGTCGGTAGTCGGGCCGCTGCCCAGAGCCAGTCGAGGGACGATATCTTCCGGTACATCTTCCCTTGTGCTAATGTTTGCCATTCACGCAGCCATTGAAAAGCATAGTGCTAAGACTATGAGCAGCTGCGCCCGTCGGAAGACCAATGCCCTCGAGGCCATCGAATAACTCAGCAGACAAGAAGCATCTGCTAAGGATAGGGTTTGAGTGACGGACACCAGCATATGCCGGATACTTTGGTGTCATCGCGCCCGGGTTTAGACCCCACACCCCTCGCGATGGGGAAAACTGGAGCATCGCGAAAATAAGCAGGGTTGCAATTTCCTGGCCCTCCAGAACAGTGCGAGGCGTCATTGTTCTTTTGGACTCGTTTAAAAAAGCCTTTGGGCCGATCTCTAGGCCTTGCTGTGGTAACGTTGATTTTTTTACCTTCTCTACTTTCGATCATCTATAGGGTGTACATCCCACCTCACCTGAACCCGGCAGTTCTACCACATCTCGGCAATTCACTATATGGGTCAAAGCTACTACGATCTGGCAACACGTGCCTTGGATTCCTACCAGGCTCTACCGGAACCAGATGCGTCCAGAAAACAAAGCAAACGCCTACTCATAGCCCTTGCCGGCCCACCAGGGTCAGGCAAAGGACGGATCGCTTCGAAGGTCGCCAGAGTCATCAACCAGAGCGGTGTCTCTTGCTCCGTGATATCAGTAGATGGATGCTCTCAGGATTCACACAACGACACCAGCAGCATATCGCCGAAAAGCCCAGCTTGGACTTTCAAAGGAGCAGCGGCCGTCGACCTTGTCCAACAAATACAAAAACAGACGACAGAAGCAAACGACATCAAGTCACCGTTTACGATACATGTGGAAGATGTCGAGGCTCACAACTTGAATGTCGCCGGCGATGCCTCGATAGTCATCTTCGAGGGCCTCTATGTGCTTTGCGAAGATCTTCCTTGGGCGAGGATCCAGGGTCTAGTGAATGAGCGGTGGTTCGTCGAGGTCGAGCCAGAAGTGGGCAGACAACGAGTAGTCAAGCGTTTCCTCGATACGGGGTTCGAGAAAGATTATGAGGCTGCCTGTACGAGGTATAATGAGAACGATGTCTTCAATGCCGAATTCATCAATCGGACGAGCAAAGGGAGGGATGTGACGGTCAAGAGCATTGACCGACGAGGCTCCACGGGGTCAAGCTATTGATGATGAGGCTGGACCCGTTCAAGTAGCTGGCTGACTTTGTCGCGATGATACCACTTAATGAGAAGCGATTGTTTTACGGGCAGGATCGGATCAAAAACGATCAGCATGGCTAAAAAGTTTGGCCAGGTTGACTGTGTACCGGTTGCCGAAACCATGTCCATCCCACCTTCCTCCACAAAAGTCGGTGGGGTGTGGGTTTTCCGCCAGCAGGTGTGCTGTCAAACAAGATCATTTCGCGACTATCATCACACGATAGCTGCCCTCAACCAGCCATGATGAAGCACCCCTTCGCTCCCTTCTCGCTCGCGTTTCCTACTTTCTGTTCTTCTCTGCTCGTAACGTAATCCCACACACATTGATCGATCCCTAACCAGCAAGATGCCACTCTACCGTCCAGAGAATGTCGACACGCCTGTCCTCACCCAGTTCTCATTGAAAGGAAAGGTCGCTGCAGTAACCGGAGGAGCTCGTGGTATTGGGCTCGAAGTCGTTCGTGGTCTTGCAGAAGCCGGCGCATCAGTCGCTCTTATCTATACCACTAGCAGTTCCGCTCCCGAGACTGCTGCCAAAATTGCCAAAGAGACCGGCTCGCNNAGGTATGTAGAAGAGGGTGGACGCACCCAATGGACAAGCACCGAGCAGCACTTGCTATTCTAGAAAACATGCTAACCATATTCTTGGTTCGATTAGGTCTCCGCCTACAAGGCCGACGTCACCAACAAANAAGATATTACAGACACAATCAATCAGATTGCTAAAGACTTTGGCAAACTGGATGTATGTGTCGCCAATGCTGGCATTGCATCACAAGTCCCAGGACTCGAGTATTCCGAGGACCAATGGCGCGACATCATGAGCGTCAACCTCGACGGCGCAATGTACACTGCCCAAGCTGCTGGCAAGATCTTCGAAAAACAAGGAGGCAGTAATTCAATGATCTTTACCGCCTCGGTCAGTGCGATTTTGGTCAACATCCCACAGAAGCAGGCTGCCTACAATGCATCCAAGGCCGCTCTGGTGCATCTGGCAAAGTCATTGGCTGTCGAGTGGACCGAGTTTGCCAGAGTAAACTGTATCTCACCTGGTTTTGTCGAGACTGATATTCTCTCGATCCATCCTGAGGAGTGGAGGAAGAAGTGGTTCGACATGATCCCTGGTGCTCGTATGGCGAAGGCCGCGGAGCTTAAATCGGTAACTACCATGAGGTGCTATTATGGAAGACGAAGCTGACATTTGTATCAGGCATACGTTTTCCTAGCATCCGATGCTTGCTGTGAGTGATTCAGTTACCGCTTTCCGACATAGTTACTGACAAAGACAGGCTACATGACTGGCGCGAATATGGTCATTGACGGCGGCTACACTCTGCCCTAAATCAAAATCATTTCGTAATACATACAATCATAATCTAGGCACCTCCTTTACATCTATTATTGTCTCAATGATCATGTTATCAGCCGACGTTTATACCCTCACTCTCTTCACATCATCGTGATCGTCCACATTTTACAGCGCAATGAGGATAGCACCGAAGCTTGCAACGCTCAACAGACTCGCAGGAACAGCTGGAATCGATCAGTACTATCCACACACAGTATCTGGGTAAGGCTTACCATATCTTGCGACCGCAGCACTACCAGGAGAGACACTGTTCTGTCCCGAAGAGCCCTCGCCTGAGCCAGACGAACCAGTCCCGACACCGGCAGGAGTGCCGCTCGCAGTATCCGTAGCAGCATTGTATGCCGAAGTGCTAGATGAAGACGAGGATGCGGTAGCAGTGGAGCTGCTAGAGTTTTGACGAGCCTACAGAGATATGTCAGTACCAGGAGTAGCACCATGTATCGACCAGACTGACCTCCAGGATAGGGCCTGCAAGAACCTGAGAAGCGAACAACAGGGCGAGGAGAAAGGTGAAGAAGGTGGTAAAGGCACGCATGATGGGCAATAAACAGAGATGAAAGTTCTTTGGTCTCAAAAGTCGATGAATCTGTTTCAAGGTGTCTGAACATCGAGAATCTACACCCACAAGCCCGACTATTTAAGAACAGCGACATCTCTCTCTGCATTTACCTCTGCCGTCCATGACGACCAGCAATGCCAAAACACAGTCTCCACGGAAGCATGTGTGGCAGCAATGGGAAACCACCCATCTCTCTGCTGCCGCCACACCCATCGCATCCAATGATCTTTGGATATGCCAACAACGTGCTCTGGGAAGAAGTACAAGAGATTGTCAATCACTGGCCACAAAATAAAATAAAATGCAAGATGATGATGACACTCGTTCGGGTCAGAGGCAGCGGGTGATCGGCAGAGGTGCATAGGAGTCGTTGCTTGTTCTTTGCTTTCGCAACAATTGTGAGAGCTGCAGTAACCACTTTTGATGATGGTAGAGTGTATTTGAATAGTTGCTATTTGGTTAACGTACAGATGCTCTTGGTGTATGAATGTCTGTGTGCTTTCGATCACTTATTCTTGTTGATGGTGAACGCATCGTCGTGCCAGGTGGTCGCCAGTGGTCACCCGTGACCTCGCTCGCGTGGTCGGGATTCATGACAGATATGCATTCAAACAGACATCGATTTGGTACAACTGACTCCTTTCGTTCAACATGCTCGTCGCTATTTGCACTACTACAAGTCTGGAAAGAACAAGGATAAGGGGGTGAACAGTTAGAAGAACAACCAATACAATTTGACCACTCCTTCTCATCCAACNNATCTTCCTCCCCTTGGTTTCATTGCCAGTCTCCACACGCACCAGCAGCTTCCCATGGATATCGTTCTAAGTGTTTCCAGCAGCGCACAAGCGACGAGAAACTGTAGCATAAAAAAGCTAGNTTGATACTTGGAAGAAGAAGTACAAACAGAGCAGCAGAAATGTAAAAGAACAAAACAGCCGCAAAAAGCCATCCGTGTGTAAAAATCAGCAAATAGAACCTCCGCAGTAGAGGTCCGTTGTGTGTCTTGACGACGGCGACGTGTTGCTGGGGTAGAAGCCCATGGTGCAACAGCATAAGTGCCATGATGTCCAAGAACAAGGTTCATATCTGAACTTGGTGCTCGTGAAAGGAAAAAAGGAAAAGGAGCACCGGCGAGGATGTGAACGGGNNGGTCTCTTGTTGTTGCGTGTGGACGTGATGAAGCTGGTGCAGGATGACGACATTATCCAGAATGGAGAATCGCTTTGAACGCCGTGAACGCCATGCCAGTTGCGGTGCAAAGTGCCGCAAGTCGAGAAACGCCGGNACCATGTGTAAAGCAAGTTGGAANAGACAAGGATGATCATTTGGTGTATGGCGGATGCTGCCAGAGACAGAAGCCAAAGGCAGTCATGGGACGACCCTCAAAGTCCTAGATTTGAGGAGTCTCGCTGCCGTCACGATCGCAGTCGTTCAGGTGCAGGGGNGCGAACTTCTTAGCCCACTGGCGAAGGACGATAGAGGCTNNGGGACATGTTAGCAAATGATGCACAATAACAAAAGATTTGAGGTACATACCCTTCAGGAACTTCTTGCTAGCGTACTTGCGGAAGAAGGCGTCGTGCTGGACGGGACCATGGAGGTAGTCGACCATGAGCTTGAAGACAGGTTCGATTTCTTGCTCAGTATAGCCAGCGTAGGTGGCAAGGGTGGCATCNCTGTGTAATGATTAGCATATATGACTTGAGGAGTTAGGGTAGAAGAGGCTTACCCATTCGCCACGGTCGAGGACGAGACGGGCGAGGTACATGGCAGCGGCGGCGACATGGCTAGGAGGGTACTTGATGAAGCGATGGTCGAGGCAGCCAATCTCGAGAAGGTACTTGCCAAGAGTGCGTGTCTGGATGTCGTAGTTGTCGGCCTTGGAGATTCTGCGAAGGAAGTTCATGGGGTTGGGGTAGCTCAGGTCGTAGTCAAGGGCAGCNAGGATGAAGCGCTCTGCGCTGAGGATCTCCTGCTCGGTGAAGCCGTCGTCGGCAACGTGACGGAAGTTCTGGACGTGGGGAGACAGAACCTCCTCGTACTTGGAAGCGATGAACATGGCAGTGACACCAACAAGTTGGAGACGGTCGAGCTGAACAACCTTGGTCGAGAGGAAGCGGTCGATAATGTTGACAGCAAGGAACAAAGTCTCGGGCAGAAGGCGGAAGCGGGTGTGAACCTCGAGCAACCAGTCGACCAAGATACCGCGCATCTTCCACTCGAGTTCGCCCTGGCTGTCCATGTACTCGGCGTTGGGCAGTGTTGTGATCTCGAGCTCCTTCATGTAGTCGAAGATTTCGTGAACATATTCGGCAACCATGAGAGGGTCGTCAAGATCCTCAGAGTCCAGGTCCTTGGCCTCGGCAGCCAGCTGCTCCAAAGTCTTGTGCAGAGGCTCGTCCAACTCCTCTTCCTCCTTGGGGGTTGTGCTCTCCTCCTCTTCCTCGATAGCCTCGATCTTGACAGCATCCTTCACGAAGTCTTCGTCCACCTTGGGGATCTTGGTTGCCATGTGTCTCTTGGCCTTGGGGACGTTGCCAGAGGTTCCTGAGAGAGGCATGGGCCTCTTGGCCTTGGGTTCGGCACCATCACTCTTGATGGAAGCGGCAGAACGGGTCGAAGTGGTGCGGGTCGAGGGCTTGGTGATGCCGGTAGGCTTCTGTGCGTCTCTGAGCTTACCACCCTTGGCAGGGGCAGCCTTTGTGTCGATGGTCTCATTCTTGGTCACGTTGCTGACATCGCCGAGGGCGGCGCGTCTTCTGGTAGGCTGGGTGGCAGCAGCAGTGGTGTTGGTGGTAGTGGCACGCTTCACACCGAGGGCGGCCTTCTTAGGTGGGTCGGCGGCGGCAAGCGCGTCGGGTTGAGACAGAGCGGCGGCCTTTGCGCGTGTCAGACGAGTGGTGGCGGCGTTCTCATCGTTCTCGTTCGTCACGGCGCGTCGAACAGCTCTGGCCTGCATCATGTTGGGTCAGTTGTGGACGCGTCAAGGTAGAGTCAAGGGAGGCTTGGCATGACTGAAGAGAGAGGAAGAGAGGGCGACAGTGAGGGCAGGGTGAGGTGATACTTACAGGAGGCATGTTGATATGAGGATGAGATGGTCAAGACTTGGTCAAGGTCTTGGTAAAGAAGTGGTGGAGCGGCTGCTTTGGTTTGGTCGAGTCAGGCTCGGCGGGCACAACAAACACGTCCGAATCGGGTAATCGGCGTTTGGACACGCGAGAGAACACACCTTTTCAGAGCCGGACGGGAGACTGCGTGTGCGTGGTAGATATGATGAGAGCAATGGCAGCGCAGGTGAAGCAAAGAGGGCGGACTGCTGGATACTGATGCACTTGAAACAATTGACGCGCCAGATACGAGTATCGCTGTCTTGCTTGGGACCAGGTCGGCGAGGGCGGGTGCAGTCAATGGCAGGGACTCGGGGTCACGGCTGCTCTGTTGCGTCGACCGGTCGTTGGGTGTGTTAGAGATGTCGTTGACGACGAGGGCGGATGCTGAGGGAAGGGATTTGAAGAGAGTGGAAGAGATGTTGTTTGCTTTGGCTTTGAACATCAAAAGCTCGGACTCTCGCGCTCCACGTCTCGCGATTTTGGCCCAGACATGCAATGCAGATGACGACTGGCGTGTAAGAGCACAAATCCCAGCCTCGCGGATTAATCACCGACAAAACGTCTTCACAACACGACATAAAACAATGCACTTTACAGTTGGAAGGTCGGATCCAATGCTTCACTTGTGGTTATACCATGTTATATAGCAAATGGAAGTCAGGCCATGGAATGCCTGAGCGACGGCATCTTAAAAGAGAGCACTTTAGCTCGAGGTCTCATCGCTGGGGAAACACAACACACGTCTGGCGCGGCTGCTTGCAAGGGAAAGCGCGAGGGAAAAAGGAAAGGGCAGGAGGACGAGGGAAGCCGCCGGACTTCAGCCGCTCCTTCCCAGAAATGTTTCCAGGTCTTGGCACCAGCTTAGGGTTTGGATTGTAGAGACAGCCGGACAAGGCGCTGGAACAATTCACATCTCCCTCGACGTGCCCTTGTGCTCCGCCGACCCCGACCAGACATCATGTTACAGCCACGGCTATGGCAACAGCAGCCCTGGAGGCAAGCTCAATGCCTGTTCCGCGCCTCGACCAGCGCCTTCGCCCGCCGCACATATGCCTCCGCTACAGAGACTCCTAGAGTAGCGACGACAACCCGTGAGACGACCACCGATGCCGTTGCCTTCAATCCTCCTACCGCCGCCCCAAGTCGAAGACGCGGTGGCTTCGAACTCAGAACATACAAGCCCCGTACACCCGGTACACGACACTTGCGCCGCCCCATCAACGACCATCTGTGGAAGGGAAAGCCGCTGGCCAAGCTCACATTCGCCAAAGTCGGTCACGGAAAGGGAGGTCGTAACTGCACAGGTCGCGTGACAGTGCGACACCGTGGTGGTGGTCACAGAAGACGCATTCGTACCGTCGACTTTAAACGCATGGAGCCCGGCAAGCACACTGTCGAGCGCATCGAGTACGACCCCAACCGCAGCACCCACCTGGCACTTCTCACAAGGCAAAAGACTGGAGAGAAGAGCTACGTTTTGGCTGCCGATGGTATGCGCGCTGGAGACGTCATCGAGAGCTACCGCGCTGGTATTCCCGGTGAACTTCTGAAGAGCATGGGTGGTGTCATGGATCCCGGTATGCTCGCCGCAAAGACTGCTTTCCGCGGCAACTGCCTGCCAGTACGCATGATCCCTCTCGGCACCCAGGTCTACGCTGTTGGATCCACCACAGGCAAGGGCGCCGTCTTCTGTCGCAGTGCCGGTACTTTCGCTACCGTTGTCTCAAAAGAGGAGGTTGGCAAGAAGGTCAAGGAGGTCACAGTCCGCCTGCAGAGCGGTGAAGTCAGAAGAGTCAGCCCCGATGCCTGCGCTACCATTGGTGTTGCTAGCAACCCACACCACCACTTCAGAACTCTCGGTAAGGCCGGTCGCAGCAGATGGCTTAACATCCGTCCTACCGTCCGTGGTCTGGCTATGAACGCTGGTGAGTTCAGTTCTCTTCCCCACGCTATCATTCCTCCTCATCTGACTCCTTTCTCTGTACAGNCCGACCATCCTCACGGTGGTGGTAGAGGTAAATCAAAGGGTAATGTCCACCCTGTCTCCATCTGGGGCACCCCAGCCAAGGGTGGTTACAAGACCCGTGCAAAGCGCAACCCCAACAAGCACGTTGTGCAAGAGCGCGAACGCAACCAAGGAAAGAGAAGGACGAGCAAGAACTAAGTCATGCTTTCCTAATGCCTCTGCTTCTTCTTCTTTCTTCATCCTCTGTACAGTAACACCATGTAAATCAAAAAGCATAAATGTCCTTCAAAATGGTTTCCTCACCCATCAATCAACAAGCACATCACAGCCGGCACGACTGATCTTTAGTGATTATCATCACCACATCGGCAAGCAGCAAAGCTCTTCAATCGCTTCACGAAAGGGTTGAGAAGGTGAGATATTCCATTCGTGTATCATTTCTTGACTCCAAAACACCCACAAGCACAATAGCGATCGTGGTATGCCAGATGCTGCCTAACAAACCACCCAGTAAACCAAGTCTTCTTACACGGTCTCGATGGACCAAGATCTGCTCTCGAAACAACAAGCTCGCCTTCGTCAGCTTCTCCTCGCCTCCACACACTTCCTGTCCCTCTCTTTCTGTTATCCAGATACGCAAAGTCGCAATCACAATTGTGTAATTTCCGATGACTAGACAAAGCTCTAGTGGCGTTTTCGCAATTGTCGCGGATATAAGTCAAAGGATCCGCATCCGATTTCGAGAAATCGTTGTTGGTAATGCGACGGCGTTTTTCTTGTTGCTTGATTTGNTCGTTGTTGGGAAAAAGAGATAGAGGTTGCATGCCGCACACAAAGGAGATTATCGGGTTGGTTGGGCCGGAGGCTATGCCGTGCTCGATGCTGGGTTGTGTGAATTTGTCTGGAGAGGGTCGGTGCATGAAGTAGTAGTCTGATTTGCAGCGGCGGTCGTTGGTGGGGTGTCTCAGGAGTGTGCATTGGCGGGTGGGTAGATGCCAGGACTCTGGCTCTGGAGAGGGTGTGCCGGTGGAGCTGTAGCCAGAGTCGCCGTGGGTGAAGTCGTCTGAGAACCTTTCCGTGCCAGTGTATGGTGGTGGTAATTCAGACCTGCACTGTCTTTTGTTGTTGTTCATGTTCCTGAAGTTTCTGGGCAGGGTTGCGTAGTGTGGGTGACATGGCTGTGGACGTGTGTCGTAGAAGGTCATGTTCGAGTACATGTCGTCGTTGAACGATTCTGCATTCGAGTAGTTCCAGGATGCGGATCGAGTGCTGAGACCGCTTGGACTTCTTGTTGCTGGCATTGTGGAACGANNTGTCCAGATCTTTGAGCGAATGTGTGGAGTTTGTGGTATGGTATCAGAAGGTGGGCACCAAGGACCAGTGTTTATATGTACGGTAGCAAACATCAATGACCCACTCGTCATTTTCTCATCATGAGAGCATAGCAGGTATTCTCTGTGCAAGATGTCATGGGGCTGCCGTTACTGTAGCTTCCAAAGCAGACGGTTACCTGGATGCTCAATGCACCTGTCAAAAACGATCGTTTTCCAGAACAAGGACCCTCGGGTCCCAAGGATCAATCTATCTGTTGTTCAGCGGTTGCCATGCGACAGACCCCAAAACGCACCTGCTGCCCAATGCCAGATGATGTTTGGCAAGTGACGTTCAGGCACCCGGGCCGAGCTGTGGCAGAAGCGTTGGAAGGCCTGAAGCAAGATGAACGATGACCTCGCGATACAGAAAATCACATTGTTTCAAATCTCATGAGAACACATTTTGCAAATACTGAATGTCGTTTCTCGTGATCGAATCTATCATAGGGTATTTATCTTGTAGCAGTCAGGCTGAAACATGGTTGCTAAATCACCAGTTCTTGCCTAGCAGCTGTTCGCCAACTTCGATTGCAACCTTCTCCAAGTCCTTGACTCCCTTCAACTTCAAAATGGAAGTCTTTGCATCCAAGGCGCTACAGAGGTCATGCAGCTCGCCATTCTGAGGAGCGCAGTAGATCAGATAAGCAAAGGCGAAGATTGCCGTCTTAAGCATATCTGAACCAGACGCATCCTTCTTCTCTTCCCTGCTCTCCATCTCGGTAGTCATCATCTCCAGCAAGCTAGCAGCCAGCTCTACTTGCGAAGACTCTTGCAGGGCTTCACGATTCTCTTCTCTTCGGGTGCGGTAGATGGTTGCAGCAATGTTGAAAGCAAGCGAAGAAGCAGCGGCGCGAACGGCCGGCTTGTCGGGCTCGGCGAGTAGGCTTGTAGTTGCTACTTGTACGAGCATCGAGGGAAGCCCGCTGTTGTGATCGCCACTGAATGCCGACTTGATGAAAAGATCCGAGGTAAACAGATTGCAGGCCAATTGGATTGTGACGAGTCTCAAGTTGTAAGGGCAAGCATTGTCGTTCACAAGCGTCAGAACGTGGTTGATCAGGAATGTGAGGGTCTCCGAGTCTCCAGGAGCAGACTCTTCGGCGAACCAACCACTGACTCGCTGGTCGACAAGTGCACAACGCAGTACATCATAGGCTGTGAACAGCACATCTGACGATAGCTGACTGGGCGAATGACGAAGCCAGCGTGCGAAGGCAGGAAGATCTGGCAAAGGTGGAAGGTCTGATGTGTTAGAAGAGCGAGAAGAGATGAAGTGCTTCATTGCAACCACAGCTTTATCCTTCGACTGATCACCCATTTTGGCCAGCACCTTATCAAGAGGTGGGATTTTCGAGTATGTGATGGGGCTCAGTCTTCCAAACTGCAAAGTAGGCACGCGAACCTGAAGGTGAGGGTGGGGAGGGAAAGCCTGTTGAAGAAGAGACTCAACATTCGCCTTTAGCTGTGCAGGATTTGCTCCAGTCCACTCGTTGTCCTTCTTGCCATGAAGGAAGGTCATGAAGGTCGGGGTAGCACGAATCTGATACTTGGACGCAAGTGCGTGTGCTTCGTTGATATCGATTTTGATAAACGGAACCTTGGTGTGTTCAGCTGCCAGCGAGTCGTATGGAGCATATGCCATTTTGCAAGGTCCGCACGTGCTCGAAGTGAAGAAGATGACGGCACATTTGTCCTTTGCGCCGGAAAGAAGGTTGTCAACTGAAGACAGCTGCGTCACGTTGTAGACAGAGCCGTGCACGCCATCTGCTTTCGCAGCAGCGCCATCGCGGACTTCAAGCTTCTTGGGTTGCTTCTTTGGCGGTTCAGATGACTGGGTCTGGTCTTGAGCATGGCCATTCGCTTGATCGGCGTTTCCAGCGCTACGGACTTCAAGCTTCTTAGGCTTCTTTTGGGTGGAGTTTGATCTGATCCATTCTGCTGCAACGCGGTATGTGAAGAGGAAGGAATAGCAGCAGAAGAAGAAGCACCGTTCTGGCCTCCCGATTGGCTTCGTCTCTCTGCTCTTTNNACGTTCGCGTTGAATCATGGGATTCTTCTCTGGAGGTACAGCAGCCTGTGTGATATGTCTCATCTCTGCATCAAGTCTCTGCTTCATCATTGATCCGAAGGGAGTGTTGAGCACTGTCTCAGGTAGAGCAGTAATGTGATCCGGAATTCCTCTACCAACCAGGAACATGGAGAAGTCGTTAGAGAAGTTGTTACAGTTGTGCTTGAACAAGTCGTAGGATTCTGCGGTATATGTCTCTTTCAACGAGTCGAGATATTCCAGGATATCATCCAAGGGGATCTCAGTCTTGCCGAGTTTGATTTTCTCCATAGGTTGTCCATGATGGGTCGAGCCGGGGTAGCAAGTCTGTACGCCAGCACCATAGAAGTACTCGACGCCTCCGAAGACCAGCGAGGTGTGGTATACAGCATCTATGTGGATACCAAGAAGACCTTGCGACATCATCCTCGCAAGACCTTGACTCAGGTCGTAGACATATAGTTCAACATCCATCATGAAAGTCGAGCTGGGACGATTTTCTGAATTGATGGTGGCAAATTCGAAGGAGGTCAATAGACGTGAGGTGTCTGTGGTATAGCAAGATCAAGATTTAAAGAAGAAGGTGGCTATGTATCTTTAGGAGCAGAGACATGGAAAATGCTGGATGTTGTTGGAATTTTGGAGGCGGCGTCATCAAACAGGAGCCTGCGTCGCGCTCATGTCGGCCGGTTCTGGCCCGTGTCACCGAACAAGATATGTCCATAGGCACAAGCAAATCATCAACTGCTGACTTGCACCACGATAGTTTCTACGAGTACACAGGCGAAGACGAGCATTCAACCCAAAACATGTCCGACGGGGTCAAAGGGTTTTGGACACAGCGGGCAAGCAGGTGGCGGGTCAAGCCAAGAGTGTTGAATTCGACGGCGACGCCAGAGGGTTCAGGGGTCCTCAGCCCTGCAAGGTCGACGAGTGAGAAAGGGGAAGGAAGGCACAAATCATGTAGAAAGCGAGGGTGTATATTTTGGCTTTCCTCGTTCAAGGAGACTTTGGATTTGTCTCGCAACCTTGTCCGAAGCATCACAGCGGTGCTGCAAGGTGCAAATACCTGAACAAGAATTCTCCTGACCATCCTGACGTCCTAAAATAGTCGCATATCTGGCCAGACACAGTCGGGAGGATCCCCACAAAAACATTGGCCAGTGTACAGCGAGAGCGAGTACCTTCACCAAAACGAAACTTCCACATGTCGAATAGGAGCGACGTCAAACAACGACCCAGCCTCTGGTCCTATATCAGTTTCTCGTCTACGCCGCGGCGACGCAAATCAGTCTCGTCGCATTCCCGCGCCCACAGCCAGTCCATCCCCTAGCTTCGTCCAACTACGACCCTTTCGCGCCCACATCGAAATCTGGTTCAATGCAGGAGAAGGCCGGCTGGATGAATCAAGGTCAGCGATCGCGGTACATCAAGACGGGTGGCATCGTCGCCCTCGTCTTGTTCGTACTGTACTACCTGCTGCCGGGCTCGTCAGGCTCAGTAGCAACCTTCCCCAGCGGCGGTGATGTTGCCTCAGACCCTTCCATGGGCACCACCAAATGCACACGTCCCTACTCTTCCACCAAGCCCCTGATCCAATACGCTCTCATGGTCGACGCCGGCAGCACTGGCTCGCGTATCCACGTCTACCGCTTCAACAACTGCGGACCCACACCTGAACTCGAGAAAGAGCACTTTGAGATGACTGCGAAAAAGGAGGGTGGTTCCGGACTGAGTTCCTACGACTCGGACGCCGAGGGCGCTGCAAAGAGCTTGGATGTGCTGCTTGAAGTCGCCATGAAGAACGTTCCCGACAAGCTCAAGGGCTGCACTCCGATCGCCGTCAAGGCTACCGCTGGTCTGCGCAAGCTGGGCCCGGAGAAGAGTGATGCCATCCTCAAGGCTGTTCGCAACCGTCTCGAGACCCAATACCCCTTCCCCGTTGTCAGCGAGGCCAACGGAGGCGTCGAAGTCATGGATGGCAAGGATGAGGGCGTCTACGCTTGGATCACAACAAACTACCTGTTGGGCAAGATTGGCGGCCCAGACAAGACCCCCACCGCTGCTGTTTTCGATCTTGGTGGTGGCAGCACTCAGATTGTCTTCGAGCCCACCTTCGCTCAGGCCAAGGATGGCGGTATGCCCGAGCAGCTTGCAGAGGGTGACCACAAGTACAAGCTCTCTTTCGGTGGTCGCGACTTCACCTTGTACCAGCACTCTTACCTGGGCTACGGTCTCATGGCTGCCCGCGAGAACCTGCACAAGGTTGTCATTGAGAACATGCACAAGTCGAACCCCGACTCCAACGCCTGGCTGACCAAGCCCGTACTCAACCCCTGCTTGATTCCTGGCAGTACTCGCGAGATCAAGGTCCCTCTTGGTGAGGGCAATGCTCTCGGTACATCTGTTACTGTCAACATGACCGGCCCTACCACTGGCTCTGCTCCTCAATGTCGCGCTATCGCCGAGCAAACCCTCAAGAAGGAAGAAGAGTGCAAGATCTCTCCTTGCGCTTTCAACGGTGTTCACCAGCCTTCGCTCTCCAAGACCTTCGCCCGCGAAGACGTTTACCTCTTCAGTTACTTCTACGATCGTGCCCAGCCTCTTGGTATGCCCGAATCCTTCACTCTTTCCGAGCTCAAGGACTTGACCGCTCGTGTCTGCGAGGGTCCTAAGAGCGAGACCAAGGCCTGGGACGTCTTCAAGCCAATCTCTGGCGCAATCAAGGAGCTTCAAGGCCGCCCGGAGACTTGTCTGGATCTGAACTTCATGGTCGCTCTTCTGCACACTGGATACGAGATGCCCATTGATCGTGAGGTCAAGATTGCCAAGAAGATCAAGGGCAACGAATTGGGTTGGTGTTTGGGTGCCAGGTATGTCTACACACACAAAGGAAAGTCAAGTCAAATGCATACTAACATGTCTGTANGTCTTCCTCTTCTTAGTCAGGAGAGTGGCTGGTCTTGTAAGATCAACCAAGTTGCGTAGATGGGATTATGTTGTTGCATTTTTCGGCATGAGGCGTTTCCTGCTGGTTCCTTGGTTCTGTACGACAATCAAGAAAATGGATAGATTGGTGTTTTCCTACCGAGGTCCTTCTCTGGACCCACGAAATTTACTGCTACTGTGCACATGTTCTCGTTGCGGTCCTCCCAAAACTCACTGCTGGATAGAGATGATTTCCAGATCAATTAGAGAGAGCTTGTGATCAGTGTTTCCGGCGCTGTGCGAGTACGTAAGCTCTCAAGAGGCGATACTATGTTGGACCACATGTACATTATGCGAATAGCTCCAGTGACACGACAGCGAGCGCCTCGACAGAAAGAGGTACATGTCGTTCGTCTCAAGTTTAGAAATTGATTCGAGCTGTCAAATCTCAACTTGTATGGACCGATTTGGGCTGAGGCTGTCATTCCTACATGAACACACGGGTTGTCATCCACGATTACTTGAGTGTCTATTGCTCTCTCCTCATGAGGTTCGAGTAAAATCAGTGTGAATATTAGAGGACTAAAGAGCTACCATAGTAAATATGCTCTTGGATTGTTTTGCTCCTTGAGGATGTCTTTGGAGAGCTCCACAGAAAAGCAGGATGACGACATTCATCTCATCGCTCTTCGCAGTTCACCTACATAGCAACCACCCTCCTCGAGCTTTCTTTCCAATTCTCATCTCCTGATCAAAATCTTCTGCCAACATGTCTCCCATTCGTGTCGGTCTTATCGGTCTTTCCACTGGCTCCAAGAGCACCAGCTGGGCCAGCACAGCTCATCTGCCATACCTCCTCTCCGAACAGGGCAAGGCTCACTACGAGATCAAGGCCTTGTGCAACTCGTCTGTTGACAGCGCAAAGAAGTCTATTGAACACTACAAGCTTCCTGGAGACGTCAAGGCCTATGGCTCTCCCGACGACCTGGCCAACGACAAGGACATCGATCTGGTTGTCTGCGTTGTTGGTGTCGAGGGACACTACAAGCTGTTGAAGCCTGCTGTCGAGGCTGGCAAGAACTGCTACACTGAGTTGCCTCTGGCATCCAACATAGACCAGATCAGAGAATTGGTCTCTTTGGCTGACAAGAAGGGCATCAAGACCATGTTCGGATCTCAGGGCCAGGCTGCTCCTGTTGTCAAGGTCCTGCAANAGGTCATTGCCGATGGCAAGATTGGCAAGGTCTTGAGCACTCAGCTCAGTGGTTGCACCAACATTGCTGGAGGTGCGAAGATCCCCGCCGGTTTCAAGTATATCATCGAGAGAAAGGCTGGTGGTAACCATGCCACTATTTTCTTCCTCCATAGTAAGTTCAAGTTGAGATAATTATGAGTTGAATGTATCTGACATGTTTAGGTTNTCACTTGCTTGCTCGAGGTCTTTGGCGAGCTTGAGTCCTTCGACACCATCATGGGCATCGAGCGTCCCAAAGTCGACCTCATCGATCTTGAGAACCAAGGCAAGGTCGTCGACACAATCACAAAGGACACACCAGACAACATTGCCATGCAAGGACGCTTCAAGTCCGGCACTCTCTTGAACTACGACCTCCGCTCCGCTGCTCCCTTCCCCGGTGAGCCTGGCTTGAGATGGACCATCAACGGAGAGAAGGGCGAGATCCTTGTCACCAACCCATCTGCCATGTTCGATATTACTCACGACGGCGTCAAGATCCAGCTCCACGAGGCAGGCAAGGACAATGCAGAGACTATTGACCTGCCCTCTGACAACTTGTCCGACCTCAAGCATCCTTCGCAAAACGTCGGCAGACTATACGAGGCCTACGCCAAGGGAGACACCAAGTCTTACTGCGACTGGAAGCTGGCACTCAGACGTCATGAGTTGATTGAGGAGATGTTCCAGAGAGGTGACGGAAGCAAGCCTTTCGGCGAGAAGGCTGCGTACTTGTCAAAGGAGAGCTCATCGAGCGGCGAATCTACTGGTTCGATTCAGGACAGCAACGCTGAGGTCGATGCCGATGCTCAAGGTACTATCATCGCTGACAGAGAGGTAAAGCCTCGCGAGATCACACGTGAGGCTGGGTCTGGAGGAGCCCAGACCACAGTCCAATCTCTTGAAGCAGAGGGCTTCGGTGTCTCGTCAGGACCTAACGATCTGAGCAAGAATGCAGGCAACCGCGATCTTGCTTCGTAAAGATAGGGAGAGAATCTATGTTTATAACGGCATACGAACATGACAATATATGATTAATCAAAAGGCTGATTGTACATAAATCTCATCAACTTCCACACATGACTTCCTCACAGCCCTCTCTCCGGCAATTCCTCTCCAAAGAACTCGGGATTCACCCCATCAAAGTCTGGATCCTTCAGGTGAGCCTTGAGCAAAGCATTAGGCCAACTAACAGCAGGAGCTTTCTCCGGTCTCTGTACCGCCTGCCTCACAACCGCATCCCCCAAACACTTTTCCACCCCCAATCTCGGCAGCCACTGTTCAATCTCCTCACAATAGCTTCCAGCGTTAAACTCATCTCGCAACGGAGACCCAAAGTCCATCAACACGGCCACTCGCACAAGCCTTGCCAATGGCGATATCCTCTCTGCTATTTGCGGTGACGTGTGCAGTGCAATAGCAACCCAGACTTCTTTACTCGCAGCTTCTGAGATGTTATGGGAGAGGAGGTGGGAGGTTGCTGCGTCTGCGCCCGAGACTTCGAAGCGGCAGGGTCCAGAGTTGTGGTTGTCGCAGACGCCCATGTCGTGGAAGATGCAAGCTACGAAGAGTAGATCGGGGTCTGGAGAAAGTGTGTTTTCTTGGGAAACGAGGTGTTTGGCGAGGAGGAAGACACGGAGGCTGTGGTTGAAGATTGGGAGGGGNAGGTTGGTGTGGGCGAGAGATAGAGCTGTCGTGCTGACGGTAGTGGTAGGGATGTGAGTTGTGATGCTCAAAGGGAGGTTGGGCATGGTTGGCCGAGTTGGAGACTGCATTGCGACGATATTGGTTTTTGAGTATGGCTTTTGTTGGTTGGAAGAACGAATGAAGAGGAGTGTATTGGTTTCTTATATGTTATTCTGGTAAAGGCATGTTTCCATGGATGTGGGTTACTGCTGGTCAGTGCCAACGCTTGACAAATCCACTCACGCCCTGTCATTTCCTAGTTGGGCGAGTGGCACGTAACTATTCTCAAACAAGTCGCGAATGAACCTTGAACGTTGAGAGAGAGACGACAAGATACTCAAACAATACTCTAGAGATGAACATGATCCATATTGCGCTGCTCGACCGAACCCGAGGACTAGGATTGAAAGGAGCAGGGTGGCTGTCTCGACAAGTGTAACTTGACATTGGTTTCCTGTTGGAAGGTCTGTGATGGATTGAGAAGAAACGAAGCAAGTTCTTCTCATACCATGAGGATTGACATCTAGTTCTTCTTGCCATCCTCTGCCGCGTTCTCAACCACATCTACCATGAAACCACCTCCCAGTAGGATTGCTGGCTCGTCAATACTGTGATGTTCATAACTNGTCGCCAATTAGCATCAAGACACTCAACTCAACTCAGAGCCCATGTATCAGGACACATACCTCAAAGTACCGACACCACCAGCGTCAAGCAACATGCTAGGGTTATCCGCAATGTTCTTGTTAATCCACCTTGCCGCAAACGCCCTAAGGATATGCCCATGTGCCACAACCAACACATCATACGGCTCCGCCTCAGCCTTGGGCTTGCCGATGGAATTCTTGTGATACTTTTCCCTAATCTCTGCAATCACGGCATCTAAGCGCTTGGTGATTTGCTCAGGGCTCTCACCACCAGGACACCCATCTTTCCAGATGTCCCATTTGTGTTGTCCGGCTTTTTCTCTCTGTTCGCCAATGTACTTGCTAGTCAAGCCTTCGTAATCGCCATAATCCCACTCTCGCACGCTCTCGGTGACTTGGACTTTTGCTTCGGTCTTGACGTTGCTGTCGTCGTGTTCGGCGTCGGATTTCCAAGGCATGGGGTCTTTACAGCCGAGGTTTAGGAGCTCGAGGGTGCGTTGCGAGCGCGTGCGGGGAGATACGTAGATGTGAGCGAGGTTCCTGGGGACAATCAGACGGTCGTCGCCGACTAGAGCGTTGCCGGTTGCGCGGATTCTCTTCTCGCCGTTTTCGGTGAGGGGGATGTCGGAGGTGCCTGTGTGTCGGCCATTGAGCGACCACTCGGTTTCGCCGTGGCGGATGATGAAGACTCGCGGAGTGATCTTTTTGTCGGCCATTGTTATGGAGGTTAGATGGCCTAAGAATTGGTGGATGCCGGAGGGGGATGGGCAGAAGAGTGTGTTTATGAAGCTGGCGGGGTCCCCGGATGAAGGTGGGACTTTTGATATGACGTCGTTGATGACATTTTTGGAGTATGTCAGACCTCGTCGTTGTTCATATAATCTCTGCACATCATCTCGCTTGCCGGTCGGAGATGCTGGTTAAGAGCTGGTGTCATGATGTTCGTTGATGTTTGCATACAGTGTGAGTACGATTCGTTCTAGCAATACAATGTGGTAGTATACATGATCGTGAATCCTGGGTGTATTCGCTATGCAAGATCCACAGGTAAAAGCTTGGGAATTGCGTCTTTTAGATCCGTGCGATAGTCAGACCGGTCTATTGTCTTGCATTTGGCCTGGCCTTGTTGGGCAGCATCTCCTCTGGGATCTCCTTGTATCGCTGCATTCTGACAGGTCGCTTACAGGCAGTCGGCGCAGGATGGATGGGCTTCGTGTATGTGAGCCAACGTGACTGCAAGTTGTTGGTGACCATGTTGGAGATAAAGTAGAGCAAAAGTCCAGTAGGCATGTGCAGAGCCGGGATGATGGATAGCATTGCAACTGTCATCATGATTCTCTGCCCGTTTGTCGATTTTGCTCGTTCGTCTACTTTGCTTCCAGTCACGGTACCCTGTATACGGGGTGCAAAGTAGATGCTGGCGAAAAAGGTGCTGCTGAATATAAGCGGAAAGACCATAGTAGGGTCTGACGCTGTCAAGTCGGGACACCAGGAGAAGCCTTCAGTCAAGAGACTCGGATCGAACCAGGCAGAGTTGAGATGACCTGCCACTGCTGTCGATGCTTCTTGGGCCAAGCCGCTGGTAGCATCCTGTGCTGTTTCAGTGGCAGACAAGCCTTGTGGAACACCCGTCGACCATGGGTCGAGGTCGTCAAGCCCTGTGTTCGTGACTGGATTAGAAACGGGACTGGCCGGCGATACCTCCGCTTCTCCAGGACTTGTTTCTGTTAGGGAAGATGGCACAAGCCAGCTCAAAGTCCAGTCCAGAGGGCCCAGGACAAACTTCAACAGGCCCTCCTTGGCACCCATCATCCTTCTCAAGCCATCTGAAACCACAATGGTTGTCATGAACATAAAGAATCTATGACCGTACAAACGGGAGCGTTCAAACATGGCTATTCGGACGCGATTTCTGGTTCTCCAGGATTCAAGTGTCAAGTTTAGCTTGTGGGCCATGGACTTCTGGGTTCCTTTGGTAGTACGCCTGTAAAGGATGCGCTTCGTGATGCTCATGTTGGCATCTACAAGAGGTTGGAGTTGGGCACGAGCAACCAGCTTCTCACGCAGAGGGCGTTGGAACAAGGGGTATATGAGCAGTGATCGGATCAAGATGGCGGACAGCGGTATAGCAGCAAACCAAGGTAGACCAATGGAATGAAGCGAGTCCAGACATGTCACAGGCATGAGTGCGACATAATCTGGTAAACCCTTGCAGCCGTGTTCGATGACGGCCTGGATTGAATATTGACGGGCCCCATGCTGTTTCGGCAGAAGTGGTGACCGAGCAGAGAGCAGGCGGCCAGCAGATCTTGCTAGCAAGACCATGTTTCAGGACAAATTCACGCGATGAGTGAGCAAAAGGTGAAGGTATTCATTATTGATATTTGCCATGCTGCCAAGCCGGCGCTTGAGGGACGATGCGGGCCGAGGACTGCGGTCCAGGGCCAGGGTTAGGGTGGGCTGATTGACTCGAGTCAGCGGTAGCTTCGGAGCTGTCACACGCGTCCTACGCAATAACACGAAACAACAACTGGACTTTGATGAGATCCGACATGAAACTCACACAAGCATGCCTGGTCTAGCACTGCTCATATCGCTGGCGGCCGTGACCGTCGGTCTGTCCTACTTGCTAGTGCCTTACTCTATCCGCTTCATCACCCAGAACATTGGCTCGACTGTTCGTGCGCACACACAGACAAGGAGANGAGCTGTTGCTCAAGAGGGCAGCCGACGACGAGAAGTCTTCACCCCCACCTCGAACAAGGATCGTCTAGCCAAGGGTGACTACCATGGAAAGCCAGCACACGAATGGGATGGCATTATTGGCTTCTTCCACCCCTTCTGGTACTTCTGCTCCAACACTCCTCTATGGCAAGACACTGACCACGGCTATAGTAATGCAGGAGGCGGTGGCGAACGGGTGCTCTGGGCAGCCATCCGCGCAACCCAAGAACGCTACCCCAAAGCCCTCTGCGTCGTCTACACGGGCGACCACGACGTCGACAAGGACACCATCATCGCAAACGTCAAGAACCGCTTCAACATTCCCCTCCACGCCCCTCGTCTTACCTTCCTCTACCTCAGCACCCGCGACTTCCTCCTCGCTCAACACTGGCCCCACTTTACTCTCCTCGGCCAGAGCATCGGCAGCTTGATCGTCGGCTGGGATGCCTTCAACCTCGTTGTCCCCGACATCTTCATCGATACCATGGGCTACGCCTTTACCGTCGCCTTCTCACACTTCCTGTTCCCCGATGTCCCTACAGGCGCCTACGTTCATTATCCCACCATCTCCACCGACATGCTGGGAAGTCTCGACGCCTCTGGTCGCGGTGTCAACGCAGGCTCAGGAAGTGGTTGGAAGGGAAAGGCCAAAAAGACATACTGGCACCTCTTCGCCCGTCTGTATAGCTGGATCGGCGGCGAGATCGACGTCGTCATGACAAACTCGACCTGGACTCAGAACCACATCAAAGCCCTCTGGGGTCGCACACGTCAAAAGAGATGCTGGACACGCGACACCTTTGTCGTCTTCCCACCCGTCGCTGTCGAAGAGCTGGAACACGAGATTGAAGTATCCGAAGAGTCGGAGAAGAGTAGGAGAAAGGACATACTCTACATTGCACAGTTCCGCCCTGAAAAGGATCACCAAANNAATATCATCATGGCCTTTGCCGAGTTCTTGCGCCGTCGCAAGACTGGTGACAAGGACACTCCCAGATTGGTCCTCGTGGGCTCGGTGCGTGACGAAAAGGACAAGATGCTGGTCTACAAGCTACGTGTGCTGGCGCGCGAACAACACATTGCCGACCACGTCGACTTTGTTATTGATGCAAAGTGGTCGCAGATCTTGGATCGCCTGAGGACCAGCTGGATCGGTGTCAATGGCATGTGGAACGAACACTTTGGTATTGGCGTTGTCGAGTACCAGGCCGCCGGACTGATCTCTGTGGTCGACGATAGCGGTGGCCCCAAGTACGATATCGTGGTTCCAATTGATGGAAAGCCTACTGGTAAGTTTATCTTGGTCTGCTTGTGGCATTTCCGCGGAACTTTCACTGACATTCAATCAACAGGCTTCCATGCAAAATCACCTTCAGAATTCGCAGACGGCTTCGCCAAAGCGCTGGATCAGTCACCATCAGAGACGCTAGCTATGCGCAAGAGAGCCAGGACCAGCGCCAAACGCTTCTCCGAAGAAGTGTTCCGTGACAGTTGGAACGCACAGATGGACAGACTGATACATTTGCGCGTCACGCCAAAGGGAGAGCGTCAAAAGCTGAGGCTAGAGTAGACACTCAATAGACTATTAGATTACTATGCTATGATTTGCTTTCCCTTCTCCTCCTATTCTATTCTATCCTGATGTTGTTCTATACCAATGTTTAGTCTAATCTATCATGACGCCATTCTATGTCGTCCCCTTTCCTCTACACATTACATCTCGCGGTCCTCGACCGCCGCTCTATGCTGACCAAAACTTCCACGCTGCCACTTCCTCAACAACTTGACCACCCTCACCCTGACCGATGTCTGCTGACCCTCATCACTGTGCTCAAACGCCTTATCAATATCTTCCAGAGTTTTGCCCTTCGTCTCTGGCATCTCAGTCGCACAAACCACCACCGTCAACAAACTCGCTGCACCAAACATAAAGTAAATCCCACTGCTCGAATGCTGCAGAAACACCGGTGTGCTAAACGCAACCACGAAATTGACCACCCAGTTTGACGATTGCGCTAGACTCGTTGCCGGCGCTCTAGTTTTCGCAGGCTGGATCTCCGAGGCGTAGATTTTGATGCCCACGGCCCAGGTTGTGCAGTAGGTTAGGGCAAAGATGTAGATGAGGACGATTACTATCCAGCGGGCTGCACCGTAGGAGCCGTGGACGCTGCCGGAAGCGTATAAAGCGCCGATTATGAACATTGTGGTGCTGAGGAGGCAGCCGCCGATTAGAGTGGAGGTTCTGCGGCCCCATTTGTCGGCGAGCATGAAGGATGGGATGGTGATGAGGAACATGAGTAGAGCGGAGACTCCGGAAGCGAGAAAAGAGGAAGTAGCACTGTCAAGACCTGCCTGTTGGAACAAGAGGGGCGCGTAGTATAAAACTCCATCGATACCTGAGAGCTGTTGCATGCCCATCACGAAGCAGCCAAGGAAAGTGCGTTTGCGGGTGTCTTTCGTGAAGACGGCGAGCCAGGAAACGTGCTGGGGGTCGTGAACGCTCTGGCGTGAGCGGATTGGCGTCAAAGCCAGACTCTCCGGTTCTTGGATTGTCAGGTTTTGGTCTTGTTGGTCGTTCTTCTCGCGCTCGGCGTCGGCAATGCCCAGTCGTTCCCAGGCTTCATGCGAGTCGTCCATGCGACCTTTGCTCTTGAGCCATCTGGGTGATTCGGGCAGGAGGAAGAAAGTCAAAAGTGCATATGTGAAGGCGAGGAAACTCTGCAGAGCAAAGGGGAACCTCCAGCTGAAGCTTGTGGTGGAGCTTCGTACTGTGCCGTAGCAGATGAAGTAGCCGACAGCAATGCCCATGGTGACTAGCAGCTGTTGGACACTAGCTAGTACACCTCTCTGCCTGGCGGGAGCAATCTCGCACACATAAACCACCAGGGTACTTAGGAATAGTCCTTCGCCCACTCCAGTGATGCAGCGTCCAACGAACAGCATGGCAAGGTTTTGAGCACCAGCTTCTAGTGCAGTTCCTGCTGCAAAGATCAAGCCTCCGACAGAGCAGGTGATGATGCGACCCATGTAGTCCGCGACATTGCCAGCAAANAATGAGGTCAACGAGGCTGGTATCAAGATCGAGGAAACGAGGATACCGTGGATGGTCGAGGAGAGTGGTCCGAAGGAGTCGAGGAAGGTCGGCATGGTGGTGATAGGACCAATGCAACCTGTATCTAGTCCAAAGAGCAGGCCTCCAACCGAGATGAGGATAGAACAGAGGACATAAGGCGCTGGGAGATGCATTGCTATTGTCTTCACTATGATATCGGGTGTAGAGTATCAGAAGAGGTTTGGCTTGTGAAATGAAGGAAAAGTCTCAGTCCGACGCTCTCAATCTTAGGCAGTCTTTAAGAAATCTCTGCTGACCACCTCGTCGTCGGCCTACCTTCATACCCATCATTACATTGTGGAGTCGCCCACGGGGATTGAAGACAATGATAACATTTTTGGTGAGCGGAGTCCCTCAACAGAGTCAATGCAGTTGTCGAGGAAGGTCTGCCGAGCGGAATGTACGAAAAGGGCAATGCTCCGAAGAGACGGTCAGTCTCTCACAAGCGACTTTAGGCAAAAAGAAGAAGGGACAAGACCAGGTGTTCCTTGGACCTTTAGGTTGTCAGATGTCGTGAAACAAAAGACATCGAACGGGAAGGTGCGGACCGGACTTGCGATTTGCACCCTCTGAACGTTTTTGTTGCAGAAGATTCGCAGAGATAAACAAACTTGCAGCATATCGCGAGTCCCTGCATTGCCAATCTCCAGTGGCATCTTCGCGACACGCTTAACTTTGCTGGCGACTCAATCCTGCTTTTACTGAAGCCGTTGTGTATAGCCTTCTCGTGATGGAGCTGCAAGTCAAGATACACGAGCATCTCATCGATCTCTGTATGCGCCCTGCCCCGCAACAAGAGGATGCAGTGACAGATCAGGTGGGCTTGTGGCTGCACGCGGTGCGTCATCCACTCTATTCAATCTTGAACAAAATCGCTAGACAGTCCACCCAACTAACTCTTACACCTTTGTTGTCTCTTCGACATAGCTTGATCTGACTGTGCTGTACCCTTGAATAATCAACCTACAGGATGGACAAGGTCACGCAAGTTGTCGTCTTCTCATCGACGGCAATTGCCCTCTATGGCTACGATCAAGGTATGAAGTCTAAGCACCAAATGGAACCAGTATTGACGAATTGCANNGGTATGATGAGCTTGATCAATACGAACGAAGACTATCTCAGCACAATGGGTCTTCCTGAGGAGAGTCCCATTGTTGGTCTCATCGTAGCTTTGTACTACCTGGGTACTGCTGTTGGAGCTGTCATCTTCTCCTACCTGGCCGATCGCTTTGGAAGAAAGCCTGCGCTTTTCGGATGTCTTGCAATGTCTTCTCTTGGAAACCTCATCATGTTCGTCGCTGGTCTGAAGTTCTCCAAGGGAGCTATGATTGTCATGATTGCTGGTAGAGTCGTGATGGGACTGGGCGTAGGCGGTGTTGACGCTGTGGTCCCTGTCTACAGGTGAGATTGTCGTCCCGATAGCATGGTACGCAGTACTAACCTACCGCATAGCTCCGAGCTTTCCGAAGATGAAGCCCGTGGTAAAGCACTTGCTCAAGAGTTCCAGTGGAATATCTTTGGTCTCAATCTAAGCTTCGCCATCAATCTTGGCTTGACTGTAGCTCTGGGCAAGTCTAATCAATGGGCTTGGCGACTCCCTATTATCATCATGCAAGTCTATCCTGTCCTCTTGATGGCATTCATTGGCATTCTTCCCGAGTCTCCGAGGTGGCTCGTCTCTCACGACCGCAAGGATGATGCCAAAGCAGCTCTTGCTAGAATATACGGAGAAGATCAGGCTGGGGATACCCTGGACAACCTCATCGAGTCCAACGACAACGAGTCTTCTAAAAATGTCACTTACACCAACATGCTCACTCCAGGACATGCTCAATTCCATCCCACAATGGTCACTGTCATGGGACAGATCAATCAGGCTCTTACAGGATACGGAGCCGTCTCGGTTTATGGCCCGCAAATTTTCGAGCTGCTTGGATTCGATACGCGTATGTCCGAGTATCTAACACAGGGCAACTACGTCTCTTACTTCATCTTGATGACATTTGCCTGGCTTTTGGTTGATGCCGTGGGCCGCCGTAAGGTACTGCTCGGTGGATCCATCGTCTTGACGGTCTGCTTCTTCTTGCTCACATTGTTCGGTGGTTTGGCTTTCAACTCCGAGGATCTGGGTATCCCGGATGTGGCTGTTGCTATCCCTGGTATTGTCGCTCTCTATGTTGCTACTGGAGCATTCGGCATCGGTTGGCTTGCAACCATTTGGGTAAGTCTGATCACAGGACAAAGAGACCACACAAACATACTGACAAACTCTTAGTTGATCCCAACGGAGATCTTCCCTACTACTGCTCGTGCGCAAGGAACGGCCGTCAGTGTCGTCGTCTGGGGTGTGGCCAACTTCGCCGTCACTCTCCTGACACCTATCCTTTTCAACAACCTCAACTACTGGCTCTTCCTCGTTTTCGGCTTCTCGAACATGTTCGCTGGAATCTGGACATACTTCTACCAACCTGAGTCGGGTGGCCGTAGCTTCGAAGAAAACCAGAAGTTCTTCGAAGAAGCCAAGAAGTCCGGTACTTGGAGAGTTGGTGCTGTTCTGGATGGTGAATTCAAAAAGATGCCATACCCCAGCTCGGACAATGATGACAGCGAGAATACGCCCTTGTTGAGAAGAGTGAGGGACCAAGTCTCGGCTTGAGTCCATGTGGACAGACCTGAGATGGCTATGGTTATGGATGTTGATGAGACATGATGTTACAGCGATGGATTAACGATTGAAATACGGCACTAGAGATGAAGTAAAATCTCCTACGATGTAGCTACATATAGACCGGTCACTCTTGCTGTAAAGATCGGTGTGTATCTAAAGAAAGGCACCATCGAGATTGGTGTGTGTGACACGTCGGCAGCAAGTGCCCCACATGCCCTTGACTTGACTGGATATGTTCCTTTTGACAGCTCACCGCACGACCGTGTGTGATAATACACCCGCATCTTCATCTTTCACCCGTTACAGAAATAACTTGACTTTCCACCACAAACTCTCAAAACATTAATCTATGATGGAAAGTGCGATGGCCATGTGACGTCAACCAACATTGGCATTTCCAGCTATTCGTGCGACGTCCTACTTCAATTCTCCTACCTTTTCCAACACTCCCACATGTGCCATTCATCATGGCGCGTCAGCAGAGAATCGCCAGATCGATAGTCTATGCGATCCTCGAGAACAATGGAGCGAAGGTGTGCTCGCTTTTTGCGCGCATTCTGACAGCCATCGCATATTTCTTTTCTCTCTTCCAACTATCGTTGAATAGACATCGCAACGATCTCTTCGAGAGACTGCGGGAACAGTGGCAAGTCGATGACGAATATTACAAGGACAGCTTTGGTCAGAGGAATGGTTTGGAAGCGCAGGGTGATATGGGCTTCAGTGGAAGCGTAGGTGTTTTGCTCAGTCCATACGCGCAGCAGACTAAGCAACGCGCAGNNACTTTCTACACCACCTCTGACGGAGCGTATCTCGTCAAAAGCGTTCCTCGAGGGTTCGAGCATTCATTTTTCCGTGACGAGTTTTTGGAACCTTACTACAACCACATGATGAAACACACCAAATCACTTCTCATCCGGATTACTGACTTCCTCGAATGGTCCCGCTTTGGCATTGGCGGTCTGTTAGGAACGGCCCCGACACATCACATCATCATGGAAAATATCCTGATCGGCAAGGAAAAGGATAGCACATCGAACTGGGAGACTTGGGACCTAAAGCCTACGTCGTACTTTTTCCCAGAACGGGATATCGCGAATGGCAGGCTTACCTCTGACGACACCAAGGACCGTTTAGCAGACAAGTTCGAGGACAAGATAGTCTTGACTCAGTCCCAGGCTGATGATTTCTTTAAGCAACTCTCGGGAGATACCGAACTACTCGAACGGTGCAATGCTGTCGACTATTCGTTGTTTCTGGTCAGAATCCCGCTTATCAGCCAGGACAACTCATCTGTACGACAGGGCCAGGAGGCAGCCATCCAACAATCACACAGACCTCCATTTGTGCCACCAACAAATTCTTGGCGCACTGGAGTGTACTCCGCTGACCAGAAGTTTGTATTTCGCGCTGCGGTTCTCGACTTCTTCTGGGCCAAGCACAAGCTGCAACCTAGGGTCATGACTTGGTTGATCAAGGCATGGAACCTGATCGACCGTCAAGGACCCATGAGCATTACCACCACCCCAGAGGAATATCGTCACAGGTTTCTTTCAATGTGTCATGAGATGGTTGAAATCAAGAACTAAGCACTGCTTCACGAGGTGTCCCATAAGACTTACTGAACCTGCTTAAACGTCCCTACTTTAGTTGCTGCCTGAAGAGCCCTCGGCGCTTTCGGCTGATGGAATGATTAGCCTCCCTGTCTATAATCAGCGTTGTACTCGGCCCGGCACGTAATGGGTTGTGTCCATCCATTATCTGCTAAGCGGCCTCTACGATAACTGTTCATGTTGACATCGAATCAAGATCATGACCTATCGTCATTTGATCTCTTAGCCCTAAAGTCAACAACAATCATTGCCGATTTGGTTTAGACAGGTGGAAATCATCACACAGTGCACTGAGATCAATCAGGAACTTCTTGTCGAGAAGTAAGGTCATATATGGCTAGTCGCGAACGTCTGGTCTCAGGATGATCTGCGATGTCTGTTCGGAGTATGTTGAGCCTCCGCCGGAGTAAACTCCTAACCGCTAGCAAACGTATTGCGAACCTTCTTTGTTAAGAACCTCATCGTGATCATGTGTAAACATCCTCTGAGAACATTGTGAACCATTCGAAACCGCTTGTAACGACCCAATCGACTCCTACGCCGCATGAACAACCCGACGGTGGGGACCTGCGAAGAAATTCGTAGGCCGGTTGCTACCAAAACAGTCATCTGCATTGGTGTGGTGAAAAGACTGCAAGCAGCCAACGCACAAGACATGTGCTGCGCACGTTTCCCGAGGATGCCATCGATATGCGCTGCTCAAACACATAGCCGCCGCAGCTGGGCGGCCCTCGAGATAGCGGCAGCCCAAACAACCAGCCGTCCTTGCATACACAGCTGAGTGCGAGGACCACCACGCGTCGTCTGCGGACCCCACCAACCAAACAAAGCTCAAAGGAAGGATTCAGCCTGGGCTCTGGTTGCATATCAGAGGCTTGCGTTCCAGATTTCTGGTGGGTGCCATGCATAGAGCTTCGTAAAGATGTGGCATGTGCCGTGCCGATGTTCCTTCTCGGAGCATTTCCTCGACTAAACCTCCAAGCACAACGACAACTACAACGAAAACTGACCAGCAGAATCCAACAACGTCGCTTCGATTGGGCTAGATTACGAAAGAAGTTCGAATCGCGAGTCAGATATATCTTCATCCTGTTATTCGACTAGCATGTGGCGATAGAGACAAAGAAACAGAGTTGGAGCAGGCGGCTAGGGACGCATGAACGCTCAGCTCACTAGCTAGATGCACCTCATGCGGAGCCGGGACGTTATCTGAAGCCTTGAGTTTCGTGTCATTTGTTGCATTCTCTGACTCGTTCAGCCTTGGTGAGCCATGTGACGCTTCCTGGTGGTGGTCATCAAGCGGTCAATCGAAGTAGTATTCGAGTGAAAAGTGGACGAGAACGAGCATGATGAAGCTTTGCTGGCCGAACCTAAGGTCTTTGCTTTGGTCGTTTACTCAAACAGTTTGATTAGACCACTTTTGGGTAACAGTCTCAAGCCAAGTTGGTTCACTTTCTCGGACATGCAACCTCCGCGCCACCCGAGGAACCGCGCTTTGCAGGGCAACACTGTACTCCATTAATACATGCAGGTCCCACTACTCCAATGCCCCAGATGATAGGCTGCCCTCACGCGGAGATGGAGCTCTGTTCATTGCCTCTGAAGCTCCCAGAACCTGAACAGGTGCTATATAAACATCCTCTTCCACTCGTCCCAACCTCAACTCTTCCAAGCTACAATACCACCAAGAGCCTTCTTTGCAAGCTCAATACCTGGCGACGACTGCCTAACTAGAACAACACCTTCCTGATCACAGCGCTTCTCAAATGGCTACTGCAGAGGTCCAACAGCCTGTTCAGGCCAAGCCTGCGCCCTCGATCCCAGACTATCTCGCCGATCCGGATGCTGTACTCAAAGATACCCAGGCCAAATGGCGATACGGCAGAGCACCCGACTACTCCAAAACACGAAAGGTGTACGCAGAAAGTGAGTATTCGCCGATTTCATTGTTCTTGATCCGCACGTCTTTGCCACGTACGACCACGCACCTGTCAGCAACAGACAACCCTGAAGACAGCCGCACATGGGCTTGAGATCGTACCTTACCGACAGCTTTCCACAATTAGGCATCCACCCCATTGCCCTGACAGTCATGTAGCAGACTTTGTGTCTGCAGAACGATTCTCCACTTGCGTAACGTCAAACCTACCAACTAGGCTAACAGGCTAACTTTCCGAAAGCCAAACAAGCGAATCATATCTCTGGCAGCCTGGAAGATATGGTTGAGAACCTCGTCAAGAACTGGGAGGTTGAGGCCTCTTTCAAACCTGAACTCTCAGACTGGCGAACTGTCGACCACAGCAAGTACTCCTTTGCCATCAATGGAGGCCCAGGCCAAACAGGAGAACACATGCTCAAGGTCGGAACATACAATGCCATCATTGCCCCCAACGAGTACTACAGTCCGGTATACTCAGACTTTGCAAGCAGCCACAAGACATTCAAGCGGATGATGCCAACCTTCGCTTGGGAGGTCCTCGAAGTCTACAGTGGCCCACCAAGAGTCGCCTTCAAGTGGAGACACTGGGGCACCATGAAGAACGACTATGTTGGTTTCAATGAGTAAGTCGTGGAAACCCACCCATGACTCGTATGACATAAAGTTGACATATTGCAGCNNAAGGGAGAGAAGGTGACAGCCAAGGCCCATGGAGGAGCTATCGACATCACTGGCATCACAATTGCTACCGTTGACGATGCGGTACGACTGCAAGACGTCAACACATACTTCGATCCAATGGAGATGTTCCGCCAGATCGCACCCAATGGCATTGTCAACAAGCAGGTTATCGACAAAAGAATTGATCCCGCTGTCGCCCTCGACACCCAAGTTCCGTCGCAAGATGGTCTAAAGCTCGCACAGGCACATGATTCGGACCATCCAGATGAGAGTCGACCTGCGAACACTACCGCAACCTCGTATACCGAGGCGAACAACACTTCAACCACTGCCACATGTCCCGTGTCTGGTGCTAGCATGAGTGCCGCTCTCTCGGCAGGTTGTCCAGTGATGAGTGCCATGCAAAGAAGCACCCTCAGCTCTCCAGCATCCAGTTCTGAGGGCGAGTGGGTGCAGGTGCCCACCAACAAGGAAGGCATTGCTCGCTCAGCATACTCGTCCTCCGTGACTGGCGATGTGGAGCATCGGTTGTCAGCCAGCACTAAGATTGACTACAGCCAAGATGCTGGTGTGCGCGACTACGTCGATGAGCATCTCGAAAGCTCGGCTGCGAAAGTGCATCCTCACCCACACACCATGGAGCAATCAGTCAAGCCGGTGGTTGGGGATGCAGTTGTGTCTGGCCCTCGATCTGCAGAGACCAAGCTAACACATCATGAGATGAGCAGTATCACCAAAGACGAGGAGCCATTGCTGATGAACAGAGAGTGATCGTTCTCCGTCAATGACCGACTTGCTTGTTTCCTTGAGTTCTCTCCTCTCATTCTCCAGAGATCTGTCAGGTCTGATTACGATGCGTATACAGGCTTTGTGTAGAGCCTTCAATCTTGTTGACGTCTTCTGGAGTTTATCTTTCGGAGTCAGCTTTCTTCTATGGTTTCGGATTACTGTTTTCCATAGCAGAATCATGTTCAATGTTTCCACCAAAAGTCCATTTAATATGCAGCCAAGATGTTGCGCAAGTTCAATCGTAGTTTTAGGTGTGTTGTCGTTGCTTTGACTGGCGCAATCGTTGAGATGATCCTCCTCGACCTGCATGTTGTCGGACCTGACATGAACGATTTATGCAGGGTTTCTTCTGGTTGTCGATACCGAACACACTGAACGACCCTGAATCGTGGCTCTTATACCTTCCAGCGGCCCGCCTTACCAATAGCCATGTCCCTCAATCAGTCGTTGAGGAATTGAGCATACGGAGTAAACGACACTTGGGTCTTCGAGATGCATTGCATAATCATTTGAAACTTATGTGCAGGTTGTAATACCAACGATCAACGGCTAGAGTGACGTCGACTGGCCTAGGCCCAAACCTTGTTTCCTCTTCACGTGCCCGGCGTACAACAGCCCTTTCTCCTTCCGCCCAAACAAAAGCGCGATACAGTGATACATCCCGCATTGAAGAAGAAAAATACTAATAAATTGCTACGAATCGCGCGTAATGGTATAGAGGCTAGTGCCAGGAACAACCAGCAACCCGGCTACACAAAGATGCCAACGTTCGGCTGGCAGAGCAATCAGAGTCCACACGCTCAATTCATCCGCAGTGTGGACTGGAGCGCCACGGCAATAGGCGCACCAGAAACATGGCCGCATCAACTTCACCAGATGATAGATCTGATCTTGCTGGATCCGACACCTAGTGCTATTATGTGGNGGGACAGCCTCACCATGATCTACAACGATGGATTTGTGGAATTTGCTGGAGAAAAACATCCGAAACTCATGGGAGGAACTCCACTCGTCTCATATGCAGAAGTCTGGGAAGCCCAGTTCGCTCCAATCGTACAGCTCGGTCGAGAGAAAGGCCAGGCAACCCGCCACAAGGATGTGCCGTTATTCTTGAGACGTCACGGATATACCGAGTATGTGCATGATGAATGCGACAAGTACCGGCATACTGATCAAGNNAACAGAGAAGTTTTTGTGGACTACACGTTTATACCTCTCACCGGAAACAACAAAGAAGTTGTAGGGTTTTATCATACCGCTGTGGAAACCACAGATCAGAACCTGGCTAGGCGAAGGACCCAAACATTGATCGACATAGGTAACCATGCTGGTGGTGCACGAGACATGAGGCAATACTGGGATGCGGTGCTCAAAGGATTCGAAACTAATATCTGGGATATACCGTATGCGATTGCTTATGAATTCCACAACGACAACGACGGAGAAATGTCTTCTACAAATGGTTCCAACTCTCGCTCTGGCTCTCGGTCAAGGTCCAACAGGTCTAGCTCATTTTCCGAGTCGGTATCCTCATCAGGTCGGATTACTATTCCTAGAGCTTGCAGTCTGGCTGGTGTGATTGGAAGATCCATGATACAGGTTCCGCTAGGCTTGGATGTTGCGCTCGAGGAACCTGGCTTCCATCAAGTTGTGAAGAAGGCCATCAGCTCTGGAGAGCCCGTACGCCTCGAGATCGCTCACGAGAAGACACCGGACTGGCTCAGATCAGACAAGCCAGGGAGAGCATTCGACGAACTCATCACACAGGCCGTGGTAATGCCTATACGACCAACGACCAGGAACGATAGTGAGGGGCTGAACGCGATTGGATTTGTGGTAATGGGCCTCAATCCACGACGGACGTTTGATAACGACTATCAACGCTACACACGACTCTGGAGTCAGCAGTTGGCCACTTCGGCGGCGTCGGTGGTTCTTCTCGAGCAAGAAAACAGGCGACAGATGCAACTCAAAGTCCAGCTTTCTATTAACGAACTTCGGTTCACTCGATTTGCTGAGATGTCTAATGTTGCCATGTGGATTGTGGATCCTTCCGGAAGTCTGGTTTATGGCAACAAAACTTGGCATGATCAGATGGACATCGCCGACCGTCATGCGAAGTTCGACGAAGAGGGCCACCCTATCTGGTGGGAGAGGATAATGGAGGACACGAAACCCGCGCTAGTGCATGCGTGGAAACTCCTGACCGAAGATCAAACCGCGACAAACATCGAGATTCGGCTGAAGCCTACTAGGACAACGAAGCAGAGCCGATGGGTCCTCTCATCTGCTTTCCCGGAACTAGCAGAAGATGGTTCTCTCAAAGCGATATGGGGATGCAATACGGACATCTCGCACCAAAAGCTAGCCGAGGATCTCAAAGAGCAAAGGCTTCTGGACGTCCTCGAAGCGAAGCGACAGAGTGAATCCTTCATCGACACCGTGTCTCACGAGATGCGAAATCCATTATCTGCCATTTTGCAGTGCGCGGACGGAGTCAACACTGCTGTACTGGAAGCTCGGCAATCTTCTGGCAATGAATCCGATACTCGGCTCGATCGTGAGGGACTGGACTACATCTTGGAATCTACTCAGACTATCATTCTGTGTGCGCAGCATCAGAAACGTATCATCAATGTACGTGCCTCCAAGACACATCTACGATAATCACACAACTGCCGCATTGTCTTGATCATCAATACAATGTGTCAAGACTTGAGAAGACCGGGTTACTGACTTTCTCTGCAGGATATCCTAACTTTGAGCAAGCTTGATGCTCGACTCCTTGAGGTCACACCAACCGAGGTCGATCCCGTTGAAACCGTCAAGCACGCGCTTAGACTGTATCAGCAAGAATGCACGAACGCAGGTGTGGATAGCGCAATACGAGTAGATCAGTCATACAATTCTTTGGCTGTCGATCGTGTCTATGTCGATCCGTCGAGATTGCTTCAAGTCCTGATCAACCTGTTAGGTAAGACTGACCTAATTTTATTCTGAAAGCTGTCCACTAAATGTTATCTAGGCAATGCAATCAAATTTACCCAGCATCAAGATCAGAGAAAGGTTACAGTCACTATCAGCGCATCTCTCGAGAGTCCGGCAATGAGAAGCGATGGTGAACAATACTTCTTCCCCAGAGCTTCAAAACAAGAACCTATTTTTGGTGCCGACTGGGGTACTGGCGAGGACCTTTTCCTACACTTTTCGGTCAATGATACAGGAGTTGGTTTAACAAACGATGAGATGAAGAATCTGTTCCTTCGCTTCTCGCAGGCATCACCAAAGACTCACGTTACTTATGGTGGAAGTGGCTTAGGCTTGTTCATCTGCAAAGAACTAGCCGAACTTCAAGGTGGCCGCATTGGGGTGTCTTCCACGCCAGGCAAAGGAAGCGATTTCAAGTTCTATGTCAAGGCCCGCCGAGCCGCGACTTCTAGCAGGCGAGAAACTCCTGACTTTGAAGAGACGGTTGCAAAGAAACCCAGACAGAGCAAGTCTTCACACAATGGCCAGAAAGCTCCTGACGAGTCGACTGAGTTACGCGTCACACACCCCAACTACATTGCACCTCTGAACAGGTCTCACTCAGCATCTCAAAATCCTATTGTCGGTTCACCAAGCGATGCAAATACGTTGCACGTTTTGGTCGTAGAGGACAACTTGATCAACCAAANNAAGTATGTTCTTCTGAAATACCGAAGCCTTGATCATTTGCTAACAGTAATACAGGTGATGGCGCAACAGCTCAAAAAGGCCAAATGTGAGGTTCATGTCGCCAATCATGGCGCAGATGCTCTATTCTTCCTAGAGAAGACCAGTTTCGCGAAGGACTGTGGGCCATACGCAACACCACTGTCGATTATTCTTATGGATCTCGAAATGCCAGGTAAGCCAACCCTAGCCACTAGCATTGACTCAATCGTACTAAGACCTTTCTCAGTCATGGACGGGTTGACTTGTATACGAAGAATTAGAGAGTGGCAAAAACAAGGAAAACTCACAAGACCGGTGCCAGTGATTGCGGTAGGTCCGACTCGTGATATCTGTCGCTTCGTGCACTCACACATGCAACAGGTCACAGCAAATGCTCGCCATGAGCAAATTACCATGGCACAAGAAGCAGGAATGGTAAGACACTACTTTCACATACACAGTCATAACATTGTGAACTAACACGCAAGTTAGGACGACGTTGTCACGAAGCCCTTCAAGATCTCCGAACTGATACCCAAGATGCATGCACTGATAGAGAAGATTTCGACCTGATGACCTAGCACACAGCATAGTCTCAATCTCAATGAACAACCCATCATGTGCGTTCTGACGCCAACCTTGTTCTTACGCAACATCTCGAGCGAGGCCACACGTCTTGAACAGCAACGAGGTCAATTTCTCTTGATGCAACCACAATCTGAAACTCAGGTTGCCAAAGACGCTAAGACTGCACCCATCGCCTTGTTCCAGTTTCCAAACGTGCCCAAAGTAAATGACACTTCCACGCGAGACTTACAGAGTCTCGTCGCGATAGCTCTCCAGCTCAAAGCAAAGATGTTCAAAGACTGTCTGGACCTTGGAAACTACGGTTGGTTGGTTCTGATCGAACAAGGAAGTCGCGCCAGAAATGCGGCTGCCTGTGCGATTTGCCGTTTCAAACACAAAAGCACATGGCACATGTGCCGCGCCACAAAGCTTAGGCTCTGTGTGCTTACATTGGAGGCTTTATTAAGAAGTGCTTGAAACTGATATTGGCAAGAAGGTACACGAACGGAACGCAGGTATAGCCGGAGGATAGCCTAAAATCTAATTTCAGCCGCCATATATCGTTGCACTACCCTTAACCCCACCATCACCCCGCATTCGACACTTGCCTATAAGTGTATATCAATACTCGAGCAGAGCCTCCTGACTACAATCATTTCTACACTACTTTAGTTGTGCAGGTCTTTGAAGATGATTTCAGCAATGCCGGATTATAGCTTGACTGACGAGCAGAAACAACACTTTCTCGACCATGGCTTTATTAAACTTGAAGATTGCTTTTCGACAGAGGATGAAATGTGCAACGGACTCATGGATCGTGTGTGGGAGCGACTAGATATGGATCCAGACGACAAGGAAACCTGGAATCCGTGGCGAGGTATGTGACAATTCTACCTACTATGCTCTTTCCTCTCCTCTTCCTCTTTCTTTGCAGACCATCGAAACATGGAGATTTAGTTTTGCTGATGTGATTAATACACAGTGCACCTTCCTCGCTACCACGAAGCTATTCCCATGCGCGACTTCTGTCCCAAAGCCTGGTCAGCAATCTGCGAGCTTTGCGGCGGCGAAGACCGCATCGATACCGGTTCCTCCACGACTCCCGGCCTCGACTCTTCCGTCCAAGACATTTCTCTCTCAGTAATCAATGATGGTTTCATTGTCAACGTGGGCAGCAAAACAGACGAAGCCAAATGGAGAGACGCCTCCGTACGCGGCACCCCCTCAGGCCCCAACCACTTGACACCTGCACAGCAAAAGTTGCTTGATCCACATGACAGAAACAATTGGCATGTCGACGGTGACTTCTTCCACCATTTCCTGGATAGCAAAGAGCAAGCTCTTCTGCCTATCGTCTTGTTCAAGGACATTAAGATTGGAGGTGGGGGCACGATGATATGTCCTGACGCCATACCCACAATGGCCGAGCATCTGTACAAGCATCCAGAAGGCTTAATGCCTGATATGACGAACATTGAAGGCAGAGAGAAGCCCTACAAAGATTTCAACCATGGCTTTTTCGATGAAGCGGTAAAGCCTGTGGCAAAGGACAAATTCAAGACTGCCACAGGAAAAGCGGGAGATATCTATCTCTTGCATCCTTTGATGGTGCATTCGGCTGCTCCGAATTACTTGAGAGGCAAGTACATTCACTCGTTAACACCTGCCTCATCAATTCTCTCTTTGCATCTTTCTCAGATACACCTCGCTTTCCATCTATACATCACTAACTCTGACTCTTCTTGCCACANNGAGCCACGCTTCATCACCAACNCCCCAGTAGCCTTGAAGCAACCCTTTAATTTTGACCGACCAGACGGAAGCGCCTACAGCCTAGTGGAGCAGAAAACACTCAATGCACTAGCTCAACCTGAAGGGCTCAAGGGGTGGAAGATTACCACAGAGAGAAAGCAGATCGTGCCAGAGAGAGTCAAGGAGCAAGCAAAGATGAAGAAGATTTGAAACGGATCCGATGCTGGGTTTACTGGAGTATGAGCACATGTGTATACGAATCTGTTCATGTAGGAGATATGAATGGTTAGGTTGTGTTGTATGTTACGATAAGTTTGTAATTATGAGCACATGGTAATAAACTCCCCCTTGGTGTATCGCAATTTGCAAAAGAACAGGTGCCTATTTCTGCAGAATCTAGTACTGAACTTCGTATGAGATCGTGTGTAGCTGCCAGATATATCACGTACCACAGAGGAGCATAGTCAAAGCGAAGTGGGTTTACAACAGTGGAAAAAAGATCAACTAACATCCCTGCGTGCTACCGCTCTACTTTTTCTGTTACGCCATAGCCTGCCTGTAACAACCTCACTCCACTCTCAGACATGGTCGACAAGTGACAAACGCTTCCTGGCCAAGTTGTAGCGTTCAATGCTGTTCGTCCGAGACTTCAACTCTGGCTATTCTAGCGAATATTGGGCTAGCATACATATCTTGCATCGTTTAAAGTCATCTCAAACATAGTCGCCAATCTTGTTCAGGCCTTTGAGTGAGCCGAGACTGAGAGCCAGTCCCTGCGATCTGCTTCTTATCCGTACGAAACCAGTGACAGTGCCATCTTCTTGCTCGACACTGAGGTTGGCCAAAGCATCCTCACCTNNAATTATTGTTAGCTTTAGGCAACATGACGGGCAAAACAGTATTGACTTACCGAATACACTTCTGGCATATAGGTTGGCACTCAAGAATTGACAGTCTCCACTAAGACTGGCATCCGGTGTTAGACAGCTCATGTTTGTGACCTTCATCAGCCCCTTCAAGAAGTCACGCAGACCCTTGCCAGCCGGCATCTTGGTGCTGATGTTGACCTTATTCTCCCACTCGAATTCGGTCCACATGGTTCTGAATTGTGTCTCGGTGCACTGTGCTGGTTGGATGTAGTCCATAATGTCGACGTGAACATCATTCAGGATGACAACGTTCTGATCTGTCGACGAAGCGCCCTCATACACAACGTTTCCGAAGATGACGCCGGTGTCAGTGGAAGACACCTTGATCGTAGCCTGAACGTTAAGGAAGTCCAATGGCGACAGATTTTGCGTCGTAGGTCTCTCAACAACCTTGAGGTCACCAAGAGTAGCGAACTCTACCGACAAGTTTTGCAGAGTATCCTGAGTTTGGTTGACAAGCAAGACATCGAGGATGATGTCGAATTGGTGAACCTGAACGTATGCCTCGGCGTACACGGGGTCGGAGAAACCGGTAAGCTGCACGACACGGCTGAGTTTAGAGCTGAGGTCTTCCGTTGCAGAGTCACCACCAGTGGCCTTCTCCAAATCGAGTTGAATCTCATCAGCGCCATCCACGGCGTTCTTCTTGCTAAGCTGGCGGATGGAAACCACATCGTCAACCTGGATTGCGTTCTTGGCTTTGCTAAGTGCGTCTTTCTCAGCGCGCTTCTTCTCTTCAACATTGACCATGTCTCTGAACGCTTTTCGGGTGTCATCGAGGAAGGCGTTTTCGAGCTCACGCTTCTGAGCGAACTCTGCCAACGATCTCACACAGGACATGATGCGGTCGATAGAATCCTCATCGATGGGGTGTTTGACGAATTGCGATTGTCCAACACGAATGATGGAAATCATGATGAGCATAGCCTCAGCACGGAGAGCATTTGTTCTAGCTTGGTCGTCCGAGATCTCGCTGTGGCGCATCACAAGCTTGGTCAAAGTAGACGCAAGAACACTGGCAAGGTAGTAGTCGCCATCGAGGATCAGCTGTCTCAATGGAGGCTTTTGTGCAGCCTTGACAGCTTCCAGCTTGGCCTTAACAGCAGACTGACTAGTAAGAGCACTCTCAGTAGCGTATGTACCATCGGCAAGAACCTTTCGTGAACCTGTTGGGGCGGCCTTTGCGTTTCCGTTGACCTGGTCGTTCAAGTTCGGCTCGCCGTCGGGCTGTTCCTCGAGAAGACGTTGTTCAGAAGCAAGGATAGGAATCTCTCCCAAACTGGCACGGATGTGCTTCCAGGCTTCACGGATATCGTTGGCTTCCAGAGAGTATTCTCCAATGATCCAAAGAGAGCCACGGTAAACCTTTCCAGCACGGACCTCGCTGAGGGTCGATACAAGGCGTCCAACAATTGTCGCTCTGAGTTTGGGGAACTTCTCGACAACCTCTTTGACGAACTGAATGACATCGACGGCAGATGCGTTATTGAAGTCAGCAATAAAGTCCATCAACAAACCAACAACACTGGCTGCGACCTCGGAGAATTTAATGGCGCACTGGTGAATGGAGTGGATGAGCAGAGAACGATACTCGTTGTTNCTGGAAAGCCTGTCAGTGTTGCGCTCCCGGAGCAGTTTTGAGCCACAAACCTTCTCGTACTGCTCGTCCACAGTCTTGGACAGCTCTTTCTTCAAAAGCAAAACAACTTCCTCGACGTTCTTGCTCGAGACCATGTCCATGGCGATGCTGAGAGCCTTTCTACGGACATCAAGATCGGGACTAGACAAGACGCGCAGAACCTCCATGGTCAAGTCATCGAGAATGCCTTCGTTAACGCGACGCAGCTGGTTGACCTTCTCGAGGACAATCAGCTTCACGTTGTTGTCCGACTCTTTGATGGCCAATTCGATGAACTTGGCAGCGGCTGCCTTCACTGCGACAGGGTTGCTTGTGAGAGCTGTGAGCGAGAATGCGGCCTCGTAGACGACGGTAGACTCCTTGGCCTCGAGAAGATCGAAGATCAAACGAAGATAGCGTGCNCTAGTCACGGTCAGAGAAGCTAAGTGGTTGGTGCTGTGGCGCAGGCTGACCTTGTTCTGCGAGTTTGTGACTGCGTCCTTGCGGATGAATTCGAGCTCAACAAGCTGGAGCAGTTCGTCGGCGTTGGGGATACCCTCAAAGACGGAGCTCAGGTACTCAAGAGCCTGGTCGTGGCTGATGGAGATCAGAGCAGCAAAAGCATTTCTCTTGCAGGTAGCGTCACTTTCTGACTCGAGGAAGGCCTGGAGAAGCTCGGGAGCATCGGGCATGAGAGCCTCGTTGTGTTGGTAGATGGAAGCAATGGCGAAGACAGCGTTCTTGCGGACGTATGAATGGCGGTGTTCGAGACATTGGCGTGCAGGCGCAAGAAGGGGCTCGATGAGTTCGGCGTCGCGAAGCTTGCAGAGGAAACGGAGAGTGTTGCCGCGGATGTACTCGTTGGCGTGCTGCAAGTCCATACGGATACCGTTACTNGTGGGAGGACGCAGTCAGTGGTCGGATGTTTTCGAGGAGGTGTAGGATTGTCCTCACCAGACCAGAATCATTTCTTGCTTCAACTTGCCGCCAGCATCATGCTTGGGGCAGACCTCGTAGTACATGTATAGCAGCTTCTTCAGGGCCTTGCTCTTGGACGGCATGACGAAACGGATGATGTGCATTAGGAGTTGAGGCATTGGGTCGCCGTTGAGCATGATTGTCAAGATGCGCTTCATCGTCTCTTGCTTGGACTCGTCGGTACCCTTTTCCAGTTGGTTCTTGAGGTCCTGCAACGACGGCTGGTCGGCCGTGTTGTCTTGGTGCACCAAGCTGTATGCATTATCGAGGAAGGTCGCCATTGTTGAGAGTGTCTATCGATGGACCATGCACGCGGGGTGCGAAAAGAGGGAGAGTTGTGCTGGTGGTATTGCGAGTCCCCTGGCCTTCTTGTCCCGTAGGCGGACCGGAGCGGCGCAGTAAGAGCTGAGACGGAGGGAGTTGGGCCGGGGCGACAGCGATCTGAACGACAAGTATGCAGCTGTCGGCGGTTAATGGCGAATTGAAAAGGTGTGAATTGTTGTCTTGTAGGCGGCTTGATTGTTCAGGAGCTGTCCTTGGGCTACGTTTACACACCCCCGTCCAAGCCTAACCAAATCGAGCCATTTGCTCCATCGTCCACCAACGCCGCAGCGCGTCCGCATACATTCGATACCATCACATCACAAACACATTCGTATACCATGGCGAATAACGAGTCGTTCTACTTGCGCTATTAGTGAGTCTATCCTGCCATCCTTCACAAAGTTTGAAAACTTCATCACTTCTTTCCCCCAAGCTTCTTCCCATCATCCACAGGGCCAATTATTCTGCAGCGCGGCCACTAACACCATCACAGTTCAGGCCACTCCGGTAGATTCGGACATGAGTTCCTAGGTATCCATCATGGTCGTACGCCCATCTGTCTGTCTATACTGATCCCTCCCAAGNAGTTTGACTTCCGCGCCCTGGGCGACGGCCGCTCTGCTTCGGCGCGTTATGCCAACAATTCCAACTACCGCAACGATTCGTTGATTCGCAAAGAGAGTACGCTGAATGCAAACTAATCATGAATTGATCTGACGACTTGCTAGNTGTGTGTAAGCTCGCTTATGATTGAAGAGATCAAGCGCATCATCAAGGACAGTGAAATCTTGAAGTAAGTTTTGACGTAGACACAATTATGAGCCATGAACTAATGCTTTGATAGGGAAGATGACACCAAGTGGCCGCAAAAGAACAAGGATGGCAGACAGGAGCTTGAGATTCGTCTCGGCAATGAACACATTTCGTTCGAGGTTTGTATCCTCAACTATTTCTAGCCACCAGCCATACTGATGTACTACACAGNNACAGCTAAGATCGGATCTCTTGTCGACGTCAACGAATCAGAAGACCCTGAAGGCCTTCGTGTCTTCTACTACCTCGTGCAAGATCTAAAGGCACTCGTCTTCTCTCTGATCGCCCTTCACTTCAAGGTACATTGAGGAAGAATGTTTGATCATTCGATGGTATTGCTCACACGTTTACAGATCAAGCCCATCTAAACTCTGCATCATGATTCCAGGCAGGTAGAGGAAGGCGCCGCGTTCAGGTGTTCAAAACGACCACTATTGTTAGTATCATTTCCAGAGCATATTCACTGGGGTTTTCTCGGAACACAATGGCCGCCTGCTGCAAGGATCTGGTAGCCATACAAGGCTATGGACCTGCTTTGCCATGGCCATGAAGAAGGTACTGATCGCCTTCAGGTCTGACGAGAACGATGGCTCAAGTTACGATTCGATTAAAGCGTCTGAGAGGTTTGACAAGCAAAATAGGAAAGTCATGTTGAAACACAGATAGCATGGCTACGCACGGGTGCATCTGGAGAATTGTTGGACCCTCAAGACTCGGCCAGGCCCAGCTTGCACGAGACACCAAGGTTTTTTTCCCCCGGAGGCAATGGGCTTGGCAAGTGCAGCGTGCGTCGAGCATGGTGACTTCTTTCTTGTTCACACTCTTGCAAACCAAACACTGTCCTGTCTCTGCATTGACCTTCCTATGTTCCTAATTCCCTGACCGCGTGCGACCATTGTCTCCCTTGATATTCGAACTTTCTTTTTGATCCGGAAGCCATTCTTCTCCTGCCTGGTCGCCATCGCGCAACATGCCCACGCCCCATGATGACGAAACGCCTACACCCATCCATCTCTCCGCATCAAGTCCAACCCACGCGACTTGCCCGCCAGAAGACCGCTCCACGCACACACAACGCGACAGCCATGTCCCGCCATCCGCCGAATCGAGTCGCAATCTTGTAGCCGATCCCGTTGCTCAGATGCCCACACCCGAGGAGGATCAAGATATAGAGCCGCCCACGTCTGACCCGCCAACAAAACCCATGGACTTGGATGAAGACAATCTTGCAAAAGAGGCCCGTCTACCAACTCCTTCCAGTCCAGTTAACGATGATACGAAGGAGACGGATACACGAGTTACTCCTCCAGCCTCGGCACAGTCCTCTCTCACCCATTCGAGTTACCCCCTTCGCAGAAAAAGGGTTCGTACTACAACAACATGCAGTGACATACAGCCGCTGACGTTGTGTCTAATCAGCNTGATACCTTGTTTGACATCCTCCTTCTTCCAATCAGGTAGCAAATTTAGGGGAACACAACAATCAGATCGTCAAACCTATGATGTCCAGGTAGAGATCAAGCATGTTGATATGGAAGAGTCTTTTGTTTGCGGCTACTTGCGCATCCAAGGTAAGAGTATAACGACAACATCCCTCGACTTGTCGTGCTAAATCTGCACAGGACTTACAGATGACCATCCAACATTAACCACCTACTTCGAGGGTGAAATCATTGGTACGAAACACTCGTTTCGCACTGCACATCCAGAATGGGGCTCTTCAGAAAAGGTCGACATGCAACATTGGGCGCGCTTCCCACCGTGGAAGCCTCTCGCTAAGCACGCCAAATCGCCCAATTTTGCATGCCAGGACTACGCCCAGCGTGAACATCTCTTTATGAGATGGAAAGAATACTTCTTGGTGCCGGACCACAAGGTCAAGTCCATCACTGGAGCGAGTTTTGAAGGCTTTTACTACATCTGCTTCAACCAGCGCAACGGCTCTGTGTCTGGAATCTATTTTCACTCTCGCAGCGAAAAGTACGTTAATACTCCAGCGAAACATATCTTATCAGGACAACAGCGCTGACCTCGAACCAGATACCAACAGCTTGAGTTAGTGCATGTAGAAGACCGAGGCTGTGTCGGTGCTGTCGAGTTTCGATAGCCTATGCAAGGTCTCGGCTACGAAGAAATGACTTGAGGAAAGTTTATGGTATAGGTCGGTCCCTTCATTCTTTGCATCCTTTGTATATGTCTGGCGTTGGTGAATTGTCCTCGATTGTGTACTCATTCATCCTTGGGGGCTTGTGGCATCTTCGACGGAGCCGCCCCTTATTTTTCGTCTCGAGCCATTGCTCAGGCAAACGAGTGTGGTATGTTGTCTCGTTGGTGTTTCTTGTATGTAGTTTATCTTTCCTGCACGGGTTTAGGCTTGTTGTCGATCTAGTCTTTTGTGCTAGGCAGACTCGGCTGCTGTTCTGCAACACATTTCGCAATCCCGGCAACAACAAAATCAGCGAGGTTCACCATCGTGCGTCTTCACAAGTCAACCAGGGCATGCGGTGTACTAAGTAGGCCTCTGCCATGTTCCATGTCAGTGGTTAGGCGTCGGCTTTGAATTGCGATATCAGCCGTCTTGTCCTCGGCGAACTCGGGGGAGCTTAAACGCGGCCAGGCGTGGGGAAATAATTATACAGCCGCTTCCAACCGACGCAAGCCGTACAGACTATCGGTGATGCGAGTGTAGCCAGATAAATAACTGGAGCTGTCTTGACACTGTCAGACTCTGTCCTTGTCCCTCTTCCTCTCGATTGTATCAGTCATCTGCCAGTCGTTTATCATCATGGCCGCCAGACTCACTCTCCAGAGCTACCTCAAGGCTCCCAAGACTGCATCTCTCGCCAATGGCATCAAGAACACTCGCACCATTGCGACCTTCAAGGTGCCTGCCGTAAACAACGAGCCCAACGTACGTCTCAAAGAGCCAAGAAGCTGAGAAACAGAGGCTAATGAATTGGTAAAGCCTACCTACTCCAGAGGTACCGTGGATCGTGAGAAGCTCGCTGCTGCCCTGAAGAGCTTCAGACAGCAAGCCNCCGTCGATGTACCCGTCGTCATTGCTGGCAAGACTGTAAGAAGGAATGCTATCCACGGAATCACGAGCAGACAACTAAGACACAGTGGCAGANTCTCGAGCCAGACCAAGCTCTCGCAATCCGACCCCTCGGCCCACGCCAACTCTGTTGCATCCTACGCCAACGCCTCGTCTCAGGACGTCTCGGCTGCCATCGATGCTGCTCTGGCTGCTAAGCCAGCATGGGAGAACCTCCCCTTTGCCGACCGCGCCGCCGTCTTCCTCAAGGCCGCCGATCTGATCGCTGGCAAGTACCGCTACGAAATCATGGCAGCAACCATGGCCGGCCAGGGCAAGAACGCATACCAGGCCGAGATTGATGCTGCTGCTGAACTATGCGATTTCCTTCGCTTCAACGTTCAGTACGCTCAGGACACATACGCACACCAGCCCACTCACAACTCGCCTGGCGTCTGGAACCGTGTCGAGTACCGCCCTCTCGAGGGTTTCGTCTATGCCGTGTCTCCCTTCAACTTCACCGCCATTGGTGGTAACCTCGCATGTGCTCCTGCCCTTATGGGTAACGTCGTTGTCTGGAAGCCTTCTCCTTCGGCTATGGCCTCCAACTACCTTCTATACAAGATCCTTCTCGAGGCTGGTCTTCCCGAAGGCGTCATTCAGTTCCTTCCCGGTGATGCTGCCGAGGTGACCAAGGTTGTCCTTGCCCACCGTCAATTCGCCGCTCTTCACTTCACTGGTTCTACCTCTGTCTTCCGCAGCCTGTACGGTCAGATTGCCAACGGTGTTGCCGAGGGCCGCTACCAGGGCTACCCTCGCATCGTCGGTGAGACTGGCGGTAAGAACTTCCACCTTATCCACCCCTCTGCCGACGTGCACAACGCCGTCATCAACACCGTCCGTGGAGCTTTCGAGTACCAGGGCCAAAAGTGCTCTGCCACCTCTCGCGCATACTTCCCCGCCTCGCTCTGGAGCAGCGTCAAGGAAGGTCTAATCTCCGAGACCGAAAAGCTCAAGATCGGCGACCCTGAAGACTACTCCAACTTCATCGGCCCCGTCATCCACCAGGGCAGTTTCGACAAGCTGAGCAAGGTCATCGACGACGCAAAGAACGACTCTGAGCTCGAGTTGCTGGTTGGCGGCAAGTACGACGGCTCAAAGGGCTACTACATCCACCCTACCATCTACGCAACCAAGAACCCCGCACACCCGCTGCTCAAGCAAGAGCTCTTTGGCCCTGTACTGTGTGTCTATGTCTACGATGATGCTGCCCCCAATGCCTTTGCCAACATCTGCAAGGACATTGACGCTTCGTCCGACTACGCCTTGACCGGTGCAGTGTTTGCCCAGGACCGCTATGCCATTCGTTTTGCCGAGGAGGCGCTCCGCAACACGGCTGGTAACTTCTACATCAATGTCAAGAGCACCGGTGCCGTTGTTGGCCAGCAGCCCTTCGGTGGTGCCAGGGCCAGTGGTACCAACGACAAGGCCGGCAGTGCTAACCTGTTGGCTCGCTTTGTCAGCATGCGTGCCATCAAGGAGGACTTTGTCGGCAGCAACAAGGTCGTTTACCCCAGCAACGAGGTTTAGAGGAAAAGAGAAATCAATCTCATGACGGTTCTTTGCATAAAAGGAGATGGGGAACAAGGCGATATCTGGCGTTTTACACTTTCTTTGTTTATACCTTTTTCTTTCACGATATAACCCCTTAGCAGCACATGGCGCATAGTCATACTGTATCAATGATGATGAAACAAGAAGAAACCGTTCGTATTTACATGTTTACATCAGACACGTTTGAATCGGGGAGCATCGCATCCTCAACGGGACGAATGACATGATGCGACAACATCTACTGTTGCCTGGAAATCTCTCGAAGCCATGCCTGCTCTCCTCTTCTCCTCTCCCTAACCAACCCTCAAGAGACGCCATTAAACGCCTCGCTTGCTTGCTGTCGTTGCGCAAATGTTTTGGAGGACCAATATCCGACCAAAAGCTTGTCACAATATGATATTTCCTTTCAAATGATTACCAGGTCCCAACATGACCTCAACTTCACTTTTCCCTCAAAACGACATCCATTTCTTATAGCTGCAAAGAGAGATCACGGTGGGGCGTCTGGCTTCAGCTCATCTGTATCTCCTTGGCCTGCCTTTGGGCGGCCTCGACACCCTCTGGCGCTTGGCGGTAGAGGACGATTTCGCTCTGCTTGAAGTAGCGACGGGCGTCTTCGTCGATGAGGACCAGAGAGAGGTAGTAGCGTGTCGAGTATTTCTTGTTAACTTCGCGGAAGGTGGGTGTTAGGTCGAAGCCGCCGAGGAAGAGACGGATGGGGATTGTTTCGCCGCGGGAAGGTGAGCCATCCATGATCTGGAGAGAGGGGTTAGTAGACATTCAGAGAAATACTTGAGGTGTGCATACCTCGAAGCGCACAAGCGTCTCGCTCTCGTTGTATTGATTCGGCGGTACACCAGTAGTCTCGCGACGGATGATACTAAGTTCCATGTGTTTGATCTTCAGGCGGACGAGCAAGAAGTAGATGCGGCCGACAATGACATCCTTCAAGTGATATTTGCTCTTGCTGTACTCAAACTCAATGTGCAGGCAGTCCTCAATACCAACGTCCATCTTGATGACCGAGTTGGTCTCCGGCGGCATGCGGTACGAGTAGACCCAGAGGTCCTTTTCGCGCACAACGTCCTGCATACGGCGACTCACGGTGACGCGCACGAAGTAGCGTAGACGCACGTTGATGCCCGAATAACTCTCGTAGGGCTTCTCGACGTTCTTGAAGGTGAAGGGGAAGGTCTGAGGATGTTGGAGGTCGCCCGGTGCGGCAAGCTCTGTTTGCATGGACAGGAACTCGTGGTGGGTGCCGCGGTCGAAGAACATTTCGATTGTGCCGATGAATTGGACCTTGATGCCCGTGTGTTCTAAACGCTTGCCGTCTTTCGGGCGGACGGTGACGGCGCCTTTGACACTCTCGCCGTCTAGATATAGGGGAGCCTTTTCGCGGCGGTTCTTGTCCATCTTGACGTCGACCATGGCGCGATCGTCGGCATCTTCGAGTACGATGTCTATGTCTAGAGGGGTTGACCAGAATAGCGACATGGTGGGTGGTGATGTGGGTGTTGACGAGTCACAAGTGTCGCAAGCAGAGGACAGACAGCGGTTTCAAGAGGGTTGTGCGCAGGAGACAAATTCGGAGAAGGAGCGATTGGAGCGACGAGTGGATCGATTAGGAAGCTGTTGCGTGTCTGGAAGGAAGGATGCTGGTGGCTATGACCGGCCGCGACTGCTGGAGCTCATGTGCCAGCCCGCGCATGCGCCATGCGGAGCGNGCCTTGGCAGAGGGCAAGAGCGGAGGCCGGCGTTTGCACCTGTTCTTCTCCGCGCCTGGCCATATATTTTTTTGAGCCCGTCGACTTTCTCAAGTCTGATTGCCTGCATACTCGACCACACATCATCCACAATGCCCAAGGTCGGAAAGCCCATCTCAAAGCGCACCTCGACGCGCCTGCGCAACAGCATTCAGAAGAAATCTGCCGAGAAGCAAAGAAAGCTCCGCAAGCAAGCAAAAAACGTTGGTCAACTTTTCCACTTTAGACATTTGTGGCTCGAATGCTGATCATGACCCTGTCAGAACCCAGAATGGCGCTCCAAGATTAAGAAGGACCCTGGTATTCCCAACCTGTTCCCCTTCAAGCAAAAGGTCCTCGAGGAGATTGAAGAGTCAAAGAGGAGGAAGGAGGAGGACAAGCAGAGAGCCCGTCTGTTGGCAAAGGCTCGTCGCGAGGGCATTGATGTTAAGGATATCGACCAGGTAGCCGCCGCCGAAGATGACGAGGACATCGACATTAGCGACATGGACGACGACGACGATGCTATGGACGAGGACGCATCAAACCCCATGGCTGCTCTGCTCGCCTCAGCACGCGCCCGCGCACAGGACTTTGACGGCGAAGCCGAGGAGGACGAGGACGACATGGATGAGGATATGTCCGACGACAACATGGCCGCTGGCGAGGAACAGACTATGAACGCCCCCGCCGTGCGCAAGGATTCTTCTCGACGCGCATTCGACAAGGTCTTCAAGAACGTTATCGAGCAGGCCGACGTTGTCCTTTACGTTCTGGACGCTCGCGACCCCAACGGAACACGATCAAAGGAGGTCGAGAGACAGATCATGGCTGCAGAGGCTGGACACAACAAGCGTCTGATCCTCGTCCTGAACAAGATCGATCTCATCCCTCCCCAAGTCCTCAAGGACTGGCTCATCCACCTCCGCCGCTCCTTCCCTACCCTTCCTCTCCGTGCCGCCAACTCGGCTGCCAACGCCCGTACTTTCGACCACAAGGCCTTGACTGTCAAGGGCACCTCCGAGACCCTCTTCCGCGCCCTCAAGACCTACGCCCACTCCTCTCAACTCAAGCGTGCCATCACTGTCGGTGTCATCGGATATCCCAACGTAGGAAAGTCGTCAGTTATCAACGCTCTGACTTCTCAGCTTGGCAAGAAGGGCAACTGCCCTACGGGTGCTGAAGCCGGTGTCACAACCAGCTTGCGCGAGGTCAAGATCGATAGCAAGCTGAAGCTTCTCGACTCGCCTGGTATCGTTTTCCCTTCGTCTGCCGAGGGCGCAAAGGCCAACCGCACAGAAGAGCAAGCCCGTCTGATTCTGCTCAACGCTGTGCCGCCGAAGGAGATCGACGACCCCGTCCCTGCTGTCACTCTACTGCTCAAGCGTTTGAGTGCCAGTGCCGATGGCTTCCAGAAGCTGTTGGACGTCTACGGGCTTCCCGCTCTGATGACTGCCAACGGCGACCTTACCACAAACTTCCTTGTCCAGGTGGCTCGCAAGCGTGGTCGTCTTGGAAAGGGTGGTGTCCCCAACATGCACGCTGCTGCACAGACGGTCGTCACTGACTGGAGAGATGGCCGCATCCAAGGCTGGATGGATGCACCGACGCTAAAACTCGCCAAGGAGGGCAAGAAGACTCCTGGCAACAGCGACAGCACTGGCCTTGTTGGTGACCAGAAGGAGATTGTTACCGAGTGGGCCAAGGAGTTCAAGCTCGAGGGCCTCTGGGGTGATGCTAACGAGGACACGGCGATGGAGTCGTAAAAAGGATGGGAAAAGTGGTTTCTTCTGGTCTGGGACTCTAGCGCGTACGGAGTTGTTTACATGTTCCTTTATATGTTGGTTGCATACACTTATTAACGAGATACCCAGCCTTGTACCAAGAACGGCTTGTCAAGATTGTCTGATGCTCGTTGCAAAGTTTCGGTGTACTGCCCAGGTGAATGTGATGTACGAGATGTGCTATTGACCAAAGCAAGGCCACTCTGGGAGTCTTTGAGTTGAGTGCTCGAGAAGTATATAAAGTCTTGGCGTCATAGCTTCACCCCGCGATATTCTGAAAGTTGGTGGTTCTTTTTTCGACCAGCAGCTTGCCATCAAGCTGGACAACTCTTAAACACATTTGTCAAGACAACGCGCAGTAATGGTCGGACCTCCTACGAAGCGCCAAAAGCGTGGTGAAGTGCCCGAAGGAAAACTACCACAGAAGAAATTCTTCCGCCAAAGAGCACACGCAAATCCCTTCTCGGATCACAACCTCACCTATCCCGAGTCACCCGCCGCCTTCGACTGGGCTGAGCTTTACCCAGCATATGCAGTAAAAGAGGACAAGGAGAACCAGGATGCGTCATCTGCACAAGAAAAGAGTGTGGGAAAGATATCGAAACAGGTCGAGGTGGCAGACATTGGATGTGGCTTCGGCGGCTTGCTGTTCGCACTGGCTCCCATAATGCCCGAGACGCTACTGCTGGGTACGCCGGATCAGTCAACTATCTACCAGTGGAGCACGTGAGCTGATAGCAAACGATACANNGGCATGGAGATCCGCTCTGCAGTGACAGAATATGTCCAGACCAAGGCCAAGGCATTACGCTCGCAACACACCGAAACCCAGGCTTTTCAGAACGTCGCGTGCTTGCGCGCCAACACGATGAAGTTCCTGCCCAACTTCTTCACCAAGGCTCAACTCAACAAGATCTTCCTGTGCTTCCCAGATCCGCATTTCAAGGCTCGCAAACACAAGGCCAGAATTGTTAGCACAACGCTGAACTCGTGAGTCATCATGGAGCTCCAGATATGCTATAAAGTGACGAGCTAATTGAAATCAAAAGGGNAGTACGCATACGTCTTAAGGCCAGGCGGTATCATCTACACCATCACCGACGTCGAGGATCTTCACAACTGGATGGTCGAGCACCTAGACGCCCACCCATCCTTTGAGCGCGTCTCAGAGGCCGAGCAAGAAGCCGACGAGTGTGTGGCTGTCATGCGTCAAGAGACCGAAGAGGGCAAGAAGGTGACGAGAAACAACGGTAACAAGTATGTCGCTCTCTTCAGACGCCGAGAAGACCCTGCATGGCCCTGAAAGTCTCAAGATGATCTGTTTCGATCATGAATCTACGATCCGTCCCATCGAATGGCCCCATTCTCTACCATTCACGGCGTCCAGCGCCAACAAGCTGTCGTAAGCGACAGCTTATGCAGATATTAGTGTCATCAGCACATGCTCGGTCCGCCTGAATCGGACAGCGCGAGTGCTGGTCGGAGCATGCTAAGGGTCATACAACACCAAGTCACTACGATCACAGAGATTAGACATGTCGAGAGGCGAGAGGCATATATAGAGCGAAGCGGCTTCGGGAGACAGGTAAGCCATGCTCCATATACCTGGTTGAGTATCTTTCACGTACGAACATCGAATGACGAAACGCTCCTCAGACTCTGTCTTTGGACGTCTGACCCCAAAATCTGACAAATCCCTGATTGCCCCCTTCCATATCAACATTCGTTCGATCTGTCTAGCTCTCACTCAAAGGTGTCCTTGTGATGGCAATGACATCTACGAACCCATACTCGAGTCGTTATCGAAAACTTCATCAGTAGGTTTATAGCCCGCATACCGTCTGCTGCGCTGTCCGGTGCGTACGCCATCTCACTTTTGAGTTGATATGAAGAAGAGTGCGAACAGGGCTGTTAATAGCGATGCACTCAATAGCAACACAACAGCCATATATTTGGCTCGCGAACCGGACAGAGCCATCTCTCGATCCCGCCTCTTGTCATCAACGGAGCTTGTTGCAGTCGTAGTGGTTGCGATGTTCGCGTCTTCCAAGACATTTGCATGCCTTTGTCCCAAGTCTTCTTCCATTGCCACCAGGCATCTCTCAAGTGTGTTGAGCTGTTCTTCGAGTGTCCTCAGCCATGCTGCTTTCGTTGCAAGAGTTCCATCATGGTTGGTTCCATGCTCATTCGGCGCCTGAGTGGTCGTTCTGTGTGGATCAAGTACCTCGTCGAGTAATTTCTTGGTTTTGTCGAGTGATTGCCTAACTTCGCTGATCTCTTCGCTGATCTTTTCGATGTCTCCTTGTGAGGTAGTAGTTGGCAGGATGAAAGCCATCGGATTCGTTAAACAAGACGGATGGTTTGGGCCAACCAATGCAGCTGCCTGGTATGATGATGGGAGTGACGCCAAAGTTGTGATGGAGCTGAAGTATGGTCGATGAGGCTATGAGCAAGATGGTTCTGTGCCTGGCTCAGATGTCAGTATAATGCGACAACTCTGAGGCATAGGTCGGAACATACACTGTCTGATCGGAAGCTGATATTGAGGATGAATAAATGGATCGATGTATGATATTCGATCAGGAGTCATCTTTAGGATCACGAAAGCGCAGGTTTGTTTACCCAAGATGCTCCGATGGCAATCACGACATGACCGCGGTTGCTTGTTTCGACTCTGACGAAAGCAGTCGACTTCTTGGAGAGTCGCACTTTCTGTTTTGCTATATGGACAACGCTGACGACTATCGATGGAGTTCATGAATCCTTCTTCACAACGCAAACACTCGATCAAGACCACAACTCTACCAACATCCTACAGAACTTCACTTGCTTGCACTACGATATGATGGCCTATGACTATCATCTCAGTCAAAGGAAAACGACGCTGTCATTTGGTTGTCCGTTGCTCGCAAGCATTGATCGTAGGAATAGACCACGCTCGTAGTGTTCTGGCTCCTCTTAGCAGAACCATCAGCCATCTTGTCTGCTCCCTATGGATTCAGCTCACACCTCCTAAACCACTCGCTCTAACTCGCATCATAACAGACCTATCTCTCTCATTATGGGCAACTCATCAGACAACCTTCGAAAGACTCCTCTCAACGCTAGTTTCAGACCCAGCTATCACAGCCGGTCGACGAACTCGAAGTGATTCTCCACGCTTCCTACAACTTTTCCCACAGGGTTGGGACTGTCTCTCCCTACCATTCCCCTCCATCCGAAATGAACCGGTCGGAGATTGGGCTGCCTTCTATCGCAAGCATGATAAAGTGGACCTTGGGTCGGGTCGAGTATACTGGAACCTCCAGACTCCTGGACCATGGATGTGCTGCAACAAGACAAACAGCCACAGACTCACAACCTGCAAGGGACAGTTAATATCGAGTATCAGGCAGTGGACAATGCTACCATGCGATACCGAGTCAGAAGAGACACAACTGAAATCCAGAGTGCGAGCCCGTGGAGTGTCTCACGGATAGAGGTTTTTTCTGCAATGACCGAGACAGCTTCACAACGCTTTCTCGACTGAGACGACTTGAGATTCGCTTGAAGAGCCTCATCATCACCCGAGACAGGCATACCGTTCGACCTCGAGTCTGATGGTTGATGTTGAGGAAATCAAGCGAAGAGTAATATCAAATCCTGACCATGCATGTCAAATCGAGTGGAAGCACGAATGCGGTTATAGAACGCCACTCGGTAGTATGCAAGCATTGACCTCGATGACTAGGATGTACAATCGACTGCCATCTTGACAAGATTCTCGACTCCAAGAATCTCAAATGTCTCCAGACTCACCCGCTGTCAAGCCCACGTGGATTACAGAGTTCGAACAACATCCTATAGCTACAACGGACGCCGAGTTATGCTTATCGCACGAGTTTAAAGGGCTCTGTTTTGGCTTTTTCCTATCATGTGTCATGATATCTTGACATGATTAACTACAAGCCGCAAGCGAGCATGCTATACTACGCCAAGCCGAGATGACTGTATAACTGTTCTATCGAAAATACAAGACATTGTACTGGTTAGCGAACAACTGTCTCGAGGCCCGGTAGGAATTGCCTTTGATCGTTGGAATTCCTCCATTCAGGACCATCATGATCTTCTTCCGCGGATTTTGGAGAGTGGAGAGTATGATCACAAGATGTTCATGAGGTCTTTCTGGCAGAAAGAAAAAAGACGGTGCAAGGTACGGTATCCAACGGCCGCCGCAAGACGTATCTGGGTACCTGCATCCGTCAGCACACTCCACTACTCTAGACAAGACTCCAACCAATCTGGGGTACAAGAGAAGTATGTGGGAAAGTTAGTGCTGCGAACTTTGTCGGTCCTGGTCGTCTGGTGTGGCCTTGTTCCCGCTATCCATGCAAGTCATGAGGCGTTATGGGTAAATCAAGGCATTCAAGGTTGCTGGCAGCAGAAACCGCCCTGCAGAAAGGAAGCTAGGCTGCCACGCACATCCAAGATTCGGCCAAAGCAAGAAAGTGGTTCGTCATGGGCGGATCCCACCCAGCAGCTAGCTGATCCTTTCCCTGTGGCATCTGTCATTTCTGTCAGCTGAGCCCTTTTACACGAGCATCGAATGGCATGATGTGTCCGTCGACACGCCACAGCCTCACAATCGTCAAGCCCGTATCGCAACCGCAGTACTCAGTCTCGAACACAACAGTCAAAACGACCGAGCAAGGTCTGGGTTTCCTGTTACAGAGAGGAGTCGAGTGTGCTCGCACAAGGACCATCAAGCAATCGATAGACCACAAGAACTTCCCAAAGCGGATTTATCCTAGAAACGGCTTTTCGCCTCTGGGCTGATACAAACGTTAGTAGTCGCCATGTACACAATCGCCCGTTGCGTTCGCGGCGTGGCCTGTCGTCCAGATATGGTCAAGCAGCCCTCATGCCCGCAGCACCACGGGAGCGGGCCGTTGAGTCTATTTGAACAGCCTCTTTTTCGTTGCACACCTCACTACTACCACTCACCTTGACACCACGCTTTTAGACCTGAAACAAGCTTCGTTTTCACTTTCCCTTCGCACGCCTTGCCCTGGTCAGCCCTGTCCTGTTTTTTCTTCGCTACCGCGAAATCGAAAGCTACTGAGGGATCGAAAGCTACCGAGGGATCGAATAGAGAGAGCGGACGGGCGGACACGTCCGTCTTGCCGACCAGCGGTGCACTATACCAATTGGTGGACAATGCCAAATGCCAAATGACATGAGTGGTGGGCTCTCTGGGCCGAGCGTTTTTGCTCTCACGATGCCTGCTTAGAGCTATCCACTGCTAGAGCGTTGATGTGGACGTCCCACGCTCTCTTAGTCATGTGGTCGGACCGGTCGTACAGAAAGGTCGACATCATCGAGAAAGGGCATGTCCAGACCCTGGTGCTCGACACTCGATACCCACAGTGGGACGAAGGATAAGCAAGGCGATCAGGGCCCCTATCAATCGGCGCTGCCTTCTGCCAACCTGCTGTATGCGTAACACGTCAGTTTAAACAAGAGTAAGCAGCAGATGATCGTCAGACCAGAGCAGTTCGTGAAAAGTGGAAAAGAGGAAGGAATGTGTGTAAGAGAGGACCTCATCTCGATTCGCAAAAGTGATTGATAGCATCTAGATTTGACCTCCTCTTTCTTTGCCTTTCCCATCCTGTTTTGACCTATTGTCCCGCTATCCTTCCGTGTTGGGTATTCCCGTATGATACATTGCCATGTGTTGCTTGTTCGCATAGAGTAAAGAAGAAAAAGAAAATCCAGACTGTCGCAGTGGAAAATTAGGTGATTAGAGAGAGTTCTGAACGTAAAGTGGTGTAAAGTGACCACCCATCGTGGAAGAGACGGAAAAGATGGGACGTTGGAGTTCATGCCCAGCTTTTCCCTCAACGCATGCAAGAATTAAACAACAAACTCCTCGCTTCGGGATATCCAGTGCTGTAAGGCATAAAATAAATCAGACATAGAAAAGAAAACATGATAAGGAAATGAATCAAAGATAGTGTCGTCATCAGATGGAGAGATTAAGATCTGTCGTGGAGTGTGCTTTATGCTGCGGCCGATTCGCAAGAGGACGAGGCAGGACTGGAACTGCCCTTTTGTTTGGCGTGCTTCTCAAAATATTCGGGTCCGTGGTTCGAGAAGGTGTAGTTTTTAGGTCCAGACTCGACAGCTTTGCGAGGAGTGTTGGATTGCTTGACGTCTCGCGGAGGCGAATATTCATGAACAAAGAAGTCGGCCCCGGGGTTGTTATGCTTCGGAACCTGCGAGGAGCCAAGGACGCCGGGACTAAGACTTGAAGATGGCAAGAAAGGTTGCTGCTGATGGGGAGGGGTCGCTTGCTGCATGTGACCTTGAGTGAAGGGTGGCATAACAGGGTAGCCTGAAATGACCTCGCCTGTGTTTGTCATTATGTACGACATCTGCGTGTCCATGTATTGGCTCTGCTGTTGCTGAGCAGGAAACATGACATTGTGCATCTGTGGGTACTCGTTAGGCAGCATGCCAAGGAAGCCTTGAGGATTGGCCTGAGATTGAACCAGAGGCATTGCTGACATCTGAGGTGGGCTGAATGCACCACTGGGGAAACATTGCTGAGTCGGAGGAGCAGACTGAGGAGGGGTGTTGTCAGAAGGAATGGCCAAACTTCCCATGCGGCTGCGAATGAACTGGCCGCCGTAAAGAGGCGTGGTCGGTGGGGAGAAGTTCATGCCAGAGACTATGTAGTTCTCATCACCTTCGGGCAGGCTCGTCTGTCTGAGCATAGGCTGAGATTGCATATGACGCAGCGTGCTTATTGTGTTAGTCGGAGACAACGGGGTTGGAGGGGCGAGACTAGCAGTCGATGCAGCAAGACTAGCATAGGCAGGAGAGAATGAGGAGACACGACGACCGTATCGAGCATTGTTGGCCTCGGCAAAAGTGGTGTAGCCAGAAGGCGAGCGCTGAGCAGAACCAATGTTCTTCTGGATGCGGCCACCAGCAATGCCGTTCATGGCTTGCGATGACTTGATACGACGCAGAGTATGACCACCGATAGTGTGGTTGCCGCCCACCGGACCTGGAGATGTGGGCAGCGTGCCGCAATACGAAGTACTACGAGCGCTCGTGGTGCCCAGAGGAGCCGGACGAGGGCGCTGTCGGCGCGCGGCGATGCTGGATGAGGGCATGGCTGAGCGTTGAGGCGCCATGGTGAAGCTTTGCATCGAACGAGCAAGCTGGACCGTTGAAGATTCGCGGCGGTTGTAGTCATCACCAGGGAACGCCATGGGTTGGTCGAGGTACTCGTTAGAATCGGGAATTGACTGGACAGAGAAGTTGCGACGCATGGCGGCCTCTTGGAATTCCTTGCGAAGGTCGTCCATTTCAACGGGCACAGACTGTCCAGGCTGCCACTGAGGCGACGTCACAGTCGGTTGCGAGGGCTTATCCTCGCTCGGAAGGTTTACGTCGAATGTGTCATCCTTGTCCTCGGCTGGGGAAATGGTCACCGAAGGAGCAGATCCCTCTGAGCTCGACGAAGCGTTGCGCAGCTGGTTGTCAGAAGGCTTGAAGTCGGGCACAACATCAGGAGCGAAGGAATCGATGCTCTCGTTAGAGTGCATAGGAGGAGACGTCAATGGGTCGACAGACTGAGAGTCGAATGAAAAATCGCAGAATTCAGAATAAAAGTCGCCGTTTGCGGTCGAGTTCAAGGCAGTGTTCGCGTCAGCAGCCGACATGTTGGCAAAACTTGGCTGCGAGTAGGCATCGAATTGGGCCTGGGTCAAAGTGTGTCTGTTGTTAGCATCGGCAAACGACTCTGAATGTACTGAGTGCTGCGAGGCGAGAGACTGTGTTGACGCTTGGTGGCGCATGGGTTGCGATGTGATCTGGTCGAGCGATGCAAATGTGTTCTCGGGCTGGCTGATGCCGAGGCCACTGGACAGTGGTCCGTCCATGATGGAGTTGTCACGGACGCCATTGTATAGAGTTGGCATGCTGAAGGGCTGGTCGAGGGGCATGCTGTTCATGCCACCCATTGGGTTGATGCCGACAAAGCCCTGCTGTTGCTGTTGGCCCTGCTGCTGCGCTTGCAGCATGTTGTAAGCACCTGCTGCCTTTTTGGCATCCTGCTTCGACTTTGCTCTACGGTTCTGGAACCAGTTCNNTATGCACGGCTTAGCGACTGTGTTGAAAGATGGATGTTCAGTCCAGATAAGGGGCCCGTGGCTACTTACGTTGACCTTGTCTAATGATACACCCAAGACCTCGGCGAATCTCTTCTTGGTGTTTGTGTTGGGCTTTGCCTGTTTCCGGAATTCGTTCTCGAGTACATCGTGCTGTTCCTTTGTCAAGCGCGGCTTGACGTCGACGGCCATGCCAGCTAGTGCGGCTGGATTGAAGTGCGGCATCTGGCCCAGGTGGTCGGAGAACATGTGGGTGTCCCGCCTGGTGAAGTGCCGCGCGTGGAAGTCTGCTGCCAGGTCTGCATTGAGTCCTGGATAGTCGGCGAACTCCATATTGGAATGCTATAGAGAGGTGTGGTGAGGGCTCGCACTAGGAGAGGGCAGTCTGGGTTGGCTACTGTGCAAGGTTTAAGAGAGAAGGCAGCCTCGGCGGAGTGCTCGGGAGGGTTTGTCAGAGATGGCGTGGAGGCTGGTTGTGTCTCAGATGCGCACGGAGGGTAGCAGGATCAACAAGCTTGCGGGTTGGCCGGTGGTTGAGGGAGTATGATGATATTATCGGAGGGTAGGAGAGTGATGATGGCAATGGTAATGATGTTGTGGGATGAAGCGAGTGACTGGCAGGACCGCAGATCAACAGGGCGAAGAGCGAGGAATTGGGAANAACGAACGTCGGGGCAGAAACAAGTGTTTGGGCTTGGAAGGTGCGAGAGAAAAGGGCAGCGACTCGACGACGAGATTAGGGCGGATCACGACTCGGAAGGTGCAAAGCTTGGGAGCGGCTGCACAGCGCNNAAAGCACAGAGATCGCGGGTCCGGCTCGCAGAGACCGAGCGGGAGCTTGAAGATCGCTACGATGCGCGCCAGACAAGATGTGCAAGACGACCATGCACACAGAGTCTGANNGCGCCTCCGTCTCACAAACCAAATCACCACATGCGCCGTTGCCTGTCTGGCCAGAAAGTCAGGACAGCTTATGCGCAGCCGCCCAGAGCACACGCCCCCACGCCCACCTCTAACTTCCAACTGGCAAGCCCGTTTGGCAAGCCCAAGCATCACAACTCAACGTCCTTGACTGTCCGAATCGCTCAAGACCCTGCCGTGAGAGATGAGTGCCTTGCCTGCGCTGCCATTGGGCCGCTATCAAGATACCACCATCATGATCATGATCTGTCTTTTCTTCTTCCTCGCTCATGCGACGCTTGCCGCTGGAAGAGGAGCGTCCTTGGACCAGCACACCGCCGCCTAAAAATAAAGCACCGACTACAGTACTTCACTGACTGCTGCCCTGGTCCCTGCTTCTGTAATCATGTTTTCTTCCCGCTTCCTCGGCTGACTGTGCATGCCCGAGCGATGAATTGTGTTTATTCTCCGCATCATCATCCTCCTCCATCTCTGTGCCATCCGCGATTGTTACTGAGGCATCATGATAAGTCCAAATCGCCCGTCGCCTGCCGCCCTACCGGTGCAATCGCCTAGCGAACACTGTAAGAGGGGTCGTTGAGCCACGCGCCCACTCAAATCGACTGTATGCCCATCATCACTTTGCGCCACGTCCTGCTGAGCAGAGTAGCCAAAGAGGATCCACTCGCATGTTTCGGAGCGGGTGACGCTAAGCCGAGCGCTGGCGCCTTGAAAGTGTCGCTTAGTGGCCGCTGCTAAGAACCAGTCCTTTCCTGTTCCTGCTTCGTTTCCGACGCATCACCCAGCCGTTAGCTGTGGGGTACGACTTGCCATGAGGTTTGCGCGCTATGACAGGAGATTGCGCTCATGGTTATGCACGACTCGCGCATGCGAGAATGCAACTCTGCGTGCACTCCGCCTTTTCTCGTTTCGCTCGACGGAAGCAGTGCGGTGACCACTGGTCAAGTCTCAGGTGTGCTGGAGACCACGTATTCTCGCGGCGCCAAAAGGGTCCAGCCAGAAGCGGCTGATCGACCAAAGGAGCTGTCTATCATTAATCTATCCAATCGCTGATGCAACCTCCACCCTCCCGACCCTTTCCAAGACTCACAGCAGGGCAGAATTAGGCAAATGGCGTAATATATGCTGTCCGATGCGCATTTGTCGCGAGCAACTTTAAGGAGGTCGCTCTCACCTCTATCTCACGACCATGTGTTGAACCACATGTCGGGCTAGTCACCATGTGTCCACTGGCCAAGGCTCAGTCGGCCATGGCACACATCCTTGTCCCCGCATCCTTGGTGCTCCTCGGCGCTATGGTTGGTTGAGAATCAAAACTTCAACTTTAGCCGGACAAATCGCCGACACTGCGAGACAACCCCTCCTGATACAGAGATAGCAGCTCGGAGAGTCTTTACTCGGTGCTAGAATCGTCAAGCGTGCAACACAGTTGTTACAGCCCATTTGCTGGCAACTTTAAAAACAAATCTCCAGAGCATGGCGGTGGCAGTGAAGCGAGCGAACGTTGCGGTGTGTACTCATGTAACCAAAGGGAGAGAGCAATCACGGAGGAGCGGTTCGTGCTCGTAGCCGCTTGCTGCATATCCCTGCGCGGCAATCATGGCAGCGCAATTTGGTTGGACTCCCTTTGTCAGCCCAAAAGAGAGCGAACTTAGCCACTTCAGCTGCAAGTAGCGACAGTCTGACACGTAGAAATCCCGGAGAGGTTCAAGGGTGTGCGTGATGACGAAGATGGAAGGGAACTGGTTACCAAGGACGTCCATGTCTTGCGCCTCACCTAGCGATTGGTAACTCATGGGCCGTCCGGCGGGCTTACTTTTGGTCCATGGGTTCTGACTGGGCGTGAGCGGTTTGACAACAATCTCAATCGCCAAAACGATGGGGCTTCTCTCACAGGGCAACGAAGGCTGTTGCAAAACTCGCCAGGCTCGCTCGAAACGTCGGCGCGAGAAGTATTTTCGCAAAAGTGTATCAAGAATGTTGGATTGTCCGTCTCAACGTCTTGGTCTCCATTGAGACCACCGCGCGATCTCGTCTCGTCGACGCTGCTGGGTATCTCAGGTGCTTCTGGGTATCTCAAGTGCCGTGGACTCCACCAAGGTCAAAAAGTGCGGCGGCTGTTGATCTTTGAAACATGCGATTTCTCCGATTCGCTGGCCCAATCTGTCAGCAAATCTTTTCTTCTTTTGCTTCACGTGCTTCTCTTTCTCTTGCGAGAACCCCGCCATGCTCTTACATTCCCCACCCATTCAAAACTTGGCTATGAGTCGTTCATCTCCTGCTCGAAGCCTCTTGCGCATGGGTATGGGTGAGAAAAACTTTCGAGAGGGCGGAATCTCGGAGTCTTCTGCCGGCAAACGGGAGCTCGCAGTTCTGGTGCTGTGCTGTAGCTGTCCGTAGACGACCGCGCCTCTGGAAAAGGTAAATGTCAAGTCATGTCGTCGCACACTCGATCCACCTCGTGTCGGTGTCGCGACTGCATGTGAGATNNGATTTTCAGCATCGCTNNACTCCTCGGGCTCTGCAGTGCTACCAACCCACAAAAAGACTGCAAGAGACAAGCGACTGAAATTATTCTGGTAACACGCTCCGGTATCCCGAAGAAGTCACTTCTTGGCCTGCATCCGCACACGGCACGGAGCGTGAAGAGGGCACAGAAGCGAAAGGTGTGACCCTTGTTTCTNGAAATATCCCCAAATAGCTTGCTACCNCTACCCGGGTACCTGCAACAGACACAAGAGGTCGCAGGCTCCNNCTTGCCTGTTCCTGTCCCGCCCTCGTGGGCTCCACGACCAAACATGGCACCACACACACGAGTACGACAGGAACAAGAATAAAAAGAGAGCTGTAAAAAGCCTCCTGTACATGTAAGAAGTAGCAACCTTGCATTGGCAAGAGTTTGNCATTGAGGTAGGTGTCCGGGTACGACTGATTTAGGTATCNNCTGCACGATTTCAAGATTTCTGACCTCCCCCTTTCTCGAGTCTGCGTTTTCGNNCATGATATGATGACCTTCGCTTGGAGANAGGTAAGAAAGAGGTGGACCCAGAATAATATCTGCAGTGGTGACATTTCTTCACACTTGTCGGCCGTAACTCCCTTTGCATGCAGGACCGGACTGGATGTATACCTGCAAGGCAACCCTTCGCGTTTTCGCCAGAGAAAGCAAAGAAAAGTGCACCTTCACCGCTCCAAAGGATGCTGATCTTGCAGAAAAGCAAGAAGCGACATGCGTACACATGCTGCAGCAAGCAAGCAAGCAGAGAAGGATCGAGATAACATCGCATACATCCCAACCCGAGAGTCATAGTCGTAGACGTCGCGCCTCTACAGCCAATAGACTCAGCAGATGCCGAGTCAGATTAATCCTCAAATCTCGGCCATGACATTCGATGGGGCTTCTAAAGCAGTCTTACGTTAATATATCATGCAGTATATAGTGGCAGCGGAAGGATTCATTAATCTATGCTGCACCATATAGCACCCAGCTGAAGATTAGCTGGCTGGGCTTTGCTGGCGCATAGATTTTGGTATCTTCGACCTCCAGAGCGACATGAAAGTCGGGCTTCTATCACACCCCATGGTTGGGTAAACATAATATAATTCTCCTCCCGATACCTCGGAGATACCGAAGATCGTGCATACAGCTCTTCGGGATCATGTCTCCATCCTAAGCGACAGGCTGAAGAAGATCTAGATGTGTCAGTCCTCTGTCTCTCCGAGATGTACGTATCAGGTGATGGCTTTGAGGGACAACTCACTACAGCCTTGATTGATTCCACAATCGAACATCAATACCATCTCATGATAAGCAACCAGCAAAGACGTCACTCTAGTTTCGCAAAGAGCAAAGGACGATTTTCATCACCGGTCAGATTCAGAAACAGCACTGTCGTTATAAAAGAAGATCATTATGCATATCAGAAAGACCCTTAGCAACACAATTCATTCAACGACGTTGATATCTCTAGATCATTCCAAAAGCCATCATGATCATGAAACAATTTGCTCCAGCATGCCTAGCAAAAAGTCTCCACTTTGCAGCACACGGCAGAGCAGAGACGATTACAACGTGAGCAACATCCATTGTATCACTACAGAGACACGGATATAATCGTCGTCGTCGGCTTTGCTGTTAATGAGGGTCTGTTGTGCCGCAGCTGTAAACGGTCAAAACTTGGTTTGATTGTTGCTGCCCCTCCCTATAAACGGCTTTTTGGCTGCGGGCTTTGCTTATACAAACAACGTAACAGACTCGAAGCCCCCTTCATCAAACTCTGCCATAGCAACAAGATGGAGCGGAAAGAAAGATGAAGCAGGGGAAAATATGAAAGAACAAAAAAGCCGAAAATAAGCGTTTTGCAATCCTTTGCTTGTCTAATCTATGCTCGACCCTAACTCATCTATGCCGCCTGTTGTCAAAACGCCTGCCAGAGCAACAACCGTGTATCTACTGGACCAAAGCATCCTTGATTGTTATCTCGACCTTAGCAGTCTTCTTGTCAAAGCTCTCCATCGTCACACTGCGCATGTCACGCACAATCCATGTCGCGCCGGCTTCTTGCAGCTGCTGCACTGTATGCGTGGTTGCCAATGCGACTACCTTGTAACCCGCCGCTATACCCGCACGCACACCCGCGGGAGCGTCTTCGAGTACCAGAACATCGTCACTGGTGATGTTCAATCGCTGCGCGCCCAGCTTGTAGCATGCCGGGTCTGGCTTGCCCTTTGCGACTTGCTCGGCGCTGACTAGGTGCTTAGGCGTCGCGAGACCCATCACATCTAGCCATCCCGTGACCAGAGGTTGTGTGCCCGAGGTCACGATAGCCCAGGGTGCGGAGGCATGCTCGAGGGATTCGAGGATGGAGCGGCTGCCTGGTATCTCGACGGCGTCGTGGCCCCATTTCTTGGGGATGGCGCCTTCTGCCGCGCAGACATCTAGCAAGTGACAAGAGTCATGTTAGCTGGATGGAGTATGCTGGAGCGAGACATGCGTGTGGTGGAGTGGGAAAAGAAAAAGATACATCGTGATGGTGTGGTGTGGCAGTGAGAAGCACGTATTTCGTGTTATAGTTAGTACTTGCGACGTGATTGACGCGATGATTGGGAGTGTTTCTGCTTCAGGTCTCAGTTTTGCCTTGAATCCTGAGACAAAAAAGCCGTTATAGGTAAAGCTGGATGTACGATGTGGGTGGGACTTTGAGCAGGCATCGAGAGACATGTATAACGCTCGAGTGGAGAGATACGCTCTAGTCTCTCGTACCTTCCCACAGGTACACGACCCTGTGACAGCATGTCTGTACCGTGATGGATAAGTGGTTGGCAGTCGGCTCCACTCGTGGTGGTCGATTGAGAGTGAGCACTTGACTGATCGTCTCGATCCCGTTTGCCTCGCGCGACAAAGAGGCCAAGAGTAGCTGATAGTTGCAGGATCACGAATCGGTGATTCCGAAGGGTGACAAGTGCTAGAGGGACAAGGAAAGAAGGTTCACGTACATTCCCAGTTGGCGAGTTTAGGCTCCAGGATCTCCAGCACATCGATTGAGCGCCTTCCATGAGAGGTGGCAAGGATGACTTCGGGATCCACGCCAATTTCCTTGCCGATTTGGTGCCAATGCTTGACGATGGCATTGGTGCTGTCGATGATGGTGCCATCCATGTCAAAGAGCTGTGAGTCGAGTCAGCGCATGTTGGTGGAGAGACAACATTTGGTTAGAATCCGCTTGTCTGTTTGACCGGATGGTCGCATCGGACCAGTCTTTCTTATGCCAAGATGGCCGGCGAGAAATATTCGAGGCAACATATCACTCACCAATGCTGAGAACGAATGCACCTCAGCGGGCGCCAAGAAGTTGTGCTCGTCAAGGTGCGGCATGTTGGTTCCGTAGATGCCCAGATATCTTTGTGTGGCTTTGTGCGAATTGAAGACGCTATTTGTGTTATTCGACTTTCGGCGGAGCAGTATATATGTGTATCTGCAGTTAGTTGTTGGGGAGCAAAAGTGAGGTTGCTCAGACCGCTTATAAGATGTCGGAGCTTCCTAATCGAGCGGACCCTCCGCCTTTTTATCGCTGACAGGAGCACCCTGTCCGCATATACAAAGGACGGCAGCGACGACATACATTATTATTCACGTAATGTGGAGCGTTTAACTGTTTCCATAAGTTTCTATCCCACTCTCTGTGAGTATTGTCTTATCATAGCTATCAAAATGCATGATCTATTCCGGGTGGGAGTGTTGTCCACGGAGACGATATGGGATGCCACAATTTCGTGCTCAAGTTCATGTCGAGAAAAACAACTGTGACTTCTAATAGCTTGTAGTTCAAGTGCACATCAACGCGAGGGATGACTCAATTATGAGCTCCTGATAGTCTTTGGCACAGGAGAAGCATGTTCCATGACATTGCCTTTGCTCTACAGACCTCTTAGTTGGAAACCTTTGTGACTTATGATAGACTTGTACATTCATAGCAGTTACAATGGAAACCACAACCAGACGCGGGACGAACGTAGGCACAATACAGTAGAAACTTCATGTACCAGGAAGAAGGAATCTTGATTGATACTCCTACAGAAAAGAAACGTCGTTTCCACGCGAGGACCATGCGTCAACGCATAGCCACCTGCCCTACCCAAATGTCAGCTCGAGATCACCCACACCCCATCATCATGTTTACTAACCTTAGTGCTCACGCACATAGGGCGCAAGGGCACCGACAATGGGCGCGCGAAGAAGACCCCCATCACTTGTCTCTTTGTGATGGAAGTCCGTCGGGCCTCCCTACCACTGCATATTAGCAAACAATCGTTTCAAGCAGAATGTGGTAGTGAGATACTTACAATCACAAGAGTACGAGGAGGGGCCTCGTCTTCTTCGTCGCCGATGCGACAGGAGAGCAGGGAGAGTAGCTTCTCGAGGAAGATCTCGATGGAAAGCATGATGGTGTGTTGTGAGTGGTTGTGGGAGATGGAAGAAGGAAGCGGGTGAGGGCTTTGTTGATGCGCCTGATGCTGTGCACTGAGCGCGCATGGCTGTATGTGTGATACTTCTCTCTGAGAGCCATACCTCGTTTGGGTATGAACTGTGAATTACGACGTATTCCTATTGTTTACGCGGAACGGCTGTAGAAGTCGGCAGCAGGTTCAGCAGGCACCTAGGAACAGTTCAAGCCTCCTTCAGGCGTCTTCCATACAAAGGCAACTCTCAGCACAATGTCAGTATCACTATCAGTGTCATCACGGCTTTGATGCTTCAGCTTGAGGTTGCTTGTAAGCAGCCCATACCATATGAGTTGTCGCAGCGGAATTCACAACCCTCGCAGTTGTAGTACTGCGGCGCAGGAGCAGTGATCTTTCTCAGCTCTCAAGCAAAATGCAAGCATTCTGGACCNCCAGAGATCTACTAGATATCTTCTTCACCAGTAGTACACGCCAACCAGTTCAAATCTTGATATCTGAGCAACAAGCGTCCATCGGTAGTATTCTCAGTATTGAGGACATAGCTCCAGGAAGCAGGCTGAGGTGTATANTTTGTTGAGTCAGCGACAGAGCAATTGGGTTGTGCATTGGTAGGGGTCAACATGCGTTGGTCATTTTCTTCGAAGATGCTCATCCACCAGATTTGAGACCAAGTGGGACCNGAAAGATAGTGGTCTTGCGATTGACAGGCTGGATCGTAGGAAGGACAGGTCATTGTGATGTGCTTGCCAAACCAGAAGTAGTCATCATTGACAGTCGGGNNGATACCATTGATCGCTGATAGACTGGTATTGTAATATGGAACATGCGCAGGTGCTGCGAGGGCGGATGGCATCAGGGTCGCCATCACTGGTAACGATAGATTGCGACATCCTGTTTGAGGTCAAGGAGTTTTGAAGTTGTTATTGTCTTTGGAAGAGACGACGAATCTCCTACTTCTAGTCATTAATGTTACCGAGCACTCACTGCAGAGTCATTGTAATTGTCCAAGGAGCACGCTCCTCGTACCACAATCGCTTACTCTGGTAGCCTCAGACTATTGCAGCTGGATCGAACAGATGCAGACTATCGGAACTTGGAGAAGCGACACTCAATCGGCGACGCCTTCGTCAGAACTCTTCAAACCGCGAACATGGAAGGTAGGATGCTCGTCTGTCCCTTCTCTGTGAAGAGTTGCTGATGGGAGCTCCTCATGATCGGCACAGTTTCTATTGTCGGCGAGCGTGACGACTTCCCGCTTGGCAGGTCCATAACCCGTTCTTTCCTTGTGAATGACATACTCACAGCATACCTATAGTGCTTAGCGAACGCTAGAATCGTCTCATTGTCCGCCGTGAAGTAAGGTATGTGAATTTTTGACCGCAAGCCGTCGCGCGTGAGAGCTCGAACGTTCGGCAAAACGGTCCTCTTCAACTGTCTGGAGACCCTCAAAGGAAATTCAGCATTCATCAGACAGACCATGACCACGAGTTTTACGATGAGACACACATGCATCTGCACATCGGTGAACGGTTTCGACACTTGTCTGCCTGATGACCTCCCACCCTAGAGATCTTGCGTAACGTCGTGAGGCTTCAGCATGTCGTCTCCCTTCACAACCATCTTTTTTTCTTGGACACAGGCCATCTTTGATATCTGCGACCAGAAGTATGTTCTGAGATGCGCCAATCAGAATCTGGATCTGCGACTGAGGCGATGCTTGGTACCTGCAGGTCATTCACGTAGGCACCAATGAGGCAGCTGACCAGCCAACCACAAGACTCGTGCACCGGGTTACCAAAAACCGCCCTAACACCCATTGAAATATTCGAGCCTCACATGCACCCCAGGCTGTTGCGGCGAAGCAAATTATCTCTGATTCACATGCGTGTGTCGGCTGGCTTCGTCATGTCGCGTCTGGCTCGAGGAGTCATAATGGATGTTGGATCTCTCGACTCGAAACAGATAAGGGCTAGCCATCTCGCTGTTTCTCTGTTGAAATCTGGTCTTATTACTCTACAAGATGGATTGCGAGATACACTACGACTTGACAGACACTTTGCCCGGCATGGAGCGATCAGATTCGGCATACACGAATCCCAAGAAGCCCGAATCAGAAGCCTCAACGTATGAACCTCTACCTGACCATCCAACGCGATTCCGTAACTTGGATCTCACCGATGTATTGGAAGACTCGGTACAACTGCTCTGCACTCCGACATCTCGCAACTTCATTCTGGACTTTGGCGACGAGGAAGCATGGGTGTCCTTTGATCAGCCGGCCGAGACAATCCATGCTTTGCTCGAAACACCACGTCCGTCTACTCTTCATACGCGCTGGATCAATATTTGGTACCCTTTCTTGCAGCGACCTCTTCTTGAGCTACTGGCCCAGCAGTATGATTTCTCGCCAAGACTACTGGCTTTGATGAGCTCCGACCCTAGACGGATGAGACAGTACCCTTCTCAGCCTGTTGCTGTCGAAGGGAAGAAGGAAGAAATACTGAAACGCTCATTTGAGGATATTGAAAAGGGCTTATCTTCATCGCCACCTCCTGCCACGGATACCAGCTCTCTCACCAGCTGCAACCCTGCACGTACTGGTAACCTGTACGACATTGTCGACGGCGTCTGGCATTACACCTCTCTGGACCAAGGCCGCAGCTACCTCTGTCTGGGCTTCAACAGCTTGTATAATGTGCACGCTGTCGAAACCGGATGTGGTGTTTCGGAAGAAAGTACTGGAACCAAGGATGCACCTTTGCCTCACATCAAGCGAGTCTGGACATGGCTCCTCATCTGTGCAGACAAGACCATAATCAGCATCAATGAAGATCTCTACCCATACAGCGAAGGCCGATTGTCGCACCCTCAGCATCTGGTCATGATGGAAACTCGTCGCAATCTCATCAATGTCTTCCGCTCGCTGTCCAAGGTTGAGGACAACAGGGAGGCAAACCCGCTTGTACTCTTGCCCATCAGGAGAAGGCTCGGCGACACGAAGGAAGAGACGGCACATCGCGACAAGGATGCACCCGGTCTGCTGTTCTACTACCTGTTCGAGAACTGGTTCAATAGCTACTCCCTCATCACACGTAGAGAAAGCAGATACGGCATGGAGTTGGAGAAGCTGGTGAGTCTCGCAAAGTTCCACGTCAACCTTGTTCATCACTAACGTCAAACAGCAAAAGAGATGTTCTCGGCACCAAAGCTGCACCACATCGACCTCCTGCATGGTATTGGCAACGAACTCGGAGCACTCAAGCGGCACTACAAGAGCTACATCAGACTCGTCGATCGAGTCACTGAGCCACAGTCAAGCACCTTGGCATCAAGAAGTGGATCTCGCGTCCCCAGCAAAGCAAGCCAGGAGACGTTCGACAAGCTCGCCGTGCAAGGAGCACAATCGCTGATGNGGGTCGGACTGACCAGCGCTGCCATTGTCCGTTTCGAACGACTCAGAGACATGATCTCACTGTACGCTCTAGCAGAGTGCAAGGACTACCTGCATCAGAAAGATGGACTGGTACAGATGGTAAGTACTGATTGTCGTCCTTAACACTCTTTTGTTTGCTGACATGTCGAACAGAACTTTCAGCTCGTGGCCATGTCGCAGTCTGCTGGAGTGGATCGCCTTACGAGGGTGGCGCTCCTCATTAGCAAGGCCACCATCCTGTTTCTGCCACTGACCTTCCTGACCGAGTACGTGTCGGCTGATCTCGGAGTGACGTACTCTGTCAAGACGTACTGGATTGCGTTTGCCGTGGTCCTGACGCTGAGCTGGATACTCTTGATGGGCTTTGGTGTACTGAGTGGAACGATGGAAACCTGGAGTCTGTTCCCGCCACTCAAGAGGACTTTCGCCAAGGTCAAGAACTGGAAGAGCAAGAATGATTAAGAGGTATGTGTTGAGGAGTGATTGACAGAGTGAGGGGTGACAAAAGAGAAGGACATAATCGCAACATAACAAGACAGGACAAAGACAGATTGCATGATACAAGAGAAACAGGACAAAGACAGATATGGATAAACAGAAACATGCAAAAGAGAGGGGTATCATATAGTTGTATACAAACACATGGCTTTCTTTCAGACAATCGTGTTATAGCAGTGCAGGAGTGGTGATCTTGCTCTTCTCTTGGCGCCACTTGTCGAGTGCCTTCTCACCATCATATTCATCATCGGAGCATCTCTCCTTAACCATGCCCCAAGTCCGGGAGCGTACAATAGTCTCGACCATCAACTCGCTCCGCACGAGCGCCGCCAAAGCTTCAGTCCTCACCTCCCTCGGAAAGTAGCGACCACTATACGGATCCAATCTCTCATTCACAACTCTTTCTCTCGCCTTTGCATCTTCGACCTCTCTCAGCATGTGATCTGGATCATCGGGGTCCGGAGAAGTCGCAACGCCACCACAGTATGCGAGGACATCGCTACGAGCCTGCCATGAAGGGAACAAGACATTTTGCTTAAAAGATGTGCATGCAGGTGCGGGAATGGCGCGTTTGCCGGTCGGACGAGAGAGGGTTTGCGATGTACTATGCGGGTCCCATCTATCTTGACTGGGGGATAGTAAGGCGTTTAGGTTTTGGGAAATCGTGTCGTCGACGGCGCTGCGAGATATGCGGAGAAAATCTGAGGGAGGAGTGTTAGAAGACAGAAAGTCAGAGTAGCCCTGAGAGATCTTACCCTGGAGAGCAGTCCTGTTGAAGCAGAAGGAGGGAGTGAGTTTGGGGGCGGGCGTTGTAGTGGGCGCTGCCATGATGGGTGGTCGAACGGGAGGGGAAGGCACAGGGGTAGGAGGTGTCGATGTCCAGAAGTAGCCAGCCAGTTTGAAAGTGTCTCTGAGATTCGCCTTGTGCAGTGAAAGTGTTGGTGAAGTCCTTCAAGTCCAAATTGAGGCATCACCAGATTCGGAGTTAAGGAAATACCGCCGTCAGCGTCATCGAAAAGCAATTTGGCGCGTGTCTTTGGAAGGCGCGCGTGAGTGTCACGTCTCGCAAGCTACTTGTGCCTACCGCTTATTCTGCCTCAATCTTCTGCCCCTCCACTGCCGCCTTCGTTGTGTGATCGATGCGGCCATCCTCTAATACTTTACGTCCCTTCGATTCTCTAAACTCCTTGTCTTTGCGCCGTTCGATTTACACACAATCCACTAGCTACCGACCTCAGCTGTGCTTCAGGATGCCTCCCAAGCAGCAGGCCACTCTCGGGTATGTCAAGAGTTCGCAGACGACCTTGGGGTGTGCAGCTCTCTCGAGATGATGAACGCCACTCAACGACAATGGCTGACATGTGCAAAAGCAACTTCTTTGGAAAACCCAATGGCTCGAAACCCGCCNCCCAACAGTCGAAACTTTCTTTTGCGACAAAACCGAAGCCCGAGCCCAAGAAGCCCAAGGATGAAGAGGACCATGAGGCAGAAGACGGTCCGTCTGACAACAAGGCTGCTGCGAGAAAAGAAGACGTAGAGGACGCAAAGGAAGAAGTCAAGGATGACGTCGCACCTTCTGAGCCGACCAAGACANACAAAAAGAGGGCTGCAGTAAAGAAAGAGGAAGAGGAAGAAGCTGGTGCCTCAGAAGAAGAGCCTCCTACCAAAAGACAACGCAAGAAGCCCACCACATCCGCAAGCCCCAAGAAGCCGAAACAGGAACCTGTGTCAGAAAATGAAGAGCCCGTCAAGAAGAGCAAGGCATCACCGAAAAAGCCTGCAGCCAAGCCACCGACACCCGCAAAGGTTGAGCAAGAAGATATTGCAATACAAGATGGCTCAGAGAGCGACCCTCAGTCGGAGGCGGAGGAAGTCGAGTCAGACGAAGAAGAACAACCCGAGAAGGCGGCAAAGGCCCGCGAGAAGGTCCAGAGCACGTTCAAGTCAAACACAAAAGACCCTTACCCCGATTGGAAGGCTGGCGACCCTGTACCATACGCTGCTCTTTGCACCACTTTCTCCAAGATCGAGATGACGACAAAACGTTTGGAGATCATGGCACACTGCTCCTTGTTCCTCAGACAGGTCCTTCGACTAACACCCCAAGATCTGCAACCTACGGTTCTGCTCATGCTTGGTAAGCTTGCTGCTGACTATGCTGGTATTGAATTGGGTATTGGTGAGAGTCTCATCATGAAGGCAATTGGCGAATCAACAGGCCGATCACTCAAAATCATCAAGGAGGACCAACAAAAGATTGGTGACCTGGGTCTTGTCGCAGCAAAGAGCAAGGGCAGTCAACCCACCATGTTCAAGCCGAAGCCTCTGACTGTACGTGGCGTACACGAGCAATTGATGACCATCGCCAAGATTGAGGGATCTGGCGGTCAAGGCCGCAAGGTCTCTGGTATCCACAAGCTACTCTCTGCTGCTGATGCCAATCTACCCAAAGGCAAGGGAGTCGATATTGAAGAGAACAAGGGCGGACCCAGCGAAGCAAAGTTTATCGTCCGCACACTCGAGGGCAAGATGCGTCTAGGACTGGCAGACAAGACTGTTCTGGTCTCACTAGCTCAAGCTATGACTTACCACGATGTCATGACCAAGACGAACAAGGCGCCCAACACCGAGCAGCTGGAGAAGGGCGAACGCGTTCTGAAGAACGTTTACAAGTATGTGCCATGTGTTATTTCAGTCTATGGACCATGAAGCTAACCCCTAGACAGTGAACTCCCCAGCTACGAGGTAATTGTTCCCGCATATCTCGAGAATGGCGTCTTCGACTTGCATGATGCATGCAAGCTCCAGCCCGGTGTTCCTCTCAAGCCTATGCTGGCGAAGCCTACCAAATCAATCACCGAAGTGCTGGATCGCTTCGAAGGCAAGGACTTTACATGCGAGTACAAGTACGACGGAGAAAGAGCACAGATTCACTTTGTTGCTCATGACGCCGATCTTACATACGCCACTGCTGCTCCCAGTGCCGGCAACTCAGCCAAGGGTGTTTCTAACATTTTCTCGAGAAATAGCGAGGACCTGTCAAAGAAGTACCCTGATATTCTTGCCAAGCTGCCCACCTGGGTCAAGGATGGCACCAAGAGTTTCGTTCTGGACTGTGAGACTGTCGCCTGGGATGTCGATGAGAAGAAGGTTCTGCCATTCCAGCAGCTCATGACAAGAAAGCGTAAAGATGTCAAGACCGAGGACATCAAGGTCAAGGTTTGCGTCTTCGCTTTCGATCTGCTGTTCCTGAATGGCGAGGCTCTTGTCAACCAATCCTTCCGCGATCGCCGAGCCAAGCTGTACGAAGCGTTCAAGGAGATTGAGGGCGAATTCGCCTTTGCTCAATACGGCAACACCAATGAGCTCGACGCAATTCAAGTCTTGCTCGAAGACTCGATCAAGGCTTCTTGCGAAGGTCTGATGGTGAAGATGTTGGACGGTCCCGAGTCTTACTACGAACCTTCGCGCCGCTCACAGAACTGGCTGAAGGTCAAGAAAGACTACCTTGCTGGTGCAGGTGATTCGCTAGATCTGGTCGTGCTCGGTGCCTACTACGGCAGAGGAAAGAGAACAAACGTCTATGGCGCGTTCCTCCTCGCATGCTACAACAACTCATCACAGCAATACGAATCCGTCTGCAACATCGGTACCGGATTCTCAGAAGCTCTTCTCGAATCGTTACACGAAACGCTCTCACCATTGGTCATTGACCGTCCCAAGCCCTTCTACAGCCATTCGACCGGCAACAAAGACCAGCCTGATGTTTGGTTCGAGCCTCGTCTGGTCTGGGAAGTCAAGACTGCTGATCTGACGCTGTCACCTCGCTACAAGGCTGCCGCTGATGCGCTGAATGACCCCAGCGGCAAGGGTATCAGTCTACGTTTCCCGAGATATATTCGCGATCGTGATGACAAGAAGCCTGATGATGCCACTACGGCCAGACAGGTTGCTGAGATGTACAGGAAGCAGGAGTCTGTGGGTAAAAACAAGGGACCTTCTGTTGACGATGACTTTGAGTATTAAAACGGGAAGGAAAGATATGCATTGTGGAGTTTGTCTTGGGAAGTTGCTATGGCCGGGTTGTCGGATGGCTCTTTGTCGTCTCGATTGCATGTTTCTTTTTGCTCTGTATTGTCAGTTATCAACTGAGGTCGACTCGCAAAGTCAAGAGCATGTTACATGTGCAATGTCATATGATTGAACACTGGAGACAAAGTATTTCTTGTATAGTGGTTGAGGTATGTATCAAGTAGCAGTTGATGGCATCGAGTATGCATCGGAGGGAATGCCAACACTGCTTTCCCCGTTCCAAACATGATTGGCAATCCCCAGACCTGCTTCGGGTCGCGGAACAAGACCGCGCGAAGCAAACGCTGGCGCGACTCTGTCCATCGACTTTTTTCTTTGCCAAGGACTTTTCGAGAAACCGCTTTCTGCGACAAGCTACCTATCTCCTACCCAAAAATCGCTGCGATACCGAGCTTCTACAAGACCGAATACATCTGCTTCTCTTGACGCCACTGCTACGACACGTATCGACTCCTTCACACACCACCGCACAAGATGGCGCAACCAGCAGCGCCCAACAACCCTTTCATCAAACAACTAGTCCACAATGGTACACCCTCCCTCGAGCCCTCTCCCTTCTTACACCCTCTCTAACACATCTCTCCCACAGACCGTCAAGTCCGCGACAAAGCCGTAGCCTCCNTGCGCACATTTCTCTCCCGCAGCACCNCCTTCACCTCGCTCGACTTCTTAAAACTCTGGAAAGGCCTCTTCTACTGCATGTGGTCCTGCGACAAGCCCGCACCCCAACGCCGCCTCGCCCTCGATCTCTCCGCTCTTGTATCCCTGCTCTCCACACGCGCAAACTTCATCGGCTTCATGCGCGCATTCTGGCAAACAATCGCTCGCGAATACACCGGCATCGACTCACTACGCATGGATAAATTCCTGTTTATGATAAGAAGCTACGTCAATGCTGGATTCGCCTATTGTGCAAAGAATAACTGGAAAGATGTGGATACCAGAAAGGAGTATTTGGATTTGTTGAGGGAGGTTCCGTTGAATCCTAGGGATCCCAAGGTGCCGAATGGATTGAAGTATCATGTTATTGATGTCTATGTTGATGAGTTGGAAAAGGCGGGGGATGACAAGGCGCCGTATGAGGAGGTTCTGGCTCCGTTGGTTGAGTTGGGGGAGAAGGCTGTGCTGAAGAGTGTGAGGAAGAAGGTTGAGGAGGCTTTGGATGATGGAAGAGCAAAGGAATGGTTGGGTATCGAGGAGGATGATGAGGAGTTGAGTGAGGCTGAGGAAGAGGTTGACGATGAGGAAGATGAGGATGAAGAGTTTGGCGGCTTTGACGATTGAGGCCTGTCGGCATCTTGACTCTGCCAGTCTTTCCTGGCGCTACTCAACGCTGAACAAGAACTCGGCGCCCATCACTATGCATCCGCGCATGCAAATGCTTCCGTCGATCGCTGGAAGAAGAGCGCTGCAGGCTCTCGACACAAAAACTCCGGCACAGCCACAAGGAGATACTTCACTCACGGGCATACAAGCAAGGCGTAAGGCGTTCACGGAAAAGCATAAGGAAAAGGAAGAAGATGATTTGCATGAGAGCTGAATATCACAACGGGTCCCTTGAAGCTCAGGAAAAACAATACCCACAAATTTCCTCCATACACGAGGCTCTCCGACCTTCTTTATCTCACTCCCAAGTCCGTGCTGTCATCAAGTCGTTGTACCACATCTTTCGGCCATCAAAAGCAACTAACAGGTCAGGGGGAACTTTGTGCTGCGGTCGACGTTCATGACGCCCCAATGAGTCTCGTCGCCAGCAGATCCGCTATCACCGATGGCGTGAGGCTTCCAGGGCTCATCGAATGCCTCGAAGACGAATACATTGACACCCCATGAGATCATTCCGCAGATGGCGTCGTCGAAGTATGTTTGTGCGTTCTTCGTGCCTGCGATGGCAGCACCATAGTTGGATCCTCCTGCAAGGGGGTCAGTATTCTATGTTACAAAAACAAATGTCGAAAACTTACCATCCATAGGCCAACCGGTCTCGCCAACCCAAAATTCAATTGCGTTAAGAGAGCCCGAGACACTCTGGATATGACCAAGAGCCTGTTGGGTATCGTCGAAGAAAGTGTAGGTGGCGTTGGAGATAGGCGATGCTTGCCAGTATGCAAAGCCATTAGCCAGCAAAAAGTCGACTCCTCCCTTGATGACAGCATCGGCCGTGCCATCAACAAACTTGTTCCAGCTGTCTGCCGTGCCGACCTTGACACCTTGAGGCAACACTGATCTGACATCGTTGATCTTCTCCAACAGCTGAGGGCCAGTGAAGGTTTTGCGGTAGAGTGTCTCCGAACCGATCGTCACACCATAGACCTGATCGCGGTATTGAGGGACGTATATCTGCAGTGCCTGCTTGTCGGCTTGAAGACTCTGATCTACGTCGGGCCAGACACCCAGAACGACTCTGAAGCCCTTGGATTTGGCGGCAGGAAGGATCTGTCGAGCTGTGTTGCAGTCACTGGCGGCATAGATTCGTACGATAGTGCTGCCAGAGTTGCTCTTGATGGCATCGAAGTCGGCTTCGTAGTCAGCCTGGAACTTGCATGATCCGTCNGCCCTTTTGTTGCCCAGTGCGAAACCCAGAGTGCCTGCAGAGAAGACCAGAAGAGGAGAGAAGCCCAGGACAAGGCCTGTGATGAGGGTGCTTGTGCGCATCTTTAATTTGGCGATGGTCCAGGTAAACAGGTTCGTCGAAGCAAAGGGATGATCTGACGGGAAGTAGATATAAAGAGCAGACCCCAAACGGATCCGCGGTGCAAAGAAAGAAATACCAAGGAGTGACAAGGAGGTCAGCAGCAGGAAGTTATAGATGAGACGACGAGAATGATTGGAAGTTCAGAGATCAGAAGCAAGCAAACACAAAGAAACCATTTCAAGACAGGCGGTGACTACAAATCGGGAAGGGTCCAATCATTTACCGCAGCCAAGCATTCTTTGGTGCTACTTCCTGGATTGCTGCATCGCAAACACGCATGACCATGACGCCTGGAATGAACTTCTGTGCTTCCATCACACAAGGTGGCTGACTTGCTGCACAACACGGTCGTATACCAAGCACTCAAGATTTAAGCCCAAGCATCAATCTATTTTCTTCCCACATCAATGTTCTCCGGATCTGAGATCTGTTGCAAGTATATGGAGACCTTTGATGAGACCGTTGGATACGAACGAACAGGGTAGTGGAGGATATTGATCCATCTGCTGCAGAACGTGAAGTCGGATATGTCCATGTTTGTTCAGCTCTCAGCTACGGCAAGACCGAAGGCGTTCAATGGTAGGAAGTTGGCTGATACAGATCGGCGATCGCAGGGAGAGGCAGAGGCAGGAACAAAACTTGGTAGTGTAGAATCATGTATTCATTTGAAAGTCTCTAGTAAAGAAAAAAGGGCCCAGTCAGAAAAGCCTGTACTCAAGCCACTCCGCATAGAAAGTCCTATAGGAGGGAGTACAAGAAGTTGTAGAAAGAAAAATGTAATCAAAACGGCCACCGAATCATCGGCACCTGGTATCGTCAAGAAGCGAATGGAGAAGAAGAGAAATGTTCAAGAAAATCGAGAAGTCGGAAAAGTCAACTGTCTCGTTGGGAGGAGAGGAGGAATGATTGGGAGATCTCATCCCAATGTCCTCATCACTCCATGTTCGATTGGATGTTCAAGAGGAACATGTGCAACCGTTAAGAAAGCCAGCCCAACGTCGGGGGCCGTTGCGCGCGACAGTCGGGGATGAAACGCCAACGTGGCTGTTGTTGATGCGTCGCGTCATGGTAAAATTTTGGTGAAAGGAAAAAGGCGTTGATCATTAGAGTTTGGTTGTTGTTGATGTTGATGTGTTGACTGTGATTGTTGTTCACAGACGGCCGAAGAGGACATCCTCGAAGCCTCCCACAGCGGTGCCTGCGAAAGGACGAGGCTCAATCAAGCTGAGAAGTTCTTCTGGGGTCTCGATCTTCTCCTCTTCCTGCTCGAGCTCTAGTTGACTGGGGCTGCGGCGGATGCTGAAGTTGCCAATCGAGTATGATGATACTGAGGAGACAAGTTGGCTGAAGCGGCTGCCAGTCGATGATCTGCTGACAGTCCAGCAGCTGTCGGAGTTCTCTGAGACAGGCGAGAGAGGAGCGTTGGGAATGTGGGTTTGAGAAGACGAGAAGACAGTCTTGAGACGGCGAATAGAGCCGGAGGCAATGTTGCGGTTGGAGCGAGAAGGCATTGTGATAGTGTTGTGGCGGTGATGATCTGGAAGATGCTGCAAGAAGAGATGCCGAGAAGGATGCTTTGTAGTAGTAGTGATCGTGAGATTGCTTTTGCAAGGCAAGGTGCAGTTAAAGAATGTGGTTGTATGAGTTGCTGAACCAAAGGAGTGGATATGCTGTTTGAAGATCCCAACCTCGTCGACACGCTGGACTCTTAAGTACTACGCGACTGTCGTTGCAAAGGAGGTAGGCTTGGGCAAGGAGTAAATATCGATTCTAACGGTAGCTCCGGGAAGACCAAGTGCAAAAAGCATGTAAGGAAAGCACAACGATCGCGGATTCCAGCCGCTGCAGCAACGTTGCAAAGGAATGTAAATATAGAGACGCGCAGCGTGCAGAGAATGAAGAAAGAAGGACACCGACAGAGAAGAAGAAGAGAGCAATGAGTTCGAAGACCTCACCTCAGTCATATACTACCATTTGTCTCGCCATACATCTTGCTCACAGTATGATCGACCAGATGGCGTTTCAGAGAGATGCCTCACGAATGTCGTTGGCGTTGCAAGTAGAGTTCGGCAGGGATGTCGCGATGTCCCCACACTTTTGCCCACCAGTCTCGCCAAAGCTCGCGCCCGCCTCGCGAACAAGTCCTTCGCACGACCGCCGCTGACCCCTGACTGTCGACCAGACCCACCAAGGCGTCCCCCTTTCCCCCACCGTTTGACCGTTGGCTTCCTGATATGAACAAGAACCTGTCCATAAACGACCTTAACTCAAGAATTTCTTGCAGTAGCTTTGCTATGGCGCATGAGTTCGCAGTAGGCATTCCATATTCGCAAAAATGCACCAAGCTTTTTTTACCGACTTATCCAGGTCTCTGGGATACTGGACTCACGGAGGCAAGCAGAGCACAGGCAGTCGAACTGACCAATTCTTCTTTGGTCCACCGCTATTTGTACAGGGCTGTCAATTTGAGTCAGCCTCACACGTTGCTCAGCTACATTGTTTCTCTTGTGGTTGTGCGTCTGCGTGGACGAACAGCGTGTGGAACTTTGCGCCAAGGAACATGCCAGGTCTCAGCTTGACACGCCCTGTCAGTTGCTCCTGCCGTCTCTCAGGTCCCTGACCTTATCTTCAGAAGATGTTTAGGGCCATCGCATCCTCCAAACCCCGACCTAGGTAGATCTACAAGATTGCCTTTCCTCTCACCTTTCAGGGAAGTCTCGAAGATCCCAAGTCCCACTTGTTTTCCCACCACCTCTTGTGTCTGGCCTGCACATCATTGCCTCCTTCGAGATGAGTTTCCCCGTACGCCGACCCACCGGTGTGATGGAGCCAACCGATGCGACAGACGTTGCAAGGGTTCGTGTTTCTGTTTGCTTGTCCACAAAACACCATCCTCGAGCGATTGAGCCGAGATTGCGATATCAACTGTGCAAACAGTCGGACGGTATGAGTATGCTCATGTGCTGAGGCGAAGCACCCTAGGTTACGCGTTCACAGCTGCCGTCTGTCCATCGCAGTACGAAGTACAATACGGGGGTCATGATATCCTCACGTGGTTTGAGCACGACTTTCTTGATCGAATGACTTGGGGTCGTGTGTGTTGCTTTCTGACTCTTGAGCAAGTGATGATTGAAGCCGAACAGAAGGCCAGCCTATATGATCTCACTAGCTCTCTATGACATAGACCGGCAGTCCATCACCAGCTCGTGACCGGCGACTCCGCCTCGCAGACCTAACGTTGAGCGTCCAACAACAGCTGGGCTTGAAGACCGGACGCCCAGCTGTCCGTTTCAGCCGCCTCAAGTCTTGTCTCCAGCCCACACCATGACCGCCGTTCTCAAACGGCACGACTCATGATGATGCCGCTGCGCTCGCCTCGACTTGTTGCTGCTGATCTTTGAAGCCTTGGAAGTACTGCGCCATGCGTTAGCTGTGACAAAACACGTTGGGCTTGTCATGCGTATGCATACCTTTNCGACGGAATGCGTTGAGATCATCTGCCGTCACTCCGGTTGCCTCTTCACGCTTCTCGCGGTTTCGAAGTGCTTCCTGGTCCACTTGAGCTTCTGGAACGCGGCGGTAAGTGATGAGTCTGCGGGCCCCTGCGAAAATAATCAGCATCATCGAGCTTTACATCATAGCACCAAGGCTGGACGTACATCTGTTGAATTGCTGGACCGACATGGCTACCAGCTGCATCGCAGGGTGGCTGGGGATTGGGATCTCCATATCCTCATCGTTAGCCACTGGCATCCACATACTGAGCCTGCCATCGTCCACCATGTGGGTATAACCAAAGTCAAGTATGTCATCCATCATTGCATCGAAGCTATAAGCCTTCTTTGGTGGGATGTAGCCTGGTGCCAGATGTGCTGGGACGCCGCTCTTGAGCAGAACCTCCTTCTGCAAGTCTTCTCTTGTGCTTCCGAGCACTCTCAAGCCCTCGCGGACACCGTACGGAGGATCGCAGACAATGCCATCAAGCCATCTCGTCTTCCTGATCGGCGTGTTCGTCAAATCACTCACAAACATTTCCAGATACTGCGGCACCAGTCCGTACTGCACAAAATTGCTCATGACGTTCCGATCCGGCTTGCCACGAATACTGCGAGGATCAATATCACTGCCAACTACAGTGGCACCAAAGTGCGCGCACGCGATCGGGAAACTTCCGGTTCCAGTAAACGGGTCGTAGAAAATCTTTCCAGGTGCTGCCAAAGCCATGTTTGCAGTGATCAATGCCAGTTGGGAATCCATCGATGTCGTGCTGATGTATTTGCGCTTCTTGAGATCGTATTTGTTCATCACCGATCTTCCACTTTCGCCGATCAGACGACCCAGTGCTACACGCTTGGGATCCTTGGCCTCGAGATCATACTCCTCAAGCACAACCATGGGAAGATCTGGGTTCTTCATCCTGATGGGGCCTTCAAAAGCCATGTAAGAGAACGATTCCACGATATCCCTCTTCTCCGTGTTGGTGCGCTTGGCTTGGAAACTGTCAATTTGAAAACTGAAAGACGCATTGTCTTTGTATTGAGGCCAGAGGTGCTGTGATCGTTTCTTTACATCTGCGTGACATTCGTCGTAGTTGTTGCCTATCCCCCAGAGCTCGTAGACCGCGCCAGTCAACATGGATCGAGAGATGAGCTTTGCTGCATCTTCATCCGATGAGATTTTCGCAATGCAGAACGGTGACTGGNNGAATATAATCAATCAGCCCTGAAATCTTCCAAACGTGAAATTTCATCAGCAAATTCTGAACCAGCCCAGAGGTGGACCGCTCAGGACTTTCCACTCTCGAAACATGGCTCTTTGTGACATGAAGAAATGAAGTTAGTGTCTCCATACCTGATCTGAATATTCCAAAATCTCCAATTCTACATTGTGCAACACAGCCAGCGCCTCCAACTCAGGCCGGCGAAATGTCTCATGCATCTGTGCAAGTCGGATGAGATACTCCATGTTGCTCACTCGAATTTTTTCTTCCAGTTGAACCCAATCTTTTTCTTTGAGCTGCGGCAGAAGACTTGAGTATGTCTGGAAGGGACGTCCGATATTCTGATTGATTCGAATGTTATGGTCCAAGTTTCAAGATCTGATTTAGTTGTAGTATGGCAGTCCGGGGTGATAGATGTCGTGTAATGGAATCCATCGAATAATGCTCGGCGGTTTGCAAGAAAGGTCAAAAGTTCGCTCCGGCTAAACTTGCCAATGTATGCATAGGGTTGACCTTGGCATATGCTCGAGACAGGGTTGCATCACAAACAACATTTCAAGAAGTCACTTTCAATATTACCAGGTGGGTAGGCTTAGCGACTTCTACCAAAATCATCGGCAAGGTACTTGATCATACTCAGCTGGGAATATAAGGTCACTATACGACGTGTCCTACCGGAATCGACCACAGCATACAGGGACTTCGAGTTTCGGCGGATGGCTTCATTTGAGCATCGATGCCAACGTTGCTTCATTGTTACAGACTCGATGCCATCAGCGCCCTCGCGATACATATCAGCCTTTGTCTATGAAATAGTTTGTTTGTTCTTAGTATCCAGTTTCCAAGAGGATTCCTAGTCGTGCGCAATATAGACTCCGACACCTTCGATAAAGCAGTCCATGAATACGTCAACCAGATCTACTCTGCCTACGCTGGCATCTGTCTCATTCTCGAGCCTGAAGCCGCCAGAGCCATGCACATCGCCTCGTCCTCCGATAGGTTCAATTGGATGACAACAAACTCGAGTGTGGTTGGGAAAGATCTGCTGTGCTATCATATGCTAAAGTAACATACCATCCTTGAGCCATCCATGGTTCGTTTCTCGCAACGCAAAAAGAAAAGACAAAGGAAAGCACATCCTCCGTTCGTGAGCTATCGCTTGATGCTCCAACCAAGACCAGAGCCTCGGAACCTCGAGTATTCTTTTCGGTCTTCGCCTTGGGTACTCTCTTCGATTGCAGAGATACCGTCTCCGTTTTGTCTGGACAGTGTTGACAGACCGGATTGCCCATCCAGCTTTGCAGACCGTGAAGTCATCTCGAACCCGGAGCCATCTTGAACTCGATGCTCTATCACATCCATAACTTCCCTCTGCAATTCTCTGCTCCACAGCAACACTTCACGAAAGCATTGCCTTCGCCACCGTCGGTAGCTTGACCAGCTTCTCTTTCCTCGACATCGTTGTAATCGAAAGTCAGCTCTGTGCCAGCAGGGATGTTCTCCAACGCAAAGAAGGCCAGGTCGTAAATTCGTCGATCAAATCTGTTGTAGCTGACGGTGAACAGACGGCAATTCGGATCACAACTGTGATTGATAAAGCGCGTAGGTCCTCCCATTTTCTCTCCGTCGGCGATGTAGCATTCGCTTCTGCGAAGCCCTGGCTGGTCATCGTCTTCAACGTACTTGTCGAGAGTGAACAAGTAAGAAGCTTTATCAAATACGCCAGATTCTTCCCGAGCGCTGGCCTCAGCGTCTGTGATGAGCTCACCGAGGTATCGGTCGATATGTTGACCACGTTTGAGGTCGACAGGACAGCGAAGGCCGAAACCTCGCTTTGTGGTTCTGAAGATTTGGAGAGGAACCGTCCTGCCTTTCTGAACCAATCTGTTCTTGCAGTTCTTGCCGCAGTTGCAGAGTTCGTTGCACTCGTAGATTGGGTTTCTGCTTTCCAGGTAGAATGAATCGAGCACAAACATCTTGTTGATGGGGTCGATTCTGTAGGGGAAANNACGCTTGGGTAGACCGTCAGAGTCTTCCTCACCTCTCTCCCATGCTTCGTATTGCTCTCTCTGTCCATCGTCCTTGCAACGATTAAGATCAGGAACGGCAAACTCCAGGCAGTCGCATTTGGCGGTGTATTCGCATCCACGATTACCGCCCATATCAGGACGGCATCTCTTGCATCCCATCTTTACTGCGTCTGCGTCATCTCTTGATACGCCTTCACCAAGGACGTAGTCCTGGATGTACTTGAAGCTGAGAGATGGTGTCTCCTTGTTTATCTCATTAACAAAAGTAACAGGAGGACCAGGGATACAGGCCAGTTGTTCCAGGAACTGCCTACGAAGGAACTTGCGGCCTTGCTTGACCCCATCAGCAAGGTAAGTTTTGGCAGCGAAGAGCATTTCTGGTGTGGGGACCGTGGTAGCGTCGATAATTTTAACGTTTCCAGATGTCAAAGAGTGAGGGTAGATGTCTCCTGACTTTTTAAGTAAGACACCGTTCCAAACCTCGAGGCTTTGAGATGGAATCGTCGAGGAAGCAGATGTGGAAGTGTCAAGTGACGATGCTCGACTGGGAGTCTCCTCATCGTGTGGACTCTTTCGCTTAAGTGATGAGACTTCAGAAGGCAGTTTCAGTGAAGCATTGCCGTATCCAGACTTGATGCTAAAGTCGAGTGAGCGACATGGAAGATATACAAGGTGTGTGATGTGGAAGAAAATACCTTGAAATGAAGTTGTTGATATACGCTTGGAGCGAGTCGGCAATTGGAGCCAGATCATCGACATTGTGCCACGACAGTACAGCTTGTGATGGGTTGTTATGTTTCCATTTAATCAAATATTGTTCGAGCTGAAAGTACGATCAGCTGTTGAGAGTTGGACGTGAAGCGTCGGACGTCGAGCGTCGGGCGTTGGAGGAAGGACAGGGTCACTTACCCCTGCCCCATCAACGCGATGAGCGCATATCTCATCAACCTGTTGATTCCTTCGGTTAGTGACATGAGGTTAGGAAGGTGCCGTCTGTGTAAAGGATAGTGAACACAAGTAGAGGCGCACGAATGGCGCGTGCAGGTACGCGTGGAAAGCCGATGTTAGAGTAGTAAGAGACCACGTACTAGTGACCTCTTTATAAGGTTTCTTGCAGCCGGGCGGTACGGCATCTTGTTTGCGTACATGATGTTGTTTGCTAGGTTTGGCCATGTTAGCTACTTAAGTAGAAGTAAAGGCGCAAGCAGAACAAGTGAAGGAAGGGCGTATTATATGCATGTCGCCATAGGATAACACGTCTAAGCTATATGGATTTAGTATAATATATGAAATCTAGTGTTTACCTAGTAAGGAACCAGTGCTCTAAGGCTTTCTAATGCCTTTGAACCAGAAAAAACAGTTAAAAGAGTAGAAGGTAAATTAGTTAGTAGAGTTAGAAAGGAAAAGTGCGGTGCTAAAGCGTAAGTACTAGATTAGAACCGCACATACTGCCAAGCCATAATTAGCTAGACTTGGCCGGATATACTATAGTTGCCTATATAGGTTAGACTGTTTAAATATACTTAGATAGTAGATTAGTATAAAGAAGCATTAAAGATAAAAAAATAAAAAATCTATAGTATAGTTAATCTTAAGCAAGATCTTATAAATAAAGACATACTATATAAGATCTTTCAAAATCCTAGATATACTTAATAAAAGTATATAAGACAAACCAAATAGATTTATACTACTAGTAGCATCCTCTTTCTATTGCGTATCTAGAAAAGGCTCGAATGATTTAGGTATGGAACAATGCACGTACGCTCACGGTTACATTGTAAAAGAGATAGAAGAGAACGCCGGTTTGATGCATGATCGAAAAACCGCCACCTGTAACCTATTGGCAAAGATTCATGATGGCCCCTTAACTTTTCCAAACGCCTCGCTAATCGATAGTAGTGGATGGATCAAGCATTTATTCGCAAGCCACCGTCCTGCACATTCTGCGCTTCTGCAGCAGGATCCTTCTCCTTTTCAGCTTCTAACGTGCGATGGCCCTCTACGGCAGAGCCTGCAACACGCTCCTTCTCATCATCATCGTCGTCAGGCTCATCCTCGTCGATGTCTTGGAGGCCATCCTGACCGCTTCCTTTGCTCTTGGCGAAGTCCTCACGATGCTGTGGTACGTAGGCAATGACTCTTCTCTTGTCAAACCAACGGCCATTGAAGGCTTCGGCACAGAGGGCAGCCGAGTCTGATTCCTTGAAGCGTACAGTGACGACGCCTTGGGGCTCGAGATCATACAGGACAGTGTTGGTGACTTCGCCGTATTTTGAGGCTTCGTCGCGAATGTCGGCTTTGATCTCGATCAGAGCGCCAGCATCTTCCTCTAGTTCATCCAGGGTGAACATGTGCTTAAGGACGACGAGCTTGGCGTATTTGGAAGGGTTCGGCGGAGGAGCGACAACACTCGGGTCATCATCATCCCAGTCTGCTAGACGNGCTGTGTGATGTCAGCGTAATGCTCATGTACAAGGTGGATTCCTAGGGATTCGGACTCACGCATTCATCTGTTTTGTCTTCTCAATGGCCAAGTAGCGGTCTTGTTTGGGGCGCCTCTTCTTGATATTCTCAACCGACACTTCCTTCTGCTCTTTCTGATCCTTTGGGTCCTTGTTCCTGTTCGAGTAGGAGTCATCGACCAGTTCGACGTGCAGGTCTCCGTCTCCAGGCTTGCGAAAGTCGGTGCCGTCCAGCATGGTAATGGCCAAACTGACACTCTGGGGCTTGAAGTATATGACCTTTGCCTCGCCCTTGAAGTTGCCTTCTTCGTCGGCATACATACGGATCTTGGGTAGGTTGGTATGAATGTCCTCCTCAATAATGCCGTACTTCTTGAAGACGTCGTGAATCTCGTCGATGCTGGCATCGAGTGGGACGCCTGTAACGTATACGGCGCTGTTGGGGCGGTCGATCTTGGGCTTCTTGTCTTGTTTGGTGGCCTTGATGTCTGCCTTGCGCTTCTTGCTGTCGATTGCCGGCGCAGATTCGTCCACGTCCTTCATGGCATAGATGGATGCTTGCTGCTGCATCAGAGCCTCGTCGACCGAAGGCACCCACTTCTCGAACTGTGTATTCCATTCATATTCGTCGCCATTGTCCTCTTCGAGAACCCATTTGTTGCTGAGCTTGTCGAACGAAACGCGTACGTCGTTCTTGAATTCCTCTTCCGTGGTGGGGAAGACGACGCGCACAGCCGATAGTCCGTCGTTGGGTGGTGGCACTCCACGCGACGGAGCCTGCGATTCTGCCATCTCTGCGAGTGTAAGAGTGGTATGCGGGTGTCGATAGTAGCTTTTTGAGAAGTCCAGAAACGGGAGGCTTCGGCGCCGTCACTTTGTCATGCGTCATGTGGGGAGAGCTTGGACCGCCCGTGTCGGGCCCGATCGACAGCCGGTACTCTACTTCTTGCCCTTCTTTCGCACCTTCAATCAAGCCAACATCGAGCGACCCCCTTCTCTACAGAGTTGTACGTTTTCTAGAAAGTAGTATGTATCAGTACTGTTACACGTGATCCAGCTCTTCCATGGACGACAAGCTGGCACCAAAGTTGTCCTCCCATCACGTTATATCAACACATCCAAGCCGCTCCTTCTCACACAAAGCCCAAGCCTCTCAATCCTGTATCCCGCTTGATTGAACACGCCATTGTGCTATTGCAACTATAGTCTCTGTTAGACAATAAGGCAAGTTATTGCTATCGAAGGCGGGCAATGCTTTATCTATGTATGGGGATGGCAACATTCCACAGCAGTTCATCACCATGTCGACAAAAGGGAATGGAAATAGATAAGCCAGTAACTCTGCTGGTATCCATGTTTCCAGGCTCGACGCAACAGAGCTGTTCTTAAGTATGGTAGACGACTGCATGCGTAAGCCGCATTTCCCTTTATCCACTCCTTCAAGCCTATCTATCGCTTCTTTGTCACATACTTGAAAAAGTCTTTTGGGACAAGGGCAAGTTCAATCTTGACCTGTACACGTCACCTTAAAGCGACCAACTGGTTTCGGCTCGGAATTTGTTCTTTCACTCGTGCGAGCTCGTGTTTTTGGAATCCCTCACTCGGCTTCGGAAAACAGACGCGCGAGTGACGGCGGCATCGACTTTCACAACGCGCAAAAATCCTTGGAGACATCAAAGGAAACATCGACAAGTGTGCACTTCTAAAACAAAGATTTCGTTGCCAACGAGACACTGACGTTCAATGGCAGAGTCAGAACCGCATTATCACCAGCCTTCCTACCTCATCATGAGTGGCACCGGCCCTGGCGAGTCGGACACCAACTATGTTCCCCTTGTTGCTTACAATAGAACTACTGCTACTGGCGGCAACTCGCTGAAGGACAATCTGAATGTCTTCTACGAGGTGGGCACCTATGCGAAGCCATATGTTGAGATCGTAGCTGACACCCACCAATACAGANGCGGCGACATTGGCTACATGATTCTCTGTACCGCCTTGGTCTTCCTGATGAACCCAGGTGTAGNNGGTGAGTTTATGCTCCAGCGTCTATTGAGCACAGATTGCTAACGCGATTGTAGATTCTTCTACTCTGGTCTGGCAAGACGCAAGTCGGCCCTCTCTCTCATTTGGCTCTCGATCATGGCCACCGCTGTCGTCTCATTCCAGTGGTTCTTCTGGGGCTACTCGCTTGCTTNNTTCTCCCATCAAGCCGGCAAGTTCATCGGTGCCCTTGACAACTTCGGCTTCATGGATGTGCTTGCTCAGCCCTCGGTGGGAAGCCCGAGAATCCCGGATCTCCTGTATGCAGTGTACCAGGGAATGTTCGCAGCCATTACGTGAGTCCACCCCACTAACAAGTTTTGAATGAGACGAGATAATGACCAGTGCAGTGTTGCTCTTGCTGTCGGCGCTGTTGCTGAGCGCGGTCGTCTCTTGCCATGTGTCGTTTTCATGTTTATTTGGACTACCGTCATTTATGATCCCATCGCTTGCTGGACCTGGAACCCTTCAGGCTGGCTCTACGTTCTTGGCGGGCTGGATTTTGCTGGTGGTACGCCCGTTCACATTTCTTCTGGTTGCGCCGCACTGGCATATTCGTTCGTGTTGGGCCACCGCAAGGGTCATGGCACTCACGAACTCAACTATCGCCCTCACAATGTGACACACATTGTTGTTGGTACAGTCTTTCTCTGGTTCGGCTGGGTTGGATTCAACGCGGGCTCAGCACTCTCGGCCAATATCCGTGCCGTCATGGCGCTTGTCGTTACCAACCTCGCTGCTTCGGTCGGTGGTATCACTTGGTGTCTCTTGGATTACCGTCTTGAGCGCAAGTGGTCTACTGTTGGATTCTGCAGTGGAGTCGTAGCCGGATTAGTCGCAATCACTCCCGGCTCTGGTTATGTCCCTGCTTGGTCAGCCGTTGTCTATGGCGTGATTGCTGGTATAGGATGCAACTATGCAACCAAGCTGAAATATCTAATCAACTGCGATGACGCCCTGGATATCTTTGCCGTGCATGCCGTTGGAGGTCTGATTGGCAACCTCCTTACCGCTCTGTTTGCTGCGTAAGTCTTTCAAGGTAAAAAATGAAGCTCATGCACTGATGAAAACAAAATAGTGNACTACATTGCTCACCTTGATGGCGTTACTGTCATCCCCGGTGGTTGGCTCAACCACAACTACCGTCAGCTCGGTATCCAGTTGGCTGGCTCAGCCGCAGGCGGTGGCTACTCATTTGTCGGCTCCTTCATCATTCTCTACACCATGGACTTTATCGGCAAGTATTTAGCCGTGTTCAGACTACGTGCTACCCNNCCCGAAGAAGAGGACTTGGGTATCGATGACGTTGAAATTGGCGAGTTTGCGGTATGTTTGGGTTTTACTTGCACAACTGAGACTTGACTGACAGGTGTTGTAGNNTACGATTATGTCGAAGTGATGCGTGATGTTCAGCACGGCGACACTCACAGCGTGTCGAGCGATGAACACGAAAAGGCATCGAGCCCCACTGATGGTAGTATGCCGGTCAAGCGGTTCGGCGGCATGACATACGGACAGCACACACCTCTTGGAGCCAACCCTCCCCCTGTGAACCACATAGCTGGATCTGTCGTCCCTGCTGGAAACTTTGTGTAAAGCTGGCACATGCAGTGTTGACTGGAGTCTTGGTTCAAGAGTGGGACATGTGTTCATGGGGCCTATTCGGCGTGGCAGACGCTTGTTGATGATTTTGAATCGAGGACTGTACCTTAGAACGGCACGTGATGAGAAGATGATTGCTCGAATGGCAATCTGTTTGTTCCATGATGAAGATGGTGCATTCGCGTGACGAAGTCGAGCGGGAATAGGTAATGACGGATGTGTGGCTGTGCTGTGGAGTTCGGTGGCACGGACACACGTTCCATTGGTGGATGTGGCGGCGCCTATAAGGAAATCGCTTGAGACCAACAAGATGGTTTGGTAGAGGTGAGGCCAACATAAGCGGAGAGCGAAGAATAGCACGCTGTAGCAGGGCGTGAGGGCATAGAGTCCAAAAATCAGATCTACAGCCACAACCTGCAGCATCTCGCCTCCTCTTGGCGTCGAACATGGCTCAGATGGACTCGTCGGCCCCAGCTCCTGCTCCTGTTCCTGCTTCAGCACTTCCTCTGGTATCGCCCATCATGGAGGAGAACGAACGCCCCGATCTGGTGCGCGCCATGGACTCGTCAGGTACCGACGTGACGGATGTGTCGGAAGACTACGAAACCGAGACGGACAACGACGTGACGGGCCCGGACGATGTCGACGTCCAGAGAATGCATTTCCAGCCCGCCCATGCAATCGCCGACGGACAGATGACTCCTGCCTCGCAGTTTGGTTGGAGTGTGTCCAGCCACTCGCGCGCCCGGAATGGCTCTGGTGGGACTAACGGCCCGTCTAACATCAACACGGCCTTGAGTCCCGAGGCAGCATACCCAGCTCCTCCTCAGCTCCTGTCCACCCATCCCATACCGCCGCAGCAAGCTCGTCCAGCACGCCCGCCGAATGTGCGCCAGCCCTCTAACGCCTACGCTCCCGCTCGCCGTCCTCACCAATACTCCTACAACAACACTGCTCAACGTGCAGCACGTACTACTTCTACAAACCGTGTGCGACGCAACCCCAACGCCGAATACCGCGCTCAAGAGAAGGCATACGTTCAGCGCTTGCGCCAGGATGCACCACCCGACGACTTCTTCGTTGGCGAGCCTCGAACTCCCAGTCTCGATTACAGTGATGGCTCCGAGCCCGACGATGATTCGCCTGCTGCTGGAGAGGTGCTAGAACATGAACATGATGAAGAGACGTTACTATACTACGGCAACGAAGATATGCAACCGTCGATCGAGGAGTTGAAGATACCGGAGAATCGCGAACGTCTGNAATGGCACTCTATGCTAGCCAACGTCCTAACTGGAGATGTCGTCAAGCAAGAAAAGAAACGTTTGATTGGTGGTCAGGACCCTCAAAGTGACAGGTCGATGATCATGGAGGTCTGGACTGGAGTAAGAGCAAAGGTCTGCGGCCGCTCTCTGGCCGCACAACGGCGTATGATCGAAGACGGACGCAGCAAAATCAAGGCTGTTATCGAAGAGATCATTGGATTTGAAATCAAGGGCGAGGCTGAGGCAGGCAAGATACCTCTCGAGCAAGTCCGAGATGTCGTGCAAAAGATTGAAAAGATCGAAGGACTATACCCTACGCGCATGTCTTTCGTTCAGGCAAACCCGCGTGCCGCATCGGACGCCTACATCAACAGCTGCGATGCTGTCATGTCATGGCACAACACGACCGATCTCATCAACACTCAACTCGGCATTCTGCAGGCTTGGGTTGGAAACCAAGAGCTGTCGTTTGACAAGCCACGCCAACGCGGTCTTCAAGATACTCATGGACACATCATTGACGAGAGTACCTTCATTGACCGCATCCTCAAGGAAGATGGTCTTCGCTCGCTGTGGGACGAAGAAAAGGAGACCAAGGAAAACAAACCCAACGGTCTCTTCCACGTCGTCAACACTGTCATCGACAAGGCCAAGTCTACCCTCATCTCCAATGCCGAGTCTTTCGCAGATCGTCACTTGCCTCCGTACATTGAGGAGTTGTTGACTCTGATCAACTTCCCTTCGCGTCTTGTTCAAGAGATCATCAAAGTTCGTATAGGTTATGCGAAGAAGATGAAGGATCCTGCTCAACAAGGTGTCATGATGGCCGAGCAAATGATTCTGCAGTTCCAGAGTCTTCTCAAGCTGGCTGTTAAGGTCAAGGAAGCATACCTTCTTGCTGCTCACCCCGAACCTGGTTGGGATCTGCCACCTTGCATTGACGAAAACTTTGACCGTATCGTTCTCGAAGCTGTCCGCTTCTACTTCCGCATGCTGAACTGGAAGTTGATGGCCAACAAGAACACGTTCAAAGAGGCTGAAATTCTTGAACAAGAATGGGGGTTCTGCAATGAGTTGGGTAGGCACCTCGAAGGTGGTGATGTTGAGGTTGCCGAGCAGTTCAGGTTTGTTTTCACACTGCTTCCCCCCTTTCCGCTCCATTACTGACCATATGATAGTTCGTTGACCTCCAAGTCGCTCACCAGACTGACATTGCACTTCGAACGCGAGTTGCAGAAACGACCCGACGAAGTCGCTGGTGCCGAGATGGACAAGAGATATAAGAACATTCTCGACTCTGTCCGTGTACGACAGCGTAAGATCTTCCGTTTCTCCCGTTTGTTGAGCCAACGCTTTGAGAACTCTACCGAGTACAGTCTCAACATGAACTCGGTGCACATGCAAGACTTGATCGATACACTCATCGGTTCAGGTCACTTCCTCATTGACACGGATTCAGAGAAGACTGGCTTGTACTTCATCGCTTGTCCGACCCTAGACGGTCGACTCAAGGAGATCGAAACCTTGCTTCGTACCTGTTACCATCCTGAAGAATCCATCGAAGACCTCACTAATCCGTACGTCCTAATCCTCAAACCTGAGGGCTCTATCTCGTGGGATGGCGCGGTACTCGAAAGATCTGGTTTCTCACCGCCTCACATTGACCTCCGTACTGGTTTCATGCGTCTCGTCGCCGATGGCCCACAGGAAAGACTCGGAGATGCCAACACCGCCTTTGCCTCAAACATCAACCTCGATCTCAACGTCGTGGTGCCGCAACGCGCCAACATGACACGAGTCAACCAGGAACTTCAAAAAATCAGACGCACGACTTATAAGCTCAGTAATACCATCATGGACAGTGTTGAGATTGTGCGCAAGCAGACCGAAGGACTTCAGTGTCAGGAGCTCATTCAAACATGTTTCGCGTTCGCCACTGAATTCGGACAACGTTCAGTGCTTTACATGGATCCCAACCGCCGTGCTTACCACAATCTCAAGATGACAAGACTTGCATTAGACTGGGTCAGCTTCGTTGCTGACGATTGTATTCCTTCAGACCGCAAAACTTTCCGCTGGGCTGTCGTAGCACTCGAATTCGCCATGGTCATGACACGAGGACAGAACATTCTGTCCATCAGCATGACCGAGTATGATAAGCTGCGAGCCAAGGTTGCTGGATGTATGTCCTTGTTAATCAGTCACTTCGACATCATGGGCGCTCGTTCGAACGTCGCTGCCGAAGCAGAGAAACAGCGATTGGAGAGTATGGCTGGCAAGCTGCGTCTGGACGTCAGCAAGCTGAAGGACGACGACGAGAGCTCTAAACTTGTACAGCAGCAATGGGTTGAACAGCTCCAACAGATTGATGAATTCCGAAAGGAGCGTGAAGCTGAACGACAAGCACTTGGACGTGTCCTTGAGGACAGTAACGAGGCCGATCGTGCATTGACATATCTTTCCGCTTCGGCAGGAAACGTTGTATTGCGTTGGCAGCAGGGCCAGTTCGTTGGTGGCGGTACCTTCGGTTCCGTCTACGCTGCCATCAACCTCGACAGTGGTCATCTCATGGCTGTCAAGGAGATTCGACTACAAGACCCTCAACTCATTCCGACCATTGTATCACAAATTCGTGACGAGATGGGAGTTCTACAGGTCCTCGACCACCCTAACGTTGTCAGTTACTACGGTATTGAGCCTCACAGAGACAAAGTCTACATCTTCATGGAGTACTGTTCAGGCGGTAGTTTGGCAGGCCTCCTTGAACACGGCCGTATCGAAGATGAGACTGTCATCCAAGTATACGGTCTTCAGATGTTGGAAGGTCTTGCCTATCTTCACGAAGCAGGCGTCGTTCACCGCGACATCAAGCCCGAGAATATTCTTCTTGACCACAATGGTGTAATCAAATACGTCGATTTCGGTGCCGCCAAGGTCATCGCCAAGCAGGGGAAAACACTCGTGGCCGATCCGACAGGCCGTGGTGGACGTCAAAACTCCATGACCGGTACGCCAATGTACATGTCTCCCGAAGTCATCAAGGGCGGCGCACCCGTCAACTCCCGTCACGGCGCCGTCGACATCTGGTCGCTGGGCTGTGTCATTCTCGAAATGGCTACTGGTCGTCGTCCCTGGGCTTCTCTGGACAACGAGTGGGCCATCATGTACAACATTGCTCAAGGCAACCCGCCCCAGCTTCCCTCGAACGACCAGCTCTCCGAACTCGGCTTGGATTTTTTGAACAAGTGCTTCGAGCGTGATCCGGCGAAGAGATCTTCGGCTGCTGAATTGTTGCAGCACGATTGGATCATGCAGTTGAGGAACCAGTTGTCTCTTGAGCCCGGCACGCCGGCCACACCAGCTTCTGAGGCAAGCTTTGGCAGTATGAGTAGGCATGAGAGCATGAATGGATCTTATGGTGGTTGATGAGGATGAGAATGTTTGATGGGTGGTTCGTCCCTGCTTCTCTTGACCTTTGCATCTTTATTCCCTAGGCATTGGGCGTTCTGTTGGCGTGGCTTGACTTACTTTCACTAATACCTTTCTGCATATACAAACCTTTTCTACTTCTCAACTCTGTCTTTGCTCAAGGTTATGCCTACGTAATAGAGCACATTCTTTCCATCATATGGGCCCTCACTCGCTCCCTCATTCGCGAGTGCGTAAACTGTGTGTTGGTTTACTTGGTGTTTGAGATTCCGGATCGTGCGCAGGTCTTTCATTGCCTCGAAGGGCATTGAAACGTTGACCGAATGACACACTTGCGAGTGCACTGTCTTTAGTGTCGAGTAATAACAGGATACCGTAGACTATCAGATCTAGAGGTGACGTGGTCAAGGAAGGCGCATTCAAAACAACTTACCCCTGAATTTCTGACCAGAAGTGGAAGTTTGTACTCGATATTGGACTTGCAAAGAAAGGAATAACCGGTAATTAGCTTTTAGCACTATCTCAAGAGCTTCCATGTATGGCAAGGAAATTCCTAGCAACTGTGTGCTGCGCAGTGAGGTTGAGGAAAGCGCCTTCAAGACGATTATATTACCCCTGACTTTCCAGCCCCAAGTGAAGCAACCTGCAATGCGACCTTATAACGATGCCAGTCAGCATTGTTCTCATCGAACCGGTGGAATGGCGCAGTGGTAGTAGCTCGTGCCTCCCACACATGCGGCCAGAGTCCACTGGTTCGATTCTCCGGGTCCTCTTGTAAATCCCCCTCTATGCCAGAGGTCCCAGTAATCCTCACCCGACAACAATGATGATGAAAGCAAAGCTTTTCTCTTCCCCCTCCTAGCTTTCGGCGGCTAGGGGGTTTCTGTTTTGCCAGTTCTCTACTGAGCTTTGTTTGTTGAGGCAGAGATGATGGAGTTGTGGTATCAGAACTAAGATTGAAAGAGAAGGATGTGCTATTCATCTGATCATGACAAGGAACGCCATAAAGCATCAAGCATCCTTGATGGCTTCGTAAAAGCAGTGAATCGTTCACATGACGGAGCACCCACCACCCCCTCCGTTCCTTCTTCTGTTCTCTCTGTACTGACGGATCTGTTCCTGCTCCCTTAGACTAGCCATGTAAGCAGGACCGGTCTGAAGATTCTTACTTCTGAATCTAGGACCCGGGCCTCCACCTCCTCCTCCAGAATATCCACCTCGACTCTGCTGCCCTCCACGATACATTGCTTGTTCCCTACGTCTTATCTCTTCATCTCTTCGCTCTCGCTCCCTGTATTCACGCTCCTCTCTCATCTGCTGTCGACGCATCTCTTCCTCTTCTGCCCTCATCCGGCGACGGTGCTCTTGTTCTCGCATTTGGCGGATGTGTTCAGCTTCTCTGCGTTGTGCTAGAGTGGCACCGTTGTGTTCGGTATGCAGGTTTCTGGTTCTGTAGCCTGGGGGTGGGGTTGTCTGTAGCCATTGCCTTGGCCTTGTCGTCCTGGTCCACCGTCTTGAACGTTCCTGGTCCTTCTCATGGTGAGGGTATGGAGAGTGAATGTGGATGTTTGGCCAGGGAGTATCTGGCTCGGTTAGGGTCAATCATACATACTGGGAACGGTGACATGTTTATAGATATAGATCGTACCTTTTATGTAGCTTTGGTCTTGATAGAGGCAAGGACTTGCAAGCTTGTAGTTTCTTTTTGGAACCAAAGAGTGTTACAGAAGGCCAACGGAGTAAGCTCTTTATATAGTGAAGTGTATACCTACAAAATTCATGTCCACAAGTTTTTCAAGAGCCATCCGGACAACTTGAACCTAATTTTCTTCTTCTCGGATTTGTACCGTTGTCTTCAGCCTTCCAGGCATGGATCACCAGCCAAAAGACCAACGACAACTGGATGGTGCCATGTATCTTCCCACAAACCGGGAGAGAGCGACCCACTGAAACGCAGCCACCACCAACCCGCTCTCTACCCCGCTCACTACCCTGCATTGTCGAAAATGCCTCACTGCATGGCAGGAACGGTCGATGTTTTTTGAGGAGGTTCTGGTAGATAGTCTGTGTGCAAGGAGCATGTTTGAAGGATGTTCATGAAGTTGTACAAAGAGGGAGGTACGGTAAGAGATAAAAGTCGATAGAAATGGTAAGAGGTGAGGTCGAAAGAAAGCATACAATCTAGACCGGGTATCCACGTTCTCGTCGATCTTCTGCTTCTGCATGGATACAGGAATAGCAAGGTTTGATTTGGCTTTTCTGATGTACACAAGTCAAACTTCCCGATCTTTTGCTTATTGCGGGTGAGAGACTTTCCAAGAAACAACATGTGACAGCAGTCTATGGATTACGACTGCCGCTGCAAGAAAACTGACAAATATCACTATGCCTTTGTTACTTATTGGAGCTTGAGCTCAACGGCCTTGCCATCAGCTTCACCACTCTTGATCATGGCCTCGAGCNNTGTAGATGGTAGTCAGTACAAGAATTTGCAACAGCCAAATATCTGATTATGACTTACCACTTCCAAATCTGCCAAAGCTTCCTCAGGAGATTGTAGAGGATCGGCCTTGCCTCGCGAGATACTCTCTCCCCAAGCCTTGAGCTCTTGCCTCACGCCATTCTTGTCCTCTGGGAAGTCCTTCGAAGACTCGTCATTGCCCTTCTTAACAATGGTCGTGTCGAAGCCGACGTCGACGGTACCGTTTTGGCACGCGACTACGTATTCGGCGCCGGAGAAGGTGGTGCCGAAGCTGACGCTGAATGTGCCAGAGCGGCCGTTTGCAAGCTTGACAGTGGCGTTGATGGTATCAAGAGGGGGAAGATGAGGCTGCAATTGAGCTGTGAAGGCGGCGACTTGGGACATCTTGGCCCCCTGGCCAAGCAATTGTCTCATGGCGGCGATGAAATGGACACCACCATCGAGAAGGAAGCCTCCCNNTATAGTTATTGTTCAGACCGACATGAAGTTCAACAGTACAGAAGCAAGATTTACCTGGTACTCAGGGGTCTTGCGCCACTCCGTCTCGTAGTACTTGGCTCCAGGCTGGACATTGGCGTGCATACGAAGACGGAAGCCCAAGATATCACCCAGCTCTTTAACCTGCTCAGCACCGTACTGGAAGCGACCGAGGTAGCGGAAGTTCTCAGCGACGGCCCAGATGGTCTTCTCGGTGTCAATGTTCTTGTGGTACCAGTCAATCAGCTCGTGGGCAGTTGCCAGGTCCTTTGCGACGGGCTTCTCAGAAAGCACATGCTTGCCAGCAGACAAGGCCTTCTTGATGAAGTCGGGTTGAGCAAGGATAGGGAGAGCGATGACCACGGCTTCGACGTCTGAACGTTCTAGGAGTTTGGCGTATGACTTGTCTGAGCCAGCATCTTCGGCGTAGAGGTCGGGACTGGACGATTCGACTTCTTTGGAGAGCTTCTGGGCTGAGGACAGGCTGCGGGAGTAGATGGCCTTGAGCGAAAAGAGGTCTCCGTTGGCTTTGATACCAGGCTGTCACACTGTATCAGAAGGTGTATATCTCAGAGGACGAGGGAAGGAGCGTACGAGATGAGCCTCTTGGACAAAGATGCCTGTTCACATTCTCAGCCAATGGTCGTTCCTGTTATGTGTTGTGCTAGCCTACCGCTACCAATGACTGCAATTCCGACGGTCATTTTGGATCTTGTCTTGCTTGTTCCTTCCTCAAAAGTCTTGCGGCTCCCGCTGAATCTTGTCGAAGCCTGTCCTCTCCATTTACACTGCGTCACCTCGAGCCCCACCAACACGCATGCCCCGCGTTTTGAGGCTCTGCCCCGCTTCGGCTTGCCTTTGTTTAGCCTATACAACTATACATATTTTAAGGTAGTCTTTAGCCTGTTAAAGATGATTAGAAAAGAAGGACATCGCGTGGATTGAGAAACAGAGAAAAGAGAGTACCTCTTCGACCGGCTTTGCTTCCAAGTTGGCCAGTCTGTATCGGCCTTTCTATACAGTAGGGCGTGAGATCTATCATCTATAGTTGCAGATATAGGGACGAAATCATAGCAACATTGGCTTTTACTTTGTCTCTGAACCTTCTGTAGCAAGTCCCAGCTTGCCGAGATCAATGGCCAAAGGATCAGAATCTTCTGTCGATTCTGTTGGACCACTATACCCGGCAGGTGGAAGAGCCCATTCAGGCAATTCCGTTTCGTACGACCACCTGCCGTCGCCAGCGGCATACTTGCGAGCATGCAGGTAGATACCCAATTCATGCGGTCCTGGATCGCTGTACAGGTCTGTTCCACAAAGTTCGCACTTCTCGCCGGTGAGTTTCTCTCCCTTGGTCTTGTTGTACCGCTCCATCATCTCGTCATGGTAAGCGACAGCATCCGCTGTTTCGTCTTTGCCCATGCGTGCAAGACGTGACATGATGTCCTCGTCGTTGTCGGCCTTTGACTCACCCTTGCCCAAGTTAAAACCCCAGACACGCTGATTGGCGTAGATGGGGTCGTTTGAGATGGGATGGCCTAGGTATTGAAGGTGTACACGCAGTTGATGCGTGCGCCCTGTTAGAGGCCGACAACGCACGATCGAGTATCCCTCCTTTTGCTTCCACTCCATGCCAGGAGTGGCTACGCCCTTCTCAGTTCCCTCGTCTCCAGCTCCAGGGTAGTATGCTAGTCTCTTGAAGACTGTTCTTGCGTCCTTGCCATCGGCACGCACGCGGTTGAGACCGAGCTTAGGGCTGATCTGCATGATGGGCTGTTCGCAGACAATCTCTCCTTCTGGAAACTCGCCCTTGACACGAGCAACGTATTCTTTCTTGACGGTGCGGGCCATGATTTGCTCGGTGAGTTCGTCGGCGGCCTTACGGTGTTTGGCGATGAACATGACGCCGCTGGTCAGACGATCGAGACGGTTGCAGGGCATAGGGTTGAAGCCATGGCCACGCTCTGCGCGCATGACTTCGGTCACACTGTTGTAGTTGTAGCGGCCCGAGGGATGTACGGGAATGCCAGCGGGCTTGTTGATAACAATCATGTCCTCGTCTTCGTGGACGATGCCAATGTTTTGCTGGGTGACGGGCGGTTCGTGGCGGTGAAGGGTATGTGAAACAAGGTCGCCGTTCTTGACTCTGTGGTCGGCACCAGTCGCAGGCTTGCCGTTGATAAGCACAGCACCTGTTTTGACGGCGTTTGTGTAGTATTCGATTGGGCGATCGCGAAACTCGTCAGCAAAGATCTCGAGGATCTCGCGTCCTCGCCATCGCTGCTTGCACCAGGTGTTGTATGTGTAGTGGTACGGTGCGACTCGTCGCAGGCCGCCCTCGAGATAGTACGGCCGCGGCCACGGGTCGCAAGGTGTGATGATGACGTCCGGTGGCTCTTCCATAGTGTTTGGTTTCGTCGCAGGCTTGACACCCTGCTCCACGGTTGTCAGGGCCATGGTTGTTGGCAGTTTTCCGCGCCGCGCCAGGAACGCTACGATTCGAGGGGAGGGAGCCACGTCTAGTCTTGTATCGCCACTTATCTCGTTCCTCCTCTTCACTCTCAAATCGGCCTAGACGAAAGTTCGGTGTCGTGATGATTTATTTGTTGGCGTCAGAAAAAAATATTGTATGCCACATTAGAGTTGATCGGCGAGCTCGTCTAAACTTTCTCTGCTTGGCCTAGCCTTTTGACCATCTTATCGTCGCGTACCTTTTACAACCCTAGAACCATTCATACCACTCCATCTTCCCACCAGACCCTTCCCGTTACAGATGCCTGTCGAGATAACCCGCATGGTCGAGAGCGACATAGATGGCGCTGTTGACTGCATTCAAAAGGCATTCGCAGAAGATCCCTACTTCGCTTGGGTATTCCCTGAAAATGTAAGAGGATATATACATTCGTCTATTCTCAATTTCTAATCACGCGACGCGCATTGTCTCGACTCTGTTGGTCTGTTCTAACATTGAATGCTTTGCAAGTTTTGTCCAGTACGAAATCGCGTCTCGCTCGGTATCCGCTGTAGATGGGGTCTTGAGCACGCTCTGTTTTACGTAGCAAAAGACCCTTCATCTCCTACTCCTTCGCGCGTCCTCGGTGTTGCCTGTTGGCTACCTCCCGCCAGTTCTTCTGCTCCACAATCTTGGAAGAGCTGGTTTGGAGATTGGACGCTGTGGTTGAACCAGCTCTGGATGAATTCTGTGTATGGCAGAGGCGGTCTGAACGTACGCCGCTACTATATCTGGTTTGTGGTTTCGCGAGAATGGTGATGTTCTGACCGGCTCTAATCATCGGACTTGTAGGNNAAAGCTGCTCAAAGCGACGCCCAGCGTCAGCTCTGGACAGATGACCAAGGTTACTACTTTTGTAATATCGTGACAGTGCTTCCGGAGTGCCAAGGTATGAAGATAGGAAAGGGACTTTTTGAAGAGGTATTGCGTCAAGCAGATGCCGAAGGGCGGAAGTGTTATCTCGAGAGTTCGCGAGCGGTGCCCAACATGGCTATATACCAAAAGATGGGGTTCGAGTTGGCAAAGGAGATGATTTGTGACGACCAGGGGACTGCCATCACTCTTTACTGTATGATGAGGGATCACCGGCCTCAATGAGTGGCGTGTTGCGGGAAAGGAGTGTATTAATGTTGATGTTCAAAGCGTACAGTCATCAAAGGAGTGTCTGGGGTATAGTGAAGCAAAGGAGCGTGAAGTCATTGAAGAGTTGAAGGATTAGCAGATGCTCAGCCGCGGAAGACTGATTTCCAGGTACCCGACTTGGCTTTGGGTGGTATCCTTGGAGGTAGATAGCCAGTACCGCCGGTTTCTAGGAACTCTTGAGCTTTGCCAGGCACTCCTCCCCTGGGCACCGAGTTTGATCTCGGCAATGGAGGTGGAGGTGGAGAGTTTGACCTTAGTGAAGGAGGTGAAAGACTGTCCTCTTGGATGGATTTCAAATGGTAGTTGTTGCCAAATCCGACAGGCTTGTAGTTGGGAACGAGTGATCCATTCGATGTCCTTTTCCTCTCGATGTTTAAGCGAGGCGTTGATGGAGCCTCCGAGTTTGTCCAGCTCCAGCGGGTTGCTCGCTGAGTAGGTGATGTCGGTGATGTGGGATCATCTCCCATACTGCGCACTGAAATACTCGGTACGTTCGACGCTTGAGACTTCCTGGCATCAAGACGATTGAAATATCTGTTGTCTGCACCCTTGAGGCGCGCCATGTGTGGCTCCATGATTATGCTAGGAGGTTTGCTGCTCATTTGCGCTCCTGGCTGAGTGACAGGCCCTGGAAGTCCTGGAAGATTCTTGCTCGCTCTATTCTTGCTTCTGATCGACAGAGGATACCGAGACGATCGCACTGAATATCTCTGCTCATAGTAGATGGGATACTCTTCAGGACGAACCATATAGGGACTCGCGTGACCACGAGGGCGAAGCTTGAGAACGTCGACCAACGCTGCACCCCTTCGCATCCGACGTATCACGTATACGACGAAGAAGAACAAGAACACTCCGCCTNNGTTCATTGTTAGGCCACACTCCGTCTCTTGTTCAGCGGATGACGTACCGATGGAACAGGTGATGATCACCAGAAGCCTAGAGCCCTTAGGCAGATCACTCTCCTCTACCGCAGATGAGTTCTGCCCCGTATTTTGGTAAGGGCTTGAGCCAGAGAAGTCCATGTTCGATGTAATAAGTACACAGCCAGATTTTGATTCGGAATGTAGGCTTATGAGAAGACAAATCAAATCGAATAGTGGCCTTGGAGTGATGAAGCAATGGCAGCCGGCCGCCAAGGGTGAATGTAATAGACGAATGTATGTGTAGAACGAATGTAACAGTTCTGTCCAGCAGAATGATGTATCACCGTACCTGGATCGAGGATCGGGGAGAAGGGAAACAACAGAGAGAGGAAATCCTCACAAGGATTGCGAGGCCGTGTGATACTGATATAGCAACTGGGGTAATAAGGCTGCTCTCGTTTCAACCCAAAAACTAACCTCAGTGTTAATCTGGGGCTCTTGATCCTGCAAGCAGCTCTCGATGAGCAGAGTCTTGCGCAAGGTCCGCATGGAGACCTGGCGGGAACACCGTGCTTCTGTCATGAATAAGAATCTGATCGATTTCGAGACAGATTGCTCCAGATGTGATCAAACTCAGGGTGTTTGGCATTGACGGCGGCGTCGAGCAGAAAAGTTGTGCGGGTCGAAAATGGTGAAACACGCTTTTCGGTGCTTCGAAGCCTGTGCGGCAACCAACATGACGGAACAGTTCCTTCGTTGAAACGTGCTGCGACGGTGCCTTTTGATCGCTGGTGACCTGCAGTAGTCGATGTGATCATGGGCTAGACACGGCAAGTTTTTTTAAGCATACACTCGAGGTTGGTGATGCACAAGATGGACAGAAAGGATTGTTTAGTTCAGGCTTCGTCAGTCTATACTGTATAAGCACCACCATAACGATCAACGTCCAAACTGAGCATGATGAAACTCAGCCGTAGTCGTCCGCAGGTATGCTTGAGTAGGAAGAATTGGACGACGTCCTACTTTGGGAACTTCGATGGAAGAATCAATCAGGGCTGTAATATGGCGACTACTTTGCCTTGGAGGTATGAGAAGGGTCTATCGACTCCAAAGACCAAATGTATGTTTTCGAGTTTTGTTGCACTACTGATTTAAAAGGAGAATGAAGCAATCTCTAGAATCACAGATGGCTAATCGCCGACGAGGTGTACAGTTCTGGAAGACAAAGCGAGGATGGCGGTTTATGTTGGAAGGAAACTCTGAAACGTCGGGTGTGGCTGACACCAAATTACGGTGTCAATGTGGGCTTCTCTGCAACGCGTCCGAGAGGGTGTGTCATTCTATCTGGTGGGTCTTGCTGCAAGACATTCCTCACTTTTCGGATGCACGCCGTCGCCCCGCTGGACATTGAACAGGTGATGATACTTTGTGCTCGGCGGCATGCGTATGTCACTTTGGAATGGTCCTCAGAAGGCTGTGCTGCTGAACAGCCGCGCCACAAAGCTTCGCCGACGTTATCTTAAGCTACCTATGTATGCTCTGCCACCGGGTGACTGCGCATGTCCGACTTCTTACGAATGCTATTGCTGAGTTCATGCTGCGGACATCGGCTGTACAAAGGTAATTGTTGTGCAATGGTCGTATAAGCCATCGTATTCAGGTGTTGCTGCCACGTCATGCGCCAAGGGTGGGTGGGCGACACTTCCGAGCTATCCATCTGACCTCTTGTCCAAGTATATATATGTACAGTCAGCTCAATTCACGACGACAACTTTTCCTCGCACCAACCTAGATCCCGCTTAACATCACATCACCATTCCACACGTCATGTCAGACCCCTACGGATATCAGAACCAGCAGAACCAGGGCCAGTACGGCTACCAACCCCAGCAGGGCTACGGAGGCTATCAGCAGGGTCCTCCCCCACCTCAATACGGCGACAATCAGCAGCAGCACCAATACGGCGGCAATCAGTATGGCGACAACCAGTACAACCAGCAATATGGCGCCCCGGCGCACGGCGGATTTCAGCACGGCCAGCATGGCGGACCTGAGTACGGTGGACCTGCCCCGCCACAACACCAAGCATAGTCAGTCATCCTTCATCTCGGCTAGATGGTGTGTTGGAGACGGTAAACTGATGCTAGGACAGCGGTCAATACCCACCTAGCGATCCATCTCACCAGTTCCCGCAACAAGGAGCGTACAATCAGAACCCCCACCTCAAGACCCCAACAACCCTTACGGCCATCAGCAACATCAGCAAAGCCAGTATGGCCCCACCGATCCGGCCGCAGGTCAAGAGGGCGATCGTGGTCTTATGGGAGCAGTAGCCGGCGGACTCGGCGGTGGTCTGCTTGGAAACAAGGCTGGTCATGGCATCATCGGAACGATTGCCGGCGCTTTCCTGGGTTCGAAGGTCAGTGGACTGTGAGATAACACAACGATACCATGATGCTAACTGAAAATCAGGCAGAGGACAAATTCAAGGAAAGCCGCCACGACTCACAATACCAACAGCAGTACGGAGGTGGTCAGCAGCACCACGGCCACCACGGTCATCACAACCAGAGTGGTAGAGCCGTTTGCACGGCCATTTCAGTATCTGATTTCTTAATGATCGCTAAAGGAGTTCTGGCTAGGATATGTACGCCATGTGGGGGATCTGCTGTTCGAATGCTCAAACTCGGCCGAGCATGTGGATGGTCACAGCTGCCGCGTTCTTTGTCTGTTAACGATGATCCTCGCCTTTCTTGACGAGTCAAGCGATATGAACAACTTTTCTTAATCTGATTCAGCATGCCTAGTAGGAGCACTTCTTGAGCAGTGTGATACACGTTGACAGCCAGGTCGGCTTTCTTGACCTTGTTCAGTGGTGACATATGACATCTCCACTTCCTAAAACACTGGATTGGAAGTCAGATTGAGAATCCAGGGACCACTTTTTGAGCATCTAGTGTAGTACGCACGGCTCTATTGGACTGCGCGTCTCAATGCTTGGAAGGCATATGTCGAATCACCGACTATTCGGAGGACCACACAGACCCCTAATACTACTGCTGCGAACCATCCATGGACCGAACTCCGAGCACTAGAATAGGTGTTTGAGGAATCTATCGCGTTCGAAGTTCCAATAGTCCTGACTCGAGCCCACATCATTTCAAATAATGTTGTATACCAAAAGGGGACGATGAAACAGAGGAAAGTGCGATATCTCGATCGGGACGGATTACTTCACCTTGTCACATGATTGCGTGCCTGCTCGATGCGTCTTTCGAAAAATAGAGTTTCCACGATGATGCCTGCGCAACAGACGACGACCACGATATGACATGAACAACAATCGAGCGTGGCAGGCAGCGCCTGTTCACAATGCCAAATACTTCTTTGCCTCACCCACCTACAACAAATGGGTGAAACTCACAGCCGCCGACGTACACGCTTTGCGTCAAGTTCCTGGGTTTGAAGGTGAGCATTGCCTTTCGACCTTGCGGTCCTTTTTACATTCACAATTGGGCTGACCATTCTCTCCTTCACCATCGCAGGTCAAAATGTCTACTTCCATCTCAACCACCCCATCCGCTTCGTCTACCTCGTCGCCCCCGTCGTCGCCATCCAAGAAATCCCAAACACGAAATTCCTCATCTTGACTCTAGACGACAGCAGCGGCTCTTGCATAGACGTCAAGATTGAGCGCATAGATCCCGCCAACAGCAACCCTGACAGCCCCTCAAATACGACCGTCGCAAATGTAGATATCGACACTCCGTTCAACCGCAACACAGAAGTCAAGATCGATGGCCAAATCGTGGATATCGCAACGGTGTTAAAAGTCAAGTGCACCATTGGCAGTTTCAGGAGTGTCAAGCAGTTGGATTTGAAGAGGTGCAATATTATCAAGGATACGACTGAGGAGGCTGCGGCTTGGGAGTCTTTGGCTCAATTCAAGAGGGATGTGCTCGCCAAACCTTGGATATTGGATGCTGCCGAACAAGCCGCTTTGGACGCACAACTCCAGCAAGAAGCCATAAAAGAGCAGGAAGAGGAAAGGAGGGAGAGACGCAGCCAGAGAGCTCACCAGAAGCGGGAAGAACTACGAGCAGAAAGAAGACAAGCTCGAGAAGAAGTGAGGGAGCAGAAACGGCTGGCTGACGAGCAGAAGTTCAACCAAGGTGCCTTGATCTGAAAGGATTAAACATTCTAGACGATCTAAGGAAGAAAAACACCTTGCTATGCGAGGTAGCGAGGAATACAGGAATGTGATCAGTCATCGTCGTCGTCCTCCTCCTTGGACTTCTTGCGCTTCTTGCCTTCTTCGTCTTCGTCATCTTTGGCGAGCTGCTTCTTTCTGCGCTCGTTACGCAGAGCCTTGGCTACCTTGTCATCTGCCTCCTTGGCCTCGTCCCAATCGACATCGTACTCCTCGGCAACCATCTTGATCTCTCTTCTCAGACGATTGCCTTCTTCGACAAGAGCGTCCCACTTGGACACATCAAAGCCTTTTGCCTGATACAGCTTGTCCTGTCTCTTGCTGACGGTAAAGTTCATGGCGGAACGGTAGCTGACTTCGCGGTTGTGGTAGAGGAACCACATGTAACCGCCAATCAGCGTAGATAAACCGACAAGATAGGTAACAGGCTCCATGACATCCCAGCCCAGATCTGTTTGGAAGGTGAGGACGTAGACACTACCCCACCAACCCACCAGCACGGCGAAACCTCCTTGAGCAACACGCTGAGCACTCTTATGGGCCAACTTGTCACACTCGGTCTTGATGTCTGCCAGAGAGGAGATCTGCTTGGCCGTCTTGCGCAGACGCATACGTAGGTAGTAAGTACGATCAGCGAACGACGGCACAGCAATATAGATGGGTTCAGGAGCACCCTCGATATCAACACTGAATTCCTTGCCCCTCGCAGCATCTCTGATGAAATCGCCAATCTCAGTGCTGGGCGACCAACGCACAAAGTTTGGGTGTTCCGGGTCAGGCTCTTTGACAGGATTGACGGGCTTTGCCTCTGCGACCTCGCCCGACTCGTTGAGTTTGCCAGTCCGCTCTGTCTTGCCGTCAATCTTGAAGTCTTCCGAGTGTTCGAATTTGTAGTCTTCTGATTCTTCGTCGGGTTCGTGGCGGTCGGGGTTGATTGCTTCTTCTCCTAGGTCTTGTGCGCGGAAGTGGACGGCGGGGATCTTGTCGTTTCCGTTTTCGTTTTTGATGACGGGCAGCTCGGATTGGATCAGGCGTTCGAGGTAGCTGAGGGGTTGTTGGGGGTGTACGAGGAGGGCCAAGGGTTCCACGTCTTTGCGGTCTTTGTTTACGTCTCGAGTGGTGAGGGGCAGGATAAGTTTGAGCATTCGAGAGGGCGTTGTCAGGAGTTTGCCTGTTCCTCACTGTCAGTTTTGAAGTCGATCACTTACAGCATTTAGCATACCTTTGACCATCGCACCAGCCGACCTCAATCGAGCGACCGGAGGCTTATCGCTGCCCTCACGCATCCACGGCGACCGCATCTGGCTCTGCTTGCTGTGCTCCACAACCCTGTCATAATGCTCCTTCTCTTCCTTGCCAACACTCTGACTCAGGTTCGCCGCGGGCTGTCCCTGCGACGTCGAGTTCTCTGCTGTGACACCTTTGGACTGCTCTCTCAAGCGTAATCGCGTGCTCTGGTTGAATGTCCTGGTACATTGATGGCTGATCCGCGGAGTTGGCCAGCACCTGTTGCTGCGCCCGGCCGTAGCCAGAGCTCTCAGTATTGATGGTTTCATTACTGTCGTTTTTGTGATTTGCTATCGAGCTAGCATTATATTGCCTTTGCAGGGGTGTGAGAGATAGGTACAGGACGATTCAAGTTGTTGATGCCAGTTGAACCATGAAGTTTTGATGACATCACCCGTTTCGTCTCCTTTGTTTTGCACAGCCACAGCCACAGCTTGGGTTTTTGGCACACGACATCATGAATTCAACAATGTATGTCGATAACAAGAATTTCTTGGATCTTGAACTGAGCCGTCCTTGTCTTGCTGGGCAGTTGCATGAACAAGGCCACCTAGTGTCAGGTCGGGAGTCATGTTGAAACCACTTCGTTGCAACAGTCTCCTCTCAACCATTGTTGAGCAAAAGCTTACTGGGAGGTGCCAGAAGATGTCCGTTATTAACTGGGTATATATATCACAGATTTCTGGTTGTGGGAGTTTCTTTTTCTCACCGCTGAAACGCGTTCGAGGAAATGGCATTACTCGCAATGCCATTATACGAGTCAGCAGCTTTAGCAACATGCAGCCACGTCACAGATGTGCTAACTCCGGACACTCCTGATGGTCTCTATTGAGTCCGTGATCCTAGGGCTCGTCCCACGACCCTGCCCTGTTGCAGATGTGCCTGTGATCAAAGTCAAAAGATACTCGACCTTAGGGCTTCGATTCCCGCACAAGTCTGACATACTGCTTTGTTCGAGGCTCCGACCATGATTGTATTGCCCCAAGGCGGTGTAATGTAGCGGCTGTTGATGTACGACGTCCTCCTAGACATATTTATCGCTGGGAGAAAGGCAAAGTAAGCAGTCGACAATGAGTCTACCTTCTTTGACCTGTACACTTGGCCACTCGTGCTCAATGGCTCAATTCGTACATGTCGAATATATCTGACAGACCATTACGACGGATCAGCTCCATGTCATTCGCGTGGTCTGTACCGGATTCTGATACCTGTTCAGGATTGCATTGTTAGCAACTATTCAACTCAAGGTCCGAATGCTGAATGAGTGACATACGACTAGGNACTTTGCCATTCTTTTCCATCCAGCTCCATGGTCGGAACGTAGCTGCTTGCCTCTCGTTGAAATGACCACCAATGCTTGTGGCATAGTGTTCGAGTACTTGGTCGGCCAACACGTTTCGTTCAAAGTTGTGGAAGCACAGCTGCTCTAGCATAGGCAAGTGTCGCTGGATGATGTTGATGATTCGTTCCACTTTGGTTTGAAGAGAGGTATTCGAGGCTCTGNNTAGATACATCAATAGATATCCGAGATGCTCACATGGGACCTGTTACCTCGTGCGTCCTCGCAAGTTTGGTGCGTCCATTGCAAGTCTTCTTAGATCGGGGAAAGCAGGAGGCCCAGATCCTGCCCAGTCATCAAGGTCGAAAGTGCCATACAAATCACAGCAATACATTTCGGGATGTGTCTCGCTCAAAGAGGTGATTGACTTAAGCGTGATGCTGCACTCAACTTGGAATGCCAGACTCTTGAGTTTTGGAAGATTCGACATCATATCAGAGAATTGTTCGTCCCCTAACCATGGAGCTTTGATATTATGGAAATAAGCCCGTCCCCTAGTCCATGTACGGATCAGAAAGACTTCAAGCTCTTGAAGGGCTCCGAGCGACTTGATATCGTCCTCTGACAGTGCTATTCCTCCTGCTAGATTGTGATACTCGACCTCGAGGTGGCGCAAGTTTTTCATGGGCTCGAGTGCTTGAAGCACATCATACTCGGAATCCTGGGCTTCAAGAAACAGTGTATCAACAGAAGTAGCGGCAGCGGCCAACATGCCAACGGATTCAGAGTGGAGTCGAATATGTAGTATGCGGAGGTTCTTGAACTCATTTGGTGCAGCAAAGGCTTCTCTTGCCATACGAGGCCTCAGGAAAGGCACTATATCCAGTCGTTCCAGATGATCTAGAGTCAAGACATGTGCAAGCACTTCTGTTGGGAGTGAATACTCCCAGCCTCTACCGAATTCGACGTTTCTGAGAGAGGTGCGATTCGTCAGGAATTTCTTTAACTTTGCCGCATTTACCACCATCTCAAGTGGTTCCATCAGATGGAAATCATGGAGCCGAGGACATTCGGTCTCCAGGCGCTCCAGTGCATCTTCGCATGGATGACCGCCCCAGTATGAAAAGGACTCCAGACGAGGACCAATATACTGAGCAAGGTGCAGCTTCTGATTCTTCCTCAGACGCACTGCATCAAGTCCGATGCATTTCAGTCTCGGGAACTTCAGATTCTTGTACTGCGAATGGAATTTGGATTCCTCAACGTGTCTAAAGTACAACTCGCATACCTTGTTGGCATAGAATTGTCGGCGCTTGTATGGCAATGCGGCTAATGCTAACGGCGGCGGGTCTGACCAGAGTGCATCAGTGGCAGGATCAAACCATTCCTTGCTTACAAGAGCTGCAGACAGGAGTGTTTGGTGATGACCCTCGAGCAACTGCAGGATGGAGACAAGGATCTCTGGCGGAAGATGAGGTGTCCGGATGCTGTTCTCCATGGTCCGATTACAGCAACGATGAGCAGTGTTGTGTAATGTCGCTACGAGGTGAAGATGTTGGCGCACATGACGCTCTCTGAATCGCGGGGTTCTGTTTTGCGCACCACCCAACACGCGCCTTCCCTTGCCTCATCACAAGCAGTAGAAATCTTGTGCATAGTATCAATGGCAAGATCGCACGGCACCCAAGACATTCAAACAAGACAATGGGTCATACACAAGGCACACCAGGCAAGTGCGGCTACTGCGGCAACCACACAAAGTTCTATATGCCCGTTACTCATCCTCGGATGGCTTTAACCTTTGGAGGCAAGTCGATGCGCATGGTCGAGAACAACACTTTCCACGCCCTATCGGCGACATGTAGAGCCATGTATAACTCTACTTCGTGACTCACATCATTATACTGGCCCAGCAGGAAACGCTTCATCATAGACACACCCTCTTCCTCTTTGTATCCAACAAACAGCATTCGTGCATAACTCTATTACTAGCAGATCGATACAGGACAGTCGCACACATCTACAACTACTCACCGCCAACCATGTACCTCCGCGCTATCCACGCCGAACCCTCCATCCCGGCCCTCAAAGCTTTCCTTGCCGCCAACCCTCTTGGCCTCCTCACCACGGCTCTCCCCTCTTCCGACCCTTCAATCCACTACCTCCAAACCACTCACATTCCCTGGGTGCTCGACGACGCTTCTCCCTCAGATGATACCCTACCCACTCTGCGCGGGCACATAGCACGCCAAAACCCCCACGCCAAAGTCTTGATCGAACATGCCACTGCTTCTACATCCCCCGGAAAGCCCTTTACACTCCAACAAGAAGTAACGGTCCTATTCAACATACCATACCACTCCTACGTAACGCCCAAATTCTACACAAAAACAAAGCCAGAGAGTGGAAAAGTAGTGCCGACATGGAACTACGCAGCAGCACAAGCCTACGGCACAGCAACCGTCTACATAGACTCAAAAGCAGACTCCACAATCAGCTTCCTGAACAAGCAAATCAGAGACCTAAGCAAAAAGNCTGAAGAGGAGATTATGCAACACGAAAAGCCTTGGGAAGTGGATGATGCGCCTGAAAAGTATATTGAGCTGTTGAGGAAGAATATTATTGGCATTGAGATCAAGGTTACGAGTTTGGGTGGCAAGTACAAGATGAGTCAGGAGATGGGTGTCGAGGATAGGGAGGGTGTTGCGCAAGGGTTTGAGGGTATGAAGACGGAGGCTGGAGATTGGATTGCGAAGACGGTAAGAGAGCGTGGGCAGTCAAAGTAGCCATCCTTGATCATTTGTCAAACTTACATGTAACTACATCCTCCCCGTGTGCTAGAGATCGTTACATTTTAACTATAGCAATGCACAATTGCTTTCCAATTAGGAGCGTGGCCGTGGAAGTGTTTAAGAGACACTGGAGGAATCCTTGTGTCCGAAAAGTACTGTGCATTTCAACACTTAGGCGTATCAGTCACCAACACGAAGGGAGGATATCACGATACACGTCAAATCGTTGGAGTAATTGCGCAAAATATTTGGTATCGTATTCGCCGTTTCATTCTATGTATCCATTACCCCGAGTGTAAAGAAGGGGGCGTACATTTTGAGAGGTTAAAAGAAAAAGTCATGTCAACACGCGGCCGTAACCATAGCTTTCATCCGCTTAGATGAGCTGGAGGAAGGCACGGTTGATGGGGGAGCGCAGAGGCTTGACGTCCTTGTAGAAGTCGACAGTCTTCTTAGCACGCTTGGCAATGCCCTCGGGGGTGAACTCGAACTTCTTGTAGACGTCCTTGTAGGCACCCGAAGCACCGAATCTGTTGAGACCGAACTGCTCGTGAGAGTACTTCTCCCAGCCGAGAGTCGACATGACCTCAACCGACATGGTGGGGATACCGTCGGGGATGACCGACAGGCGGTAGTCCTTGTCTTGTGCGTCAAAGACCTCCATGCAGGGCATAGAGACAACACGGGCGGTGAGCTGGTACTCGTCCTTGAGGGTCTTGACAGCCTCGAGACAGATGCCGACCTCGGAACCGGTGGAGACGAGGGTGACATCAGCCTTCTCCTGCTCGAGAGCGACGTAACCACCCTTGGAGGCCTTCTCGATGGTGGAACCCTCGAGCTGGGGCAGGTTCTGGCGGGTGAGAGCAAGGAGCGAGGGAGTCTCACGGCTGGTCAGGGCAACGTAGTAGGCAGCAGAGCACTCGTTACCGTCGGCAGGGCGCCAGACCATGATGTTGGGGAGAGCGCGGAAGTGAGCAAGAGTCTCAATAGGCTGGTGGGTAGGACCGTCCTCACCAAGACCGATGGAGTCGTGAGTGGCGATGTAGAGAACGCGCTGGTGAGACAGGGCGGAGAGACGGACGGCACCGGCAGCGTATGAGACGAAGTTGAGGAAAGTACCACCGGCGGGGATGAGGGTACCGTAGGCGGACAGACCGTTCATGATGGCGGCCATGGCGTGCTCACGGACACCGTAACGCATGTAGCGACCGTTCCACTGGCCAATGCCGGTGTTGGGAGGCTGGAAGTCGACGGCCTTCTTCCAGCGGGTGTTGTTGGAGCCAGTCAGATCGGCGGAACCAGAGACCAGCTCGGGAACAGCTTCGTAAATGGCCTCAAGAACGGACTCGGAAAGCTTTCTGGAAGCAATGGCGTCGTCTGTGGGCTTGTAGGTGGGGAGGGACTTCTGCCAGCCCTCGGGGAGCTTGCCGGTAAGACGGCGGGCAAGGTCGGCGTGGGCCTCCTTGTGCTCGGAAGCGTACTTCTCGAAGAGCTTGTTCCACTCGGCCTCGGCGGCGGCACCGTTGTCGGCGGTCTTGTGGTACATGTCGTAGACCTCCTGGGGAACGACGAAGGACTGCTCGGGGTCGAAGCCGAACTGCTTCTTGACGTGCTTAATGTCGTCGGCCTTGAGGGGGTTACCGTGAACACCGCCGGTACCCTGGAGCTGGGAGCCGAAACCGATAGTGGTGGTGAGCTTGATGACTGAGGGCTTGTCCTTGACGTCCTGGCATCTCTTGATGGCATCCTCGATACCCTGGAGGTCAGTGTCACCCTTCTCGACGTACTCGCAGTGCCAGCCGTAGGCCTCGAAACGCTTCATGACATCCTCAGTGAAGGCGCACTTGGTGTCACCGTCTNNGATTGTTCGTTAGCGGAAATTTCTTCAAAAACATCTAAATAGCTACTGACCAATGGAAATGTGGTTGTCATCGTAGATGGCGATGAGGTTGCCGAGCTGCAAGTGACCGGCGGTGGAGGCGGCCTCAGAGGCAATACCCTCCATGGCGCAACCATCACCGAAGAAGCAGTAGGTGTAGTTGTTGATGAGGTCGAAGCCGGGCTTGTTGAAGGTACCAGCAGTCTGGGCCTGGGCCATGGCAAGACCAACAGCGTTGGCGAAACCCTGACCAAGGGGACCAGTGGTGACCTCAACACCGGGGGTGTCGTGGGCCTCGGGGTGACCGGGGGTGATGCTGTCAATGGTNCTGGAATGATGTTAGAAGGGTGAATGGGTTTTTGTGGAGTTGTAGGCAAAACTCACTCTGAAAGCCTTGATGTCGTCCATGCTCAAGGCGTAGCCGAACAAGTGGAGGAGAGCATACTGGAGCATGCAACCGTGGCCGTTGCTGTAAGCCAATTGAGTTAGCCATGTTCGTCAAATCGAGTTGTTACTGCTATCGGCCTTTGAAGTCGGGTTGCGGCTTGTGGAGAAGCTCCCCACCGGCCTCCCATGATAACAAAAAACCAATCATTGTATCATGTACGACTCGACGGCCAGCCCAATCAATGGATAAGGGATGACTTACGAGAGAACGAATCTGTCTCTGTTGACCCAGTCGGGGTTCTTGGGGTTGAAACGCATGAACTTGTTGAAAAGAACGTGCGAGACGGGGGCCATACCCATAGGGGCACCGGGGTGACCCGAGTTGGCTTTGGCGGTCGCATCGACCNNTGTGAGAGCATCTCATGTCAGTCTGGTTCATCATTGACTACCCTCTGGCAGGAGGTTCGAGATGGATGTGGCGACTCAACAAGCGGTCACAACTTCTCAAAGCTCATAGAGGGGTAGGTAGCTGTGCAGTGAGTGAATACTTACTGCGAGCAGTCTGATGGTGTTGATAGCGGTCTGGTCAACTTCTCCGTAACCCATTTTGAATGATATGACAGAGGTATGTGAAGTGTAGAAGGAGAGAAGGAGTTGTTGATCTGAGATGGAAAAAGAGTGTTGCTCACACGTTGAGCCCCCACTCAGCCAGCAGGAGGGACGTCACTGCCGATCAGGCCGAGTCTGCACCGACACAGGTGGCCGGATGAATAGGGTCGTGCACGTTGCCATCTTTCTTCTCTGTGGTGTTTGGTTTCACCCGCAGGCTTCCGTTGCACACTATTCTATTAAGCTCTTCGGTCTTAACATGGACGAGGTCCAAGCAGTACGGATGAATCGAGTCGATCTCTACTCCAGATTATGCCGACACTATTTCGAGCAGTCCCTCGAACAGCGACGTGTTTCTCTCTTCCAAGCATTTCTCTTTTGCCAAAACTGCGGTGTCGGCGGTGAGAGAGAGCCTCAATCTCCAGAAATGCCGTGGATGAAGCAAGCATCTCCGCCCGGCGGCTTATGACTTCTTCCGGGCGGTTATCAAATCTGATAGCCGCGCGACTGCTCATGCGGCTATTGCCCTGTCTTTATCGAGGTTGATTTCCAATGATTGGACGCGAACAAGTCTTTCAACAGACCAAACTGTGGTCTTCGAGAGCCCTCTGTTGTTAGCATGCCATTTAGCCAGTCAATGGTGGCTTGAAGATAAACACAGGCAGCGAGCATCTTGGGTAAGAATATGAGACTAATACATGTTTTTACTTAGAAAGAATGACTGGGTTGAACGGAAGAGAATGCTAATAAAGGCTCCCATGAAAAGACACCTGCGTTATGCATGAAATCAGGGTATCTTGCTTTGCGTACCTGTTCCATCAACCAAAGAAAATAAAGAAAAAGTTCCGAATTATCCGACGAGTCCATCTCTCCTTCTGTCTTCTCTCAACGACCCTTGACCTCGACCGAAAGGTACAAATCATCACCTCTTCTGCTTGGCGTGAGTTTGGGCTCCCAAAGCGGACTCTTCAACTCCATCTGAGGAGTCTGGTCGGTCCTCTTCTGGTTCCTGCGACTGTAGTTTCTCAAAGGTGATTCAGGTGCTTCTCTGATATTCGTGATTATCAGGCCACGACCAAGGTCCAGTGATAGATCTTCACCGCGTCTCTTTGCTGCCAACGTTACCTTGCGACTCGATGTAGTCGAAGGAGGAGAACGAGGAATGGCTTGGTTGGAAGGACGAGGCACCTTCGGGTACGAGACCGGAGAAAGTTGTTTATCGACCTCGTTCTCAGGAGTTGTCTCATCAGGATCGACGGATTCGAATGTGGTTGCTGAAGCCCATGAGCTGCGTACACCGCGAGGCACCAAAGGCAATGGTGCAAAGTGGGGTTGACTGTAGCGTTCATGGTCGTTGGGACTCCATTTGGGTGCTACAGGGGTGCGGCTGTCGGAGCTGGTGTAGTAGGCTGGAAGATAGCTGGCAGCACTGCTTGGTGGCATGGACAAGTGATCGTTTCTGGAGGCCCCCGTATTCAAGGAAATGCCGTTGGACAGGGAGACTTCATCGTTTCTCACAGGCTTGCGAGGGATTTGCAGCATTAGGCCTGACTTGGTCATCTCTTCTGGAGAAGTTGTGTATTGATCCGCAAAGCTTGGTCCTGGAGGAGGTCGAATTGGTGATTGGAAAACTGGCTTGGGGAGTACAGGCGGATTCGGCAGTACCGTCTTATGCGTGGATGTTCTGCTATCCTCTTCAAACACTGTCCATCGAGTAGCAGCACTGTCAGGTCCGAGGTGCTTGCTCGCCTTTTTCACATTGATCATGATGTTGGTGATGGAATTTGGAAGTCTGGGAGATCTTGTCCCACTGCAACCAGGTGAGGAGATACTCGCTCTGTGTGATTTGAGACCGTCCGGTACCTGGCGTATGTCGAGTCGAGAAGATTCTTTCCACCATTCCAATTGGGGTCGAAGCGAGGGCCTGAATCGACGCTGTGTGGTGGCTTCGGGCGACTTGTCGAAACTGCTTAGCGAGGAGCGAGGTGATCTGTTTGGACTTGCTGGGAAGGATCTCGGTGGTCTAGCAGGACCGGATGGGGTTGCTGGTCTGGTGGTACTCTTGGGAGCAAACTTGGATCCAGTTGGAGAAGATTGATCCTGGAAGTCCAGACGATGGCTTGTTTTGAACCACTTTCTTGTTGGCGTGCCGCACTTCTTGTCCTTCTTTTCCTTCTTCCGACGCCTTACGCAGCAACAGCAAAAGAAACACAATCCAAAGATGAGGGCAGCGATTGCGATCGAGGCGACGGAAATCCCCACAGTCTGACCAGTCGACAAAGGTCTGGAAGGTTGAGTGGGTGTTGCAGAGAGACCAGTTGGCGATGCTGAAGACGAAATGGTTACATTCGATGTGGGTGTACTGATGACAGCGTCTGAAGCCGATGTCGCGAATGTGGTGGAGGTTGTAGGGATCGTTGTCGGCTGAGTAGTTTGAGAAGATGATGTCGATGTTGTCGGCTGGAATGACGTTGTCATAGTCAACACAGCATGCGTTGCTACCACTGCATTGCTGTACGAAGAGCACAAGCGATAAGCCTGGTCTCTAGATGCCGCCACAGTTCCTGCAGGGCAGTGTTCGATCATGCAGCCGAGCACCAACTCTCCGAGAGCGAAGCCAGATGTGCTGTAGTGTGAGCAAAGGCATGCGGCATCACTCGGACTTTTGCATTCAGATGGTACCAGACCATCAGCTACTTGTGAAGAAACGCATGATTGAGCGCAGGTAGGAATAGAGGGTAGAAGCTCTGCCGGCAAAGCAACTGAATCTCGTAAATAAAGAGCGTGAGGTTGACCAAAGCGAGGCGCCATTATGGGTCTGATTTGTGATGTATGCTTTGAAGTGGATATTAGGTCTCGTGATGCTGAGAGGAAGTGGGGCAAGATTGTAGGAGGTTTTTAGAGCTCTGATAGAAACCATACCTTCAATAGAGTTTGTTGATGAGGATTGAGAACGATTAGTATTGTGACAAGCTCATAATAGGAAAATTAGAAGGAAAGAATCCGACCAGCGGCGCGAATAGACGAAGGCGAAAAGAAAGATTAGATGAATAGGAAACAATAGAGACAATGGCAGAAAGAGACGTCGAGAACCTACGAGCACTCGCGCGGGCGAGGTCTTGTATACCTTTCTGTTAATGTCTTCAGCAACCGCCCAACCATCGTCATCATACACAGACGGGTGGCAGGGATTGTTACTCAAAGCGCCAGGAGAGCATGAGAGGCCCAAGGCGTAGGCTGCAGAGACATCTTGCAGAAAAGTCGGCGCTTAACACGACCTCGAACACAATAGATAGACGCACAGACCATGCGATGCGAGTGAGAGTACTTGGTCTATTCGGTTTATTCTTTGACTCGAAAGACAATTTGGAGACACTGTTGGAAAGGATGTGAAACACTGGTCAACTAGTTCCTGTCTCAATACATAAGCATCTAGTGCGCCATTGCTGTACGTGAGGGGTATCCATGAAGAAAAAGATGTAACAAGAAAAACACAACCTTGAATACGCAATACTCCTTCCCGATGCTTTGAAATGCAGTGTTTGCGAAACATCCCAATGCCTTGTTCCAAATGCCCATGACCGTTCCCGGTCCCATGTCCCTATGCCAGTCCCGTAGATAAAGTCCAAACTCCATGCGCTGATAGAAAAAGCAAATGGTGATCGTCTAGAAAGCAAAGGGAGCATTCTCCTTGAGGTCCTGGACGAGCTCGTTGACGTTGCTCAGATACTGGCCGAGCAGACGTTGTTTTTCGTCGGTTGTCTTTGAGAAGGCGGCGATCTCGTTTGTGTTGCGGCGCTTGCTGGATTTTCTCTGCGGACCAGCCGAGGATGAGTTGGCAGAAGGAGTTTCGGGCATGAGATAGAAGTAGAGGAATTCGACAACCTTCAATTTGACCTCTCTAGACGTGCTGCGTGACTTGAACAAGCTAGCGATGGCGAGAAGGCCGTCCATCTTCTCGAACGTGCGAGTGCTCTCGGGTGTTGCGAGGAGAGCGGTGACGAGGACAAGGAGGACTTGCGACTGGACGACGGGTGGGTTTGCGGCATCGAGGAGATCGAGGAGAAGGTCCATGTAGCTCTCACGGCGGAAAAGGGCGCGCGAAGGAGGGTGGAGTAGGAGGACGCCTTGGAGGATGTCGAGGGCGGAGAGGATGATGGCATTGGATTGGGTGGCNTGGGAGAGGTCAGACTGTGGCTACTCGTGGTGGGGGAGGGTATAGTCACCATTGGGCATGCCTAGCAGCGTCTCGAGACAGGCCATCAGGCGAGAGGCGACTAGAGGACATGTTAGCGTACTGGAAGGGTCGCGTGGCTAAGAAGAGGTACCATTCCACTCGAAGCCCTCTTGCAGGCGAAAGAACTCTCTGTATGCGGGGTCCTGGCACAAGGAGCTCAACTGTCTAGGCGGAAGGAGCGTGTCGCCAGACAGACGCGTTGATGATGGACGGCGCTTTTGCTGCAAACATGATGGCGGGATGCAGATCTGAGCCAGCAGACCTTCAATCTGGCGCAAGCCCTTGCGGATCTTGATAATGTCCTTGGAAGACGTGTTGTCGAACGAGAGGGATAACAGTGCTTCCATGGTTTATGCTGCGCTGCACAGGCTCGTTGGCAGGCACAAGCTGCACAGGCTCTTTGACAGGCAGACGACACAAGTCCGGACAGGCACTAAGACGACACAAGTGCAGATAAAAGAAAAGTACGCAGAGTGCACTGTGACTCGGTGACTGGACTGCGCTACCTCTATATGACCCTTGGTCCTGCGCTGGAGCCGGCGTTTCGTCAATCAACACAGGCCCCCCCTGGCCAGGCAACCAGTGCCGTCCAAAGCCAAATTGCGCCAACGTCCAACTGTCGGAATCTGTCAAGTCCATCACATCCAGAGGCCAAGGCTTCTCGATTTCGTCAAAAGTCAAGGCCTTCCTAGTCCGTCACTTCTCTACTCGGAGTAGTTCATCAGAAATCAAGGCTCCTCGGCCTGCCACCAACATCACCACCCCAGCCTCCCCTCCCAGCCATCTCGCTGACCAACATTGTCCATCCCGCTTGATCAAGTTCGTCATCAGCGACATGCAATTTTAACAAGTCGCTCTTCAGCCCGACTCTTCCTACTCGCCCGGCGCAACGTCTATAGTCCATCGTTATCGACGATTCTATCGGCAATAGTCCATGTGAAAGACCCTTGTTGACCCGATAACAAAGTCCACCTGACATGGTATATTGACCTAGCCTTGTAGCCCTACGCCAACAACCACTATGACCATGCTGTCTCTCACCTCTCGCTCCTCANCTCCATTCCATTTCCGCCTACACATCCATTGCCTGCNNATTCCCAGCCTCTTCATCCGCCGCTTCTCTGTCAGTCACCGCCGCCATGAAGCCAGCGCTGAACCAGACACCACCATCCCTGCAAAACATCATGTACAGAAAATGTATCGCAACGAGGCTCGTAGACTCAGGTATGCCAACGACCCCGAGTACCGCGCAAGGGTTTTGGCTAGTAACAGTGCTTGGAGAAATGCCAACCCTGAGAAGTACGCAGGAACTCTCGCCCAAAGCTCTGTTTCGAGAATTGCTCGATACAAGTCTGACGTCCAAATGCGCGAAACCGAAAAGGCTCGAGTGGCAGAATACAATGCGAGACAAGATGCTATTGCTCTTGATAAAGCTAAGCGGCAGAGGAACCTGTGTAACACACAGAGATACGCCAACGATTTTGTCTTTAAGCAGCGGGTCAACCTCAGGGAATGGCTATTGCACGCCCGGNGGCTGACATGGAGAACACACGAGGTTGAACTAAACTCAGACCGAGTGGTGCGTCTATGTTCCGGGAAAGGCTGTGGCTACGTGAAGAAGGTAAGACTATGGATGAAACGCAAGGACTCCGACCCTGTTCTGTATGATTGCTTTAACTGCTTCACATCCGACTGGGTTCCAGAGAAGGTCCTACCAATTGGCTACGAGCATCTGGTCTTTGGATCAGGTCAGAAAATGAAACCCCGCAGTGTTCCAACAGAGGATGCCAAAACCAAGCCTCCTGGAGGCACAAGAACTACGAGCGGCCACAATACCACAACTTCTGGGAAAGCACTGTGAACCTTGATGGTACCAGTGAGATTAAAATCCAGACCTAGGAAGCCAGACATAGCAGATAGATCTGACTCTATACAAAACTTCAATAGATGTACATAAGAAACCTCCTTGCGACCATGTCTTCACCACATTGATGTGAGACGAGATGATAGGCGGTTTCAAATCACGTGTAGCGACACTGCTGCTTTCCAAGATCGGTTTGCGCTGCAACGATCAAAAGTTTATATTCAGCACACCACATACCACTTTCTGGTTACAATGGCCGACACAATGGCACCTTTCCCTCGGGTTTACTTCCGCTACGTAGAACCTTTGATGATCACTTTCGGAAGTCTCAATCTCATCTTGAGCGGTGCAACCAGCGCCTCAACCTACCTCTCAACACCGTCTCACCCAACATTGGCAACCGAGCACTTTCTGGCCCTGCAAGCAGGCAGCATGATGCTTTTAGCCGGTATGCTACTCACCACCATCATGTGGACAAGCAACGAAATCAAGACCATCAGACTCACAATCATGATTCTTGCGGCATCCGACATCCCTCATTGGATTTGCGGGGCATGGTGTTTGGGACCGCTTGCTTTTGAGCCTAGCAGTTGGAGTGCGGAGATGAAGGCGTATATGGGGGTTCCTGTAGTGACTTTCTTGATCAAGGTCGCGTATTTGCTGGGATGGTTTGGACGCGATCAGGTTACCGACAAGGTCACGAAGGAGCTGTAGGGAATGTCTATCGACGACTTTAGCAAGTGCGTATTTCACGAAGATCGTTTTCGTGCAAGTATGCTACCGTAGCTGCATCCGAAACCTGTCGAGTTTGGAGTGCAGTTCACATGCATAATATGCAGATATATTTAGCACTTCTTCTTCTTGGTCGCAGCTGCATGGGACAAAGTGATCAGATCAGGACGTCGAAGTCTGCAGCATCATCTGTAATTTCCACCGACAAATCCATCTATTCACGCTCCACAAGCATCACAATCGACAGCAACCTTGCACCCAATCTTATCGACAAACCTGATATCTGAGTATGACGGCAACTACCAGACCCGATGAGTTCATGTGGCTTGCCTGTCGCGACGGATGCCATCTCGCAGTGGCTTCTCGCTTGTGCCGGCACCGTTTCATGAAGGGCGCCTTTGCCGAAAGTGCTTGACCTCAAGCGCCCGGCACTTTCGCCTCCTCCATCATCTTTCGAAACCTGGAAATCGGAGACGCGATCGGGCCGTAAAGGTCGTCGAAGACGGCACACCACGTTCTGAGAATCGTCATGCTGTACAGAGGCTTCAAGGCTCCACGGAGACAATGTGCATTCAACAAGCTGTGCCGGCGCGCTGCGGTTGAGTACGGCCAACAATTTTTGTCTTGAGTAGGGTCCGTCGGGTGCAATAACAATATGCTTGCAACTTGCTTGTGCAACTTGTTTTTGGTGGAGTCGTCGCAGAATACTCCAACCCCAGGCGTACCTGCAGATCACTGTCCTGCAGGCAGAGTTAGAGTCAAGGCTCTCTTTAACGAGTATTATGCAATCCAGACCTTGTAGGTGTGGATCTTCGATCCGCCCATCAAACAATTTCTTTCAGGCTGCCAGCTCTTTTTTCAACATAACGCTGTTGGTTCTTCAAAAAAGGTTTGTTCAAACTTCTTTTTGGTAATTGCACTTTTTCTTGCCCACGCTCGTTTCACCACTGTTCATTCAATTCTTGCCCTCGTTTCTCATCAACAATCATTTCAACCAAGACGATCTTTCAACGCATATCAATCATGTATCTTCAACGTCTCGGTTTCGCTGCTTGCGCTCTGTTCCTCGGGGCCAGAGCGATCGACACCATTACTGTCCCGGATGTCATCACTGCCGACGTTGCTTTCACCTTGACCGTTACCCCTAAGGACACTACTCCGGGAAACTACAGAATCTATTTGGATACTACACCTCCCGGCTATGCCGGTGGTCAATCTTGTAAGTCAGATGAACTTCACAGAGTGTTGTCTATCAAGCTGACAGCAAACAGGCNNTACCTCAAGAACACTACCTCGACCGACATCACAGCAGTCAACCTCACCATTCCCGCCGATTTTGGCCCCGACGGCGATTTCTACTCCATCTCGACCCGTGACCTCTCCGACTCGGACACCGATGCCAGCTACGTCTTCAGCAACGCCTTCAACCTCACAGGCGCAAGTGGAAACTACTCGGAGTACGAGAATAAGCTGAACGGCGCACCCCTCTGGGACGCTAACAGCCTCCCCTGCACTGCCTATGATTGCGCGCGCAACTGTGCTCAAGACTCTTACCCCAAGGACATGATTCCTGGCTCTGACGCTTTCAACACCATGCGCGCTTGCATTATGAAGTGTCCTGGTGTGGAGAAGGAGACGAAGACTTCTTCTGCTACTTCTAGCACTGCTACTGTGACTAAATCTGGCTCTTCGGGTTCATCTGCTAAGGCTACTAGTACTTCTATTTCTGGTGATTCTGCTTCTACTTCTAGAAGCTCTGCTGCTGCTACTTCTTCCGGCGCTGCTGTTTCCAACATGTTTCCTGCGTCTTTGGCTGTTGCTGGAGGACTTGCTGCTTTCTTCCTGTAAAATGGAAATACGCCATCTAATCCTCGAATGGCTGAAAGACTCATTACATTCTGATTACCGAAGAGCTGTTGACAGTTGGCGGTCAAGATGTACTACAACATGACTGAAAGGATGTGCAACCATGGAAGATATATTACAACTATACTTAAACACTAATCAAGCAATCTACGCAAATTATCATATATTTGTCTTTGATTGGCTCAAGTATAGGTCTTCAATTGCATGATCTTCTATCAGACACGTCCAACATGTTGCTTGAATTCGTGCTGCTATCGAGCTAGGCAGTTGTGAAGAGGGATTCGTGGTCTAGAATCAAGCACATTTTGGGGATGATAGACAGGGTGACCCATCTTGATGCTGGGACAACCCTGTCGTCGTGAGGATGTTCGTCCACCTTGTGTCTTTGGTCATTGAGAAATGATTCCACATCGGTCCCGTGATCTTTGAAGAGCTCACTTGTGTTTGGTAGTGTGTGTTGTTGTCCCCGGCTCGTTTTTGGGCCATGTTGCGTCTATGTATAGTTTTCTGTAATCCTGTATTGTACAGCCTGCAGATCCCACCACATTTTCGAGTGATAGACCAAGAAGACAGTGATAGTGAAAACGAAGATACGCAAGACGAGCTGTTCTTGGTGTTTACTGAGCTCTCTATGATATCTGAAACCATCCATCTATGCTTCAAACATGCAAATAAACAACATATCTCAAATCCTCTCCCTCTTCGTCACCAATATCCATATACGTTCCCTGCGACTTTGATATCCTCATCCCAAAGTCCAACACAAAGTCTGCTGTCCAAGCTGGGTTTGTCCATAGAGAGCCAGGTAAGAACATGGCAGCTTTCTTCACGCGGTCGAGGTACTCGGCTGCTTCTTCGTCTGCTTCCTCGTCTGGGTCTGCGGCTTCAAGGTCAGGTTCACCGTACTCGTCAATGAGAGATTGTATCCATTTGCCCGTAAGTCTTTTGTTTGAGGATTCGGATTCAGTGGTGTGAGCGAGGTAAATGAAGCAGAGGAGAATAGTCCAGAGATATTCTTCGTGTTCTGAGCCACGGAGTTTGCGGAGTTTTGTCGTACCCGTCACGTATTTGACTCCAGACATGAAGGATTTGTGAGTAGCAGGCAGTTCCAGTTCTAAGAGGTCAAGAGCGTCTTCCAAGGTCCAGATTGCAGAGCCAGCGGAAGAAGATACGGTTTCTGGCTGTAGGTCTTTGAGGTAAGTAGCCATGCGTTCTTGTACGGTGTTGATGACCTCGGATTGCATGTCTCTGTAGATCTTTACGGATGCCTGGCGTGCGTTTGTTGGTTTGGAAGGAAGCTTCTCGTTGGCTTCTTCCAGCTTGCCGATCTTTGGGATGAGCGACATCATGATGTAAAGAGCGATGCGAGGTAGGTAGCGAGTGCCTTCGCCGTGGTAGAGGTACTCTTCTGCATCTTCGATAGGGGCGACGTCTACTCCTCTCTCCAGTTGAACTACATAACAGAAAAGTTCGGCTAGAGGTGCTGGCACACATCCCCATGCCTGATCGAATGGACTCGCATTGCTAGTCTCTTGCAACTTTTCCTGTAGCAGACGGAACGTGGCGGCCTCAGAGTTCCATTCTCCGGTGGTTTTGAAGTACTCGGGATGAGTGATGCTCAGCATCTGCTGCAGTGGTGGCGGAGGGGGCCTCATGGCCAGGAGTAGTCCATCGTAAGGATTGTTAGGTGCGCAGAAACCATAACCCATCAACAGCTCCTCGCTTGACTTTGGACCATAGTTGTTGTAAACTTGTGAGCCAGACTCAATCTTCTCCGAGACAGACAAGCTGAACCGGTCGGGGTCGTAAGTCCAGTCCACACGAGCATTTGGATTGTGGTTTCCAATGTCGATGGCGGGGAAGAGGACAGAGAACTTCTTCCAGTCCTCCGGGTAGTCGTTTTGGTTCAAAAGGACGGTCTGAGTGCCATTCGAGTCGTGTTTGTAAGCTGTCCAGTATTGACTGTCTTGTGGTGTGACAGTTAGGCCATTGAAACTGCGCGATGAGTACACTGTGGCAGCCCATCTGAAAAGTTCCCTGCGCTGAAGTCAGGCACCGTGACGTTGGATTGTGAATTTTGAGCTCAAGATGTTGGTATCGAGAACCAGAAACTCAGTATACTCGCCATGAAGCACGATGTTGAATCTTTCGTGCACTGGCATTTTTCTATGCACTTACCATGTGTATTCTGTTACATCCATACCAGCCGTTCTCATGACCTGCACTCCATCTTCCCAATACTTCTTCCAAGCAGCTTCTCTACCGAGCAGAGTTGGATGGAGATCTGTACCTTCCAACCATTGGCGGTCGTCGTCATCATAAAAGATGGGAGTCTCGAAACCTTGTTCAGGAGAGGGCAATATGTCCAGATAAGGCTTCCAAAATGACTTGTCCTTGTGGAGCCACTGTGCCATCAGATAGAAGAAGCTGAGAGCTTCAACAGTGAATTTCTGGGCATGAGTTCTGAAGACAGGAAAATCGTCGTCCACTTGAGCGTTCAGATTTGACATTGCCAGCTTATGAGGCACTGTCAGAACGTGTGTACTAGGCTCAATGATGGCAGTGGCTCGGAAATGTGAGCCTTGTTCAGCATCTTGGGCAAGCTGAACTGATGGATGGAGGTAGCCTCCGTTGCTCCTAAACCAATTCTCAAAGGCATCCATAGCGATGGTGGGATTTATGTTTCTCTAAAATGTCTTGGTGACTTTGGAAATATTTTTGAGAGTCGAGACGGACGTCATGGGGAGAAGCTTGGACCAGGCATTCGTACTTACCTGGCTCTTTCTCACCGTCCTAGTCGCTGCTGTCTCACCTGCAACACGCAGACCATGCTCACTGAATCGTACCTCACAGCAGTACCCGTGTGTGCTTGAATAGATGCGTTATGCCGCGTAGGAACCTGCATGCCATGAGGCGGTGTCGTTCTCCCTATCGCCGGTCCGGTTAAGACCGTTAAGCCCGATCTACCAGAGGTGATGTAAGGACATGATATAAACTCTCGGTTCCCTTGAGAGTCCCAGAGCCTTCTTTGAATCATCTTCAGCTTAAACGAGCAGCCAAAATGACTTCAGCACAGAAAACAAACATCAATGTCGTCTTCGGAGCCATGACGTTCGGCAAAGAAGGCTCCGAACAGGCCCGCGTACACGACCTCGACACTGCTGGCAAGGTCCTCGACATCTTTCAGGCTCATGGCCACAACGAGATTGATACTGCCCGAGCATACTGCGAGGGCACGTCAGAGACCATGCTCGGTGATCTCGAATGGCAGAAGAGAGGTCTTGTCATGGAGACCAAGTACTACCCGACCGCTGGAAAGTCCATCCCGTCATCATGGAACAGCAACTTGAGACACACCCCCGAGGACCTCCGCGAGAACCTCATGACCTCGTTGAAGGAGCTGAAGACGGACAAGATTGATATGTGGTACCTCCACGGTGTAAGTCTCACTCGACCACCCAGCCGTTCGTCTTCGAAGCTGACATAACTGTTATAGCCCGACAGAACCACCCCATACGAAGTCACCATGAAAGCCGTAAACGATCTGTACAAAGAGGGCCGCTTCAAGAGACTGGGAATCTCAAACTACATGGCATGGGAAGTGGCTCAGATCTGTGAGCTCTGTCGCAAGAACGACTGGGTCCAGCCAAGTGTCTACCAAGGCGTCTACAACGCTCTTCATCGATCAATCGAGCCAGAGCTACTGCTTTGCCTTCGTTATTACGGCATCGCATTCTACAACTACAATCCTTTGGCCGGTGGCTACCTCACAGACAGATACAAGAGGGAGGATGCTGAGAAAGACATCGAGAGCGGTTCACGTTTCGACCCCAACAAGTGGCAGGGCAAGATGTACCGTATGCGCTACTGGAAGGAAGAGTACTTCAATGCTCTCGATCTGCTTCGTCCCGTTGCAAAGAAGCATGGTCTTACTGAAGCCGAGTGCGCACTCCGCTGGATGCAGAATCACAGTCAGCTCCAACGCGAAAAGGGCGATGCTATCATTATCGGTGCATCATCTGCTCATCATATCGAACAGAATCTGAAGGACATGGAAAAGGGTCCTCTTCCGGATGATGTACTTGAAGCTCTGGACAAGGGCTGGGAGGGCTGCAAGGGTATCAGCATCAGATACTATCATTGAGTTTGGTAATTTCGTGTTTCGCCTAAACAACCATAGTATCCATGTTCGCAATCTATTGTCTGCAAACATACAAGCATAATCGTTGTGACTACGTTCTTCTACAGCGCCATGTAGTACAATCAATCAAGCCAGCCAGTTTTCAAATGCTGTAGTTGGAAACTGAGAAGTTGTGCTCTCGTTACAGAGGATCATGGAACAAGAGTGATAAGAAAAAGTCGCATGTTCATCATTCTCTGTGTTTGGCCGTGGAATGGGCAGAGCGTTGGAGTTGCAAATCAAAGGCGGTGACTCGGTCGGCAGTTCGCCCCTCACTCTCGCATCGACTTCTTGGTCCGTCATCGCAGAAGGGGCAGCAACGATCCATCTTTCATTCTTTCATTTTCGAGAGTAGGTAATGGGGACGGGCGGCATGTACACAAGAGTAGAAGGCACATCCGAGAGTAGAGAGGCTCTGTCATTGCCGCTCGCCTCGCAGAAGCAACGTCTATCAAGACGCTCGCTATTTGGTCTCCAAGTACTCCTCTTCATCGGTGCTGTCACATTCTTCGTTATGTTATACAGATCTTTCGCCTTTGGTGCTGTTATTGGGTGCGTTAGTGGAGCTGCCGTCTCTTCCGACAAAATGTCGAAAGATGTTCCTCAGTATTTCCAAACCAAGCCTGAGCTTTTCGCTGGTCAGCATGTAACGATAAACACTTCTTGACCGGACACTGATATCTCAAAGNGTCCGACTCCAACTGGTGCCGCTCCGTTTCTAGCACAGATCAATCCTGCTCCCTTTGCGAGCACATCTTATATCCCGAATAGTCCTCTGGAGACCCAAGTCCCAATCGCTGGCAACAAGAATGGCTCGAACATATTCCAGAACATGGGTCAACTCACTCCTTACTTTCCCAATCCTATCGGCTTTGGCGTGGATGAGTACTCATTGCCTCCTGGCGCAGAGATCGTCCAATTGAACATGCTCTCGCGCCACGGTTCAAGGTATCCAACCACGGGTTCTGGAGCCAACAAATTCGGTCTGAAGCACAAGAACTTGACAGACGCAAAGTACACGGGCGAGCTCTCGTTCCTCAATGACTGGAGTTATCAATTGGGTGCAGAGATTCTCGTGCCTATTGGCAAGCAAGAGCTTTTCAATTCTGGCACTCTGCACTACTATCAATATGGCCACCTTTACCCCAACAACGGTTCGAAAATCATTGCCAGAAGTACGACTCAAGACCGCATGACCAAGTCTGCAGAGTATTTCCTAGCAGGCTTCTTTGGTCTTGAATGGACTAGCAATGTCACTTTAATGCTCGCCATTGAAGATCGCAATGGTGTATGGAACAATACGCTGGCTGNNGGTAAGCTCGCCCTCTTCGTACGCAACCTACATATTGTACTCATAGTGTTCAACAGGTATTACAACTGCGACAACAGCAACAATTTTCGCAGCGCAGGCGGCAACAACGCCACAGTCGAGTGGTACACCAAATATCTTGCTGATGCTACTGCGCGTCTACAAAAATTGGCGCCAGGCTTTGATTGGACAGTAGAGGATTCCTACAATGCACAATCTCTGTGCGCATACGAGACAGTAGCCTTTGGCTTTTCTCAATTCTGTGGTCTGTTCACCTACGAAGAGTGGGAAGGATTTGAGTACAGTATTGACATTCAGTTTGCGGGTGGTAATGGATTCCAATCGCCCACTGGTCGTGCCATCGGTATTGGATATGTGCAGGAGATCCTCGCTCGTCTCCAACATCACACTATTGACTCACCTATCGCACAAATCAACGTCACTCTGGATAACAACACAGTTACATTCCCTCTCGATCAAAGCCTCAACTTTGACTTCTCGCACGACACCAACATCATGAGCATCTTGACTGCATTTGGCTTTACTCAATTTGCGCAGTTCCTACCAGCCGATCATATCGTTCCTCGCGAACTGATAGTTTCACACCTGGTAAGTATGCCCGGGAGATGGCCAACGGGTTGAACTGACAAGTCTAGGNAACCGTTTGCTGCACGTCTCGACATCGAAATCATTAATGCTCCCTCCCCAGTCAAGACCTCGCGCAAGGATGAGAATTTCTATGAAGAGGGTAAGAAATCCTGCTGATGAAAAGCGAACCATACGTTGACAGCATGATAGNGCAAAGCGACCAAGTACATTCACTTCATTCTCAATCAGCGCACCATTCCTCTCCATCGCAGCTTCCNNCCCGAATGTGTGGAGCGTGATGATGGCTGGTGCGAGCTCGATACCTTCCTTGCTGTGCAGAGCAAGAGTTACGAGATTTCTCAGTACGACTGGAGCTGTAATGGTGATTATCCTGCCGTTCCCTACGGCGAGATCACCAATGGTGTACCGATTCACAACAGCTCATGATTGATTTGAGAAGGCCAGAGTTAGAGAAAGATCCAATGTGTTGTTTATGTATTCAAGTTGTGTACTGTGTAAGAATACTAGACTATTCATTCCGTCATACATGGTTCGTGTGGTGTTCTGATGTCTTGCATTGTCATGTGTATATCTTAACGCGAATAGGATAAAGAGGAAATTCATCGTCTCTGTCATCTGTCAAATCACTCGATTTATGCAAAGACATTATATCTGAGCATCCCCACAAAATGTAAGACAAAGACAAAAAGAAATCACAGGTCCGACGGTATTGGAAAGTGTCAACTGACTTTTCTTGTTTGCAGCCTTCACCTCTTCTCCTCCAGCCCCTCGATAATGACCAGACCCCTTTCCACGGGGGCGCTATACCAAGAGACCTAGTTGTTGTGATGAGTTTGGCTAGTGCGAAAGTATTGGTTGATGCAGTGGTTCGAACTCGGATTGCTGTTAGTGTTGTGATGAGGTTGATTGGTGTATTGATTACTGAATTGGGTTAGCTGTGTGATTGGGTTGCGGATTACCGTCGAACCGTAGTGATTTGTTGATGAGCGTGAGGTGCTGTATGTATACAAGGGGCTGGTTGCTAGTGATGGTGATGGCTGGGGAAGTGGATGGACGATAGCATTGGTACTGAGGGAACGAGGAGTGAGAAGGACGTTGATAGGCAGCGGTTGTCTTGAGGTAGATATATACTTGATGGACGTGGCTAGTCGTCGAACGGATGAATATCAGCTGTAGTGGTAGATGGGGTGCTGTGTATCAAGAGAGTTTGATTCGTAGGTAATTAGCACGAGACACCGAGCCCGCGATTCCAACCTAGAACTCAGCAATGTGCGTGCCAACACCGCGCTCACGAGCTATTCTGACGACTTCATTGCCAACAACAACATCCATAAGACCGAGTCCAACAATCTTTGCAATGACATTGCCCTTGCACAGCCACTCCTTCAGCCCCGAATCGTTTGATACCTGAATACCTTCGCCCTTGTTGTCGGCATCATCCTTCTTTGCTGCATCGGCAGCTGCCTTCTCAGCCTCGCGTCTCAGCATCACGATCTCGCCTATCTCGACCACTTGATCGGGTTGCACGTTTGCTTGGATGAGCTCGCCGGCTTCCTGGAGGCATGCTTCGACACTATCGACGATGATTGCACCACCCTCTTGCTGATGCTTGTGGAAGTGACGGTGTTCGTGATGAGGTGCGACGGCGCTCTTGATGATGTCGGGGTGCAGCTCGATCATGTGAGGTTTGTACGAGCCGATCAGTGCAATGTAGCGGCCCTTCTTTCGACCTTCTGGGTTCAGAAGGTAGCTTGAAGGGAATAATGGCTGTGTGCTGGGAGTAGTGCAGAAGATGACATTTGCACTGCGAACATATTCCTTGAGCAAACGTAGGTACTCCGTGTGCCCGGTGGTAAGGATACTGGTTTTCGTCTTACTTCCGAACTTGTGGCCCAGAGGGTTCTCGAATTCCGGGTCATTAGGGAAGGGATTGTACAGCTTCATCAACATCTCGCGTGCTCTGTCGAAAGAGCGATTGATGACGTTAACGTGATGAATTTCTGAGCCACGGAGAAGCAGAGCCAGACGAATATGCCAGTAGGCCTGCTTACCTGCACCGAAGACAGTTAGATCGTGAACCTTGTGTCTTCTTTTGAGAAGCATGCAGCTGGTCAAAGCTGTACGGAAGGCAGTGAGTTCTTCAGCATTGATCAGAGCACTTGGGTTGCCTTGAGCATCAAACAAGGTCAATGATCCACGAGGTACAGTAGGTGGCTTCGAGTCTTGCGAGGTAGAGGGAGTGAGAGTAGGACCAGACATGGACGAAGGTCGAGATTTGGAGTCAGTAGTAGAAGTCGTGTGTGTTGAGTTGGTTGAGCCGATGGAGAGACGTTTGAGGTCTGGTGTGGTTTCTGGTTTCTTGACCGCATCTAGGGTGATGACCTTGACACCCATGCCGGAGCTGCTAGATGCTGGCATGAACAAGCTCGTTGCACCATCTGTTCGGTTCATGTGAATTCTCTGAGGCTGATAGGCCGAGCAGCAGCCATCTTCCTCTCCAGCGGTAGAATATTGGTGTAGGGCGTCGGCAAGAGATTGTTGAATGTCGTCAATGTCCTGGCTAGTAAGAGAGTGCAACACTCTTTGGACATCATGGTCCGAAAGTACTGTGACTGGCATCCCGAGGCTGTTGAGATGCGAGGAAAACAGTATGAAATCAGAAGTAGAGACACGTTGGAGATTGGTGGCTCAGTGAGGTGTAGCAGAGTGTAGATAACGCAAGATATATGTTATCACTGGAGGCCAGCAAAGACGCGATCAGCAGCGTGGTCCTTGTTATGCAGGCCGAGGTTGGGATTTGTTTATTCGTGAGTGTCCAGAGTGTTTGCGCTATTTGGTTACACGATATTGAGAGGGACGCACAGCATGTAGTGATCGTAGATATATCGGGATGGTGGCCTGGATATAAGCAAGTCGGCAAAGCACGGCTCAAGAGGGGTTGAGAGACTGTCTTTCCCGCTGGCGTTCAACCAGTTTTCCGTTAGTTTTCCGCCTCAGGCAGCCAAGAATACTGGTAGCGATGGACTGCGTAGTATGACCTATTCGCATACAATGTAGCTTCGTTTCCTCGGATTGCTTGTGTTCAAAGACTGAGCTGACTTCGATTTGACGGGCTCACTGCTGTTCTCATGTCACTGGTGGAGAGAGATGGATGCTTGGCAGCAGAAAACATGGAGAACACATCAGAGATGACTGAAAGTGGTGTGCTTGAGTGTGGTGTCACAAGGCTATAGTATGAAGGTCGCAACTGGGTATATCACAGAGGAAAACATACAGAAGCAACAGCGACGATGCTGAAGTTGACGGACATCCAAAAGTGATGGTTACCGCAAGAGGAAGGGAGAAGTGATTGGCTGGATTTGCCGAGAAAATAGCTTGGCGTCTCCCGCACACGAGCTTTTTCTTCTTCGTCGCGCGAACTTCTGATCTTGATCTTCTCCAGCCGCGACAGAACCAGTCAACCACCGTCCAGTTCGACAATCATTCAAAATGGTAAGCTCGCACCACATTCAAGGACCTTGAAGCGCTGTCGTCTCTGCAGTGCAATGCGCCCATGCGCCTTGCTAGTCTCGCTTGCCTGCGAGCGCAGCAATTCAAGATGATGTTCGACATCAACATCTATTGTAGTCGCTTCTTCCTGAGACATGGAAGACGGCAATGACCAATGGCTTGGGCTGCGACTGGAGTAGAAATACTCGTCAGCGCAGCCCTTTAGAGTTAAAAGCAATGAGCATTGTGCTGATTTGCTTTTCTCAATGAAGGCCCCTAAGTCTGGAAAGAAAGTTGCCGCCGCCCCCTTCCCCCAGGGCAAGGCCGGTGTCTCCAAGAAGAATGCCAAGGTAAGTTTGACAGCATCCTATCTGCTAACCCACCGACTTGTGTGCTGACATGCCCTGCAGAACCCTCTCATCGAGAGACGTCCCCGCAACTTCGGTATCGGTCAGGACATCCAGCCCCGTCGCAACCTCTCGCGCATGGTGCGCTGGCCCGAGTATGTCCGCCTTCAGCGTCAGCGCAAGATCCTCAACATGCGCCTGAAGGTCNCCCCGGCCATTGCCCAGTTCTCCCAGGTTCTGGACCGCAACACCGCCGCCCAGGCTTTCAAGCTCCTCAACAAGTACCGCCCTGAAACCAAGGCCGAGAAGAAGGAGCGCCTGACCAAGGAGGCCACCGCCGTCTCCGAGGGCAAGAAGAAGGAGGATGTCTCCAAGAAGCCCTACACCGTCAAGTACGGTCTCAACCACGTTGTTGGCCTTATTGAGAACAAGAAGGCTTCTCTTGTCCTCATCCCCAACGATGTCGACCCCATTGAGCTCGTTGTCTTCCTCCCCGCTCTCTGCAAGAAGATGGGTGTCCCATACGCCATCGTGAAGGGCAAGGCCCGTCTCGGAACGGTCGTCCACAAGAAGGTGAGATCCAACTTACACGTCAATTCGCTCGCACAAAAACATATTAACATGCCAATCAGANCCGCTGCCGTCCTCGCCTTCACCGAGGTCCGCTCCGAGGACAGCTCCGAGCTCTCCAAGCTCGTCTCCGCTGTCAAGGACGGCTACATGGCCAAGACCGAGGAGTCCAAGCGCCACTGGGGTGGTGGTATCATGGGCGCCAAGGCTGTTGCTAAGCAGCAGAAGAAGCAGAAGGCCCTTGACAACGCCATCAAGATCTAAGTGCATTGATTGTCACTTTCCATCAGGCGTTGACTGTAGACTGGGGTTCTGGTGGGAAACAAAAGCTTTTCGAGTTATCTTCCGGCACCAGAATGACAGTTTTGTCGTGCTGCAAAAATTTCTTTAACGACCCCTTTGAATGATACCCAAACTTTCCATTTTGTTAACAAGTGATCCACCGACTACACGCGCGTTGACTTTGGTGATGTGTCGGCGTTGTGAGGAAAATGGTGATGACTAGTGTTCTCGCTGTCTTCGATGTCTCTACAGTGGTGGTTCCTCTTGGTCTCTGTCGCTTGGTCCAGCCCCCTGCTTCATGGCCTTCTGTTCACTGCTGCTCGTCTCTCGACATGTCTAGCTCCGTAGCGACACTGTCATCTTGCATGGTGCCAAGTACTTTGAGTGCTGCAGGCCATGGCGTGTGTAGATCACTAGACCTCACCGCTGTTCTGTCTTTGTCAATTTGAGAGTAGGGTCCAACATCTCGACATGAAAATGAGTCCCCCTGGGATTGAATCTATGCTCACTGAAGCGACATCAAGATTTTTGCGATGTCTCGAACCACTTTTTGACCGCAGCGGTACTGTCATGGGCGGCGCGGAACACTGCAGGATATAGATTAATCTTTGGAAGATAGCTTTTGGTTGGGCACCAACACTTACATTGTCGTTCTGTGTCGTCCAACCCNCTGGCAAAGTCTGCACCTTCACCCAATGCACTTCGTGAATTTAGCGCTTGATCTGAGATTTCGGCTGCACGTTGTTTGAATGTNCTGTTTTGGGCATGAGCGATTAGAATGTGATCAGTCGTGGATAAACATGAATGGAAACGTACGTCAGTCAAGACATCGACCATTTCTTCTTCCTCGAATAACTCTAGCATGCGAGCACCGATGTTGTAGAAGTGTTGTGCTTGGGCTCGTAGATCTACTGTCTTTGGATCTGCTTTGAGGGCGTTCATTACGCGGTGGGACAGTGATTGAGGCAGGTCAAGTGTTGCTAGTGATGAGTTTCCCGACGGGTTGCTCACAGCCAGCATTTCAGCTAGCCAGAGTGGTAGTTCTACTTTGGAGCCTTGTTTTATCTGAGACGAGAATTAGCGGACAAAGAGTAGGAAATGGGATGAGAAACCCACATCTTCTCCTGGGTTGCCCTGCAGGTATCCCATGTTGGGAACTGAGAGTTCGAATGTGCAAGGCACTTTCTGNTCAACTAGTCAGCCGTTGTACTCGAAGGAGAAGACCTCTATCTTCCATACTTGAGCATCTGTCAAGATAGCATCAATGTTGTAATATGAGCCCATGATCGTGTTTCTTTCTGAGTGAAGACAAGTGAGATTGGTAGACAGAGGATATGTCCGAGATGAAAGAAAGAATCCAGAGACACGGAGCCGGGATGATCAGATGTCTATCTCGAATTGAAGAAATCCGGACAAACAATGGTGGAAAAAGTGTATGCACGGGGGCTGCGTGCGTAGTCGTGCTACTGCCTAGAGGAAGGGCAATACTTAAGACAAGCGTTCCCTCAGCAAATATAGTCGTTCTTTCTGTTCAAGGTTACGGAGGCTTCCTGGACTGTTTTCGGATCGTTTCGAAAAGGTTCAAAATTCTTGTATCAGCCAAATATCATCGTCAGGTGTGTTTGTACATGGTAGACGCGTAGACGCGCCTCGAGATTGATCTTGGTGATCGACGGAGATTAGTCCAAACGCCGAACTGACTCAGGCGCAGGTCAGAGCTCCGCTCCAGCATCGGGCAACGAAACACTCCCAGGACGAGTGCACAACATCGCATCCATCAAAGGGGCGATCTTATTATCATTTCTAGACACTGGTTGCACAAGCGAATCTCCTGCAAAGAGAGGCTGGATCACTCTATACAACACTTTCCTTCGTCCACGACTTTGCATACGTCTCCAGGTCGTGTGAGCATTCCCGTCGACATCGACGTCAGCTTCGTAGCGTTTCGCCCTCCAATGAAGTGGTAGACGGTCGACCGAAACACACAACATGGTCACCAACAGCGACCCGGGGCATCACGCCGCCCATGCGCCATCTGGCAGAGATACGGATATGCTCGACGTCACCATCGACAGTAACCATCCTTCCAGTACCGACATGTCAAGAACCACAACGCCCGATGGCCTCGACAATAGGTCAAGTCGAACCCGCCCTCGTGTCTTCCCTTACACCAAGTACCTACCCTACGAGACCGAAACGGCGGATCAGAGACAGCAAGATGTGGATGACATGATCAAGCACCTATACATCTCCGTCGGTTCGGGCGACTTCGTGCCGGGAGCGGTGCACTGGACAAAAGAGATTCGTGGGTGGTTGTCGCTCAAGTTCGACCTCAGCCGTCAACAGCGCATCAGTCTGACCAAACTCTACTATGAACTTGCCCTAGCGCCAGGTCTCGAATATACGGTTGCCGAGCGCTTTGCTAGCATGTTCATGGTCTTGACCAAGCGCCGCCACTACCTGAAGCCCATAGATGACTTGGTACTGGACTGGAGGCCGCTATACCAGGAGATCAAGGTCTTCGTGCTGCCTGGCGAGTTTGCCACACCCAATACGTTCTCCAGCAAGCGCAGCATCCGAACACTCACCAAGATCTGCACCTTCGCCCAACTCTTCTTCGACCCCAAAGAGATCCCTGCCCTCCTCGACGAGCTCCTCCCTTTCTTCTCCATGTCGCCTTCGGAAAGCGCATTCGTTGTGCTCGGCCTGCTCAACCTCTTCTTCCCTACTCACGCCCCTCCGCCAAACCAACCTGAGCTGCAACCTCAACATTACCTTCCCACATTCTTCCATCTGTGGTCAATAATAAACCGCTCAACCTTTACCGACCAGCGCTTCCTCGACATGTTCTCCAGATTGTCGCGGGACTGTCTGACTGTTGAACACGTGTCATTCAGCGAGCACGGTATCTACACGGCCGAGCAGACGTCCATGGTCTTTACATCCATCCTGAGGTTGCTCGAGATTCCCGTTGGCCAGGCTTCATCGCCGTACCATATCAACATCGACCTTGGTGCAGGTTTGTCTGCCNTTCTTGAGCGTGATCCTCGCAAGCATCCCGCTTCTAGAAGTATTGCAAGATGGATCATCATGTCCCTTTCACCAGCTTGCCTTAAAGTGAAGGACGGTAGATCTATCCTACACCAGCTTGAGGGCCTGATCCAGGGTATTGAGACATTCTTCCATCCATCAAATACAGGTTCTTGGACAAAGACGCTATCACAACTCGTCTACTATCTTGCAGACTTTTTCGTCATGCGTTGGAACAGAGAGGAGAGCGGTGAGTATAAGATGCCCGCTGAGCGTAAACTGACTCCTGAGCTACGGAAACGTTTCGTCATGTGCTTGAGAGAAGTCGTTTTCATGAACATCTACTCCAAAAGTGGCACCGCGGTCAACTACGNNCTCTCTACTCTGCAATGCTTGGCTTTCCTCGAGCCAAACATGATTCTTCCTGGTGCTTTGCAAAGAATCTATCCTGCCATGCAAGGACTGGTAGAGGTGCACAGAACTACTTCCTCTATTCGTGCTCTCCAAATGCTGTCTAGAATCGTCGCTCGTACAAAGGGCTTCAGATGTCATCTGACTACTTTGCTCGGCCTTGCTCTTCCCGGTATTGATGCGAACGATCTTGACAAGACTATGAATTCTCTTTCTTTCGTCCAGGCTGTTTGTTACAACATTCCACTGCATGATCTTACTAAGAGCGCGCAGACGGACTCAGACGGCGAACCCATGTCTGGTAGTACTGCTACTGCAGTGGAATGGATCACACAGCAAGTTGATCGCTTCGAGACTGAAGGCTCCCAGATCGAGTTGGACTATGCGAACGAGCTTACTGACGAGGATGAGGAAATCATTCTTCGATCATCGACTGCTGGTTTCGCCGAGTTTCTGATCGCTTTCCTCGGTCGCGTGTTCACTCTGCTGCAGAATCTGCCTGATGCTTCTCGCGTCAAGAGCGGTTCTCCAGAGGAGAACGTTGTCAACACTCTGCCCGCTGCGTTTGCACCTTTGCTTGCTGCTTTGTCGCCCGAGCTCTACGATATTGCCTTGCAGCAGATTGCCAAGTTTGTTACAAACCACGTGGTGCACCAAGCTCGTGATGCTATGGCATTCATCTGCAATACTCTGGTCAAGGTTTCTCCTAAGAAGGCTTTGAGTCGTCTCCTGCCTGACTTGATCTCGAGCATTAGGACCGAGATTGACGAGAACGGTGCTGGCTCGAGCAGAACTTCTGGTTCCGAGATTCTTCCTCGCGATCGTGCTCTAGTGTGGAACATCAGTTTGTTGAGCATGTGTGTGGTTCATGTAGGCTCCGATGTGCTTGACTTCCAGGATGAATTGTTCGACATTGCTAGTTACATGCAGGACAAGTGTAAGGGTATTCCTCTTGTTCATGTTTCGAACTTTGTCCATCACCTGCTGCTCAATTTGACAGTCACCTACACTACCGACTACTCATTGTACGATCAGGCGGATCTGAAGAAAGGCTTGCAGCCCAGTGATTGGGCCAAGCTGCCGGATCCGAAGAATCTTCAAGTACAGTGGCATGTGCCTAAGGAGGCCGAGATAGATTTTGCTGTCAGGATCTTCGAGTACCAAGGCAAGCGATCCATTGATGCACTCAATGCTCTGACCAGTAACGACAATTCGCCTGTCAAGCGGGACGGAACAGGCAAAGACTGGTCAGATGAGGTCTCTCGCAACCTTGTCCTCTTGCGCTTGCTTATCTCAGGTATCTCCTGCTTCTTCCGCTCGGATGACGAGTCCGTCACTCCGGTCAGTGGTCATGATACCGAAGTCAATGGCAGTATCTCGCCCAAGCAAGAGGTTCAGCAGAGTCCAAGCGACCTAGCCGAACCCGACGATGACAAGATCCGCAAGACCTTCATCTATCCTACCGGCTACCCACTTCAGACCAGTAGCCCGCATTACGAAGCAGTACACAAGTTACGCCGTCTTACTGGTGAGACTCTGCACCGTGTGCACGAATTCCTTACTCAACACCAGCAAGACGATGTTCTTTGCTTCAATGCGCTTTACACAGCATATCGCTCATGGTTCATCGACATTGGTATCGAGCGATCTGCCCACGTTCTGGACAGACTTAGTCGCCTTCTCTCGGCAGACATCCACCCTTATAAGTTCAGCGGTACCCGTAAGGCCTATCCTCGACCTCTTCTTGCCAGACGTGCCAACTTGTATCACTTCCAACGGTTGAGATACAACGAGTCTCCCCGCGCAGCATCGGACCTTGACAAAGTACTTCTGCTCGACTTAGCTCAATCCAGTGTATCGGTCTACACAGATATTCGACGCACAGCTCAAACCGCCTCTGAGTCGGCTGTCCAGTGTATCATCGGGGCTAAGCCTCTCATTATTCCTCCCCTTCTTGATGCTCTAGAAGATGCCGTCAACAAGACAGACTTCCCACGCATCAAGGGTGCCGTCTTTTCTCTGCTTTTCGGTAGTCTAGCTCGTCCTATTGAGCGCAACTGGAAGTTCACTCCTAGACTCATCAGATTGTTCATACGTGTGGGAGAGACGGACAAGCCCAGTATCCAGAAGCTCGTTAGCAACGCCAACTTCCAGGTACACTCGATGTGCAGAGCCTTAGATCGCATGGTCATTCTGGACGAGAAGACTGTTGACAATGTTTGGCCAGCTGAGAGCAACACTCAGCCGTCTGACAAGTCTAAGATGGTCGCAACTTCCTTAGAAGATGCCAAGGCGCTCCTTCCTCCCNAGCAGGACCGCATTCGTCAACGCCGAATGCTGATTGAAGGGAAGAAGTCTGAGCTCTCTTCCGAATTGGTTGTAATGATCAAAGACTCGCATTGGCGTAAGGCTCAACGTGTCGCAGCCCTCGTGATCGGTCTTGACTACCGCTATGAGACCATTGCCTCAGATGGTATGCTTGACTTGGTTGTCAAGGGTGTAATTGACTCGCATCCTTCGTTGCGTGTACTCTTCGCGAACGCACTGCTCGCCATCTGCAGTCTCATCCAGACGAGATCAATGACCGAGCACAAGTACGAGAATTACCTTCTCGACAAGCAATTCCCTCCCGATCGCATGGTTGTCGAAACCAAGCCCGATGACCCCAATTGGACCAAGCAATACCTAGACGCCTTCTCGCAACCTGAGGCCGAGTACTACATCGATGCTGAGTACCCTGGTTGGTTGGTGTGGGACAAGGTGATGCGCGTCTCCAAGAACCATGCTGTCGATCTTGATTATGACGAAGTTGAAGTCGAAACTCGCAAGCGCATTGGTAAGCACATTGACCGACAGTGGATCTCTGTCTTCTTCGATTACATGAAGCAAGAACCGCGTGATGCCCAGGATCGTTTCCGCACGACGAACTGCACAGTCATGTCCTGGGTCTTGGATCTTGTCATGGTTGGCCTCACACCAGCAACCTTTGATGATGTAGTCGATCTCACTAAGGCTACTTTCGGCGATGGAAGTGACAAGCATCAACACCGTGCCACTGCAGAGATCATGGGTGCTCTCATTAATGCTGCAGAGGACTGTCAACCTAAGGTGAAGGAGAAGGTCTGGGAGTTCGTCTTCCCTCTTCTTCAACGTGTCTTCCAAGACGGTCTAACTCCAGAGAACTTGTCATACTGGAGTAGTTTCTTGACTCTTACTGGTTGTGCAAGAGACCCTCGACGATGCTGGCCTCTTGTTGACTACTTCTCCAGCTTTAGACTGGATATGTCGACTAACGCTGCGTTCAAGGAGAGCTCAAAGATCACGCTCTTGCAGCTTGTCATCGGCACCTTTGGCTGGCACTTCCAAAAGGAAAAGCCTATTCTCGAAGATTTTTTGAAGCACCTTGATCATCCCTACAAGGGCGTTCGCGAAAATATCGGCAACACATTGTCATCGATATACCGTAGTCGCTACTACGAGGGGTACAAGGATGTCAAAACTCTCATGGAAACACAAAAGGCTGCATCTTCTATTGGCACGCGGCCTTTCCAAGCAACTGAAGAGTTCCGCGCTACCATCAAGGATGTCTTCGAGAGGCTCGAGAAGTGGCGTCAAGAAAGACCTCCTGGTGTCCAGACTCCGACACCGTATACACAGGCCAGCAAAACTGTGTTGTACTGGTTAGAAGCAACGGTCAATAACTACGACTGTACAACACTGATCGAGTTTTTGCCTGATCCCTTCATGCAGCAACTCCTCAACATGATGGATGTCAAGGAAGACCCCGAGTTACAATCTCATGCATGGAGCGTCTTCAAGCAGTTCCCCAATATTCCCCACAGAAAGGGTGAGGATGAGGCTCTCGCAAAGAGTCTTGTCGAGATTGGCAGAACCAGCCCTGCATGGCACCAACGTCTGCGTACGTTGATCAACATTCAGGTGCTTTACTTCCGCTACCTGTTCATCATGGAGTCTTCACGTCGCGAATATCTTCTCAACAGTGTTAGAGACATGCTGCACGATACTCAGCTCGAGGTCCGCCTTGGAGCAGCTCAGACCATCTCTGGCATGATCCGTTGTTCGCCTGTCGAGTTCCGTGACAGAGCAGTCACAGACTTGAAGGCACACTTCACAAAATTGTTGAACAACAACCCTCTACCCAAGCGTGGCAGAAATGCAGGACCTCCTGGCACACCTACGCCCGAACAGAACCGTCTTGTCATTACTCGCCACGCTGCTGTCCTTGGTCTTGGCTCGCTCGTGCAAGCCTTCCCTTATGCCAGTCCACCTCCGCAGTGGTTGCCTGAAGCATTAGCCACACTTGCCATGAAGGCGGCCAACGATCCAGGTGTCGTCGGCAAAGCTGTCAAGACCATTCTGAGCGAGTTCAGAAAGGTGCGACAGGATACTTGGCACGTGGATCTCAAGGTAAGAAATAACTCATTTTCGTGTGCAATACAGAATACTAACATCACATTCACAGNNGTATTCCAACCCGAACAGCTGGAGGATTTGGAGGGTGTGCTGTGGAAGAGTTACTTTGCGTAGATAAGGGGCTAAAGGGAGTAATCGAGGTCTTGTTTCTCTTTTCTTTTGTTGGTCTGCATTCCGCATCTGTCTCCTTACGCGCATGCAGCATCATATCATCATGGGAGTGCTCTTTGTCTTTCTAGTTGCATGGACGGATTGGCTTAGATCACATTTTCGAAATCAAAGACACTTTTACAAGCAACAATGTTCTCCTGGTGTGCTGAATTCTGTCACTCTCTGCAACAATATGGAGCAATGTATGAACTGTAATCAAGCGCAATATCGATCAAAAGCAGGCGTCTCTAAAGTCATCATGATATTGGCGCGCTTTAGCCACGAATCGGATATCAGATGGTTGTGCATCTTGCAGCCGTTGCTGCTTTCGGACGTTGTGGTGGTCTCAAAGGTCGATATTGCGGAATTGTTGGTTTTCGACAAGAGCTGTTTTGTAGGAGCCGCTGCCTCGTGCCTTCCATTATTATCAATCTCTCTTGTGGAACTACTCGAGTACCTTCGGGCAATCGTGATTCGCCTACCCGCTCTGCACCTCCCGTTCGTAAGTGTCACGCGCTGCACCTGCATTCTCAAGACTCAGGCTCCGTATCTATATAATCACAAAGTTCCATTTTGCATCAACAACGGCGGCGGTGGTCTAGTGGTCAAGACGCTGCGTCAATGTGTCTTGCAAACACAAGCTCTTCGCGGTCGGTTTGAAACTCTGTTACACAGAGAATCTAATGCTGTATGGAAGACGCAGAGATCGTGAGTTCGAGTCTCACTCGCCGCATTTCTATTGTTCTTTTGTTCGGTTTAAAAGTGAGTGGATGATTCCTTCCTTCCATTAAGCAGGGACGACGATCAGTGAGGTAGGATGTCAGCCGTTTTAGGGAGAGGGGAGATAGTATGGATGGTAACAGTTCTTCTGTCCAGGATGCAACGTAATACACGATGCCTTTGGTCGTGGCGCCAGATGGTGGTCTCCAAAGTCCAGGACTTAGGCATCTTTGAGATATACGCAGCACGCTGATCGCTCTTTCCACCACTTGGAAACAGAGCGAAGTTCCCCAAGAGCCATCACAACATCGGCTCTCTTGGGATACACATCGGACTATAACATCGCCTTGTGCTCAGCAGCCACATGTGCTTTCGTGCGCAGAGAGGGCGCATCTGGCCAGAAGAGATCCGTCACTGGGTAAAGATAAAGCAATAACTCCAGCCTTATCAAGACGAAGGCGCGTCAACTCTTTCAAGCTGTTGCTAGAGTATCTTTTGGCTCATGAGATGGCGCCCATCGTGCCCGACCTCGTTCTCATAGCGTTGCTTCCTGTACTCGAGTCTGTACGTGCGCAACACCGGATTGTTCTGATACAGAACTCTGAGTCTCTGATGATTGTGTTTCCTGTATTTTGCAAAAGCCTCCGGTTTCTTTTCGCGCAGTCGTGTATATGCTACTTTGGAGATTTGGTGTGCATAGTAGAGAGGGAAAGTTTGTGTGAGTGATGGTGTCCAGAGTGGTAGCTTGACAAGGCCGGTTGACCTCCAGAGGACCGGATACATAGTCACAGGAGTGAACACCGTCACAGATACTTACGTGTTGAGACGCCGGTGGATGTGTAGACGATGTGTTGTAGCAAGCTGGAGGTACAGACGTGTTCTTCGCATCTCATTAACCAGACGCTTGAGCTGAGAGCGTTGTACTTCGCATAAAGTCATGAATATGAGACTGACCACAGCGTAATTGGGACTTGCATATATCTGGCACAAACATGTATAATCTTCCAATGACAAGATAACGCTCCCCATCCTGTTTGTGTATGGTGTAGCATGTTGGAGACAGGGTTGCCGCTTACTTGTGCATTCTGACACCGCTTTTCTTAGCCTGGAGGAGGAGTCGCCAGAAGACGCCATCAAATTCCTCTGTCTGGAGAGCAGAGTACATGAGAAGCAGAGGCAGATGTGTGCGAACAATGTAGACTCTTTCCCATGTCGAACGATGTGATCCATTCTATGCTATAATTTATCATCTATCATGCATCATGAATTCAGAACCATGTCAGCCATCGACCTGTCGTGATGCCTCGCCACAGACTGAACGGTACAGGCCACACACGCCAATATCCAAGATTGCGACCTGCCTCTCCTAACAGAGGTAGCACAAAGCAACACCAGGCTGTGAACCACAGAATGTTCAAAGTGACAAAAATTGACTTGTGTGTGCCAAACCGACGCAGACCAGCCGAGACAGCCATCTCGAATGCAAAGCCCACTGGCTGTAACCAGAAGAACGATAGAATCAGCCAGCGGATCTGGCTCGCTGTCTTTGTTGCGAACATGGGCTCTGGTGGCACTAAACCGATGTGCACGATACCTGAAAAGACGAATGTTGCTACGCTTAGCAAGAAATAGCGGCTATGACTACGACGAGGTAGATGCATCAAGTCTGCAAGCCATACTCCTGGGCTTGAGCAGTAGTACCTCAGTGTTTGATGCCAGTATCGACCCCAAAAGTTACGGACTGCACCCAAACTTAGACTTGTAAACATTGCTCTGAAACTGCCAAAGAATGTTGGCCAGAGGTGTGGGCTCCATGCGTCTGGGAGATAGCCTGCCCAGTGTAGGGCTACTGGTAGAATGCATGGTAACTGGAACTGCTGACCAACGGTAGCCCAAACCTGGAGTGCCATAATAGTGCACCTGATCAACCGTGGTGGCAACAAACCCAAGAGATCATCATGTGGCAAGGGCGAATCTACACTCATGCCAAAGGTTTTGAAATATGGATCCTGTTGCGTCCAGGCAGATGTCAGGTCCATCACGACATACCCACTGAGAGTGCGCAAGATAGCCTTGAGTATGAAGCGCAGGTGACTCGGAGGATCCGGACAGCGAGCAGGCTGTTTGGAGTCATGCGATGGCGAACCAATCTTCCAGTCTACGAAACGCATCGAGATGAGCAGTGTTCCAATCCAAGGCAGCCTCTCGTTCCAGTTGGCAGGATATGACTGTTCCACGTATTGCGGTGTCGTTGACTCATCATCTCGAACACGACTGCCTGGAACCGGTGTCTTGTTCTTCTCTGCGGTGGCTGTTTCGGGACCCTCGAGTACCCTGCGAAAGTCCCGGCGTGGATTGTTGAAGAGGAGCAGGTGATAGCTGTGTAGCAACATATCGAACGATATGACGTCTATGCCGCCCATGACAGTCCAGGCATGCGCGAGAGAGGCGGTGATTATGGGCAAGGCAACCACGCAAATCGTCTGCTTCGACACGGTCCATGGTGGGATCGAGAAGGCGATGGGTAGTATTACCAGAGGCACGAAATAGCTCAGGCTCTGAGGGCCAGGAACTATGCGGTTGACCAGCTTATCGTATGTAAGCGCTACTGTCGTTTGGCTCATGTTGTTGAATGATAGTTAGCATGGTGACCATCATTCGTGGAAGATAATTTTAGATATTTTGTTTGACAGTCGTGAGGCCAGATATCATGTCGTCATGGAAATTGATCAGAAAATGCATACACGTCTTGCCAAAATGACTGGTCTTCAATGAAGAGGATAGACAGATTTGCTCATACAAAACAAAGAGCTGTCTTTGCTTTGCGAAGGAGATGACTGTGGTACGGACTTCCACATTGGGTCGTCCATTTTAGAGCGCGTCCAGACTGAGATCTGATTCCAGCATAATCCTGGGGAAGCGGCGTTCTTAGTGTTGCCATCCAGCTTCGCACACACACAGCATGGATTTGAATCATGTCCCGTAAATTCACGGAAGGCAGCTCATCATTGAACCGATTCACAGCTTGTTCTACAACTCACATTGCCTGTTCTGATTTATGAAGAAGAAAAAGAAACTCTCGCGGGCCAAAAACAACTCTTCGTGATTCATCTAGGGAGCCAGATGAGAGACTGGACGCGATTGGATTATCCCTAGTAATTCACTCATCACAAGCCAGGATTCACTCAGGATCTCGGACTAAGCGGGCTCTTATTAGAAGATATGGTATCGAGGCCCAGTGCTCTGCGGCAGTCCGGAAACGATTGACGGTTCTCCGCGAGAGTCTCAACCCCTCGACGACTCGGCAAACAGGACTGAGGATAGCTGGAGAAAGAGCATGGATCGCCAACATCGAAATTACGATTTGAAAAAGCTTCGAGGCTTCTTCCAGCCAACTTTTGCGCGGAGTTTCGACGTTTCAGCGATACGGACGTACCTACCTTGTGATAGGCGGTGTCCCTACCGGCACGATCTCAAATGATGGCCGAAAACGGACAACCCGCACCACCCCACCGTCTGGTGACCTTTGACGCGACGCTCGTAGAGCAGGCAACCATGATCATGATTGAGACGTAGCTGATGGCAAGGCTGCCTAAAAACTCGGTCCACCTCAAGACCTGCCTAGCTGGTGTGAAATTGGGAATAACAGGATATGACAGAGGGTGGGTATCATGTTTCGCTCGACAAATGGATGGCGAACTGCAGCCAGGAAGCAGGATGGACAGGGTCAGCAAGGTCGAGATGAGTCTGAGATTGTTGAATCGTCATGCTTGGCCTGCGAGGCTCGGTGGCGGTTGCTCGAATCAAACTCGGAGGACTGGACACAGTTGGGCTGGCGGCTTCGGAAGAGTCACACTGTCAGCGGCCTTGCCCTGCCCATGCGGAGAAGACGACTTCGACTCACAGCTCCTCGCTTTCTTGCTCACTTCACAACTTATCGCAATAATGAAGAATCAAATCAACGGAAACGCTTGTGTCGCTGTTCGCGAGTAGGAGGTTGATCAGACACGTCGAGTCATCACGCGTCGAACAAAGAACGAATTCGAAATCGTTTGTCGCGCGCGGTGAGCAATTGTGTGCCAGGCAGCCTTCGCCGCTTCTCGGTCGATTCCCCATCCATCGCCACAAGTTTGCCTTTGCCTCTCCACCCTTGAGTCACTTTGTCCACCTTGGTTGATCATCCCACTTATATCCTCTGTTTGTTTCCGCCTCTTGTTTCCTTCCAACACCTTCTCCGATATTTGTCGCGAGGGGTCTTTGTTGGTTGTGTTTCCGCATACTTCTCTTTGAGCCTTCTCCACTCCATCGACCACCTTAGGCTTCACCTGCTTCATCACCTAATCGCCGCTTAAACCCTCGCCTGCACAACAACAATCAACTACACGTCACTCCAACAACTCACCTGTCAAACTGGCTCACACAAGCTAATCACTTAGCTCGTTGTCGCCTCCCTCATCGCCGTCCAGGCAGCTATGCTTGTTGGATCCTCGCTTGCTCTCACTCCAGTCGCTCCTTACCCGAAATACGTTACCAAAACTCAAGAGATGGGCTCGTACATGTGGTAAGCCCTGACAGGGCCAACCGCTGTCTACTCCTGTTGCACTTTCTGCCTAGACAGAAACAAGGTGCATTAGGAGTCATCATTTGAATCTGGTGCCTTCGCGTACTATTGCTGACTGGAAGACTGGTCTTCTGTCATATCACAACGGTTTACTCTTTCTGGATACCTCTACTCTTTTGCAAAACACACACACATACCACCTACACAATATGGACTCCGGTTACGTATCACTCGCATCACTCTGTGGTACTTCGATCACTTCCCAGCTCGACAAACCACATACACCTTCTTCTACTAGTGGTCGTTCGATCGCTTCGCAGCTTCACAAGCTACACTCATACTCCTCCGTCACTCTCCNCTTCGTCGCAAACCGACTCCAACCCCGTTCCTCCCGAGCAACGTCGCCATCCTCGTCGTAGCCAGGGCAATGTACTACAAAAACCTCCAACTCTTGTACGCCAAGAAGAGCGCAAGGCCACTTTCGTCGATGGTCTTGTCGGTATGTGTTGACTATCATGTTGTTGTGTTCGAGCCCGGCTGACAATTGTAGACTCTGCCGCCCAAATGGTAGAAGTCGTTTGGCCTCTGTCGGTCGCCCCTTGCAAGCCTCAAGCCGGTGGTGTCTTGTCCCTGCGCAGGTATATCGAGGAGACACTTCGCAGATCCAGAACAAGTTACTCTACCTTGCAGGTGGCTTTGTACTATCTTGTCCTGATCATGCCTTGTGTCCCCAAGTCTGATTTTACCATGCAGCAGTCGGTCGATTCGCCGTCAGTTCGTGCCCTGCAATGCGGCCGTCGCATGTTCCTTGCCGCTCTGATCCTCGCGTCCAAGTACTTGCAGGATCGTAACTATTCTGCCAAGGCATGGAGCAAGATGTCGGGACTCAAGGTCGCTGAGATCAACACCAACGAACGTGCCTTCCTTGAGGCCGTCAACTGGAAGCTCCATCTCCCAGAACCTCTATTCAAGCGTTGGACTGAAGTTGTCTTGCGCTACACTCCTGGCCAGGCCNCTCCACCAACTGGACAGAGCAAAGGCAATGATTCTTCTGACGAAGAGGAACCTTTGACCTGGAAGGACATTATCCCCCAGCTTACTCCAGACCTAGAGCTGGTTGCACCGACTGCATCAGAGGCTGTTGATCGCGAGCGATCAGAGTCGCCAGTCTCAACATATACCACGTTGCCATCATATCTCGAGCCCCAGCCAGAAGTCAGACCCCCAACCCCTATCCTGGGCGTCAGCTATCTTCCCACTCCTCGTTCTACGCCTCCACCTGCCCTAGCTCCTGCAGTGAGCATCGGCAGTGTTGAGATGTGCAACGTGATTGGCAAGTTCAGCCGTCGTTCATCATTCGGCAGCCAGGTCTCTTCTGTGCCCAGCCCTGCCTCGATGTTGTCCGAGGGATCACGTTTGTCGCCTGCATCGTCAGTGACATCAGTGGGATCCTACACCTCATACACCCAGGACCGCACAGTCAAGCTTCCCGCAGCGGAATCAAATACTGCTTTTTCAACATTGCAGCCACAATTAACCGCGTATGACGCTCAGCCTCAGGCCAGCCGAGCGGTCAAACGCAGCTTTGAGCATGTTTCTGGCTCGGAGGAGGAGGAACGACGAGGACCTCTTCAGATGACCACATGCTCGTTGCTCAACAAGCACGAGGGAACCAAGGCATTGCCAATTGTTCTTGACGATGAGGACTGCGCCAGCAACAGCGTGGCAGCAGAAGTCGCAAGTCTACAAGCAAAGACCTGGACCACATATAATAATACCACTTCCACGGGAGAGGCAAGGAAGTGTCGGCGGGTGGCATATGGCCGTGAGGAGCCATGGACTGACCGGGCTCTCGATTACGGCGCATTAGTCGTAAACTGAGAAGTAACCACGGATCAGTTGTCCACAAATCATTTTTACTCAAACGAAAAGCGTGTTTTTTGACAAAAGCGCTGATGAAATCATTTTTCTGCTTGATACCACATGGGATCGGGGGAGGATTGTCCGGGAAAGCTCGATATGAGCTGGCGAACGTTAGGCGCATATAGCTAGCTGAAGCTGAATATTGAATGTACAAAGAGTAGTTTTCTCTTCTCGAGATATGGACCATTTCCTTCTGAGTGAACCCACAATGTGATCTTCTGATGGTTGCGGTGCTGTCACGCGACCAAGCCAACATCCTCTCTGCCCTTCTTCTTCAGGACCTGGCCAAGGTCGACGTCTCGTGTGTCCCCATGCTGGTTCGTGATAGCTCATAATCTTGTTCTTCGTCTCGTACAGCACACGATCACTCTTCCTGAGCCTCTCTCTTGCCAAAGACGTATGCAAGACCACCACTGAAAATGTTTGCAGCGCAAAGACCTAGCGTAAGACCTCTAATAGCACCTCTAGCACCAAACTTGCTCGAAAAGGCCTGCTTTCTCCTCCTTGCGACGACCAAGTATGCAGCACTCCAGGCAGAAGTCACGCCAGCCGAGTCCACAGGGAAGCCGTTCAGGTTCAGGTATGAGGAGAAGAGGAGGACGGGGACGAAGAGCATGGGTAGCTTTTGGAAGGGGCGGAAGTGTTGGGCTGTGATGAGGGTTGCGAGGGCGGTGGGAGGGACTGAGGATTCTGTGGTGGTGAGAGCATGTGTTAGTTGGTTGATGGATGGTAGAGGAAGATGGGATGGATTGTAGGACGTACCGCCCCATGCGCGCATGTAGGTGAGGACACCCTCTTTGGCTTCGGTCGTCTTGTCGGCCCCTGGCATAGGCATGTTGGGCGATGTGTGGATTGGTATGGTTGAGATGGAGGCAATATGCAGGTCGAAATGGTGTAGCAATGCCAAAGCTGGGATGCCGTCATGGCCGAGCGAAACCAATCACATGCCAGATGCCAAAGGTAACCCTGTCTGCCCCGTGTTGCGCCAGTCTGGCCCGCAACGCTGCTGATTAGAGGCCAATTATCCACTTTCACACCACCCAAGACATCAAGACTTGCACAACAGTCGTCCACGCTCTCCGACACTCCCTCAGGGGCACCTGCCTCGCATCTATCTCCCCACAACATCACAATGTCATCGGAAAAGTCGCGCCAACACCACGACGGCAGCAGCGGCCGCGCCTTCACCGTCGATCAAAAGGCCGCCGTCGTCCGCGTCCGCAAATGCAGTCCCACCGCCTTCTACGACATCCTCGGCCTCGAATCAGTAAAGACGACTGCCACAGAATCAGACATTAAANAAGCATATCGCAAGCTCAGTTTGCTCACGCATCCCGACAAGAACGGTTACGATGGCGCAGACGAAGCTTTCAAGATGGTCGCTCGCGCTTTTGCCGTGTTGAGTGATTCAGATAAGAAGGCCAAGTTTGATCGCTTTGGAGGGGATCCTGATAGCAGGTTTCAGGGTGCGAGCGCTAGCTCGGCGAGTCCCTTCTCTGGAGGTGGTGCTACGAGGAGGGGTCCTGGTGGTGGCATGTTTGATGATGAGATTAGTCCTGAAGATCTGTTCCGTCAATTCTTTGGCGGCGGTGGCATGNGGCATGGGCGGCGGTGGCTTTGGAGGCGGTCCGTTTGGTATGTCGACTCCTTGTGTGTAGAAGGTTAGCAACTAACAGAAACAAAAGGTGGTGGCCTTTTCGACGGCCCAGGCTTTGTCTTCAACATGGGCGGAGGCCCTGGTGTACGTGTCCACCAATTCGGCGGCGGCGCACCGCGACGACGACCTCAAGCAGCCAGAGACCCCAATCAGCCACCCCCGTCCCTCATGCAATCGCTACAATCTCTCCTCCCGCTACTCCTCCTCTTCATCTTCCCACTCCTCTCAGGCCTCTTCTCTGGTGGCAGCACACCCTCCGGTCCTTCTGTTCGCTTAGACCCCGTATCGCCCTACACTATGCAACGCACTTCCTCCGGCTTCGGAATCAACTACTACGTCGACCCGCGCGAAGTTTCCGACTTCACGAATCGAAAATGGAAAGAGTTGGATAAGAGGGCGGATACACAATACGTCCACAAACTATCCAACGAGTGCGAGGTGCAACAGCAGAGGAGGCAGCAGATGTTCCAACAGGCTCAGGGTTTCTTCTTTGCCGATCAGGCCAAGTTGCAAGAAGCCAGGAAGTTTCAAATGCCTTCTTGTACGAGGTTAAATGAATTGGGCTACAGGACTTCATATTAACGAGCTGTTTGTGCTCTATTTTCTGAGGCCTTTTCTCCTCCATTGCCCAAGATGAACAAGGGTAGAGAAGAGCTTTCTTCTTGTATATCCACTTTTGTTTCCATTTGCATGGCGTTCCTCCTGAGTTGGCGGGTGTGTCTTTCTTCCCGGCCAGCCTTTTAGTTCTTCTGAGGCCTTGATATCGTTTTCCAGACCGTCTTTACGGCTGCAGGCACTCTGCATAATCGCATCTTCTACCTTTGATCAAACACTTGAGACGCGTTTTCAACTGTTGGTTGGCATCACGTCCATCTTCAACCTCAATGACACGCTTTCCCATGTCTTCTCAATCTATAGTAATTCCACGGCAATGGCACAAGATATCCAGCCGCCACACTCACCACCGCAGCAGCCCAAAAGCGTGGGTCTTGAAGTGCGACCACTCCGCCTGTGAGATGAAAATCTACGGCATTTTCTGCTGTTTCCATTGCTAGCATGGAGATGAAACTCATGCCCATTGCTGTTTTGAATGCTGTGGTGAAAGGGAGATTGTCTTTGCCAAGTCGTAGGAGAGCTGTTTCTAGGGCGATGGAGGTGCTGAGGCCGGATGTCACTGAATTTACGTTTTAGCATTCTGGAAGAAGTGTTGGTAATTGTTTTGGAGGGAGGACTGATGCGTACTTGATAGAGCCNATAATAGTGCCCATACCGAGATCTGGTGCATATGTTTGTAGTGCCCACAATGCAGAAAAATCACCGACTGTGCATCCAATGAGGCATCGAAATGTGTTGATGCAAGCTCTTTTCCATGTTCCTCGGCAGGTCCAGAAAGCTCGTTCGGAAAGTGAGAGTCTAGGCCTTGTAGTAGCATTTACACCATCGCTATACAACAGGCTGTGGCTTTTCGAAACATAGATTCGATCTTGCTTCAATGCAGATGTTAATGCGGTCGAGGAAACTCTTGACCGCAGGAGACAAGGCATTCGATGCTGGAATCCAAGTCTCCGTACATGGTGTAAAGTTGACATTGTCGCATGTGCAAAAGGAGGAGGTTCAAAAATATGTCAAACCGAAAGAGGAAATGACAGCCCGTTTTGACGGCGAAAGTGTCAGTGCGGTGTCGATGAGCCCTACAACTTGGATATCAAACCTATCAACCATTGTTCCCATCATTCCCCTACCTATCGCAATCTCAAAAACAACACTCCAACCCAAAATGCCTCCCAACTCGAAATCCACCAACACCAATTCTCGAAAGTTGAAGATTCTCATGTTACATGGTCAGAACAATATACCCAACCACACCAGAAACAATTATATCTAACACACAAAAGGCTACACACAATCCGGTCCCCTTTTCCAAGCAAAAACCCAACGTATCAAGAAACTACTTGAGAAATCTCTCGCCAGTTTACCCATCAAATCCGACCCTACGATCAATGGCATCGACCTCTTCTACCCCACCGGCCCTTTCAAAGTCTCTTCTGCCGACATGAACGGAGCAGAAGTCAGAGAAGACGCCAATGGCTGGTGGAAACTGCGAGAACGCGGTGAACCCCAAGACGGTGTCGCTGAAGGACTGGAAACAGTGGCGAAAGTGCTTCGAGAAAACGGGCCTATGGATGGAGTCATGGGGTTCAGTCAAGGAGCTGCTTTGGCTGCTATGGTGGTTTCTCTACTCGAACCAGGAAGAGCAGATGCTTTTGCCAAAGTCGCAGGGGGTATGGAGTTTCCGGAATCGTTTGCTGAGTTGCAGCATCCACCGCTTAGGTTTGGTGTTTGCTTTTCGGGGCTGTTGAATAAGCATGATGCATATACTGCATTCTACGAGCCCAAGATCCAAACGCCGATATTGCATGTTTTGGGCAGTATGGACACCATTGTGGAGGAAAGCGAGTCATTGGCTTTGGCTGAACGTTGTGTGGATGGAGATGGCATGATTATCAGACATGCTGGTACGCATACCGTGCCGAGCAGTGAGAGAGATATCGCAGCTGTCATACAGTTTATCCGAAACGCGTATCCTGGCGGAAATGCAGCCAGCAAGAAAGACGAAGACGAAGATGTCTTGGACATGGATATGCCTTTCTAGACGAGAGTGTTCTTCAACTGGAGACATAGATCCTAGGTTACATCACACACAACATCCTAGATCTCACTGCTGTTTCAGACACCTTTTGATGAGTTGTTACATCTCTTGCTGAGTAATGCTCCTTCTTTCTCCATCAGCTTGCAAGTGATACCTACTTGTCGACAATCATGATGTAAGAGTGTATTGTGTCAGACAATCAGAGACAAACAGCAAGAGTCTTAGAGACCGCCTGTTGGTCTTGTTCTCCAATGGTCTCTCAAAATCCCTTCTTTTTGTTTTGTTTGCTCATGTATCAGCAAAGACGACAATGAACAGAAACAGTCTGATGAAGCGAGAGACATGTCCCAGACCATGAGTTGCAAACAAGACATTCACATAGCCAGTATCCATGCCACGAAAATCACTTATAAATTCACTCATCCTTACTCGATACCCATTTCAGAAAACTAGAACCAAAACATCAAAACCAAGCACCCATCACACCTCAAAGACTTCACACCCCAAAAACATGCCATACCTCAGAAGCCAATTCGCGTCCCTCTACATTTACCACTACAGAAGAACCCCTCCCACTCAACCAGAACTTCAATTTCAATAAGACAAATCGAGGATGCCGAGCGTGCACAAGCCCCTGCTGGAACAACTGAAGCTTGCATTCGGTAAGTTTGATGGGAACTTTTCAGAGTTATGCAACATCAAAGCTGACGATTGCAGTAGTGGTTGGTATACTTGTGGTGGTGGCAGTGTGTATGCAACGGTAGACTACCGTATGTTTCTGTTGGACGGGAGGGTCATCGAGTATCGCAGACATGTCTACCTTTGAACGGTTCGTTGATGATGGGTGTTCCCTGAGCCTTTAAGATTATGGAAGAGATGGCAGTTGACCCTGGAGAACAGTGGCAGACAGGAGAGAGTTAGACATCGATGGACAGGTGACGGAGAACTCAAGGATGTATAGAAAGATCAAAAGCATTCTCGCAAGGCTATAAGAGGTTTGAAGGTTATCTGATCAGATCTTTGCATTTCGTAAATCGTCATGACTTGAAAAGAAATATCCAGAATAATCAGACCATACCCTCAAAATGACAGACATTATATGAACCAGAAAGGGAAAAAGCTGTATGCATCTAGCGAACAAAGAAAAGAGAGAGAAGTGAAGAAGATAACGCACGCGTGAACCAGCAGCCTGCACCAAACAAATGTAAGAATCCGCAATCTCATCCGATTTTCATCCAGATATTCGATCGCGACTAGTGCTCATCATATCTGGCAGAATGGTAGTACGAGTAGTCGCCATCGATGGCCTGAGCCCAAGCATCGCGGATATGGTCCTTGTCTCCGCTCAACAACATCTCGGCAATCTCTGTCAGAAGCTCTCTACTGACATCCGGCACAAAATTTTGGAGTACGTCCGAGTGACTCCAGAGTACGATGAATGTTTCAACCACCAAGCCTCTTCCGATAGAATCAGGTGGGAGTGATGGATAGAGCAGTTCGATGAGCGGTCGTACAATGTTCTCGGACGAAGAAGCTGAAGGTAGATCGTCCTTGTTTTCGGTAAGAGCAGACGTCTTTGGTGACTTGCCGTTGTGCATGTTGCCAATACACTGCAAAATGCGATTCATGACTTCATTCTGGAAGTCTGAATTCTGCACCTTCTCACCAAAGATGTATGCTTGGAGTAGATCGATATATGTGTCGTAAGCGGCAGATCGTGAGTCCAGAGAAGTGTTGGAAGCTGTAAGGTCCAGTGATGTGATGCTTTTCTTATCGTATATGTAGTGGGCATATAGTTGGAACACTATAGGGTCGTCCTCGGGTAGTTCGAGAGGCGCGTCTTCTTCGTTTTGCTTTTCTAGAAGCTCGGTAAAGTATGGTGATGAGGCGGCGAGGTGGGCGGCATGAACGTGAAAGTCTTCGCTATTGATTAAGCTGCCGACACGTACGAGAATGGGTTTTGAAAATGTGCTGAGAGTAGCAAGTAANATCAGCATCATGTATGTCTTATCAAGAAAGTGTACAGTCTTTGGTATCATCATCCGTCGCTTTCGGTATAGGCGCCGTTACATCTCGACGCTGATTGTTGAGAGTATAAGAAACACAAGAGGGCAAGCACACAGTCACGCTTACCTTTTCTTGATCTGGTCGGTCATGGCCAATGAAAGCGCACTTTCACGTCCGCGACAGATGCGCTTGTACGGTCTTCCGAGGTCCTCATCTCGTGCCGCTTCTTCATCATCCATGTCCAAGTCGTCGGCCGAATCCATGATCGCGTTCTCCTCCAAAGCGACAAGCTCGGCGATCTGTTTCTCGCTGGGGCTGTCCACCTTCAAAGTCGCGTCGTCTCCATGAACACTGCTGTTGCTACGAGGGCTGACAAGCATCTGAGCGCCCTCGTTCGTCTCGTCCGCTGATCTTTTCGGCGCCATCTGATAGGTATGCGGGGCTCGTTTCCAGTGTCGGAGGAAAGTGTCGTCGTCCGCAAGGGTATAACAATCTTGACAGATGTGTAGGAGGGCAGAAATAATCAGTCCTAATCAAAATAACAAACACGAACGGACACGGACAGTCACGTCAGACGCTCCCGCCCTGCGCATATTAATCCTTGTCTGTGGCAGAAAACGCTTACGCTTACACCCTTCCTCACCCAAAAAGATGCAGAGGACGGTTGGTGCTCTCTGCCGCGTCAACATTCGTGGGGGAGCCGGCGCTATTTGAGTAGATGCATTGTACTTGCATGCGATACATCCTTGCCCAGCATGCGCCATTGTGCTTGGAACCCAGACACGTCTGTCCACGAGACTCGGAGTCATGCGCACGACCTTGTAACTTTAACGACTGTCACTTCTTGTTGTCCAAGTCTTTGGGTGAACAACGTGACGCAAGATTGGATCTCTGGATGTCGCGCAGAGTTGCGGCATGAAACGTCCGCCCACTCGAACTCCGGAGCGGTTGGGGTTTCATCACATTAGGTTCAGCATCGCTTAAACTGTATCTCCAAACGTCCGCCTAAAGTGCTTCGTTTTCAGCCCCTCCGGATGTTCATGTGGCTGTTCACGCGGAAACGACTGCTCTACAAAGTCTACCTCTAAACCTTCAACCACATTACTTCCATCATTGTGACCACTCAAGTCTATCTCAGATACGCATAGCAACGCGACAGGGGTATCAAAAGACAGAATAAGAAGAGCTTTCAAATGGCTGGAGCATTCCAGGCTTCACGACGGATCTTCATCAGGTTCGACTGCTTGTGCGGGAAACTGATTTCCCGCTCTTTGAAGAAGCCGACTTCTTCGCAGTACTGCTTTNNAATCTGTATTTCATCGTCAGTCTTGCACACGCCAGACACATTGCATAGGGTCACTTACTTCGCGTTGTCGACTCTCGGCTCCAACATGACCGTCTCACTTCTGGCATCAGCGAGGAAGCAATAATGCACCAGCGCGCTCAACCAAATTTTAACACGGTGCGGGCCTCTGAACCTCTGCTCGCCGACCAAGAGGTGCACTCCGCGATCATAGTCCGACACCTGGTAACCCAGGTAAGAGCCCAGTCTGTCTTCTTTGACCCAGTAGATTTCGAAATACCCAAAAGGCTTTCCGTCAAAGCACCCAATGACTGGTATGGAGTGCTTGTTGGTCAGTCCAGCTTTCAAGAATTCTTCTTGGTGAGACAGAGGGCCTTGCTCGCCCCATGAGTAAGCAACACGCTCGTCGTTCATCCATTTATGAAGGAGTTCGGCATCGCTCATCTCGTGGTCCATAGTGCCAATGGTTGGAACATGCGAGTCGCTAGCACTTACGGAGGCGCGAAGGGGAGAAGCTCCTGGAGCTGGATCAGACACTGGACCAATGTGTTGCACTGGACGCTTAGACAAGGACGCGACACGGAACGAGAGATATTCGCCAAGGCTAGGAATATATCTTGTATAAAAGGTCTCGCCTTGTCGAGGTGGCTTGGGACGAATGGGATGACGGACGTTGTCAGTGAAAACGTACTGGGCCGGAGCAGGCGGGTAGAATGTGGGCATATGTGAGGATGACTTGAATTGACCAGGAGGCGTCCACAAGCCATGGTTTCCGCCAGTAGGGATCACTGGGCCTGCATTATCGACGATTGAGTCGGGTCTGCTGCTGGAAACACCAAGTGCGGGCGAATCTGGTCTCGAGTCGACGTGGGTGTGTGAAACCAAGGCAGAGTTGACCTGTGGATTGCTGGTGAAGAGGTAGATGCGAGGATCAAGCTGCCAGAAATGACGGCGAGACACAAACATAGCAGACCAGCCCTCTGGCGTATTTGGGTCCAAGGAAGTTCCGACGGCAGAGTCTTCGGTTGCGATCAAGCCCATGCGCTCCAACTTCTGCATCAGTTGCTTGCCTCTAAAGACGCCTTCACGGTTGATGTTGATGCGCCATTCGCCCTTGGGCCTTCCTGCTTCGACCGTACCCTGAGATGTAGGGTTGGTCATCTTTGGATCGGGTTCGGACTGATGGAAGTACCAGTACAAAGTGGCCCATAGCATCATGGCAATTTGGCGGGTAGGGGAGGACGCCGGAAAGTGTGAGGGAGTGTGCTCATTAGGCGGGTTGGAGATGCTGGAGATGAATAGATGATCGCCTTGCAGAGAGGGTCGTTTGTAGCTATGGACGCGATATCTTGGAGTGTCATCGGCGCTAGGAGTGACAGGACTGTCTTTGTCCTCGCTCTCAATGGTAATAGTCCAGCCAGGAGGGAAGATGTTGTGATGGTTGTGAGCATCGACAGACTTGAAGTAAAGACCACCAAAAACGGGCGTGACGGACAGATTGTGGCCATTGGGCAGATGTACAATGGAAGGTGCCATGGTTGGGTTGTAAGTGAACGTGGACGGAGGGTGGTCTGCACGCGGTTGAATTTGATGTTGCTGACCACAACGGCTTTGACTCGTGATGAGAATGCAAGATAAGAATCAACCAGTCCTATTGATAAATTCGCACCAGCTGTTAACTCTTCTCTCGAACAGAGTGAAGAAGAGCAAGCGTGTCGACAATGTGTGGTTAGTGCACGATATGCATCTGTCAGGCAATCGAGGAAAGAGTCGAATGCTCCCGCATGTCGAAGACAGACGCGACTCGTGAATGAGTGACGAAACGACCAACCTCGGGTCGGATGGTGGCCCAAGCACGTCGACTCGGTTGTGGCTTGAATGAACAGCGGGTGCTTCGATCCAATGAGAGACTCACACTCAACTCTGATGCCATGTTCCCTGGCGGACTGGCAGACCGCTCGTGTTTTCGTTGTGGAATCCAACAACGGTCTTGCGCGTGCCGTCGTCTTGAGTTTTGTTCAGTCAAGAGTGACGTGAAGAGAGAAAGACCGGAAAGCCAAACCGCGAAAGTCGCTCTGCAATTTACGGTGATACGGGAGTGCTGAAACAGAGGCCCGCGGTCTTGCAAAAGCTTGTGTTTGATACTCGACCCATCATCTTTGTCGCTATCTGTACTGTTCTTCAGACATCATGTCTGACAAGAGCACAGCGACTTTTACAAAATAGAAGCCTAGTCGACCGAGTGCCGCGCAGCAGAAGCACCACGCCCTGCAAGACGGATACTCGTACTCGACGCCGCCCATCCCTCGAGAATGGGCTCATATTTTGGTCGAAACCATTCGCCCAAGCCGTCGACCGAGCGTGCGCATTCCTACATCTCGCATGCCAACGCCTCATCGTCGCCCGTCTCGCAATCGGCGCCTGTCCTGCCACCCATCCCAAGCATCGCTGATGTCGCAGACGATGCACAACCCACGGGACTGGGCCTCGACGCCGCCTTTACCTTCGACCCGAGTCCGCAACAGTCCACACCCTCTTCGTCTTCGAATCTCTCGACGCCCTCACCGCTCCGCGATGCCGCTACCACTACTGCTCCTGCTGTGCGCCCGCAGAACTTGCAAAAGGGAAGGGCTGTGACAAGTCCTGTAGGTGCCTTGCCTAGCTTCCAGCAAGCAAACATGTCACCATCTTCTCCCCTGGCCGCCCTTTCCGTACCCTATTCCTCGACCACCGCCCAGGCCAAACCTCGCGCAGGCAACCGCCCACTTCCCGCCGAGTCGACAATCAATGGAGTCCCACAGCATGCAAAGACGTCCAAACAGAAACCGGAACTACACTCGAACAAGTCATCCAAAGGCAAGTTCAACCTGCTCAATCCTGTCAACCTGCTTATGCGCAGACGTTCTGCGCAAGCTGTCGAAACCCTCGAGAAGACACAATCCAAGAACCTGGCCATACCACCTATGGATCTTCCTGATGATTACGATCCACGCATTCGAGGCAAGCTTGTACACGATTTCAGCGCTCCTCGAACTCGACGCACGCCGTCATATGATCCGAGTCTAGCAGAGGCTTCATCGAAACCTTCGACTGCAAACGACTCTATCAGATCGCAGCAGGACTCGGTCGACCGTGATGCCAAAAGGCAATCAGTCCAGCATACGCCCATCTTCGTTGAGCATATCGATAGCGAACCTGACGCGAACCGTGTAAATGCTGAAACTTTGGCGAACAGCGATTTCATCGCCCGAAACTCATGGCACCAGAGTGGAGAGTCACTCAACATGCCTCCCTTTGGCCGCCGGAGTCAGCTATTCGATGACCAAACTTACTCTGAACCTGCTTCCGATTCTCCACATTCTGCAATGAGCGCCATGAGCGGTCCGGGATGGCAATATCACGAACCTGAGCGTGTCTACTCCCCAGTATCACCCGAACCCGCTCCTGAATCCGCGCCTGAGCACCACGAGCTCGGATCTGAAAGAAACGAGCAAGAGTCACTGTCATTTCAGCAAGAACCTCAACCATCACCTAACCTTCTACCGAATCCCAATTCTACCTTGCCTAGGCATATGACCAGTACAGCTTCACGTTTCAGCTTTCAAATAGCCAATGACTCAATAGCGGAGGAAAAACTGCTGGAAGAGAGACATAAGCTGCGCCAGTCGAATATCGTCCAGGATCCACCTAAGTTTGAGCGTGACGATTACGAAGATGAAGAAGAGGATGCTTTCGACGAGGATGCTATGTACGATCACGATGAGATGGAAGACTCGCCTGCGAACGGTCTTTACGAACATCTCAATTCTGGTCTGGCCGAACGTTTCTCTACCATGAGTCTGGACTCGGGCCAGGGCCATCAATCTGCGGCGTCTTCGAGCACCTTGTACTCCGCTACCGCTCCTCAGACGATGCAACCGCCCTTCCAAAACCCGTTACGCTCAAATCCGCCACCAAGCTCAATCCAACAGCAGCCCTCGGGTCCCTCGATGTCAGCCGAACCTCAGCAGCAACTGGCTAGACCATCTTCTGCCAACTCTTTCTATTTTGATGATGGCATGCTTGACCAACTTGATGATGTACATGAAGAAGAGGAAGAAGATGAGATTGATAATGAAGCCTTCGATGAAGACAAATTCGACGACCCTTCATATCTGAAAAGACCGAATCAACCACCTCATCTGCACGAAAGCGCCACGAACTCCTCGATCTATGCGCCACCAGATGCACCTGTTCACAATGTCAATGGTTATCCATTCCTCATCCAGAATCCTGGAACGGGCCATTTCTCTGCCGATTCACCGTTTTCCGAAAGCTCTTCTCAACCTAGCGAACAACAGCGAGAAGTTCAGGACGAAGCAGCGCGACATGATTCCCAACAAGGTCCTCCCGACTGTCATAACCTCTCGGCATACCACAGTGCTTTGGCAGAAGCCGCACATCGGGCTGCGGCTGATGGTAAANTTCACAAGACAAAACAGCATAGCAGCTTCTGACTCTGTCTACTCTGAGGACTACGAACAAGATGAAAGCGGCTACTCGCAGCAGTCACAGTATGCGCAGACGCAGGCGCAGACGCAGACGCAAATTCCAATGCCAATGCCAATGCCCATGCCCAATTCCATGCCCGCGTCCATGCAGATGCAGGTCCCCCATATATGCAGATGCAGATGCCACAACTATCACCATATCAGATGCAGCTGCAGATGCAAATGCAAATGCAAATGCAGATGCAGATGCAGCCTCAGATACCCCAAAGTCACATGTCTGGCTCGACCCACGCTTCCCGCGGCTCTTACTCAGCATTCGACTTTGGCTTCAGCGATGGTGCAACCATAGAGGATACCTTCTCATCTCCGGAAATCCCTAATGACGACTTTGCTTTCGATGATTCGGATCTGATATCCGCTGCAAACTCGGAAGCACTTGCAAACGACGATGAAGGATTCTACAGCCAAGAGTTTGGTTTTTACGCCAGAGCACGTCCAGGAGGCGATCCTGATGCAATTGGGGCTATCAACGGTGGCTATTTTGGCGCACCTGGAATCGAGATCGTACGACAGAAGAGTGTAAAAGAACCGAATCTGACTCCCATCACCGAGCGCAGCGAATTCAGCACGCGTAACTCGTACATCGGCCCATTCAGTCCACTCGCCGCTGCACTTCCATCGCCCGGCTTTCCGCCGTCCCATATGGCAGCAGCGCGTATGAGCCCTCTTGCTTGGCAGCATTTGCAAGAAGACGAGATGACACTAGCAGATCTCCGAAGACTTAAGCAAGGCGCATTCGGTAGCAGCAGCAACAGTGTCAACTCCTTGTCCTCGTCTTTCGGCGTACCGGCTCCTTACAGTCCCACCATGGCTGCACAGAACATGCCCGGTGGCTATTTCATGCCGCGCGCCGGTGGTGTTCCCATGGCCTGGCAGCGTAGCAGCGACAGCAACTCCAACTACAACCCATCTAATCATTCTTCCAGTCCTGTTCCTACATCGCCAATTCACGCATCGATTCCCAACGGTATGACCAACAGCCAGACATTCAATTCACCTCTGCAACCACCACATGCATTCTTCGTGGCAGACAACGTCTCAACTCCTAAGAAGAGCTCATCTGGTCTACAAGAACTGCCAGGAACGCCAGTGACGGTGAAANAAGCCGCAGCCAAGGAAACAGCTGCAGCTTCAGAACGGCAATCACACCAAACACACTCACGATCTGGCAGCAGTGCAGACAACATCACTTATGTCCGTGAAGAGGACTCTACGGGCGGCAAGCGTTGGGTCCTCGAAAGACGGCGTACGAGCGAGGCTGGCCTCTTAGAACTAATCGGCAGAGAAGTTGTCGAAGGTGGCCGCATTTGATCCCTCAAGTTTATAATGTCTTTGTTGCTCTTTCTGCCACATTGATGGCACATGGTGGCTGATCTCTTTTCTACGTGTTTATACCATACTGCGTTCTAGCGATAACTTGTAATATCCTTCGAATACCCACAGTCTGACTTATCATACACGCAAAATAAACGGAGGAGTCTTGATCTTGTTTCAGGCGCTGGGGCACAGTTTCTAGGAGGCGAGGAGAAAATGTCACACAAAGTGAGGTGCTCTGCGCCAAGCGACCAAGGCTCCACGACAGCGTCACTTCGGTCGCGCCTTCTTCCTTCTGACACAGCACTCGAAGCTCTAGAGCACGGGTAGAGTAGCAAGACCACACTGTATCATGATTTCGCTCAGACGGCAGCAGCGCTTGTTGTGTTCCAGAAAAAGCTATGTGTGTCCCATTGTAGCATCTCCGAGACCTCTAAGCGCCCATGCTGGGCACTTCTCCAGCCCTGATGCAGGTGTCACGACCATCTGCAAATCTCGGATTAGAATAGCACCCGTAAGCGCCCAGCGTCAACCTGTATGCAAGTGGCCAATCAAGGATAACTTTCAATTCAATGGCTTGCCATACGTCGCGTAGGCCATGCAGACAGGCATTGATTTAGTCACCAACGATTCCTCTGAGCGGTTGTGGCTTGTTTGAATCACTGATCTTTTATGAACCACTGGCTGTCGCATGTTGTGGTTTTGTCTCCTTTCTTGCAGCTTTTACAACGTACTCAGAATACACATCCTCGACGGCATGCGCTAGAGAACTGATATAGAATGAACGAACAGTATGGTGCATATCCACCTTCTGGACAGTTTCATCCAACTCTGCAGCACCATGCTTCCAACAGATCACAGGAGTCACCTCGGGACAATGTATCTTCTCTAGGCACTCCTCTTAGTCCCATGTTTGGCCCTCTTGGAAGCGGACATTCGACTCACGGTAGCTTTACTATGGCATCTAGACCATATAACCCCCAGCAGTGGGGTCAGAGTAATGTTGTTGGAGGATCACATATGGCTTTCTCTCCTACTCAGCGGTTCGCTAGAGATACGACTGGCATGGAAGGTGAGTAGAACCCTTTTGCAAGGCGCGAAACACAAACACAATGCTAGTCGGCACATTCTTGCATGCACGTTTTAGTGACCGGGTTGCAGNCATCGATGCCTTCTCCCCCACCACCGTATACACCTCCGCCTGACAGCACGTCTCGCTTGATGCGATCAGCGCCTGTTGCAGGCTTCGTCTCTTCGCCCCTATCAGTTGAACCATCGTCAGCCGGTACAACAAGTCATCATTCGACTCCACCAAGTGGACCCTCAGCACACTTTCCACCACCTCCCACCTCGAATTCCCGTGATCGATCAAGCTTGGGAGTAAGCAGAGACCCTCAACGCTCCAGATTCAGTATTTCTGGGCTTGCCGCTCGTGTCAAGCGATCTGATAGCTCCGATCAGATATCTACTCTCAATTCTTTACACATTCAGCTTCCTGTTGTGTCCGCAGGCTCCAGCTCACGACCTCCAGCTTCTCGCCGTGCTGCTTCCACGGGAGCCATCTTGACACATGGCCCTCAACAGATCTCGACTGGTAGAAGCTCTCCAGAAGCCTCACGCTGGGAGCCTGGGATGCCACTTCCTNCCGCCTCCACCAGGACCACCTCCGGAGCACAGATCTCAAAGTCTGAATCGATATGCAAGGCGAACTACAGAAACTCGAGCTGACACTGCCACTTCAAGCGTGCTTCCACCGCCTCCGCCTCCCCAGTTCGAAGAAGACATGAAAACACCCTTGGCGAGATTCCTCCCACTCCTTCTGACTGGAATCCTGATGCGGACATCGAACCTGGCTTTATGGAACTACGTGTAGATACTGGACGGCGAGCAGATGCTCATCCCGCAGGAAGCAGTGGTAGGAGTCAGCTTTCAGCAAGCAGAGAGGCCATGACGGACAGTATACGTGAAAGAAGATCGCGAAGTCGAGCCAAGAGGGAAGGTCAAGAGATCGTCCTCGAGGATCAACAAAGTCAGGAGATTTCGAATCACAATCCGCCTAGTTTTGCAAGACCCACCAATCTCACTCTTGCTACTAATGATGGTCTACTGCGGAGAAGGCGCAACGCAGCTGTCGAGTCTTCTTCATCCCAGTCGAGTCCAGCTCAGCCTTCCTCGCCTGAGTATGCCCGCCGTCAGGGGCAGGGACGCAACAATCTGGCAATATTGACACCACCTTATACGCCTTCCATCGCTGCTCCACAGAAGGGTCCACTACATCATGTTGCCACTCCTAACGAGCAACTCTCGGATCAGCCAACTCATACGAGCCGCACACAGCCTCCAACTAATGAGTCCCATAGTGGACCTACGAGTGATACGAGTCCTCCAGATCCAAGCGGACTTTCAAAATTCGCCCAATCCAGTTTGGAACGATATCAAGTATTTGTTGGTCAAGAAGTTGCCGCCGAGAATGATCAGGAGCGGTTGAAACTCTTTGCGAGTTTCATGGTTCAAGAGTCGAGATTACGAAGAGGGTTCTACTCGGAAGCCTTCAATAGCATGGCCGGAGATATCATGGAACTGACGCGTGATGTGTGGAGGCCATTACCCGCTACATCCGAGCCTGCTACCACGCAGCCCAAGAGTCGTAACGTGAGTCCGGAAAGTGCAAACATCATGATTGATCTGGACGACAGCTTTCACACATCTATCGCTTCTACTGCAGAACTTACGCCAGCTACCGATACAGAGTCTCTAGCAGATGAGAGCCAGGATGTTGTGAACAGAAGACCTTCTAATCCATGGGGTGACAAGTTCAAGCCGTGTCTTTCTCCGATCCCTAGCATGGCTGTCAGTACTGTGCCAGACGAAGAAAGCTCCAGAGGAAGATCGGCCAGTCGATGGTGGGAAGAGAGTGTAGATGGCTTATTTGGGAACGGAGGGCGTAGACTCGAGAGAACCAGACAAGAGGCAAAGTACATGAGTCTGCACCCTCAGGAGTTGTTCCTTGCTGCACAGCCTTCGCCTAACCAGAGTACACCCACTCCCGGTACCAGCAAGCAGGCCTTTCAGTATGGACCTGATGAATACCCTCAGGAGAAGACTGGCTGGCACGAAGAGGATGGTTTGTATACTCCGTCAAACCTGCATTCGGCAACTTTGCTCTCGCCTCGCAACAAAGCACCTGCAGGTCGCCCGACCGGTAGATCAGCTCTGGATGTCACAAGACTTGTCACACTCCCACCACCGTATCCACGCCATTATCCTGCGGTCAACAACAGTCATCCTGCATTGAGCACGCTCAGAGCAAACCATCGTGCCGTCGCAGACCTTTCGAGCATACGCGAACTCATTCAGTCTCACGAAGCCACCGAGGCTAGCAGACGGCAACAATGGCGAACGTTGGCTGGAGAACGACTTCGTCACTTCCGATCACAAACACAAGCGTCCATCAACTCAGGCAAGATATCGTACAACGATGTCACTCAGGCTGAGCTCACCTTTCGTCAATCTGAGGCTACGAATGTACTTAGACAAGCTGAAACTCAATGTCAGGACTTCCGGCAACGGGTCCATGAGTCTGTGTGTCGAATGCTTGCTGAGCATTCGCGAAGTTGCGATGATTTCATCGATCAGCTCACCAGGGCTCTAGATGCAGAGGCTGGGTGCGATCAGAACTTGCTCGCCCAGACAGAAGGAGATGAGAGGCCTGAGCTTGTTGAGCAGCTTACACTTCTGAAGTGGTTGTTCGAGAGCAGAGAGCATATCCACAAGGAAAGATTTGACATCGACACTGCCCTTCTTGCGAGAGAGACGGCATCTGTTTTGACCAACTATCGACAGAACGCGAACGAAGTACAATTGCGCCAGGCTGAACATCATTTCGAATCCGAACTTCAGACGCGACAGCTCCGATATGCATACGAGACGAATGAGAGATACGACAACTTGCGCAAGACTGTGGAGAAACACATCTCGAGAGGAGTCGAAATTCAACTGTCAGCGTTCTGGGATATTGCACCAGGCCTGGTTGAAGTTGTGCACAAAGTGCCCAACAGTCTACACGGATTCGAGATCGTGGTGCCTCCCAATGAGCTGGCGGAGAACATGTCCTATCACGAGTTCCCTTTGCAGTATATGTACGGCATCCTAGTACACGCCAAGAAATCGGCGTATCAATTCATCGAGGCGCAGACAAACCTGCTATGTCTCTTGCACGAAGTGCACACGGCGAGCGAAGCGGCTGCCCTACGGTTGCGAGAGATTGAGCGCAGTGCAGCAGGCGAGAGTGCAAGTCAAGTGCAGGCAGAGATGGCACATTTCAAGAAGCAGAAGGAACAGGAGTTGACTGAAGATTTGCAAGGGAAAGTGCACGAGGTGGAGGGTCAATGGAGAGAGGCTTTAGGGGCATCGATTGAAGATTGTATTGAGCGGGTCAGGACTTGGCTGGAGCACACTGGCGGCTGGGAGGAGAACCTGAAAGTCTAAAGTAACAATTAACGGGCCAAGCAAGCAATTCGGATACAGTGAATCAAGTAAGCGAGGGTTTATCTATGGGCCAAGCATGATTGGACGCGTGAAAGCTGTTGTTGTTTGGCCTTCTTTTTACAGCCGAGTGGACAAACAGAATGGAAAGAGCAGACAAACAAGACCGGATGCGGACACAAATGGTGGATGTGGAAGTGACGGTCGAAGAAAGAGGTGGTCGTGGACCAATAAAGAAGGTGGCTCACATGACAGGGCCGGGTGTTGCCGAGCAGACAATGATTTGGTGCGAGCAGAACTTGCGGAAAAGAACTTCTCTTTCACCGCACGCATCCATCATCCTCCACCAAACCCCTCTGTGCTCTCGCACTTCCTTTCATAAAGACTCGTCCACCGGTACCAAAAAATTTGAAAATCCCAAAAAGCCCATATCGCGCCTTCTCAGCGTCTAGTTGCGAAGGTTCATCCATCTCACGAGTCTATCGAAAGGAATACTTTTTTCGTCTTCAAAAGAAAAAGGTGCGCATACACTGCCTCTGCCTCAGCGCAACATCGAAAGAGCCCGCTCCGCCTCTACACCCACGGCCACACCTCTCCAGCCGCTGTGAAAGTCGCTCGACGCGCAAGCCTTGCAATCGCACATCCAGAACAGCAGCCGCAGACCAGCGACTTCCGCATCTGAACACGCTCTTGCGATTTCCTCAACGACTCTCTTCCTTCACTGTTTCTTTCCGTCTCGCGCTGAGCGACGACCACCCGCGACGAAGATTTCGACAAAAACAAACCATCGTGTGGAGACAAGCGCTGACGTATTGCTGTGCAGAAAATCGTAAAAAGTCGATCAACATGTCTGACGTTCAAGCTACCTCGCCCACCGGCGCCGCCGCCCAGCCCGCCTCTCCCTCCGCCGATGTCAACGGTGCCAACACCCCTGCTGATGTCGCCGCTCCTCAGCACCAGAACCAGGCCTCGAACTCCGCTTCCCTCTATGTTGGTGAGCTCGACCCCTCCGTCACCGAGGCCATGCTCTTCGAGCTCTTCTCCTCCATCGGCCAGGTCGCTTCCATCCGTGTCTGCCGTGATGCTGTCACCCGCCGTTCGCTCGGTTACGCCTACGTCAACTACAACAGCAGCGACGATGGTGAGCGCGCTCTCGAGGAGCTGAACTACACCCTCATCAAGGGCAAGCCCTGCCGTATCATGTGGTCGCAGCGTGACCCCGCCCTCCGCAAGACTGGCCAGGGCAACGTCTTCATCAAGAACCTCGATGTCGCCATTGACAACAAGGCTCTTCACGACACTTTCGCCGCTTTCGGCAACATTCTTTCCTGCAAGGTCGCTCAGGACGAGCACGGCAACTCCAAGGGTTACGGTTTCGTTCACTACGAGACCGCCGAGGCTGCCAACGCTGCTATCAAGAGCGTCAACGGCATGCTTTTGAACGAGAAGAAGGTCTTCGTCGGACACCACATCCCCAAGAAGGACCGTATGAGCAAGTTCGAGGAGATGAAGGCCAACTTCACCAACGTCTATGTCAAGAACATCGACACGGGCGTCACCGACGACGAGTTCCGCGTTCTGTTTGAGAAGTACGGAGATATCACCTCCGCTTCGCTCGCTCACGACAACGAGGGCAAGAGCCGCGGTTTCGGCTTCGTCAACTTCGCCCAACACGAGGACGCCTCCAAGGCCGTTGACGAGCTCCACGAGTCTGACTTCCACGGACAGAAGCTGTATGTCGGCCGCGCCCAGAAGAAGCACGAGCGCGAGGAGGAGCTCCGCCGCCAGTACGAGGCCGCTCGCCAGGAGAAGGTCAACAAGTACCAGGGCGTCAACCTCTACGTCAAGAACCTTGCCGACGACATTGACGACGAGGAGCTCCGCAAGATCTTCGAGCCTTTCGGTTCCATCACCTCCGCCAAGGTTATGCGTGACACCCAGCCCGCTAAGGACGAGGCCAAGGAGGGTGAGGAGACCAAGGAGGAGTCGACCGAGGAGAAGAAGGAGGAGGAGCCCGTTGAGGCTGAGAAGAAGGAGGAAGAGGAGGGTGTCGACTCTGTCACCAAGGACCTCGAGAAGGTCAAGATTGGCGGTGAGCTCAAGATCCTCGGCAAGAGCAAGGGCTTCGGTTTCGTCTGCTTCAGCAACCCCGACGAGGCCACCAAGGCTGTCACCGAGCTCAACCAGAAGATGGTGCATAACAAGCCCCTCTACGTTGCCCTCGCCCAGCGCAAGGATGTCCGCAAGAGCCAGCTTGAGGCCAGCATCCAGGCCCGCAACCAGGTCCGCATGCAGCAGCAGGCCGCCGCCGCTGGTGGTATTCCCGCTCAGTTCATGCAGCCTCAGATGTTCTTCGGCCCCAACGGCCAGCCCATCATGCCCGCCCGTGGCCAGATGCCCTTCATTCAGGGTATGCCCCAGGGCCAGCGTGGTGCCTTCCCCCAGCAGGGTGGCCGCGGCGGTCCCAACGGCCAGCCCNCTATGGGCTACCCCGTTCCTCCCATGCAGGGCTTCCCTCCCGGTGCTTACGGTAACCCTGCCTTTGCTAACCAGATGATGATGGGCGGTCGTGGTGCCGGCCGCGGTGGCCCCATGCCCATGATGCCTGGCATGCCCCCTAACATGATGGGCCCCAACATGGGTCGTGGTCAGCAGTTCGGTGGCCGTGGTGGCCCTCGCCAGATGGGTGGCTTCCCTCAGCAGCGCNCCCAGGCTTCTTCCGCCTCTCCCGCTCTCGACGTCAACGCCCTCAACGCCGCTCCCCCTGCCCAGCAGAAGCAGATGCTCGGTGAGGCTCTCTACCCCAAGATTCACGAGCAGCAGCCCGAGCTTGCCGGCAAGATCACCGGTATGCTCCTCGAGATGGACAACGCTGAGCTCCTTGACCTGACCACCGACGATGCCGCTCTCCGCAACAAGGTTGACGAGGCCATGCGTGTCTACAACGACTACCTCAAGTCTCAGGGTGGTGAGGACGCTGCTCCCGCCCCTAACGGCTCCGAGAACGTTGCTCCTGCTGCCGAGGCCGCTACTGAGGAGAAGGCTTAAGCGATTCATTTCGCCTACACGATTCCGCCTTTCTTTTTCAAAAAGTTTTCATGACACGCGCTGCATACGATTTGGGCGCCCGGCGTCTTGATCTTTCAGCTTCTTTCACCCGGATACCCCACCTTAATGAAACGACTTTTTACTCTTGTGACCATCTATATTGTTTTCCCTATCCATCACTGTGCACGAGATTCGTCGCTCGTTCCATTGTTGCTTCTGGCTAACATGATTTGGTCGTGTGCGATATGGCCGTCCTTGAAGCTCGTCCGCATTGTCTATCATGGTCTTAGTCACCCGTTGAGGAGGACGAACCAGCGCAATGTTTTTGAGGACAAAGCTCAATCAAGAAGAGTGCAGCAACGCAAACAGTATGAATTCCTTTTTGCTTCGGAACTCGTATCTAAAGTGTGGGCATGGATTGATGGGTTGTGTTTTGGGGGTTTATCTCTTTTTCCTTGTTTTCCTGGCGATCGGCGAAAGAGAAGGGTGCAAATCAAGGGCAGGGTTTATTGCAAACAGGTGGCGCATATGGATATTCTTTTCATAGCCGCCAATTCACAATGTGTCTTATATTACTTTGTGTCTTCGCTTTTCCCGTCAATGGTGTACGCTTCATGCTATCTACCTTATGTGGCTGTCACGACTACTGCCAAGGTTGTTGTCCTTGGTGGAAGCACATGAGGTGTATTCAGCTTCAAGCAAGCATTCGGCTGGAATAACACCTTGAGTATTGTTTGGTCACAACAAGACGACTACGAACTTGACACATACAAAAATGCTACAACACATCCATTATACCATGTAGAATGGAACAGGCAGCCTAGTGTTAATTGAAAAACCTCTGTGGTGCAACAATATCGTTGGCCTCAACTCCAGCTCTTGCTTCAGGTATGACCCTGTTCTCGGAGTATAAGTCCGTACGCTCCCTGAGACAACCGTCAAGCAACAGCACTTCAAATACGATATATGTATTCTGATGAGATACGGATACCTTGTTTTACTCAGGCTTAGGAACAAAGCGGTGAAGAAAATTGAACAACGTAATAGAGTTTCGAGTCTTGCAAGTTGTCACGTTGTCCACGCGCAATGACGAAGTCGATTCCTTTGGGGGATGGCGGGGCATATTTGTGGGGAGGGACAGTGGTTCACTGTTCAACCATCTTGCAGTCTCAACTGTATCCTTAACATCTTTTTGTAGATACTTTTAGAGAAAATGTGTGAGATCAGCAGTATCAACAAGCAGCGTTGGTGGAAGGAGGCTATCGTGTACCAGGTATGTGATGAACAGCATGGATTCGAGAGAAGCAACTGATGTTTGGACNAGGTATACCCTGCCTCGTTCCTGGACTCTGGGGCTGGCAATAAACCTGGTTGGGGTGATATTCCTGGTATCACGTCGAAGTTGGATTATCTGAAGCATCTGGGTGTTGATGTGCTATGGCTTTCGCCGAGTAAGCAATGCTGGTTAGAAAGTGGCGGTTCATGTTGACCGACTTTCGCAGTTTACAAGAGTCCTCAGGCTGATATGGGTTACGATATCGTATGTTGTACCTCAATAGTTGATGTGTGTAGCAATTGACTGACCATCACAGNNGCCGACTACAAGGACATTGACCCGGTGTACGGTAGTCTCGAGGACGTCGACAACCTGATCAGCGAGCTCAAGAAGAGAGACATGAGGTTGATGATGGACTTGGTTGTCAACCACACCTCAGACCAACACGCCTGGTTCCTCGAGTCTCGCTCTTCAAAGCAGTCCAGCAAACGCGATTGGTACATCTGGAAGCCCGCCAAGTATGACAAGGACGGCAATCGCCAACCACCCAACAACTGGTCCATGATTCTGGGAGAAGAAAACAGTGCCTGGACGTACGACGAGAAGACTGACGAGTACTATCTATCTCTTTTCACCGCCGAACAGCCTGATCTGAATTGGGAGAACCCAGACGTTCGTGAGGCGGTCCATGATGTGCTGCGTTTCTGGTTGGACCGTGGTTGCTCGGGCTTCCGCATGGATGTCATCAATCACATCTCCAAGGTCCAGACCTTCCCAGACGCGGATGTCATTGCCCCTGATCACAAGTATCAGCCTGGCTTCAAGTACTATTGCAATGGACCTCGTCTGCATGAATGGCTGAAGAACATGAGGGCAGAGGTTCTCGACAAGTACGACACAATCACAGTTGGCGAAATGCCGTTCGTTAGAGACGAAAGCGAGATTCTCAAGATTGTCCGCGAGGATGAGAAGGAGTTGAACATGATCTTCATCTTCGAGCAGGTCGATATCGACAACGAACCTGGCAAGTACAGACTCACATTACGTGACTGGGATGCCGACGAGATCCGCAAGATTTTCAGCCACTGGCAGCGCTTGATGATCGACAAGGATGGATGGAACAGTTTGTTCGTTGAGAACCACGACAACCCTCGCTCCGTGTCGAGATACTGCAATGACAGCGACGAGTTCCGCGAATTGAGCGCGAAGCTCCTTTGTCTCATGATGACCACTCTTGCTGGTACACTGTACGTCTACCAGGGCCAAGAGCTTGGTATGCGCAATGTGCCAGTGGAATGGTCGCCCGAAGAGTACAAGGACGTCGAGTCGATCAACTACTGGAAGAAGATGAACAACATGTACCCTGACAACAAGGAGAAGCTGGACTTTGCTCGCCATGTTTTGCAGAGAAAGGCCCGTGACCACTCACGCACTCCAGTCCAGTGGTCTGCAGAGCCCAACGCCGGATTCTGCAAGGAAGATGTCACGCCTTGGATGCGCGTCAATGATGACTACAAGGAAGTCAACGCAGAGGCTCAGCGCAAGCAGAACGATCCCGACAAGCTTTCTGTCCTGCAGTTCTGGAAGCGAGGTCTTGCCAACAGAAAAGAACACAAGGAGGTATTCGTCTATGGCGACTTCCAGGTGCTCGACGAGAATGACAAGAAGGTGTTTGCGTACAAGCGCGCAAGTGAGAAGGAGGCATTCGTTCTTGCCTTGAACTTCTCCAAAGATGAAGTCAAGTGGCAGATTCCTGAGGCTGTTAAGGTGAAGAAATGGGTTGCTGGAAACTACACAGCAGGCCAGCCGGATAAGCCCACGAGCGGTACCATCACACTCAGGCCGTTTGAGGGTGTCCTGGGTACCTCGGAGGTTTGAAAGACTAGAACAGAGATGCAAATAGACTGTATAGAATGGAGTTGTATTTGACAAGGAAAGCACAACTCGAAGGATAAAGTTGCCAAGTAATTGTGAAGTGTGCTCGGGCCACTTTGTTACCGGCTCTCGACGACGTCGGCAGGCTTGAGAGAGGCCGTCAGCGACTCTAGCCATTGAACAGTCACCGTAAACACACATCACTCGTCGCCATGCCTCTGATACGACCAACCGCCTTCTCTAGCCGCGCCGCCCAGTTGGCCCTCGCCTCGACTCCTCGATCCATCGTCGCGCGCCGAGCTCTCTCCACCACACAACAACTGCGCGGCGGCGCCTCACACGACGACCACTTCGACCCTCCGGGCGGTGTCCTCTTCGGCGTCAAGCCCGGTGAGAAGTACCAGGACGAGGGCTGGGAGAAGATCTTCTACTGGGGTTTCTTTGGCAGTTTGGCCTTTGGCATCATCGGCTACGCATACAAGCCCGACACCAGGTTTGTTCCTACCGCGTCTGGCCTGTCTTTAATAGCAGTGAAGCTGACTGTAACCTNNACCAGCATCCAAACATGGGCTCTTGAGGAGGCTAGAAGAAGACTCGAGGCCGAGGGCATCCTCGCCGACCCCGAGGACGAGTAGACGCACATACCCCCGACACACGCAATCCGAATCGCTTTACCATCCCATTTCCTCACGCCGAACACAGTTGTGATGAAAATCTACATCACAGCATCTTCTCGGGAATATCTCCAGATGGCGGGCCGCTTCTCTTGAACGACGCAGCCGATCTGTACATAAAACCATACCAGGGGAATTGGCTGCACCGATAGACATTTCTTGACACCCTTTCTGCTGCACATCGGTACTCTCTAAACCTTTTCCATAAGATATCCAAACGAGGACGTTTTTCCTTTTTTTCTCCTTTAGACTTGTGCCTGATCTCTGACCTTAGGATGTTCTCAGAGTTCCTGCTCAAGACATAGATGTGTGTTTGGTCAGGAAACGGCTACTTTCATGATAAGCAGCTGCTTGCTACTGTCCTTGAAGTGGTCCTTCGACAACAGATTCGTTGCTCTTGTGTCTTGCTGAGGTCCTCCATTCAGCTATGTATATCCACTCAGCCTTCTTTGGCAAACGACCACCTTGCTAAGCCTCGTGACCGTACCAAGATGAGATTTCACAACTGAGGGCAGAACATATACCTTCAAGGTCGCTATTGTAATGAGTGCCAATCTGATTGGCATCCTAGGACGCAGACCGAAATTCAACCGACCAATTGTGATTCTCTCCCATGTGCCAAAGACAGTCATAATGTAGCTATAAAAATGCACAACACTTTCCACAATAGAGCGAGATCCATGGAGAGAAAATTGTCCTTGAGCATCTCTATGGCCGCATCTCTTTTTGAAAAGCAACTGTGCATTTTTATAGCATATGATAACACTATGTCAGTGTGAGAGAGGGGTCGATCGCGAGCGAGGTTGTGACTGTTCTTTGCACACGGGAAGCATAGAAAAGGAAATCGCGAACGAGAGCTTGTCCGCCAGAAAACGTAGAATCATTCATTCGTTCCTGATGAGTGCAAATCTCAACGTATGTCTTCTGCATGTACACTCTAGAAGTACTACGGCAAGTACTCGAGCGTCGTTGTCAGATATGAGATGCCGTACAGCCTTGCCTCGCCTTACATAAATTAATCGCCGTCCGGGGACCATCTGAACCCCGACGAGAACATGGCCCTCCACCATCCCACTTACGCACCGTTTACGGCCGCTTGTACATTCTCTGACTGTGCGACAACGTTCCAAGAACACGCCTTTACCAACACGAGCCTCTAAGAGATCAACCCTTGCCAACCATGGCTGGACCCGATGACACCTTGACAGCTCGGCCATCTCCTTTAGCCTGTGATTCTTGCAGACAGAAGCATTTGAAGTGCGACGCTGCAAAACCCGTCTGCACACGCTGTGTAACTACAGGTCTGCCATGTAACTACACGCCTTCGAGGCGTGGATACCGAGGACGAAGCGGACGCGCGACTCCAATGACAGCCAGCCACACCCGATCGAGTATGTTCCTGTGTATTTCAATCAGGGCACGAGCGCAACCACATTACCTAGCCAAGATTCTGTCTGGCCCTCGCCTACAGTTCCTAGCCTTGTGGGCTCGAGCGTTCACGATGGCTCGAGTGGTGGATACACCAACACGTACGGTATGACACCTGCACTGTCGCCTGATCAGCAACATCTACATTCAATATATCAGCACTCCCCAATCAGTGAGAATGTAGATGATGACGAGCTGGTCAACCTATTTTACTCTAACTTCTTTTCCGCCCATCCAATTCTGGTTCCGGCATGCCTCTACAATGGTCATCCTTACCCAGAGTATCTGAGACAAGTGGTTCGATTCATTGGAAGCCACTACTCATCGTCAGTATCGAACGATGCCCTTCGGATGAGCATAGATCTCACCGGACCTGGAAGCATGGTTGAAAGGAACCCTGCCATGGTACAAGCACGGCTGTTGTTTGCAATTGCTCTGCATGCGCGTGGTGAAGCAATGGACGCCGCATGCATGATGCAGTCAGCCGTACAACTAGCTATTGACCTCAACATGAACCTTCGAGATTTTGCACCAGCACACGGCAGTGNNGGAAATCCCATTCTGGAGGAGAGTCTCAGGAGAACATGGTGGGAGCTCTATTGCATGGACGGCTACATGGCCGCTCTTCACAAATTGCCTTCCTTCAAGAGCAACACCGTTCGCTCAGATGTTCTGCTGCCGTGCGAGGAAATAGTGTACGCGAGTGCTGGCTGCTTGCCACAACCATCTTCTCTTCAGCAGTTCGACATGCGACTATTCGCAGATGAGGAGATTCAGTTCTCGTCATTCGCTTACCGTATTGAAGCCGCTCGAATACTTGCCAGGGTACTGTCGGTGGCAGGAACTCAAAATGAAGACCAGGTCCAGGTGGTTGACAATGCGTTGGCCGGCTGGATCCACAGTTTGCCGCAAGCCAAGGTGGATGTCGTCAATGTCTACAATACGGTCGACGAAATGCTTTTTCAGGGGCATATGATCATCCATTGCGCCACAATATATCTGCATTTACCAAGGAGTGATCTGCTCAACACACTTCCAGTTACCGCAAACATTGTATGCGCGGAGAGAGGTAGCCATATGTCTCCTGCGTCTACACAGCACTCTCACTCCGTCAAGGCAACCAACGCGTCCAAAGAACTCTCCAACCTGGCCGCAGTCCGAGTTCCGGTACAGAAGCATACTCCTTTCTTCGTGTGTGGACTTGTCCTCGGCGCAATTGTTCAATTATCAGCTTGCAGTGCCAATGCAGGCACTGAACAGCATCGCGATAGAGTCACTTTGATCATCGGACTACTCAAATCGCTGAGCCGGAACTGGGCTATCTCTGGTCAGGTGCTTCAGCAAGTCAAGAAGGTGGCTTCGGAAGTGCTGCGTACAAGCACTCTTGCGTCACCCAACATTCAACATCAAAACAATACAGACTACGACAGTGGCATAATTTTGAAAAACAACCCTGACAATACTTCATGGCTTTCCATGCTGAACATGGTCGAGAACCAAGAGTTCCACGGTCTCATGCACGTCGAGCCGATCTATCCTGGCACGGTCTAGTTTTATGCATAATCTCATGCATGATTCTTCTTATGAAACCGAATGCGCCAGGTACCACCTCCCCGTGTGCGATAGACAGTCACAGTGTAGTTGTACAAATGCACAGTCGTTTTCTATAACAGAGCGACAACCACGGAGAGAACGTTATGTTCAGGCATCTCCCTAGTGACACCTTTATCCAGAAAGTGGCTGTGCATTTCTATAGCTTTGATAACACAATTAGTTAGTGAGGAAGAGGGGTCTATCATAGGGCTGTGACTGTCTTTTGCACACCGGGAAGCAGGGAACCTCTCCTAAAATCTAGGGAAGGTTTAGGCGATGCGCATCCCATCGCTGTAGCCAACGACACTAAAAAGTATTGGACGGCGACCTAAATCTTTCCTCTCACCAAATGGGCAGAAAAACAATGCGAGCAGAAACCGTTATCAGCATGCANAATGCACATACCCCTTGACAGGACATTTGGCGGTTTCAAAGGNNATCCCTGCTTTAAGCCATCGCTTCCCCCGACCTCTTATTTCTGTATCTNATCCTTTCTCCTTACAAGCTCCCGCCCGTTTCCTGTCATNNATCTCACCATGTGCATGCGTGCCGATTGTCCCAAGTGCAGTAAGTCAAGCCTGTCTGTGGCGCCTTGAAGCATTGTATCGTTGACGTTGTCTGTGCAGAGAAANNGTGTCTTGGTGGGGGTGTGGAAAGCATATTCCCTCGGTTATGGACAAGGTCCCTAGAGAGCAACGATGCACCTGTGGACCTTCACTGGAGGTTGATGGCAAGATGTATCCTCCAAAACCTCCAGGTCTTTTCACCGATTGCTCTGTCTCATAATCATCCATGTCACTACTACCACGACCATAAGGACTATTTGCACCATTTCTCATCTTCAATTCTTCTGCACAACTTTTTGAGAAATACCTCTTTTTAATACCGGTTCTGGATGCATCAACTTTCTGCGTCTAATATACCTTTGTCGAAACCTTTGTTTCATTCGCTGTATCGAGGAGGAGAGGAAGGATGGAAAGAAAAACTGGGTATCATTGTGTAAAACCGGAAACCGCCCAAATCAGCAACAGAAAACCACGACTTCTGCTTTCAAGGTCATCATCTCATCTCAGCGCGGCAGTCAAGACGCCAGCAGCAAACATGCTACCCACCGAGATCAGACTGGCCCATGAGAATGTAGCAAGACCGCTTATGCCATGCCCACTTGTACATCCACCAGCCAGTCTCGATCCGAAAGCCATCACTGCACCGCCAACAACAGCGACAGAGGGCGATATCAGATGCGATGATGCTTGTGCTAAGGCAGCGGGCAGCAAGAAGCGGGCGAGCAATGCGCTTGCAGACACGATGCCAGCGTCGAACATGACGGATGCAGTGACGGGGCCCTTAGATGCGTCACCAGAAATCACGTTGCGCAGCCAACGACCGACATCTTCGAATGCACCAGACGTGCCAACGGTATGGCGTGTGAGTGCGATGGCACAAGCTTGTGCAGTGCCGATGAGGAGANNGCCTCCAAGGACAGGTGACACAAGACCTTGTGTTCCAGTGGTAGGGCCTTTGAGTCCAGAAAGCAGTTGCAGCATGCCGAAGCACATAATCTCCCACATGGCAAGAACGATCCAGGGGCTGATGCCGAGGCTTTTGGGAATGGTCAACTCGGAGTTTGCCTTGCTGCTTCCTCTGCCTGCGCGGAACCTAGCAATGCTGGGTTGGGTAGAGACAAAGAGCAGACCGCCGAGGATACCACCACCGAGAACATAGGCGCCGCTGGGAAGGCCTGCACCTGCTTGAACGAAGACGGTGCCGGGGCAAGCGCCGGTCAATGCCATGCCGACGCCGATCATGGCACCTCCAATGATGTTGCCGTCGTAAGAGAAGAAGCCGATAGATTGAGGTGTGCGAGGTTTCATTGCTGCGAGTCCTGTGGAATCTGCCAGATGTACGACAAGTNNCTGTTGCTGATGTCAGTGTATGGTCTCGAAAACTGGTAGTTCAGAGAGTCGGCAAGGATGATTTAACATGGCTCGAGGATTTATAATAGATAGTGGTCCGAGTATCCAGACGAGAACCCTTTCCCCACCAGATGCGAAGTGAAAGGATTGAGGAAGTAGAGATACAACTTACGCACTTGTAGCACTTGCACCAAGCATTGCCTTGACCATAGTAAGATCCTCGAGCTTCATCTGCGCGACAATCGTGCTAGGCGCAAAGACTCCAGCCGCGAAAAGCGCGGCTCCAAACAGCGTGCCTGCTGCATACTCTGAAACCAAGGACGGCATTGTTGTGTTGTTTCAAAAGTCTGATGATGGGTGGAGGATTTCTGACGAGTGGATGAAAGAAAAGTCCTACGTGTGTGTAGGTGAACAAAGAAAAAGCACACCTGATGTTGAGATGGCGATGTTGAAAGAGGCGAAGAGAAGGGGCGGTTGCAATGTTTATCCTTCGTTCACTTGTCGATATTTCTGGTTCGATAACGGTTTTGGTGGGGGATAGAGTTTGTGGTGAAGGCCGAGAAGGTAAATTCGCAGCTCGAGCACAATTCTGATCGGCGACATTCAATGAAGTGAAGACAGCGATTACGCAGTGAATGGCGCGAGACTCGAGAAGGAGAGTTTATATCCATATAGAAATCGCGGGTGGCTTTGGACCATCTAATTTGCCTTATACTCGGTGTACTCTACACTGCAGCACACTATTTGATTATGGGAGAGACCAACAGGACTTAGTTTCCTTTGGATGCGGTATACTGCATACAAACAATGAGCCTTGGTGCATGATAGTGTCACAGTGGGAGTGGTTGTTGGTCATGTTAAACGCCTTGCCGAATGTCGCTCCCCTTCGAAAGTGAAGGACCCGAAACGGCCGAGGCTCGTCAGGCATCGGCCTCTACGGCACGACGTTGCCAAGCCCGATCGCTGACAAGGTTCCCGACAGCCTTCCGGGACTTGACGAGCGACGAGAGCGCGACGACTTTGACATCACTCCCTGATCCGAAAAGGTGAAAAGTGAACACGCGGGTGGACTGGACAGTTTCAAACAGCGACAGGTTTGCACACATCAGTAGCTGCCTTGCTGCGGATGAATTACAACTTCAAGACAAGTCCTTCCGGCTGATCTCGTGTGAAACCGGCATACCAAGCCTCTTTCAGCAGCAGGAAGGCCGGTCATACAGCGTCTCGTTTTTCTCTGAGGATGGCATCAAGTCATCTTTCTGCCATACTATTAGAATAGCGCGAGGTAAGAATAGTCGCTGCTTCCTCAGCTTATGCGCATGTACGAAGAAGCAGCTCATTTGCAGAGGTGAACTTGCTTCCAGAAGGAAAGAACGATTTGCTGACCGACACAACCACGTGCATCACAAAGGAAGGAGTTGATAGGTTTTAGCCAAAACCTGCTTGCTTGCTGCATCCCTTTAACTCGATGCAACGTTAATGCCGGTTATCCCCGAGAAGGATCGCAGCTTCCCAACCTCCTTGCTGTTAAATAAACACTTGTGACTCCATCGCGCATCCCGTCTCATCATCTTTTGGACTTTTGCATTCACGATGGCTACCCCTTCTCCTTCGTTGGCTCAGGCCGTGACAGCAAAAAGTCCAGAGGGTATTAACCTCTATGCTCGCTTCGCTCTTGCTGGCGCATTGGGCTGCTCCATCACACATGGAGGTTTCACTCCCGTCGATGTGTAAGCGCAACGTCGATATTAACCATGCCTTCGTAACTTATCCATCGCAGCGNTCAAGACCAAGATCCAGCTTGATCCCGCGACTTACAACCGCGGCACTATCGCTACCTTCCGTCAAGTCATCGCCAATGAAGGTGCCGGAGCTCTCTTGACCGGTGTCGGTCCTACCTTTGCTGGTTACTTCGTACAGGGCGCCTTCAAGTTTGGAGGTTACGAGTTCTTCAAGAAGCAGTCGATCGACTACCTCGGTCTCGAGACTGCAAGAGCCAACCGTGGTTTGGTGTACGCTGTCTCCGCTGCTAGTGCCGAGTTCTTCGCTTCAGTCGCCTTGTGTCCTCTAGAAGCTACCCGAATCCGTCTCGTCTCTACTCCCGGATTTGCCAATGGTTTGGTCGGTGGTTTCAGCAGAATCCTGAGAACCGAGGGTGTTGGCTCTTTCTACTCAGGTTTCGGCCCAATCCTGTTCAAGCAGTAAGAAACTCTTTGAGCCATAACTGGTATCCCGAGGAGAGGAAGCTGACAAGAGAAATCAGGGNTTCCCTACACCGTCACCAAATTCCTCGCATTCGAAAAGTTCTCCGAAGCCATCTTCGCAACAATGGGCGACAAGTCCACCATGAGCTCCGGCACCGTCACAAGTGTGAACCTCGGTTCTGGTCTCCTTGCCGGTTTCGCCGCCGCCATCGTCTCTCAACCTGCCGATACCATGCTCTCCAAGATCAACAAGACTAAGGGCTTGCCTGGTGAGAGCACCGCCTCGCGTCTCGTCAAGATTGCTGGTGAATTGGGTCTTCGTGGTTCTTTCGCTGGTCTGCCTACAAGATTGTTCATGGTTGGTGGTTTGACTGCTGGTCAATTCGCCATCTACGGTGACATCAAGAAGGCTCTTGGTAAGTCTTGATTATATCTTTGCATTTTGCTGTGTATGATCGTTGCTGACTCTGGGTTCGAAACAGGTGCTACCAACGGTGTCGAGATTGCAAAGTAGAGTAGTGGTTTCAGCAGTTAAGGGTAGCTTTTACCAGATGTCGGATCAAAGGGCTCAAGTAATGACAAGCACAGAGATGATACAAGCGCGTTTGCGGAAATACACTCCAGATCAGATGTTTTGCGCCTCCTCCTACTACGGCCATTGATATGCCCGAAAACAAAACTGTGCCTTCTTTGACTACTTTCTTTGCTGGACGTGCTTCCTTCCAGGACACACTACTCACCCTGTCGAGTTCTATAGATGCTGAAGTCACCAGAAGTTGTCGTATGGCGTTGTGCTATGAGAGTGGGAGGGAACGAACGACTGAGAAACCTTGGATCCGCGAGTCGGTATGACCCTTGACGTCCTTTGGATGGAAAAAACGTCAGGTGTTGATGCTTGATTCATGTATTATATCTAACCCTTCCAAGCTCCACCGAATCGTCGCCAGTCTTCCCAAATGCCTCTCAAGACGGCACGATCAGCATTGCCCATACTGGAGCTCAATGCTTTGACGCCACGGCTGTCATCTGCACCAATCTCGGCGACATCGAGGATTGCCCACATGCCTGGCGTAAGGGCATCTCGCATGCCTTCGCCTAGTTTACCGTTCAAGATAAGAGTGCAGTAGTAGTGAAGAATGTGGGGAGTATGTTGGGCAACATGCATGCGAGCTTTGCGTGTCTCGTCGACGAGGTCAGGTCCCTTTCCTCGGCTTCCAGCCACGTTAAACTGTGGTGGGTTGCAAAGGTTTTCGAGAAGCCTCGAGTAATTTTGCGCGTGCTTCAGAATCAATGAAGCAGTCATCGGATCGAGCCATGCTGGGTGTTTGAATCTGTTGACGGTTCCCGCATCTCTATTGCTAGGTAAGAAGAGGCAGGAAAGTAGTCTTTGCATCAATGGAACGAGGAGATGGAACCGGCCGCCGAGACTAGGACGATGGAACTGCAAGAGGCTTTGGGTAATTGTACAAAGGCCCTCGAACATCAATGATGCTTGCTTGACACTCTTAATCGGCGATGAGGGTGACGCAGAGTGGTCNACTGTAGCGATGGTCATCTCTACAGAGTATTGCGTAACAAGGTTAGGNCTAAATAGGTTGTTAGTAAGTTGTTCAGGTGAAGTAGAACTTCTCAGACACACCTGTTCTCTCAAAACAGCGACGACACAGGCGACCAACTGCTGATGGACGTCGTACTCGGAGCAAGCATTCAAAAGTTCTAGCAGGCGTACAAGGACAGACACCGAACCAGCTTCCGAAGCAGCGGCGCCCTGCTTGCGGGAAACATGCATTGCAGTGATAATGCATCGCACTAACATGACTTTTTCTGCCGTGCACTGTTGAACCGAGGCAGGCAGAATTCGTTCGATCAAAGAGAGCTTTTCGTTCTCGGACATATTCTGCATACTCTTGATGACAGAGTCAGTGATGGCCCAGTATTGGCCGGCATCAGTTTCTTTCGTTAGTAGATGCTCGGCACTTGTGCATATGTCAATGGAATCAGCTTTGTGTGCGGCCGAAGATAGCTGCTGGAAGCATCGGACCAGGATTGGGATGGGAACGTCTTTCGACTCTTCAACCAGACTACGCAGCTTCTTCGCAAAGCGCTTTGCGTCTGTTGATTGTTAGTATGACCGCGTGAACTTGTCGAAGTGTCTTTCGAGTACTTACATNTTCTCGATCGAAGAACCGCCAGAGGACAGAATCGATTGTGGGATACCAGTGAACACTTGAACAGCGATACGAGCCTTGTCCAGATTGTCGCCACTGAGACCGTCATCTGTTGAGNNGCTTGACAATGTCTCCCACAACCGCTTGACCAGCGTGTCGATGGTAGACGATGAACGATGAGAGAGACTTGACAGCTCCTCTTGAGTCAGACGAGCCTCGGACGCTTCCAAAAGCGCATTCATCAGCAAGACTCTACCTGGCGTTGCCGGCAGACCCAAGTCTTTCTGTTTGCTGACAAAATCCGATACGAGCACAGAAAGTTGTTCTAGGTAGGCCTTACTTCGATCCTGCTCTTTGGTATCAATGATGTGTCCAAGAAGGCGCTTACAAATATCCTCGAAAGCATTCAGCTCAGTGTTATTGTAAGACACGCTGGCCAGACCCCATAGCACATCAGGCGCCACCGAGATCTTGGCTGTTGCATTTGGTAGCTCAAGAAGTACTGCAATCAGATCGAGGCCCTGCTGTTTGGCTTGTCCACTGAGCCTTTCTTTGGTCACCGAGGATACAATGACGTCCAAGATCTTCTCGCGCTGTTGGCGAGAGAATCCTTTCAACGGCCACTGCAGAAGAATATCAAGCCACGACCCAGATGCATCGAAACTCTCTATTGTTTCACAGACTACCGTAAAAAGATCGTCTTTGATTGAGAGATCGCTAGCTGCGAACACCGCGTCCAAGAACTCGAGAAGCACAGAGCTCGAGCGCGGAGACACAGAGAAGAAGCTGCTGAATAGGTCTTTGAAGAGCTGGACTCGCTCAGTCGCAGGTATACAAGCAAGAAGTCCTGGGTAACCAGTGAGAACCGTCAAGAAAGCGGCAGGTCGCTGTGAAGCGTAACTACGAGATTTGTCCCCGTCCTGAGAGGGCAAAGCTGCACGACAGAAGAGATGCGCGTAATCGGATTCGTGTCCAGTTAATTGCCTTTGCATATCGCATATGGAGGCGATGAAGACAAACGCAGAATCGACTTCCGACACATTACCAGCAGAGGTGCCAGACTTTAGTTTCGAGCCGCTCTGAATCTTTTCNAGGGCAAACCGTGTGATAGGGCCGTCAAGCAGTGCTGAGTTCCTCATCTGTACCTCTTCGCTCGACTTGGAAGTTGACCAGATTGGGTACCATAGCTGATAGATTCGCGAACATAAACCGATCATATGAGCAGAAAGAAGACCATTGATGTCCGCGGGATGAAGGAAAGCACTCTCCATGGCAGAAAGCAGTGACTCTAGATGAAGCACAAGAGTGTCAATCGTAGCGTCAGTCTTCAAAGCACCGATGATGGCATTGAGCAAGACAATATTTGCAAAGGCCTCGGAACTTGCAACAGAGGACGATGCAACCGACTGAGTCAATGCCCTCTGGCGAGATTCCAATAGCTCTGATATTTGTGCAGATGTCAGAGACGTCTCCAATATGGTTCTCAATGACTCCTCCAAGGACAAGTCTGCCCAGAGAAGCCACTTGGATGTCTTCTTCGAAGATATCTGGATGCTGAGACATAAGGACCACTGATCGAGGAAAGTGGGAAGATTGCGAGTACGAGCATAAGCGTGCATCAGAGGTACCACAATCTTATAGCAGATAGTTCGAGGGTTCTCCCAGTCATCGGCGGAGACCGAGCCTGAGACTGTGGATGCTTTTGCTTCCCCATTACTTGTTAGTGCTTCGAACAATGCCTTGGCCGGAGCAGCGTTGAGGTCTGTGAACATGCTTGCGTTCATGTTGAGAATTTTTGCAACAAGAGGGAAATCAGGAAGAGATGTAGACAAGTTACATCGCTGAGCCAACATCTCACTCAGCACATCGGCATCAAGCACCAAACTCTTGCTTGAGAGCACATCCAACATGTCCTTCAGTTTCTGATTGACGATCGCAGCGTCAGAAGCTTTTGAGGAAGGAGTTATCGTATCCGACAAGGAATTGAATACAAGGTGGATCCAGGGNGCCTCGATTATCCTTTGCTTGGGATTGGCAATGGGCGCACAGCGAACAGCCAGATCTAGTAACAACGGCACGCATCCATATGCATGGGAAAGTTGGTCTTGCTTGACGAGGTCTGAAGCGTCTGCATCGAGAAGAGCGGTGATCTGTGATCGCAAAGACTCCAATCTCTGTACCAAGCCGGGAACCTCTGCTTGTTGGCGTTTNTTNTGTACGACGGCCTTTGAGCTATAAAACGCAACTCTTGCTGGTACGAAAAGATGTGTTGCCAGCAAACGATCGAGAGATCGGATGGCATGTTGTGCATGTTGCTGGGAAGCACCATCTGAAGTCAGGTCCGATTGCAAGAGTTGTAGAAGGAGAGCAGCCGGCCACAAGCACTCGGTGCAGAAGGAGATATCCAGAGGGTCGACTGAAGCGTTGGGTTGCAGGATAGCCAAGTCTTGAATGAGAGCCAATGAAGACGCCACAAGAGAGATGGGAAGGTTTTGCGAGGATCTTAGGTGTAGCAAGGCATAAAGAGTATGCTTGACAAAGCGGACCAGATCTGCGTGATCAAGACGTAAAAGAGCGTGGACGCGATTCTCCGAGGCAGCGTCTGTCGCAGATGGGGACTGGGTCGAACGGGAGATCAAAAGACAGATCGAAGCCGTGATCTGGCCAAAGATGAGAGCAGGATGATCTGACGTCGTGTCATTGGCAGCACTTTGCCTCTTTCTCTTTTTCGAGGAGCGTTTGGCGTCTTCTGTAGTGTTCGGAGCTGGAGACGAGGTGGGTGGGAAGAGTTGAGCGAGAGCGTTCGAGCAGGTGTTGATCGGACTGGCGGCAGACAAGGACTTAGCCAGGGCAGCAGAGGGCATGCGCTCAAGAATACGACGCAGGAGGATCCATGATGGAAGACATTGGCAAGTGTCTGACTGGGCAGAGAGCTTGTCGAGAAGCCAACGCAATACAAAGTCCAGACGGGCAGTATGTGAGAGCGAGGAAGAAGCAGGAGATTCGGGAGCGGATTGGGGATCTAGAGAGATGTCAAGGATTCGAGCAGCTTCTTGAACACGCTCTTCAAAAGAATCAAAGGATTTGTCGAGGGAAAGAAGGCGTTGCAAAGACGACTAGACAGGTCAGTAATTGGGACTGGGCAGGAACAAGGCTTCAAGCACCTTTGAATCGTCGACGGCAGCCATGACCGGCTGGAACAAGTGTGCAGAAAAGTTGACGCTCTTTCCCTCGAATGATGGAATAACTTTGAATTTGCATGTGAAGGTACGAAGGATGGTCCAAGCTCACCACCTGTTGCAGCGGGAAAGCGCGAACGACTCCCGAGCTGGCAAGGGCAGGGCCTCATCGCGACGACGACGACGTACAAGGCTCGACTTCTTTCCTACTGCCCAATACACCAACCCACACAACTCACAATGTCCGACTCTGTTGCCCCTTCATCGCCTCAGGCCCCTGGCTCCCTGCGCTCTAACAGACCCATGAGCGAGGCCCTGCTCAATGAGAAGGCATGCGACCATCTGCCTCAATCAATTGTGCGCCATCCACTGACTCTGCTATGCTAGTGGGACCACTGCTTGAGCACCATGCTCATCCGCTCCACCCTCGGTGCCTCGTTCGGTGTCATCTTCTCCGTCCTCCTCTTCAAGCGTCGCGCATGGCCTGCCTTTGTCGGCTTCGGTTTCGGTGCCGGTAGAGCCTGGGAGGAGTGCGACAACGTACGTCTAGCGATACCTCTGAAAGACGTCTTCTGACCATATACAGNNAGCTTCAAGCGCGCTGCTGCCCCCACCAGAGACGGCCTGAGAACCATGAGACAATAAACGCTTTCGTAAAGCAACCCCCTCTTCTTACGCCTGTGTCTAATCCTCAAAATCGAACCTCTTTCCTACTCCTCATCATCGTGTAAAATCAGTTCAACAACTTCGTCGCAAATCTCGTTGGCATTGTTATGACCTAAAGGACCTAAGAAACACTGTCCAGACTTCTCGATTCCCTTGGGAACCAGTATAACTATGTAGGCTTTTACTCCTGAAACCCTTTCAAACCAATCCAGTTCGGTCTCTTTGCTTCTGCCGCCCAGCTCTTAGAACACTCTCTATCGAAGCCGTTTCGGTTGTCGCTTACTGTGCTCTGCCAACCTCGTGCGCCTCGAGTTCTGCCAATGGTGACTCTTGTGCAGTGTTTCCGCCTCCATATCTTGGCTGAGGGAGGCTAGATGGTGGCTGACCGCTAGCAGAATAGGCCGAGGATGGGGTATACGGCGTGTAAGCGACATAGTGCGATGACGGTGCTCTAGGTGTGCCCATGCCAGGAGTAGCCATCCACAGCGATGAGTTGGATGGAGTTGGGCTCGTTATGGCGATGCTGGGAGACGACCAAGGAGAAGCGTTGGCTGGTGCCTCTGCTGCTCCTCGAACATCTTCTGGTGAATAGGGTTGAGCACCGGGAAGATTGTGATTTGCGACACTGTGAGCGTGTGTAGATCCAGATGTGTCGTCAGCTGAGCCATGTGACTGCTCTTCCAGCTCTGCTGGTCCTTGTGAGTTTGGCAATGCATTGGCCACATCGTGTTGACTGTCGGTGTGCTCCGCAATGCTGTGTTCCCCNTTCCCTGAACCGAGAGAGTAACCAGCCTTGTTTGACTTCTCCCTTGACATTCTTCCTGCGCCAGATCTGCGACGCTTCCAACACTTCCAGAAGATGAAAAGAAGTGCCAGTAAGATTATTGAGCCAGCAGCCGCTCCAATGATGACACCGATGATGAGTCCACGAGAGTTGGCTATGGAACTGCTTGAAGCTGATTCGCATGTAGAGGTGTTCATGGCCATTCTCGGAGATTGTGAGGTTGACAGCGAAGATGGCGATGGAGCCGATGACTCAGGCGCCACCGTTGATGAAGGCAAAGGGTCGTTAGAGGAATTAGTCTCTGTTGGTCGTGAATCGGGTGTAGGCGCAGCCGAAGGTGTAGCAGAACCTCCCGTAGGTGCAAAGATGGAACTCTCTGTCGCGGTGTCGGTGTAAGTGGTAGTCAACTTCTGGGTGCCGCAGCTGAATACGTAGTTGTTGTGTCGGTATGCCTTGACACAGAAAGGAAGGCTAGGCTCGGAGCTANNGATTTGACGGGTCAGTGTCTTGAACATATGGCGGCATATCAGTATGTATCAGTATGCTCACCAGTAGACGCATCCTCCGGTAACATAGTCGCAAGAGGCTGTGATGCCCGATGTATAATCAATACATTCTGGGCGAGGAGCACAGGTGGTGCCGATAGCAGTGCAGCAGCCGATGTATCTGCATATCTCAATCAGTAGTCAAGAACACACGGTAAGGAGAAAGCGCGCGTACCCATCACTGCCAGAGATGCAAGCAGCTGGTTGGTAACAGTAGACTAGATGATGGTAAGTTACTACAGACAGAGAAGTTGATACAGCAGTTGACATACACTTGCTACTCGAATCACAAAACGTTCTGATGTCGCGCTTCTGGACCAACAGGCCAACCTGTGAATGCCAGGGGTCTGCATGAACTGGACAGGATGGTGTCCTTGTGATCTGCCCCAATACATTGGTAGCAATAAACAGCCAGAAGAGAAGAAGACGTATGAAAGTCATGTTGGTGGCGTGACAGCAATGCAATAATATGATCTGGTCTTGTGTGTGTTGCGCGAAAAGTAGAGGCTGAGAAAGGACTGCGTTTGTTGTGGATAGTGCGGACTTGAGAAATTCGTCGGAAGCATACAAACGCCTGAGTGCAAACAAACGATACTCTCGACAGTTCTCTTACGATCGTGACAAAGTTTTGGAAACGCGCCTTACCATTGTACCTAAGTTGCCCGTCTGCTCAATAGCCTTGCCTGTTTGATTGCCCTCCATCTCTTGATATGTCTTGGAAGGACTTCACATACTACTTTGTACATCACACTGCAGAAAGTACTACCACTTTACCTTGATTTCTTAGAAACAACGTATGGATGTTCTGAAGAAATGAGGCTCTTGTCAGACGAAGTTTTGCCGTGTTTCTACCTCGTGCACTACGCCAGCAAGTCGGATTCTGTGTAGAGCGGATGACCAAATCACCAAAATCAATACCTATGTCTGTAGCCCAGAGTTGTTGCTATGCGAAGAACCACAGGTGACTTTGTTGAACTCTGTTGAACCTGAGCGGCTTTGGATACGACGAGAAGGATGGAGATGCTTCGAGGTTACTGTTAATTGCTTCTCCTCTGTTTGAACACAACAACTCCTCAGAGTCCAGGAGTCGAACAGAGGTGGTCGTTTGAAGATCAAGGGATGACGGATACAGACAGAAATGACCATCAGCAAAAGACGTTCTCGCGGTCATTTGGCCTGGGCCGAAACGCTTGGCTCGCTCAGGGCAAGATTCGACTAAGGGAACTTAAGAAGGGACAAGTGTGGAGCGGGCGCAGACTGTCCAGTGCCTCGTGCAGACCTAGACGCATGACGAAGACGGCAGACTCGGAACATCCTTTGATTGTTATGTTGTGTGTTGGGTTTCGTGCATGCCGCCTGTGATTTATCGTACAAGGAGCGGTGGGAAGTCAGACCGCGCAGCTGAGACATTTTGCGCTTGTTGACAGGAGAGACTCGTGGACAAAAGCGCATGTGCCGATGATCCCTGCGGTGAAGAGTTTACCTCATATCCCACGTTGCAGCTGTTCACACATAAGCGAAGACGGCCACCCGCTTACACAGCACCACAGGAGGTGAGAATCTTCGCGTGCCTGCAGCCGACGACGAACAGGACCTTTTCCTCTGTGCAGAGAGTGTCCAATCCTCAGAGACACATCTCGGCAGGGCGCAGACGAGCGATCCGAAAGCAAACGGTCGTAACCCACCCACGTCACACGTTATGGAGCAAGTGGAACTCGGAACGCGCGACGGCGACCAGCTGAAGTCTGTTGATACCATGGACAACAAAACTGTGCAACCACGCCCGGATGCGCCGCGGCGAACCACGCATCCTGCCGCCGTATTGAAGAAGCCGCCGGTGCCTGCTGCCGTCAACAGCGACTCTCCCACCTTTTCTCGTCCCAGCATCAACGATCACAACGATCACAACAACAGCACCCCCGCCAGCTACAGTTCCAACAGCCTGCCCTTGCGACCGCGCAACCAGGTTCCCTACACAAGGCCCCATCTACGCTCCCGATCGCACGCTTCGGCCCTTGCTCCTCCCATGGCGCCGCGAGCACATTCACTACCGTCGGTGCATTCGGCCGGCCACCAATATCCTTCTTCTCCTTCGGCATCCCCTTTGCTACGCCCGTCAAGCCCAATGTCCTCCTTGTCTCCGCGCCAGCCATACTCGCCAAACTTGCGACCGACCTCTCCCTTTCGTCCTCGCTCTCCTTTGCCCTTGGACGAAGCGACCTATGGCCAACAATCCTCCTATGACGGAGCCTTTCAAAGCATTTCCGAGGATGCCGAGCTCAACATAACCCCACGTTCTCACCTCGACAACCCATCACATACTGCTCCATTTGGACGTTCGCTATCCCTGCGCCGACAACGGCCATCTTCTCCTCTGCACTCGCTCACTCCCTCGGCTGCCACGCCCCGTTCGGCATCTGCTACATCTTCACCCTCGGTTGCTACGACTCGCTTCAACGATCACTTTCCCCCGCTACATCACTACTCCAGCAATTCTTCTTTTTCAAGCATCTCTACCACACCTTCGTCTGCTCGCTCGCGATCTCCCAGTATCTCATCTCTTGAAACCATTGAAGACAACCCGGATCTGGAATGGGAAGCCATCGAGGCCGACCGAGCGGCCAAGCAACGCGCTGCAGCAGAAGCCGAGGAGCAAGGCGATGACAGCGAGCCCCGCAGAAGAGGCAGTCTAGATATCCCCGGTCACAGAAGTGTTGGCTTTGGCTTCGGCAGAAGGGGAGGAGATCCAGGGCGAAAGAGATGGAGTATATGTGGTGGAGAGAGGACCCATGACCTAGACCTGGAGACCATCTGGGAAGATTGACGAGATAGCCACCATCTCTAGCGACGTTCTGGTTCGATGATTCTTGATTAGCGTGCTTCCTATTGCTTCTTTCTTGTTTGACTCTTTTTTCTTTTCACGCTACATGGAGGAACCCAGGTTTTCGGTTCGGTGGAAAGGTACAAGACTGTTGAGTTTGTCTATTCTTCGTTTCACGCTACGATACCCCTATCACGACTCCGGTCTAGGTAGACATATATGCATTAATGCCTCTGTTATGCTTTTTACACCGATCTTTCTCAAACATTTTGTTCCAGGTTCGACTTAATGCGAGAGTTCCAATCAGCACGCACGAGCTACATCCCAGATTACGACCACGAAATGCTATACTTTTATCAGTACTTTTGGTTTGCAGGTTATGAATGGGAATCAAACTTACGCAATCATGATACCAGCACCAGCAGCAATAGCCACCAGCTGAGTAACAATCTTCTTGATTTCAGCGACCTTGTTGGGGCCAGTCTCCATGAGCTCAGGAACAACACTCATGCCTACAAACATAAAGGTGCCTGCAGTCCAGGGCAACAAGAGATCGCCCCAGTGGAGACTGGTACCAAAGAGTCCGGGAGTAGAAATGGCATCAGCGCTGTTGCCGCCGTATTCTTGGACTGCGATGCCCATGAGGGCACCTGTGAGGGCACCTGCTGCGGTTAAGAATTGTGCGCCTATGGCTGCACGCTTGGAGAATCCGGATTGGATGAGAAGGGCAAAGTCGCCGACCTCGTGAGGGACCTGTGGTCGATTAGCCAGGGTTGTCAGAAGTTGGAGGCGAAAACTGACCTCGTGGAAAAAGACTGCGGTGGTTGTCAGTGCTCCGACTGTGGGGGAAGCATAGAACGAAGATGCCATGGCAAGACCATCGGTGATGTTGTGAGTGAAATCGGCAATGATGTTCAAGTAACCTCTGTTGGAGCTTGGTCCACTTTCCTGCTGCTGTACAGGCACAACACTCTTGGTGCCTGCCTTCTCGCTGTTACGTTGACGCAGACCATCGGATTGTGCACCACTGTCGCAGCCAGATGCTTTGGCAGAAGCAGCTGCCTTGTCGCCTCCTTCAGTCTTACCATGAGCATGACCGTGACCCTCATCGCCTCCAGAAGCAATACGAATAGCCTTGTCAAGAATGACGAAACTGACAAAGCCAACCATGATGGCAATGCCGAGCAGAATGTTCTTGTTGCCGTCGGCAACCACTAGAGTCACATGCTCTGGGCTGTCTTCGCCAACAAAGATTTCGGGGAGGAGATGGAAGAGAGTATCGCCCATGAGTCCTCCAAAAGCAAAGGCAACCATGGTGTTCAAAGATGCCGGGTCAATGTCTGAAGGGCACAGAGCCAGCAAGAAGTTGGGAGGTCCAGAGATGTAGAGAACGCTNCCTGCGAAATCATCAGTATATGCTTAATCAGCTCGAATGTGAAAATCGAACAAAAGTGTGTTGACGGCGGGTGATCCTGGGAACAATACGGCGAATGCTCTAGCTGTGAAGCCCGTAGCAGCTTCGTGTGCTGTTGAAGCCTTGTGGGCATTGAGAGACTGAACGAGAGGACATTGCNNTAATGGAATGAGTACGATGTTTCAGAACAGACATCTAGTATCGGACAAGAATGGACCAACCTGGATTTGTTCTTCGATCTCTGCAGATGAGAGGCCTCCAACAGGTATCTTCTCAGATTGTGCAGCAATGATCTGGCATAATACTACGAGGACAACCAACAAGGTGGCATACACACGGTTCATGACGGCCATTTTCTGCGTTTCTATCCCACAAGTTTTTCTTGTAAGTTGAATGTTCAAGTTGTTACTTGGACTCTACTTGGACTCGAAGGGGAAGGCACGAGGTGGTGCGATAAGATAAGGAAAGAGTGCAAACATGGGGAAGCCGCGAAGGTGTTTGCATCCAAATTTTCGGAGTCTGACTTTCTCTGGATGGCGGTTTGTCGCCAACATTTTTCCCAGACAACCATACAGACAAATCAGACAAGATGGGTCGCGAATTGCAAAAGAAGAAAAACCGCTCGTCGACGTCCAAAGTGACTCAAAAGGCAAAGTCGAAGAGAAAGTTGTTGCAGAACCCCATCATTGCAGCCAACTGGTAAGCCCACCGCAATGCGCTTTTGCACGCGCAAGAACTGAAGGTACATCAGGNNAACCAAAAAGAGACGCTCAGCCAAAACTACCGCCGCCTCGGACTGGTTTCCAAGTTGAACCACCCCACTGGTGGTGTTGAAAAGACGTCCAAGACATTAGTCGAAGCCGCCAATGGCCTTGCACCCGAGCCCACGCCCGACAACCTCAACATCAGCACAAAGTTGCCTACCACCATCAACATCTCAGAAGTAAAGATCAGAAGAGACCCCGAGACTGGTGCCATTCTGGAAGTCTTGGACCAGAGAAAAGCAAACCCGCTGAACGACCCTTTAAACGACATTGAGGACAGCGACGATGAGGGCTGGCAAGGATTTGTGAACGAGCACGGTGTTCTGGATGGAGCAAGACAGGGAGGTGATGCAAGAACCGATGTGGTTCGCCAACTCGAGGAACAAGCCGCACGTCCAATCAAGAAGGCTCCCAGAAAGCAGAGCGATCGCGAAGAAGAATGGATCGAGCGACTGGTCCAGAAGCACGGCGACGACTACCTCGCCATGGCTCGCGACATGAAGCTCAACCCTTTCCAGCAGAGTGTTGGTGACCTCAAGAAGAGAGTCAAGAAGTGGAATGCCAAGCAACAGTCATAAGGTCGTAGACTGGGTGCTCTCTTTGATATGCATAGCGAAGGTGTTGGTTGGCAGGCACTGGATCAACATTTTACACACTTTCTTCTACGAGACATTTGGACAGTTCGTTATTGAGTACGGTACAAGAATCAAAAGGTCGTTATTCGATTTCAGGCTTAAGCACCCTTTCCACCTCTCTCGTCCTGCATTCCAATGACAACGTCTGGAGCCTCGGGGTTCTCCTTCTTTGCCTTTGCGGTGCTGTTGTTCGAGTCCCTGTGCTGGGTAGCAGTGCCGCCCTCGTCGTGGCTCTTGGCCCTACAAGCGCATGGTTGTCAGTACAGGTGTCGAGTTAAGTAAGGTGGGGAGAATAGATACTTCTGGCCCTCAGCGGCATTGGCGCTTTGAACGTCCAGTTTGTCCTTCTTGTTGGTGGCGTGCTCACTGTCGGGATATGCTTCGGTTGCAACGCTGTCGTCGGTACTGAGCTTACCACCGCTGCTGTAACGACATGTCGACGAAACGAAGGTGCGGCGAGGAGATGCTGGTACAAGGCGAGACTGTCTCAAGGTGCTAAGGCGGGCAGTGCGGCGGTAGAAGGTCAGGAACTCTGAAGGTGAAGCCATGATGGAGTTTGAGATATTAGCTTGTCGTGTGATAGGAATTGAAGAGAAGAGCAGTTGTGTTTGTGCAGAAGATGATGAGCCAGTGACCTCTGATGCAAATGATCATGCTGGTACTCGGTTACGTCAGAGAATGCCAAGCTTCAAGCATGACTACGAACTCATGACCAGCGACGGTGCGGGGACGAAAAAGACAAACATCGTCTCTGTCACACTCATCATGGCCACGGCTGACGAGTTTCCGTGCATCCTGTGAGCTTCACCATCTCAGGCGCGCCTACGGAACGAACTGCGAAGCTCATGCGCATGGCGTAGAACAATCGACACTCCCTTCCCTACCCACCGCCTGGCCAGCGCTGCCATCCGCTCTCTCTCGGTCGATCAGGAACTCTCTCCTCTGGTCCGTCGCGACTTTTCACTTCACCCTCCGTCAGATGCTCCTCCGAACGCAGTAGAGGGCGACCCTCTTCGCGCTTCTCTCTTGACCAATGCCGCCCCAACCACTTCGCTAGACGCTCTTCAGTCGAAACAGCCTACGTCTGATCAAGAAGATGCCACAGTCCTTCGCACTGTATACCGCGCAACTACCAATCGCATGCTTCGTGTCTCTGTGAATGGGTTCTTTGAGAGTCTCAACGTTGTCTTGCAGGTCATGCAGGAACTAGACGTTGATGTTCTCCAAGACAAAGGCCTCGAAGACCTTGAAGGTGCGCAGGGTGTCGAGCAAGGAATGATTGGAACCACAAAGACCGGTGCTTGAGCAAACCATGTCTGTGCTATGTGTTTTACAAAGACCAACAGGCATTCTATAATGCGGTGGTTTCCTCGACAGATGCGCCTGTCTGAGTCAAAGACTAACGCTTATGAGACTGAGGACAGGCAATGGCGCCCCAAAGTCACTTGGATCATGGAGTCGCCATGCTGAATGGAAAAAAGTTCATCACTCCATCTGCGCGAGTAAAAGACGGTCGAGGCTTGTTGACTTTCTGGCTTGCAATGGGAGAACCTGTTTTTGAAGATATGAGTAGATCATCATATCGCATCGAAACAATACTAGATGAACAGAACATCAATTTCTATTCTCACAACGAACGCACAATCAGTGCCTCAAGATTTAACCGAACCTTGTTGTTATGGCGATCATGTAGGAGGCCTGAATATGCCTTGTAACAATTTGCAGTTGGAAAGTGAGGTTCTGTTGGTTATTCGGCCATACCAAGTCTTCTGCGTTGTTTGCTGTCGTAATGATCAATTTTTGAGTCAAGATCGATAGCTGCATGGAATTGAGTTGTTAAACTACGGTTATCTTTCCCGTGCATACGTGCCGAACAGGCAGATCGTCATGACATCCAGGCTATTCGTATTTGACACTCTCTTGAGCCTTGACTTATGTTCCTACACTGTCGTGTTTCATCCCATCAATAATGCAGCTGCGACAATCAGGATACTGGGCCTCATTTGTGTTGTCAAGCCTGACCATCGTTCACGGTCAAGGACTGTTTGACCCGAGAGAGGCCACAATAGCTTCTGTTCACAATGCACTGTACTCTGGCGAAAGCTGTCGCAACATCGTATCTGCGTTTTTATCACGTATCGAAGCTTTGGATCACGAAAATGTCAACTCTATAATATCTCTGGATCCGGAGTCTCTTGCAATTGCATCACAAAAAGATGCACTGTTCGCTTCCAAANATGCCATCGAAGGCCCACTGTTCTGTGTACCCGTGCTCCTGAAGGACAATCTTGACACTGCATCTCTGCCAACTACCAGCGGAAGCTTAGCTTTGGCTGACTCGAGGCCTTCGGTCGATGCTGCGGTCGTCAAGGCGCTCAAAGATGCAGGTGCCATCATACTGGGTAAAACTAATCTCCAAGAACTCGCCTTGGAAGGGATATCCGTCTCCTCTCTTGGCGGTCAGACGGTCAATCCCTACGATGCCGACCGAACTCCGGGCGGATCATCTGGAGGTAGCGGTGCTAGTGTTGCTGCATCATTTGCTGTGCTCTCTCTGGGTACAGATACGATAAACAGTGTGCGTAGTCCGGCAAGCGCAAACAGCCTTTTCGGACTACGTCCGACCAGAGGCCTCGTATCGAGAGCTGGTGTGGTCCCAAACTCACACACACAAGACGCTGTTGGACCCATCGCACGATGCGTTGAGGATCTCGCTATCGCTCTTTCGGCAATTGCAAGTAAGCAGCTGGACCCTGAAGACAACAGTACTGCACTTGTACCTGAGGGTATTCGCGGCACGGATTACTACAGCGATCTTGCGTCCAACTCTCTGAGTGGTAAGACGATTGGAGTTCTCGAAACCTTCTTTGATCGCACCTCGACCAACGAGACCGAGCCTGTGAATAACGCAATGGATGCAACGATCGTGCGACTGCAAGAAGCCGGCGCCACTGTTGTACCTATCGATGACCCCAAGTATAATGTATATTCTATACTCGCCTCCTGTGAGACTCAAATATTCGAGTTAAGGCAAGAGATAGACCAGTACCTTGCAAGAGCAAGCCTCAAGGGTCAACACCCTGCGAGTCTCGAAGATCTCTATCGCGAAGGTAGTTCCTATCTTGTGCTGCCTCAGCAGTACGAGTTTGTCAAGGCTGTACTCAGGGGTAGTACACAAGACCTCGAGTATGAGGTGGTCATGAAGAACATCCAAGATCTAACCATGCATCTGCATGAAACGTTCAAAACAAACCATTTGGATGCAATCATCTACCCACAGCAAAAGAACCTTCCCGTGAGGATTGGAGCCGCATCTCAACATGGACGCAATGGAATACTGGCCGGAGTGACTGGGTTTCCTTCATTGGCACTTCCCGCGGGCTTTAGTCCAGCTACCGACTCAGCCCCAGTCGGCATCCCTGTCGGTCTCGAGCTGATGGGATTACCATGGACAGAAGCCAAACTGCTACAGATTGCACACGGGATTCAAGCTCTGACGCAGATCAGAAAGCCACCAGTGTGGGCTAATCGGCACATACCTATTCGAGACTATGCAGCTGTACCCAGCATTACGCCAAAGGATAGCAACAGCATCCCGTCGGTCTATGCACTTGGAGTTCTGTTGTAAATAGATAGCACAACGTTCCTGCTTCGGCAAAGCACATCCGCGCAAACCAATAGACTTGTCGAGAATATCTAGAGACAGAGCCTGTTTGGGGTACAGTATCTAGACAGGTCGGCCTATCAGCAGTTCAGCGGCTGTAGCGCTCTCACTAGACAAGATTGGCGCGTCGTATGAATCGTACGTTTGAACAAGTCCTCAAGAACACTGTAAGATCTACAATTCACCGCAAGTCTTCTCGAGTGTGCACTCGGGGTTTCAGCACCTCACATACATGGTGCACTCAAGTCACGAGTACATGCACGCAACATGTGAAAGCTGGCTCGAGCTTGAGTTGGTTGTATCTGTGTACTCGAGTTGGCCCCAAAGAGTGCTTGCGCCATGCTAAGCATGCAGCTCGCAGATGCGAGTCAAAGGACCACGCAGGTGCCGCGGAAGCAAGTGCTCGGCCATGACTTCGAGTCTCGAAACCAAAGAAGCCGACTTACAGTCTTCGAGAAGCAGAGATCGGATGGATGGAAGCTCACTGAATCGGACCCGAAACATCTTGCGTGAGAATTTGCCTCTGCGACTCAGGAACCAGACATTCGAGGCCGCAGAAACTTTGCTCGTCGGAGAATCGCTGTGGTTTGATTGTGGGGCCTGTCGATCAGCTGTAGCCTGTGGGGAAGGGTCCTATCCTGAAACAAACACTGACTGGTCGGTTGACGCGCGGAGAGGGTCTGGCTTGTCTGTGTGCAGCAGATGTGGATGTGCTTGCGGATAGATGCCAGAGTAACAGGTAGAGAGCGAACTCCAGGAATAGACAATGACATAACCAACCTGGATAGCAGGTAGTCGGTACAACAGGCTTGGACAGTTGCCATAGTTCGCGATTGCAAACGGCCTCACTATTGAGAGGGAGTGACGCGATTGGCAACGCGGTATCATGGCAACAAGATAACACACAAGACAGGAACGTATGGCCTGAGAGNCGCTGGGTCTGTCGTGGTGCATACGTAGATACAGTGGTGGAATCGTTAGCGGCACTGCTCGTACTGCCGGTCCAAGCTGGGNNAAGCAAGGCAGGCAGCGAGCAGCCAAAATATATTGGTATTTTATTGCCCGGCAACGATCCAGAGTGACCGGGGCGTTCCCGAGTCGCCGTCATTCGCTGCCCACCTGTTCGATAGTGTGTGCAATCTACGATAGGCAATCTGCGGGCAGAGACATGGCGACAACAGAGAATCACCACGTTCGTATCATCAAGTGCACCGTTCGGGCGTCGCGTGGGAACAGAGAGCACAGTTTGGCCCTGGTTGTTATTATGGCATGCGAAATGGGACCTCTGGGATTTGGGAAACGGTTCACTCGCAACGCTCTCGTAAAACGCTTCGATTATTTCTGCTCTAGCGTTTTGGCCCGAGCGCAGCAACGCAGCCAAGGCCGAGCGAGCCTGAGCCTGCGACCAACTTGGTACATGCATCTGCATCCTCCAGGCTTCGCTCTTCTCTTTGCTCCTCTCTCTTCCCGCGACCCCTCCTCCTCGACCTCTGTTCATCGACCTCTCCCTGTGGGATCTTCTCGGACGGCTTTTTGCAAGTTGTCTGTAGTCGAAACTACGTCCATTCCTTTTTAATTCGAGATACTGCTTGCTTTGATTATTTGTTGTTTGCACACCTTCCTTCTTCCGTAGCAAAGTGATTTAGCTCTGTGAGCGTCCCATGTTTCTAGTTTGGTATCTTGAACAACGACCCTCTACTATTCTGTCGCGTACGCTAACATTGTTCCCAGATTAATATCCTTTTATTCCTGTCGGCTTTCTGGCGACATCATAGCGACATCGTCGTACACGCGCAAACACATACAACTCACCTCACCATCTTACCCTCACTTTAATATCACCACCACACCTTCACCTCTTTGGATGCTATGGCCACGACAATGACCTTCCACATGAGCGACCAGCACTACAGATCCGCCAACATGGATTCAGAACCCTTGCAGCTCGTGCCAGACTTTGTCTTTCCTCCTCGACCCACCACAGAGCATTCCGCCATGTCAAATCCTAGACGACCAGCCTCGATGAACCTGGTCCCCTCTTCATACCACGGCCGTTCTCGGTCAATGCGACAATCCACATCGGCGCTGCCAACCTTCAGCTTCAACTCATCTGACACTTCTGGTCGTCTAGACAACCAACCTTCATCACCCACAACTCTGACGCCTCCTACCAGCCCTCCAAAGAGTGCAGGACACCGTAGAGGGGCGAGTGAATTGGTTGGCGGAGACAGTCGAATGGGTTTAATGCTAGGACCTAGCCCTTCAAAACATCTTGGTACTCTGCCTGTGCCTGATCTCAGTGGCTCGCCATCTCGAAGACATGGACACGCTCACCGCAGATCAACTGCCATCTCTGGTCATGATCTAGCCAGCATCCTCCAGCCAAGAGACGCCAATGTACGACCTCAGAGCGCCATTCCACAAACGCCTACCGAGCCCATCTCTCAATCACAATATCCTTCCCCTGCCAAATCAGTGGCCGAGGAACGCAAGTCTAGCGAAAGTGTCATGACCGTGCTTTCTGCTCCTGGATCTATTGCGGAAGAGCCTATCACACGGCCACCTTCTAGGCCCCGTGTGGGTTTCTCGGAAAAGATTGAATTCATCCCTCGACCACTTTCCACTGTCTCTGCCGACACTACCAGCTCTGCATCGACTGTGCGTGGTCACTCCGTTGGAAACAGCATGTCTTCACTCATCAGCCTTGGTGGTATTGGAAATCCCTCTCCTAGAAGGACAATGATTACGATACCTGATCTTGCTTCTGAGGTCTCGCCCCGATCGATCCCGGCTATCGCACCTGAATCCATGATCAAAGTCGAGCCGCCTGTTCAAAGATCTCCTCCTACCTTCAACCTTTCTAGCAACAGCCTGACCTTCGCTGCGGAAGCTGCCAGCGATGCTCCTCAACTTTCCAAGAAGAAGACGTTCCTGAAGCTCGACCGCCGTCGCAGTGAGCCTTTGATCTCTCTGACAGCATCAGCGGACATTGGAACATCGACCATTTCTCTGCAAGAGCCTGTCGTTTGTGATGATTCTCAAATCCCTGCGAGAAGACCTGAAGCTGCTGATCAGGGTCTGCATCGAGAGTCCTCGAGAAAGAGGGTCAAGAAGTGGGCAAACTCGATCCTTGGCCGTAGAGCCAAAGATGCAAAGAAGGCAAAACAAGCAGCCGATGCTTCAGAGGAGAGTGAGAACGGCGAACAGACTCCTGATCTGGGACCTCAATTATCAGAGCCCTTCGGAGAAGAGCCTGATCTCGATGCTTTGTTTGGTCAAGATCCCTTTACTGATGCCGACGATTTCACAAGCCCCTCAATCCTCTCGCCTCGTTCAGAAATGTCGGATTCATTCTTCCCCTTCCTTTCGCCTTCGTCACCAGGAAACGAGGACACGAGTCCCGTCATCGATCTGGATGCCGCTCTTGGACCTTACGGAACACCTACTATGAGCTGGGAAGAATCACGCCCTATCACGAAGAGAAGGCAACTCCACAGCAGTCGCTTGACTAGAGATTTCACTGGACCAGGAATGCACTACCACCGTAGAACCGAAAGTGCCCCTGCTTTGGTTCCCTTTGAATTCGCTGGTAGAGCCAGCTCTCCAGGACAATCGCCAATGGACGACGTTTTCGAAGAAGAGGAAGACGAATCACCCACTCATGTTGTCAAAGAATCGAGCATTGGCGACGCATCCAGCCAGCCAGACGAAGAGCTCGGCACTGGTATTCAGGTTGTCGATGCCGCCAACTCGCAGCTTGAACCAAACTTTGACTGGAGCTTCGAAGATGGTCTTGGAATCGAGTCGCAAGGCTCGTTGAGAAGTGCTCAGGCTTGTGATTATCCCCAGCGTCAATCTACCCCGCCACGCACATCGGTGGTTGAAGACACCATTATTGAGGAGCCGACATTGCTTGAAACTGTGGCAGACGACGAGGAGCCTCGAACTTCATCTGTCACAAAATCTTCAGATTCTAGTGGTGCTCGCACTATCTCGGCAGAGTATACTGGTCTTGGTCTTCCTGCTTCAAACAATGCTCCTTTGACACCCACATCCAACGTCGCTTCGACCTTCTCGTCTCCTGATCTTGCGCGCAATCAAGGATCATTTGACGCTCTTCGACTTGGTACATCGGCATCTTCAATCGCCGACACTCGTACCATGAGCTCATTCACTACTGCAGAGCCAACCNCCGAGCCATACATGTCAGCCGATGATGTTCCTTCCTTGACTAGCAGTCGTTCGACCATGATCAGTACCATGTACCAGACTAGCCCTCGTCGTGAAACCATGGAACGACCTGTGTCAGTTGCATGTGGCAACGGTCAAGCAGACATGCAAGCTTCTGAACGCCGTCGCAAGCGTTCGAGTATTCAAAGCTTGAGCATGCTCCTAGGCGGTCCTTTCGGTGAGAGCAGACACAGTCTCAGGAGCGAACAGCGTCCTCAGACGGCCATCCCACCATCCGCCCACCAGGACAGCAAGAGGAAGAAGGAGCATCGTCTGAGTAAGCTGATGTTCTGGAGATCCAAAAGCGATTCACGTACCAACCCTTTCCAAACCAAGTGAAAACTATGGCAGAGATCTGGGCACGATTTTCATTTTCTTTTCTTTCTTTATTCTACAACACCCTTTTCCTTCGTTTCTACTCGCATGTTGCAGGAGCCGGTCTGGCGTCCATGCTATGGTGCATGAAAGATTCTAAACGTCATGCGGCGCAACTTCTAGGAGTACCTTGCTTTTTTATGGGTTTTATTTTCGGAGCGGCACAACAAGGATGGCAGGAGATGCGGGAAGGCTGGGATGATTTTCGATTATGGCTGTGCAAGCGCACAGTGGTGGGGAAGATGGCACAAGCGAAATTAGAGATTAGCATAGAAAGAGAAATGTCAATGACGGCTTTCACGCCGAGCCCACACGAGCACCCAAGGACGCGCACCACTGTCGGAGAACTTGCAGGTCAACATATGCGGGAAGTGACGATCGAAGCCGCCGAGGATTGCTGATCACACTGTAAGGTGGTGGCGTTTCAGATGCAGCGGGAGCGTAATTTCAGTCATCTCCTGGGTTCTGGGGGGAATACGGGGAGGCACGTTGTGGCGATTCGAGCGACTGGCGGTCCGGACTTACTACAGAGAGTGGATAACAATAAAACAAGACCTGTTGTTCTCAGAACAGTCAATTGCCTGTACAGACAGTTGTTGCAGCAGTGCTGGAGTCGAGTTGCTCGCAGGGATGATCAACTGCTTGCCTTGTCAAAACAGACTCAGGCGATCAAACAGGCACATTCAACGAAAGTCTTGGACTCTTGGTAGGGGTGTCCGCGGATCAAACGAACAACAGCGGCTGAGGCTTGACCCGTGCTTCATCACCAGCGTAGAAATGCTGGGCCAAACAAAACCCACTCATCATCCCCTGCTTGCCGTCGTTCCATCATCTTTCCTGCCACTCTCGTTGTGCAGTCTGCTTAATTCGCCTTTTTAATACTCGACTTCTTGAACACTCTTCCCGTCACTCTTTTACCGGGAACTTTTTCTCTTGTGTCTTACTAGACCCCTTTGTCGACGTTTTAACTTGATATCTTCCACTTCTCATATTTGCACAATGAAGGCTTCATTCGCTGCTGCTTGGCTCGCCTTGGGCTCCCTGGCCGTTGCCTCTCCTACTCTCGAGGCCAGAGCCACTAGCACTTCTTCTGGCAGTCTCCCTACCGTTACCGTCAAGGGCAATGCCTTCTTCGCTGGTAACGACCGCTTCTACATTCGTGGTGTCGACTACCAACCCGGTGGCTCGTCTGACGCCAAGGACCCTCTCGCTGATGAGGATGGCTGCACAAGAGACATCAAGTACTTCAAGCAGCTCGGTATCAACACCATTCGTGTCTACACTGTCGACAACACTGCCAGCCACGACACCTGCATGAACGCCCTTGCCGCTGCTGGTATCTACGTTGCTCTTGATGTCAACACTCCTCTCTACTCCATCAACCGCGACAAGCCCGCCATCTCGTACAACGCCGTCTACTTGCAGAGTCTCTTCGCCACTGTTGACGCCTTTGCTAACTACACCAACACTCTTCTTTTCTTCTCCGGTAACGAGGTCATCAACGATGGCAACACCACCGACTGCGCTCCTTACATCAAGGCTGTCACTCGTGACCTCAAGCAGTACCGCAACAACAGAGGCTACCGTGCCATCCCTATTGGTTACTCGGCTGCCGATGTTAGCGAAAACCGTTACGAGACTGCCCAATACATGAACTGCGGTACCGACGACCAGCGCAGCGACTTCTTCGCCTTCAACGACTACTCGTGGTGCGACCCCTCGTCTTTCACTCAGTCTGGCTGGGACCAGAAGGTCCAGACCTACAGCAACTACAGTCTGCCCCTTTTCCTCTCCGAATACGGCTGCAACAAGGGCACTCGCAAGTTCGAGGAGGTTTCTGCTCTCTACAACCAGGAGATGACTGGCGTTTACAGCGGTGGTCTCGTGTACGAGTACTCTGAGGAGGGTTCTGACTACGGCCTCGTCACCATCTCCGGTTCCACCGTTACCCCCAACGATGATTTCACCTACCTCCAGGCTGCTTTCTCCAACAACACCGCTCCTTCCGGCGACGGTGGTTACCACTCTGACAACACTGCTTCCACCTGCCCTCCCGCTAGCAACACCTGGAACACTGGTGACTTCACTGGTGAGGACCTCCCTGCCATTCCCAGCGATGCCAAGAAGTACATGACTTCTGGTGCTGGAGAGGGCCCCGGTCTTGCTGGTCCCGGTTCCCAGGATGCCGGCACTGACAACGTTGCCACTGCTTCTGCTGGCAGCGGTTCCGCTACTCGCACCGCCTCTGGCTCTGCTTCCACTGGTTCCGGTGCTAGCGGTAGCGCTACCCACACTGGTGCCGCCTCGCGCGTCAACATGGGCGAGGTTTCCTTCGCTCCCCTGGTCATGACCGGTCTCGTCGCCCTTTCCACTCTGTTGGGCGCCACTCTTCTTTAAGCAGATCCTTCCATTTGTTTTTTTTCCTTCTGTTTTGCCCTCATCTGCATTCCCCGGTGTTTTGGGTCACCATGCGTCTTCTATCTTGTTTCTAGAAACATTCGAGGCTCGATTAGCCAGTAAAGAGACTTGAGAGTCTGGATATTTGTATCACTGGAGTCTGATTATTTCTCGTATATACATTTGACAAAATTCTTATTTTATACACATTTCACCTTATTCTTTCGAGAGTGACCCTCTGAAGTTCAATTCGATCCCGCTATAAACCGAAGCATGACCATAACTCATTATTGATTCAGGGAGCATAGAGACAAGCGAGAGGAGTAGGACTGGAGTAGTTCTCGATGTAATGTAATGTCAAGATCGTTCTGGGATGGGCTCAGATCTGCAGGTACGGAGACCGAAGTACTACAGACACGATGAGGCGGCACGGGTTATGAATACCGCAAAGACTCCGTTACCAGGAGTTTGATTGATGGTAGTACACCGAGTAGTAACTCTAACTATTGCTTAGCTATCATAACGCGAAAACTTGGCTCTGTTATCAAAAGAATATGGATGCAGCGAATTGCGACCTTCAGAGGAATAGGCTGATATGATGATTGCTTTGCTCTTTAGTTAGTAGGAGCACCCTGTTGGTGGAGAAGTGCCAGCCGAGAAAGGACTCCCGGATCTCGACTCGTGTTTACTAACGATTGGATCCCTTGCAATGACTTCTAAAGCAGTTGTCAGATTTGTGGACCTAGTAGAAAAGGAGTGTCTTGTCTCAAGCATTGGGTCGACGAAGTCGTATTCGATCGCTAGCAAGAATGCTTCAGGCTATCTATGTAAAGGCCTGTCTGTGCAGAGAAGGCAAGATTCGATATGTGCGGTCTTGGCTAAACCTTGATGGGCGATTGCAAGAAGCTGCATAGGATAAACAGCTGGTCAAATATGTACATTTGCTCGGAAGGAACAAGATGGCTCCTGGTTGTTTGCGACACACCAAGTCCTGGGGCTTTCAAAGTGATAGCCATGGTGAAGATGAGAGTGCTTTAATGATTCATCACGTCTAGCAAAAAGGATCAAGATAGGACTTTGTTATTCTAGAAAGTCAAAGAAGGTTTGATTACACGATCAAAGACGAGAGCCAAGGCCAGTCGAGGGCGTGAGAAAGCCACAACGGGGAGGAGTGGTTGCAGCTGTGAGGATTGAAGGATTCTAGGGCGGCACTGACCAACCAATAGCATCGGTGGATGGGAGGAGCTCGATGAAGACGAAACGGAGTGCTGCCTAGCTGCCTCATCGTATCTTCTGTCAGATCCAGGCGCTTTGTGTCAACATCTGGGAGGCTTGTTCTTTGTCCAGAGCAAAGCAGTGAATTGCCCCAACAGCAGACTTCTTGTGAGTTGGCACTCGATAGCGACACCAACGATGCCGTCACCAGACGAAGCCGTGTCCGACGGCTACTTCAATGACCTGAGCCAACAACTCCCCGACCAGCCCAACCAACAGCAACCACCCAAATCAAAGCGAGTCGCGTGTGTGCTATGTCGCAAGCGCAAGCTTCGATGCGACGGAGCAAAACCATCATGTGCGACATGTACTCGGCTCTCCCACAATTGCGCCTACGATGAGGTTCGCAGANAGAGCGGCCCCAAGAGGGGCTATGTAAAAGAGCTGGAAGCCCGCCTGGCCCAAGTCGAAACACTCCTCAACACTCATGCCGGTGTCGAGATGCCTCTGAATGCCATCGACCAGTCTGTAGTCACCGGAGACGATCTGCCCGACTTTGGTGGTATCGACCCCGACCAAGGACGTTTGATGCAAGAGATGCGTGTAGGCCAGTCTCCACCGGCAGCTGATAACTCCATCCCTGCCACACGTCAGCCCTCAATGTCTGAGACGTATGATAGTCAGCAGCCCGTTTTCTGGGAGGGCGACCTCAAATCACCGTCATGGGTACCCAACTTCTCGTTGCTTGCTACCGGCATGGACGAACCTCTGCCCNCCCCAGAAGTTTGTGCCGAGTTGACCAGTCTCTACTTTGAACGCGTTCACCCCTCTGCCCCCATCTTGCACAGGCCTCGCTTCCTCATCTCCATGCAAAACACGTCGCCTTTCCTTCGACCACGTCTGTCTCTGCAGTATGCCGTCTGGACCTTGGCTGCCAGCTCTCATCCGAAGTATGAAGACATGGTCGACACCTTGTATCGCCGTGCTCGTCATTACCTAGAGCGCGACGAGATGTCTGGTGTTGGCGAGAAGATGATCAATCTGGCCACAGTTCAGGCTTGGCAATGTATAGCAGCTTACGAGTTCAAGATGATGTACTTTCCACGAGCTTGGCTCAGCACTGGAAGGACTTCCCGACTGGCCCTTATGATGGGTCTGCACCGCGTTGATGGTCCCAATATTGACGTCAAGCAGTGCCTGCCTCCACCCAAAGACTGGATAGAGAAGGAGGAGCGAAGACGCTTGTTCTGGATGTCCTTTGCCGGCGATCGATATGCAAGTATCGGTACTGGCTGGCCCATGAGCATTGACGAGACCGACATCTGTACAGACTTGCCAGCTTCGGATGAGGCTTTTGATGCTGGTACACCCGAGCCTTCTATTTCCTTGAAAGAAGCCCTCACGCCTGGCGGTGCTGACTCCCTATCCTCATTTGGATCCGTCGGTGTCATTTCTGCTCTCTTTGGCCGCAACTTGTTGCATCTACACCGAAATACACCAGATCAAAACGACGGCGACATCAATGGCATATTCTGGAAGCGCCATCGACAAATGGACGGCATAATTCTTTCCTTATTGCTCGGTCTTCCTGAGTCATTGCGGCTGCCACTCGCTGTCTCTGACCCCAAGGTTGTCTTCATGAACATGTGTATTCACACTTCCGTGATCTGCCTTCATCAAGCTGCCATCTTCAAGGTAGAGAAATATCAGCTGCCATCCAAGCTCGCCACCGAATCCAAGATGCGCTGTTTGACTGCCGCTGCCGAAATCTCAAGTTTGATGAAAATGTCCAGCCACCTCGACATGGCTCAAGCTAATCCGTTCATGGCCTTCTCCTTATACGTCGCCGCCAGAGTCTTTGTGCAATACCTCAAGTCACGACCTCGTGATGACACGGCTCGAGGCTCATTGCACTTCCTCCTGTCCGCTCTCCAAGCCATGAAGAAGACAAACCCGCTCGCAGAATCCTTCATCGCGCAACTAGACGTCGACCTCGAAGTAGCCGGCCTGGACGAGTTACGCAGCTTGCGCGTTCGTGCAGCTCGAGCAGCTCAAGCTCAAGCTGCAGAAACCATGCAATGTCCGTATGAAGGACAAGATGGACGCCGTCCCACGTTTGGCGATAGCGGATTAGCTCAGCACTCCAACCCAAAGACAAGCCGAGGAGGCAACCACCCCTCGGGCGGCAACTTCCCACCTGAAATTGCAGAACTCATGGCCCAACCACCTCAAGGCAACTTCAAAGGCATTTTCCCCGTACGAATGAATATTGCCTCCGATACTTCGACCGCTCATACCTCGCCTCAAACCCTAGGATCCAGTGATGCAGATATGGTGGACTTGGGCAACAGTGGAGTCTCCCCCCTCTGACTCGTCTTCTTCATCCACAGGTCCTGCCAACCATTCTGCGCTAATTTTCAGACAATCATCCAACAACTGGCGAACCCTNACAACAATCACAGCAACAATCGCCCGAGATGATGTATGTCCAAAACGCCCCTCAACCACCGCAACAACAACNAACAACAACAACAACAACAATTCCAGCAATTCCCACCCCAGCAGACAATGCAAGATACACCTATGTCCACCCTCCTACCCCACATGTCCGATTTCTCCAGCACCGAATTCTCAGCCTCGGAGTTTTTGAATTTCTCGAAAACAGGGGCTTCGACGACGACGGTGTTGGAATTGGGGGCTGTGGATGAGGGGTAATTGTTTCAACTCAGTGATGCTGAGTGGGGACAGGTCATGGGAGAGTTTGGCGATAATGGCGAATTCTCGGTTGAGAACAATCTTTTGCAGTAGAGTGCTTGTGTGTTGTTTGAACTGGTGAGTTACTGATACGGCGGTGGAGAAAACTTGGAATGGAAGGGAAGGGAAGGCTAGATGAGGGGCTGCTGTATGGGTTGCACCACGATCCATATTTCTTTGAGCGGCAAAGAAGGAACGGCTACTAGAGGCGAAATTGTATCAACAAGGATGGGGAATGGGGTAAACGGTAAGGGCACATTTGAGGAGTTTTGGGGGATATCATACTCTACTCGAACAGTGTAGTACTGGCTTTCTACGAATGTAACGAACACTACGAATCAAATTTCTCATCTCATGCATTATCCTTCAGCATTGCTTTTAACTATGGAAGGAGAGGAAGGAAGTTTCATGTTTTGCATATTGTTTTGTTTTGCTTGTCTTGTTCTATCGAGTGCTCTGGGCTCTCTTCATCTTCTCATCTATCCTAACAAGAAAACCCGAAATTGGAAAAATAGTATCATCTCTCTAAGTCCATCTTTGTTTTCGTCCAAAGTTTCATGCATATCAATCCACGCCTTCCATCACTCATAGTCCGCATGAGTAATGCTGATCTTTACATGTCAGCCATACTGATGTCGCCATCACTCTCTTGGCTGGCATTGGGTGGCATCTTCTTGACTGGAACACTACCCACGCCAAGCGATGTCTCGACGCCTTCCACGCCCTCAGGCGGTGCTGCAGGCATGGCAGGCATGAAGATGGCAGGACTGGGGCTCAATGCAGTGATTGGTGGCACTACTGGGGTCTCGGCCATACTGTCTCGAGACATGGGACGTGGTGTGTCGTGTTTGGTGGGAATGAGAGGTGTGTTTCCAGCAGGGAGAGGTGGCAGAGGTGAGCTTTGCATGTGAGGGCCGGCGCGGAGGATGTTTGTTGCTGCAGAGGCGGGAGTTACGGTGGAGGTATTTTGGTAGGTGTAAGGGGTGGCATTGGCGGCGGGCGTATGGAAGGGCTGAGCGTGTGAGGGTGAGGAGCTGGGTTGTTTGGTTGGAGAGTGGGCGGCGGCACGCTGTTGTTGTTGTGGTAGGGCGGGAGGAGGGAATGATGTGTTGGGGCTTTGGAAGAGGCGCTGGGCAGAAGGCGAGGGGCTATTTCTGGATGGGTGATGGTGGTGGTGTGGTGTCGCTGAGCCGTTGGTACGGTGTTCTGAGGGTCCGTGGGATGATGATGGTCGAGAGCCTTTGGTGGGAGAGGGTGGGCCCATTTGCAAGGCACTAGGTTGCAAGACTGGAGGATGTATAGAGTGTGCTGATACGGCGCCGGCATGAGCTTGAGCGTGTAGTGCGGAGAGATCACCATCGTCAGATTTTTGTGTAGGTGGTGGAGGGGAGCTACCGTAGTTGGAGGAAGGACGAGCTGGTGGAGGAAGAGTAGTGCCGTTCCATGCTTGCTGAGGGACACCGACTGGTGGAGCACCAGCAGGACGATGGTAGCCTGGCGGACCAGGGCTTTGGCCGGATGGTGAGAGCGAAGGGCCGTCAAGAAGATTGTAGCGTCGAGCTGCTGAACGAGGCGTCGATGTGATCTCGACGGCTTCGACGGGGCGACCGCGGGGAGCATCTTGTGCAGCAGTAGCTTCCTTTTGGCCTGGGAAGTGCAGGTGCAATGGAGGCAGCTTCGGCTTCCTTTGGCAGTCGGAGCAAATGAAATGGAAGTCGTCCTTCTCGGCGTCTTTCTCGTCGATGCCGTGGCACTTCGAGTGTTGCCAGATATTACACTTTTCGCAAGCAATCGAGTGGGTGCCGTCGTCGTAGTTCTGACCGTGCTTGCCGCAGACTGCGCAATCGAAGATCCATTCGCCCTCCTCTTCGGCCAATGCATCCAGCTCTTTCTGTCTTCTCTCCATCTCGGCCTTGAGGTGACGCTCGGACAGGCGGCCTTCGATTTCGTCGCCATTCTCCAAGCTCTTCTGGTTCTCTTCGAGCTTGCGAAGCTCTTCCTCGTGTAGGATGCGCTTGACTTCGCGTTCCTTGAGTCTCTGTTCTCTGGTGAGCATGCGCGATTCACGTGCCTGTGCCTTGTTAGTTGTCTTGTCCTTTGCCTGCACATTTGCGACTCACGTGTTCCATCTTGTTCTGCTTCTGTTGCTCCTTGCGGGCCATGTCCAGCTCAGCCTCTCTTCTCCTCTCGGCTTCGGCTGCCTCCTCTTCGGCCTTGCGCTGTTCTGCCTTGCCAGCGAGTCTGCTTGATCTCTTTGCTGTTGCCATCTTTTGCAGGTTCTCCAATTCTCTTTGCTTCTTGAGCACCTTCTGGCGTTGTGCTTCGACACGCTTCTCGAGGATGGGNNCATGATTTGTTCGTTAATGCGCTTGACAAGAGCCTTCTCGTTCGGGTCGCGACTCTTACGGAGCGACTCCAGGAAAATGGTGTAGTCGTCGTGCGTGACGGCGATGCATTCCCATTTCATGCCGCCAAACCCGTCGTCTTCGGTCGGTTCGTCAACCTTCAAGTCGACCTCGGTGTTTTCCTGCTCTTCTCCCTCAACTTCACTCTCTTGGGCAGAAGCATCCAACTTGATGCGTTTGCTGGCACGCGAACCGCGGGACTTGCGTGATTTGGCCTTTGCCTTCGGTTTGGGTGCCGGAGCAGGTGGTAGCGGTGCTTCGGTGCGGCGGTACAAGCGGTCATCGTCCAGTACGAAGTAAGAGCGGTCCTGAGAGTCCCAGCCAAGTTCTTCAATGCGCTATAAGTGTTGTTAGTTTGAGAATATGTGTTTGGTGCAAGGCGAGCGCACCCATTGAGTCTGCTCATTGTCCTTCTCTTCCATCAAGCCACGCATGCGCTCTGCATTCCAGAGAGTCCATGTCGATAGTTGGTGCAGGACGCGGATTTTGGTGAAGACGCCGAAGTCGGCAAACTTGTTGGGGGCTTCGTCAGTGCCGTAGGGGTTGCGCTCGGGAGCTTTGGCGACGAATTGACGGCGTGTGTACTCGTCAAAGTTGTCGTAGCTNGATATGGGTTAGCTTGGTGTTTCTGGATCAGTGGCTGGCTGAACGCACTTCAGGCCTCGGTGCGAAGAGACGAATTTGAGCAGGGTAAGGCCAATCTCGGCCAGCTTTTCTGATGCTTCGGGTCGCAGACATTCATGCTCTAGGTCCTATGCAAGCATCAGCAGTTGGTCTCGGGCAGCAGGAGGTTCGGCGCATACCTCCATGTCGAATTCGGGGTCAATCTTGACGGGTTTGCCGAAAATGTACATGTATTGCATGAGGGCGGCAAACTGCCACATGTTCCGTAAGCGGTCCAGTGTCTCATTGTGAGGTTGTGCCTTCTCCACGGCGGCGATGCTGTTGTCCAGTTCGGCCTCCTGGCGGGCGCGCTTTCTGGCGGGCATCTTTTCTACACAGGGGCCAAGCCCTTGATTTGGCTATGTAGTCGACGAGGTTTGTGTTGTGGTTGGTGAGATAACCTCGGACCACTCAAGGAAATTGAAAAACAGGAATGAATAAAAGGTCGTCGAGAGAGGAATTTGTGACAATCTGGTCGTGCAAAGGTAGTGAATGCCTCTCGTAGAGTCGCGTACCCAACGTGAAGCTGCATTGCAAGTGACGGCACCGCCAAGCCCTGAAGAATCCGGCCACCAGGGTCTTCTGGCCCAATTATTTTTTCTTCTTTCTTTTTCTTCTCATATCGATCCACTTTTGCTTTGGTCCAGCGCTTTGGATACGAGACCTTGTCGTTCTTCTCATCGTCTCTGATATGTCCTGAAACCCGACACATCTTTCTAACATGCTTCTTCATATCCTTCGCCAATATGTCCAATCCTGAGTTTCCCTCATGTTATGTCCGTAGCAAGCTCTACATCTCGCACTTCCTCTCAACATGGAATTCTCGCCTATTTGAATTTGGCGCTGTCCTATTCATCTCTACTATATTTCCTGGCACCTTGTTCCCTGCTTCTATCTATGCCTTGATCCGCTCTGCCTCTGTCGTCGTCTTCTCGACTTTGATCGGTCGTCTGATTGACCGCTCTGAACGTATGCATTTGATCCGTCTGTCAATCAGTAAGTTATCTAGTCTTGTCAATATCATATTCTTATTTTCACACTGCTTTGATCTTCGTCGTGGTTCGCATTTGTATCAGGACTTCTTTAGTCGTCTCTATGTCTCTCTTTGATTCTGATGAAATACATTGACCAATTCCANNGTCGGCCAAAGAACAGCAACGGCAGCATCATGCATCTTGCTCTGGCTCTTGTTGTACTTTAGATACACCTCTCTGCGTCCCTGGTCTGCAAAAGCTGCATTGGCACTTCTCTCCCTTCTTGCTTGCGTCGAGAAGCTTTCGTCCGTAGTCAACACCATATCCGTCGAACGTGACTGGGTTGTTGTCATTTCGCAGGGGAACACTAACGACCTACAAGGTAACTTATCCAATGCTCCAATTGGCAACCGAAGCTGAACGGCAATAGAACTAAATTCTCAGATGCGTCGAATTGACCTCTTCTGCAAACTCGTCGGGCCCCTGAGCATTGCATTAGTTGCTGGGTTTTCCACCAGCATAGCCATCATCATCACCTTATCTATGACTATCATCTCTGTCTTTGTCGAATACTACGCTATCGCCAGAGTATACCACGAAGTAGACGACCTTCAAATACGTCCCACACCCTCAGAAGACTCGCAGTCGACAGACAGCCCATCAACCTCTCTAGATGCCAGTCGCCGTGCCCGTCAAACCTTCCGAAGCTGCATCTCCTATATCCAGCATCCAGCCTTCCTCCCGTCCTTCTCCTTGTCGCTACTCTATCTCACCGTCTTGACCTTTGGAGGCCAGATGGTAACATACCTCCTTTCAGTTGGCTTCAGCTCCATCTCCATCGGTCTCCTACGCACCGTATCCACTATATTCGAGCTTTCTTCCACATGGCTTGCACCCAAAGCTATGCATAAGATCGGCGCCATCCGATGTGGAATATGGTTTCTCAATTGGCAGATTGTATGGGTTGTGATTGCAGTCACTATGCTTTGGATCGAGGTACCTCAAGAGTATGCTGTTGTGGGTTTGCTTGCAGGTACCATTGCGAGTCGAGTTGGACTGTGGGGCTTTGATTTGTCTGCACAAGTTATCGTTCAGGAGGTTCGTTGGTCAGCACTGGTGTCTGATAATTTACTGACGTGCAATCAGGCTGTTGAGTCGGACCAGCGAGGTTCCTTTTCTGCCATGGAAGCGTCCGTGCAAAACACATTTGAGCTATTGTCCTTCGCCTCGACTGCTATTTTCGCTCAACCTGATCAGTTCAGAGTTCCGGCTGCGATTAGCGTTGCAGCTGTTATGCTTGCTGGGTTGATGTATGCTTCATTCGTTCGCCAGCGGAGAGGCCATCTGTTCCATGCTTCAAAGTGTATGAAGCGAAAAGCTCGCTCTACATGGCAATCTCTTGCTCAAGATGAAGACATCGAGTTGAGTTGATGCACGCTTATCACGATCACAGTACAAACCGAATTTAAGCGAGATCGATTAACTTCTCATTGAATGGCTACATTTGCCAAATCAGACTGCTGAGTGATGCTACAGTATCCTCCCTGTCTCTGTTATGGTTCCTTCCACATCAATATCTCCCTGGCTCAAAGATTCTCTGGCATAAAGTCCTTGAACGGAAAGGCAGCTCCGTCAAACTCAAAAACTCTTCCTGGGTGTCTCTCGTCTTCCGTCAAATCCTTATGAAGCTCTACCAACTTTTCATGTGTCTCCCTGGCAAGACTTTCAATGAAGTACTCAAGCTCCTTTTCAGTCGACAACGTCTTCAACGAGCACTTTTCGAACTGGGCTTCTGGAGTGTCAACGGGCAGTCTGGCTTTGTAATTGGCTGTCGCGGCCCATTTGCCAGCTTCTGACAAGAGCTTGAGACTCTCGTGGTTGCCCATGGCGAAGACGCCGTAACGGTCGATGATTGCGCGATCCTCGTCGTGGATAAAGCTTCTTTCGGATGGGATAAAGCGAAGTGCGTGAGTCTTGTCTTGAATGCAGTCTCTGATGATCATCATCTCGTCACTCTCTCTTTGCAATTGCGGGTAATTACGATGATGTATTCTCATCGGCGACACGACCTGAATGCTCTTAGCGTGAGGGAAACAACCTTGGGTTTGCGCCTTTTGAAGAGCTCTAGCGAGGCGAATAGTTCCCCACTCATCGTTCGAGCCCAGAGGATGGTCATTGGGAAGTCTTGTAGTGGCGTCGAAGTGGATTTTTCTGCAGACGTTGCGAGCGTACATCAAGTCGAACCAATATGGGACGTTTCTCGGCATGAAGGAGATTGACAAGCTGCGTAGATGAGGCGCATGGACGTATTCGGGTTCTTCATCCTCTTCTTGCGACTTGATTATCATGGACTCGCAGACGTACGACACCCTGAGAGACAGATGGTGCAGTCTTGGCATCATTTCTCGAAGCAGCAGACACATGCGAGGGGACATTGCGCCGAAATGGATCTCACGGGCATTGGTATCGAGAATGAAGCTTGTACAGGACTTTGGTAACAACCTGATAAGCTCGAGGACGACCCGGGTGTCCAGGAAGCCGGGTCCTTCTCTCTCCAGGTCGTTTTTGCCTTTGATATACACTTCCTCCGTGAAGAGCGAGAAAGTGTCAAGAAGACGGAATTGACTTGGCAGCATGCTTGCCAATCTCATCAGTTGCAGATCCAGGGGNGTCAATTTTCCGCTCTCCAGTCTGTTGCGCTCTTCGGAATCCGCGTTGCCATTACCCTCAGGCTTAATATTGAGCGTCAACGAATGAACATTGTCCCACGTTCGTTCACGATTGCGGATGCGCTTCTTGCGTCTAGCCTTCAGCTCTTCGACAGAGGGCAGAGGCTTTGCGTACATCTCCTTTGCTTCTTGGAATGTGCTTGACGCCTCCCTCTCACAATGCCTATGGCCGTAGCACGTAAGTTTATGTAATTGATCGGTCAAGGCCCAGATGTTGACATACTGTTCGAAAGTGCTGTCGAGGAAGGAGCTGATGTTGCCATTGTGAAGCACGACGTGTTCGTAGAGAACCGGGCTGCCTGCGTCGTTCCAGAGGTGGGAGACAAGGAGAGCCATCCTTAGAGCATCGTAACCACCTTGTTCACGAACTTGCACCAAAATGTGCTTGAGCACCTCATTGGGCATGTTTTTGATGGTGGTGGGCATATTCGCGTGGATGAGTTGATGTTGTAAGACAAGGAGCCGAAGAAAGAGATAAGTGGGTGTGGTTTTGTTCAAGAAGACGCACTGGTGTTGAAGAAAGGAAAAAGAAGTGATCGACCTTTCTTTTATCTCTTGAAAGCACCTTCCCGATTATCGCTGCCTATCGACGTCGTCCAATGACACGTCCGATGCTGGTGTTGTCACAAGACAATGACCTTTCTCGTCGACGTCTGGTCGATGCCTGGTATATGCCTGGTCGATGTCTGGTATCGCATTCGAGAGTGCTTTCTCTATATCGCTGCCTTTCCTCGCTCTCGAGAGACTCGTCCGACGTCGAACACACTCGATGGTACTGTCTTTTTGATAGCAGTCTTCCAATATGGTCGTAGATTGGTATCGAGACTTGAAACTGATTACTTGACAAGGAAAGTGTCGAGGAAAGGGATACTATCTTGTATATTCTGTGGCTGGGTGGCGCCTTTCTGATTGCTGCTGCCTACAACCCCAGGTTTTCGAATATTGCTAATTTGGCAGATTGAATTGTTCATCTATTCCTGGAATCTTTTGTTTCGAGGTGAGTACCTCAGGTTTGAAGGTGCATCCCTTTCGAGTGATACCAGCACGTGACATGTGATCTTCGGGCATGTGATTGCATTCCCAACGCCCTCGAACGATAACAACCTGATAGGGATGGATGCTCTTATAGGAACCCCTACCCTTGATAATCAAGTCATCGAGATGGTAAAGAATATTCACCACTTAGGAGTAATGAATAAACAATTTGAAGAATACTAAAAACATTTGTACTTTTTGTTATACTCATCATCGTGTCATCGTGATGAAGTGATACTCATCCTTGTTGCTTAACAGTCATAATCCTTCCACTCTTGAATTGCTCTCTTGCATCTCTTCTTCCATCTTAATATTCAACTCTATCCTTCCAGATGGGAGCGTGTCTCACATCATCTTCATCCCACTCAATCTTACCCTTCTCATTGAAGCGTGCGCCCTCATCGGAGATGTCAATCACCTTCTTCGTCTCCTTGATTTCTTGTGCAGAGACACCAAGCTCATCCCTGACAATCCAGAGCTTTGGAGGCTCCGCGGTAATGGCAGGGTGGTGGTAAGCATGCTTCATCGTCTCTTCGGGAATGGCAGGAGCGGGTTGACCGGGAAANGCATCCCAAAGTTGGCGACGAAGGGCCGAGTAGTTGCTCTTAGAACCGTTGAAGAGGAAGGGGGCAAGNAGACCGCCTCGCTTGAAGTGCTCAGCAAAGGCGTTGACGGTCTTGTTGTCAGAGTAGGGTGCAGTCTGCTTGGGCTGTACGCCGTCCCCGTCCACATCAATCGGTGCAGATGCACCCTCTTCACCGGCTTGAGCTAATGCTTCTTCCTCATTCTCAGCCATGAGTTTGTCGGACAGTGTGTTTGTCAGAGGAGCCAGGATCATGTTGAGGTAGGTCTGGTAGATGATGGTGAGGATGAGCAGAACAGTCATTAACTTTGCTGGACCATCTGCTTCCCGCGCACCCATCAAGCCAATTAAGCAAATCTCTGCAAGATAAATTCCAACGCTGAGGTGCTGCAAGGCTCGACCGTAGGCATCACCCTTGGTGTCAACAGCCATAGTCAAAACGTAGAAAACGTTGTAGCGGAAGGCTAGGTACAAGAAATAGATACCAAGCAGGGCAAACCCGAGAACAAGCGGAGCAATGCAAGAGTAAGAAATTGCTGTGAGTTTGTTAACAGGGTCTTCTTCCCCGACTGACTCCACCCCGTTTTACTTACCTATAACAGCAAANAGAGTGAATTTGGGATAGGTGTCTCCCCAACTGAGTCCAGTGAGAGTGATGAATCGTTCAAACTTCCTACGGGGTGTTGTGTCTAGGAAGGGTGACAACACGTTGAAGATGAGGAAAGGCGCAATCTGGAAGATAGTTGAAGCTGTAACGGCAATACCTTGAAGGACGAAGAAAGAAAGGTAGAAAGTTGAAGCAGTGGGCAGATTGTCAGCAAGAAGCTTGGGTGCCTGAGCAGGATCGTTCCAAATTTGTNNTCTGCAGGGAAGCATTAGTTTGATAGTATGCAGCCATGAGACATCAAAACACTCACTAGCAACCGTCGAGGCACCAGAACTGAACGTGGTGATGAGGAAGACTTGCACAACTTGAAAGGCGAAGTACCATCCTTGTGTACGAAGCTCAATCTGTGCGAGTGTAATGGATCCGGCCTTTCTGGCAGTGACTAAAACCCAATTAGCTCGTGATCTTTGTCTGAGTTTGAACACAACTTACAGNCGACAGATGATGGGTACAAGAGCCAAGATAGCAGAAATCAAGAGTGTGGGAAGAAGACCACTAACAGCACCCTTGGTCGAAGCTGGAAGCTTATTAACGAAACCAAGAGGAGGGAAGTTCTGAGCAAGGTTGTCGACATCAGCAAGCGAGCCAACGAGACCGACGGGAATAGACCAGAAGACAATCAAGAGTATGATGATGGTATTCGCAATGATGGTGCGTGCCCAACGCTCAGGTTTGCCGATTGCTAGGTTTGCCCAGACAATCTCGTCGGGAGTTGAAATTCCAATAGTCGCTGCTTCCATCTTTCCAGGTTGTTTCCAGTATGGGTCCGAGTAGGCAAGTTGTGCTGCGCGTTGAGTCTCAAACTCGACAAAGGCTGCAGGAAGGAGCTTTCCATAGCCTTGCACATGTCTCTTTTGAAGAGCTTTGACCTTTGGTGTTATTGCCTTCAGCTGCTCACGGTACATCTCGATAGCGTCCAATTTTCTGCCGACGAGTGCAATGCGCTTGGAAGGTCTTTCTTTGGGTGCGACCCACTGTTGGGTGGCAGTACCTGCTCTCTCAGGATCATCCGCGAAATGCTTCTCTCCTTTCAGATGCTTTTTTGTGGCAATGGTAGACAGCTTGATCTCTGATTCTTCCAATGAGATGGCAGTATTGTTCATATCGTTGACCAGAGACTCGAGCTCGGTACAATCTGTGGCCAGCCAGACACGCTTGACACCGAAGAAATCGGCCTTGATCCATTTCTCATGACGCATATCCTCTGGGACGCCTGTGAACAGTACAACACGAGTCGACATACGAGTTGCGTTGCGGGGAGTAGTGAGATATGCTTGACGAAGATTGATGTAGTAGAGAGTCTCCTTGGTGATGACAAACATGACGAATCCAAGGAAGAGCCATGCACATGCAACATGCCAGTAAAACTTGTTGGGGTCTGAGACATTGCTGAATGTGAACATGTCGAGCTCAGATTGGCCTCCACCACCACTGTAGTTTACGCGAAGCAGGAAGACCCAGGTGATGACGGTACCTACAAGACAGATGTATGTGAGCATGCGGAAGTAGCGTATGAAGAGGTAGTTGTCCAGTGTCTGATGGTTCAGGACAAATTGGTCGGGCAGTTTTCTGAAGGCAGAGATCCAGTTGAACATGCCAAATGCCGGCTTGGGTGTTTTCTCTCTNGTTTCTGTTAGCCGGATGCTTCTTTCCTTTCCACTACGTCGAGAGTCTTCTTACTCATCTTCCAGGGTGTTCAAAAACGTGCGAGGCGCGTAGATGCGGTGTTGCTTTTGTCGAAGATACAAAAAGGCCAATACCATGGGAATAGCAACGACAAGCAAAGGTACAACAGTGAAGATCAGCTTGTTGTATGATGAGGAGCCTCCACGATTGTCTCCTTCGCCCATGATTTCTAGTGGCGTGCCTGTGTCCAGCACGTGTTGATTTCTGGACGCCATGATAGTCGCTGCTGATTTTCAGCGTTACTATCGAGTGCGATGTTTAGATTAAACTCAGCATGCTCGGTTTGGTTTGGCAAGAAGGTTTGTGTTTCGACTTTCGTGGCTGGTGAGTCGTGACGAGTGCTGACGCAACCCCAGCCTTTCTGCGGGGCTTGAGGCAGCAACTGGGAACGGAAGAGTGACATCTTCTTTACTTCGCTCGACATATCACCCATTCTAATTTTCACGAGACCTTTCGCAATATTTGACTTGAACCGTCGTTCCACATGCATGAGCTTCACGAAATTCGCAAGGCAGCCGGGCACGTCCTGCACTGTACACAAGGATGAGCTACCTATCAAGCTGCACAATCCTTTGAGGGAGAGGGCAGTCTTCTGTCAGACTTCAACTTCATAGCTCTCGGTGGACGCATCTCTGGTTCCGGAAATCTGCGCATTGTTGTAGCCTAAGATCTTGCTGTAAGTCTTTGGGGAAGGAGTGTGGTGTTAAGTAAGAATAGGTAGGCCTGAGAACTGCGGGCAAGATGGACGTTGGCGTTGTGACGACCACCTAGCGAGGGCAACTGTGACTCTGTTCGGAGTTGAGTTGCCTCGGATGTCTGGTTTTGTCTGATGTTCTGTAGCTGTCTGGGAAGGAGCGATGGTGAATCTATTGTAGCCTCGCGAGTGCGAATCCTTTGCTGCATCACCCTCTCCGCTTAACTTTGATCTCGTTGTCAGCCACTTTCACTTTGCCCATCTCCATCTTGCACGTCCAGTCTGTTCCCATCATCAAACGCATCCCTCTTTGTTTTCGTCATCAATCACAATCACCCTGCTCGTCTCGATTTCCTATCTCGTCGACAATGTCCGAAGGCATGGATCCACAGTCAATGATCATGCTCATCAACCTTCTTGTAAAGGAGCACGTCAAGGATCAAGAAGAGATCAAGCAGCTCAAGAACATCTCAAAGGAGCACGTCGAGCAACAAGAAGAGATCAAACGACTTAAGAACAAAGTCGTTCAGCTTTAGGACGAGCTGGGACGAAATCACAGTGACGCACCAGATCTCGACATACACACACAAGAGCTTGTCTCTCACGATCAAGCTTCAGACCTCAATAACACCAAATCCAAGGCAAACAAGACTGTCAACGATCGTGATGGCGAGATCAAGGAGCTCAACCGCCAGATTCAAGACCTCAACAACGCTGACTCTGAGGCGGACAACACTATCAATGCCCTTCGTGACCAGATCGAGCAACTTCAGCAGGATAGTCACTCCGCTGCACAATCACACCAGTCTGCCAAGGACCAAGCAGATGGAAAGTTGAAGAGTCTAGACGAAGAGATCACCCAACTACAAAAAGATGTACAGTCAATCACAACACAACGTCATTCTGCCCTCGGTCAACAACAGGAGCTCACTACTCGATTGGACGAGTTCAAGCGCGAGCGAGATGCTGCTGCTGCAGCGCACAAATTCGCTATTGGTAAAGCGAAGAGTGCACATAGAACCCTCAGCGACAAGGTAACAAACCTCAACACCAGCATTACGTCGATCACAAAACAACGAGATTCCGCCCTCGGTCAACATCAGGAGCTCACTACTCGATTGGACCAGGTCAGGCGCCAGCGAGACGCAGGTGCAGCAGGGCACGATACAGCGTTGAAACAACACAACAAGGCACACCAAGAAGCCCAAGAGCAGTTGGTCCGCGAGAAGCAGCAACTCGAAAATGAGGTCACTGGCTTGAACACTAGGGTTGAAAAGCTGGAAGATGATCAAAAGAAGCTCCTGAAGGACAGGGATGGTTTGTTTGAGAAAGCCAAAAACGTGATCAACGAGAAACGAGAGCTGGAGACATTCCTGAGCGAATATGTTGCTCACAAGAAAAGACGCTACGAAGAGTTTATGGCCGACAAGAGACAGAAGACTGGTTGACGACTTTTCAGTCGTACGACCCGGTCAGCACGGGCGTGCAGCCGGGTCGTACAATTGGTGTGGCAGTATAATCATAACCCAAGCCCTGTCCCTCTTTGATTCATGCCGTGGTATAGATTAGTTGACAGAATCTTATGTAACCAGAGCATTGCAGTACTTTCCCAAGATCGCGTTCGCTTCCTCAACTCAAATGTGCTCCTTGATGTCTCATTGTTAGCATCAGAAGATATCCCGGTACCTTCAGGACAGGAGATGTTTTAGTGTCCAATCATCTCAGCTCATCGAGTGGTTGTTATGACGTTCACTCCTGGGAAGGTGCATTGGTTGAGATTGAATGTGGGGAAAAAAGCACTTCCACAGTGTTTTTCAAGGGTGTTTATTGCCCAGAGCAGAACTTGAGAAAACACTCCCAGAGTATTTATTGCCCAGAGCGAAACATGAAAAACACTCCCAGAGTGTTTATTGCTCAAAGCTACAGCTTTATCTCCAAGATCAGGGATGTTCCAACCAAGGCACATATCTCGCCTTCGTCGCGTCCTCGTTTGGTGTGCATTCCTGTACCACCTTGTCCTTTTGTTCCCTTGATGCAACAAACCCCATCGTCCCCTTATGACCATCATATGGCACAGTCAAGCTGCAATAAGACCGAGAAAGGACTGATCAACTTAGAAAAAGAAAATCGCGCGGTATGCATCTCTTGAAGATCGTGATACACTAAGAACTCGACAAGGTTATGCCCGCTCGAAAGTGATTCTTTACACGCTCTGGCCAGTCCTTGTAATCTTTTTCATCCGCAAACACTTTCGCGACCTCTGACCAGATCTTGTACCGAATACCAACGTCCAGGCACATTTCTATAAGCTCGGCACGAACAGCGGACCATGCCGCATGGTCAATCTCCAAGGTCTCTGCTGTTTGATTTTCCTCCAGAGTCGAATTGGCAAACTCTTCCGTCTCGACGAGCTCAATGTATCGGAGTCGTGGCGGATTTTCATGGTCCTTTTGTTCCACAAAGTTGGACAACGCGGTAGCAAAGTTGGCATCAACCTCTCGTACAACTAGGCTTTCCAGCGAAGTCGGTAACAAATCCGAGAAGTTCGGATTTTCGGGGCTGGAATGTGGGAATAATATCGTCTGATTGATCTCCGATGACCTGAGCTTCGACAACTGTCGGAGATCGAATCGATTGGCGAAGTGCACGTCGTCCTCTTCGTGTTCGTTTTCGAATGGTATAACCAATTCCAGGCGTTCGAGGGTGTCGACTCTTTTTGCCAGGGTGTCGAGGAATAATCCAATAGGGTCGGAGTTAACATTTTGGATCCTCAGGTACCGCAGATGTTTCAGTAGCGGCATATGGTATGTGGCTGAAGGGTGGTTGAAAAAGTATGACATGCCGATAAGACTGAAGGACTTTAACGTGGATATATACATCATGCACATATACAGCTCAATGCCCCATCCGCTACGATATTCGTCTCGACGAAAAGTCAATCTTTCCAACGGAGAAAGAACTGGCAAGAGCTTTTGTGGGAGCGGAATCGAGTTTACAAATCTGAAACTGGGAATCTCGGAGCCCTTCTCGTATTTGGCCCAAGAAGCACCACCAAAGAATTGCTTGACTAACATCGTGAAATGCCAGCTGTATGTCATCTTGAAGGACTCGATGTCCAAGTGCCTGAGATTGGGGACTAACGTCAAGAGAAGAGCTGTTGCTGCACTGTCCTTGCCTTCCGCCAGGTCTGAGCGCCAAACGTCGTGCCAACCATGATCTTCCGAGTCTGCACCTGGAGCAGACACTCTTCGTGTTGAGTCAAGACAATTGTTCAAGAAAGTCTCATCTGGCGTCCTAGTTATCTGGTCCGGCATCTCAGGTGTCTCGTATTCGTCATCGCAACAGAAACCCTGCTCGTCTGAATCGATGTCGCCGTCGTCTAGTTCTTGCAGACGGATGGACCAGACTTGGTTTGCAAGATTGGGTCGATCCAACAAGGTACGGATGAATAGCTCCAGCATTTCGGTTGCTTTCACCCCGATGTTATCACCGTCTAGTGTCATTCTCATCTTTAACATTCTGACAAAGCCTCGATAGAGTAGTGGTTGTGCGAGCATGCACATCCTTCTAGATGTCAAGCATAGGCTGGAGAGCGTTTTGATAGCAGCATTCCACGCATTGTAGTGTTCTGGGCCTGTCAAAGTCTCAGTGCTGAGTTGCTCCACGACGCAGAGCTGAACATCTTCTGGGAGGTGCAGCATGTTGCAGGTTGTGGTGGGTGATGATTCAGTCAATGTGCGGTTATTTTCCTTGACTGGTGATTAGAAACCAGGAAAGGTGAGGTACAAATGTACTGAGATTATATTGGTACAGTAGCTTGGTCGAGTCGACACGTGATCGGAGGCCTGGAATTGCAATTGCTTGGTAGTGTGGGTTAATTGACCATGCCTTACATGGACACCGACCAAATATGATGAGTATCGATGTTTGTGCATAAAAGACGTTATACACTTCCGTGATTCACCAACTGCAGGAACAGAGGACTGACAAAGACATAGGCATTTTCTCTTCTCCTGATTTTTCTGACTGTGTTCCTCCTCACAGACTAAAAGAGTGGACGATAGTAGTGATATCTGCTTACAAAAAACCCATGCCTAGTTGAGAGGCCACGCTGCGATCTCTCTCGGAGTCAGAGCGAAGAGTTGAGTATTACGTCTAACGGATGTGCGAATATTGGGCCGTCATGCGAACTTACTGTCACCAACAGACGGTAGGTGCTCAACGATAGATGAAATGGATGTTTCATTATCATAGCACCTACCAAAGGGGAGTCTACATGGCGAAAGCCATCTCGGAGTCGCCCATGTGATTCCACTCTGGACTCCTTCAAGCACAAGCTTTAAAGAGGTAGCAGCAAATTCCGTTTAAGCTAACTTTAAGCCAGTCAAACGGAGTCGGAGACCAACAAAAGAGCTTCTACGTCAAGGATTCCGAAGTGGGACCACATGAGATACCCCGAGATGCGCCTTCGTCCGAGCCGCCACATGTCGAGGTGACTTATGGTGCAAAGCTGTATCCATGGTCAATCGGGACGAAGGGGAAAGAACATTACCGCTTGACGGATTCCTAAAGCTCTCATAACCGTCTTTACGGTCTCCATGTCCCGACCCGTATAAAAATAGACAGCGCCGATAATAGCTTCAACGAGTGTCGCAGCTTGGTCGTCTGAGCAGCGATAACCTTCAGGCAAGATGCAGGCGTCAAGGCCTGTTGCGACCGCAACTCTGGCGAGATTGCTGTTGCCTAGCAGATCTCCACGTGTCGTGGTCCAGTCCTCTGAGAGATGTTAGCAACTACTATGTAAAGACAAGGTTGAGAGAAACAAAGACTGACTTCTGGGCCCTCCTCGAAGGTACCAATCGTCGACCATAGCGGAGTCCATCTTGCAATCGCCAGCAAGGGCAAGTCTGTAGTTGCCGCCTTGAACGTTGAGGGTCAAGGCTTCGATAATAAGGGTGTCCGAATGGAAGCGATAGCCAATAATTTCTTCGGTTCGCTATTGTTGACGTTGTTGTTGCTGCTGGAAGAAGTCCATCTTGGTGACTGCTGTACAGATTGGATTCGACAGAGGTTGTTGAGGTCGAGCGAAAACGGACACCCGAAAGATATGTGTTTTATGCACCTGGTTGTACTCACAGGTGGTTGGTATTCTGTCTCCTAACGAGGAGGTTGGGACATGGCTGGAACAGTGCCCCGTGCTCAAACTTCACCGCCTTGACCGACTCTATTGCGTTGCATCCATCCACCAACTCCTTCTCCCACAAAAGCGTAGAGCGAAGTATACACTATAAAAAGGCACGATCGTCTTCTGAAGCAGAGGACTAGCCATAGAGAGCTGCTAAGACGTTGGCTCTCAGTGGACACTGCCCTGTTTCTTGATACCACTGTGTACTTCTACAGCTGCACGCTTTACATACTTCAGCACATGGGGAGGAACGACAAACGATTCTTCCGAGACATGCCATATCATTCAAAGTACTGCGCCCGTTGATAATTCTATAAAAGTCGCCATCATTATCTCAAACCAGCAAGATGCTACACACGGCACAGAACCACTTTATAGTGCAGTGGAGATCATCACTATACGCTGCTTCTAATAAATTGCGCACTCAGCACGTGAAGTGCTCTGCGAACCACACTGTCGCCTCGAACAATATCATAATATCGCACTGCATATACAGACTTACCTATCACAGCAGGCGAGCCTGATGCCTCCGTGATCTTCACTGCAAGTCGATAGCACTCGGCTGAATTTTTCAGGAGACTCATTTTATCAAAGAGGGACCCATGGCTGCTTTCAACATGGTAACGATACACATACGCCATGTCGATATTCCAGACCAACTGTACGCTGCCTACGCCAGAGTCGAGCTTCGTTGAGAGTCCTAATGTACGCGGTACTCTTGATATCCTCTGGAGCTGTCTGAGTGTGCTGCTTCTGTGCACTTGGTCAATCCAACATCTGCCGATTCCACACCAATGCCGTCCTCGGAGTATGCGGCAGCAAATCAACAAGTTCGTGGTTCAACTAGGGATCAAGCTACGGTGGATGTTGGTCACGCTTATTGCTCCAGAACTGCTGTGCGGCGTAGCTGCTGAAGAGTGGTTGACTGCTTGCAAGGCTGCCAGATTCGTCGCTGAGAGGGTAAAGGGCGATGGGGTCGACTGGACATCAAGCCATGGCTTCTTTGCCCAGATGGGAGGCTTCAGGCTTCGATTCCGCAACCTTGAAGCTCAAGAATGTTGGAGGACATGCAGCCTCACCGACGAGCCATCAGTGGAGAAACAGAATATCGCTGCACCCTTTCAAGAGCCATTGCTTGGCCGACTCAGCTTTCCACATGCCAATAGCTGGGGACATATTTCCGAGACTTCTTCGACGATCAGTTCTCAGCGAGGTTTACTCTCAAAACCTGTCGACGTGACAATCTGCGAGAAGAGTTTCAAGTCGGTTTCCTGGGACCTTGATATCATGTCCAAACAACACTCTGCATTGTCATCGTCATTTGGAACTGTTGATTGGACTCCGGATGCCCAGAATGGGGCTCTCATCGAACAAATGATGTTTCAACACCAGAATCACCCTAAAGCAGGAGACGTTGCACTGACGGCCATGAGGATGACCACCGATATGTGGACGCTGAGCCTCGAACAAATCCACCTCGCAAGGAAGTATGGGATCATCGAAACATTTCCCAACATGAGCAAGGAGGACCTGGACGCGATTAGCAATAGCGATGGCCTCGCCAAAGCACTGGCTGTGTGTCAAGTTCTCTGGCTTATCATCCAGATGACATCGCGCGCTGCATCGTCTTTGGCCGTGTGCCAGTTGGAAGTTGCAACGGGAGCTTTCGCAATCACTACATTCCTCACCTATGTCTTTTTGTGGCAGAAACCACAGGGAGTCTCCAGACCAATCTACCTGGAGGCTGTGCGAAGACCCACAGTCGCTGAGGCTTGGGAGCTGGCACAGTGTGGTCTTGAAGAGACGAGCTCACTTCTCTATCGTGCCAGGAGCTGGAGGCAGTCTCGCGAGCATTTGAAAGCCAGAGCCTTCTCCAACAGGATCATGTTGATTTGTGCGACAGCCCTCGGCGCAGTGCATTGCGCTGCTTGGAATTTCGAGTTTCCTGGAAAAACCGAGATGTGGGCATGGAGAGGTTGCGCATTGGGCTCTACGATCTTACCGCTTNTTTTATTGGCATGGCATGAGCTGTACCTACGCTTCGCCTGTACGAAGCACATGGTATTCTCGATTGTTATACTAGTCGGATTCATGCTGTACGGGTTCACCAGACTGTTTATCATGGTGGAGATGTTTCGATGCTTATTCTATCTTCCTGTGGAGGCGTTTGTAACGACATGGACGATAAATTTGCCGGGCATTTCATGAGGTCATGTAGAATTGTGCAAGGTCAATACGATGTTTTTGCATAAATACCAACATACAGCATGTTATACTATAACTTTTCTGAGGCGTTCGTATGCTTGGGGAGCTGAGGATTGCTGTGACGCTCTATCAACAGACGTGCCGTCTGGTAGGTTTCGATGCAGCAGAAAAGACGTTTCTTAGGATTGAGATTGAGGTGAGGAGACTGACGGCATTGATTAGAGGAAAGACGCCAAGAGTGGATAGGATTGGGAAGGCGCAATTCGGGCTGATGTTAGCGCGCGTAACGGCGGAGGGGCAGGAACGACGACCAGAGTGGAAGTGCATGATACAAACACAAGCAGCACACAGCAACGACATCCCAGTGACGGATGCTGTGAGAGCCAGACACACACGACAGCGCATTGGCTTCTGCAATCGAAAGCGACCGTTCTTCTGTATCGACCACACGCTCATTAACCATCCACCAACAAGGCCCGTCCGACTCGGCCTTCGCCAACGCCAGCGCCAGCGCCAGCGACAACAAGCACGAGCTTGCATCACCTACACCACGCGCAACCCGCCAGCACACCCAATCACTCCCACTCCCGTCCAAAGTCGAGCCAGAACAAGAAGAACCACAAGACCCTCCGCCTTTTGCGTCGCACAACTTCCCGTCGCTCTATTTCCCGCCTGAGCCTCCTCTCGACGTCCAAGCTGCGCCGCCGCCCGTCTTTGAAGAAGGCCCGTCGTCATCAACCTCGTCGCCCTTCTCGTCCGTCGTCCAAGACACAAAGGCCGCTCTCCCACAGGACACCAAGCCTCGCTCGGACAAGGCTCCCGACGACAGCGAACCCCCTCCGCCCTACACCGAAGGCGCCAGCCCGCTCGACGGCTTTACTTACCTCATGGCCCAAGCCGGAGGTGCTGCGAGCATCATCACCCAGGTCTCTCAGGGTGGCCCCGCTCCCATCAACACAAACGCTTTCCACTCCTCTCCCGATGAGCACATTAATATCGACCTGAGGTATGCTTGTCGCTCGACCTGCCCTTCACTAACAGCAGCTAACCCTCAGCNNAGAGGCACCCGCTTCACTCTCTCGCGCGATGAGCTCCTCACCCTCCCCGAGTTCGTGCTGCTATCGCTTTTCCCCAACGGACTCCTCCCTGAAGGCCACATGAACTCGTTCCACGAGCCTGACGTCTATCCCGTCGATGTTAGTGCCGCCCCATGCCTCATCTCCTCCTCCCGTCCTCAAGACATCGCTGCTCTTCAATCCGTCCTCCAAAATCATGATGTATATTTATCTGACTCGATCTATCATTCCCAGTATGACCCCACCTCTCTGCAATACATGCTAGAATTCTTCCGATCCGTCGCCCAAACCATCCCCACCTCTCCCACCGACGACTCTCCATCTCCTTTCTCGGGCGACCAAGCCCCTGTGCCCATCGAGCCCATGCAAGGTAATGCTAGAGATATGCTGCAGGACAGAGCTGGCATTATCGTCCTGCGTGAGGACCTCGACTTTTACGTCATTCCCCCGAGGCGTGACATTGGCCACCCCGAGATGGTCCAGGTCAAGCGTGCTGCTGGCCGCGCTTTGTTGAAGCAGGCTGGCATCTTTAGTGGCCTCCGTAAGAGTGAGGAGCCAGGCACCACCGAGCAACATCTTATCGAGATGCTGACCGCTGGGTGAGTTTGACTGCCGCATCCGTCTTTGCATTCATCTGCTAACATGCCATTTCTCAGCGGCTTCAACCATGATGACACCTGGGGTCATCGTGCTGGAGAGCCTAACAAGGCCGTCATTTGCAGTATCGCTCTAGCTCGTCTCCGCACTGACGTTCGTGGCGACGCCAACTCCAATGCTGTTGGTATGGCTCAGAAGCTGTTGTTGTTCTGGCGCAAACCCGCTCGCCGATGCTGGTGGGAGGGTGTTGACCTTGAGAATGTCGAGGGCATTGACGGCACACTCAAGGTCTGGATCCGCAGAGTCTGGACCCTCGAAATGGTGAGTCTTCTATCATGAAACTACACGTTTGAGCTGTACTAACAACCACCCCCAGAGCGTTATTGGCCTTCGCTAAGAGCAGCCGGAACTACTCCTTTTTCTCTTCTTGTCTCAATTTCCTACCTTCGATTCGACCACTCATACCCCGATAACACCGAACTTCTTTTATTCTTGTTGTTTCTACCACCTTCTTCTTCTCCGGCTTGTCTTGTCTGCTCGGCATACAGGCGTACCACAGCACAATCCGGATCCAACAACGCATTTCTCTCATCTGGGTATCATGGAATCACGGACGCGTCTTACTGCAAAAACTTTTTCTTGTTTTCCAGGATGGCATCACCGCGGTATGGTGACACGCATTGGCAATTGTCTCTTTAGTCCTGTTTTGCGTTCATCTCCCTCGTCTCGTCTTTGTCTTCTTCAGGGAGTCTCTATCGAATTGATTCTACTATTTCTTTGTTTTGTTTTTTCCCTCTACTGCTATCGAAAATAATATCTTCTTCTTCAATCTTTTCGAGTCGTTGTATCTTGTAGGCAGGGACTACTGTTGTTGAGCCCTTGAAGAGGGGTCTATGCTAGACCGACGCACAGTGCTCGAGATGCCAGACACCAGTGTGCTGAGCTTGCTCCCTTTTCGATAGACGACACATGCCTGTTTTGAGATCTGCCTGCGCCTGTATGATGGAGATCTGATCTTATGACGACGTTATCGTCTTGGGTGGTGTGTGCTCGATGTCTGATATTTCTTTGGTTATTATAGTGTTTCCTGGGTCACAACGCACTCGCACTGTTCACCAACCCTCTAGGTAATTGTTTACGATACTTGGTCGGTGCAGGTTGAATGATTGATTTTCCTACTGACTTGCCCCTAAGGTGGAGGCTTATGTCGCTTGTCACAAGCTATTCGGATTTGATTAGCAGCGTTTTGAACTGCTCTTTTGCTTTTTTGTTTTTGGGTATTAATTATGCTCTAGTTGGCTCTACTTGGAGATGACTTGCTTCATTGTTTTTGTCAAAGGTTTGTTGAGCTGTGGTTGGTCGACCTCAAGTCGTGTAGTTTATGACTGTAACGCTTTGGAAAGCGATATTAAATTAATATTCCAAGATATCTCGATATATGACTCCTACATGTGGAAGTCCAATACTAGCTCTAGCTAATGTGCGTAGTGAGAATGGAGAAAGATGTCGCTGTCGCTTGTAATGTTGCTATTGACCTCAGATCGCATCGTCGTGGGTACGACCCTGTCTTTATCACATGCACGATGTGCACAAATGTGCAGACTTTTGCACAAATCGTATGCAACAAACACATGTAACCAAGAGCGCCTTCTTCGAAGTCCTGACGATTGCTTCATTGTCATCTAGAGTAGTAGGTGTCGAGGATTCGACGTTCAAGATTCCAGCAAAGTCTCTTACTCGAAGAGCCCTTCTCAGCGAGCAGCTTTGAGGTCTGCGACTCTGACGGATCGAGGAGCAATAAAGTAACAGGTTGTAGTCCAAATAGGTTGTGTATGCCATGCCTCATTGATCGTTGGTCTCGTGAGATGTGACTTGGAAGGTGCCGATTTCATCCATGAAGAGCAATATCCACAAGTACAGCGTGCCTTCAACACTGTATTGTGGTTTCCAGAGGAAAAGATGGATAGTGGACACAGAATGATAAGAGATGCATAGTTAAAATTCAATACTCGAGCCAAACAAGGAAAAAAGAGAAAAAGAGGGTACAAAAAGCGCAATGCGGTGGTGTGGGTTCTTGAATCTTGGTTCGTCGCAGCCGTAATCGTGTTCATTGCAAAAGTAGAAAAGCTGCCAGAGCCGTTCTCTTTTATTCTCAATCCATTCCTCGAGAACTTTCACCATGTCCAAAGGGACACTCAACTAAACATTTCGACAGTGCAAAAGGGAAGGCGTGTGGTGACGAGATAAGGAAAATGGGTAGTCGATTGATAGAGAAAGGACAAAAGGGGGAATCCGCCATTGAAACGCCGAGTATTTATGCACAAGAGTTCTCATAGCCCAACGCAGAAGGAACAGAAAAGAAACAGAAATTGGTTGCGTAAAAGGACATTGTGAGGGGCAGAAGAGAAGGCCGAAGTGGGTGGTATTGTGGGAGAAGTTGTTGGCAGCACTGGATGAAGATGGTGAAAAGAGGTGGGTATCTCAAAGACAAAGGACATGACGATTACAAAATCAGACAAGCCTTTCTCTTCTTCTTCTTGCTAGGAGCAATCATGGGAGTGGGATTGTCCGAGGGTCTGCTGGCGGTCTGGGGACGTTTTTGTTGGGGTTGCGAGGACGAGTTTCCAGTGGTGAGACTACCACGGCTGGCAGGGGGAGTTGGGTTCAAGCCCTCAGCCTCGGCGACGACAGTGTTAATGGCGGCTTCGAAGATCTCGTGAACGCCAGTCATCTCTTTACTGCTGCATTCCATGTAAAGAGCGCCCATCTTCTTGGCAACAGCCTGACCTTGGTGGGTTGTGACGGGAGTGAGTCCTTGAGTTTTGAGGAGGTCGATGCAGGTACGCTTGTTGCGCAAGTCGGACTTGAGGCCAAGGAGGATGATGGGGGTGGTCGGGCAGAAGTGGAGGACTTCGGGGTACCACNNTGGATGTGTGTTAGTTGAAGGGAGTGGGTGTCAGAGAGGATGGCTGGGTACCTTGTCCATGACATTTTCGAGCGAGTTGGGACAGTCGATAGCAAAGCAGACAAAGAGCAGATCCGTCTCGGGGTAGGAGAGAGGGCGCAGTCTGTCGTATTCTTCTTGTCCAGCGGTATCCCAGAGGGCTAGTTCGACAATCTTGCCCGAGGGCTTGTGTTCGCAGTGGGTGATGTAGTTTTCGAAGACGGTGGGGACGTATTTCTGCAGGCCGTGTCAGTTGCAGTGCTGAGACTTGGAGATAAAGAGACACACCTCGGGGAAGACGCCCTGACTGTAGCTGATCAACAGACAGGTCTTGCCGCAGCCGCCGTCGCCGACGACGACAAACTTCTTGGAGTAGGCAGGAGGCTCGGTCAGGCCGGTGCCAATCGACTCGCGGCCTGAGGATGTGACTGAGCCATCGCTGCGGCGGCCGCTGTCCCTTCGTTGGGGGCCACGGCGGAGCGATGTGACCGAGGCGTTTTGCAGCCTCGAGTTGTGTCGGTGTGTGGCCGACATGATGTGGGCGATGATTGGGGTGGGCGAAGTTTAGTTTCTGGTCGTCGAGTTATGCGAGGAATGTGCTGGCGGTTGTGTATAGATGGGGCTGGACTGATATGGATTGTGGATTGTGGACGAGAGAGGAGTGGAACGAGAGACTGGAGCGTTTTGCGAGGTCAAGAGATGCAGGCCGCCGTGCTAATAATCATGGTCGACTTTGGCCTGGAGAGAGGCCCAGTTCCTGTTTACACACGGATCCGCCGTTGCCCCGGCACCGTCTGTCCCAACTCTGCCAAGCCACCCCAAAGCCCGTTCACCACCACCACGCACGACCCGCCAAACTCAGCACTAATCGATCGCTATCCTGGACGATCCTGCTATATCGTCTTTTGCTATATCGGGTCTTGTAGCTGCCTCGCCCGGAGAGCCTCTAGATTGTCGATTGCAAGATAGACGACAACGACCTGTCTTACATGGAGCACTCTCCCCACACGCAATCTTGCTCTGTCAATAAATTCGAGGGCCGGGGCTCATAAGCGTCCCTATTTTCTCACCTCTCGTCATTTTCCTGCGCCAGCGAAACGTATCTTGTTCTTGCCGCGCGCTTTGCTCGCTAGCTGCGCCAGCTAGACTGACTCCGACTTTTCCCTCGTCCGTCACCGCCCCGACAACAACAACACCATGTCTAATGTCGCCGTGTCTACCCCGCCTAGCCATCCACTCCTGCAAGCTCGTGCCTCGTCTCAGAACTTGCCAGATGCTGGCTTACGAGGTCTTGACCACTGTGCGTCATCCAATTAACAACATTCTACCCTCCCTCCTCCTCCTTGCTAATAGTTCAAAGACTCTCGTAAGCTTCCAAAATGGCGGTATCGTCTAAGGCAATCTCTCCTACCCATTGTCCGATGGGAAACGCCATATCTGGCCAAGGTTCAACAGACCTGTCGAACTCCCTTCCTTGATTCTTACTTTGCAATGACGGCGAACCTTGGCACCCATACCTTCTTTATGGCTGCCCTTCCTGTATGCTTTTGGTGTGGCTACACTGGCGTCGGTAGAGCGTATGATGATCCTAAATTCTGTCACATGCTATATTCGTACTAATTTCTACCCAGCTTGGTGCACATGCTTGCCTTGGGCGTCTTCCTGAGCGGTTGGATCAAGGATCTGGTATGCTTACCGAGACCTCTATCTCCTCCTCTACAAAGAATCACAATGTCTGGTTCTGCTGCTCTGGAGTATGGCTTCCCGTCGACGCACTCAACAAACGCTGTATCTGTAGCCCTCTACTTTCTATACCAGCTGCATACCTGGACTGATGAGGTTGCTTCACCGCAAAGGATCCTTGGCTTGTGTCTTGGATACTTTTATGCAATTTCTATCGTGCTTGGCCGCATGTACTGTGGTATGCATGGCTTCTTTGACGTAACCGTAGGTAGCGCTCTTGGTGCATTGATCGCTGTTCTCCAACTCGCGTATGGCACGCCCTTCGATGACTGGATAGCCGCAGGATCATGGACTCATCCAGCAATAGTCTTCTTGATCGTCCTTCTTGCGGTACGTTTCCATCCTGAGCCGGCTGATAACTGCCCTTGTTATGACGACAGTGTTGCTTTTGCTGCTGTTGTACTAGGATGCCAGCTTGGACATTGGCATTTTGCAGGAACCAGTATCGCAGTCGTTGGTGAGGCTCCGGCTACAGTCTTCTTCAGCCTTGAGAAGCTTGGATGGTTGAAAACTCTTGCACGTGTTTTTGGCGGCGTTGTGATTGTCTTCCTCTGGAGAGCTACGATGAAGCCGCTTCTCCTGAGATATCTCCTCCACTCTTTCGATTTCTCGAGACTGGTGGTGCAACTCTGCCCCGACGATTCTTTACACGAGCAAGGTGAGAGTTTCCCACGTCGTAGATGTAGACATATCTGACACGAAGCAGCGAGTACAAGAGAGTTCCGCCTCTTCGACAAGACGACAACGTTATCCCATCTGCTTCAGACATTCCAGGAATGCTGTCTAACCTCCGCCATCCTCGCAAACGTGGCATCTCGATTGGACCACAGTCAGAGGCAGATGCCCGTGAATTCATCGCCAACAGAGAGCGAAAGCGCAGAGAAAGTCGTTCATCTGCAGATGGAAACGATGCTCGACCTCAGCTGATCAAGCCACCGGGCGGATCCTTCTATGACTTGGAAGAAGAGCCAAACGCTGTGAAGCAAAGGCGCCATGAGGACAATTCAGAATCGTTCGGGGTGGCTACGCCACTTGCGACGCCTGGCAAAAAGGGCGATCTTCTCAGGCCCGATCCGTTCAACGCTCTGCCCCTGACGCCGCCAGGAAGCGATAGTGGCAACGGAAGTGATGCAGGAAGGGAAGAAAAAGAAGAGAGGGAGGATGCAGAGCAAGACCACCAGATGTTCCTTGCACTGGCAAAACCACGAGTGCGATATGATGTCGAAGTTGTGACCAAGCTGGTCATCTATGCAGGTATGAAGTAGTGTTGTAAAGGGGAAACGAGCTCGACTAACACATCAACAGGCATTGCTTGGCTTGCAGTAGAAGGTAATCCTCTGCTCTTCGAACTTACCGGGGTTGGCAAAAACAGTGTGATTTGATTGTGTCAAGGAGCGGAAAGTGCAAGTAATGATACCCTTACAAAAGATATATGGACCCAGTACATAATGTTTAGAATGACAAGTACATGTGGGCGGTGGTCAATTTTGAGCTTTGTGATGTTTCTAGCCCAAGGATGAGAGAGGTGCGGTGAACGAGCGTTGGATGCTTCGGAAACATGAAACACGCGCGGAGGTCAGTGTGGCGGTGTGTGGCTGCAGCTCGTGGCGGAGATTCAGGGCGCGTCAAACAACAGCGAGCTACGATTCCATAGACAGTCAATCCATTGACCTCTCGGCCGCTCTACAGCATTCGCAAACAGGAAGCGACACACCGACAGCTAGCTCGCGTCCTTTCCTTGACTTCCAAATCCACGACGACAACTCACTTCGGCCTCTCGCACTTTCCACGCGCAGCACTTTCCTATAAACGGCTGGCTTCTCATGTCGGATTTCCTGTCAGCAACACACAACTGAGATGGAGGACCCTCTGGTCCCGGCCACGAACGGGGCGGCCATTGGACGACCTGTGTCACCAGCTCCGCCGGCCACATCAACAATCGACCCCCAACTAATCATCTCATACTTGGAATCCGTTCTCCATGTCACCCTTGGCGCATCCAGACAGGAGTTACAAGCCAACAATAGTTTCTTGAGTTCGGAAAACTTGCCAGAAACACTTGCGCGATGTCAAAGGTTCGCCTCTGAAGCCCAGGTTGCCATCTACGTCCAACAAGAGGCTCTGGATGCTGCAGATGGCATCCAAGGGGACGGTGATGCTCGTGAGTAGCTGCCTCACGTATCGAAAGCTTGCCTATTGCTCACTGACTGTGTCTAGNTCGTGTCGACGCAATCCACATACCTCCTCGATTCGAAGCTCACCTACACGCCATCAACAGCATCGTGCGTCGCCATTCTCAAACGACCAGTGCCCATCCTACCCACCGTCCCGATCAGCAGCCAGCTGTCAGTAATCAACCTGCCTGGTGCAGGCGCCTCCTTGTCGACAAACCCCAATGCTGGTTCTTCCGCTTCGCCGTTCGAAGCTCTTCACTCCCTCGTACACTTTGCCTTGGCTCCCTACTTCGACGCCTGCACAAAGAGCCAGGAATCAAATCATGCATACACTAAACACACAGACGCCGAGTCTCGCACTGGTATTCCCGGAGCAAAGAGGAGGATTGCCGAGCTTGAACTCAGTCTACGGAATCTACAACAGAACATTGATGTGCCCGACCTGCATCTACCCATACACCCCGTAATCCAAGCCGCTGTCGATGAAGCCGCCGCCCGTAGCGAGAAACCCACCTCAGCACATCTGCCACAGTCTTTGCTCACTGATGCCCATTTCCTAAACAACCTACAAGCCGCCGTCAATGGCTGGATCAAGGCCATTCAGGAGAGCACACAGCGCTCGCGTGACCCCAGCACAGGCACGGCTATGCAAGAGAAGAACTTCTGGTTATCTATGGAATCAGCTTTGGACAGCATTGAGCGTCAGCAAAACAGCGATCCCGTACGTCTGTCCCTTGACGTGCTCAGTCAGGCCAAACGCCATGCTACCGCTGTCAGTTTCCACGCCGATACTGGTTTCAAAGAAGCTGCCGATAAAGTGATCAAGTACAACCAATTGATGCGAGAGCTTCCGTTGGAAGAGCTGCTTGCCGCCGCTACTCTGATCAAGATTCAGGAAGCACTCGACCAGGTCTTCCAGCATATCAACAAGAAGTTGAGAGTGTGTGCATATCCTATTCGCCGCGCTTTGCCCTTGGTCGAAGCCATCTCTGGTGATTTGGACACTAGGCTCCATGAATTGCTCCACGGCCGCAGTCTTATGCATCTCGACTTCCAGGAGTTCCAGAACCTCATGGCGGCTACAGACAAGATTTGGGATATTTGGGAGGATAACTTCAAGGAATTTGCCAATGCTGCAAGAGAAGTCATCAGACGCAGAGGCGAGAAGTTCATTCCCATCAAGATTGACCCACGTCACAAGCAGACCAAAGATCGCCTAAAGTACATCAACACTTTCCGGGTCAACCACGAGCAACTGCGCGACACTATTGCCAATGTTCTAGGAGAGGATCAGGATAACATCCATAATGACGGCGTTTCTGGACCTGTCATCATCGAAGAGATGGGCGACGTTGACGCAATTGATGAGATTTCACAAGCGTATTCTGTCCTGAAGGATGTGGATGTTCTTGACGTTTCTGAAGAGGGCACCCGCATCTGGGTGCGTGCCGAAGCCACATACAATGAACGTACAGCACGCGTTGAGAATTCGATCATTGCTCGCTTGAGAGACCGTCTAGCGCTTGCCAAGAACTCAAACGAGATGTTCCGTGTCTTCTCAAAGTTCAATGCTCTCTTTGTTCGACCAAAGATTCGATCTGCAATCTCTGAGTACCAAACGCAGCTGATTGGGAATGTCAAGAATGACATCGCAGCTTTACAGGAGCGTTTCATGCACCCTTACGGTCATACTGAGACACATGCCATGGCCCAGCTTCGTGACCTGCCACCTGTCTCTGGTGCCATTATTCGGACACGGCAGATTGAGAGACAGCTGAACGCTTATATGAGCAAAGTTGAGGACGTTCTCGGCAAGGATTGGGCTCTTCACGTCGAGGGCCAGAAGCTTCAGACTGAGAGCAACATGTTCAGGAAGAAGCTTGATGTCAAGCCTGTATTCGACGAATGGTTGCGAGATGTCAACCGCCGACAACTCGCCGTCTCTGGTCGTTTGTTCGCCATCAGCCGCAATCGTGCCAGTGGCAACATCCTCGAATTGAGTGTCAGCTTTGACGCTCAAGTCATCACCCTTTTCAAGGAAGTTCGCAATCTGCAATGGCAGAAGTTCACAATACCTCACGCCATCAACAACACTTCAAAGGAAGCAAGACGTGTATATCCCTATGCCGTTAGCTTGATGGAGAGCGTCAACACTTATGCTCAAACCATCAACGTCATTGACAGCATGCCCGAAGTTTCAATGCTTGTCAACGGCGTTCGAAGTGAAGTGCAAGGTCTCATTTCAAAGGGCACTCCCCTGAAGTGGGATAGTTTATCGGGTGCTTACGAAGTCAACGTTCGTCAAATGCCTACCGGATCCTCGGATCAGACGGAAAGCAAGCATGTCAAGTTCATCAGAGACTTTGCTAAGGCGATTCGTGATTTGCAAGAAAAGACGTCGCTACTATCGTCGATCAACATTGCCGTTCAGACTGCGCTCACAGAGCTTGAAACATGCCCATACACCCAAGAAGCATTCAGACAACAAATTGACATTATTCAGAAGTCCGTCGACCAGCTGAATTTGAAGAGCTTCTCTAATCTCTCCTTATGGGTCGCTGAGACGAACCAGAAGATTCAGCTAGTCTTGTTGTCTCGCTTACAGCACGCTCTGAGGCAATGGATCGCCATTTTCGCTGCGCTGAAGGACGATGATGACGATACCGAGGACGCCGAGCAAGACCGCGATGTACCTCACTTCGAACCTTGCATGCACGAGATGGCTATGCGCAACCAGTCAATCTATCTTGATCCTCCGCTTGAGAGCGCAAGAGCTACCTGGCTCCAGCACCTCCATGACTGGCTCAGCATTATCTGCAGTCTGCCCAAGATTCAGGCCGAAAGATTCGAGCTTGCTCTTGGCTTCAATAAAGACCCTGTCGCTGCCACCTTCTCCGACTTGCCATTGTTGTGTGTTGATCCTCTGTCAAACGCATACAATGCAGTAGAAGACAAGATCTCTGTGATTGGCGGCTACGTAGACCAATGGCTCCAGTTCCAATCTCTGTGGGATCTACAATCTGAACAGGTATACGAATACCTGGGAGAAGATCTCGCGATGTGGTTGCAGCTTTTGCTCGAAATTCGCAAGAAGCGCGAGACTTTCGACACTACCGAAACTACTCGCTCATTCGACCATCTCACAATTGAATACGAGCAAGTGCAAATCAAAGTCAACGCCAAGTATGATCAATGGCAACACGAGTTGCGTACACAATTCGCTCAAAGACTCGGTAACCGCATGTCTGAGGTATTTGCCGCACTCCAAAAGGCCAGACAGGAATTGGAAGGACAGTCTTTGGAAGCCAGCTCTACCGCTCAGGCTGTGACATTCATCACCACTGTCCAGCAATGCAAGCGCAAGGTGAAGGCGTGGGAGCCTGAAATCAACACTTTCCGCGATGGACAAAAGACTCTAATCAGACAGAGATATCAGTTCCCTACCGATTGGTTGTATGTCGAGCAAATTGACGGTGAATGGACAGCCCTTAACCAAGTTCTCGATCGCAAGAGCAAGGTCATCGAGGACCAGACAGACGCCCTCAAGGCCAAGATTGTTGCAGAAGACAGAGTCGTGGCTGGACGCATCACTGAGATGACTGCTTCCTGGAATGACAGTAAGCCCGTATCCGGTACCATCCCACCTGAGGAAGCAGTATCAACACTGGCCGAATTTGAGACTGGCTTCGCACAACTGAATGAGCAATCGGAGATGGTCGCCAGAGCTAAGGAGGCGCTTAGTCTACCGCCCAGTGCTGACTACGGTCTTGCTTCACTCCTAGAAGAGGTTCAAGATTTCAAGTCTGTGTGGGCAAACCTCAAGATGGTCTGGGACGGACTCAACGAGCTCCGTGAACAGCTATGGTCTAGCATCCAACCCAGAAAGCTTCGCCAATCTCTTGAAAAGCTCATCCAGATGACCAAGGAGATGCCCAGTAGAATGCGTCAGTATGCAGCATTCGAGCACGTTCTTGGTGTTCTCCGTGGTCTTCTCAAGGTCAATCCCATCCTCTCAGACCTGAGATCAGATGCAGTCAAGGAGAGACATTGGATCAAGATCTTCAAGGCTCTCAAGCCATCTCAACGCTATTCGTCCATTTCAATGACACTGGGCGATATCTGGGACTTGCAACTCGGACCTAGTGAGGTTATCATCAGGGACGTCATCACCCAAGCGCAGGGTGAGATGGCGCTTGAAGAGTTCTTGCGTCAAGTCAAGGACACATGGCAAAATTACACACTCGAGCTGGTGAACTACCAGAACCGATGCAGACTTATTCGTGGCTGGGATGATCTCTTTGCCAAATGCAGCGAACATCTCAACTCTTTGCAAGCAATGCGCCATTCGCCATACTACAAGGTCTTTGAAGAGGATGCATCTACATGGGAGGAGCGCCTCAACCGCGTTCATCTTCTGTTTGATGTTTGGATTGACGTCCAGCGCCAATGGGTATACCTCGAAGGTGTCTTCACTGGTAACGTTGACATCAAGACTCTTCTTCCCATGGAGTCTAACCGCTTCAACAATATCAACACTGAGTTTTTGGCCGTGTTGAAGAAGGTTTACAAGTCGCCTTTGGTGCTCGATGTACTCAACATTGCTGGTGTACAAAAGTCTCTTGAGCGTCTCGCCGATCAGCTGAACAGAATCCAAAAGGCTCTCGGAGAATATCTCGAACGCGAAAGAGTCTCATTCCCTCGCTTCTACTTTGTTGGTGACGAAGACCTGCTCGAGATTATTGGTAACAGCAACGATACTTTGCGTATTGCCAAGCACTTGAAAAAGATGTTTGCTGGTATCTCTGGTGTCGTTACTGATGAAGAGGCCAACATTACTGGCATCACATCACGAGAAGGAGAGCAAGTCATGCTCAAAAAGATTGTTTCCCTTGCAAAGACGCCTAGAGTTAATGAATGGCTAGGTGCATTGGAGACAAACATGAAGGAAACTCTTGCGGAGTCTTTCACCGACGCTTTCACTGTCTTTGATGAGCTTGCTGGACAAGACAATATTGATGGCTCTGCTCTCGAAACCTTCATCAACGAGTATCCTGGTCAGATCGTGGTACTCGCCACCCAAGCATGCTGGACAAAGTGGGTGGGCACAGCGCTCAGCGAAGGCGGCGCTTCATTACCGCAATTGTTTGATCGTCTGGTTGAGGTATTGCGTCTCCTCGCTGCTTCAGTCTTGGGTGATCTGGATGCTCTCTACAGAAAGAAGTGCGAACACCTCATTACCGAATTCGTGCATCAGAGAGACACTGTGGAGAAGCTCGTCAATGCTGGTGCTGATTCTCCCACTCATCACCTCTGGCTTCTCTCGATGCGCTACGAATATCAACCCGAGGCTGACCTGCTGGACCGCGTTCAGATCAAGATGGCAAATGCTGTTCTTGCCTATGGCTTCGAATATCTTGGCGTACCTGACCGTCTCGTTCGTACTCCTCTGACAGACCGTTGTTTCCTCACTCTCACTCAGGCTCTCTGTCAGAGACTTGGTGGTTCGCCTTACGGACCCGCAGGTACTGGTAAGACCGAGTCAGTTAAGGCTCTTGGTGTTCAGCTCGGTCGCTTCACCCTGGTCTTCAATTGTGATGACACTTTCGACTATCAAGCCATGGGCAGAATTTTCCTCGGTATCTCGCAAGTCGGTGCTTGGGGATGTTTCGACGAGTTCAACAGATTGGAAGAGCGCATCTTGTCTGCTGTCTCGCAGCAAATTCAGAACATCCAACTTGGTCTGCGTAAGAGCACCAGCGAACAGAAGGCACAGATCGAGCTTATCGGACGCCAACTCATCGTACATCAGAACACTGGTCTCTTCATTACCATGAACCCTGGCTACGCAGGTCGTTCGAACTTGCCCGACAATTTGAAGAAGTTGTTCCGCAGCGTTGCCATGTCCAAGCCCGACAAGGAGTTGATTGCCGAAGTCATGCTTTACTCCCAAGGTTTCTCACAAGCCAAGCCTCTTTCAAGACAAGTTGTTCCCTTCTTCGACCGCTGCGGTGCAAGTCTCTCGAACCAACCTCACTACGACTTTGGTCTTCGTGCCTTGAAAAGTGTTCTTGTCAGCTCTGGTGGACTCAAACGATCACGCCTTGTGGATCATGCTGGAGAAACGCTCTCTGAAGAGATTGTCGAGCCTCAAATCATTGTTCAGAGTCTTCGCGAAACTATTGCGCCCAAGCTTGTCCGACCCGATGTTGACATCATGCGCCAAGTTGAGGATGAAGTCTTCCCTGGTGTGCAGTATGTGCCAGCAGAATTGGCCGACCTCAAAAAGGCGATCAGAGATATTGCTGCTGAGAACAAGCTGACCGCAACTGATTCATGGATGACCAAGGTTCTTCAGCTCTATCAGATCCAGAACATCCATCACGGTGTCATGACTGTTGGTAGCTCGGGCACTGGTAAATCTACCGCTTGGAAGACTCTGCTTGCTGCCCTGCAACATGTCGACGGTACCGAGGGAATCTGTCACATTATCGACCCCAAGGTCATGTCAAAGGAGAGCCTTTATGGCAGCCTCGATGCGACCACTCGCGAATGGACCGATGGTCTTTTCACCAGCATTCTCAGAAAGATTGTTGACAACCTGAGAGGTGAAGATACGAAGCGTCACTGGATCATTTTCGACGGTGATGTCGATCCTGAATGGGTCGAGAACCTGAACAGTGTTCTTGATGACAACAAACTACTCACCTTGCCTAACGGTGAACGTCTCAATCTTCCTGCAAATGTCCGCGTCATGTTTGAAGTTGAGACACTCAAGTATGCAACTCTTGCTACCGTCAGTCGTTGTGGTATGGTCTGGTTCAGCGACGATACTGTAACCACTGAGCTCATGATCTCGAATCACCTTGCCGAGCTACGCAGTGCCAGCTTCGATGACCTTGACGAGGACTCCATCCTCAGCTCTCAGACAGCCGCCGCGGTGGAAGTCGTGCAAAATCAAGTCGCCGATTTACTTCAAGAACGTCTTGCTTCGAACAACTTCTGTGCCCAAGCTCTCAGCGAAGCCAAGGGCTACAACCATATCATGGAGTTTACAGAGATCAGAGCTCTCACCACGTTGTTCTCTCTTCTGCGCAAGGCCTGCAGATCGATCATCGAGTACAACGTACAACACCCCGACTTCTCCCTGGAGCTCGAACAAATCGAGTCTTTCATGTCCAAGAAGCTGGTCCTTGCTCTTATCTGGTCCTTTGTTGGAGACTGTCCTCTGTCCGATCGCAAAACTTTTGGCGATTATGTTGCCAGCCTTGCCTCTATTGATTTGCCACCCTTGGTGGATCAAGGCTCGATGATCGACTACGACGTTGTTCTTCCCGAGTCACAGTGGGTACCATGGCAGAACCAAGTTCCTTCCATTGAAGTCAACACCCACTCCATCACTCAAACCGATGTTGTTATTCCTACTGTTGATACTGTCCGCCATGAAGACGTGCTCTACTCATGGCTTGCCGAACATAAGCCTCTCTTGCTTTGCGGTCCTCCCGGATCCGGTAAGACCATGACTCTGTTCAGCGCCTTGAGGAAGCTCCCCACTCTTGAGGTAGTCGGTCTCAACTTCTCCAGCGCCACAAGCCCCGAGCTTCTTGTCAAAACACTCGAACAGTACTGCGAGTACAAAAAGACGCTCAATGGCACTACTCTTGCGCCCACACAAATTGGTCGCTGGCTTGTTCTGTTCTGTGATGAAATCAACTTGCCTGCTCCTGACAAGTATGGTACTCAGAGAGTCATCTCGTTCCTTCGCCAGATGGTTGAACACGGCGGTTTCTGGCGTACTGCCACCAAGACTTGGGTCAGCCTCGAGCGTATCCAGTTTGTCGGTGCTTGCAACNCCCCTACAGATGCCGGTCGTACTCCACTTGGTCTGAGATTCTTGAGACACGCCCCACTCATCATGGTCGACTACCCTGGTGAACTGTCTCTTACTCAGATCTATGGCACATTCAACAGCGCTGTACTCAAGATCATACCTTCGCTCCGTGGGTACTCGGATGCTCTGACAAGAGCTATGATTCAACTCTACTCTGAATCGCAAAAGCGTTTCACTGCAGATATCCAGCCTCACTATGTCTACTCGCCTCGTGAGTTGACCCGCTGGGTACGTGCTGTGTACGAGGCTATCAAGCCCCTTGAAGCGCTCAGTCTGGAAGGCCTAGTCAGAATTTGGGCCCACGAAGCCTTGCGACTCTTCTCCGATAGACTGATCGCCGAAGATGAAAGGCAATGGACTGAAGAAGCAGTCGACAGAATTGCGCTCGAGCACTTCCCTAACGTTGACGAAGTTACTGCTCTGCAACGCCCCATTCTTTACTCTACCTGGATGTCCAAGCATTACGAGCCTGTCGATCGTGAGCAACTTCGTGACTACCTGCGCATCCGTCTTCGCCAGTTCTGCGAAGAGGAGCTTGATGTACCTCTTATTCTCTTCAACGACGTTCTTGATCATATCCTTCGCATCGACAGAGTCTTTAGACAGCCTCAAGGTCATCTTATCCTCATTGGTGTCAGCGGAAGTGGCAAAACCACGCTCTCTCGCTTCGTTGCTTGGTCAAGTGGTCTCAAGGTGTTCCAGATCAAGGTCCACGGCAAGTATACAGCCGAGGACTTTGATGATGACCTCAGAAACGTTCTCAGAAGATGTGGTGTCAAGGGCGAGAAGATTTGCTTCATCATGGACGAATCAAACGTTCTCGACTCTGGTTTCCTGGAACGCATGAATACTCTGCTCGCCAACGGTGAAGTTCCTGGACTCTTCGAGGGCGATGAATTTGCTTCTCTCATGACTGCCTGCAAGGAAGCAGCACAGAGCAAGGGTCAGCTTCTAGACTCTCAAGAAGAACTGTACAAGTGGTTCACACAGCAGATTGTTCAGAACCTTCACGTCGTCTTCACGATGAACCCTCCCACCGAAGGTCTGTCATCAAAAGCAGCTACCAGTCCTGCTTTGTTCAACAGATGCGTGCTCAACTGGTTTGGTGATTGGTCTGACCAGGCACTCTTCCAAGTCGGTTACGAGCTTACTCAATCTGTCGATCTCGATCGAGCATCATATGCCTCGCCTGATAGCATACCCGTTGCTTACCGTCAACTCCAACTTCCTGCATCCCACCGTGATGCTGTGGTCAACTCTATGGTTCACGTGCACCACTCCATGCACAAGTTCAATGGTAGACTTCTTCGTCAACAGAACAAGACAACCTACCTCACCNCCCGTCACTTCCTTGACTTCTTGTCTCAGTTTGTTAAGCTCTATAATGAGAAACGCGATGATCTGGAAGAACAGCAACGCCATCTCAATATCGGTCTGGACAAGTTGCACGAGACTACTGTTCAAGTCTCTGACATGTCAAAGAGTCTGACTGAGAAGAACGTTGAACTGCAAACCAAGGACGCCGAGGCCAATGAGAAGCTACAACGCATGATTGCTGACCAACGCGAGGCCGAAACTCGCCGTGCTGCATCACTCGAAGTTCAGAACGCGCTGGTCGAACAGGAGAGAATCGTTGCAGAGAGAAGAGAAGTCGTCCTTCACGACCTTGCTCAAGCCGAGCCTGCCGTTATCGAGGCTCAGAAGAGTGTCAGCAACATCAAGAAACAACATCTGACCGAGGTTCGTTCCATGCAGAACCCGCCTTCTGGTGTCAAGCTTGCACTCGAATCTGTTTGCACTTTACTCGGTCACAAGGCACCCGATTGGAAGACCATCGTGTCGATTGTCCGTCGGGATGACTTCATTGCCAGTATTGTCAACTACGACAATGAGAGGCAAATGACCAGCAGCCTCCGTACCAAGATGCAAAGAGAGTTCTTGTCCAAGGACGACTTCAGCTTTGAGCGTGTGAACCGAGCCAGTAAGGCTTGTGGTCCTCTTGTTCAGTGGGTCGAAGCCCAAGTGAACTACTCTGCCATTCTCGACCGTGTTGGTCCTCTCAGGGAAGAAGTTACTCAACTCGAAGAGGAAGCCCTTCAAACCAAGGCCAACGCACAGGCAATCTTCTCCGAGATCAAGAAGCTCGACAACAACATTGCCACCTACAAGACTGAATATGCTGCTCTCGTCAGTCAGGTCGAAGCAATCAAGAGCGAGATGGCTCGTGTTCAATCCAAGGTTGATCGCAGTTCGCGCTTGATCAAGAATCTGTCTTCTGAACGCGAGAGATGGGAAGAGACTAGCAAGTCTTTCGACGCACAGATGGATACCATCGTTGGTGACGTCTTCCTTGCTGCCGCTTTCCTCGCATATGGTGGTCTGTACGATCAGCAGTACCGTAAGGCTATGCTTGAAGATTGGGCCTTCCAGCTCGCAGCTTCTAGCATCCACCACAAGCCCCATAATCCCATGGCCGAATACCTCTCTACCGCAGATGACAGACTGCAATGGCAGCAGAATTCGTTACCAGTTGATGACCTCTGCACAGAAAATGCCATCATGCTCCAGCGTTTCAACAGATATCCTCTTATCATCGATCCTTCAGGTCGTACTGTTGAGTTCTTGCAAAACGAGTGCAAGGATCGTAGATTGACCGTCACAAGTTTCCTTGACAGCTCATTCACTAAACAGTTAGAGAGCTCGCTGCGTTTCGGTAACCCTATTCTCATTCAGGATGCTGAACATCTGGACCCCATTCTCAACCACGTTCTCAACAAGGAGTACCAAAAGACTGGTGGTCGTGTGCTCATTCAACTTGGAAGACAAGAGATTGATTTCTCACCTGCCTTCCGTCTCTATCTCACGACAAGAGATCCTTCGGCAACGTTCGCACCAGACATCTGCAGTAGAACCACTTTCGTCAACTTCACGGTTACTCAAAGCAGTTTGCGCACTCAGGCTCTCAATGATGTGCTCAAATCGGAGCGTCCTGATGTTGATGAGAGACGTACCAACCTTGTCAAGACTCAAGGTGAATTCAGATTGCGTCTTCGTCATCTCGAGAAGCAGCTTCTTCGCGCCCTCAACGAGTCTCAAGGAAACATCCTCGACGACGACAAGGTCATCCAAACACTCGAGACACTCAAGAAGGAAGCTAGTGAGATTGCGATCAAGGCTGCCGAAACCGATGGTGTCATGACAGAGGTAGAGCGTATCACCATGTCTTACGATGTCATTGCACAGTCATGTTCCGCGATCTTTGCTGTGCTCGACCAGTTGCACCACATCAACCACTTTTACCAATTCTCATTGCAGTACTTTGTGGATATCTTCCACACTGTACTCCGCGCTTCCAAGAGTGGACCGGCTGGAAGCCACGAGAACAGAGTTGATGCCATTATCAAGGAAATATTCATCAGCACATATCGCAGCACTGCTCTCACTCTGCTGCAAAAGGACCGCATCACTTTTGCCATGCTGCTTGCGCAAGCTTCGCCTCTCAAAATGGATAAGTCCTTGATCGACAAGGTGTTGGACGAGGATCTGAGGGGCGTCGACTTGTCAACCAACCCTGAACTCAGAGAAGAAGCTATGGCACGTGCATCATCTATCAGACAGTTCAAGAATAGTCTGAGTCAAGTACCTGAAGATGAGTGGAACACTTTCTTCTCCGCCGAGTTCCCTGAAAAGAATGTGCCTGTGCTTGGAGAGACAGACAACGAGCTCGACAGAAGACTTCTCAATCTCTTACTCATCAAGATCTTGCGCGTTGATCGTCTCGTTCCTGCTGTCGAAGTGTTTATCACATCCCTCTTCGGTGCCGCTATGCTCGACGTCAGCGATGATCTCAGCCGTATTGTCAAGGAAGTTACAGCTCACACACCCATTGCACTTTCCTCGTCACCTGGCTTCGACGCAAGTTACAAGGTCGATCAGCTTGTGGAGCGCACAGCTTCTCGTTGTGCAAACGTCGCTATGGGTTCCAACGAGTCATTGGCCAACGCTGATGCTGCTCTTGCCAATGCTGCAGCAACTGGCTCGTGGGTCATGGTCAAGAACGTCCATTTGGCCGCCCACTGGCTCCAAAATCTGGAGAAGCGAATTGATAGTCTCAAGCCTCATCCTGACTTCAAACTCTTCTTGTCAATGGAGAGCTCTCCTAAGATCCCTGTCAATCTGTTGAGAGCATCAAGAGTCTTGAGTTACGAGCAACCTGCTGGTATCAGAGCGAACATGCGCGATTCGATGGCTTCGCTCAAGGAAGCTGGATCCCAACAGCCTGTCGAGAAGGCTAGAGTGTACTTCTTGCTCGCCTTCTTGCATGCTGTGGTCCAAGAGCGTCTGAGATACGCCCCTCGTCTCGGCTGGAGTGGCTTCTGGGAATTCAACGATAGTGATTTCGAGTGTTCAATCTTCATCATCGATACCTGGATGACTACCGTTGCTGGTAACCGCTCCAACATCGCACCCAACTCTATTCCTTGGTCTCTATTGCGCATCATGGTCACCGAGACTTACGGTGGTAAGATCGATAGCGCCTCTGACTTCTCGGTCCTGTCGCAACTAGTCTCCTCGGTACTCACTCCCGCTGCCTTTGACGAGAACTTTGCTTTACAACAAGGCCTCACCGTGCCTAATGGTACCACGAAGCGAGATTTTGAAGCCTGGATCAAGGGTCTGCCCGAGCGTGAGCCGCCTACTTACCTCGGTCTCGAGGCCAATGCCGAGAAGTTGTTGCTTGTTGCGCATGCGGATGAGATGTGCGAGGGTCTGCGTCGTGTGATGGAAGTGTTGGATGAGGGTGAAGCGGTCATGGCAGAAGCTGCCGAGGTGGTGGAAGTTGAGTAGATGGTGTAGCTCATGAAGAGGGAGCCTTGTCGTTCATGCTAGCACTTTTTGTATTTGTGGTTTTCTATTTGCATTGCATCGGTGTTTCTGTGGGTTAGCAGTATTGCAAGTTTTTGTTAACTATTCAATTCTTGCCTTCCTATTGCTGTTCTTAGTCGATACGAGTCAATTAGTGGTTCACAAGATGGTTGGTTTTTCTTCCCATAGGCCGTGTAAAGGATTCTTATCGGTCTCATGTTCTCTTTCGAGAGGCAATGGACTAGAGCACACTAAAGTTTGAACGTGGTGGAGGATGAGCTTTCAAGGTTACAAATGCACTGGAACATGCGATGCGATGAGAGTCGGCAAAAGACTTGCTGATACTGTAATACGAATCGATCTTGACTACTCGTGGCAGGCTGGATGCCGTTGGAACAGAACAGAACTTTGCTGGCTATACTCTGCTTATTGTGTCGTTTCTTGACTCTAGCTCTCCCCATCAGAACTTTCTCTTTCTCTCCGCAGGCGCTCTTTTCGAAGTGACGTTGGCTCGAATGTTTGGCTCAGTATCAGCTTTGATTGTTCGAGTGGTCAGCTCTTCGACCTGGGCGCTAAGCTTTGCGATTTGTGCTTCTTTCCTAGCCTTCTGGCTCTTGAGTTCTGCTTTCAGTCTCTTGTAATCCTCATTTGTGCGATCGTTTTTGTCCTCCCTTGTCGAAGCGGCCTCATTCTTTGCCACCTTGAGCTTCTTGTCCAACGTAGCTATTTCTCGCTTAAGGCGGTTGATATCATCGCTGAGCTTCTCTTTCGTGTCTTCTTCTCTCACATTTTCTTCTTGAGAAGCGGTCGGTGGAGGAGAAGGAGGTTTCATTTGTTGCATGATGGTATACTCTTGTTTTGGAGAAAGCATCATGGCCTGTGGCTCGGAAATAGTTGGCTTCGTCGCTGGGCCAAAAACATTTCTGAACTGTCGCAATGACGTGCGAACAGATCCCTGTGAGGTTTTAGCGTTGTAAGTCAATGTGGAAGTGGTTACTTACTCTTCCATGTCTCTGACAAGGACTTTGTCATTCATGTGACGAACGACCGTGAGAAATACATCTCGGTCCTCTGCATCAGCTAATTCCAGCCATATGCGGCCACTCGAAACTTCGTCTTTGGTCCCAACCAGAATGACTGCATACGAGCGTTCTATGTTGCAGAAAACGGTCCGAGCATGCTGGCCGTCGAGCTTGATCGTCATCCCGCCATAGCAAAGTACCTTGCCATGTTCAAAAAGGCTATCTCGTTCTGCTCCCAAGAGTAGAGGAGACACAGATCGTTGGAGTTGCCAGCTTCCATGCGAAGCGACGACAAAGAGAGAGCAATCATATATCGGACGTTGGTGTCTTCGCCTGTCACCGAAGTCGTTGAATGCTCATCAGATGCAACCTGCTTCAGGCGCAGCTCGTCTCTCAGATCGGCTACGGTCTGTTGCAAAGCGTCGAGTTTGGCCTGAAGTTGACGAGTTCTTGCTTTCTCTTCATCCAGTTCACGTTGAGCTTTTTGTTGCAGTGCTCCCATCTCGTTCACAACGGCAAGCAGATGAGTCGTCAGCGACGAGGAGGAGTCGTGGTCAGGCATCTCAGACAGTTGGTGGTGTGATGAAGGAGTCCAGAGTGTGTTGGAAAGTGGAAAGCGCGGGTGTGTTGAGCTCGAGATTGATGAGAAGAGTGAAGGTGAGGTTGATGCGAGAAGGGAAGGAACATGTCACCAGGCGTCAGTCTAAAGCGGCAGCTGCGTGCATCATCATGAAGCATCACACAACCATCGCTCCTGCTTCAATCGTGTCATGGAGCATGTGAACATCACTCGTGCAATCATACGACCGAAATAAAACATCTTATCTCTTGTACATGGTTGTTGCCGTAGAGTAGAAGATGACACCAGCCGTCGCTATCATGACCCCGAGTATACTGTAACCGCTGATGGCGCTACCAGTCCATATCCAACCCAGAGTTACGATAGTCACGGTCTTGGAATGACCCACCACAGTGCTGGCTACCGGACCTGCTCCGGCGATGATCGCGAATTGAGAGAGGTTGAGGAGGCATGCACAGAGACCACTCTGCTCAGATTAGCTTGGGTCAACGGAAATATAATAGAGACGTACCATCATAATCATGATCCACCGATGGAGTGGTACTTCGCTAAAGACTGGCAGAGTATCTACAAACGGTATCAGGTACATGAGCAATATTCCTCCAAGCAGCGACTGATTGTGGAGTAACTGTAGGCTTGTCATCTGGAGCTTTTGATGATAGTGGCCAATCCAACACGTGTAGATACCGCTCATGAGAACGCCGCTCATAGCGAAGAAAATACCGTAAAAGCTTGTCCCCTTATTCGTGGATCCAGGCCTGACGTCAAAGTAGGTCACCATAGCCACGCCAGCGCACACAGGCACCAGAGCGCATACAGCTTTGCTTGGGACGGTCTTCTGGTACAGAACATAGTTCAAGAACGCAGTGATGGGCGTCAATAAAACTCTGGCGGTTTGGTAGAAGGTGATAGACGAGTAGGCGAGAGAGAGGTTTGGAAGGATGACATTCAGGCACATAGCTGCGGCAAGCGGAAGGATGTCTCGAAGCGCTGCTCGCTTCCGATCGAAGAAGCCGAATCTCGTCGAAGACACAGTATGAAGAGTGGCAAACGTGACCAGGAAGTGGAAGGTTGCGAAGGAGACCTGGGCTCCACGGAAGGAAGGGTCGTCGAAGATGGACTTGTTGATGAAGACGATGGCTGTAGTGGCAATGATGTTGACAGCAATCCAGAATAACAACTTCGATGGTCTCTTCTCTGGAGCAGGCGCGTCTCTGCCTTCTTCGTCGAGGGTNTCCTTCTCATTTAGCAAATCATCGGTTTCCTGAGTTCCCATCTCATTGTCGTTTCGCTGTTCAAANAATGCAGGGTCTTCAATCTTGACAGTCTCGGCCGCTGTCTCGTACGAAGTAGCCATGATGTCGATAGTTTTACAAAATCGAATCAGCTCGAGGATAGGGTTGCTTTTGAATACAAATCCAAAAAGCCATCGCAATACCAACACGAGGGCGTTGTAAACTGAGACATATATTTGAACCTACAAAGGGAGAAGTACGAGCTACAAGAGCGGTGGATTGTGGAATCTAACTTCAGGAATTCCTCGCAAATCAAGACAGAGGTGTCAGGCATGTGCAAAGGGATAAAAGGCAAGGGTCTGTTGGAGCCGAAACCCTTCAAGGAGTCTCTTGAGCACAGACCCATCTCTCCGAACTTCCCCCAACCACCTGAGATGATGGCGCCCGCCTTTTTCCACATCAGTGCCACCACAATTACGGCGATCATAGCAAACATCAGAGAGCGCGGTCTTGCCGTTTTCCGTTCTCTCCTTTGTCCCAGTACAAGCTTCTTTGCTCCATGAACGATGGTTACAAAAAACGGTCTCGTATAGCTTCGATTCAGTATGATGACCATCTCACGTCGTCCACAGAACATCATCCACACCGTCTCTTATAATGCGAGTCTACCTACTTTGGCTTCCGTGCCTCGCGGGCGTGTATGTGTTCACAGACGAGATTCCTCACGCACCGATCAATGTACGATAAATTCCTTTGATCTCTCACTATGCAAGGAACATTACACCTTTAATCATTCATATCAGGACTGCTTGTCCAAAATTTTCTCTCTCGATGCGCCTCTGCTCTGACTAAAAATGCCCTGCTCAATTCCATCAAAGAGTGTGTTGGATCACCGTTGCAGGAGATGTTCTGGCTGACCAGGTTCCAGCTNNTTGAAAGATCATGCTTCCATCTGGGAAGATGCCNCCTTTCTTCAAGGATCAACTCGCTTTGAGCCTCAATCCGAGATCAACAACATCATGATCACAGGTGGTGCCGGTTTCATGTAGGCGGCTAGCAGATCTCGTTTACGGATGTCTTCGAATTACGCTGATATCTGTAGCGCGTCATGGGTTGTACGACACCTTACCAAAACCTACCATGGCCACTACAACATCATCTCGTTCGATAAATTGGACTACTGTGCAACACTCAACAACACAGCACAATTGGAAAAGGAGTCAAACTTCGCCTTTTACAAAGGAGACATCACCAAACACGAGGATGTTATGGACTGCCTGCAAAAACATGACATCGATACAGTCATGCATTTTGCCGCCCAGACGCATGTTGATTTGTCTTTTGGCAACTCAAACAATTTCACTAGCACCAATGTCGTCGGCACTCATGTCCTTCTCGAGTGCGTCAAATTGCAGGGAGTTCAAAAGTTTATCCACGTATCCACCGACGAAGTGTATGGAGAAGTCAAGGATGACGGAAAAGATCTACTAGAAGACGCTCTCCTTCTCCCGACGAATCCGTATGCGGCATCGAAGGCAGCCGCGGAGATGTATGTAGAGGCTTATCGCAAGAGCTTCCAAGTCCCGGCTATCGTTGTGCGTAGCAACAATGTTTACGGACCGCACCAATTCCCTGAGAAGGTCATCCCCAAGTTTTCTATGCTCTTGCAACGCAGTCAGAAACTGTCACTTCACGGCGATGGGACACATACCAGGAGATATCTCTATGCTGGCGATGCAGCTGATGCGTTCGACACCATACTCCACAAAGGTCGAGTTGGTCATATCTATAACGTTGGCTCTTCGGACGAGATTTCCAACTTCACACTTTGCTCCATGCTGTTGGGAGAATTCGAGCTTTCGAATGAAACTAAAGACGAAGTCTACAAGCACGTAGTCCACTGCGAGGATCGCCCTTTCAACGATCATCGATACGCTGTAGATGGCTCGAAACTCAAGCAACTGGGATGGCAACAGAAGACGCCATTCAAAGAAGGTCTTCGCACTACAGTCGACTGGTACAGAAAATATGGTGCAACATGGTGGGGCGATATATTAGACCGGCTCACTCCATTCCCTACAGTACCGTCAGAAGAACAGATTGATCGGACAAGAGACGCAGAGCTGGCGAGCACTCCTATCAGGCAGAAGAAGAACGGAAAGCGTGGATTTGATGAGGTCGATGGATCGCCAGACGTGAAAAGACGCAAAGAAAAGGAACACATGGATTCTGTTCTTGGTGCAGTCAAGGTATGATTTGATTGGTAGCAACTATCGTGAGAAATGATACAATCTCTAGAATCTGTCTCCGATCTAGTTCATGGGCTATGATAGTATAGCATCCCTTGAGAGTCGATGTTACCACGGTCAAAATCAGAGCTCAATCGACACTTCTTGCAGAGTGCTTGCTGAAGAAGTTACCTAATACCGGTACATTTCTTTGGCCAGCCCGGTCTCTGTGTCTCGATTCGCTGCTTGATTGCTGCGCCTTGCTCTTTCATGGCTGTATCCTTGTTCCACTGCAGATCGTTCAATGGCTTAGATCACCTTCAAGTTTGCTGGTTTAATTGAGGTCTTTCTGCATCTTCTTGATTGGTCCATGGCAAGATTTGTGTGTTCCAAAGGCCAGCTCAATCTCCTACTTCAGCTTGGGGATTTTTTATACAGGCCTTTGTCGTCTACTCGCGGCACACTGACAGCATTGTACTGTCGAACGAGTTTGTCGGTCTTGCTCTCAAGGTTGTTGATGCCTTTGAATTCCTTGTTCCTATTGCTTGACAGATGGCGGCTTTGTTATCACGCACGAGTGCGGCAATCAGTTCTTCGCATGCTTTGCTTTATGGTTGAGAGTTATATATAGACACAACATTCTGAAGATGGTTGAAAAGCCACAGCATCACCTTCATCTTTGCGCGGTTGACTGATTATATACACGCTTAGGATCAAAAGTCAGAAACCAAGACATCTTACTTCCGGGGCCAAAATGGAGAAGGTCCATCAAAAAGCATTGCCAGACATCAGTGGATCGACCCTGCGTTTCTGCTATTAGTCTGGTGGAACAGTGTATTTCCGCAACCATATCAACTACAGTCTCTGGTTGGATCGACGAGATTAGCATATACTGGCTGAAAAAAATTCGACTTTGCGGTCTCGTATAAGACTTCAGCCCCAAGCACAAGAAGCTTTTGACCAAGCGTAGTCTTGGGACTTCTTTGATCAAGCAATACGCCAGCCCACTTCTTCCTGTTAACCATTACGGTCTACACCACCAACATCAGCAAACTTCCCGCAGCCTGGGTGTCTCTGCTCATCACCTCCTTCGAAATTATATAACCGTGCCTCTATCCTCGCTGTTAGAAGATCCAGCTCTAGCAACTCTAGGACCGCGTGCAGTCCATTTCTAACATTACCTCTACGACTATATAGTCGACATTTTATACGTCCTACCCCACCGTCGCGTGCGTGGATCCAACAATGGCCGTCTCGCGACTGGATAACTCACAACTGCACCGCCTGTGGCAGCTGAACGTACGATTGCAATTCTGCCACCACACCGTCGCCTCACAGCGCAGATAGTCTTCGACTGGAACACCCCAGCCAACCCCTCCCACCGTGACACATCTGGTGCCAGCTCAGATCAGATCCTCAGTAAAGCCTGGCGACGATGAGCTGCCCAGCAACTTCGACACACAACTCGAAGATACCCCGCAAGATGCCATCAGTGCCTTGGAGAAGTTCTTTGAACTCGCTTTTCCTCTGGCGGTCGGAAGACCAACCTTCAGCGAGTTCAAGCGATCGTAGTTTACCAAGTCAAAACCAGCAAAGACATCAGACTGACACAAGCCAGTGTGCTTGACAAGGTCGTAGTGACAGAAGCTGAGCTGGAGATCGACGGCTGTGTCAACGTGACTGAACATCCGAAGTATTTCGGCGCCACACGGGAGCATTTTGCAATCATGTCGCGCATCCTGGGCATTACGGAAACTGGCTCATCATGGGCCCTCTGGGATCAGGCAAGACCGTATCGGTCGCGTGCCAATCCAAGTGTACGCCTCTAGCTTCAGAGCACCGCTTGTGAAGACTTTTAAAGGAATCTTCGACGCCATTCCTCAGATCATGAGAATGGGTATGCGCCAGAGAGAGGGCGTGAAGATTAACGAGAAGTGGAAGGTCGTCAAAGACCTTGATGATGTTCTTGGTCTCGTGGTCCGATCTTGGTGGTTACTCACGTTGCGGCACTAGGACTAAACCTCCTGTCCGACAGCAAGCTCGTGAACGTCAAGGACACAAAAAGGGGTTGGTGACTATACAGGATATTCGATACCATCTCATCGCCGCTGATTGACTAAAAGTTGACTATAAAAAGGCGTAAACTTGATCAGATCAGAAATAGTGCCACTGAGAGCAATGACTTAGTCAAAACTCTCGATTGTTTGTTGCTATCTCAGCCCTTTGTAGGAGTTGATAGCCAACCATAGAAAAGCACAAACTTGTTTGAAACAGAGCTTACACCAAGTAGAGCGTTGACTTGGTCAAAATTTTGGCCAGTTTGATATCATCTCATGTCCGATGATAGCCTCAAAGGCATCTATAAAAATGCACAAAACTTTGATAAAACAGAGATGGTACCATAGAGAGCAATGACTTGGTCAAATTTCCAGATGATATTGTTCTATCTCAAGCCTCTTAATGGCCTGAAAGTTATCTATAAAAATGCATAAACTTGTTCGGAGTAAGGGAATTGACCAGAGAGTGTTGACTTAGTCAAGTTTCCAGCTGTTTTCTTCTATCCCAGCTCTACCAATTAGCTAAAAGTTATCTATAAAAAGACACGGAGTTGATCAAAATAGGGGTATGACCAGTGAGAGCGTTTACTTAGTCGACTTTCTAGCTATTTCGTGCTATCTCAGTTCTACCAACTGGCTAATAGTTATCTATAAAAAGGCATAAAGTTGATTAAAACAGGAGCGACACCAGAGAGAGCGTTTACTTAGTCAAATTTCTAGCTGGTTGTTCGTATCTCAGCTCTCACAACTAGCTAATAGTCGTCTATAAAAAGTCACAAACTTAATCGAAAAAGGGGCAGCACCAGTGAGAGCGTTTACTTGGTCAAATATTCTTGGGGGTACAGTATTTTTTTTGTGATTTTTGCTATATAGAATGGGGAAATGGCTAAGTGTTCTCGATATGCTTATTCTGAAGCACTCTCCTCGCTGTCAACGGGCTCAAAGGTCTTGAGCAGATCCTGCATAGTTAGCTTCTTGTGACCTGCGTTCACTTGATCGATCTCCTTCTTCTTGCGCTCCTTGATGGCGTTCAGGTGCTCATCTATAGTGCCGGTGAGCGTCAAGTTGACAAATTCAGTCTCGTACTCTTGTCCGATACGGTAAACTCTTGAGAAGGCTTGGATTTCTGCGGCAGTGTTCCAGTAAGGGTCGACATTGAGAACATATCTCGCGCAAGTGAGATTGAGACCTTGGCCTCCAGTCTTCAATGTGGCGATGAGAATCTTGATCTTGGGATCGTTCTTGAAGTTGTCTATGTTTTCGTCGCGGGTGTTCTTGTTCATGCTACCGTGAAGAGTGACATATTCCCACTTCTCGGTCTCACAGATCGTGCTTAGCATGTTCAAAAAGGTCTTCCACTGGCAGAAGATGATGCACTTCGCATTGGGATCACCACCGCTCTTAGGTTCAAGCCAGTTTAGAACCTGAGACTTGACGGCCAGAGTCTTGGTGGATGGCAGGACATTGCCGCCTGCATCGAGCCATTTGAGCTTCGAACCGGCTTCTGCATCAACAAGTGACGTCTTGGTGATCTCTTTTCCGCAGCCTGGTTTGAGGCAGAACGTACGGTCGAGCTTGTTGGCACCAGTCTCGTGCATCATATCTTCCACGTGCAGATAGCAATAGATATGGTAGCACGGAGCCATGACAGGATTAGTAGCAGGACGGTTGCACTTGCAACATTGTGCGCGCTCGCTAAGGATGTGGAAGTTGGTGCTGCGCTTGAACGATTCGACGTAGCCTCCATAGGCGACGTTCTTGCCATGGGCACCTCCAGTGCCGTTCTTGCTCTTGTTTTTCTTGATGACCTCGGGGACTCTCAACTCTTCCACCTCATCAATGCCTTCGTCAAATTCGTCAATGGGTGATGATGATCCATCTGTATCAAGCGTGATACCGTTCGCAGCCCGTACCTCAGCACGCGTACGACGTGCACGCATGGTAGATCTGAAAGCGTGAATTGTGCTGATTGCAGTTTCGCCCGAAGCAATCTGTCTCTCGACTGCCTTCTCGAGCTTCTCAAAATCGTCTAGTTCCAAGTAGTCAGAGACTCTAGTAGGAACCAGCAACGGATGGGCTGTCATCTGGCGCAAGAGAGTGTACATTGCCCAGATGTGATATTTGTTCGATCTCAGCTCTCCATTTTCGCCGAGTGTTTGTGCTCTCTGCTTGAATCGAGCACGAATGACGTGATAAATCTCGAGTTCTAACTTCGTTGGGTTGAGGCTGAGAGATTTGTTGTGAGGTTTCGGGAGCGTGATGAGCCTGGCATCGAAAAGCTTGTCTTTGTGGGTGAAGCAGCCAACACTGTCTACCATCTCCTGACTAAGTGCATCCAAACTTGCGGGGTTCTTAGTGTTGCAGAAACGAGATTTAAAAGACTCGAACGTCGTCTTTTGGACTGCTGGATGCCCGATGAAGTGTAGCAAGCTGTAAAGATCCTTGCTTCCATTGATCATCNNCTAGAAATAGTATTAGTCACATTTCCAATGTCTAGGCCAGATATCCACTTACGGCGTGCCTGTCAAGACCCACTTATGATCAGCGACAAGATTGAAACAAGCTTGTGCGATTTGAGTCTCAGGGTTGGCGATTTGATGGCCTTCATCAAGAACAACTCTGAGGAATTGGTGCTTGTGAAGAGGTCCTCTCTTGTTGTAGCAGTTCTCCAACCAGAAAGCCCGTCTTTCGGCCTGAGAAAGACCTTCAGGAAACTTGCATTCCGGCCAACTGACTCTCACGTCGTAGTAGGTAGTCAAGATGATGTCGTGTTTTGCAAATATTGCAGGATCGAGCTCTGCTGACTGTTTGTCCCTGAAGACCTTGACCATGCCTAGTCCCCAGTCCCTACGTTTGACCTCTCTCCTGGTGTGGCGTTGAATTTCTGTTTTCCACTGAGTAAGCAGATTAGTTGGCACGACGATGAGAGTAGTGTGTGATGTTGGTTGTAGATGATCGGGGAAGCCTCTCAGGGGTCTTCCGTTGACAATGTTGGCGAGGCATGTCACTGTCTTGCCGAGGCCCATCTGGTCGGCAATAATACCTCCTCTAGGCTCACTGGTGCCCATCTCACGAGTTCTCATCCAACCACAGTTGATCACCTGGTAGTTCTTGAGCGGCGTGGTCATACCCTTGACCCTCCAACCGCCCGCCACAGGCAGTATACTTCTGTTTTTCTTGGAAACTCCCTTCTTGTTGGTGAACGATTGGCAGGCTTCATCGAATCGTTTGGAGTCCAGACCCGCGGCTTCTGGACCGATCTGCCTCTTGAGGCCCTTCAAGGCAGCGGCACGACCTCCGCCACCCTTCTCGATCTCCTCATAAGTGGGCTCTGTGTTCATTTGCTCCGCAGCATTAGCATTCTCCCAGAAGTCGTGATGACCCATGAGATTAGGTCTCGACATTTTAGCAAGCTTGGATCTGCGTGCTGTGTGATATCCTTTGCGAGGCTGTGACTTGGAAGTTTTGGTCTTCTTCTTCTGTGGTGCTTCGGGTTCGAATAGTGGATCCTCGTCATCGGCTAGAAGGGCAGCCAGGTCGCGCTTTCTCTTGTTGTATGCAGACTCTTTCTTCATGAACTCCTGTTGTTCTTCTAGAGTGGCTTTACCAGTTTTCTGCCTCTTCTCGAACTTCCTCTTGTCTTGTAGAAATTGGCGTTCTTGTTCGAGTGGATCTTGGATTGCTTCTGCAGGCTCCGGAGAACCCTGGTGGTCTTGCTGGTCTTGCTGATTCTCCTGGTGGTCGTTGAATTGTGCAAACATGGCCTGTTGAATAGCATTGAGCGCGTCATTGTCCATTTCCTCCGAAGGCGGTGCGGTCTGTCGTGGTTGGAGGATACTGTTGCCCAGGGCAGCAGCTGTAACCGGAGCGGGCACTGATGGCTCAGGAGTAGGTTCAACTTTGACTTTCACCTCTTCTTGGTCGGTGTAGGTTTCGCAAGTCGTGTTGTAGTAATCCGGTTCGTTCTCTATGTCGATGACCTCAACGCCGTCGGGGAGCTTGAACTCAACGCTATTGCGTCTCCTGGAACTCATGGTTCTACAAAGAGTTAGCCTCTCGAGAATGCTGCATGGCTTTTGGTATGGCTATAGAAATGCACAGAACTTTGTCAAAAGGAGCAAAGTTCACGGAGAGCTAGCATTCAACCGGCTCTCTCTAGACTCAACTCCAGTCTCAAAACAACTGTGCATTTTTGTAGCCTACTGACAGCCCCTCTGCTCTTGCGGGAGCATCACAGGGGTGCCACGAAGTGGTGCTGAGTGAAAACTGTGAAGGGGTAGTACTTACGAGATGGTGTTTAGATCGATTGAGTGGATGGTTCGTGCAGCACAGCAGAGCTCCATCGCTAGCGGCGAGCCTCTGTGTACTATTGATAGAGTAAGAAGATGTTGTATGTGGGATGGAGTGGATAGATGTTGGAGATGTGGAAAGGTGTAGACGGATGTTGATGTTGAGGTAAAGGAGGGAGTGGAGTGGAAGAAGGTTTATATAGGCCACAGGAGCTTAATGTAGTGAGAGTGAGGTATCTTCAAGTGATGAAGAAGATCTGTGAAGGTACGTGGTGTAGTGATGTAGGTGATTGAAGCTGGATTGGAAGGAAAGGAGGCCGAGGAAGTAGAAGCTGAGGAAGGAATCTGATGCTGTGGTGGAGGAGCAGGTGGTGGGGAGGACGGTTTATATAGGACTTCTGGCTCGAAATACTGAAGGAGAGCTTACCTGGAGTGAGAAGCACGCTGTGCGACCAACTGACCAGTGTGAGTGGGACAGATAGAGAGGAAATAGGAAGGAAAGTAGAAGTAGAAGTTGTTGTGGAAGGAGAGATGGAGGTTGAAGAAGGAAGTTGATGTTATGGTAGAGGGGAAGTGGTGGAGAGGGAGGATTATATAGGGCACTGCGGAAAAGGAAGTTTACTCGGAGTGAGAAAGAAGCTCTGAGAGCAGCCAGATAGTGTATGTGTGAGAGGAGTTGAAGTTGGAAAAGGAGGTTGATGTCGAGGTGTAGGAACAAGTGGCGGAGAAGAGGGCTTATATAGGACAGCTGGGTCTGAGATGTAAAGGGATGCTTACCTTGGATAAGTGACGAGAGCAGTGGAGTGGGTGGGTATGAGAAAGGATAGTGGAGTTTAGAGAAGGAAGTTGATGTCGAGGTAAAGGAGCAGTCGGCCTCGAAGAGGTTTATATAGGGCGACAGGCGTCGGTATTACCGAGGTGGGCGGCTCGTAAAAAGTGATTAACTGAGACGAAGTAACCAAGAGGCTGAGTGGGAGCAGAGTAGATCATGGAGACGCCTTAGTACTACTCACAAGGATGCTTACCTTTCATTGGGAACCAGAGGATTGTTTCTGCACAAAGCATAACCATTAGAAGCACACATAATGAAAGGATACGTAAAGTTCGATGCCCTTGAGCAACATTACGACCGGAAAACTGTAAAGCAAGGCGGTACAACCCTCTCTTGTCAACGCTTTCTGTGGAGACTAAACCGATAAGATTAAACAGGGTATCGAGGAAATAGTAATGGTACATTAGAATGCCAGAAGAGGAAACGGCAGTCGCTATAGCGCCGGTTCGAACGTCCAGAAGGTAAGCAGGTAACAAAGAAAACAATTTTATCCAACCAGATCTCCTGATGCTGGATAGAACCACGCGCTGACGGCGATGATGATGTACACCGCCATCAACAATATTCCCTCAAGCCAATGACTCTCGCCATCTTGGATGAGATAGTTGACCAAAAGCACAGCGATGAAGAGAACGGCGACCTGGAAGCCGTCGAAGTCGAGGGTCATGGCGTCGTTGCCCAGTCCGCACCAGCTGATGACGACCATGAGAGGAAGAACGAGAAGAGCGATTTGCATACTTGAGCCGACGGCGACACCAATGGCGAGATCCATCTTGTCCTTGATGGCGACAGTGACGGCCGTTGCGTGTTCTNNGTTGATGGGATTAGCCTTTTCGTAGTGCATTATAAGCATGTGACCCAACTTACCTGCAGCGTTTCCCACGATGGGGACCAAGATAAGACCGACGAACTCCTCGGAGATGTGACCGTGTTCAACGATGTAGTCAATACCACTGACCATGAATTCGGAGTTGAAGGCGATGAAGACTGTCGCAATAGTCAAGGTGATAAGAGCACCAACAACAGACAGCGCAGGCGACTCCTCCTCTTCGTCCTCGTTGTAAACGAGGTTGGACTGGTTGACTTGGCCTCCAGCTGAAGCAGCAGTACCGGCACCAATACGAGCAATTCCCATCAGAGTTTCGCCCTTCTCTCGGGTGGAACCCTTCTTCTTCTCGGATTTTTGACTCGGGGTGTTGTAAATTTCGACGTGAGTCTTGAGCTGGAAGATAAGGTAGGCAAAGTAGACAAGGAGCAAGATGATAGCTGTTCCTCGTGAGATAGGAGCAACACCACCCGCAGGGTTGTTACCAAATTTCTGGAAAGCGGTGGGGATGATCAATGAACCGATCGAGACAGCAAGCATACTGGAGGCTGTTTGGGCGACAGTAATGTTGAAGTGCTGGACGACACGGTTGATGCCACCAAAGAAGAAACACATACCCAGGACCAGGAGCAAGTTGGATAGCATACTTCCGATCAAAGAAGTTTGGACAATAAGGATTTTGTTCTGTGCCAGAGCGATGATACTGACGATCAGCTCGGTAGCGTTACCAAAACTGGCATTGAGAAGACCTCCCAGCGTCTCACCAGTGTAAAAGGCAAGCTCTTCTGTTGCAAAGGACAGCATGGCGGCGAGGGGAATGATGGCAATGAAGTTGACGACAAAGACGGCATATCCGTTGGCATGGGTGTACCGAAGAGCAAAACCGACAGGAACACAGACGAGAAGGACGTTGACCCATGAGCCGAGGAGAGTGGCCTTGAACTGGCTGACGATGCCAATCTTCGGCCGTCTCTTCTTCTTGGTGTCGCCAGTGTCGGAGCGTTCAAGGTCAGAGTTGTCCGTCTTGGTACGGTCAGGTGCACCGAGCAGATTCATGAGGGCCAGGCGCTTGCGTGGTTTGTGCTCAGGCTCTGTGACGTTCTTCTCGGACATGGAGCGAGAGTTGTCTCTGTCCAGTGGTAGAATCTCCTTTTCTCTGGACGGTTTGATATCAGACTGGCCGCCAAGGGTTCCATTAGATGTGGGCGTATCGGAAGAGGTACTAGACTCGGGCGGCGCTGTGTTGGCATGGTGGGGGTAGGCAAAGTCGGCATCATCTACATTGCGCGCATCGTTGCGCCTGATACTGCTATCTGACATGACTTGGTCTGCTGTATGGCGACGCTGCAGGTTGTTCTCCTCGTCTTGCGGCCGTCCAACATAGGATCGAGAGCGCCTGGCGAAAGGGTTGTAGTTGGCCTCGCCGTCGGCTTGTCTCCAGGCAATGTTTCGGGCCTGGTGCTTGATTGAATCTTGGAAAGGCCTGTCAGTAGTGTCGAACTTGACAAGATAGACAAGAATCTAGGCTTACGCATTTCAATGCTTGATTGAAGAAGTCGCCAAGGATTAAGGTCTCGTGATGGAGGTTACCGAGGCAGATACGGCAGGGCGAAAGAGAAAAAGGAAAGGAAGCGGGAATTACAAAGTGGATGATGAGAGGAAGGCCTTGTGTCTTGAACGCAGAGTGATGTTAGCACCGAAGTTTGAAAGTCAGGACGAGAGGTGCCGCCAGCGGCAAATGGCAGGCATTAAGCTGGTAAATTGGAGTTCTCTCGAACGTCCGAGGCGCGAAACAACACGGTGAAAGGGCAGTCCTTGCGTAACTGATTTTCGCCTGGACGCAAGGTTGGGGGATGCTCTCTGATGTGATGAGCGTGGCTGTGCCCACGAGAAGCTGGGGAAGAAGTGGGTCGCTTGAAACAAAGGTACATACCGACGAGTGATGATGCGTGAGGTCGGTTTAACGACTGAACAGACTGCTCGCCGTGTTGCAGCTGCTGGGATTACTGTGGCATGTCTTTAGGGAAGAGGAAGGAGGAAAGAAGGTCAATGGCAGAGGTAATCACCCTACGTCGGTGGTAGTGCAAACGAGCTCTTGCAACTCATTTCCCTGCTCGACCGCCAGACTCACCCAGCTTGCATCGCAACCGCAGACTCCTGTCTTGGCAAGCCTCCAATCGTCACCTTGGTCGTTATTGGCTTTTTCGTTTCGGGGCTTGGGCTTTCTTCTTTCCTGCGCCTACCGCCCGCTGGAAATCAAGCTTCATGACATCAAGGCTCAGCCACTCGTTCGTTCGACCTTCACGAGTACGTGGTATGAGCTGGCGAGCGTCACAGAGTGAGGCTGTGCGATGTGCTGTAAGCAATATCGGCCAGCGCTTTCGTGAGGTGATACGCTGAGGAGAGCGCTTGAGCGACGCCGAAACTTGACGCTGTGGAAAGAGCATCGCGCCAAGAGTACCTCGGTATGCGATCATCATCATCTACCAGAAACAAAACACCCTCTTTCTGTAACATGACACGAGCGTGAGGCCACGCGAAGGGTTTCCTGAACATCACGTCCAGTGCGTGAAGAGCCGATTCGGATGCAGTCCCTCATGCTACCACTCGTTGCGGTGCCGTCCACGCTTCTCGTTTTTGACTATTTGTCCCAGCAATTACGGTATTATGGCTCATGGTTACACTCCTCACAATTGAACATAAGAAGAAAGGAGCATACTATCTCGACGATGATATCAGCATTCACGTACGCTTGCTGTCGGATCCGTCTGCAATCCAGGAGAAAATACGATGGGCAAGCCATATTGCTCTGAAGACCTTGCGTTGCGTTACGATAGAGGTCACACCCTGACCCTTTCACATTGAAGTCGCCATATTCTCATTCTTGCCAGCAAACTACCAGCCAGATCAAGTTACAGTATCTCCTGTCATGGGGTTTCGACTGTATCTCGTCCAGACCTATTGCTATGGCGGTTTGAACCGCGAGGTCCGGTCATGATTTTTCTTAGATGAAAGCGTACATCGGCAAATATCGCGTGAACTCATTTACTGAGATATCACTGACATGATGGTGCTCGAGGGGTAGAGCTCTCACATTAGTGACGATCGATTAGTATGCTCTTCATGATCACACATTCGCTGGCTTGGTCTAACTCGTCCTCACGGGACCCGACTGCTATATGGTAACTCCTTGACATCTTCAGCAAATCTTGGCTGGTTACAAGGTCAACTACATTCACGTGGGCTACACAGTAACACAATTTGGCTTTGCAGTACTGTAATCACATCACTAGAGATTGGGAACACATTTCCTTGTAGCAGAAAGAAGCCTTGAGGTCAAGGGTATCGGCTGGCCCAACCCGGATACCATTGGTCGGACATGTTGCATGTGTACCTACTACAGCAAACCGCCAATGCGTAAATCGTCGAGGTACGTGTATCACACATCCAACCAAGCTCGCACGGTGGATTACTTCGGGCCAAAATGACGCTCTGTTCATGCAGCTGCACCAGTTGGAATGGTCTTCAATGAAGCCAGGTTCTTGGGTCAGAGACATTTCGCGTTGGAAGCATTGCTCCTTTCTCGAAACGCACGTGCAACCCACCGCAAGAGTTTGATCAGTCACCTTTCCTCTTTCAATCTAAGCGATACAGCCGCACGGCACACCCGCTGTTACGCAAGCCATCTTGCAGTGTTTTCGAGACTAGAGCGTGAAAAAACGCAGTCTAATGCAAGTTGACAGGTGTTTTCGCCAGCCATGCACCCCTGAGAAACGGCGGCGTGGGTGACTTTCTGGAGATTGAGTTGCGTCAGGCTTCTTGCATGCAGAAAAGCCATGCACAGGTGCATGCAAACCGCGGTCATCGACAAACAACAAAATGGATGCGAGTACACAGACCGAGATGGAAAATTGAAGGACTTTGACAAACAGAGAGAGATGTCAGAAAGATGATCCCCGACGCATCATCGGAGCTATCGCTCAACTGGGTTAGAGAATATCGGTACCAGCGAATCACGACGATCGATGGATTTTTGTTTGTGGGGGTTGACAGGGGTGGTTGGGTTTCTGACTTCGATCTTGTCCTGGCACCGCTGGTATCTTCAGCCCAGGCCTCCCGTCGTCCAACAATGGCGGCGCCTGTAGAGCATATCAAATCAGTCCGCCCTTGCTCGGGACTGCAGGCCGTTAGCCAGCACAACCGTCCGGGATGATTGCGGATGCAGGAGGGCAAGGAAAGTAACGTCTTCGATTTACCTTATGTTGTCTCTTTGTCGCTCTCCATGTGTTGACTCTGTCTCTCTACTTGCCTTGATTGCCTTTGTCGACTTGCTGCTGTTACATCGATAGCCGTTTGGCTGCCTTCCATTCCTTACAGTGTCTATTCTCTGGTCTCTACAAATATCTAGCATGGCGTTCATGAACAGACTTCGCGTCCTCGCTGTGGCCTCTTTACTATTGAGAGCCGTCTCGGCTCAGACCTGCTATTACCCGGATGGCCTGACTACCTCAGACGACATACCATGCAACAGTAATGCAAAGGCTTCATCATGTTGCCCTACTGGATCTTTCTGCATGGACAACGGGTTGTGCTTCGGAGGTGGTGTTGTGTCTCGATCTTCGTGTACCGATCAAGCATGGGCATCTCCAGAGTGTGCTCGCTATTGTCATGATGGTATCGTCAATCCTGTTTNNGCAAAGCATAGAGCCGTGCTGACCGNNGGTATTCTAGTCAATGAATCGAGTGCCATCGGGTTGACAGCCTGCGACGCAAACTCGCGGACGTTTGTCTGCGGCTTAAGCAACAGTCAGTGTCAAAGTACGCGTTCGACCTTTACTATGACCGATGGCAATGCCTTGGTACTACGGCCGGCACAGATTGAAGCTCTCACATCCAACTATTCAGCCCCGTCCAACGAGAACAGCCACCAGTATGGCGTGGGATCGATGATTGGAGTCGCCTTGGGAGTTGGACTCCCTTTGGCATTCGCGTTACTCATGGCTCTGTTGGTGCTGAGAAAGGAGAAACAGAGACATGCTCTTCAAAACATGTTTGAGCAGCGCTTGGAGCCGATGAGTCCTCCTGGGAACTACCGAAGGCGTTCATTCTCTACACTTTCGAAGTCTGGAACGATGACAACTATTGCGTCAGCTTCAACATTTGTGCCTCAACAACCCAAAGCATCTCTGCAAAAGTTTGGGTACCACAAAGGATACTATGCTCACGAGGGCGACCTCAGTGTACCTGTTTTTGAGCTACCCTCGAACCCCCCGGAGAGGCACGAGAGGGTTGAAGCACCATGATTTTGTGGCCAGATACTGTCAATTTCTTTGTTTTGGTCACTGGAGTTTGGGCCAATCTCGGGCAAGACCCTTGAGAGATGAGGAGGTCGTGAGAATGTTTGCTTATACCCATGTTGCGCTTCACGGAAATCCGTTGTTCCTCTTTTTCTGCTGTGTCGAATCATTTGTAAATTTTTCTATCACATCGCTTTCCTCTCTAGGCGACAAGCCAAGGTGTATCTGAACTGTGTATGTCATGACTGAGCATAATTTGCAGAGTGTAGGTGACTTTCGAGGAAGGACTCAGGAAAGAGAGCATGCTGGTGCCTTCCGGTAGCCCCTGCCTTGACCTGGTGACGACGCCACACTCAAACCTGTCTTTCGGGTCGACATCGACAGAGATTTCGCCAACACCAATCGCATAAGAAAATCAGGCATTACCTTTTACAGTGTATCTTCGAACAACATGACTTTGTTCTTTCTCTTCTTACTTTACATATTGCATGCAGCTGAATGCCTTCCTCTCAACTCCCCATTGCTGGACTCGTACGACTACATCGGTCAGCCACAATCATCCCATCACAGTCAAGTACAAGCAGCTGACTTCTGTANNGTTGTCGGAGGTGGCCCAAGTGGACTAACAGTCGCGAATCGTCTCTCCGAAGACCCTGCCATCAATGTGTTGCTGCTTGAAGCTGGCCCGGCGGACAACCATGAGCCTTGGATTTAGATACCATTCTTTGCGGGACAAGGTGTCGGTAGCTCTCTGGATTGGAACCTGATGACCGCACCTCAGACTTATTTGGACGGAAGAAGTCGTGCACTGCCTCAAGGCAGAGTTCTCGGTGGTGGTACCGTCCTCAACGCCATGCTGTAGAACAGAGGTGGCATTGGCGACTATGATGATTGGGTGTCTCTCGGCAATCCTGGATGGAGTTTCTGGGACCTGCTCCCGTATTTCTGCAAGGTAAGGGACTTCCAGGCACTTCGATGCGCCCAGATGCTGATACGAGGACTCCCAGNNAGCGAAACCTTCACGCCCCATGCACAGAGTGACGCTGCCAACGCGGTCGGCATCAACCAGAATCCACTCGTCCACGGCAACAATGGGCCTGTCAACGTCAGCTTCTCGAGCCACATCTACAATGAGACGGTCAATTTCTTCTCGGCGCTGAACGAGCTCCGCATGCCAGTATCCTACGATCCCAACGACGGCGCAACCGCTGGTGCATCCTTCCTGCCATTGTCACTCAATCCGGCAAACCAAACAAGGTGTGATGCTCGCTCAGCATACCTCGAGCCGTACGTCACAAGGCTTAACCTTTGGATCTCGACCAACCAACACGTAACCCGCATCTTGTTCGACGGAGGATCTGGTAACCCAAACACAACGACACCTATTCCTGGCGATGATAGTGTGGGACAGGGCAGCTCGTTCTCCAGACCTGACGGCTTGTTCTCCAACATTACTCAGAATGCTATCACCTCAAAACGCCGAAGAGCATGGCCCATCCGTTTTATTTTCGAGGCTGTTAGTCTTCATTTCTTTCCGCAAAAACGAGAGTCGACCAATACACCTGCGACGTCTGTCGGAGGTCTACTGCGAGCCAACGGAGTCGAGGTCAGTGCCCATGGCGTCTCATGATTAGACATAACGTCCGACCATCACTAACTGGCCCTTTAGTTTGCTTCAGCAGCGTCCGCTTCGAGAAAGAACATCACAGCCATCGGAGAGATTATCGTAGCTGCGGGGGCAATACACACGCCCCAACTCCTAAAGCTTTCTGGACTTGGTCCCTCGAGCGAGCTACGGCCACTCCAGATCCCCGTTTTGATGGACCTTCCTGGTGTCGGCATGAACCTCCAGGATCACGCCCTGGTTGGAGTCTTTTGTAAGCAGATAACTTCCCATTAGAAAGCAGCTCTAATGATATTGGCAGACCCTTACCAGAAATCCACGTCTTTGACGAGTGTACAGATTGCAACCAACTACACACTGATGAGCCAATTTGGTGCCATGTACCAAGCAAACAGAACTGGACCCTGGACAGCTGGACCCCCAGATGGAAACGCATTCCCCGCCCTCTCGATTTTGACCAACAGATCCTTCTCGATCGTCACCAGAGCCCAGACGCAGAAAGCCATGGATTACCTTCCAGCAGACATCCATCCGAATGTACTCGCAGGCTTCGATGCTCAGCGCCAGCTGTTAATCAAAGCATTGCAAGACCCCAAAAGGGCGGCGTATGAGTTGCTGAACTTCAACTATGGTGCTTTCTCAAATGTGAACATGAGACCATTCTCTCGTGGCACTGTCAAGGTAAGCAACATGTTCTGGTTCGGTGCCTTGAAGAATGTTGCTCACCATTCGTGCAGCNTCAACTCGTCACGTCCCTTCGATCCTCCGTTGGTCAATCCCCGGTATGGCTCGAACCCAGTGGATCTTGACATATTACTGGCCTCGATTGTGTACAACCGTCAAGTGCTCGCCACGACATCGATGAAACTGCTACAGCCACTACAACTTAATCCTGGCCCAAATGCAACTGATCAGCAGATTTTGGACTTCATCAAGGCCAACCTACAGACAGAGTTTCATCCAAGTGGCACTTGTGCTATGTTACCTCTTGATTCGGGTGGAGTCGTGGATCCACAGTTGCTTGTGTATGGCACCCAGAACCTGAGGCTAGTCGATGCGTCAATCATGCCTGTCATCCCCGCCAGCCATCTCCAAGCTGTGGTATATGGGATAGCCGAGAAGGTCAGAACCGTAAAAGTACCTTCTGCCACGCACACACTGACAGTAGAGCAGGCTGCAGACATTATCAAGAACGCAACTTCGGCACTACCACCTAGAGGACAGCCGCCGACATCCCCATCCGTGCAGAATACGAATCAGGTTGCTGCGCCTATAGCGCAACCGGCGACCGTGTCCCTGATACCGTCTGCAATTCCGTCTTCGCCGCCAGTGATGAAACCACCTTCATCGTCATCGTCAACGTGCTCTTCCTCAACCTCCGTAGCATCGCCTTCACTAGTGTTGCAGTCGACTCGCTCACAGCTGTCCTCTTCGGTGTTGTTGCGCTCATCGACGTCGTCTTCATTGCGATTACCAACACAGTCTTCGTCACAGCCATCGACGGTAGCTCTGGCTAGTACACTACCATCTGGTGCCATTCCATCGCTCTCTCTTGCAACTGCAGTGTCTTGTACACATGCGTCAGCATTCTCGTGCACGTGTTCATCTGTGTGCACCTGCGTATCAATATGTAATTGCGGAGCAACCTTAACGCCAGCGTCGTCCAAGATAGTGACCACGACACCAACTCCCTCAGCCTCAATGTCCGTCTTCTTATCTAAATCATCATCTTCCCAAAGCTCCAGTTCGGCAGCCGTGGCTCGCCCACATCCATTGACGTCGTCTTGTCCACCTGTACCCGGTTCAACTACGACGGCTCCACCGACTCTGGCTCTTACGTACGCCCCGATGTCATCTTCGACGTCAACGTCAAGCACAAGATCGGTTCAGTCTTCCTTTTCAACATCCTCTTCGGCGTTGTTAACTTCCGTACGCTCCTGCAGCTCCTCTACGAAGCGCTCCTCAAGTTCTTCTTCAAGGCGCTCCTCAAGCTCGTCTTCTGGACGCTCATCATCGCGGAGTCAATCAACCATGTCGGTCTTCACAAGTCAGTCTAGGGCCTCATCATACCTGTCGTCCTCTTCTTTTGCCAGCAGTTCTTGCCCATCAGCCAGCACATTCTGGGCAACAATGTATTAAGAATGATCCTGATCCTTGTTGACTGGTATGATAACGCTGACACGACTTTTAGATGTCGCACAGTGCCGATTCACTAAAACAGAGTCGTCAGAGCAGAAAATCTGTGCTCAAGCTCCGAGTATGGGCACAATTGCGCCGCCTGCAATTCTGTTTGAGGGTATCATCACGATCATCGCTGGAGTGGGCATTTTTGCTCTTAACAATTGTTCGAATGCATATGTAGTGACCAACATGATAGCTTGATTATCTTTGTACTGGCAAGCAGGACGTGATGAGCATTGAGGAGGTTGGAACGAGCACAGACCATACACGCGAGAGAGACCATCACCCAACGTGCTGGCCTATCCATCCTTTTCTCCTTCTGTCACAAATGCCATACACTTTTATCCTCTGAACGTCTCTCAAATTGACGTGAATGGTAGCCCGACAAATCAGAACGTGCAGTACGTACAAGGTCTTGACAGCTGCAGGTTAATGCCATGCCTGCTTACTCCGACACGCCTTCTATCCTGCTTGTTTGCGGTGAGTACTCATCAAAGCGAATTGAGAAAAGAAAGCCTACAGTTTATGCCCTTGAGCTCTCCCGGCGCGGGTAATACAGTGATTCCCAACGTTCTCACTTGCCGGCATTGCTCTCGTGGCTCCGCGTTGACTGTGGAATGCGCTTGCCTTTGTTGATATTCTCGAGGCTTTTTCCCTCAGCATTCTTTGTTTTGACTTGACAAGCGTCGGTCTGCACCACTGGTTGATGCGTTCCAAGCAATAGTACCGTCTGAGCATCGTTTTGTTGCGACGGGAGCCAGTCAGTCTCTTGATTTTTCTTCGATATTCATCTGTTAATCAGGCCTTGCTTGGGATGTTCTCCAGATGGTACTGATAATGCCATGGCTGACTTGTTCCCGAAACATCGCGTCCTTTGTTATCCACTTATTACAGTCGATGTCACAATCAGCCGCCTTCCAAGGCGGTCGGAGTCATGAAAGAAATAATCGCCTAGCCGCAAGCCACGATCAACAATCAAATGCCATTTCCTATGCCGGACAAATGGTCTAGGATCTCCGCACTTGACAAGGTCGGAATTGTCTTCGAGGTTGTGCTTCGGAAGTACTGTGGGTGGGACGAAAGAATACTACTGATCTCCAGTGCATCAAATATCTTGACGAACAGCACTCACTCCGTATCGCCGCTTCAAATTTCTTCAGTCCGCTAGCAGTCGGTAGTCACCAGCAGTGATAGTAGCAACACTCTTCAGGATGGCATACCACGGCTCATACTACATCCTCTGGACACAGCAAACTCATCTCTTCAATGAGATTGATCTGCTCAGGTGTCACATTGCAAATATAGAGCGACAACTACTACGAGCCCAACAAACATCGGATAGCCAAGACACGAAACGGCAGGACAGGAGAAAAGCCAAGTGGGTAGCCAATGCGCAACGAAAATACCTCAAGGACTTGGAACGTGCTCTGCATTCTCTCCTTAACTCTCTGTCGGCCTGTCAGTCACAAATAGCGCGCGTTCACATAGAGGCTTCCTGGCAAGCAGATCAATATGGCAATGCTTGGGCAACTTACCACGATTCTCAGTACGAAGACACGACACCTACACAAGAGACCTATCAATCCCAGGTCCGCTCTTCGAGTCCTGACTCTGGGTTCTCAGAGCCAGCGTTGTATGCTCAACCTTTCGACCTCGATTTGACCGAGGTTCAGAGCGATCATACATTCTCCCACGAGCTCCAACACCCATCACCTCTTACCATAAACACTCAAGTCGTCCACAAAACACGTACACCTATACACACCACCTCACTGAGTCCTTCCGCAGAAGACTTCACCCCAACGCCAAAAGCATCCCACAAAGCCATAAGCCCTCTCGCTCCCCCATTCAGCCCCTTTGTCTTTGCCAAAGCCAACCCACCAGATCCAGGGTTACCTATAAACTCAAAGCCGCTGTTTACACAACCAGCTTGGTCTTCGCCTTTGGACTGGAGCGAACAAGTCAATGAAGAGATGACGCCTGTGTTGCCCAAAGCGGAGGTTGAAGAACAGGAAGCAAAGAAAGGGTTCAAGAGACGCTATTCGGTTGCTGCGATTGAGTTGATTGAGACTCGGTTGAGGCATACGAGGCAGGTCAGTGATGTGGCTAGAGGGTTGATGGTGCAAGGGTGATTTGGGCAGGGTGATACTTGCTTGGGATTGATCCTCGTTGATGCAGTTTTTGAATATTGGTTTTCTGCCTCTTTATCTCAATGTACTTGGTTGATACATACAACATATCTATCCTGTTATTTCACGCATAATATTTGCCTATTCTCTAAGTTTCGGGTCCCGTCGCTTTTCTGAGTACACAGCGGGTACCCACTCGAACCACGTCTGCGTGACGAGACTCTCTCTGTCAAGGACCCGAGATAGGAAAACGGTATGAAAGGTTAGGAATTGATTGTTGTGTTTATGCTTGGACATTATACTTTCGCAGGATGCTTCCGCTTTGAGCCGGGTTAGCGAAGCCAAGGATGGCGTATATATCATTCTCAGAGGCTATCATTGGCTGACGAAAAGAGGATATAATATTAAATCGAATGGCTTCCATGATGCTTTTCTTTATATTCTCTTGCTGTCGCGAATACTTTTGCGCAACATATCCTTGACTACTCGAGATAGAAAATCCTCAAAAACCACATGTTCTGGATTCTGACTGTCGATATCATGGGGATGTGTTTTCACCTCTGGATGGCTGCCTGCTTCGCCGCGATCCAGCCTTGATACTTTTCGTCGGCGTGTCGTTTCGCAGTGATAAGCCAAAAGTGCAGCAAAATGGATCCGAGGACTCGTCCTTGGGCGAAATGCACATATCTGCAGAGTTGCTCTGCTTGCTGCCGACACTCTTGCATATATTCTTCTTTCCCTGGCAACCCGCACTGGATCAAGACCGAGTTCAGCTGGATTATCGTCGAACAGTGCTGCGACATGAAGCCGTGAACGGCTAGATTGTTGAAGTGATATACCACCGGGAAAAGCTCGTCCTCGCCGGGAATCTCGATTGGCATGTTGTTTGTGGCTTTCAAGGCTACTATCCACTCGTCGTATAATCGTTTGACAGTCGTCCGTAGCTCTACGGTCTTCTTTATCAGCTCAAAGGCGTCGTACTGTCCGGCAGCGGTCCTTTGGGCATTGCGAATCAATCCTGGTATCTGGACGTGGATCCGGAACATGGACTCTCGGATGTCTCCCTCCACTGAGTCAGGATCGCGAGCTAGCGTGTTCCATTCTGGATCGTCCAGGAAGCAGGCCTTGCGTTTATAAAAGGCCTCCATAACNCTGATGTCTGGTTAGCATCTGGACGATGTCTTCTGGACCTCAACACTCACGATATAATACCTGCACACAAGATACATGGAATAGTCGAAGCTCTTCCGATCTGCGTATGCTTTCGGGCCTCGTATCCGCATCATCTCAACTGAGCCGCCGGAATGTCGGACCCATTCATCTTCTTTTCTGTTCGACATGAGCTAGGATGATGGTCAGCTCACGGAGAACCAGGGATGAATCTCAATTCTTCTTGCCTCATAAAACGTGAGTAGCATCACCGTGCTCTGCAGCTCAGATTGTCCTGTGGTAGGAGCTACTAGAGCCTTGCGCAACGTCTGGAGTGCACCACCGTAGTATGCGCGACTGACATTGATAATCCGTGTATCCTTCTTTCGCAATCCGAATTGCATACAGGCGACTGATCGCATGGCCAGATCTAGGGGAGTGGTTGAACCAATACGACCGTATACAAAAGAGAGCCAGTCCCGTATCATAGAAGGACCTTGTTTTGGTTCTGCTGAGGGCGGTGCAAACCCGTCTATCAAGGCAGCCATGATTTGAAGCTGTTCCGTCCGAGGTAGATGCAGCGACTTTACAGCTGGTTCCGGAGGAGTCGTCACGACAGCAGAGTCTCTGCGTGTGTCCAGCGAGCTGCCACTGCTAGTGCTCGATTCCGTTGGCGAGGCTGTGGATATCGAGTTGATTATTATAGGCCGCTCACGTTTGGACCCGACTTGCACCATCTTGTTTCTAAACTGAAGCTCGCGGGTATAGCCCGGACACTGTCGTCCAGACTTTTCGCATCTCTGACAGGTCGGCCGTCCTTCATCGCACNNTGTCGCGTTCGGAGACTGGGTCAGACGTGAAGGGCCCTGGTAGTTTCCCAAAGGGTGATGATGTACCTTGATCCGTCTTTTTACACACGCCGCACATCCTGTACTCCTCGGCACGCCCACCATGATCTGAACGGTAAACGAAACTTGTAACGCAGTGTAGGGAAGCAAAGAAGAATAGATCAGATTAGAGACAGAGAAAGCAGATACGAGTCGCCCAATGTTATGGGTATCACTCTTTGTTGGTATTTGAGTTTAGCTGCTGCTGAGAGCCAAGGCGGGGTCGTAAAGACAGAGTAGGCGACGAGAACAGTGGAGAGGTGTTGGCCCGCGAGTCAGGACGAGGAAGGTGGAAAAGTCGCGCTCGAGCCACCGGCTCCGTTTCCATCGATGATCTTATCTGATTATGGGCCTTGTTCGAGCCGTAGCCCCCAGAGAACTAGCAGTATAGAAAACACAATTCAGCAGATGTTGGATGCGAAAGGCAATACGAAAATCGCAATCAGATGGTTGGGCTCCTGTATGTATGCGTAGCCAAGCACGGCTTTACCATCGCTACTATCTTTAGCCTAGAGACACTATTGGAAAGCAAATCTGGTTGCCGCGAACAAAAGCAGGGAAAATATGGCCTGCATTCGAACATCAGGGTCCCCTTGCAGAGGTCCTGCGAATCGAGACAAAGAGTGCCTGCGTTTGCACGATGACAGTGTCGAGGCATTCAGCAGGATAAAGCCTGCCTTTTGGCTGGCAGAGAACCAAAAGTTGGAGCCCGCGGGCACCGAGGCGATTAGTGCCAAGATTCTCTGTCCCAAAACGGTAGGTCAATCCGCTTGTGCTGGGAAAAAGAACATAACGGTCATCGATATCAGGCCAGTCGGAACGTTCTTCCTCCTCAACCCTAGATGTCAGAGGCAGTCGGGGCGTCATACCGTACCTAGACGACATTTTGCATTGTCTTCCTCCATTAATACTTCGCAAAAGCAAATTCGGGGTATGAGTCTTCGCACAGTGGGTTTCACACATCTTATATGTTGGTAAGCGTTGCTGAGGTATTGTCCCTCTTATATGCGGCCGGTATTCCTTTCCTCTTCTCTCCGCTTAATCGTTCACTGCTTGTATCGTCTATTTTCTCGACTACGTTTACTTTTGCTCGAGAACACAACCACCGCCATGAAGAACGAATCGCCACTCGATGATCAGGTACATCCTCCTGCCCTTAATCTCGAGGAGGAACCAGAAGAAGCTCGATGGGAGAGAAAGGGACGCGAAAGGCCAGAAAAGTTTCAGTCGACAGCACAAGAAGTTGGCTTCATATTCGCCGTTGTCATGGCACAACTCATGTCCGAGTTCTTCGTTTCTGGCTTTATCGTGCTTATACCAACTCTGGCCACTGAGCTCAACATACCACCAGAGTCAACGACCTGGCCGGCAGGTGCATTCTCCCTGGTTGTGTCAACATTTCTACTCCCACTTGGAAGGATTGCCGATATGTATGGAGCTTACCCTGTCTACGTAGGCGGCATCGTCTGGACAGTGGTTTGGTCAATCATCGCAGGATTCTCGACTAATGAGATAATGCTGGATGTATGTCGCGCGTTCCAAGGATTTGGCCCAGCTGCGTTCCTCCCAGCATCGATGGCTTTGCTCGGCAGCATATACAGACCAGGTCCACGAAAGAACCTCGTATTTTCCATCTATGGCGCCATGGCCCCTTTGGGCTTCTTTGTGGGCATATTCTTTGCTGGTATCTCAGCTCAGTTCGCCAACTGGAGATGGTACTTCTGGATTGGCGCCATCATCAGCGCATTCAGCGGACTGGCGGGGTTCTTGACCATCCCCTCAGACATTTCTGAGAGGCGGGCGATGAATGTCAAGATGGACTGGCTCGGCACTTTTACGATCTCTGTCGGTATCGTTCTGGTTGTGTTTGCCCTGACAGGATCTTCTGGAGCACCCCACGAATGGGCGACTGACTACATCATTGCAACCATGGTCCTTGGTGTGATCTTCCTAGGCCTTTCCGTCTATGTAGAGGGATGGGTCGCCGAAGCACCCCTTCTGCCACCAGAGCTTTTCAAGATAAAGTACATGAAGCCTCTTGTTCTGGCTTTGCTGCTTACTTACGGCGGCTGTGGAATATACCTTTTGTACGCAACAAATTACATGAGCGAGATCATGAATGGTTCTCCTATGCAGCTTGTCGCCTGGTGGTCTCCAGCTGCAATCGGAGGTTGTATCATTGCAACTGTGGGCGGATTTGTGCTGCACTTGCTTCCTGGCACGATACTTATCGGCATCGCCTCAGTTGCATGGATCGTTGCACCGTTGCTCTTCGCTCTCGTCCCCGTAGGTGGGCAAAACTTCTGGCCATGGGTGTTCCCAGCGATGGTGTGCTGTACGGTTGGCATTGACATTACCTTCAACGTTACCAACATCTTCATCACAACGAGTCTGCCTACCCGTCAACAGGGACTTGCAGGGGCGCTTATCAACTCATTGCTCCAGCTGGGCATCGCGGTTGCTCTGGGTCTGGCAGACATTACAGTTTCTCAGACGGCGGACCAAGGAGTGGCACAGAAGTACAAGAACGCATTCTGGCTTGAGGTTGGATTGGCTGGTGCGGCGCTCGTAGTTTTTCTTGGGTTTGTCAAGGTCGACAAGGCCAAAAGTCAAGCGACAGCAGATGAGAAGGTTCAAACATGATCGGCTTTCGACGACATGCAGGCAACGGAAGACGTATATCCGGATATAATGATGATTGATAGACATGTCAAGTTGAACAATATTTTTGCATGTGATGTTGCGATAAGAACAGATTGGCGTAATCTCATTCATAACCGTAATCGGAGAGCGACAAAGCGTTGAAGTCAGGACCGGAAAGCATTGCGACACAGTGAAAAGACGAGGTGGCAGTGAACTGGTTCAGCAGAATGATTGTAGAAAACACTACGTGTCGTGAAGATTAAATTGTGGATCGAGTAGGGATGGCGAATTCAAAGATTNGGTACGGGNGCCACGAATCCAGTTTGAGAAGTGACTTTTGCGACCAAAGACCAAGGGGAGATANNTGGAAGGTGCAGCTTGGCGTTCCACGTGACGATCGCNTGGAGATGGCCCGGGGGCTTCTTGTTATTGCCCCCTTCGACTGTCCATACANNAAGACTCTGTGCTTACATCTCNGACGGCCAGTGTCATATCTCCGTAAGTCGCTTCATGAACGATCCCAGANNACGAGCGCGAACGGCATCTTTGGCGCCCATCGGCTCCGTCGGTCGAGTGCGCATCATTAGGGGTGTCATGTCTTGTGGACAAGTTGCGCTTCATCCATTGCAAAGTTGCTGCCTGTCTACCATTCACTTTCACCTGCCCGCAGTACAAAGAGCNTGTCGCGTTCAATCCCCAACTTCCTTTGGCACCATCCGCTGACTGTCACTTGTCCCTTGCAACAGGCTGCTCTATTATACCCAAATAACCACCACCCACACGACAACACAGCCAACATGGGTCTCACATTCTCGCGTCTGTTCGACCGTCTCTGGGGAAAGAAGGAGATGAGAATTCTCATGGTCGGTCTCGATGCCGCCGGAAAGACCACCATCCTCTACAAGCTGAAGCTCGGTGAAATCGTCACTACCATCCCCACAATCGGTCCGTGTCACCCTCCATTGCTCTCCGCCAGACTCGAGAAACTGACTTGAGCGCTTGCCTGCANNGGTTTCAACGTCGAGACTGTCGAGTACAAGAACATTCAGTTCACCGTCTGGGATGTCGGCGGTCAAGACAAGATCCGTCCTCTCTGGAGACATTACTTCCAGAACACCCAGGGTATCATCTTCGTCGTCGACAGCAACGATCGTGACCGTGTCGTCGAGGCTCGTGAGGAGCTGCAGCGCATGCTCAACGAGGACGAGCTGAGAGATGCTCTCCTCCTGGTCTTCGCCAACAAGCAGGATCTTCCTGTAAGTTTCTGTTTCCGTCGACATGACAAGATTCACGCTGACATTGTCTTGCCAGNNAACGCCATGAACGCCGCCGAGATCACCGACAAGCTCGGCCTGCACAGCTTGAGACAGCGCGCCTGGGTAAGCTTGACGTCGTATTTTCAGTCGACGGCTCCTCTGACATGCATGCACAGTNACATTCAATCCACCTGTGCCACTTCCGGTGACGGTCTTTACGAGGGTCTGGAATGGTTGAGCAACTCGCTCCGCAAGGCTGGTCACCAGTAGACAATATTCCCAGCTTGAACCTTGTGTCCGTTTTTGCCGCGCCTCAATTCATGTCTCTCAACCTTTCCCTCTCCGTCTTTACGATCGTGGACCTTTCTATCCTTCGACCTCTTTCCCCACGTGCGACTACCACCTCGATACCAACCAATGTCAACAGAAAAGCGACTCAAAAAATGGAATGACGAGAAAAAGAAAAAGAGTGTCATGACCTGAAAGCACAACCGACTCTCTCAAGACTTTTGCCTTTGCTTGTCGACCATCAAGGTAAAGAAAAGGGACAAAGGACAAGGGCGGGACAGGACCAAAACCCGGAAGTTGAATGTCAACATTTTGGCGGAGGGGTTGGCGTTTTGTTGTGTTTCTCTTTTTCTTCTTCCGTTGCTGCTGAATATGCATAACCTCACGTTTTTGGTCAGAACTCGAATGTTTAACGGCTCCTTATCCTCTCTACTATGCATGTTGTGAAACTGTCAATGCGTATCATACTGGAAGGGACATTCTGGAATGATTGTTGGCACTCTTGCACACAAGAATTGATCATTTATGAACAAAAGACACGAGGCTTCCTGAGCAAAGTGTCTGGTCTGCTTCATTTCTTGTGCTATGTGGAAATATGTCCTTTTCTCCCAACATGGACTGTGGTTTCTGGCTAAATTTCCTCAAGATATGCCTGCTGTGTAAAACTCCTGTTTCTCCCCCAAAACTCCAGCCAGCAGAAAGGACATGAATATTGTGCAATGAGGTTTCAGAATGCGTGCTGTTGCAAAAATGTTCAAATTGGTCTCAGATTTTGATTTGCCAGAGACGATGTGCAAGCTTTAATTCCATCTTTGTACTTCTAGGAGGAGGCCATGGACTGCTGCTGCTGTTGCTGCAGCTGGGGTGGATTGGCCGACTTTGTGCTGAGGCCGCCTGAACTGGTGGGGCGAGGAGCCATCCAGCCCTTCTCCAGCCAGATGTCGAGAAGAGGTGCCATTGGTTCCAACTCCTTGTCGCCCAGCAAGCCAAACAGTCTTCCCACGTTCACGAAATGGATGAAGCAAGTGTTGAGCTCCTTGTAGGCACCCAGGTGCCAGAATTCGAGCCAATGGGCATGGTAGATGTGAGCGTAGCAACGCAGCATCTGGCGGTAGATGTTGCGGATGTCGTTTGCGAATTGGGGAGGGAAGCCCGAGGCCTTGCCCAGCCAGTTGTTTGGATCTGAAGCGTTCAGCGATGGCGGGGCGCTGACAAAGGTGTCTGTGGGAAAGATGCTGGGATCTGTGATCTTGCCGGCGATCCATTTTTGGACGTAGGAAATGTATTGGGGAGCGGGCACGCGGACGCTCTCGCGTTTGGCGTCGAGCCAGGTGTAGGTCATGGCGCCTGCGCTCATGGCCGGGCAGGTCTGCTGGTTGCAAATTGGGACGCCTGTGTTGCGGTCGGCTTCTTGGATGATTTTGAGCATGCCGTCTAGTAGGCGGTTCTGTTCGACGACNTGTTAAGAGGGATGTCAGTATGTGCGGCGCCTGGTCCTGTTGTGCCGTGTCTTACTCTGATGTGCCAGCCATTCGCCCTCTTCGATGAGTACGGGTTTGGCTGCCAGAGTCATGAAGTTGCCCTTGACAATCAGGTTGGCGTATTGCTCGCGGAAGAAGAAAGGCGGTCTCTGGTTGTTGAGGATCTCGGCGCTGGGCTCTCTACTCTCGAAGGACATGGCTGTGGCTGAGAGACCCGGCGATAGAGGCATTTGTTGTGAGCCACCGGGAGTCAGGCTTGCTGGACTCTGCATGGTCGGTGAGGGCGTGCTGGCCTTGTTTTGCTGAGACTTGTTGCTTTGGCGGCCAAAGCCACGCCTGAGATTNGACGTGTTAGCTTTGTTTACAGACTCGCCGCCATGTAAGGGGAGTGATGGATGCTCCCACGTGTTCGCATGTCTCTCTGAATTGAGAAGCAGTGTTTATACCGGATTCTAATGCAGAAGCAAGGCATTCTCGGCCATTATTTTGACCAAGAGACTCGCGACAACAAAAGAATGGAGAGCATTCGACTCGAGTGACACAAGGAATGATTGGACGAGCAGCACTCACATATTCGAGATCCAGGAAGCCATAATTACGCTGAGGCCCTCTCAAAGGGTGCTTTCACTCGAGTGAAGGTAGGACAGGGCGCAGATTGTCTCGCAAGAGCTATCGCAGACAGCCGGGAGAGATGCAGACTAGGAGTAGGCGAAGGAGAGGTCGCAGGAAGTGGTAGGTCGAAGATGTCAGGTTGGAGTGTACTGGCACTGGCATTGGCCGTCTCGACCGTCTCCCTGCTTGCCCCTTCTTGTTTCACATGCGAGAGCTGCAGCGCCTGGGCCACCAGTGCATCAGCTGTGCGTTTGCACAATTCTCAAACACAACTCACGTATGCAATCCATCACAACCGCGTCGCAAGACCTGTCCATTCACACCAACAAGCTAAATCCATCTCCTTCACTGCACCAGTCGCGTCGCTTCGACTCGGTGCTTTCTGTCTTCGCCGTCTCGGTTATCCCACCCGACGGTCAACTCGCCAACACCTCACCACCGCGATAGCACATCAGAATGTCGGACCAAGTACCCACAGACCCGAGCGACCAGGCGCCGCCGGACCTCCCAGGCGCAGTCACCAGCGCCATCTTGCCCGCCGACGAGCCTGTGCCAGACGAGTTGAGCGAAGACGAAGACGACATTATTCCCAGAAAGAGACCGCTTGGCGACCTGGTCAACACCAAGATCGATGAGGACGATGCTTCCGACATGGGGGATGACGACGACCTTTTCGGAGATGGTGGTGACGACGACGAGCAAGAAAACGTTGCCCCGTACGCTTTGTCTCAATGCGCGACCCATACAACTCTCGACTAACAAGCTCTAGTGAACCACTTCGCACTCTTGAGGATGAGGAACTGGATTCCGGCGATGACGAAGATCGCCATGATCGCATGCCCTCGGAACAATATGACCAGGAAACACAGAACGTCGTTATTCAGGAGTCGAGCATGAGCAGGCAACCACTGCCTGAACCTACCGACGGCGAGGTATGTTTCACGATACTCCCAAACTGAATCCCTTTGCTCACACAGCTAGATGTACCTGACCAAGATCCCCAAATTCCTGTCTGTCGAACCTCGAAGATGGCACCACACCACTTACCAACCACCCACCACCGACCATCACTCGCACGAGGCCGCTCCTGGCTTCTCTGCCTACAGCACTGCTATCAGTACTGTTCATTGGAGACGCTCCCCTCCAACCCCAAGAACATACAATCCAACGCGCGAATTCTGCGTTGGTCCGATGGCAGCTTGACACTACAACTCGCCTCGAACCCTACACAGCAGTATGAGATCGAGGGCAACCCTCTTGCTCCCCGCCAGCGCAACCCTTCCAAACCCACTCCTACGAGCCAGAAGTCTGGCAGAAAAGACCACGGCAACGACTCGTACACCTACTTGATGGTTCCAGATCCTTCAAACGGTCTCCTCCGTGTCAGTCACAAAATTACTGCTGGTTTGTCAATCCTACCATCGGCTGCCACCACCGACGATGCACTCGAGAAGCTACAAAACTCGCTGGCTGCCATCTCTCAGGGCAAGAACAAGAGCAGCGCCGGTGGTATCGAATTTGTTAAGATTGATGAGGACCCTGAGCTGGCGAAGAAAAAGGCAGAGGTTGCAGAAAGAGAAAAGGATCGTGCACGAAAGCGAAGAGAGGCAGCCGAAACCCGAGAGCGCGAGAGAAATGGCCGCGCACTGGGTCGTGCTGGTCTCGGCTCAAGAGGCTACGGTGGTGGTCTCACTGCTGGTATGCTCGAGGATGACGAGCTTGGTGGTGGTGGCCGCCAGAGAGCCAGAGCAAAGCCTGCAAGACGCCAACGCCGTAACAGCGAGTACAGCGAGGATGAGGACTTTGGTCGCAAGAAGAGCAACTTCGGCAATGACGAGTACGATGAAGAGGACGACTTCATTGCAGGCAGCGACGAAGAGGAGGCCATCGACGACGATGAGGATGAAGACGATGGCATCGTCGAGGAGAGGCGGCCCAAGGAACGTGCGCCCAAGCGTGCAAGCCCAGATGAAGACGACGAGGACGCGGAAGGCGAAGACGACGATATCCCTCAGGCTTCCAGAACCAAGAGAAGGAGGGTCATCGACGAGGACGACGACGACGAGTAATCTTGACTACGAAAGTATACAGCATCTATCTTCTTTTGGAGTACGGCGACTATGGTTCACCAGCCACCTGCCTAGTGCTGCCCCATCTCTCTGGCGTCTCTATCAACAACTCGCGACAGTAACATGCAGTTTATCAGATAGCTCACTTAAAGGGTTGCGTGAGCAGAAAGAACAGATGGAAGATTTCAGGCACGAACCATTATCAAAACCCAGATACCTGCCGTGGAAACCCATCGACGAATGATTGGCAGCGAGATGAGTCGTCTTTTGCATTGAGTTCAGATCCCCACAATAGGGATCGGCAGACCCGGCAGCGGCTGAAAGTGAAGCTCTGACCTCGAATGACGTTTATATAAAGAAAGCATCCAGCAACCACATCGACACTGAGTATTGATCTTCTCAAATCTACTAAACATACCATCTTGCCACGACTTCTGAAGCCTCACATCTGGCCTATCTCTCTCAATGTCGACTCAAGCACCGGGATTCACTACTGCGCCTTCGGACAGAGACACACCACAACAAGACCGCGGGCTGTTCCACCACGAAGGCAAGAAACATGAATGCCACCACTACGCTCGCATGTACGGTGGTCAGGCTGCGAGCGCTATGATGTTCGGGTTTGGCGCGACATTGGGCGCGGACGCTGCAAACACCGTAGTGGGAGATATGAAGGTACGTCTTAGATCGAATTCCAATTGACGATAGTCGCGTAATATTGACCATGATATTAGCAATGGTGGAGACACTAAGAAAAATGCATTGCATCTGTTCTGTAACGAAATGACTTCACGAACGAACCACTCAATAACTACACACGGATAAAAGACAGGCGAATGGGTGCAGGTCGAGGCTGAAATAGATATCAACTAATCAAGACATTTGCTACGACACAAGCGAACGTACTGCACTTGCCTGTAATGATCTTTGGTAAAGAAGAACATGCTCGACAAATGCCTTTTGTGTCGAAACGGACTTTGTGAATCGTGACACGATATGATGAAACCCCATTTTCTGGTGGGTTTCATCAAGCTGACGTGAACGACCAGGCTGGAGTGGGCGAGTTCTAATGTGGTAGGTACGCGGTTGGTCACGGCAGCCTGAGGCTAGATGCTCTTTCCTCAACTCACAACACAGGGTATTGCTGCCTGGCTTTCAAGCCGCGCCTTCAGCACTCGATGGCTTTCTCCTCCGATGTACATTTTCCACGACAAACCCTTTTCCCTCTGCAGACATATCAACGACCGACTCCTCCTTGGTTATCAGCCTGGGTGCTCTCTACCCTTACCTCTCCATCACGATGCCTCCAAAACGCACCAAGAAGACTCCAGCAGTCCCAAAGATCCAGGGCAAACTCAACTTCCAGCGTCTCCCAAAGCCACAGACTACCGTCTCGCCTCTCGTTCAAATACTCTCCCAGTACGAGCTCATGATCATGGTCACCGATCAGCTCTCTTCGGCCGACATCATCCACCTCACCGCAACCTGCAAGGAAATCAAGATGTACCTTACCGACGACAAGACTATCTACTCCAGCATCACGCAGCGAGCCAATTGTGACGGCAAGGGCATCGAAGCCAGAGCAAAGTGCTTTGGTCACTGGAACGGCAATGTCACCGAGGCCAATGCTCAGTGCGGAGGTTCGGACTGCCAACCCTGTGATGGCTGCAGCGCCATGGTCTGCAACGTAAGTGCTCTCCACGGAACCTCTCCCCTGCAGCACTGATACTCTACAGNNGAGTGCCGTTTCCATATCATCTACATGGTCAATTCGCCCTGTTGCAGGGAAGATGCCGCACACTGGGAAAGCCACGAAGCCGACTACGCAGAAGACCTCGAAGCTGTACGTCGTTGCCACGCTGATNCATTGTGATGAATGTATGTTGGATCGTCTGCGCCTACTCCCTTGCAGAGGCCAGCTCGTGCTAATTGTAACCTGGTTTCAGGCCCTGGATTTCACTCGGGCAACTTTCCCATCGAAAGCATCCGAGCCGCTTACCTAGCTGGCGAGGCTCGCGAGCGCCGCTACTGTTCGAAATGCGAGCCACACCTGCAAGATGAAGAGGGACTATGCTCCGAATACCTCTTCGACATCCTCGGCATGTGTGAAGAATACGACGATTGGTGCTGCTGCGACTTGGCCAATCACTTCATCGAGAACAGCTGGCTCTGCATTCCATGTGTCATCAAACAAGAGGCGGAGGCATACGGCCGCCGTCTGAAAAGAGAAATCTACAAGTGTGAGAAGAAGGAAGACGAAGAAGAAAGGACCAGGAAGCATGTCAAGACTGTGAGGAGCTCTTCGATATCATTACTTTGCTGTTGCTGACCATCACCAGNNGAGTATCTTTGCGACTGCGGTCGTGTTGCTGACATCCGATACCTGGTCTCCTGCAGGTGGTGTGACGAATACATCCAGACTCCTGAGGTGGACGCGCTTCTCAACGGATTTTTGTAGCTGTCGATATTTCTGCAGCCTTGACTACGACTGCATGATTCATGAGTATGAAAACGACGAAGTATGGCTACAGAGAACGGACCTGCAAGCATGGTTTTACGATGCATGGTATTATGGGAACACTACATGAAAGCATGACTTACGATTGAACATAAATAATTGCACATATACTACTGCTCCTCGTCTACCACCATGCATGACTACAACACCAACACAATGAAGTGAAAGTAGGCCAGAAGAGGAGCAGTGAAACATAGCCGAGATCACGACCCTGTCATTATCTTTACCCCTTCATATGTTGCCGCTATGTCTCTTTATAGACGACCCTGAGTCTGTAAAAGAGTAATTCTATCAGTATCAGAGCTCTGTTCCAGCTGACTCGTTCCAAAGCTGGACAAGCGGCTCACTTGAGGTGCCTCAGGAGATGATACAAGAGAAGGAATAGTGAACAGGCAATATAGCATTTGGGAGGGTCGACGTGACTTGAGATATAAGGCGCAAAAGGCAGGGCCATGAATGAAGAGGGGACGCAGAAGAGAAGAGAAGTAAACAAGTTTGATGCAAAAAGAAAAAGACCACTAAAACACCAAAGAAACCCTTTGCCTGCCCTTTCCTCTTTTGATTTATCAGCATCCAAAGATTATGGTCGATCAGCACTGCCGATCTTAGCACCGCCTTCATCTGCAGCGGCGGCCGTTCGTCTCACGACTCCTTTCCGTCTCTCAGCTTCTCCAGCACCTTGCAAAGGCTCCTCCTCGTCTTGTGCTTCTTCATCCTCGTCGTCATCATCCTCTTCATCCATCAACTCGACATCATCGTCCTCCCTCGTTGGACCAACATTCCCCCGTTCCCAGATGGCGACCTCGTCCAGCTCGTTCAGGTCGACGGGCTTCTCGCGCAGCCACTTCATCCTAGGACCGCTCTTCGCAAACTCGCTGACGCGGAAGCCGTAGATGCGGGGTTCGTAAATGCTGGACTTGCCCAGACCGGGAGCCATGTTTTCTGCAGCAAAGCCGTTGATGGTGGCGGGTTGTGTGGGCAGAGGAGAGGGTTGTGCGGCGACTGGCGGGGCAGAGCTGAAGGTATCCGAGGCGTTTGTGAGGCTGCTGCGGCGTTTGCGGTGAGTGGCGGTGGTCGAGGAGAAGTCGGAGATTTGTTCAGGGGTGGGGCCATAGGAAATGGAGGTGCCGCCGACACGCAGTTCAGGGAAGGTCATAAAGAAGAGGCAGCCAAAGGTTGTACCGAAGAAGGCGCCATCGACGGACTGGAAACGGCTGTTGGGCGGCGTGTAGACATCGAGGCAGCTGGGGCAGAAGAGCTTGACCGTCTCCTGGCCGGGAATATCGCTGCAGCCGACGGGCAGGACCTTTGCTTGACCGCAGTAGACGCGTGGACAGGCGCCGAAGTGGCCGGCTTCGTATTTCTCGGCCATCTGTTGGATGCCCTGGCGCGAAGTGATGTAGCGTTGGTGAATCAGACCGTACAGCATCTCGGCGCTGCTCTCCATGACAGACAGATCCGAAGCCATGCGCATGTGTCTTCTCTCCTGGCGTCTGTAGGCGGCCGCGTCCCTCATGTCCTCGTCGTCGTCATCCAGGTCTTCGTCTTCATCCTCATCCTCATCGTCGCTGTAGTCATCTTCGGGCTCGACGTCCAGAATCATCTCCAAAGCTTCTTTGTACATGGGCACCTGGCTCTGCAGACCGGTCAGGTTGAAGTCGTCCTCGACAAAGTCCTCGGACACCTCAGCAAAGTACTCGTGGCCGACCAGGCTGCAGAAGGCGCTGATCCATGACTCGGCTACTTGGCTGCTGGAAGACATGTCGCTCTCCTCGTCCGGGCCAACATGGCCAGCGTATGCGCGTGACTCCACGATTGCGGTTGGTATGACTGAGGCTTGGAGAGGGCTTTGTTGACGGTCGGCGCGCACGGGTTGAGTTGACTTCGGAGTGCCGGCGCAGGTGCAGGCGCAATCGAGGCGTTTGGTCAAACGACGCTTTGGGCTTCAAAGGAAGGTGCGCAACTCCGAGTGGGAAGGTGCAAGGATACCGCGCTGTAAGGGTCGTCCTGTCGCTATCGAGTTGATTTAGGTCAGTGACCGGACATGCGCCTGCCAAAACCAGATGAGCACGGTGAAGCTGTTCTCGAAGCACTATTCGCTGCTTCCACTCTTGTAATCTTTGTTGATACAGCTGTTTTGCTATCAAAGTGGGATGTTCCCAGAAGTCAATTGCCAAGCCTGGTGACTTGATGCCCCATGCCGCAGAGCCGCATCACGTGTCCATGTCTCCATCTGCAGTACTGCGTGCCTTACCATTCTGTATCACCTAGCTATCGAGTCTTCATGAAGAGCCATCCATCACTTATCGCCTCGTCTCTCTGTCCACTCTGTTCCTCAGAACAGATCCCGTAGAATTCTGCTCAGCTCATCCTCACCGCCGAATCCACTCTCATCCATCTGATGCGCTCCTGCCCCAAAACCAGCTCCAAACCCATTCGTGTATCCTCCTGCTGCCTCGAACAGGTTTGTCAAGTCTTGCACCATTCCATCGGGTGAGCTTGACGATACACTGCCCATGTTGTTCCATCCTCCGGGGTTCAAGAATGCACCTTCGTCAACTTTATGTCCAGCAAGCCCGGCCATAGCCACTGCTGCTGAATGGTTTGGGTCGCTCTGGGCATTGCTCGTCATCAGCCCGAGCTTCGGTCCTACCTCTTTGAGCGACCGGATAGTTTTCCACAGCCTCTTGCTGACCCAGCTGCCCTTTGATATGCCGCGTACAAGATCCAGCGCCATGTAGAACTCCTCACGTACCTGCCCTGCATATGTCTCGGGCATATGTGATACCGCGAGGAACAAGACTGCCAAAGCTGTCGTGAGGAATGCGTTGAACAAGCTCTGCGATGCCCGATACATCCTGCTCGTCCGATTGATATGCGTCAAGATGCGGATCGTGTCTTTGGCGATGTCTACGACCGTCTGTGCTTGTATTGGGTTGCTCACGATTGATGCCGTTGAGTGCAGCACAGGCCGATGGATCATGACGCGCATAACATTCGCTCGCAGATAGAGGATGATCCGGAGACGCTGCTGTCCAGCAGATACATCCCCATCTGCTTGTCCCCAAGACTCCCGATCCCAGTGCAGTTGCTGAGGGAGGTTTCTGTGCCAGTTGACAATCTGGAAGTCGAGATAACTCACGTCCTCCTTACTGACCTGTTTTCTGCTCGGATCAGAGTATATGAGGTGCCGTACCTTGCTTGCAATAGCAAAGTGCTCAATCATGGCAGTCAAATAGAGTGATTTTTCACCNCTACAAAGCCGTTTAGCTTAGTCAATACTATCAAATGTGTCATGACTCACTGGTTTTGGTAGATTCGGATCGATATCAGAATCCTGCAGAGCAAAGGGCATTCCGGTCCCAAAACTCCATCTGCGGTCGAGACAGTAGACTGACCAGAATGTAAGTGTGGCCATGGTGCGTTGCTCTTCGTCCATGCGGTCGTAAGTCTCTCTGCGATGTAAACCTAGTTCAATGCAGAAGCGAGCTGTCAAGCCTATAATGCGCCATGATATGCCTTCATTGTCGCAGTGGAACTGATATGTAGCNCTGGAGATCACAGTCAGGAGGGCGCAGTGCGCGAGCGGTCTGGGCGGTCATACCGTGAGTGCAAGCAACTGGACGCTTCTCAAGCCGGTGTCACCAAGCAAGAGAGCATCGATGGAGGGTTGCACATAATCGTACATGGCACGTCCCAGCTCGCTTCTTCCAGAACCTTCAACAACCATGGCGGTGGCCATTACTATCTTGAGTATGTTGGTCTCTTCGTCGTCGATGGAGTCGGCTCCGGGAGCAGATCTCATCATAAGACCAGTTCTTTGGGCAGATTCCATAAAAGTGAAGAGCTTATTCACGTAGGCTACGAGATCTGGTATGGATAGGAGGGGATACATGATGTGCATGTCATCTTGATAGACCCGTATCAAACGCAGAGCCTCGTCGCGGTTGACGTGCCAGATGGGATCCTTGTTGACATGCAACGGAGCAGAAGCTAGGACATGAGGACCTGGCGATTCTTCGCGTAGCAAATCGTCGTCGGGACCAGCAGGAGCTATACCCATGTTCTCCAGATGATTCTTGGCCACACCTAGGTTGAACTCGGTGCTCGTAGGACCTCTGAAAGCCGGTCTAGCTGACACACTCTTTCTACGGGAGACATCGGTGGAAGCAACATGTTCGTGGGAAACGATGGGTTGGTGCTGCAAAAAAGGGTCGATGGGTGGTTGTTGGTGGGCGAGATCAGCTCGCAGAGTATTCATGCTGGCAAAGAGAGCATTGACTTGGTCTTGGAGAGAGGCGATCTGGTTGGACATGGTGCGGAATTCGTCCGTGTCCTTGAAGTTGGAGGTGCAGCAGTTGGGAGCGTAGACACAGTCGAGGGCGAGGTTGCCGCAGCGCTGGCATGGGGTTTGGCCGTTGCATTTGATCTTGCGTCGCTTGCACTCGTTGCTGCAGCCGTCAGTCGCATGCTTGGGTGTGGTTTGATGGGAAGGTGTACCAAGCTATAGAGATGTAGCGGTTCCGCTTCTGCTTCTGGTGCTGCTGGGGGTCGTCGTTCTTCCGCTTCCCAGCGTTGGTGCCACTGCCACCTCCATCCTGGATCGATGCAGGCGAGTCATCATCGAGGGCCATGGTCGGTGTGTGTCGAGGATGCACTTTGTCTCTGTTGGCAAGCCGCCAGCTCATGCACCAAGCACCGATGGCCGAGGCTGCGCAGCCTGACACCCTGCGGAGACTCGTCCACCCGTGATCGTCACTGCCTTGCGGGGAAGGGACCCGCTCGTTTTTTCTGCGCCCTCCACCGCCAACAGACGTCTCTTGCACTCAGCGGACAGGTTTCACCATGAGGCGCGAGTCTCCTATCGTGCCACGAACCGTCACTCTAGAATAACTCCTTGTTCTTGCATCCCTCTGCAGCTTTGTGTCTGCATGAGCATCCATTGACTCAGGGACCAGTAGTGTTGAGGGCGCTCCTCGAGCTCCACCAAAGATCCGATCAGCTCATACCTGCTTGGGACTAGGCAGTGCCTGCTTAGGGCTTAGACCCAGATCTAAAACCCTTGCGTAACTTTGTCCGCTCTCACCATCCCTAAATTTGTCCACTCTTCTGCCAGATGTGCACACGAAATCGATCGTTTGGCTCACCCAGTCAAGTGGCTGACCAGATTAGTCAACCGCTTCTTCCGCTAGCTACAAACGTCCCTCATACTCTAACCTAAACACTCACCATTGCTAATCATCGTTCACATCGACTCGTTGAACCTGAGCTTCATGCTCCATCCTCTCAAGATCGTCTGACGCCCGTCATCCTGCATCTGCCTCATTTTTCTCCAGCCCTGCAGCCATCTGTAATGTGCCTCGTCTGTTCAATTGCACTCCCTCTGTAATCAATCTTCGTGGCCCGTACCATGTCTTGGACCAACAGAGGCTGATATGACCTCGCAACGCTTCACTTTTGTTAATGTCACTGCTCCTCAAGACGCAGCGACCGAAGGAAACAAAAAGCGCATTCGTTCAGCCGCCGCAGCGTCGGGATGGGCCCAGGGTGCTCGTCCCAAAACTCATCAAAATCAATCCACCACCTCCGAAAATCCTCGCTTCGCTTATTCCGTCAACCTGAAGGATTTCGAAACACCAGAGAAGTCTGAGGTTTCCAATAAATCCCATCTGACTGACACACCGAAACACTCCAACATCTCGGATCGCACGTTCATCTGGGAGACTACCACTGCTCGGAGATCCTCTGCCACAAAGTTTGGTTCAACAGAACGGTCAGATGACCACATACGATCAAACATAAAGAAGAAGCGGACTACACATAGCAGTCAGACTCCAAGCTCTCTTAAACGAGCGCCTATAACCTCCTCTTCGGCCTCGGTGTCTTCGCAGTCACTCGTAGCAAGTCCCACGACGGCTGTTACAACATGGATCTCGTCAATACAGACACCTGATGCAAGTTTGACTACGCCAACCTCTGCACTTGCGAGTCCTTATGATCTGGGTAGCGGCATCCACGATGCTTTCAACTGCTATCCCGTCCTCAGCCAGCCGTGGTACGACAGAGTGCTACATCACAGTAAGAAGCAGTTGTTGTGCGTAACTAGATTATTTGTTTACTGACTCGTTGCACAGNTGATGACAGTCTTTGCTCCTCGTGGCTGGCCCACGTTGGGTATCGCTCACGAAGAAGGACTTAAATGGGAACGGTTCATGACCTTACACGCTCTCGCAGATGCCGCTTTGTTCAACGTTCGACTACTCTTCGCATCAGGCGATTTGATACGAATGAGAGTCTTGCCGCCTGAAACAGCACTTTGGTTACGAGACCAAGCAGTCAGGTCAATCAACGAAGCCCTTAGCGATCCTGTTCGCGCCACTAGTGATCCGCTGATCCTGGCTGTTGGCCGCATTGCGCTCCACGAATCCATGTATGGCGACAGAAGTGCCGCCAATCTGATACATCGCCCTGCGCAACACCGGATGATTATGATGAGAGGCGGAATGGGTGCTCTAGATTTTCCAGAGCTCGTCAAGAGGTTGATGAGGTGGGCCGATAGGGTCATGTCCTTGCAATCAGACACACCCCGGTTCTTAATCGAACTCGACAACGATCGGTCCTTTTCGATTGATCAAAGTGTCGGGGTTGTGGAGAAGTGGGTGCCACAAGAAGGCATTTCGTTACGCAATAAGGTCAGCACGTAGATGGCCGGAAGGTTGTAACAATGTACATTATGATATCCTTGTCCTGTTCTTGAGCGTAGCGATCTGTTTATATCAAGTTTTGCCTCTTCTCGTATCAAACACAGTTTTCGCGATCTGCTAGACGGGCTTTACAAGACCACTCATCATAGATATTGTCAAAAGAAAGGCAAAGGGATGTCGCAGCCGTGAATCGAACACGGGGCTCGTGCATGGCAAGCACGAATTTTACCACTAAACCACTGCGACTGATTTATGAAGCACGTTCTTTTCAATGTATATATAAAGCACTGATAATTTTTCTAGCACAGAGCTCGCGAAATCCCATGCCCACCCACACTGCATTCTTCTGGCCTCAACACTCTAATTGACTTCTTTCCTGTGGCCATCCGTTTCTGATCTTGACGACATCCGTGGCTGTATCACTGGCGGTTTCTCTCTGGAAACCAGCAACATCTGTCTCAATGGAGCCTCTATATTTGCCAGATCTCGAGGAAAGGACGTTAGCCAGATTCGATGAACTCGCAAGAAAGGAAAAGATATTCTACGAGGAGGCCATATCCGAGCTGATTACGGTCAATGGCTTTGATGTGAGTCGTGTCTTTCTTTTTCTCAACATCGCTCTAGTGCAGGTTCCGATCGAGAAAGAAATGCCTAACGCAACTCCCAAGCGCTCTACTCAAAACGGGAAAAATGACAGATATCAACAACGATCAAAACGAACAATTCGCTAACCACCCACGCNNCAGTTTCAGTTCATCATCGCCGGCATACTCAAGAAGAAACCAATCCTTCCTGCCAATGCGCCCAGCAGATCAAAAGCTGGTGGCCCATTTATCAATCCGGATCCCGAGGAAGTGGTAACCGAGTTGGGGTCCACTCATCGTTTGCTAGTCAACAAGTATGGCATTTTTCGACCAATGACTGTCATACCGACTATACACTATGCTCTTCAGACTGATGATCTTGATCTCACGGATCTCAATGCTGCATGGTCTGTCTTGAAGGCGTTTCAGACGCCGTCTTTGATCATCTACAATTGTGGTATCAATGCCGGATCGTCGCAGGGTCACAAGCATACTCAGGTCTTTCCTTTGCCCGGACATACGCTGTGGCCCTCTAAAGCTACCTCTTGTGATTGTAGGTCCACTAGTCTCTCGTTCTGCGAGAATGCGTTGCTGACACTCCTAGCTATCTCTACCAATATCGAACATGTGCCATTCAAACACCATGTTCTCCGTCTTCCGAGCCATGCCGATGCAAACACTGCCTACGAAGTCTACCTTCGCCTCCTCAAGGCATCGCGCGAAGTGCTAGCAAAGTCAGGTGAAGGTAGTAGAGACTACAATGTAGCCATGACCGCAGACTGGATCGCCGTCTTCCCTCGTCGAACCAGCGAGGGTCCGTATGGAGCAAATGCTGCTGGTATGCTGGGGATCGTATATCTACCTGACCAAGAAGAGCGAGATAAATGGTCTCAGCTGGGCTACACGAAACAACTTGTAGCCTTTGGTATACCTATTGATGCTTGAGGGTGTCATGTCTGATCCTGCTGTGCTCGCATCTACTGAACAATGACACGGAGTGCATACTCTGTGGGCATATCGATGCCTCAATCACAGTCCTGACATTGCCTTCGAGGTTACATATGGCTACAGGTCCAATCATCCCTTGCTCATCACTCGACTACCAACATATCAACACCACGCCTCCCTCCGTCCTGATCATCTCTTAAACCTAAATAAACTACAACCCCCGTTACACAAGTATAATACGCAACCCCCACCCGATTAACATTAAACCTCGACGGCTGCCCACACAAGCAAACCGGATTCCCTGCATCACAACCCATCAAGTCCGCAAAGCATGAGAAATTCCCTTTATGCATGACAACACACCGATAACAAGGTCTGCCGTCATCGTTTAATTTCAACACTGTTCTTTTGCCGCATTTGTTGCATTTCGGATTGTCGAATCGCGGGTCGTGGTTGACGTTTTGGTTGAAGAGGTAGGCCCATAGGTCTAGTTGGGTTTGGGTGGAGAGGTCTGAGGTGCAGAGGGGTTGGTGTCTGCGGTTGCGGGAGGTGTTTCCCAGGCTCGGTCGTTGTTTTCTTCATTTAGAGACCTTTCACTTGATGAGGTGCTACTTGCTGCAGGGGATATGCTGCTAGTAGAAGGTGTGGTATTGTTACTATCGGCCTTGAGGAAATACATTGGAAGTGCTTAAGTGGTAGAAGCAGTATAGGCAGCGGTAACCAGTAATCTTCATGACTCCTGTGCCTAGGTATTCCTCATATCGATATATATCACTTACCCATCCATCAAGGTGGTCGACATCACATACCATAAAGCTTTGATGAGAGAGTTGTCAAACTAAAATTAGCTCAATAGACTTCAGATCCACAGCAGAGGTAGTTTCTGATTATGAAACAACGTCAAAGTGTGAGCCAGTGTTCAACTCAGAATTAATATCCAAGCATGAACCACTTCCAGGCCAAGCTTGAGCTATCAATTGGGTAGTTGCTTGTTGTTGAAGGAGCGTCTTGGCATCACGCTATCGGTGGTAACAGCAAACATTATCAAAGATATGTCAGTGGTATCAGTCCTGCACGTGCAGATTCGATGGGTCAATTATAATCGATTAAGGGTCTTTTGGTTTGTAAGATACTTCTGCCCTGACCTGCGCTCAGGAGATGGTGTGTCCATGCCTCAATGATGACGGCTTACGAATGCTTCTGGATATGTGCCTGATTCTTGAACATGAAGCCCGAAGTTCTCTTGTCGGCGCCGGTGCGCTTGCTGATCTTTCCGTCATTTGCAAAGACCAAGACCAGAAGACCGGCACCACCTAGCACCATGTGTGCCAATGCACCGGCGATCAAAATTCCAGAGAGTTGTGCGGAGGTGCCTGAGATGTACATCAGGATACCAGTTGCAAGGTGGTAGAGCAGGGTTGCGATGGTGGTGGCCGAAGAGTCTAAGAGGTGTGTTAGCATTGACGACGGAAAGCGACGCAGACGTGAGATGCAAGATACANNTGGAGAGGCAGCAGTAGCAGAAGCACTGGGCACGTTGTCGGCATCATCCCAGAGGCGGTGCAGTTCGCCCGAGAAGAGCAGGGCGAGGAAAGAGCATAGGAGTAAAGCGAAGCCCAGTTCACGAGCAACAAGTGTCTCGAATGCCGAAACCGTCTTGGGCTCGGACGAGGCCATCCAGGCGGCCATGCTAGGACTCAGAAGGAGCGGTGCAGCCTCAAGGGCGAGCAAGGCAGCTGTCGCCTGGTTGTAGATGCGGAAGTTCTGTGGCCGAGTCAGTACACTGCTGCCTTTATGTCGACGTCGTTGAGCTGAGACTCACGTCCATGGCTGGCGAATGCGTGTTTTGTTGTTAGAAAGTGCTAATGTTGTGTGGTAGATGGAAGAAGACAGGTCGAGCTCGAGGCAGGCAAGACGTTTGCTCGTCCATCTCTCCTGCCCTGATTTACGACTTGCTTGCGGAACCTCGACCCGGGGAGAGCGGCAGAACTATGACGTGCCTACCTGTTTGTCCATCGCCTTTGACCACATCAACTCATGTGCATAGCGTTGAAACAGTGTCTTATAAAAGACCGAAGCAACCAGATGTGCTGATGTTCAGCAGCTTCTATGTACATCGTACTGTATAGCTTGGTGTTGGTGTCTGTAAAATCTCGAAGGTTTACCCTTGTTCTAGCTGTGAAACAACCACTTGCCGAACTGTTCGGTACAACGATTCGTCATTTTGCGGGGTTCGACTATCGTCATCGTATGCTCGACTTCAACTCACGATATGTTCATGAACTTACTGCTTTGATCCATGTCAAGTCTACTGTTTAGATCAAGATCTTGTTGAAGACTTTGTGGTAATTCCAAAACAAACTTCTATTTTCATAAATCGTTCCATATCCACCATTTCAGCATGGCCAACGATGAGTCAACAAAGAAGACCTACTACAAGAAAGCTACGGGCAAAGCACTCGAGACTGTGGAGAAGCATTCAAGTGACCATGAACTCAAACTCTTCGGGAGCTGCTTCTGGTATGTCGCTACTTCAATCCCTTGAATACAGCAGCCGAACACGAGCATGCAGTGTACTGTCAAAGGATGCTCCCAGCCATCGCGCGCTTCGTTCCAACCACCCGCCTTGCAACTTGGAGAGTACACGCTAACATGATCGACTACACAGCCCCTTCGTTCAGAGAGTGTGGATCTCTCTTGAGCTGAAGCAGCTCGATTATCAGTACATTGAGGTAAGCCCTCTTGAACCGCTGGTGGTGTACACGAGGGCAGATTCCAGAAGAGACCTCGGCCTATGTTCTATGAACATCGTTCAAGTCGCTCGTATCATGGCCCTCCACATGTCTCTGTTCGGGTTGCTACCGAAGGACTAGACAGACGCTCAGCGTATCTTTGGCCATAACCCTTTCCCTCTACCCGTGCCCTACAACGATATCACATTAGCGGCGCAGAACAGGTCCACCGTACTCACCATCACACAGGTCGATCCCTACGAAAAGCCACAACAGTTGCTCGAAGTCAACCCTCGAGGTCTAGTCCCAGCCCTTCGACATGGCGACTGGGGCTGCTACGAGTCCACTGTACTGATGGAATATGTTGAGACCTCCTTGATCCATCGATACTTGGCGTGCACTGATTCTAATGTTGTGTAGCTCGAAGACCTGCAGAAGGGTGAGGCACTGTTGCCCAGCGATCCAAAGTTGAAAGCGCATTCTCGCTTGTGGTCCGATCATGTAAGATTGACAGCCATATGCCAAGGGTTGATATCCCGAGTTCATTGAAGTGCACAGATCAACCGCAACATCGTCCCCGGCTTCTATCGGTACTTGCAAGCTCAAGATGAGAAGCCCCAGATCGAGTATGCAGAAGAGTTCAAGGAGCAGATTTCGAAGCTTGTTGATGCGGCCGATGACTCTGGTCCTTTCTTTCTAGGAGAAAAGCCGACTTTCGTCGATGTTCAGGTAGAGACCCTCTGACCCACTCGATCATCAGGGCTAGAAGCTAATCGGTCATAGATGGCGCCATGGGTTATTCGTCTTCGTACTGTCCTTCAGCCATACAGGGGCTGGCCCAAGCCCGAGGGAGGCTCAAGATGGGCAAGATGGGTCGAAGCCATAGAGCAAAACCATGCTGTGAGAGCCACAACAAGCACCGACGAATTATACCACTCTAGCTACGAGCGATACGCCGTAAGTCATTCTGGCCAGCCGGCCCGGAAGCCGTCTCTGTGGAGCCATGGTTGCTGACCCCAACTCAAGGAGAATCGACCAAACACATCTCAGGTACAACAGGCCGTCAACTCCGGCCGCGGGCTTCCCTGAGGCTCTGCACGGCTCTGTCATGAGCCAATGTCTCATGTGGTCTCTGTGACTCTGTCGGACATGGCCGAGGGCACTTGACCGTTGCAACGGCGACCTGACTCGAGGCTGAGTTCAGAAAAGGAAGGGTCTCCCCCGGATCATCGCAAGAAGGTCATTCTGACGAATTGTCTGATATCCACACTGTATTTAACTTCCTTCCGGCTGATACAGAGCCATTGATTCTGCTTTGCAAAGTTCAAGATGATGCTGAAGCAACTGGAGATTGTCGATAAGGTTGCAAAGGCCCGAAATCTGCATGACAATTAACCACGAACTCAGAGACTGAAACTCTATACTGGACCGAGACCGAAAGTAAGTGAGTCCGCTTGCAAGCATTGTGTGGGGAAAGAGTTGTGGTCACATCTCGAAAGCACTACAGACTACGCACGCGACTACGAGCTCGCAACGCGACAGGGTCAAGCCTGCAGATACTTGAGCTGGGATGAAATGTCAGAGAGGAGACGACAATCATTGGGGTGGAGTCACGCATAAAGTTCAATGGGCCCACAGCAGAGGTGCCTGTCGACCCTGAGGCGTAATGCTCAGCCGTCATGCATCAGTCAAATACTGTACGGGGAAGTTGGAACGCCATCGCTTGATAACATTCACACACGGGGTCCAGTCCAGTCCACTTAAGAAGAGGAGACGATGCGGAGGGAAAATGTACTGTTCCTGTGTTTCCTCCGAGGACCAGATCCAGAGTGGATCCTGAGCCAGAGCTGCATGATTGACCAACCAGGTCCAGGGAGAGACGACAAGTTGTGGCGGGGTGGGCGTGAATAGAGTTGGTTACGCATACAAACAAATGTTGTCAGTAGCGTATGGTACATGTCTTCCAAGTTCTCACAGCACGCTGTCCCCGAAGAGGGTCGTGCGACCCAGACGAGGTTGCGGAACCGAGCAGAAGGATTCTAGCGGAGAGGATTCCCTGACAATCTCAGCTTCGGCCTTGAATGAAGTGGGCAAATTGCTACCGCAAGCGCGAACAGCGGAGTCGCATCAAACAGGGATCCGACACTAATGTTTGTGGCCGCCGGCAGCCATCTGTGAAGGATCGAGAGGATCCGCTTGCCAGCATTGAAACGATCCCGTACGGTGGAACGGTGGTCGCAGATTATCCTCAATATATCGAATGATTACTGACTGGCACGGTCTCTTCGAGTAGGGAGACTTGTAGTCTTGACTAAATCGAGTGAACGTGTTCGTTGATCGTCAGACAATTCAGAGGGATAGATGTTGCAACAGACCCACTGTTTTTCCCCTTGGCTTGCTCGAACCCAGGGTCCTGGCGGGGTCGGCGGCTGGATTGAGACTCGGAGTCGTAACCGTACCCGTCTACGAGAGTTCTCACATCATCGTCGCGTCGACAAGGAGTCTGAGGGCTCGCTGACACCATGGGAAAGCCTCTTCCGCCAGAATACCCTGCAGTAAACCGAGGGTACATATGACGCGCCCCATAGCTGATGGACCTGAATCCGTCTAGATGGATAGAGCTCAGCTGAGATGTCGGGCTCTGCAGGAATGTCGTCCAAGTACCGAAAAAGGTACTGTCCGGGGCGCGCCGCGACGTGCGCAATTGATGACTAGCGTCAGCGAGATCGCTTACTCATGACTTTGGCATTTGCATATGTTCTTGATCACGTACTGTACGCCCTCCCGCGGACCTCACTATTGATGCTCCTGGTTGAGCCCTGTGGCGTGGCTTGGTAGGAATTGCCTCGAATTACCCACGCCCATGGCTAGACATGCATACGCAACTGCCAACCAGATATTAATTGATGTATGACCCAAACCCTTTGGAGGCTGGGACGTTTTGATAACCATACGGGCGTAAGATGGGAGTCTTGACGGATGCATTGCCGTAACGTCGGACGTTGGCTGAACGTGCATTGGGGTTAAACGCTTTCCGCTTGCAATTGCTGTGCTTGAGTGGATTGATTACTTTCATGAATCCGTTACATGCTTTGCACGCCATACTGGGTATCAATGCACTGTAGACGGAAGCGTTGGTCTTGAAATTTACATCACAGCACAGTTTGACTAGGCTGTATCGGACTTGATCCCAGATCGACAGATCTCAAGTTTTCAGTCTGCAGTATACGAGTGGACGAGGAAAAGAAAATTGTATGAGAGTCATCGTTTATCGATTCGTGTTCAGTGGCTAGTTCTAGTACATCATACAACTATGCCATAATGGCTTTGGCGAAGCACTCCTCAATCTCCTTCAGTCGGTAGTTGTGCACCAAGTGTGATTCGTACTGGGCCAGTTGCGTTATACATCATGTATCGTAAGTGCCATGCCCCTAAGAAATTAGGGGATCAGAAACCTCCAACGCCCGTGTGATGCTTTTAGAAATACATGGGACCAGGCATGCAAGTCCGCCACTTGACAATGCGGTCAACCTTTTTCAAAAACAGATCCCTCCTCGGCCAGCAATAGGAGAAACAGAGTAAGGCAGAATCGAAACTGGGTATATGTGCGTGCAAAGAAGACGTAAGGAACAAAGCATAAAAAGACAAAAAGAGCCGTGCCGACATTGAGAATTCGTGAGAGTGACCATCGCGACCATGAGTAAGGAGGGAGACGTCTAACAAGAGTCTTCACCAGACATGCGGCGATGATCACTAGCGGCCAAGGCGAGAGTGTCAAGACCATTGGAAAGACCCGGCGACGGGTAGCTGTAGTGAAGGTCGGGGTCTTGCACCAGGCTGGCTTGAGCAGGGAGGTAGTCAAGGGAGCTTGGGTAGTTGGAGCGGTGGTAGACAGGTCTTGTGTTGAAGTCGGACAAGATTGGTTGAGGAAGAGGCTGGATGGGGTCTGGGTTGATGTAGTAAGGGCTAGTCGACATGATGGCTTGTTGACTTGACGGGAACTGATGTTGGTGTTGAGGTAGTTGTTGGTGTTGCGATTGGTGGTCTTCCAATTGGGCAACAGCAGCAGCTTCTAAGGGACCGCTGACAGACTTGCGCGGTGCAGGCTTGGTGGACTTCTTCACGCGGCCATCTGTCGACGACTTGGAGGGACCACGCACGTTTTGGTGGGTGCGACGGTGTTGCTCCATGTTGTCTTTGCGAGTGAAAGCCTTGTTGCATTCGGGGCAGAAGGCATCCTTCTTGCCAGTGTGCTTCTTGGCGTGACGAGCGGCGTGTCCAGATGTGGTGAAGAAGTCGCTGCAGTTGTAGACCTTGGCCAGCGGGCAGGGGTACTGGTTCTTCTTGGTCGAAGCCTTGTTGGCAGCAGGGGCGGCGCGTGATGACTCTGAGACAGGAGAGTTGGAGTTGCGATAAGACTGCGCCATGGGTTGCGACATGGCTGGTGCGGTTGATGATGCGACCTGCGAGGCGGACATTGGATAAGGCGCCACGGCTTGCGCGTTCGGGACCGGAGGGTAGACGGACGACGTCGTGTCGTCCATTTTAGCGAACGAAGCGGGTCCGATAAAATAGTGAGAGTGGGCCGACTTTGAGTGGTGCAGATGGTCGAAGGATGTTGGGGGTGGTGTGAGAGGTGAAGGTGGAAGCCCGCGAGAGTCCGACGACTCGCTTCTGACCAATCGGGGAGTTTGTGGGGAAACGCTGGGCGTCGACGAAGCCAAACTTGGCGAGGGCGAGTGCGTGGGCCGGTAGTAGACGCTCAGCGGCGGCAGACGAGGCAGCACGGCAGCAGTGTGCGAGTCGTCGTTGAGCAATGATACCTTCCTTCCGATGCTGTTTCTACCGTCCATCATGAGGAACACAGTCTTGGGCCAGTCTGCGGGATGAAAGCCGCAGAAGATATCTAACTGGTAGGACTTTACAAAAGCCTAAGCTGCAGGAATTGAGAGGATTGGGATGTGATTGTTGTTTGTTTGTTGGAAGAAGAGTGTGTGAGAACGTGTATGTCTGGGTCGAATGGCAGAAGGGTAGTGACAGGTGTGAAGCAGAATGGGCCTTGAAGATACTGAACACTTTCGAGGCTCGCACTGGGTGAGGGAGATGGGTACTTTATGAAGGGAAAGACAGCGCACGGCGCACGAGGGGATGCCGCAAAGCTTCCCACTCGTCTCTACTCGCTCGTGGAGCACTTTGACCATGGTCGGATCCTGTGATGGCAAAGCCGGGATGGCCATTACTACCCTGGAAAGCCACGAACGGCCGAGTTATCCCATAGACGGGATCGTCATATACGCCGCGGACGGCCAGCGCCATCCATCGTCTGCGCCGGGAGACATGCATGCTTGAACGCAACCTTATCGCGACAAGTGCCCGTTCGCTCGCCAGCCCTGCCTGCCAACAGAGCGGGGCCCTGGATGTGCAATCGTCGATTTAGACGGAGGCCTTCTCCTGCGCCTCTGCGACTCGACTGCATCATCTCACCCAATCAAGCCCCTAGGTAAGCCCGATCCCTGCTAGCCGCTGAGATTACTATTGCTCAATTCCTTCTGCAGCCAGCCGCCAGCGAAACCGCCAGCCTGCTGCCAAACCGTGATCTCACAGTCAATTCGTGCCCCGAAGCTAGGAGACCCCTCCTACGCAGGTGCGCGCGAATTTCCCACGACTGACTCGCTCGCTTCGTGCCCACATGCTGCACTGCTCCTTCCACACATGCGCCATGCGATGTCTGCATGTAAACAGCGGATTCACCGCCGTACAGTGTTCCAACTTCCCAGAATGTCTCATACCATCGATTCTTCCACATGCGGACGTGTGTGCTATCAGACCGTTCGGATCCTCGCGGAACCGTCCTACTGCCGTCAAGCTCCCCTTCCCACCTCGCATTCGCGTTAGCATCGAAGTCGTGATTATTGGCATTTCTCCATCGATTGTTCTCCTGCAGCAGTGAGTGTAGCTTCCTAGTAGACTCTTAGCGTTATTCCACATCGGGCAGGCGCATGGTCAAGATATTCGCGTCACAAGGTGTGGGCAGAACTGTTCGGCCCTGCAGCTGGTCTTACCAATTTTAGACAAGTCTCCTTGAACGTCCCTGTCAATCCTGCCCCCACTTTCTGTCGTTCAGCGTCGATGTCTACGGATTCTCGATCCCCCTCTCCAACTCATCTCTTTCTAGCTGGTTTTTTCTGTAACATAGAATAATCCTTTGACTAGCACCGGCACAACCGCTCGACAATTCTTGCTGCATCGCTACCACCCAAGATTCAAACGCATCCACCGTCGCTCTAGCGGACGCCCTTGAATCCTGGACTCTGGTTGTTGCCATCAAGTTTTGACTTCGCTGCTCTGGGAACTGACGCTTGCTCCATTTGTGCGAGTTCATGTTCTGTCGCAAGGGTCCTGCGGCTCCGTCTGCACAACACACACCAAGGTTTCACCCTAGCGTCTTCGTTGTCGGTCCCCTGCTTGCACGTTCGTGGACATATGTCGCAGCCAGCCGACTATTGATCTCTGTAAAGTGATCAACTAATAATCACCTAAGCTAAGTCCAGCTCATGACGTTGACTGTCTCTAATTGAATGCATTCTCGTCAATTGGTGTCAGGAAATGGTGTTTCGGCGGCGCCAAAATTCATGCTCCATTGATTTCCCCTCACAAAGTACAACCGACCTGCTGGTATCTCCGGGGACCACCTACGTTAGTAGATCTGCTTGCTCAAATCTTCCATTTTGCTTTTCCCGTTCCTGTCACCGGCGCGCTCGGCATGCGGAGTTGGATTCCTCGAGGACCTCCATTCAAGATTTTTCCAGAATATACACCAGGCGGCCTCTTGTGCTTTCATACCACTGTCTGAAGTGTGTTTGGCCATGATGTGAGGCCGCAACTGGAGATATTGCTGTGACCTGAGTATGACGTCGCCATCGTATTCTCACGTCTCATATTCGAGAAAATTTTGATGTCAATGCCCGCAGAGCCGCTTGCGCCCAACTGTGCGCACGGTGTCAGGGACCCTCATTCACCATCGTCGATGTTCGAGAGATCGCCGCTGTCAGCAGTGGTCCCTGAGAAAAAAATCCCTGCTTTCGCTCTTCCCAGTTCCATCGTTCCGAGGTCAATCTTACTATCCGACGGAGAGCGACTCAGCCCCAAGAGAGGTATTCGATCGATCTTCTGCTCTACTGGTGCACGCGAGAGACAGATGTTACAGATCCTGCAACCACGAGTCGCTGCTTGATGAGAACCGCGTGATGCATCTCCCATACTCCTAGATCACCGAGGTTGGATGATTGATATACTCGACTTGATTTTCATGATTGGCCTCACTACGAACACCACGCAAAAATGCTGAGTAAACATGCTGAGCAAGCACCACAGCACAAACTTCCCCGTATCGCCTAACATACCATGCTTTGTAGGAGGCGGCTTCAAGCTCTCCGCACGTGGGTCAGGGCTCCTGTGCTAACGACGTGCATAACCGTTCCGGCTGTTAGTCCCCTTGGTAAGTTCATCCTGCGATTTCTCAGGAAACTGATCTCGATGGCACATAGTAAAACTCTGCAGAGCTAATTCATACCGAGAAGGTTACCGATCTCTAATTTAACCACCTTCCGGTTTGGTGGGATAGTTCCGTTTATTCACCTCTATCGCCGGTAGGTGGGAAATCAGTCTCACGATTGCCCTTCTTATCCACACTAGGATTAGGACATGCAGTCCGTATGAACATGTTGACCGAAGTGCAGTGTGGATCATGGTGATTCACGACCTGCATATGACTTCCATGCTCTTTCTGCATGTACCATTTACCCGGATAGATTTGCATACCATATTTCATCGGATTTGCATATGCTTAAGGTCGGCATTCCTCATTCTCTGTATGAGAAGAATTGATGTCATGGTATTTGACATGAACAGCCACTTCTACCCCGCGTCCAAAACTCTCTTGTATGTCACTACCTATGCTATGTGAGCTTCGTGCTTCGCCCTTGTTTTAGGAAAGCGTTTAATAACGAATAGTACCCACATTCGACGGAGTTTAGAAAGGAGATGTTTCCTGAATCTGCAACTCGGTTTCGGGTCGAGAAAATGCTTCTTGACAGTGGACTAGGAGATGCTTCTCACTACGGCAATTACTCGCGCAAAGAACTGACCCCAAAGTCTATTGCACCTACTATCCTATTGTAGTGCTCGTAGCTCAGAAACTACCATTTAGCTTCTTCGATCATCGAAAAGTTATGCCGCTCTTTTTGATTGACCAACCAGAGATTCTAACCGTCTAGGCGAAGCAATAGATTTGCAAGCACGAAAGCATTGAGCGATTTCGCGACTTTGAAGAATGTTTGACGAGGTGTTTTTCGCACGCTCGCATACGTACATGCGGTAGTAGTGCATACGTATGTGTCAATTAGGCTCACAGCCAAGCTGTAGAGCCCCACATTGGAGCAAAGGTTTGGTTTGCGGAGTTGGTGCCCGGGCACATGTCTTCGTTACGTACGTACCCTGCGACGACACGCGATATTCTCGTGCCATGTTTTCATGCCTCCCGTCGCGTCAAGGCTCGTATCTCGTGTATCGACTTGCCTTGCTACCGCCGAGACGAGCAAGAGATTTCAGTGACGCCAAACGTGGTCACGACAATCTTTCTTTCGTCCACCTGCTCGGAGTAGGGATCCGCATACTGCAGAATGTACAGGGATTCCCTCATTTAGCCGCACATTGGCTAGCAAGCTGAGGCAGCATGCAGAAATCTCATGTGAATCCTTCGTCCCAACGCTCGTACAGTACATTTATGGTGATTGTTACCAGATTGTCGCCCATGTTGCATACTCCACCATCGTTACAGCAGACGTACATGACGTTTCATGCTGCTAGCCGTAGATTGACCAGATGAAAATTGAAGCGATACCCACAAAAGTACGTCTGACAAGCTTTACCGCAGTTGTATGTCAGCCGGGCAAGTCTCCGACTGCATGCATATCTCCTCGAGGAGGTTCGGCGGTCAAGCGGCAATCCTCAATCAGGACTGGCAGCAGACGCTTGTCAAGTCGTGGCGCCCGAGAATTATTTGGTTGACGGGTGATAGTACATATAAGCGCAACAGATATATCTACCTATATATGCTGCGTTGAAGATGGCTATGTCGACGCGAGGCTGAAAACCGGCGGCTCTCACTCTCCGCCTCCTAACATCCCGCACCCTGGTCTTGCGGTCATGCAATTGTTACATAGTAAGCGAGATCTGAGGCTCAGCTGCAATGATAGGTGACTCCCTGCAGGAGAGAGACGAGGCGTCGTCGCTGGCGGCAGACGGCCTTGATTTTGCTTTCGCCAGATGCCGACGGCGCATCGATCAGTGACTTGTCCCATTGTTGAAAGTGCATGACAGTCTGAGCAGGATTCGCACAGGATCAAGTCACCACCACTGTTAGCGTAGCGGCGGACACGTCTCCGCCAAATGTTTACGCATGAGGCTCTATAACAGGGCAGTATCGACCGGCCGTTTTAGAGCGGCAGCATCCGAGCGAGCGCAATACTATGACATACAAGCACGCAACGGTATGGACTTTGAAGACCAAGACAGAGCTAGAAGTTTCCAGAAGGGCCAGGACCACGACGTCTTTTCAGGTCGGAGTCATGCAAATGAGACATGGCTCCAAAACAAAATGCAGGTGGACGAGCTGACAATGTTCATAAGAACAAGGGTTCGGCTGGATATTTGTCAAGTCGGTGAACGCCACAGGGTCAAGGTGGATGGATGATGGTGATTGCACATGCAGGAGTAGTGGGCGATGGAGCAAAGGCGTGTCAGGGTGCAGTTGTAAGCAAGTAGCATGCGGTGGCAGAAATGGACGATAGATTGGGCATGACGCTGGCACTCGCTCTAAACGAGGCAATATACGAGTACAGCGGCGAGAGGACCGGCTCGAGCACGTCGTTACGTGTACAGTACTCTCTTGTGGTATGGTTGGTAAGCACATGACCTGAGCTGCTTCTCTCGGCGATAGTCGGTGCAAGTAATGACACAGCAATATTTACTGGGGCGGTGCACGTAGGTGACTACTCGAGAGTAGATACAGGTAGTCCAGTGACAGTAGTCCGAGTATCAATCGAGTATTCTGAACAGGCTGATGGTTGGTTGTCGGTGAGCGTGTATATGGCGGTGGGTGAAGCTGCATGGACCACAGGCGCGTCATTCTTGACTGGGGCAGTCTCGCAGCTCTCGAACTTTTCGAACCATCGCTTTCAATCCAGTTCGGCAACCATGGGTCTTGAGGATTTCGAAAAGGAGCTAGCAGCCAACAAGACCAAAGAGTCTGATAGCAAGCGACACAGCAGTAAAGACGACGAGCGACGACGTCACAAACACCACCACCGCTCGTCGCGCCATGACGACTCGGACTCCAGGCACAAGCGCCGCCATCACCGCGAGAGAGACGATGAAGAAGACACCCGAGAGCGGCACTCTAAGCGAAGGCGCAGTCGCTCGCCCCGACCAACTCAGTCTCGGGAACCTGTTGTCGAAGACGACAATGACTGGGTAGAGAAGGAGGCCATGACTGCACCACCAACAGACGACATCCTCGACGAGCAACTGGAAGCTGCAGCAAATAAGAACCTCAAGCGCGACACGTGGATGGATGCCCCTTCATCACTCAACGTTGACTACGTCCAGCGACAGCGACCCAAGTCCCCACCCTCACAGTTCGTCTCAGCAAAAGATCAACTGGATCGTAAGATACATCGCCAGGACCTAGAACAACTTGCAAGGGACTTGGAGGAAGATGATGAGGAGGTACAGGAACAACCACTCGTTGATGATAAACCTATCCATCACGACGTAACCTACACTTTCGGTGACCAAGGTTCTCAATGGCGTATGACCAAGCTGAATGCTGTCTATCGTCAAGCCAAAGAGTCGGGCCGATCTGAAGATGAAGTCGCTTTGGAACGGTTTGGCTCCTTGAGAGACTTTGATGATGCCCGTGAAGAAGAACGTGAGTTGGACCGCCGCCAAATGTACGGAAACGACTATGTCGGCCTCGAAAAGCCAAGCGGTGAGTTGTATGCTGAGCGGAAACAAAAGGCTGCCTTGCGCCGCCCATCACCTGAGCCTGCTGCCAATCTTCCCGTGCTGCAACATGCCAACCCCAATCAGGGCCAAGTCATGGACGAGGCTCCTCCACCAGCAACCACTGTAGCTCTGGATCAGACCGCTCTGAACAAACTCAAAGCTCAGTTGATGAAGGCAAAGTTGCGCAACGCTCCCAACGCTGCTGCTCTGGAAGCCGAGTATGAAGCTGCTACCGCTTCAGCTGCCAACAACAAGCAGTCAGACGTAGTCGTATTGAGCGCAGTCGAAAACCGTATGCTCGCTGGGGGTCGTGGATCTGAGGTAAAGCACATTGAGAACAAGCGCGGTCGTGAACGAGGCCATGTTGAGGAGAACGAAGACATGAGCATCGAAGACATGGTCCGTCAAGAAAGGCGCACTCGTGGTATGGCTGGCAGCGAGGGTAAAGCCTTTGCAGAGCGCATTGCGAAAGATGCAAAGTTTACTGATGACCTTGATTACATGGATGAGAACGCCAGCAAGCTTGCTAAACGAGTTGGCAAGTCTGAAATCAACCTGCGCAATACGGCTATCGGAGACTTCCAGAAGATGCAGAAAATCCTCGACTCATGTCCCTTGTGTCATCATGAAGACACGAATACACCTCCAGCTGCACCTATACTGTCCCTGGCCACCAGAGTCTACATGACTTTGCAAACAGAACCTGAGCTCGCGACAGGTGGAGCTGTCATTGTCCCCATCCAACACCGTCTTAATCTGCTGGAATGCGACGATGATGAATGGGAAGAGATACGCAACTTCATGAAGAGCCTGACCCGCATGTACTACGAGCGTGAGAAAGGTGTCATCTTCTACGAGAACGCAGCCCACATGCATAGTCGACGTGGCCACGCAGCACTCTTTGCCGTACCCGTGCCTCTTCACCTCGCTGACAACGCGCCTGCGTTCTTCAAGGAGGCGATCTTGAGTGCCGACGAAGAATGGAGTCAACACAAGAAACTCATCGACACCCTTGCAAACTCGCAACGTGCAGGATATGGCAAGCAAGCATTCAGGAAGAGTCTGGTCAAGGAGATGCCCTACTTCCACGTCTGGTTCAACTTGGATGGAGGGTTAGGCCATGTGATCGAAGACGAGCGCAGATGGCCCAAGGGTGATTTTTTTGCAAGAGAGGTCATTGGGGGAATGCTGCGAAAGGGGCCGGAGATTATCAAGAAGCAGGGTAGATGGATCAGACAAGATCCCAGAGTCGAAAGCTTCAGGAAACGCTGGGAGAAGTTCGATTGGACAAGCGTGCTGATGGGCTGAGTGGGACTACTAGCCACAGGGTTGATTTATATTCCTGTCAATACGCGACTCATACAGTTATCACTTGCGCATGCAAATCTGATTGTGCTTATCATTTGCCATGACCCAGCTGTAAATGTTCATTCACACCTTGATACGACTTGGTCAGTTGGCACAGTATGAGTGGTCGTTCGGCGTTACTGCGAAGACCTGTATTTCAAGTAAAGCGTCAGAGAGCAGTCGAGGTCGTGGTGATATCAAATCTGGAAGGCATGACCCTAACCAGATCGCTTGTTGTCCGGGAGACCCTAGTCGCTTTCCTGTAACAAATATTCTAGACCTCCATTTCGAACAACACCATCACCTCACACAAACCCAATGATTCTCCGCGACCCTTAGCATACGTATCGTTGAGCTACGCGTAAAAATATATCAAGCGCGCTCTTTTGTGGAAGTACGGCTCGGACTTCTGCGTGTGGTGGAAATCTGCTAAAGGACATGTCAGATCCCTCAATTGTCGAGCCCGACAAGAGACTGAGCTGTGCGAAAATGGCTCTTCGGTGCCTTTGGCGATGGAGTGGCCTTGAATCACCCATCACCGGCATAACAAGCCAACTACGGACCTTCTCACTATCCGCTATAGCACAGACGTTGTCCCTAGACCCAGTCGTCCGAAGGCGACAGATGGACAAAATAAACGAGCGCAAACGGATCAAACGCCGCACCGACGCAGAGTGGGCGAAGCGCGAGAGACCAGCGAGTCGCGACCGCGCCGCCGAATGGCAAGCAAAGAATCGCGAGCAATATCTCGAGTACAACCGCAAGCTATCCGTAGACCGCTTCGCCCAGGATGCAGCCTACAGACTGAGGAAACGGATGCACGACATGCTCAGCAGACATGCGTGGGCCAGATATCGCTTGCCTTGGAAGTCGTATGTGCCTGTCCTGTACGAGAAAAAGGTCCGGCGCGATTGTGAGGGGTGCTTGGTGAGCCGACATGGTGGCGTGAAGTTGTGGTGGGAGTCGAAGGATGCGAAGGATCAGTCGGATCAAAAGTACTTGTGCCACAAGTGCTATTTTACGGGCCCAGAGGCGCTGCCGAAAGGGTATGAGGACGTGACCACTATCGCAGAGGTGACGGTGCGCAGAAGAGAGCTTGGCCATTGAGAGGTGTGGTGTGTAAGATTGCAGGTCTGTGAGGAGACACATCTTGATACTTCCTTCATTAGCCGTCCATGATCAGCATAGCACATCTCAAAAAGTGCGGAGGAAAGAGAATTTGTTGTAGAAAGAGCACGGGTCAAAGCCGAGAAACAATTCATCTATGGAAGCAGAAGAGAACAAAAACCGAAAACAAAGCCTAAGACTCGAAAAGCTGTACGTCTTCAACGCCAGCAACGATCGCCTGCGCGCTGCCATAACATCTAATCAGAATATCAAAAACGCCATCGAACCCATTGTTCACCGTACCACTGCCAGTAATGCTCTGGTACGCCGCATCACCATACTTGTACGACGTCTGAGCAAACGAAACGCCAAATCCATTGGAATCGACAAAGTACATTTGCAGACTGCAAGAAGAGCCATCGTTGGGCAGACCGTTGGGGTAGTTGAGCAAGAGACCCATCGACGCGGTGTAGGTCTTGCCAGCCTTTGCAGTCCCGGATTGCTGCAGCAGAGCAGCTTGAGAGCTTGAATCACCGCCAGCGGGGAAAGAAATGACCGAGACATAAGCATTGGGGTTGCCTTGGACGGCGAAGGTGGGGTTGCCCAGACGATACAGGGCCCAGCCCGAGTAGTCGCCTGTGCCAAAGTTGCCGTTGGTCAGCATGTTGGTTCCGGTTGTGCTCGATGGCGTAGAGGAAGCCTTCGAGGTTGTGGTTGCCGCGGCGGTGGTTGCTGCGGTCGTGGTAGCACTTCCAGCATCCGAGACAAGAAGCCGGATGTTGCCAAAGCCCAGGGCGAAGCTTGCCGCCGAAGAGCTGGCACTGTTGCAGTAAGTGTCTATCATGAACCGGCCAGTGAAGCCTTGCGACAGTTGGCCGGAAGCAGTGTCAGACAATACGGGACCGCTCGACGAGGCAACACCATACTGCTCGAGAATGATATCGTCGCTACCGAGACTGTATTTGACAACACAAGCCACCCCAGCAGGAAGACCGCTTGGGTAGTTGAGATAGACATCGGCACTGAGCTGCCAGGTCGAGTTGGCTGGAATCGTGACGTTCTGGTAGAGCTGACCACTTGCGTTGTCGTTGGCAGCCAATGAATACTTCACAAGTGCTTCGTAGTTCGAATCGCCAGCGAGCGAAGCTACGGAGAACTTGGTACCGAAAGCGCGGGCACCGTGCCAGCCGGTGGTGGAGCCTTGGCTGAACATTCCATTGGTTATAACGTTACTGCCGCTGGAGACATTTTTCGTGTTGGCAGACGGCGAAGAAGTCGCCTTCGAGTCGGCGGTACTGGAAGATGTTTGGGTGCTGGATGATGTTCGCGTCGAAACACCCGTAGGGGCTTTTTGGTTGGCGACGACACTAGTAACTGGGTCCATTGGAATGGCGTCTGCTGAAAACATGGTAGATGAAGTTGTCGAGGGAACGGAAGATGAAAGATGTGATGAGGTCGACGTGGAACGGATGGAGGCGCTTGAAGAGGTCTTGACTGTGGTGCTAGTCTTGCCAGAGCTGCTGCGGCTCTGTTTGCTTGACACGGAAGTCCATGTCGACTTGCTGCTTGCGACACTCGTCGACTTGGCGGTAGTCTTTTTTGACGTCGACACTTTTGATGATGTGGAAGGCTTCGATGTGGTTGACTGCTTGGTTGAGGTACTTGTCTTTTTGATCGAAGACGAGCTTCTGATCGAGGACGAGCTCTTGGTTGAAGACGATGCTCTGGTCGAGAATGAAACTTGTTTCAACTGTGTTTTGACCGAAGTGCTGGCCTTTTTGTAGACGAGGTGGTCTTTCTTGTAGAGGAAGTAACTTTTGGGTGGTCGAAGACTTTTTCGTGGTACTCGTCTTTTTGCTGCGGCCACAGATGAAGACGAAGCAGAAGCCTGAATACATTTGCAAGCACCGCTAACTTGGGCGACAGTCAGACCCTTGACATTTGACTTGGACTGCTTGTTGGCCAGCCATGACTTGCAGTATGTCACCGGCTGCTTGTTGCTGTTGTTCACGGTCTTGATGTCATTGGCATTGCAGGCTGTGTTTGGTCAGCAAGTGCCTCTCCATCATGTACCTGAAAGTAACATACTTGTAGCAGCTCTGGGCTGCACGTTCTCAGTAAGAGGAACGGCAGACACGCTGGACAAGGAGAGAAGAGAAAGGCAAAGGAGAGACTGAACAGTTGGAATATGCATTTTGAGAGAGGCCGACCAGAAGAATGGCCCAGGATAGTGGGAAGCAGCGAGGGTAGATAAAGAGAGTACCGAGATACAAACCCACGTGTCGAGGCGGCGCCATGTCTTATAACGTCCCACGGTGAACACATTTTCAGGACGTTTCTTCAGTATTTGAGGGCAAGCAAATTTGGAGTTAGGCAAGCAGAAACGGGACGCAAAGAGACTGGAACCTATAAAGCGTTATGAACGTTGAAGGGAGTTGAGTGCGGACCGACGGCAATTGAACTCAAGACACATGGTCAAATACACAAAGATCACTAATCTGCCAAGATACTTTATTGCCGACAAATATCAATAAAGGCTGTACGTTACGGAGACACTTTGGGGCTTCGAAAGCGGTGCAGGGCAATTGGTGATGGTTCTGTTCGAGTGCAAAGAAGGGAAGTGTAGTAGAGAGGAAATGGGAGAAGAGAGGAAGGAGCAGCTCTCCGCACAAAAGCTTGGCGGGGCAGGTCGTTGCTCGCATCCGGAGCTTCTTGTGTCTCATGGCAGGCCAACTGCAGCAGCAACGGTTTTGACTCCTACGTAGGCGGTACCGCGCCAGACTCGGCCACGACTCAGACCAAAACTCGACTACTACTCAGACCGGCACTCGCCATACCTGCCCGTCTCGCACGCCCACTCAAGCTCTTACCGTTCATCCACCACCCAAGCAGTTTCACCAAGTCTGCCACACCATAATCCCTCAATTCATCCACACTCGTCATGGCCTTGCTGTCTAGCGCTCTCAACGTCTTTGGCGCTGTGCTGTTGGCACACGCGTACGTTGTTCACCTCGCCGTCGGCCCCGTCCACCTTCCATACAGCTGACTCGCTCCACAGCGTCTACAGTGCCCATGAACACTCAACCCTAGCCACCCTCGCCGGCAGTTCTCCAGTCTCCCCANNGTCCACTCGTACCTGATCCCAACAATCGACCTGCCGCTGGACATTACATTGGAGACGCTGACGGCCGTCCTGTTGCTCTGCGTCGGCATTGTCATAGGCAGCCCGGAGCTGAAGCCCATTCAATGGCGCGTCTGGGCCGGCAAGCTGGAGAAGGACAACGTGTCCAAGAATCAGAGCATCAACGGGGATCCGCTGGGCCCCAGAGGCAACCCATACGCAGCTTTGGAGCAGAGACAGGGCTTCCTCGACATTAGGAGTCAGCGCAATGAGTTTGCCGATTGGGTCAAGAGTGGCAGCAGTAAGAAATGATGGGTCTGAATGTCTATGTACCCAGCACCAAGCTTCAGTATGTCATGAACGACGGTTGTTGTCCTTGTCAAGAGGACTTCTTGCATCCTTCCAGTACGTTTGAATTGAAGCGATGCGAAGACGTCTTGCCTGTTTATTGTCTTGTAGAGCATGTCATGCATAAACCGTATCGAGTTTGTCCGATGGTAGGCATGGCGCGGCCTGTCTTCTCTGTGAACAGAGGGTGTGGTTTTGGTTGTATTGGCCTGTTGCGCTTTTGATAGCGCCTGACTCTTCGTTTCAACCTCCTTTTGACACCACTGCCGCATCTCGCACGTCTCCGGTGTCTTCGTAATCCCTCAGAGCGTTGTATACCGGTTGAGGCATCTCGAGCCAGTTGTTCCAGATAGCGACAACCTTGCCCTTGATCAGAGCCAAAGGCACGGGACCATACATTCTCGAATCGCGCGAAGCTGGCAAGTTGTCTCCAACTGTCCAACAGTGACCGACGGGGACCTGTTTTCATTCATGTCAGCAAAGGGTACATCAAGCTGCTTGGGAACCCAAGCTGACCTGTATCATGGTGCCTTCTCCTTTGCCGGGCGTGTCTCTGAGCACAAAATCGCCTGGCATACCGATAACTCTTTTGATGGTCGTAAGCTCTCCCTGTACTGGGTGCTTGTATGACACTATATCACCAACTTGTATGCCACGGCCGCGGCGATACCACTTGGAGATGACAACGCTGGTGCCGCTGGCGTTCAGAGTTGGAAGCATTGAAGGTCCCCATGTGCCGGTCCAGCTATAGCAATGGTCAAAGAAGATGTGTACACCAAGGAGGATTGCGAGTCCTATGCCGAAGCCTTCGCGTGCGCTACCAAGCAAGCCATCTCGTTCGTTTCCGGCTTGTCGAGGCTGCTTGACGTGTTTTGGCGTTCCAGAGATTGTGTAGCCAAAGATTGATGTCGAGATATTTCGCCGCCGCAGTCCGATCGCGTGTGTCCTATTGGAAAGGCCGCCTCGGTGTGCGAACAAAAGTCGTCGTAACATGTCAACCTGATCAGCGGCACTTGATTCAATAAATCCAAGTCGTGTGAAATGCAATCATGCATCAAGCCGACATGCATCGTCACAAGCTTGGACCACCCACCCGACTTTTTTCCTGCCCACGAACATCATCCTTGAACTCGACATCCCATCCTGACTGCATCAGACTGTTATCTAGATCGGGAGAAGGTATGGCTCACTCAACTACCCAAGACCAAGCGGCCAAGCTAGATTCTGCAGTCCGTGAGCTCATCATAACATACGATGAGCTGAACTCAAGTCTCGTTGATGAATTATGGGAAGAGCCAAGTGCTCTAGAGTTCATGCAATATGTCGCAAGAAACCGACCATTCGTTGTAAGAAAAGGTGCCGAAGACTGGACGGCCGTTCGAAAATGGGACTCGCACTATCTTCTCAACGTCCTTGGTGATAGTCTCGTCAATGTAGCCATCACTCCTTTTGNNGGTAGGTGCTGCCGACTCGCTCTTTCCTTACAATCCCCTTCCAATCCACCACCGCTTTCGTGTTCTTACTCTCTTGTCTTTCTTTCCTTCCCTTCCACACATTTCTCGTCCCAGCATTGACGCGCAAGAAGCAACGCAGATGCAGTGTTGAAGGAAGACGATGGTTCGTTATCCTACGTAAAACCACTCGAACGGCTCGAGCCCTTCGACAAAGTCATCCGCTACATCGCAGAGCAAGAATCGAATCAGTCAGAGAGGCCCACACCCATCAAGTATGCCCAGACACGTACGTTATCTGCCTCCTTTGAGAACAAACACGATGTTGAAAGTCGCCAGNAAAACGATAACCTCCGCAACGAGTACTCCTCTCTCTTCGAAGATGTCCCTTCCGACATACCTTTTGCACGCATCGCACTACGCAAAACCCCTGAAGCGGTGAACTTCTGGCTCGGCAACAGCCTGTCCACCACGTCCCTTCACAAAGACAACTACGAAAACCTTTATGTCCAGGTGCGGGGTCAAAAGCATTTTGTCATCATGCCCNCCACAGCTGCTGCTGCTGTCAACGAGCAGAGCATACCCGGTACAACATATGTCTCGACCAACGTGGATGAGACGGCGGAATTACAAGTGCAGGATCTGAAGCATGTGCTTGATGAGCCTGAGTTGATCGTTCCGGTGCCCACTTGGGATCCAGATTTCCCTGACACTAGGCCGACGCCGTACTCGAAGCTTGTCAAGCCATTGCGAGTCACGCTCAATGAGGGCGACATGATGTATCTGCCTGCTATGTGGTATCACAAGGTTGGCCAGAGTTGTGGTGATGAAGGCTATTGCTGTGCTGTCAACTACTGGTAAGTCTCTCTTGTTCCTGCCCCCAAACCAAAGTACCAATAAGAAACATGACTAATGTTATCTCACTAGGNNTATGATATGGAATTCGGAGGGTCTTTTTGGGCTTCCAATGCCTTTGCTCGTGATGCTGCTAGAATAGCCAACAACTAACCAGTCTCGAGCTTCTCGTAGCTAACCACTTCGAGGAGACTTTCTTATGCAATATGATAGCTAGAGACAAGACTGGGTATCGAGCACGGAGCGCCTAATGTCATGCATCACTCTACTCTCCACGGACTCAACACATATTCGTGCCTTTTCATGGCTGGCTCGCTCCCGAATGTAGCGTGCTGGAGATGACCGAAACCAAGACACAGTTCACTGGTCTGCATTCAAGTCCTGAATCATGTGACATGTGGGAATGCGTTTTGGTATGCACCGGTTACTATGCAGCCCTCGTTCTTGGAAACACTTGCATCTCCAAAGAGCTCCTTTCATACGTTCACACACAAGAAGTCAAGTTTTGGAAGTCGAACAGATATGATTTTCTTTCATGGACTCATGAAATCCCTTCTTGCCTTTTGTTCTGTAGCAGAAGCAACGCTCCAAACACCCAAGAAGCAACCGACCGGCAATTAACCACATCAAAACAGAACAGTCGCGAGAAAGAGATGATACAAAGACCAGAGCGTTAATGCTGCGCTACTTTCCAACCCTCCTTGATCATCGACTTTACAAAGTACGAAACGCCGAGCAAAACTCCACAGCCGGCAAGAGCAAGGCCAGTGAAGAAGGCGCATCGAACACCCCATATCGTGTCTTCGAGCGTGCCGTCGTGGGTCATGACTGACACTTCGACCGTGCCAGCGATACCCAACGCCAATGAGATTGAGTAATTGACCATGGTATTCACCAGCGAAGCAGCAAGACCTTGATGCTCACGAGGCATATGGTTGGAAAGAATGACAGTGGCAGCAGGGAAAGACATGTCCATACCAAACGGCATGATCAAAATGGACACGAACATCTGAGGCCAGTACGACTGATGGACAGGCATAAAGGCCGAGATTGCTTGGCCGATGCAGAAGGCCAACATGGCAATCAGCATTGTGAAAGACACGGGAGTGTGCGTAAGCATGAAACCGGTGGCACCTGCAGCGATAAGTCCGCAAACCAAGGCGGGGGTGAACTGTGCAGAGACGCTGAGCGGTGTCAGATGGCGGAACTCCTCGAGGAAGCGCCACGAGTAGTAGATCCAGATGCCGAAGCTGCCCCAACCTATGCCGATCAAAGCCATGGTGTAAGTGACTGTTGCGTTGAAGGCAGAGACAGGTAAGAGCGGGTTATCAGCACGACGCTCGACCCATAGGAATGCTACCAGTACCAGGAGTCCGATGATGAGGATAAAGTATACATGGGGTGTGGACCACCCGTACAGGGGTCCGTTATTGAAGGCGATGTTGACGAGTACCAAGCCGATGACACCCAGCGCGCTACCCGTCCAGTCAAATCCAGGTACCCTGGTGACGCCAGCGAATTGAGCCTCCTTGGCTAACTGTTTAGGCACGACGAGCAGCGAGAATGCTGACAGGGCAAATGCTGCGGCACCGTAGCTCCAGAAAGTCCAGGGCCACCACGTGGTCTGCGAGAAGAGAGCTCCGAAGAGAGCGCCGATTACAAATCCCCAAGGTGCCATGGCGCCAAACAACGCAAATGTGAGATTCTTCTTGATGCCTGGAGGGTAAGCGCGACCAAGCAGTGCGAGAGCATTGGGGGCCAGTAACGCACTGCCAATGCCTTGCATACCTCTGCAGACGTCGAANAAGATCTGCCTGCCGACGTAAGCACTGAACCCGGCAAATCCGGACCAGATACCAAGAAACAGGTACCCAAACACAAACACGCGTTTGTGACCGAGAATGTCACCTAGCCGGCCGGCGATTAGGATAAATGTACCAGTGGTGAGACTGTACGCGGCTGAGAACCACGCTTCTTGACCAGGGTTGTTCACACCCAGTCCGGATGCTATGATTTTGACTGGCGCGATTGCTTGACCCAGACCTGCAAGACACATGAATTGCGCCATTACAACGACGCCGATGAACAAGGCCNNTTTTTGAAATGTCAGCAAGCGAAAACATAGAAATCTGATGGGACTGACTTCATGGAAACCGCCGATTCTGAGCTCCTGGTGCTGTTGCCCTGGCGTTGACGGAGGTGGAGCCATGTGCTCTACAAACACGTTTCCCAGAGCCTCATAAGGTTCCAATTTCCCAGCCGCTTGGAGTAACAGAGAATTCGTTGAGTTACGGCGTCCATTGGTGTAGATGGCAGGGATCTGTGGAACTTTCTCCATGCTCTGGGTAAGCCAGCTCTCAGTAGCCAGTAGCTCGCTGCGAGAGTTGACAGAGATGTGCTTGGAGTTATGGCGGGATGATGACGCGGAAGGTGCTACAGGTGTATCCAGAGGTGATACCCGGCCATTACTAGAGTCGTCATACGTTACACTGATGACGGGGTCTTTGAGATCTCTTTCGTCCTTCAGAAAGACTGGAAACTCGTCTATGGGTGATGGCACCTTGGTGGAGGTTGTTGAAGGCTGCATCAAATCAACAAACACCCTCGGCATCCACGTTGTGTTGGAGGTTTTACCATAGGGAGGGAGCCTGGCTCGGGACTGATTCTGCTCATGTGTGTCTCTTTATGTCTTGTTGAATTGGTAGTGTGGTATTTGTTTGCAGTGTACAGAGGATGTTGTGAAGAGTGATGGCGGGAAGAATTCAGAAGAATAGAGAACACGGATGGGGCCAGGATATAGAGATAGAAAAGTCCAAGGCGTGCCCCTCTTTTCTGCCCACAGTTCCACTGTCTCCTACTGTAGTAGCACTCCTACGGATGCATATCTTACTTACATGGATTCATCATAGGTTCAGGTTAGTTGACCGCATTAGCAGGAAGGCTCGATTTGGAAGCGGGTTGCTACAGGCTAGGGGCATCTCGACCCTCATCCACAATTCGCCGGGGCCATGCAGAGAATGCAAGGAGCGTCATGTAACTGAAGATGCGAGAAAATAGGCATTTGGAGGAGGAGAGCCGAAGTTCAAGAACGAGCAGCTGGGATGCCACGTCCAAGACAGCAGAGCCAAGGGCAGTAGAAGGCCGAAGGAACAGATCGCTTCCAATCTTCTGATTAAGGACATGCATATGCCGGGTGCCTTAGCATGGTCCCGAAGTGGATGTGGACACGGGTGGATATCACAAAACATGCTTTTGTCTCTCGCGCGACCTCTTGTCTGGTGCATTGCACACAACAGTCTGGACAGCCACATGGCAAAGGCTCGAGTACCCAAGCTGAAGACCGTCAGCCGGAACACAAGATATACGGCGAAGCTGAAACACAGTCGGGAAGTTTCTATATGGCTTTCGGTAAGTAGGACGTTGAGGGTAGGAGGTAGGCAGGCCGTTCTTAACATCTTGATGCATGCCGATGCGTTTTTCCACGTAGACAAGCACAGCCCGCAGGGCGGCGCATGTCATTTGCTGTTGCTAAGGTATGGTATGCAGTGCGACGACAAGGACCGGGGCAGCTATACGCCGAACACGTCGTTGTGAGATCAGCCTTGAAGTTTTGGCTGTGAGAGGCGTCGTCTGCCTGTTCTGGCTCGCTTCTCTTCCCCTTTTGGCTGAACGAGGTCCATAAATTTAGGCTTCATGGGAGGGACCGACCACATGCCAAGAGTCCGAAAGCCCCAACTCCTCCTCTCAGAGCATCGTGGAGCTGAGCAGGTGGACGTCTTCTTCATCAGCTCTCTACTGTATATTTGCAATGCTTCCTACAGCGAAGTACTCGAATACAAGCAAACAAAATACGTACCTCTTCATACGAGCCCTTGTGCCCATATAAAGCAACAAGAGGTCATTTGGCTTCTGCTCGCGGCTCATGACGGGCAGCCGAAGCCCCGCGAGTGGACCAGGAAATGTTCCGATGCATGAGGGTTTGCCAATAGCTTCGGACGTGTGCTTATATTAGATAGTGCTTGCTTTTTGGCTTTCTTACGGCGCGCGTGAACCCGTCAAAGAACATGAATAAAGGCTCCGATCCTGCTTACACCGACCACATCGAGCATCGCAATCCTAATAGTCAGAACGATTCGGTAGCGAGTTCAAAAAGAACTGCCGCGACCGAGTACCTGGTTACTCAGCTTCTTCTTGCTATGACCGCATTAGTGATTGTGCTTACGCCGAAGATCAATGAGCTTTGTGAGCTGAGGTCGGATTCTCTGAAAGTATCATCGATGGGCAGGGTTGTCCCTCTCGACGTCCAAAGAGATGGTGCAGTCATCACAACATCATGGAACAGTCATCGATTATCACGATGAATGCAATGGAAAGATCAGTAGGCGAAAAATCATTAACTTGAAAATACTAGAACACAAAAGTAGGAAAACCCGCGGATCAATCCTCTGAATCAATGCGGGCGAAACACTCCCTCCACCATTATTAATTGTGCCCCCTTTTACTGCTATGTTGCTGGCTGGGTATAACGTATCTTTTTCTCATGTCCTCATCCCTCTTCGCGACTGTCGTGCGACAGTGGTATCATGACGGTAAAAAGCATCGCGAAACAGAATAACCAAAAGAAAGTATCAGACGCGATGCTTAAACACGACCCTGGAAGACGGGGTTGTTCTTGCCGAAGAAGGTGTGCTCACCGTCATCACCCTGGACAGCAGTGGAAGTGCCGGTGGTGCCAGTGGTACCGGTAGTAGCACCGGTGTGGGTAGCATCGTGGAAGGCACGGTCAACCTCACCTCCAAAGTTACCAGCACCAGTAGACTGACGGCCAGTACCCATGGGGCCCTCGCCGGCACCGAAGTGAGACGAGCCTTGGTGGTATCCAGTGGTGTTGGTAGTGTTCTGGTCAAGGCCAGAGCCAAGAGTGTTGCCACCACGAACGGGCACCTGGCTAGTAAGACCAGCAGTGTTGGAGCCACCGTGGTAACCAGTGTTCTGAGAGTCGTAGCCAGTGTTCTGAGAGTCGTAGCCGGTGCTTCCGTAGCCAGTGCTTCCATAGCCAGTGTTGCTCGAGCTGTTGAGACCACCGCTGGGGCCAGTGTCAGAGGATCCGTCAAATGCTGCACCGTACTGGTTGGTGCCAAGGTTGTTGGGACCACGGACACCCTCCTGGTTGACACGGTGAGGCTTGCGAGTAATGGAAGCCATCTTGGGCAGGTTGGAAGTCTCNCTAGAAGATCCAATGCTGAAGATGGGGGACTCCCACTTGTCGCCCTTGGCGGCAAGCTCCTTGTACTCGGTAGCCTTGGTGCTGATACCGCCGGGAAGAGAGATGTTCTTGAAGATGCTGTCGTGCTGGGTGACAGCCATGTTGACCTTCTTGTCGGCAGCAACCTCGTCCTTCTTNTGCTTGCCCTTGGTGAACTTCTGCTGGGCGGCAGTGGCGTAGCGCTGGTAGATGTTCTGGATGTTCTCAGGGTCAGGGTTGTTCTTAGCCTGGGCCTCGGCTCTCTTGGCCTCCTGGTGGATACCATAGAGCATTTCGTCAAGCTGGTGAATGTTGTTGCGGATTTGGGTCTCGGCAACCTTCTGGATGGCAGGACGCATGACCTTGAGAAGAAGAGGCTTGAACATGTTGAAGAGAAGCTTGTGGTTGGACTGCTTCAGCTTGATGTTGATGTTCTTGATGTCAACGTGAACAGAGTTGACCTTGAAGAAGTGCTTGCCGTCGGTCTTGTCTGCAGTCTCCATGGCGACCTTGAAGCTCAGGCCGGTACCGCCGAGGAAGATATCCATGACACCCTTGTCAGTAATACTGGGGAATCCTTCCTTCTTCTTGATGTAGTAGCTGACATCGCGGAGGTCGCACTGGACACCGGAGACGGAGAGCATGACCTTGTTCTTGTTCTTGCTGGTGATGGACTTGCGGCCCCAGCGCCAGTAGTTGTCGCTACCGAACTCCATGACGTTAGGAGCAAGGTTGTCACCCTCGAGGACGAGGTTCTCGACAATGGCATCCATCATGTGGTCAGAGTACTCGATACGAGGGATGGGGACGTAACGGATGGACTCGAAGAGACCAGGAAGGATAACCTCGGTCAAGTCCTTGACGAGATGAGGCTTGAATTGAGCCTGACCGTTCTCATCCTGACCAAGGTCGAGGAAGAGCTTCTGAACGGCGTCACCGAAGGCGACGTTCTGTCTGTCCTGGTTGAACTGGTCAATGTAGAACTTGAACTCGTCGGAGATTCTGTCGGTGTGGTTGCGGTAGCGGTTACGGAGAAGGAACTCGCCCTGGTCGTAAAGCTTGTTCCACTCCTCGGTGGACTCGTCCTGGAGGACGTAGCCCTGCTCCTTGAGGCACTTGCGGATATATCTGTTCATGTGGGAGAACCAGCCCTTAAGCTCGGGGTCCTTGTCGGCATCGCTGTAGATGACGTTGATCGAGTCGAACATGTCGTCGAGGGAGGTGCCGTTCGCGAAGCGCTCAATGAGAGTCTTTAGGNNTTTGTCAGCATTTGTTGATTGTTGGTCTTGAACTCTAGAAAATACCTTGAGGTCAGCTTCAGCCATCTGCAGACTGTCGTCCTTGTGGGCACCTTTCACAGTTCCTTGGCTCTGGTTGGCCAAGTTCTTAGTATGGCCGGTGTACTGCTCGGCAAGACGAAGGAGAGTATCAATGGCTTGGTGGTCTGATAGAAAGAGTCAGCGGCTGAAAGCAAAGCCTTGGTANGGCATTGTCAACATACAGTCCTGGTGGCCTTGGATCTCGACGATCATCTTCTTCAGGCGGTAGATGCCCTGCTCGCGACGCTCCTTGGGAAGCTTCTCCTTCATGTAGTTGTTGGTGCGCTCTCTGGCCTCACGAGCACGGTCCTGAGTCTCCTGAGGAACGTTCTCACGAGCATGCTGCTGGAGGCGGTCAGCACCCTCCATGGCACCCTTGGTAGCATCGACACCGGAGTTGCCACCTGTTTGCTGGTCACGGCGGGCGAGGTCAGCGGCGTCGGCGGGGTCACGAGAGCCACTGGGGTGGGCAGCTTGGGTAGCATCACCAAGAGCGCCCTTGGCCTGCTCCCTGTTAAAGGGCTTCTGCTCATTGAACTTGGACCTAGCCTGGTTCTTGAGGTTGTCCCTTGAAAGATCGGGGACATCGTGCCAAGTGTTGTCCTCAGCGGGCTTGTCAATCTGGTTCAGCTCGTCCTCGGAAGGGTTGACCTTGTTGGCCGCCTTCTGAGCGGCGTCACCAGCCATGTCTCTGAAGAGAATGCTAGCATCGCTCACTTGAGAGTTTGTTAGCTGAGGTCATGGTGGAGAATACGACCTATACTTACAGAGCTTGCGGAATTGACCGTTGGACAGGATGAGCGTGCCGAGGGTGCGCAGACCGTCGAGAGCCTCGTTGCCGTGTTGCTTGGCTGTGTCCTTACCGACAGGAGCGTTAGGCGTGCCGGCGTTGCCACCGGAGATCTGCTGAGTTTGCCAGATGAAGTCCTGGAGGAGGTTGCCCTCGTTCTTGGTCAGGAGCAGAAGTTTGGCCTGCTCAACGACCTCGCGCAAGTCACCAACGAGCTTCTGACCCTCTGTCGAGAGCTTCTTTGAAGGGTTCGAGAGCGGTCGCGATGCGAGAGCGCTGTTCATAGCAACATCAATCTGCTTGTTTGATGGAACCTTGCCATTGGTGAAGGCTGANAGCGAGCGCACGTTAGCAATGTGAACGACGAGGTTGGAAGAAGCGCATCGCTCAAAGGACCTACCAGAGAAGATCCCATAGAGCTGGAGCTTGTTGTTGACATCCTGCTCCTTGATCTTGGTGTTCGTGGGAACGTTGACTGACGCAGAGGGCGCCATGATGAGATTACTGTGGTGGGTTGTAGGATGGGTATCTGAAATGTGTCTGGGGTATCTGGATGTGAGAGGAGGGGGAGGTCGTGATCGTCAATCAGGTAAAATTAACAAGTAACGTGGCGGGTATCGTGGAAGGGGGTATCTAAACTGCAAAGGAGAAAAGACGTGGAATTAGGATGGTGTTTTGCTGCAAGGAAACACGATGGGTTTTGAGGGAGGGCGCGTTGCTCGACCACTGCATTACATCATGGTTGGTCGCGCCTTCCCCAAAGCGGGCTCGATGATCGATTTACCTCTTGCCGTTGATCTGCGTCACTAGCCATCACACCTTGGTTTCCCCAGATACGTCGTTCGGCCAACTTGACAGAATCCAACTGTTTCAATTCCAGCAGGGGGATGAAGTCCTTGCTACTGATGTCTTCTCACCTCTGAGTTCTCGACAGTCTGCTGTACAAGCACATCGCGCACTGTTTCTGGCACTACTCACGCAAGACAAAGGGGCTGAACGATTTACTGCATGCATGAAGACCAGGGACACTACAGTATCAGCCAATCCGCCGCGGGCGCCACGTCCATCATCATCAACCCCCGCTTCACTATTTTCCTTGTTCGACGGTTGGGCAACAAGATGAGAAAGGCACGTGAACTGAACGGTGAAGAGACAGAGTACACGATACTCCAATGGCCAGCACACTGCATTCCAATGTTTGCAAATTTCAAAACAAGCAGCTCTCGCAGCACGAATAAGCTTGCAGGGCAGACAATCGTCCACACAAGAGCCCCCAGAGAGCATGGACCTCACATCCACTTTGGGGTGGTTTCGTCATACCTGGACGATTGAATCAGGCAATCGACCCACACTGGATGGAGATGCATATCCAACCTGGATGCTACAGAGCTCATGCTGCTGCTGACAGTCACAACCAGCGACAAGGCGGAAGAAACAGAGAAGAGAGTGGTGGAGCTGTGGGTTTTGCGGCTCTTCTTCCCCAAGATCGAATCACTGTTTCCCTCTGATGACGTCTATCCATCAACAAACATTCGATACAACTCGTGTATGTCTCAGCGACAGAAGTATTTTGTTCTGCTGCAAACTTGCGAATATGCTTGGCTCGCGTAATGCGACCTGCACACGCGGCTTCTGGGCCACAGTGGCATGGTCAGTTGATGATAACTTGCTTAGCTTGAAAATGCCTTGGAAGCAAAGCATCGGCAGATTCTTGATCATCCACCCCTGATTCTTTTGGGGTCGTCCCGCCGCTGCAGGGCTTGTGCATGATCACCACGGGAAGAAAGCATCATCATATTAAAAAATTTCCATGATCTCTGGTGGTATCCGCTTTTTGGCACATTTGTCGCGAGATGTTTAGGAGAAGGCGACGGTATTATCGTCCATTGACACAGACGTCAAGAGATGTCAAAAGAGGTTCTACCAGATTATAATGAGGTTCGCATGGTCACGCAGGCTGGCGTGTCAAATCCTACAGTCCATCTCACGCTGCCCATGATGATCACCATGAGACAAAGACCGGCCATTACACTTGCCATGCCATACACGTAGGCGTGCCGCCGTCGCAAGGACTGCAACTCTGCAACCCACGTACTGACGGTGGTTGTAGTGCCGCAGAAACCATCCATGACGCCTTGCAGGACCTGACAACCGACCCTCCCTCCACCGACCAAGGCACCAGCGGTTGAGGTGATTGGAACGTGCTGGATGGAATAGCACATGGCCTCTACTGCGCACCCGAACATGTTGACGGCGAAAGTCCCGAGAGGGAAAGACGCAGCAATTGGATTGAGCTTGAGCGAGGCATAGTAGCGAAGGAGACATCCGATGGGCGCAAAGACCAATGCGAACAGAACCTCGCCACGCCAGACCTCGTTCCCCCAGCTGCCGCGACTGGACGGACCAGACGGCCTGTCCGGGGGCCAGATGGACAAGAAAATGGCACCGAGCCAACAACCCCAAGCGAGCACAACAACGAGTGGGTCGACAAATCTACGGGTGAGCCTGAAAGGCAAGGTAGGCGTAAAGCGATCTAGAGTAAGAGCCAGATGTGCGCCGACATTGAGAGCAGCCAGAGAAAGCGCGACTGTGTATATGATGACGGCGAGCAGAGCCATGAAAGAATATCCACCATTGCGATGTATCGTGGACGTAAACGAAGGCACGGTCGCATATGGATGGTTTACAGGAGTCGGGAGATTGTTGGACAGAGCCAGAAAGACGTCACGCATAAAGGACGAAAAAGAAGTGAAAGAGCCGCAGAAGCCCGTGGCCAGACCAATGTACAGCGGTATCGTCTTCTTCGTCTTTGCGTGGGCCTTTTTGGCAGCAGCAGGATCCGACTGCTCTTGTTCCAACGCCTTTTCTCTTGCATGGCTGTCCATATTGTCCAGACCCCACTCTTCGCGAAACAGTCGTTTATCCTCTGATAAGAAGCCCATGACGAATGAGCCGCCGACGTTGGCCCAGAGCACAGGGGTCACCAGCGGAGCGCCGGGGTAGAAGGTGAGCCATTGCATACCCAGTCGAGCGAGCGTGCCCCATAGGGAGAAGAAGACGAGGTGCGAAACGATATAGAGCTGAGTCGCGACTGGAGACGGAGGATCTCTTTGCGGAGAGGGTGGTGACGACGAAGGCCGAGTGCGGAACGAGGGCGGTGTCGGAGCGGATTCGAGAGACTCATCCTCGAGGTGTGTCTGTCGGTGCCAGGCAGAGTCGTCTTGTCTGTTTTGCACAGGCTCGGGTGCGTCGACCTCGTTCAACGAGGGCTGAGCCTGTGTCGAGGCTTCAGGTCTGTTGCGTTCTGGCTTCGAGGCATGGCGCTGGGGTATGCGCGCATGGTAGTCGAGATATGTGGGCTCACGCGAGTGCGATGCGGCGGCCTCAGTCATGCCGTGTCGCGACGAGCAGATGGTCAAGAGGTCGTCGAATCATGCTTCCATGTCAACAAGTACCTCTGCACTGATGCAAATCTTCCATGGGCGGCCGGGCCGTGCCTGTTCGGTATCTTCGGCCTGCAGCTCTGCCCGGCCCTTGCCCCGAGCGTCAACAACAACGACCCCGCCATTGATAGCGGCTTGCCTGCCCTCATTGTGCTGCACTTCGGCGACGGCCGCCCTATCAAGCTATCACATGCCTTTGTCGGACGTCTTATCTTGGTCCATGTGAGCAAACATTGCAACTAGGAGTCTGCCTGCTCTTCTTGACCTCATTGAAATTGTGACCGCTTCCCTACAGCGTGCTCTTTGTTCCATCTCTCTCATCCTCGTCCTCGTTCTCGTCCTCATTGACCACGGACCCCCACTCACACCTGACCATGTCTTCTCTACCACCCAATGTCCACGTAGCCCAACATCCCTGCCTACGGGCAAAGGTCTCGCAGCTTCGATCGCAACAGACAGGAGCTCGTGATGCCAAACGTCTAATCCATGACATCTCGACCATGCTCGGATACGAAGCTCTCGGCTCAGCTCTGGAGTCTACACAGCAAGACACAGTACGACCCCTGCTCTCTGCCAGCCTAGTATCGATCTAACCATGCTCTTTCTCGCTCGTAGNNGACACATCACCGTTAGGTTACGACTTCTCAGTGGACTCCATCTCGCCCTCTCACGTCTCCCTCGTACCAATCCTACGCTCTGGCTTGTCAATGGTCGACGGTACGTTCTGGGTCAACAAACCCGATCGACCATCTCATCTAACTCATCTACCTCAAANNGCCCTCCTCTCCATCCTCCCAGACCCCGTCCCAGTCTTCCACCTAGGCATGTACCGCGAANAAACAACCCTCCAACCCGTCGAATACTACAACAACCTGCCCTACCATTCCGCAACAACAACTTCACAACAAACTACTCCTTCCGATCTAGCCATCCTGCTTGACCCTATTATTGCTACTGGTGCTACTGCAAGTGCTGCCATCGATACATTGAAAGATTGGGGTGTCAAGCGTGTAGTCATCTGTAGTGTTCTGGCTAGTCACGAGGGCTTGGAAAAGGTCAGTCGTGTTTGGGAAGACGGCGTGCAGATCTGGGTTGGTGCTGTTGATGCCGGCACGGATGCAAAGGGAATGATTAAGCCTGGTTTGGGAGATGTTGGCGATAGACTCTTCCTCACGATTGGCAAATAGCACAGAGGCAAGGCAAATACAAGACAAATACTTTTTCGCTTTCGCTTTTTGATTTGTGGGGGTTTTATTTTGCTTTTTGGTTGTTATCTTTCTGGTCAGCCAGTATCTGTCGAGTAGTGCCTCATGTCTACTTTCTCTCCAAAAGCCATGCGTCAGCTTCCTCCCAGACCTTTTTGTCCTTGGCCGAGACCAGAGTTTCAGGGGCGCTTGCAACTGCAGCGTAGACCTGTTCACCGCGTTAGCAAAGCCATGAGTATCTATTGTGACCAAGCTTACCGAATCCCAAAGTGCAAAAGCCCTCTGCAAGTCGCCCTGGAAGTTGGTGGCATGAGGGAACCATTCGTTGGCCCCCTTTGTCTTGACAGTCTGACGCGACGCCTCCGAAGTGGGCTCGCTCTGCGCAGACAACTCATCCAGATACGACTTGACCGCAATGCCGAGAGCGCAGTCTACATCGTTCAAGAAGGGCAGACTGCGAATGTCGTTAGCGGGTGCATGTAATCATTTGGTGAACAACATCACTTACCTGTAGCCTATCTGAGCCAGCTCGCTAGGAGCCATGGTGCGATCTACGTGATGGTTGGCCAGCATACCAAAGAGACTCATCTCAACCACGTTGCGCAAGCTACCGCGCACTGCAGACACCATCGATGTGTAAGCAAGCAGATGTCTGCTCAGAGGTCCGGTAAACCCGATGCTCTTGTGACGAAGCCCGGCAAAGCAGGCCACTCTACTGACCAGCAGTGTGTTGCGCTTGTCGGTCTCGGAACCGCGCTGGGGAGAACCATTGTAGGGGAACATGTTGTCGGAATTGAGCAGGTTCAGGCGTAGCATCTCGAAAGCAAGAAGAGTCGGTTCTTCCAGGTCCTGCTGGTTGTGACGTGAGAAGGCGGTTTGCAGGCATTTACCAAGGGCACTGAGTTGATGGTCTTGCTGAACATAGCCACGCAGCTGGAGGAACCTCCATAGTGCATTCGATTGCACCTCTACACGAGAGCTGAGCGGCTTCTCTCCAACCGACTTTGGCGTGACACTACCCTTAGCAAAGTCGGCATCTTGCAAGCTGCCCACTGCAAAGGCCAGAGACGACACATCACGTTCAAGCTTGGTTGCCTTTGCTGTGATCTGTTCAAGTCGAACGTTCCATCCAGAGATCGTCGTCCTAGGATCGGCAGTGTCTGCAACGTTCAGTGTCTTTGGTCCGTTGGGATTGAACCAGCATCTCAGATAGATGGGCCTGTGCTGGTAGAATCGATGGAATGAATACGTAAGGAGCGATAAAGCAGATGCTCGAAGAGGAATGAGACCGTCAGACACAAGGCGACGGTACACATCAGCCTCGCCTCCATCGAGGGGAGGACGCTCGATGATTTCGTTGGATGCTATCCAGCTCAGCACTTCGGAACTGATGACGCCGTGCGAGAGATATCCAAATGCTTCCTCTGGCAGACGGTGGCCCATGATGTTGTTCAGGTCGCTAGGTGCAGAAGCTCCATCAACCGACTCGATTTTGCCGTTGGGTCGAATGCAAACGTAATGCTTGATGTACAGACTTGCCTTGCGATAGCGGTCCAGATAGTTCAATGCAATCATAGCCGGGTCATCCTGATACTGTAGACAGAGGGCGTTACCATTAGTTTGGCTTCTCTTGAGCAGATCTGCAGCAGCTTTGATCTTGGGAGTTCTAGGAGATGCAGTCAATTCGTTCTCCAGCTGAGGAAGAGTAGGCAGAACTGAGCAGCCAGAAAGAAGGCAAGCATCGACAAACATGGCTGTCGAAGGAGCGCCGAGAGCCTCCATACATTCGCGACGAGTCACCCAAGAGAATTGAGCCTGCTCGAAGTCAAGTTTGGTGATAAGCTGGTCGATCTCATACATCAGAATGTCGCTGGACCCTGCCACAGCATCGCAGAACTCGGTACCAGCGATTGACGCAAGCTAACTCTGAGATCAGTCTCATGATGCAGGCGAATCAGTTTATAAGCCTACCTGAGCACATGCGCTATGCGGCGCAACGAGGAAGTCCACATCGTTTCTGCGCAAGATGTTCTGGACGAAACGGTAGATGTTATCAACATTGATGGTTCCAGCTGTTCAAGAATATCAGTCTCCGTCTGCTCGACCACAGAGGGACAGCCAATGCTCACATAAAGTGCCAAACTCCGCAACGGCACGTTCAGGTTGAGATGCACCATACAGTTCCCAGGCATTCGCAATGTTCTTAGTAGCGCGGGTTGTGGCCTGGAGTCTCTCTTCTTGGCCATTTGAAGTCACTCCGTTGAAGATGAAGTAAGGCTGGCAACCATGTTCTCTCAAGATGCCGACGTGGTTTGTGATGGTCTCTTCAAGGGCAAAAGGAAGACCACCGAGTGCTGGGAGTAGCGGCTCCTTTGTGGGAGAAGTTGTGAGTATGTTGGCAATAAAATCCTCGGCTTCAATTCCAAGACGGCGCTCGTTCAACTCTGCAAATGAATCGGTATGGCCCAGCTGGGCTGACGCTGCCCATTCGTTGAATCCGGAAATCATTGTCTGTGGCGAGGTGATCTTGATGTAGAGTACTGTAGCAAGGAGACTTTTCGTAATCAAGGTAATCTGAATAGACCTCAACCGATCTCAAACGTGAGTGAGTGTGTGGTTAAACGTAAAGTGTAAATATAAGGAGTCTTTGGACGATTGAGGTTGACATGTGAAGGGAAGGTCCGAGCGTCAAGCTCCACATATGAAACACATGGAAGAGAGCGTCTGCGCGCACCTGCTTCTTCACGAGAACAAAGTGAGGGAAATCTTGGAGTGAGAGGAGAAAACGGATTAACTAAGGTAACTGTATTATTCGTGTCTATGGGGGTATCTTTTGCACCTTTCCTGCATGCTGTCGTCTTCACATCTGGGCCATGTCCCTTGCGATCCCATGTCCTCATATCTAATCTAAATCTAAAATCGTGAAGGTGTTATTATGCGTCTTCCAAATTTCCATGTTGCCAGCGATAGGACTGGTAAAAAGCAAAAGCAAACAAAGCAACCACAATGGCTCTGATGAAACCTGCCGACTTGGCCTCCTCAACCTTTGGTGCTGCATCTTGTGGTAGAGCAGCTCGGGTTGGCGCCATCTTGAGGTGTGAATGTCCATGCTTGGCCTCACGAGCAGCCAACGACTTGACGAGCTCGAGGTCGGTCATGAGCTGCTCGTCTAGGGCTTCAACAACCGCAACACACTGTTCAAATATGAACTGGGCCTCATCTATGATGTCCTTACGCTCGTGTGCTGTCAGCAACTCCTCTGCTTTTTCTAGACGAGTCTTAAAGTCCGTCTTAATATCTTCTCCATCTCTTGTACCTGAAAAACAAAACAGGGTGAAGCCTGGCCTTAGTGTCCCATGGATCCAATACTCGGTCTTGTCCGCGTCATGAGTGACACCCCAGAACTCAGGCCCAGATTCCGTGAGCTGTTCTCTGATCCAGCGTCCNCCTGAAAATATTGCCATGTACATGATCCAGGCGTAAGCAACCAAAACGTGGGGCTTGTCTCGAGTCTGTCGATATATGTGCGCCGTGAAGGAGCGAAGCTGCTCGTTTGATACGGCCTCTAGATCAGCACCGGTAGCTGTCTCCAGGTATTCCAGATCTTTCTTGATCGCATCGGAGCGCCAGAGACCAGGAGGGACTAGTTGAGAGAGCCATTCGCGCAGGTCTTTGTCGTGTGAAGAACCAGCTGCCTTGGGCTTGTCAACCTCGGCGATGAGAACGCGCCAGCAATTCTCAAAGACAAGATAGATGTCGCCAAATGTGTTGATGCCATGAGCGTATAATTCGGGGNNGGTCTTGGCTATCGGTGGAAGAGCCAGAGGTAGGCGGGAAACGATAAGCTTGTTCAGCCGCGTATGAACCGATCTTGTNAACATGTCAGCGACTGCACCAGAACTCTGCAGAGATGCTTCGAAGAGAGCGCACCGTGTGGCCGTGTTGATCTCAGTGGACAAATTCTGCGGGGCGGGAGAAGGCGGAGGCGAGAGGAGTTGAGGNGGAGTTTGCAACGACGCCATGCTGTCGGGCTGCCAGAGGACCGAGCAGTGACGATATTCCCTTTCTTTATGTGATTGTCGCGAAGCTTCAACGACTATCTTAAGATCAAGTCACGAAGAACAAATCGTCACATGGCTGCGACCAGGAAGCACATGGACAAGGCAGGGCGGCGGAGGGCCTGGAACTGTCCCCGTCTGTGCTCTTTTCCGATGCGATCGCTCTCTCGGACCGTTTGGAATGGCGACATCGACATAATTCTTCTTCTTTAGTTTTCTTTTTTTCTTCATGTCCCATGCACACCCAAGGGCACACGACCAAGCACGAGAGTGTTATGTAACTGCACATTCGCTCTGATTTAAATGTTGAGCTACACTTGTATCCTGGATGTAGCAAATCTCTTGACCCCGTCGTCTGATCGTTAATTCATACCGCATTCTTGGCCGTTCTCTGGCGTCCACGTACTCGACCTCCAACACCGGTACTACCACTTGCATCGACGTCGCGAACAAGTCCCGGGCTCTCTACTCGTGTACCGATACTATCGTCCATGAGTCTCGTGCCCATCTTCTTGCTCATTTTCGCACGATATTCTTGAGCTTCTGGTGTCTCATATGTGACTTGCTGACTTGGTGCAGGTGCTTCGCCTTCCATGAGGTTCGTGAGTGAACCCGAGTTGGCTGCATCCATGCTCGGATGCTGTCGGAATGAGACAGATGTTGACGAATTTGACGCGTACGATGGAGCGCGTCCCAGTTTCTTGTCTTTCCTCCATCTTCCCTTGGCTGGCTGTTCGGCCGGCGACGGCCCTGAATGTGAATGTTGTCGCTCGAGTAACGATTTGATTTCACCACTCAATCGTACTTGGTTTGCCAGTGCATCGACGTTTTCTTCTTCTGCCGGCTCTGCTTGTTGTGCGTCCTTTCTTACGGACGAAGAGTCTGAGCGAACATCCATATCTCCTGAGGGTGTTGATCTTGATTGTTTTCTGGTGGTATTCACCTCTGGTGGAATGCTCTGCAATGGCTGCTTTGGCTGCGAGATGTCCGTGGTCACCATGTAGTCGTCAACTGCGACTGGCGGCGGGTCGTCCGACGGCACATCGTGCTTGTCTTCTGGTTCTTGAGGGTCGTGAGTCTTGTAAGCTGGCGGCGCTTCATCCTCATCTTCTTCAATGAACGGTCCTATCCTCTTGGATTCTGCAGGCTGCTGTGGTGCTGGTTGAACAGGCCCTGACTGATAAAGGTGCAGCGAAGTAGCTACGTTTCGTTTTCTGATTGCTGAAAGGCGTTGAGCAGATGGAACATCTCTTCTACAGACTATATCAGCCTGGTTCTCACTAGCTAAACTAGCTCATCCTACCTCTTGTCTTGTGGAGGAGCAACACTTGAATCCCGAGCAGAAGAGCGGTCAAGAATCTGTTTGGACTGTCCAGCCACCACATAATCGGACAGTGGCATCTTTCGTACATGTTGCAGACTAGAATAGAGCCATGTGTCCGAAACGACAGGAATCTTATGCTTCGCAGCGTATGAGATTTTCTCTGAGTTTGTTGCGGCACCAGGAACAATCAGAAAAGAAGTCCTTGGTACCAACATTTCGTCGTATGATGCGCCTGCCAGNAGCGTCAGTTGCATCGCATTATCGTTGCACGGCAATGAAGTGTCACCTGCAAGTCTGACCACTCTTGAGATGTGTAGCACGTCATGGCCCATTCCAGAAGTCGCTATCGTTAAACCTTTGAAGTCTGAGACAATTAGCCAGTAGCAACATACGAACATACGATTGAACGCACCATCGATTGGTAGGCTGAGATGGGGTTGACAGAGTATATCATGATCGGGATCAACAATCATCTTCTGCTTGATACATCTTTCCAGCCACCATTCCGTCACAAGCCATGTTTCAGGAGGAACCTCGGGTAACGAGCCCTTGTTAGTTGATGTCCATTCGCTTGGTAGTATCAGGACCTTGTGTTGGCATGAGTCGCCATTCTGAGCCGCATGTAAGACATCAGCAGAACGGGTAACCTGACCTCCATTCGAAGTTATGATGTTGTCAATTTTTGCAGTNCTGTTCGAGAAGGTCAGAAAATACTTCAATCATGAGTATGGGCCTCAGTTCACCTTCTTTTCATCGTGACCATGGACAAGACACAAAACATCCGAGAAGAGACCTGGTTCCTCTTCATGAGGCGCAGGGCCCCCTTCGCGTGAAGTATGACGAGATGCATCGTTCGGTCGGCTTGGAGGAGTAATACTTCGTGATGGTGTTGCAACATGTTGGGCCTCTGTCCACTGGTCATTGGCAAGTTCGGATGATTCTTCACCTCCGTGCGACATGAAGCTGGTCATCATATTTTGGCTGTGATCTGCCAACTTGGCACTCGCAGTGCGTCGCATCTTTCGCTTTCCATTCTCTTCTTTTGGTGTGATAACAGACTCTCCACGCTGTCTTTTTCCGAGGACAGGAGGCCGCTGGTAACCACGTACAAAGGCGCCTTGGCCTTGATCTTCGAGACGCATTAAAGGATGGTAAAGTGACTCGTCGACAGCCATACCCCTGTCAAGACTTTCTTCAAGCCATTTCAAAGAAGTCGTCTTGATGGTCCAAGATTGTGCACGCTCGTACTTTGCGCCCTTCGGTTTGGCGACAATCAGATGGGTGACTTCTCTGGTGAGATCTCCATGATAATGAGCGCCGTTGCTTCTGATCTTCTCGATGATATGCTGTCTTTCCTCGACTNNATGTATGGGGTTAGTGTATGGTAGAAAGAGTTCGTTGGCAGCATACATACTGTCTTCGAAGCCTGTGACAGAGATGTGCAAGTTGTAAAAGACGGGCAGGCGATGTTCTTGGATCAGTGCATCAACGTCAATGTCTTGATCCTCCATGTAGGATTTGCGGATGGCATGTATCCATTCGGGCTTCAGTACGTGTATGTCGGGTCTTTCTTTGGCGGTATGCCTGCATTTGGGGGTGTCGATGTTGCCGACTATCAGATGAGTCACGTCGGCGGTCAAGTCGAGACGGTGAACGGCACCCATGCTTCTCGCGAGATCATTGAGCTTGTCCTGTAGAGCAGAGTGCGTGAGTAGAGGCGGCGAGGGCTTGGTATAGTGGGTACTGACTCTGAGATCCTGCGACAGTGATGTGCTGCAGAGGACAACGCCCCGAAGAAGAGCATTGTTACCTGTGGACAGGGTTAATAAGTTCTGCAGCAGGTCTCGGAGGTGTTATCAAGAATCTCACCATCTTCTACATCGTCAGGCATGATGGTGCATACAGTTTTTTGACACAAGCCTCTATCTGATCGCCTACTTTGCCTCGAGGGGACGCGCCAGAAATCTGTTTGGAACGCTCCCGCGTCCTTGAACAACGCGTCGTTAAGGCCGATAACCCCGCTTCTAATGACTTCGGGCTCGCGGCATCGGAGGGACAGCAGCCGTCACTATGACCATCCCACGACCACAAGCATAGGCACTACCAATCGAACAACCACAGCACACCTCCTCGGACGAGTAACCCGCCAGGCACTCGGTTTTCCTAGCAAGCGAGGTTCCGTTCACTGTGTCTCAACACCGTTTTTCAGCACCGAGGGTGACATTTGGTCTGCCCCGCCGTCTCAGCGTCGTCGAGGAATAATCAATGGTCACTGCTTCGGCCCTCCCCGATCTGCAATTACATCAACAAAACATGTCGGATCGCCCATCCGTCACACGTAACATACACCTCAGGAACGACAAGGGACCCGCGAACGACGGCAATGTCATGTATGCCCGGGGTCGGAGGGTGCGGAGGTTGAGCAATATATCAACCCGGAACACGCGGATCAGCTCGTTCTCGTGTTAGGTGCCGTTGACTAATCTGCCTGGTCTTGTTGTCTCTGTAGAGTGCTCCAAGGCGAGCGTAGATTTGCCTTTTCGCACCCGCCCAAATGGAGACTGGGGAACAAGACTAATGCATATATTCAAAGCTTGTGGTCTTCCCCAAAGCCAATCACGGAGACATCGGATCGCTCGTCACTTCTGCACTTGGGTGCGAAGCCGCGCAACCAGGCAAGACAGGGCCGCGGCAGATTGTCTTCCAAAAATAATGACGAAAGTCAAAAACGCCCTCGACGCTTGGTCATGTAGTTCACCAGCCATAGCCCATAGATAACTCAAACCCTTGTTGTTTCCCTGCTGTGATTTCTCATTGCGTTTCACCTCGCCCCGGACCCACAGACAAAACTCGACTCACCGCCGTCTCTACATCTCCAGCACCCTCGTTCCTCCCATACCGGCGCCGAGTGCAGCAGCAGAGAGCCTCGATTTGGCTTTGTGTGCCAGCTCCGCGACAAGTTGGCTTAGACGGCCTGAAGCCACACTCGGGCTACACTCAAAATCACCAGCGCTACACGTGAAAGAGACGTCGATAGTCGCTCAATCCTCTTCCGTGACCTCATCTCTAACCTTGCACCACCACCGACTTGCGCATACACTGCTCAGAGGTCAGGTCACGCTGTACGTACGCCCGTAGCTGTGATTTGCAGACTTGAAACACGCTTGATTCGGTGAGTCTTACTCCTGCACATGCACATGGTTCATGGAAGCCTCGCACACGCTGGTTTGCAATTTTGGGCACCATTCCTTGTTTTGGCCTGCACGACGAATCTGCACGACCTTGGTTGGCGACATCGCAAGCCTTAACTATCCCATGCACCCCACTCCTCGCCCGCCGCAAAGTGCCTGTCAATATCTATAGCTAATATACAATGGCAGAGGTCCACTCGAACCATCACCGCTACAGCTGGGTCCATTTTTGTCCCAGCAGTTTCCACGAAGGCTCCCACCGCTCGGGTTATTTCGAGCCCCGCGGATATAGAAGGGGTCAATTCGCATCAAAAGCGTCCACGAAGGACACGATCCTCCACCAAACCTAGACAGACCACGACACCCCTCCAGTCGCTTTCTAGCCAGAAGACTCTCGACCTCTACAAAACGCGCGAAACGCATCATTCGCTCAATTGTATCTGCGCAATCCATACCTCCACGCAACCCTTCGGACGTTTCGCACTTGTCTACATATAGCCCAGGAGGCGCAACTGCAGAAGGAGGACAGAAACCGGCTTTCTTTGGAAATATGAGGGCAAACATCCGCGGATCAATTGGCGGCCCTGTGAGCGGCATGATCTCGAGGCCTTCATTGACAGACGATGTGAGAGCTGCTTCAGACGCTACAGCTCGAGCACAACACATGAATAGCATAATGCCCGGCACAGATCCTAATGACAAGCCGCTCGTGTCTGGTAGCGGTGTGAACGTTTCGATCAACTTGGCCGAGCCAGCACTATTCTTGCAGGGCTTCGAACAGAACGACATGGCCAGCGGCAACACGGCTATGTTGAGAGGAACACTCCACCTGCGCGTGACAAAGGCTGCCAAAATCAAGGCAGTGACTCTCAAGTTCAAAGGCAGGGCAACCACGAAATGGCCTGAAGGTGATTCTCTACTCTCCATTTGGGTCCAAAATGTATGACTAATGGCGCATANNGGCATTCCTCCTCGCAAGGTCGATTTCGAAGAGGTTGACAATATCATGAGCCATACCTGGCCATTTNTTAATGCCCAATTCCCAACAGCCGAGGCAGGACCTTGCGCAGATCACGTAGAACTCTTCAAGTCCGGCGCTTCTTCGACCACCTCATCTTTTGGAATGGGAAAATCGCCAAACATCTCGACAACCAATCTCACCACAAAAGACCAACGAAGGCTGTCGTTACAAGTCAACCAGTCGCGCAGTTTTGGCAAGGGTGAATCTTCAACCGGCGGTCCGTCAGTAGCACAAAAAGGCTACCGCACCTTTAATCCTGGAGACTACGTATACAACTTTGAGCTCCCTCTCGACAGCAGACTGCCCGAGACAATCGATGTGGATCTAGGTTCGGTCAAGTACGAGCTTGAGGCTGTCATCGAACGCGCCGGGGCTTTCAGAGCCAACCTCGTTGGAGTCCGAGAAGTGCAGTTGATCAGAGCCCCAGCAGAGGGATCTCTTGAACAGGTCGAACCCATTGCTATCAGTAGAAACTGGGAAGACCAGCTCCACTACGACATTGTCATTTCAGGAAAATCGTTCNCCCTGGGATCACAGGTCCCTATCGCGTTCAAGCTAACTCCGCTGGCAAAGGTGCAATGTCACCGAATCAAAGTACTTGTAACTGAGAACATCGAGTATTTCTGCAGTAACAAGCGCGTCCACCGCATGGAGCCTACAAGGAAGGTTCAGCTGTTCGAAAAGCGAGCAGACACACCACCCACCAGCACCTTCCCCGGAAGTTCGATGCGTGTAACCTCAGGAGGTGGTGTACCGTATGACCAACGCGCGCGTGCCGCAGCTGGTGAGACTGTGCAGACCTCGGACCCAACGAATCTTCTCGGCAATCTAGAGGGTGAAAATATTGGACCTACTGAGATGGAATTCAATGTGCAGCTGCCAAGCTGTTCTTCGAATCGCGAAAGGGAAAGAGCGACCAGGTTACACTTCGATACGACCTACCAAAACATCCAGGTGCATCATTGGATCAAGGTATGTGGATGTTGCTATATAGAACCCGTGCAAACCAATTACTGACACTACGCAGNNATCGTGATGCGTCTTTCGAAACCTGATGCAGAGAACCCAGGCAAGCGTAGACACTTCGAAATCTCCATCGACTCGCCTTTCCACATCCTCTCGTGCCGCGCGACACAAGCAAACACATCGCTGCCCGCCTACACCAGCCCCGAGTCTGCATCTAACGGAAGCGCACTGTACGAATGCGGCTGCCCCAATGCACTTCGCCGTCGCAACTCTCCCACTTCATACGTTCCTACACTCAATGCGTTAAACGGCATGAGAGAAACAACCATACCACCCACAATCACCGCTCCCAGTCTGGCTCGTCCACAAGCCGCACATCTAACTGGCGCAGCCNCCCACAACCAACTCGATCGCCCCATCCACTTGTTGCGTGCTCCTTCATTCAACCCGCCAGCCTTCGAAGACGAAGAGCCTCCACCACCGCTCATCACTCCTCCCCCACAATACGACAGTATCGCGAGTCCGACTTCAGGATTGGCCGACTACTTTACACGCTTGTCAGATGCGTATGATGACGATGAAGACAGCGATGATGCCAGCAGCCGTGGCCGTGTCGATGTTCCATTGACACCAGGCGCAAGAGTCAACAGAAGTATGGATGTTTCCAGGAGTTGGATACCCNTCGGTGCCCAATTACATGGTTAGAGAGCAAGGCAACACCAAAGGAGAAACAGTTATGGGGAAAGATGCGAATGTTTATGACAATGACCATTTTTTTGACGAATGAAAGCTTTTTGCATAGCGGCACAGATGCATGGCAAGAGCATGATTTTTACAGTCCAAGCAAGTTGGGAATCTAAAGGAATGGGGGGGCTTGGAGTATAATTGGGGAGGATACTTGTTCATACATATTTGGGAATATCAAAAGTCTTATATATCATGTCTCTTGGACTCGGTTTTGCATTTGTCATGCTATATGACTGTGAGATGAGTTGAGTCGAACTTGGAGAAAGATTTGGGCCAGGGTTTTCCTCCTTTATCGATTTTTTTGACATGCTTGCACACTATGCTGATTAGAGCAGAGAGAGCAAAAAGCAACTAGCTCTCAGAACCAGATCTATTGATCAAGCGAGAGAGTAGTAACCGTCATGTTCAGAGACTCGGATGTGAAGTTACCAGGACCAGCAATCATGTTGTCCAAGAACCTTCTCGTCGCATTACCCTGCACACGATCCAAATCCGCTTGCACGATGGGAGTGCCACTAATCAACTTCAGCACAACTAATACAGCGCTAGGGCCAACAAAGTAAATGACTTCTGCGAAAATCAGAGTCCAGAAGGCCCACTGGACAAGCTGTTTGATGACGTGAAGCTTGAACTTCAGCTTGACCAGACGAATGTAGGTGTGCTTGTCGATCGTGCGTGCGGCTTCGATGAAACCAAGGGGTTGCGATTGTTGTTGTAGAATCCCACCGGATTGAGGGCGGCCTTGGAAGCTGCGGTCCATTGGGATGACAGGATCTTCGTCGTCTCTCAGCATCGAGGCAAAGACCCGAGTTTGAATTGCTTCAAATGGTCGCAAAAGTACCAAGCGTACTAGAGGCTTGATCTGAGCGCGTAACATAGACTTGATGCAAGTCCAGAGGATAATAGCGACGCTTATCTTCACCAGTGGACCATTGCTGAGCTGGAATACTTGGTGATCATTTCTTGTGTCAAGTGTAGTAGACTTGGACTTTGCAGCGGGTGTGAGGTAGTAGAAGGCTGCTTCGACAACGTCGTCGCTCAGACCATCGACTAATGAAGCAAGCCAAGCTGTGCGCAGCACTTTGAACCATGTCATTGGCATACGACGGAACCAAAACTTGTAGCGGGGCTTGGATATGCACACGTGCAGAATGGTGGCGGTTATCTGAATCGCAATGAGGGACGCAACGTGCTGCGCGAAATTCTCTGCGACGCGGTTGCTTTTCTTGAGCAAAGGAATTCTGTGAGAGACAAAGCTGACGGCGAGATACATGGGAGTCAAGAGCAGGATGGCGGCTGATGAAGTTCCTATACCACGGAACATGCTTAGATCTCCCGCCTCGGCATTCAAGTGGCGTAGTGTTGCGCGGATACTCGAAGATATGTAGGCAGGCTCGGATGCTGACGAAGTTCGCTTTTTGTCCTTGTATTTGTCTTCTTCGAGGAGTCCATACTTCTCGAAGCCCATGTCTTGAGAGTCGACACCACCAGGGACTGGAGTCTCGACCTCGGATAGTGTAGTCATGAGGAAGAAGAAATGGTCAATNCTATTCATTGTTAGTCGCTAGCACAAGAACGAAGAGGGCAGAGTGGTTTCTACCAAGTAGTTTGCAGCAAATCCGAGGGCTATAGTGAGCATGGGCAAGAATCCTTTCAGGACGGTGGACCAACTGATGCCAGAGCTGTCCTTGCCAGCATTGTTGCTTGTGTGATTTGACGAGGCTTGCATTGCCTCGTTTGCAATAGCTAGCAGAGCCCATTGGCCATGTGCATTGACATCTGCCATGCTGATGTGACCAGGTCAATATGTAGTCAAGTTTGATACCGAACGATGTATGTTGGTCTGTTGTTAGAAGAGACTCAGGACGTGTACAGCCGAAGAAGCGCAGTCACGACAAACCGTTGGCGAAGAATGTCAAGGTAACTCGGACCTTTATATGTTCGACTAAAGGGTCACGTTGAGAGATCAACAAGCTCCCCAGGCCAAGCCGGATTCATGGTAGTTAATGGAAACGAAGCTAAGCCATGGCTCCAAAATCCTTCTGACGCTGGCTGGTGCCTAGTCTCATAAGGCTGAGAGGTGTTTTTAGCAACAGAGGGCGATCACTTTCATCAGGTAGTCGATGTGTTGACTCGTGACTGCGTCTACTTCCTATTCCCGCAGAGGATGCAAGTGTGGTGACAGAAGTTTACGGACGATTGTGGTTCAATAGGCTCAAGATGGAAAGAGCTGACGACCATCAGATCGGGTCCTCGGAGCAAGTAGCTCACCGTCCAAGCCACCGCATAGCCTCACAAGCGTGCCAGTAGCTCGGTAGAGATAACAAAAAGTGGTCAGGTTGATGGACTGGCAATGAAGCAGTGGTTCCTGGCACCGGCAAGCCTCGGCAGGGTAGCCGGCGGTTTGACGGGGCTGGCCAATGCGCCGATGGCGGGGCCGAGAGGTCGCCGTGCACGTCACTGGGCTTCCTGATTGATTTGTGTCGCGAACAATTTAGCACTTGACAAGCAAAATGGCGAGCGAGGCATCAACAACGACACAAGGCCCGGTCAAGATTGGCACGCGCAAGTCTGTCCTCGCAAGAGTGCAGACTGACATCGTGTGCAAGGAGCTGCGCAAGGCATGGCCCGACCGCCAGTACGAGATCCACGCCATGAGCACCATGGGCGACAACAACCAGACCACTGCCCTGCACGAGTTCAATGCAAAGGCTCTGTGGACCCATGAGCTCGAGGCTCTGCTCGAGAAGGGCGACCTGGATCTCATTGTCCACAGTCTGAAGGGTAGATCATCTGCGACCTCAGCCATGCCCACTCGACACTGACACCAACGCANNGACATGCCCACTCAGCTCCCTCCGTCTATGAGCATTGGCTGCATCTTCCCTCGCGAAGACGCTCGTGACGCCCTCGTCGTCAAGCCCACCCTCCCCTACAAGTCCCTCGCCCAATTGCCCGCAGGCTCCGTCATTGGCACCTCATCCGTCCGCCGCTCCGCCCAGCTCAAGCGTCTATACCCGGACCTCAAGTTCGCCGATGTACGCGGCAACGTCGGTACCCGTCTTGCCAAGCTCGACAACCCCGAGGGCGAATACACCGCCCTCATTCTGGCCGCAGCTGGCCTTTCACGTCTCGGCATGTCCGACCGCATTACCAGCCACCTCGACAGCGCATCAGGTGGCATCTTGCACGCAGTGGGCCAGGGAGCATTGGGCATCGAAGTCCGCTCCGACGATGAGGATGTCAAGAAACTGCTCTCGGCTGTTGGCTGCGAGTGGACCACCCGTGCCTGTCTCGCCGAGCGCAGTCTGATGCGCACCCTCGAAGGTGGCTGCAGTGTACCCATTGGTGTTGAGACCGAGTGGGTGCGCAAGAAGTCCTCTCTGGGCACCACCATCGGTACCGGTGTGGGTGTCGGTGCAAAGCCTGCTGCCGAGTACGACAAACTCAGCGGTGTTGCCGTGACTGGCCGCACTACCGAAGACGATGGCGAACACCAGGATAGCGGTTCTGAGTTCACCGAGAACCTGATCATGCGTGCGCTTGTCGTCAGTCTAGACGGTCAGAGGCACGTAGAGACTGAGATGCAGAGACGCATCACTAGCAGAGAAGAGGCCGACGAGTTCGGCTGGGACGTCGCAAAGAAATTGGTCGAGCTGGGCGCCGAATCCATCCTTCACGATATCAACCTGAACAGAAAGATCATCGAGGAGCAGGGTGACGCATAGACGTAGAGTAAAGCTTATAAAACACATGCATCGCGGTTCAGTTCGAGGTTCAGTTCGAGATACCCACGAAACGAACATGTACGTTCAGTACTCTGACCCTACTTTGTTGTTTCTCGAGCGTGATAAATGCGATGATACAGTGCATTTTCCATGTGACAGTCAACAAGATGTCTCAAAACTCCGTCAAAGATTTCCCCAGAAGTGCTTGGGTGATGGTTGGTGAGCCGAGGGTGGAAAACATTGCACTGATTCTAGAAGCATTGGCAACGCCTGCTACCGCCTTCACCCTTTGACATGCTTTCGCAAGACCTCGCTACCGATCTCTGAAGGGTGGCACTTCCAAGACAAAATGTCCTTGTAGCTACCCTGCCCTGAATCGATTCCTGCATCTGTCCTTAGAGAAGACATCTGGTGGTCGAAATGGTCGCCAAGCCATCACGCCAGGCTCTTCTGCCCTAAGCAACCACCTCGATATGTTCAAGTAGGAAAACATCAAGGTCGGCTCTGTGTATAGATGGTCTAGTATATGTACATCGTTCAGTCTTCATCCATATGCATTCTCAGCATCTCATTCTCTCTTCATTCTTTCTTGACTGGTATACCAATCTACCATACACTTTCGCTTCAAGATGAGACCTTCTACTCTCCTTCTCGCTGCCTCCGGCTCTGCAGTCCTTGCTGCTCCTACTCCCAGTCTTATTGGAGACTTGCTGAGTCTGACAACCAACGTCATCACCACCGTCACCTCCACCATCACCAACAACCTTGCTCAGCAAGTCGCAGCTCTTGGCTGCACTCTGCAAACCAACGCCAACCAGCATGGTCAAATTCTCAGCTCGGTCGCTCTTACCATTGAAGCCATTGAGGTTGCTGCCAAGAGGTTCACCCAAAACTGCAACTGGTCGAAGCCTGGAAAGCAGTATATCAACTGGTCAACCTACAAGGCCAACGGTGTCAACCTCGGCGCCTGGCTTGAGATTGAGCAAAACTACGATACTCAGTGGTGGGCTGACAATGTTGGCTCATTCCCCGATGAATGGACTTGGTGCTCGACTGTAGGCTTCTCGGTCTGCGGACCTATCCTTGAGAAGCGCTACGCTTCTTTCTTCACCATTGCCGATATCGACAAGATGGGCGCCAAGGGCATCAATACTCTGAGAATCCCTACCACGTATGCTGCCTGGACCAAGGTCCCTGGAAGCCAACTCTACTCCGGCAACCAGCAGGCCTACCTCAGAGTCCTCATCGATTACGCCATCGACAAGTACAACATGCACGTTATCGTCGGTCTTCACTCCCTGCCCGGTGGTGTCAACACCCTCTCCATCGGTGAAGCCTTCGGCCACGACGGTTGGTTCCAGAACAGCACCAACCTCGACTACAGCTTCAAGGCCATTGACTCCATCCTGACTTTCATCAAGACCTCTGGCCGCCAGAACGCCTTCACTATCGCTCCCATCAACGAGGCTAGCGACAACTTTGCTGGCTTTGCTACCCCTGCTGGTCTGACTGATGCCGGTGTCAACTGGATTAACACATACATCAAGGGTGTCCTCTCTCGCATCGCAAAGGTTGACAAGAGAATTCCTCTCATGCTTCAAGACTCCTTCTTCAGCGAGATGTTCTGGTCTCCTTTCTACCCCGCTGGAACCAACCTCGTTATCGACTCCCATATCTACTTCTTTGCTGCTGCTGGCGCTTACTCTCAATACGTGCCTGCTGCTGTCTGCGGACAGGCAAAGTACATTGGTCAGGGCGATGGCAAGTTCCCTGTTTTCATCGGCGAGTGGTCCTTGCAAACGCTTTACAACAACTCTTTGAGCAACAGAAAGACTCTGTATGATACCCAGGTCTACGCTTACCAGAAGTATGCCTCGGGTGGTGCTTTCTGGAACGGAAAGATGCTTAATACTGTTGATGGTGTTGATGGCGAGGGCAAGCTCCAGGACTACTGGTCTTGGGAGGGTCTTGCTGATGCGGGTGTTGTTTCTAACACTGTTGACCAGAGCTACTGCTAGATGTAAGCTGGGCAAAAGTAGTCTTCTTTTCTAAGATACCAGTTTCGTTTTTTCCTTTTCCCGCTTTCAAAAGGGCTGGAGATTGAGCACAGAAAATCGCACAGATATTGTACATAGCCAGAAATTTCATGCCATCATACGATCTACATCATCTACAGATACAGAACAGTGTGTCCATCTAAGTGAACTAGTTTTGATCCATCTTGCCAGTAACGACTTCAGGTTCATCAGCAATCTTTGCATTCAGCGCCTCTTGACCCTCAAGAATAACATCAGCAGGAATGCGATCGGGGGTCTTGTTAGTCAACATGATCATCGGCGCAGCCGCCAACGCCATAAGCCCAAAGCTGACACAGAAGCCGATGAGAGGGCTAGCTTCAGTTTGTGTGTTCATGCCATAGCTGATAGCCTGTCCCACAGCTTCTAAGCATCTGAATGCAGCTCCATTGCGCACGTTTGCTTGAGCATCAGTTGCGAAAGACGAAAGTAGCCAGTACATGTATGACTGTGAGAGAGGGCCAGTGGTCTGGACAAAGAAGTATGGCAGGAATGCAGATGGGTATAGAGCATCGTCCCAGTCGATTCTGCCGGGGTCGTTGGCGTTGAATTTGACTTGCATGATGATGGACCAAATGTAGACGCCGAGATTGAGAATGACGACTACGAAGAGACCGACTCGTGCTCTTTGGCGTTGGCTGAGGCTCTTCATGTCGAGAATGAAACCTAGACCGAAGCATCCGACANNCTGTGATGGTCAGTCAGTATAGATAGAATAAGCAGAGATCGGTTATACTTACATGCAGAAGAATGGCGAAATTAAAGAAGACAAAGCACGAGCACGAACGGAGAAGTAGATGCCGAGGTAGGTGCTCCAAGTGCCAGAATANCTGGACGAGTGTTAGCGTGGTGTTCATAACATGAGAAAGTGGGGAGTGCTCACGAAGAATGACCACATGGCCCAGGCTGCCGAAAAGACGATAAGACTGGAGGCCATGGTAGTCTTGATGAGCTTGAATTCCTGCTTTGTTCCAACCCTCTCAGAAACCAAGATACGAGTACCGTCCGATCGGACGACGCGTTCGAGAGGAGAGATCATCAGGGCGAAGGGAAGTCTACAGTTGTTAGTATAGCAATACCGGCGTTAGTTCAGAAGTGGTACTCACGCAAGACACTCGATGATCAAGAAAGCGACGTAGGTATCAGGTGTGACGCCGGCTTCAGCACCCTTTACATGGTTCTTCGAGAGGTTGATGGCGCCTCCGACCAATTGTCCCAGGTTACGAGCGACAATCCAGAACGCCAGATACTTGCCACGAGCACCTGCAGGCGCAAGACTCAAAACGCACCCGCTTTCTGCAACGTACCATGCNCTGTTCAGAGCACAGTTAGCGTGGTTCTTACGTGGAGGAGGGCACACCGCAACTGTACGTACTCCTGTGCCAATTCCCGAGATGAATCCACCGAAGATGATGTACTGCTACACGTCAGTGCCGTCTAGATCTAAACTGGTTAAAGTCCATCGTACCCATTGGTTGCCGAACTTGCTGTTGCAGTAGTACGAAGAGCCTTGGATGGGAAACGAGATAGCGCCAATGACTAGCGACCACTTGACACCGAGCTTGTTTACAAGAGGTCCACCGAGAAAGCAGACCAGTGCGAGCATAACGTAGTTGATGGCGTTGGCGATGTTGTTTGTTTGTGCTGAAGCAAGGCCACCACCACCAAGACCTATAGATGGTCAATTCTGTGTCGAGAAACAGACCGTGGAAGAATACCTACCTGCAATTGCATCTGCCATGGCAGGACCACAGAAACTTTGCATGGAAAGAAGCATCATCTGTGTGAAACTGTCTTGGTATGCTCTCTTCCACCAGGGCACAGAGTTCTTGTATTCTTCCATGTTCACCCTCTCGTCGGCGTAGACTGGCGGGTCGTTCATTGGTATCGTTCCATGTGTTCTGAGAGCTTCGTCGTCTCCACCAGCATGTGTGTTAGGGNNAGCAGCAGCGAGTGAGGCCATGGTAGGTGTGTGGTATGGTCACTAGTATAGGAAGTAGAAAGACTACGAGGTAGAGGCTCGACTGGGGATCTGTTTGACATTTATAAGATGGACGACAGTCAATGGGTACCCCAGAATGATAGTCCCCATCGCTTTGACCTGTGCATATTATCAGTGAAACCTAGAATTGACTGCCACGCGGGCCTATGGTTTGCCCCAGACTGCCAAAGTCTGGTCAAATGTTGGGTGGAGGATGGCCGTTTCCGCCTTGGACCTTCCTCGCGTTTTCAGCGGCCTACAGCGGCAGTCTTCGGCCTATGATTGTGAGGAAGGTACAAGCGTCAGACTGCGAGATAAGAGACGCTATCGTGATTATGGCCGCAGCCGGCGGTGGGAAACTGCATCAAGCACGTATTCTGCCTAAATGGCAGATATCGCTTGGCTCCTCGACCAATCGGAGCCCCAGACACTAGCGGAGAAGCAGTCCATATTGGGCCTAGTACATGCGGGGGATAAGCCAACAACGTCGACCGTAAGGAAAGATCGCACATGTTTTCCGACAACCGCGACAGCAATATTTTAGTAAATGCTTTCGTGGAGTGCTCTTGTGAACACCTACCTCATGGGAAGACCGCAACCGTCCGGTATCTGTTGAGACGGCAGTGACTCACGCGACACACTCTGTTGATAGCGAAACTATGATGGCCAATACTCGCAGCCACTTCCTGTCGACTTCGTACCTTGATCGAACTTCACGCTCGTGGAACTGAAAGAGCTTGGAGACAATGGATACACGGGAGGAATGCTTGGTGGACACCAAGCTAGGTATGTCTGAGCTACAGCTGAACCTGACATGTCAAGCGCTGCGTCTCTTGTGACACATTAGTAGTGGACGGTTGTTCAACGAGCAATTCAGACGCAGCAATAGCTGTACATGCTCGGATAACCTTCTGTCTGCTGCCAGCTCAGCTGGAGTTACAGATACCGATTCTTGTCTTCGCCCTCGTTCTCCTCGCTCTCCTTGTGTAGCGTGTGCTCCTCTGCAATCATGTCCTCCTGTCGAAGATCTATCTCACTACTGCGTCCGTCTTGTGTCGCTCATTCCTCCAGGAATCTGTATCATCTATATTCTCGGTCTTCGTTCTCGGTTGTCCATCGATGTGGCATGTCAGGCAAACTCGGGTGTAATCGAACGCTCTCATCGCTTGTGGATGACTCCTAGCAAGACTTCGTCCCTCTCCAGGCATGCATCTCTGCCATGACACATTCCCGACTATGGTCTGACCTAGATCTGTGTGCGACATATCAGTAATAGCTATTGCATGCTGAAGACAAGCGGGATGTCACCATGCATGTCTCCGAGCTTCGAAGTCGCTGTGTGATGCTCCGCGGCAGGTCTGGCGCAGTCGTCGACTCTGACTGCTAGAGAGTGGTCGTATTTGACCGAATTACCCTATTTATGATGTTCTGTTGAGCGTTGGAGCACCTTCTTCGGCGGCTCCATACCATCGATGTACATTTGCTCGGCATCGCTTGCTGACCTCCGGCGCTTATGTCCAGGAGATCCTGATTGATGCCTTTCTCTTGACTCTGGGCTTCCGAAGCTAGTTCGTTTGTTATGTTCAGTAGTGAAACCCATCGCTGGTATTTCGCTTCCATCTCTAGTGAGATTGACGCACTCATTGGCTTAGTGAAGTACATAAACTTGCGACATCATTTCCTCCAAAGAGTAAGTAGGGAAAGAAATTGCGAGGGGATATGACCCGAGTGAAAGTTGAAAGAGCGTTGAAGAGCGTGGTTGACACGTGAGAGGTCGCACCTTCCCTCAAATAAATTCTCGACTTGTCGCACTCCAACTTTTGTCTGCCAGACACACTCGACCAGCCCGTCCTCGTGCGCGACAGGGCGAGGTTTGACAGTCACGACAATCCATTGGCATGTCAAAGAGCACTGGTAAGAATTCTGGTATCCCTCAACCCCAAAGCAGTTACCTAACCACTTCATCCCACTCCAGAAATCTTGTTCAACTCTTCATAAACGCACAACACTGTCTTTGTCAAGCAACACAGTACACCAAACTAGCTACTATCTGTACCATTCTGAGCTATCGAAATCGGTTACGGTCTTTATTGCGCGACATGTCGATTCGGTAGGTGCATGTGGCAGCATACTGATGACTGGAGAGTGCTAACGATCTACTGTCCACAGTGCAAGCATCGACGGCCTCTTTGCTGAGATTACTGTCGGAGCAGGAAGCTCTGCTGTCGTCTTCAATCTTCCCAAGAAGCTGCTCTGCAACTCGTCCATATATTTCAAGGCCGCGTTGAACAACGGGTTCTTGGAAACTACTACACAAAAAATAACTCTCGACGACGAGGATCTCGAAGTCTTCCGTACTTATGTCGTCTGGTTGTTCCAAGCAGAATTGAAACATGAGAGCCTTGATAAGACCCGCAATGTCGCACGTCACTTGGTCCATGTCTACATCTTCGCAGACAGACGAGGCATTGTGAGTCTAGCAGACGATGTAGTTACAATGATGTCGTCCTTCTGGCTCTGCGAGTGCCTCGATACGACGGTCACTAAAGAGTATCTGCCTTTGCTTCCAACTGATTGTAATCTCTACCAACTCACCTTAGATAGCCTGATCCTGGAATCGAGAGCCTCAGAGTGGGGACCAATAAAGGATTTGTGGAAACCAAGGAGCAGACGATCACACTGGACGATAAAGACCCCAAGATCTTTACCACCTACGTTCTCTGGCTCTATGAGAAGAAGCTGAATAAGGATACAACACCCGAGTGTTCTGAAGACGAGTGCACGGGCTGCGATGCTTTCCAGGGACATCTATCCAGACTCTACGTCTTCGCTGACAAACGCGGCATCTTGAAGCTAACCAACGACATCCTCACAATGTGGGTTTCAAACTGGATCAACAACCCCGTTAACTTGAGCGAGATTACGCAAGTCCTTCCCTTGATCTTGCGTGAAAGCAACCTGTACAAGCTCGTCGCGGACATGATGGCATTGGAGGTGAGACTGGATCATATGACTGATGGTCTGTCCGATGCAGATCTGTCCAAGGAGTTCGTGGTCGATCTCCTCTGCAGAACCATCCGGTTGCCGGAGGAATTCAATAAATATTTCATGTGCTCCCAATCCGCCTGTCACTATCACTCTCACGACGATCAGAATGTCGTGAGCGAGGAGGAATGTATCCGCCGTATTGAAGCTGGAAATAACGTCTTCAACATCAGCGTAGACCTCAAGCAAAAGGTCTGGGACTGGGATTATTGACCTAGTCATCGCGAAGAAAGATACATCTCGAAGCGACCCATCAACAGTTGCTAGAGTACAACAAGTTTTGCAACAATGGCAGCTAGAAGCGAAGACAGTCTACTGAGCTCAACAACATCATCTCAACAGTTCTTTACCATGCTCTGTCTCACTGACATATTCCGCTCCACCGACCATAAGCAGACGTTTGTTCCTTCCATGGACCGTGACTTCTTCCTTCACAAAGACCAGATTAAAATGCTTCGAGAAGATCAAAAAACTCTCGAGAGGTTTCTGTTTGAGATGTTGCAAACAGGCTGGTCGCGCTTTCCACCAACAAACATTATACATTGTCATACCATTTGTGTCTCGTCTCAAACCTAACACTAAGCAGGTTAGGTGGAGAAGGTTTTGCTCGCTGGAAAGACAATACCTCTACCATAACCACTGCTTCAAACATAGAAGATTATCTGCCATTGAAAACGTGAAGAGAGGCGACAAGGAATATTGAAACTCGGTCTACTATTCGATTGCCTCCAGTTCATGATGCAGCGCCACGATAGTCGTTATGGAACCGCCTGGCTGGGAAACATCTGTTTCGTGATACGCCTGGGGGATGATAGATGATGGAGGTCTTGATGAGCCATCCTTATCATTGTCGACCTGGCGGCAAGCCTCGGAACAGTAGAGATTTTCGCTGGTTTGCTTTACACAAGTAAGGCAGAAATCAGAGAAGCTCTCCCTTAAGTTATACTTCATCTATTTACGTCTGACAACCTCCCTGACCTTGATTTCTCGTTCTCTGCTCCGACTCCTCTATTCACTCTTATGTTTGACCCAAGTATATTTCGGGCTGAGGCCCTTAACCCTATCAATGAGCAGAGGTGCAGAAGAACCTTGACGACGGCGACGAGTGTGTTCGAACAGAATGTCTGTTTCGTACTTGTCGAGATCACGGAGGAGAATTACATATTCGCTATTCACCTGTTTCGATGTTAGCATCTTGAAACAGCACAAATGGAGGGAATCAGAAAGCAAACTTACTCGATCAAATTCCCAAGGTACTTGATAATGCTCTAAAGTCTCGATTTCCAAGTATTTGCGGCTCACCCGAGGATACACTACTTGATGGCCAGCGAGAGGGGATTCCATTCCATGCTCTTTGAAGTTCAATGAGGTAAAAATTCTATCATCAAGATCTTCCGTTTGTATACGTTCTTGCAGCTTTCTCGTGTTCTCGCCTTTGCCCTTTTCGGAGTCGAGCAGGATTTCTATGTCGTGTTGGGACCAACCCAGTTTCTCGAGACGTGCTCGCATGGCAGAGTCGATGCCTGCTTCTCCCTCTACGTTCGTACGCTGATGCCAAAAGATTTGTCGCCGTATCTGTCTCTCTTGTATCTCTTTGGCCTGGTCGACACTAAGCCCTCGCGGTCGACAATCAACGCAGTAGTGCTTCTGGTGGGGTTCAAGAGGATAAGCTGCCTCATTAGAATAGTAGCATATCATGTGTTGCCATTCATTGCAGGAATCGCATTGCACCAAGTACCCGTCGTCGTGGCGCATGCCGCAGATACATCTGATAACTCCATCGTCCTCTCGAGTAGTGTTGTCGATAGCTACTTGCGTTTGTTGTCGCGCAGCCGGACCAGGGGTGGCGAAAGGTTGGGTCGGCGGAGGGTTTGCTGCTGCATCTCCCTTTACTTTTCCGCGTTGTCCTACCGCGACCTTGACTTCTGATTCGAGCACGAGATTTGAAGGGTTGACCGCTTCTCTGACTCGCTCTTTGACTACGGCAAGGCTGCTTGCAATATCCTCTTCGGTAGCTTCAGTCGTAAGCCACAGTTGCATCTTGACTTCCCCTCCAGGTTGAACCATCGAACTCCAGTCCTGTGGTGGTATAACACCATTATCTGGGCCTAGCAAGTAATAGTGGCCGTTACGAACATGCCACATGATGCGCTCATCGTCGAGAAAAGCTGATACAATCAGAGGTTCTATGCCCGCCCAGGTTTTGGCTGTGACCCACGGGAGAGTAAAGTTTCTACCTATAGCATCCGTAAACTTGACAGGTGCTTTACCAGAGTCTTCTTCTAACTCCTTCTTCAAAAGAGTCAGTTTCAAGTCTTCGACGTTTTCGCCTTCGTCTTCCGTGAATTCCTTGATCTCTTCATTCTCGTCATCATCCGGATCCATAGGAAGAACGAACAAGGCAATCTCTTCCATATGCGTAGCAAGATGTTCATAAAGTCGCGATAACGACATTTTCTCCAGGCAAATAAGACATGCATCGAATCTGTTATCATCGATCTCTCTCTCGCACATCTCTGCGTACGTTGACACCTGGCGCTCGTTGACATTACTCGGATGGTTAACCAGTGGATGCTGAATCATGTCTGCCTTGGATATCAGATCCTTCGCGCACCCCTCCGGACAGATCCACTTTCGTCGGTGCATCTGTTTTTCATGATATATCCAGTCGTGCCGGGTTATGAAGAGTCTCCCCGGGTCTGGACACTTCTCAAAGCTGCAAACATAAGGTCGAAGGTCACGGAAGACGTGTTTTCCATCGAGGTCAGAACTCGACATTAACCACTAGGATCGTGAGACTTACTTCCAAGTTTCCCTTTTCTGCATCGCTTTCGAGTCCAGGATAACATGGCAGAATGGACACTCAAAAATTGTATCTGTCTTTGAACATTGCGGAATATCTGGTACTCGGGTAGTGTTTGACCGTCCACCAACCGCTGATTTAGCGTAGACAGTACGCCATTGCCCGACTTCGGTGTTTTCACCTAAAGCAGATTTGGCGACAGTTGATAAGGAAGCGTGTATAGCTGAGGGAATCTTGCCCTGCCGCTGGACGGATTCATCAACAGTGTCCAAAGCTCTGTCTTGTGGCTCGGGTACGTCTGGATAATCGACCCAGTAGTCGAATTGCTTACGGCGAAAGAGGTTGGCCCAAGTGAGTCTTTGACAGAAGAACGCAATATCAGCAATCTCTCGAAATTCGTTTTCGTTTCTCAGCTGCATTTCTTCTTCGGTGACTGCCTGCTCTTCCGCTCCACCAACCTTCGATCGCATAGTCAAATGTCTCCACTGTCGTATCTTCTCTGAAACGTGAGCGTAGTCCAGCGTGACTCTTAACGCGTTGTGAGAAGGAATTGCTGAATTGCTTGACTTGAGGTATTTGGTGGAATTTCGAGGACGTCTCAAAAGAACGGAGACCCGGTAGAGCGAGCGAATCCCTTCAAAGGCCGAGTTGATGGTCTTGCGGAATCTGATCTCCCAAACTGTTTCCGAAGTCTCTTGCGACGCATCACTCTCATCAGATAGTGATGAGTATTCCTCGTCTTCCGTAGTTACATCGATCGTTGAAGAGTATTTCTCTGTTTGTTCAATTGCTTTACCAAAGTCAATGACTAAGCTGGAGACCAATACAATTTCTGAACTGACCTCGTTCAATGTAATCATGCAAGCGTCGCAAAGACCTCATGACAATTTGCTTAGTTTCCTCATTTTCACGAAGCTGTTCGTCCAAAGAACGCCTCGCATTCGGTGGCAGGATAGCATATGTCTGTTCGCCCCAGATGCGCAGTCGACTGAACTCGTCCTTGACTTCTGGAACAATATTGGTAATCAAGTGGGTCGAGCGTAGGGGATTGCTCTGCAGAGCAAGCAAAAGTATTCCATATCTCCTGACGCAACTCTCGAACAAGTGACAAATGGAGGAGTCTGTGCCCAAGAGATCATCCTTTTAATCGCGTCGGCTCCGGCGTTATAGTTTGCGTCGAAGGAGGCATTGAAACGCGTGTTCAGATCTTCGTAGTTCTCTGACTAAAGAGCGCAAGAAGATGTTTGATGAGCTGCAGCATTCGAACAATGTTCTTCGCACGCTATTATCAAGACCCGAGGTGCCTTTAGAAGATCGGACTCCAATGGTTCGAACCTTTGTCGCTCGTTACAACCAGACCGATTGCGATGCTGTACGCTACCAGGCCTTCGAAGTGAAGAAAGCGCTGGACGCATGCTGGCAATGCTCGTGTTCGCATCGAACATTGCTAGACCTCGACTGGCATACCAATAGACCGACAAGATCGCCTGTTTTCAGTGTTTCCTTATCTTACAACACGGTGAACAACCCAAGTTCGACAGAGAATGCAAAGTGGCGGAAAGCGCAAGTCAAGGTGGATTCAAGTGGTGTAAGCAGTGGCATCCGAAAGGATGAGCAAGCTCCGAGTCCACCAATGACAGACGATCAGCTCCTTGCTGTGATCCCTTCACAAACAACGACCACGACCCAGCAACAACAACAACAACGAAGCCTGTGGTCTCATCTGCGGCCGAGAAGTCGATCGACTAGTCCGCTTCCTCCTTCGTCCCTCGATCCTGTAGCAAATATCGCGCTGGCTGATTCTGCGAAAAAGATCGATTCGCTGTGCCGGTTTATTCAAGGACTGGACAATGGTGGCGAGCCTCTTGGTTTCTTACCTGAGCCAGGAGGGACGAAACGTGTCCATCTTGCATCAACCCCGGAACTCATATTACAGAAGAGGCAACTCTGGTGCATCTTCTTCCACCGAACAAGCCTCCAACACACCTAAAGTTAGGTCGCCGAAAGCGCTTGGAGATAGCCGTGGCCGCTGCATGGACGACATTACTGCTATGCGATACACCATGGCTGAACCAGACGTGGGATAAGCATGGGCTCTGTTTCTTCTCAGAGAATGTCTCGACTGCTGGATTATCTCTCACAGGGCGATGTGTTTCAATGATGCAGGGCTGCGTCTTGAGTTCACAGATGGCAACAGGCGTTGGTGCCAGCCTACAAAACAAGATCATACGCAATGAGGCCATCTTTGCTCTAGGAGTTCTACTGATCGAGCTCGGTCTAAACCGTTCTTTCGAAGAGTGTAAAAGAACGAAGAACATTGACACCACTGCCACGAACGTCGTTGACGACTATGATGTCGCAGACACTCTAATAGAGGATGTCTTCGATGAAGTTGGAGATCCGTATGGAAATGCAGTGCAAAGGTGCATCAGATTTGCTTTCCCAGGACGAGATACGACAAAGAACTTTAGTCATGCAACCTTTCGACAATACTTCCATAACCTGGTCGTGGCTCCCATTGAAGCTACCCTATCAACCACGATATCCTGAGTTCCATTCAAGGGATTTATCCAGTAGATAAGCTAGGAGGCAGATCCTCATATCTCGTACCCCAAGCACTCTCCACCGGCCCAAGAGTTAATTCAAGCACACCCCCATCAACGAAAAACTCATGCCCAATCCAGTTCTTCGTAAATGGTACCCCATTCAGCGTAGCATTCTGAACATAGATGTTCTTATACTCAGCATCGAAATTGACATTGCGAATGGTTGCCTTGTTGCCAGAGATCTTGTTTGTGATGCTGATTTCCAGGAAGAAGGGAGGAGTAATAAGATACACGTTCTGGCCTGGAACGGGAAAGAGACCCATCATGGCTAGAACGATAAAGGAGCCCATAGCGCCTGAATCGTCATTGCCAGGGATGCCGTTCACAGTTGTGTTGAACTGAGAAGGGATGTAGGAGTGTGCTCGTGCGGCACTCTTGCCAGGTCGACCAGCATAATGGTATTGATAGACTGGAAGGAAGCCTTGCTCGTCACCGATGTATAGTAAACCACTCTCGTGAAGATAGTCGAGACGCTTGACAAACGAGTCTGTACCGCCAAGAGTGGTGATCAGAGAAGCCATGTCTTGAGGGACATAAGTTGTGTAGAGCCAACTACTTCCTTCGTAGGTCTCATGGCCTTCTGGATTCAGATAACAAGAGGTGAAGTTGAGCAGAGGAGAGCAGAAAATCGGGTCTTGATAGCCCCAAGTACCGTTCAAAAACTTGGGCTGAAGGAACCCTGTAAAGCTAGTTTGTGTGCCATTGATAGTGGAGTTTTGATCTTCCTTGTAAAGGTTCTTCCAGTTGATTGAGCGTGAAACGTACTTGTCATGGTCTGAGGTGTGTCCTAGACCACGTGCGATCTCTGCGACACAAAAGTCGTTGTATGCGTACTCGACTGTACGGGAGATACTGCGTGTGAATGGCCCGACGCCATACGGATCGTAGTCGTCAGCAGGGATATAGCCTAGCGACTTCCAACTGGTCAGGCCTCCACGACCCTCCACAGCCCAATTCTTGGGCTCGTCTTCGGCATCCGAAACCACAGCCTCGTAAGCAAGAGCCCAGTCGATGCCTTGGGTCAGGTTCTTGACATATGCATCAGCCAGCACGACGTCGGCGTTAGATCCTCCTTGAGTAAATCCTTTACACAACGACATCCGACAGTCTGGAAGCTTGCCTTCATGTCTGTATATGTCCAGTAAGCTTCTTATCATCAGTGCCTGGGATTGGGGGTCGAAGAGCGTGATCAAAGGATGAATGCTACGGTATGAATCCCAGATACAGTAGAAAGAGTCATAATAAGGCTCTGAACTGTCCCACAGCGGATTCTCGCCGGTGTAATCTTGCGGGCTGATAGAAGCGCGGTATAGTCCGCTCCAGAAGATGGTTTGAAACTCATCACTGACACTGCCTGGTGTGACTGCTATCACGCTCATCTTCTCGGCCCAAGCCTGACGCGCAGAAGAGCGAGTGGTGTCGAAATCGAAGGTAGAAATCTCCTTTTCAGCATTCACACATGCTTGGGTAGTGCTCATGAAGCTTAACCCGACACGAGCTAAAATTTGAGTGGCGTTGTTCTCAGGCGCATTGAATCGCACCCAAGCTCCAGCAGGAAGTATGTCAGGAGAGTTGTTCACTCCATCAGGGACAACACTAAGGTTCTTGGGTTGAGAACCGGCTCTATTGTTCATGAAAACACCAGTATCGCGGATACTTGCGCCAGAGAAATCGGCACAGAAGTGGAGATCATATGTTCCAATGCCAAAGCTAGGGCTGAAGGTTCCATTGCCGACTATTCTGCCAGTATCTGGATCCACAGAGATCGATCCATTGCTTCTAGACTTGGGCAAATCGATGAGATCTGCTAGAATGAGCGGACTCAGTGGCATGTTTGCAGTACCCTTCGGGAAGGAGAAGCGATATAGGGCAGTGTGATTTGTCACGGTCATTTCGGCACGAACAGAGTTCTCAAGAGTGATTGCAAAGTATCCTGGTTCTGCAACAATAGAGCCGTTGATCTGGGGAGTAGCTCTATCGACAGATGTGAATTCACATTCATCCACATCATCGTTATGGCATCCTGGGTGCGCAAATAGAGGGAAGTTGCCGAGTGAGGGTGACCTATATTGCCATTCGTATTAGACAGGTTCCCGAATTTTTACGTTTGCAAGAATGAAGTGTAGAAGTTATAATCAGACAAAACTCAAAATGGTCTCAAGGGGTATCGATGGGTTGATGACATAAAATAAGGAGTGCTCATCATATAGGTAAATTGGAAGGATTGAGGTGAACTTACCCNNTCCGGTTCCGCTGTCGTGCATATGTGAGAAGCCTGTGATGTTGCTGTAGTCGCTCGCATATCCGCCCTGGTTTTCACCATTGACGTCTGCAACAGCTTTGGCCATACCTGTGAGCACGTTAGCAAGGTTGGAATCAGGGCGATGGAGGAACGTACCAAAAGGCAAAGTAGCACCAGCAAAGACATGACCTGCGCGATTGTCAACATAAGAGCGGGTTTCGCCCTTCTTTTCTTGTTTCAAACCTCCGAAGCCTGTGCCTATGAGCGGATCAACATATTGAAGAACATCCTGAGCCAAAGCATGGTCGAGATGGAGACTCAGCAAACCGCACAGTACCCAAAAGCTAGCCATGTTGTCGAGCAAGTGACGGAAGCAGAATACACTTCCAATGCTCTCATGGCAATCGCTGACTATACATAGTGCAGCATTTCGAGTCCTACAACAGCGACCCCGCCCTCAGTTGATGAGGAGCGAGGAAGCGAGCAAAAGGTTACGGTAACATTGTCCGAATGCATGATGAACATGTCTCGATTGCAGCAAAGATTGACATGACCGAGAGGAGTCAAAGTGTGACTGATGCTACGGCACGCAGAGAAGGAAGCAGGGAAAAGCAAAAGTGACACGAAACCAAGAGCGGTGGAGCAGGTGCAGCGCCAAGATGTGACGTGGGGCCTCGATGGCCCTCGGCTCGACTTGACCACTTTGCGACCATCACGAACTCGTCGCGTCTTCTTCCACATCGGTGGCAGGAACGTGGAAGGAGCGACCACTATTTCGTTCAGAGACGATATTCCCAATCGACAGCGCAGAAGGACGCAAACCAAAAATGCTGGCGACGTCGAATCTCGGATCCACTCCCTCTCAACCACACAAGTTCTTACCCAGCGTGCCGTCGCCACTCTCTCCTCGACGCGCAAATGTCAAGAGTTCTACTTCCTTCTGGTCCTTCGACACATCAATGGCGACCTCAACATCTCAACAAGCATCAAATAAGCAATCACACGTTCCTTTCTCATCCCGACCAGTAAAAGCTGCTCCCATACCCCGCTCCGATGCATTGCGCGAACGTCGCAGGGACATGTTTTTGCGCAAGGTCCGCCAGGCCCGCGATGAGAACAAGTGGGACTCGAGGATAGACGATGTATGTTCTCATCTTGCATACGGTTTAGGTTTCAGTACTAACTGTTTCCCAGNNATGGCTAGACTCGACTATCTGAAAGAGAAGCGACGATGGGAAGCCGAACAAGTACGATCCGCGCCATCACTTCACCCCGAATTTGCAGAAGCAGAAGAAGCCTCGGACTACGACCTACCCACATACAGTAGCCAGATGGCATGGGACCCACAATCTCAGCCTGAATATCCTCCAGACTCAGAAGTCGATGCTGTTTTACAACAAGAGAATGAAGAGTTGGAAGCTTTGATCGCTTTGATGCAAGAGGAAGACGACCGCCGCAATCAGCAGTCCAACAGTCAAGAAGCACATGACGATCGTTTTTCCGCCTTTGGCAGCGACGATGATGAGTACGACAACATTTTCATGAATATGATAGATGAGACTGGTGGTGCAGCTTCTGTATCAGAGCCACAGCATCAACATACAGCAGATGACGAGATGGATTTGAGCTAGTCTGGTTGACCGGGTGGGACGCAAGTCCCGTGCTTTTTGTTATGGCTTCTTTTTTGTACTTTAGCGTGGCGTTGGCTGGATACCTCATCGGACTCGGTGCATGGCTTGGAGGGACGGGCTTGTGTCAAGGAAAAGACCTGTATCATGGATCGGAATAGCTGTGATAGCTTAGGGATCAACACATGTCTCGATAGCAAGTGTAAATGTGTTATCGAACTTTTGACATTTTCGTCTCTCTTGCCATCCTCTATCGTGTATTGCTGCAAGCATTATACGAAGGAGAGCACCCCTTCTTGAATTCGTCTTTCGTCCACCTACGCATCTCTTTTAACTAGCGACACCACTCCTTCCCTCAAACACCTTGAGATACTCATCCTCCGTGAACTTCTTATACGCCTCCCTCTCCAAACCCCTCCTCGCAACACCCACATCAAACTCAATATCCTCAATCAAACTCTCCTTGCTCACATAATCATACTCTGGCCTAATGAACCCCAAAATCACCAAATTCATATGCGAGCCATAGAAGTCTTTTTCGAACTTTTCGAGCACATGGACTTCGACACTGCGGACGCTGTTTTTGTAGAAGGGGTTCCAGCCGATGGACATGACTTGAGGGAACACGGTGGATGGGAAGGAAGATAGAGAGCAGTAGCCGTAGTAGACGCCTGATTCAATGTCGTCGTGGCCGCCGACTGTGAGGCCTGAGAGGGGGATGTTGGCTGTGGGGATGCCGAGCTGTGTTTTGTATGGCAAAAATCAGTATTTGTGATCCTTTTTCCTTTCTTTTTGATTTGGAAATTTTGTTTCTTCCATGTGTAGAGTTTGGAAATCCAGAGTGTAGTGTTTGTAGTATGCTAATATCAAGTGACGAACCTCTTTGCTGCCTCGTCCAAAGCCTTTGACGACTTCGCCGTTCAGCTTGAGAGGAAATGGTGGCGCGGGACCGCTGTCAGGGCCGACGATGGGGTCACGGGGGCCGTCTGGACGCATGTTGTTTCTTTTGTGTTGATTCGATAAGTTGATGTGTAGTGGATGCTCACGGCAGCTGGTTGATGGTTGCCTGCCTGGTATGACCTTGACGTGTTGTAGATGCGCCGGACTTTGCGGCGTTTGCACATGGCCCTATCAATGATCTAGTCTATCCACGTCTTTCTCTTTCCATGTGTTCCCACCTGTCACATTGGAAAGCCGTATCTGATCATGTCTGAGTTCGATGTACTATCTTTTAAATGACATGAGCATATCACACAATCACCTTCAATCTGCATTCACGGCATAGTAGGAACTCGGCTTGTACCTGTATTGCTGCAGCAAAACCTATCTCGTCCCTTATCGTCTCCATCATTACTAGCTCGTAGATCATGTACTTGTGTCCATCGGATCGCCAGCACTGCTAGCAGCCTTCTCCTTCCTCTTCATCTCGATAAACGCCAAAATCTCCTTCTTCTTTTCTTCAGCTGGCACCACATCCTCGAAAGCCAGTGGTACACGATTGAAAGGATCGGTAGAATCTGAGAGCAAGTGCGACCGGATGGTGCTGCGGTCGACGATCTGTTTACTGCTGGGTAGTAGCACAGGGTCTTCCATCAACGAGCCCATGATGGGGTCAAGGAGCTCGTCTGGGATCTCGCCGAGATCTTCTTCAGCCATGACTTCCTGGGCGTGCACCAGTGCCACGGCGTCAGTCAAGGCGGTGAATTGCTTGATCTGCTCCGGAGATTTCATGCCAAAGCTTTCCATGAGCTGCATCACCTCTGCGAAGTTGGAGGGCTTGTATGAGCGTCCATCACGAGCAATAGCCTGACGGAAACTCTCGCGGTGTGCTAAGTTTAGGTAGACATCCACCAGATCTGAGAGCAGTTCACGAGGCTTGAATCCATACTGTTCAGGCTGGTCCACCTTAAGGTTACGGCGTCGTGGTCCAACCATCGCGTCCAGGTTGTAATCCAACATGTCTGCAAGACGTTGCACGATTTCTGGCATAGTGAAGGCACCAGCAAGAGCATCTGTGAACAGCGTAAGCATGGCAACAGTCTCTTTGGTCAGGCCCATGTAGGACTTGGCTCGGCCTTGTTGTTCGGCCAACGCTTCTTCCTTCTCCTGTCGTATCGCCTGTTCCATACTCTCTGCAGGGGCCTTCAGTTCTTCTTGTAAGTCATGGATTTTGGTGAAAGATCCGAAAACCTCATCCAGAACATATGTCACATCGTTCAGCAAAAGGTTGACGAAGCGAACGAAAAACTCAGTGTTGACTTGCGCCTCTTTTCCGAGATTCTCTCGATACAGAGGGTTCGACCAGATGCTCTTGAACACTTGGAAGATCTCGTATCGGATATTAAACTTATCGTAGAATGCTGTATGTGTTCCAGTGCTTTCACATTCGATGTAGAACTGCATCAATGCATGTAATAAATGCTTGTGACAGAACTCAGAGCCGTTGAGGAGGTCGCCAAGAACACCTTTAGAGAAGCCACCAAAAGGCCAGACACCATGGAACAGGATCGTGACCAGTCCAGCCTTCATGTAAGGGTTCTTGATGTAATTTGTGTTGCGCAAGAAGGTGATGCAAACAGTGGCAAGCTCTTCGCACTGAGTAGAAGTGATGATGTGAGGGATATTGCGGGTAATGAACTTGAAGTTGTCAACGACGTCTTCGAGGAAGTACTCAGGAAGACATCTGAAAACTTCAGGCTGCTCTTGAGGCAAAGGTAGGCGCAGTTTCTCCTTTGGAATATTCTGCCCTGATGCTAGACTCAAGAGCCAGACGATGACATATCTCATGAACTGCATGGATCTTGCTTGGGAAACTTCGTCAAGCAATACACCAGTAGTTGCGTGAATAACGCTGTGCACTCTGTCGACCTCGTCTCTGTACTTCTGGAGATGCTGTTCAAATCGGGTGGCATATCTAGGGTCATGCGCGTATTTGTGTCTGTCGGCCTCGAACCTCTCGAGCTCTTTTTCCATGTGCTTGACTTGCTTCTGCATGCTTTCCATCCTGCTACTGGCTGCCTCCGTACCGTAATGGTGAGCCGCTACAGTGAGGAAGAAGATTTCGGAGATGAAGTTATTAGTGCCGTCAACCTTCTGCTCATAGAATGCATCAGAGGTTTTCTGATCTGCGTTCATCTTCGTCTCATCTGAGATGTCAACTCTGGGGTTTCTTCTCAGGTAATTGACATCGATTCTCTCAATCTTGCTGAAAGTAGCATCCATGAAAGGGCCACAAAGTCTGTCCAGACAATTCGTGATGTTGATCATGAAGCCATCGGAAGATGTTGTCTTTTCGTCGACTCTCATAGCACGACGTTTGTGGTTGGTGTTCATGCAGTGGGCGAACCAATCTAGCAGCCTCTCGCGTGGCTCCTTTCCAGATTTGACGATCTTATCAGCAATAGCGAAAAGCTCTTCCTGGTGGGTGTTAAGTGTCATGCGAAGCGAACGTTGGGCATTGGCGATGTAAGCCCTGTCTTTTGACCTGGGAGTGGTGAAGAAGCTTTGCGCAACGCCATTTTGTAGAGGTGACAGACGGAAGAAGGGACCTAGAATGGTGACCATCTCGATGTCCTGTGCCGCGACACCCTCAGGAAGGAAAGCGGGTGATTGGGTGATCGCCTCGATAATCTTCGGGAACTGGATGAGATTCCTGAGGGCGGTGAGATAGTACTTGTACTCTATGTCGTTCATAGACAGTGCAGCCAGTTGCCTGCTGAGCTGTTCGACAGCACCAACCAAAGCATCCTTGATCGACTCGTCGTCCTCAAAACGCGAGACGGCCTCGTTAAGGAAGTCGTGATCAATACCAGAATCGCTATGAGGATCTGCGATGAGATGCTTGGCTAGTGCGTTCTCTGGCGGAGTTTCGAAGCCAAACATCTCAGGCATGGTGATGGCAAATATGCAGTAACTCATGCAGAGTCGTCTGGCCTCCATCAAGACCTTGAACCTCGGGTTCTCGTTCTCTGTACTCCTCATGCCTCGGCAAGCTTTGGAGATACGCTTCCAACATGCCAGCAAATAGTCCAGTGGGGTGATGTTCTTTAGAAGGCCGGCAGCTTCGGGAAGAGCCTGGTCCAGCAGGCTTGTCTTGAGCTGAAGCGGCTCATTTTGCTCGAGCAGGTCTTCTCGCACACTCTCAAGGTAATACAAAGGTTGCGAGGAAGCGTCTCGGACGACGTCAGGTTTCAGCGACAGACGGAAAATCTGGCTGAGTTGGCGATCTTCCCATATCTCAAGTGATTCCGAGGCTTGTGGGCGCGATCTTGGTTGAGGCGAGTCGTCGTTGGGCCGCTTCTGAGCAGCAGAAGATGTGATGTTGATCTTGACAGGCATCTTTGTTTCAGGCTTGACGCCCAGCTGTGAGAAAGGGTTGCCCGCGGGCTCTGCAGGGTTGTTTTGTGAGGCGGACGAAGATGCGGCTGGCGGGGTCTCGACACTTGGAGATGACGGTGCTGGTGAGGATGGGCCTGAACCACCTCCAAGCTTGGCAAGGCGCTTGTTACGGATCTGCCCATGTTAGATCTGACGTGACAGAGAGCTGCGCGCTCTGGCAGCGACGGATGCAAGGTACCTTATCTGCATCTGCTTCGGCCATGTTGTGTGGCGGAGACGAGAACGTAGCACTAGAGGGAGAGTTGGCCAAAGAGAAACTGTGGGGTGTGCGCCTCTAAGCAGACTCGGTTGAGCAAAGCAATAACGAACATATGATGATCAGAGTGATGGTTTTAGAAAGTGAATGAGTGAATGAGTGAATGAGTGAATGAACGGATGACGCTCTTGCCTTAACACCGCTATGTCCATCCTGCAAGCTTCGCTACCCAGTGGAATTCACTCCAACGCGCGCGACGACTCTGTAGTCAAACTCTCACATACATTATCAACATCTATGCTGCCACTGACCTGCATGTTTGCATCGCCCGTTGGATTCGAATTCTCATGTATCTGATCTGATGACATTACTCTCTCCGTGTGCTAAAGTATGTAACACATGTAGCCATAGAAATACACAGTAGTGTTAAGAAACAGGGCAGCATCCACTGAGAGGCAATATTTGAGCGGCTCTCTTTGGCTACTCTCTGCTTCGGAAAACAATTGTGCCCTTCTATAGTGTACACTTCGCTCTCCGCTTCTATGTGGAGTTACACACTTTGGCATACAGGAGGTAGGATCCTGTATGCTCTTTGAGTATATTGTCGAAAGTCACTGCTTGACTGTCTGATTTACTGTACTTTTGAGGCACAAATCTCGACCATTCTCCCAAAGAGGTAATTTCAGAATATCGCTATCACGCCTTGTTTCCTTCTTCTTGTAGAACAATCTCCTTTTCTGCATTTTGATTTACTACGAATCTTACTCGTAGTGAAGAGTTTCCAAAACAAGACAGTGATCTTGACCTAAAAGACTCTCCGGCGTGGTCCCAAAACAAAATCTGATACACTGACAGACGTATACGTATGAGAAATGAAGCATGGCAATTCAGGTTGCTGTGGCACAGCTTGTGTGGCTGGTCGCGGTACGTGTTGATGGGGCATGCCTCTTGGCCCATTTGAACAAAACAAAGCTAATAGCCAGCCTGATCCGAGCGTTGAGAACGAGTACGATGTTGAGCGAGGCGCAGACATGTGGCAGACATGAGCAGAATGAAGGTGCGTGAGCAGTGGGAGGCTCAGACGCTGTACAAGAGGCATAAGAAGAGAGACAAACCGGCAGTGCAATGATAGCGCTCGCTGCAAAGCATGCAACTCCAAGCCACACAACAGATGGCAAGTTTGAGAAGGGCAGTTCGAGGGCCCCTTCTGACACCGAGGCAGCCGTGATGTTATGCTAGCGTTATGATAATTACTCCGCGCAATCTGTGTAATAACACGTTCCCCTGTTCGCTGTTTGATGCTCGTAGACCAGACCGTTTAACGTGATTGCCTACCCTCAAACCCTCTTGTCACCTCTGTACTTGATCTTTCGAATAACAAAGACTCGCAAGTAGCCACAAGCAAGCCAGCAACAGAAGCAAGCAGACGTGTTGTTTTCCTGCACTCGACAAAACAAAAGCCCCGACCCCAACGTGCCAAGGCAAATCCGGTCTCCAGGTGCGCCTTCTTCGTCGCCTGCAACATCACACTGCCATCAACGTTGCCGACATCACATCCTATCTCCATAACAATCCACCTGCGTCTTGGCCTGAACATCCGGCCGATTTGCTCATCTTTCACTACCTCACAGTCTCTTTGTTGACCAGTATTCACAATGGCGGAAATTCGTCGCAAGCTCGTTATCGTCGGTGATGGTGCATGTGGAAAGACCTGTCTCCTCATGTAAGAAAGAGTGCCTCCTGGTTGACCATACCGTGCTGACCCGCTGTCGACAGTGTCTTCTCCAAGGGTACCTTCCCTGAGGTTCGTTTCCTCCCATCCCTGCTCGCTGTCGTCGCTCGACTTGATTTCCCTCTCCGTCGCACCCCCGCCAGTCCTCTATGCCCGAGCGCGACAAGCAGCCCCTAGTATAGTATACTCAACGTGCTGACATGTCTACTCAAAGGTCTACGTCCCCACCGTCTTCGAGAACTACGTCGCCGATGTCGAGGTCGATGGCAAGCACGTCGAACTCGCCCTCTGGGATACCGCTGGCCAGGAAGATTACGACAGACTGCGCCCTCTCTCCTACCCCGACTCGCACGTCATCCTGATCTGTTTCGCCGTCGACTCGCCCGACTCTCTTGACAACGTTCAGGAGAAGGTACGCCACCCGCCATGAACTGCCACCCCACGTGCCTAGTTGCATGCTGACATACATTGTTTTTTGATAGNNTGGATCTCCGAGGTCCTGCATTTCTGCCAGGGTCTTCCCATCATCCTTGTTGGATGTAAGAAGGATCTCAGACACGACCAGAAGACCATCGAGGAACTTCACAAGACTTCGCAGACTCCTGTTACCGAGGAGCAGGTGCGTGTCGACACATGATACGAGACATGAACCCAACTTACACATATACAGGCCAGACAAGTCAAGGACAAGATTGGTGCCAAGGAGTACATCGAGTGCTCGGCCAAGACCAACGAGGGTGTCCGTGAGGTCTTTGAGCACGCCACTCGTGCTGCCCTCACTTCAAGAAAGGAGAGGAGTAGCAGCCGCAAGAAGTGCCTGATCCTGTAAGCGGGCAGGCCCAATTGCGCGATCATTCCCACCTCGGCATGAAGAACAAAACATGGTTCGGTGACCACGGACGAAGCACTTTTCCTCATGTCGCGCCTACACAACGGCTGCTGCTCTGCCAGATGAACGATAAGTTGCAGCTCGAGGCCTGAGAGACTTGCACATCCCCGGATTTATACCTTGGTTCTGCAACATGGCGTTCGGATTGGAGTTTCTTGGTTGTCCTGTTCTGCACCGCAAGAGACATGTCCGCTCTATTCAAGNNCAAGCGAAATGGAGAAGGCATGCACGCAGGGCACTGTGTTTGTTGGTCGAGGACGTGACACTGATGGTCTTGATCATTCGTCTTGCTCGGCTCACGCACATCTACGTCTTGTCTTTTTCCCTTCTCAGTACAAGTCGCTCAGGTCTTTACCCACATATCCCCCCTTGTTNNTTTACCGTCGGTCACTGTNTTTTCTCAACCACCACCTGCACTGCGCATTCAGATCGGTGTAATATTTGTCATAGGCGTCAATGAACTAGTTTTCTTTGCACAAGGACCGTCTTGAAAACATGCAAACAATGACGTGCAACTCGAAGGTAGGGTGGTAGGACTAAATATCCATGCTTCGATGACAACCCCACGAGTTACCGGCAGAGTCCGGCATAACAGAGACGATCGCACGTTGATCTGCTCTTCTTTTCCCCATGTTTGGACGTGGGTAATGACATGGGATGGCGAAACGGCGAGGATCCTGAGACACTCGCAAAAGAGGGGTTTCGAGTGGCCATGGTAGAGGAGCATCATCTGGCAAACGCGCGGAAGTTCATCATTCTTCAAAGACAAAGAGTGGCTACCGGGAACACGAAAGAGTGCGGGCAAGCGAGCCAATCGTGGGGGTCTGTGTGAATGCAGGGCATTTCAATCCCACTTATGACGAAGGCTGCGAGACTGGTCGCAAAAGCTACTCGATACTTCACACTGCATGCTCTGCCAAATGACTCTTCGCGCACGGCAGAGTAGGAGGCAGTCGGGTCGCAGCGTGCATGAATCGAAGGCAGCAGTTGCGATGACGCGGGGCTAGAGCGAAAAGTGAGGGAAAGTTGTGAGAAAATGGCAGGAGCACGTGAGAAGCGAGTGACAGTCTGCCGCCGCTAGAGAGAGTTTCTGGGCCCTGGCCGACTAGCGATATTCCCATCCCGACTCCACCGCACGCATTTCCAGCGGCGCCTTTCAGCCTTCGTCGACAAATCCACCTGCTCTCTCCACTCCCTGATCAACATCTTCCTTTTCCACCTGCACCCTCCCACAACCACTTACACCTCTGGTCAACATGCGCCTCTTCCGCATCAACACCAACCCCACCACCGCCATGGCTTCCTTGTGATGGTCTGACTATCACGGTACATGCCCACCACTGGCGTCGACCTCTCGCACCCTCTGACGCCGTACTAGCTGTCCATCTAGCAACGACACGCGCCTGTAGCCTCGCGCAGACACCAGAACACATCTCCATATCACCCGCTATCAACTACACCAAGCACACCGCAGTCTGAGACTCGACTGTCACGCGACATATCCTTTCTCCCACATTCAACATGCCTTCTGCAACCTCGACTTCCTTGCTCGACTCGACTCCACAAACCACAAACATAGACGCCGGCGAGATGTCGCTCCTCGACTGCACCAAGGACGTCAAAGGTGTGCTCGACTCTTCATGGTTTCTCGCGACTGTCGCTGACTCGAGAAACCCAGGGTCCAAACAAGACGACTCGACGCCCGCCATGGTCGCTCAAGAAAACTTGAACCCAAAGCTCAGCATCGCCCCGCTACCCGGACGCTTGCGCATGTACGTCCCGCCAGCCAACTTTGGCGCGGTCGAGACAAACTCCATCTACAGGAGTGGTTACCCAACCAGCAAGAACTTTGACTTTATCAAGAGTCTCAGCATCAGAACCATCCTGTACGTTCTGAGCCCCTCCATACCAACTCGCTATTCCTAACGCACAATCCAGCNNACCTTGGTTCCTGAACCTCTATCAGAAGAGTACATCACCTTCATGGACCAAAACCACATTCGCCATTACCAGATCCACATTCCTGCCAACAAGGACGGCAAAGTAAACATTACTTCCGAAACCATGGCTACTGCTCTTGCCGTCGTTTTGAACCGTAACAACCACCCTCTTCTCATCCACTGTAATCGTGGCAAGGTCAGTCAAGATATTTCGATCACACGAGCACGTGACGCTGACTCATGACCAGNNCATCGTACTGGATGTGTGACTGCCTGCTTCCGCAAGACACAGTATGTTCAAAACGACCCAGCTATCGCCGAATATCGCGACTATTCGTATCCGAAATGTCGTGAGGACGACATGCACTTCATCAGGTCTTTTGATCCGAGTATTGTACTTCCTATCGCCCAATCACAAGGCTGGCTGCCTACACCACCACCAGAACCCAACGATGGTTTCTGGCATTTGAAGCACCAGACCAAAATTCCTACCTATGAGGATGTCGCTGCCATAAAACCTAACGATGAGCACCGCGATCATGTCGCTCGCATCTCGGTCAAGTGACATTCATCCATGTGATGATCCTGGTTTTTCCGTCTTCTACATGGCGTTCATGGCGGTAATGGCAAAAGAGGCTTAGAGGGTTGTCTGCACGACTTGCCTCAATGATCAAAGATGCGACGACGATGCTTTTTCTTTTGTTTTGTTCCTCACAGCGACGGCGTTCACATGGAGTCAGAAATGGAAGCTTAGAGAAACTGGGAAAACAGTTGTAAATCGGGCGGCGATTTTATGGGATGAAAAGGCGTCGAGCAAGGGTTTTTCGCTCCGCTGGTATTTGTTTTCTTTCTTCTTACCGACAAATGGTCCATGCACTATTGGTTGCTGCATTTCTTGTTCTTTCCTCCTTTTCGGTCAGGAAGAATATCTTGGTTGGGTCTGATGGCCTAAGGACCCGGACTGATATTGATGGATGAGCAGTCAAGTAGAGGCTTGGTTCAGTCAATGCCACCTCTGTTGATATCATAATTGGTTGTTCTCCTCTCTCCTAATACTTGTGCTTGCTTGCATCTCTCTATGGTGGTTTGACTAGACTTTTCGCTCATCAGTCATGGTTACCCCTGATTGTGCTCCAGTAGTTGAAGACACTGATACTGGGTGCTTTATAACCACGTTGCCTCAGAGTCGCCGAGGTGACAGTGCCATACGTATAGCATGTCTGGAGAAAACAACGACCGCGTTTTTCAAAGCTTATGAGACAGTGTGATCGCGTTGAAGACAAGATGAAGGACTGTGTACAGTGTGAATATCGTAGAATAATCTGGGAAAGTGAGACACACGCCTTCAGTGTCTCGAAGAGTCGTTCGTCTCAATAAACCTCTGAGTTGGAAATGCAGAATGATAAAGATACATTCAAAATAAAGCGACGGAAGACAGAGCTACAGATCAAGGTTGAGGTTCACTGGTTTATAGAGGTCAGGGTTGGAGGGTCAGGATCCGAGTCACCCTGTCACTCGTGCTGCGAAGACTGAGAATCCGAGCTGATGCGACCAGCAACTTAGCTCTCACAACCAACCATTCATCAACTTTACCCAACACCTCCCAGAAGCCATTGCCAGCATATCGACCATGAGCGAATTGCCAGACTCACCACTGTCATCGATATCGTCATCGGACGAGGTCGACGACCATATCAGTACACCAAACCGATCGGCCAGACCCAGCATGGACACAGACAGCGCAGGACCACCGAGCAAGAAACGACGTACTGGAGGCCATCCGGCGCATATTGGAACACCCAACGGCGGTACGATAATGGTTGCTGGAGCAGATCCTCTGGAAGAGTCAGAAGCAGACATCAGTTGCGACAGCGAGGGTTCCGCTCCAGGATCACCCAGTGCAGACGAATTTGCCATGCGCGCCGATCAAGTCACCACTTGCGCCTGGGAGGGCTGTAGTGTGGGCGATTTGGCCAACAGTGACGAGCTTATTGCCCACGTCCAGAATGATCATATTGCTCCCAAGCGAGCACGCTATACCTGTGAATGGGGAGACTGCGCTCGCAAGGGCACGAATCATCCTAGTGGATATGCTCTCAAAGCTCACATGCGGAGTCACACCAAGGAGAAGCCGTTTNTCTGCCATCTTCCCGGTATGATTGATGAGTGACTCTTCTACGACATGCCCCTGCTAACAAGAACACAGNAATGCGATCGCTCATTTACTAGATCCGATGCTCTCGCCAAACATATGCGTACCGTCCATGAACCCGAACCGCCACGCGCTGCTGCCACAAACGCCAATCCCATCGACCCTGCCACCGGACAGCCCAAAAAGGGCCCCAAACTACGCCTCTCAATGAACGGCAAGACCCCCATCAAGCCCGCCATCCCAGACGCACCTGTCCCTGCACCTACCCAAGCACCTGACGATCCATCACCACCCATGGACAACATCCAATACATACCTGCCCGCCATCCGATAACCGGCCAGGCAGGCTTCATGATCACATATCCCNCCGACATACACTTTTCACAGTTTGAGAGCGAGATTCCTGCGAACCAGCTCATGCGGCTGCTGAGGCGTCAACTGCGCTGGGCAACAAAAGAAAGCGAAGAACTAAAACAAGAGGTTCAAGGGCTAGAGGAGCTTCGTCGCAAGNAGTGGGCAGCAAAGGAAGCTTTGCTGGAGGGTGTGTTGCAAGGTGAACTTGCATCTGCAAATCTTGACGAGGATATCAAACTCGACATGAAGGGAGAGGTGTGGGGGCCTGAATCAAAAGACCTGGATTGGACGGGCACACCTGGGTGGACTAGAGATGATCGCGCCAACAGCGCACATATCAAGAGTCCGGGCATGGATGTGGATGATGTGCTGGAGGACGCAAATCTTGCAGTTAATGCACAACAAGCAAGTGCTTCGCAAGCAGAGAGGGATGAAGATATGATGGCGGTCGGTGCATTGATGGGCCTTAGTGGTGCCAGCTAGTCGCTGCCGTCGAGACAGGCATTCCAGGAGACGAAACGGACATTCAAAAAGGACAGCAACGCACTACTTGTTGAGCAAGGAAGCGCCGTGTTTCGATCTTGGAGCACTGATCGAAGGGGAAAACCGACATCTTGGAACGATGGGGTCTGGAGCACGGGACTATGGATCGCGACCAAGCGGATAGAGCTATTCAAAAACGGATGGGAAGAAACATGAGTAATTTGGGGGATATGCAAAATATTGCTACCATCAACAACAGGACGAAAACGAATATCCCTTTTTCGCTGTACAAAGCACATGCCATTTCATCAGAGCTTGGTACTCCTGACCAAACCCTTCTTGATACCCGTGAGTTCACCACCATAGCCGCCCCTACCTTCACCGCCCTTGTACACGGGCTTGATGGAAGCAAGCTTCTTCTTCTTCTCCTCGAACTTCTTGCGCTTCTTGACGCGCGGGTTGCGCACATCCTTCTTTCTGTGTGGCGTGAGACCCTTGTTCTTCTCAATCGCATACGTGATTGCGCGCTTGCCGTCGGCGCCCACCTCTTCAACCTCCACAACTCTGCCACCTTCTGCTGCTGCTGCTTTGAATGCGGCGGCCTCGGCGGCTTTGTCTGATTTCTTCTTTGCGGCTTTGGAGGCCACCATGTCGTAGTAGTCTTCATCGTCGTCGATACTCTTTTCGCCGCGGACTTCGCGGGCAACGGCGCGGTCGGCGTCGTCTTCGCTGTCTTCGCCCAGGGTGTCGCGGTCGAAGCGTTTGCCTCTTGCTTCGGCTTCGGCGTTGAGGCGGGCTTGTCTGTCGCGCAGGCGCTCTCTGTGTGGTACATCTTCGTCTCCACCTTGCACCTTTGCACCGCGCTTGTTTGCCTTTTGGGCGATTTGCGAAGTGTAGAAGCGCAGGGACTTTTTGCGCTTGGCCTTTTCGGCGAGTTCTTCTGCTGTGAGGGAGGTGTCTTCGCCGAGGTCCGAGTCGTTCTCGTCGATCGCTGCCGTTTGGGTCTTTTTCTTTGATTTCTTGGGGCGGGAGGAGGTGCTGAGGAGGGCGTCGAGGTCGCCAAAGTCTGCTTCTGTCTTGCGGAGGCGTTCGGCGCGGCGGGCTTCTGTTGCTGCTGTGACTGCGTCTGCTGCGCGTTCGGCGGCTGTCTTCTTGACCTTTCTGGGCAAGATGGTGACGGGGACTTCTTCTTCGTCGGACTCGCTCATCTCTTCGACTTCGTCTTCGTCCAGGGCGGACTCGTCTTCCGAGTCGTCTTCGGGGAGGTCTCTAAGGCGTGACCATAGATCACGGCATTGGATTAGACTTTCCATGACGGGGTGGTCGCGGATGGCGGCTGCGGACAGAGCGAGGCCTTTTGTCTGCTTGTCTTGGGCAGTCGATGTGAGGAGAGCGAAGTACATGGTGAGAGAGGCGAGGTAGGCGGCAGCGGCTTGCTGCTTGGTCTGGACGGCGAGCGACGGCGATTCTACAGATGACAGTTCCTGGTATGTCTGATGCAGGGCGAGCAGCTCCTTGCTCAAAGGCTCGAACTCCGGGTAGCGTGTCTTGAGTAGCTTGAGGCGTTCGGTGGGGGCCATGTTGTCGTCCAGCTCGAGTTGAGGCAGCACCTCGGTGACAATCTCGCCATCCTGGTCTGCGTCTTGCTCGTCTTCTTGTTGCCAGTCGGCCTCGTCAAATCCAAAGTCGGCGGCACTCATGGCCTGCAGCTGCTTCTTTTGCAGACGCAGTGCTTCCTTTTCTTCGTCCAGTGCATCTTGTTCCGTTTCGATGGCGTCGGCGTTGTAGTAGTCTTGCTTGGATTCTCCCCATGCGCCCATGTCTTCGTCCTCGTCTTCTTCGTCCTGTGCTTCCTTCTTCGACTTTTTAGCTGGTGCCTGATCGACTTCTTCCTCGTCAAAGTCGTCTTCGTCGTCGTCTTCGGCTTCCGAGGGACTCGAGTATCCTAGAACTTCCTCGTCGGACAATTGGAGAAATTCCTCTGTGTCTTGTTAGCACCTGATCGGTCTCTGCGCAGACGTATATGCCGTCTCACCCTCTTCCTGCACCTTTCTCCTCCTCTTTGCCTCGGGTCCATCGTCGAGCATGACCTTGTCGCGGTTGATGTGGAACTCGTCGTCGGAACCCGCCACATCTTCGTACGTCTTGATGCGCATCTTTGTGCGCTTGTTGGAGTCATCTGCGACATCGTCTCTGGATGCACCAGCGGAAGGTGCCTTTCTCTTTTTCGCCATTATGATTTATCGTGTTGGTTTAAACAAAAATGACTATTGGGGATTTTTGATGGTTAGAATTTCTTGCCCTGGACGCTTATGTCCGAGATGGTCCGAGGGTCCGGGGTTGGTCTTGGGACTGACTTCATGCTTCGAGTTGAACTCCTTCGACAACCTCGCTTTGAATTCAATCTACACATAATTTGATGTTTGGCCATCTGGATTATATGGATCTCAGGGCCAATAGTACTTGTATAGAAGTTACTCAGGAGACTGCAGTATCTCAATAGCTAGTGAGGTAAGTCAAATACTACCATCACTACGACTGGATCCAGAGCACCTGCAGAGTTGGAAATACTCTTCTATCGCCTTTTAGAGCCCATACTCGGCTCTGGTATAGAATTCAGCCGCCTAACGACCTTTACGACTCTGTGTTCCGAAGGTAGATGGGTTGAACGGAATTGAAGAACAATGTTCGCCGCATGCGGAAAGAAGCCCCCAAAGCGATCATCAGAACACTGCAATCGCTTTGTCTGTCACCACCTCTACGCCTCTTGAGAACAGTAAGTCAGCTATGTCTCTTCTTTCTCCTCCAGACACTTTCAAGACCTCGCTAGAGAGTCGTCCTCCAAGCATCTATGTCCCCTCGAAACATAAACCCACCATAGAAAGAAATGCAAACTCCACCATATACACCCGCAAAGGGACAGGAAGGCCGATCTGAAGGCCCCAAACGCCCTCGTCTGTTGAGCACCAATAGCAATACCTCTGAAGATGGCGCTGTATTCATGNGGCCACACTCCTCGCCCAGAAGCTCCTAAACGTGCTCGTCTTAGCAGCACTATCAGCAATGCCTCTGAAGACGGTGCCGTATTTCTTGGGCACACTCCCCGAAATCACTTACACCGAGGCCTCGGGCCCGTCATGCTGAACACAAGATAGAAGTTCAGCAAGTCCTGCACACTTTTGGGGAAGACACGGCACTTAAATCTCCTATAGAGAAGGCTGTCGAGTGGCTTGAGGGATCTTGGACTGAGAGAGAGCAGAAGGAGTTTTTGAGAGAGCTTGTTCGGTTCTTGGTAATTGTGTTGGCTTTTATCATGGTCAAGAATCTCACCTATCAATGTCCTCAAGATCCTCTAAGGGCAGGTGTCGGCGAGGGGGNNGTGTGGGGAGCAGATATCACTGATCCTGCTTCTGTTCCCCTCCCTCAAAGTCCTCCAGTCGCAATGAATGGAGACGCCGGTAAACCTATCTGGATACCAGAAGCGGAAGCGGTACTAGGAGCCAGCGATCCCTCTGCCTGGATCCCAGCTCTTGATTCACCTATCGTTAGAGTCCCTGAACTTTCGAACATCAACACAGCAATCCCACGTCCTGGCGTCCCCGCATCGGCGATATGGACCTTCACGCCAGCAGCCCTCTCAAGCATCTGGCCAGGCTTGCCGAGTTTCAGCAATGTCAGGGATGTACTCAGTGGCGTAGTCCTTGGCAAGAGCGCTGGCAAAGTAATCTCAGACACCACTTCTGCAGTTTCTTCCGCAATGGCTCGCGAACCCGATATCCATGGCTGGGAAGTCGTGATTGCAAATGAGAAAAACAGAGCTCGTTTACTTTCAATCTTGCGAGATATGGAGGAAGTGAGTTCGCATTTGCATGTTGAATTAAGCTCGCAACTATTCCACAAGTCTGCGGAACACAGTAATTCTGAGCAAACTTCTGCCATTGAGTCGCTGGAGAGCTTGCAGACGCAATTACAAGAGTTGAAGCAACACCAATTCGAGATTGTGAGGTGAGATCTGACAAATATTCTTGCAGTCTGGAGATCCACTTAGCTGACATGCCCACNNAGAAAACTAGGCATCTACCACCGAGCAGCCACCCTCGCTTCCTCAAGCCTCGACGACTACATCATCAAACATTCCAAGATCAGCGCCAAAGACCTTGACTCATTACGCGCATCAATGCTTTCGAACGGACAAGAATTACTGTCGCACCTAGATGCCGCAGAACAGAATATCGCGTTTGTGAACCAAGCAGCAGAGGGTCTTCCTTGGAAAGCACAGAGTAGAAGTTGGGTGGGTAGATGGGTGGATAAGTATAGGTATCGCTCGATTGTTGCGGCGTTTGCTGGGTTGGAGCATTTGAGGGTGTATGGGAATGCGGTGAGGGGCATGGTTACTAGTGATGTGCAGGCATTGAAGTAGAGTTTGATCCTGGTGAGAGAAAGGTGTTGGGATGATGGTAAGACAATATCAGATAAGGATCAAAACGAAATCTATACAAGCGTAAATACAGGGGACGAACGCGGTTCCCTAGAGACAGGATGATAGGGCGGAAATGTACCCAGGTAGTTGTTGCTTTTTCTTCATAGTGCAATATAATCATGTCCTCTTTTTCCACAATGACCCTCGTGTGAATCCGCTCCCGCCAATATCTTTACAGCGTTCGAATCTAGGCTTCAAGTAGCTCATCGCAAAGCCCTGTCCACAAACCTTTGCTCAAGCTTAGCAACCTCTGCCTTGAAAGCCTCAACCTGCTCCCAGCAATCCAAAGGTCTGCGGTCGTTCAACCTCAAACACTGTACCAACCCATCCTTTGCCTTTTCAACAGCAGCATCAGGCGACTGCTCGAGCTTCTTGCGGCGCTCGAGTTTGCTGCGCAGCTCGGCGACTTCTTTGGACACGCTGTCGTTGCTGCGGTCCTTGTGTTGGGATGACGAGGGTGTGAGGGCGGACGAGATCTTTTCTTTGAGCGAGGGCGAGGAAGAGTCGTCGGTTTCCTCGGACGAGGGNGTTAGGCGCTCGGTGTATTGGGCGAGGCGCTGAGCTTCTTCTGCGCGAATGCGCTCGAGTTCGGCTGTTACGCGCTGTTGGATTTGAAGTTCGAGGTTGCGCTGGCGGGTCGAGTCGGACNNTGTTTTTGATGTTCTTGTCAGAATCGTTGTCTATTTTGTTTCTGTGCTGATTCGTAATACCTCGGGGCTGTTCTGTAACGAGTCGACGACTGAGGGAGAGAAGCTGACGGGACTGTCNTCTGTTGCGCTCGTCAGTAAAGAGGTCATCGCGATGTGATGGAGCAGTCAATCGTACGCAGCAAAGACATATTGCGAGCCTTGCGGCTTGGAGCTTCCGGAACCCATGGCGAGCGAATGTGATTGAAATAGATAGGATGGTCGTCGTTGATCGGTATGCTCGCTGCTGCTTGTTCGCGATGTCAATTGCCAAGGCCTCCTCCGATTGCTCCGACGCTCAGCGCAACGAATAAAAATCAATTAAACTCCAAGTGCACGCGAAAACGCGTCTTCCCTCGAATGCCTTGTTCTCCGAAACCATGCAGACTTCAATCACCACTTGGTTCAAGAAATCTGCTGCTGTCAAGCAGTCCACCACTTCTTCTGCTCTGCCAAATCAAGCATCTGCAACAACACAACAAAACACATCTTACAACCAACATGCGTCAACCTCACTATCGTCGCCGCAACAACCAACACCACAACCCACCCTAACCACACCCATAAACCCGACAACAAAACCAACATTCACACACCCACAACCCCACCTCCCAAAGAACATCACCCTCGTCTCTTGCGACAAACTCCTCCTTCAATCCTTCGAACGCCTAAACACTCTACTGCTACCAATACCCTACCCCGCCAACTTCTACAAAGAAATCCTCTCAGACAATACTGCCTCCGATCTAACCTTACTAGCTGTATGGTGTGACGACTGCACCTCTGCCTCAGCACCAGGAAAAGTGATAGCAGGTGTACGCTGCCGGATCCTACCCGATCCCTCCACCGCAGCCACTGCTGGCCAANAAATTCTCTACATCTCGACGCTGGGCGTACTGAGTGCTTTTAGGGGTTACGGGGTCGCAAGTGCATTGCTGAATGTGCTTATCGAGAGGGGGATAAGCAAGTACGGCGTTACGGCTGTGGGTGCACATGTCTGGGAAGCTAGCAGTGAAGCCAGGGAGTGGTATGCAAAAAGAGGGTTTAGGGAGACTCATCTTGAGCAGCACTATTATCGCAGACTTACTCCGCAGGGTGCGTATGTGCTGAGGAGGGAGATTGGGCCTAGAGACTTGCTGGGCTGTCCAAGGACATGACACAACTTGGAACATTCAGTAACATGGTCATACTTTTGATGTGACGCAAATCACATATACGAGTCACAGACACATGAAGAAGCTCATATGCATCAAGGAACAAGATCATGGTTTGAAGAAAGAATAAATGGTCAATGTACTAGGATATATGTACACATATGTGACGGCTGGCATACAAGCCAGAGGATAAGAAAAACATTCAACGCCCTCCCAAATTTATTCCGCATGCTCATGCGTAAAAGATTTTGTAATCGTGAGAAATTGTGAAAATCGTCGCGTCTTCTCTAGTCGTACTCCTTGAGCTGCTCCTGCTTGGCCAGCTTGTCGGCAACAAGAGCGATCAAAGCAGCTCCGACACCGCTACCGTCCTTAGCGATACCGATGCGAATGCGCTTCTCGCCGTGCTTGCCGATGCCCTCGATCTGCTGAAGGGCCTCTCTGATGTACTCCTCGAAGCCGGGGTAGAACTCGACGAGCGAACCGTCAACACCGACATCGACCATCTCGTCCTCGTTGACGGGTGTGTCATCGGCCGTGGCAATGTCCTTGGGTGATGAAAGCTTATCGGTTGCAAGAACGATGGCAGCAATGGCAACAGCAGACAGACGAGCGGCACGCTTGCCAATGGCGGCAGCGATAAGCTTGACAGCCTCGGCATCTTCAGCGCTGGCAGCTTGGACACCATAGTCCTTGTCCAGAGTCTGGCGAGTCACCTTGAGGCCATTGCTGTTATCGCCGTGAGCGATGGACAAGAAGCTAGTGTCAAGACCCCAAGGTTGCCACAGAGGACTGCTCTCATCAAGACAAGTAGTGCTGTGAACGTCATTGCTGCTGCTGTTGTCGTCGCTGAAGAGGCCAGTCTTGCGCTCCTTGACCAGATCGACGATGGCCAGACGGAGAATCTCACCCAAGAACATACCGGAGATGCGCTTCTCGAACATCTGGATGCCGGGGTTGGGAGTCTCCTTGTCCAGTGAGTTGTCGTAAGGAGTGTTGGGGAGAACGGAGAGCTGGTTGTCGAATGAACCCCACTCGGTGTTGATGATCATCTCACCAGTGGTCTTGTCGACATCAGAGCTGTTGGGATCGAGCTTCTTGACCTTGTCGAGCTTCTCAACGTAGGCACCGTTGGTACCGGTGCCGAAGATGGCACCNAGAAGAGTGCCGGTCTTGCCAGGGGAAGTGTATGAACGAGCCATGAGAGTTCCGACAGTGTCGTTGACCAGAGCAGCGACGCGGACAGGCAGGTGCAGAGCATCAATCTCATCTTGGAGAAGCTTGCAGACATCCTTGCCAACGGCATCGGCAATGTCGAAGCCCTTTGTCCAGCGGATCAAGGTACCCTTGTTGATTCCGACCTGTTCCACAGGGAAGGAGAAGGTGAAGCCCAAGTTGAAGATCTCCTGCTCTCTGAAGCCGCTCTCGGAGTGGATGGTGGCGCGTCTGCGGATGGTAGCGTGGTAGTGTTCGCCGTGGTGGGTCTGCAGGAAAGTAGCAATCTGCTTTGCGAGGAAAGAGAAGAGTTCCTTGCTGGTCTGGGCAACCATGAGCTCGCGGGGAATGGCAACCTTGGATTGAGTGAGGGAGAAGGTGCTGTCACCGTGGAGGTTGATGGAGCAGACACGGAAGTTGGTGCCACCGAGGTCGACAGCCATGTAGAGACCCNNTGTCTATGTCAGAACTGTGTTAAGCTGATCGCTGCAGTCCATGCTCACCTTCTCAGTACCGTTGGGGACAGCGGTCACGTAGGTGGGAATCTGGCTCATGGTGGTGCCGGACTTTTGCAGGCCCTCGTCNTGGATTCAATGGTTAGTGGGATGCTCGTAGCGAGAGGCTTCAATTGCAGCAGACATACCCATCTGGCGGATAAACTCCTTGACGGCCTTGTTGACCTGGGCATCCGAGTACTCAAACTCGGCGGCCACACGGGCGGCTTCTTGTGCAAGACCCATATTGCGAGGTGCCGACGTATCGAACAGTGTGCTGGTGTGGTATTCGGTAGTATGAGGACAAATCAAGTCCTGCAGGAAAGGATTGGAGGGGTTGTGACGACAAAAGTCAGAACGACCCGAATCTAGTGGCTGACTTGGCTTGCGGAGCGAAGCTACGAAGCGGGGCACAAGCAAGAATTGGACACCGAGGACGAGTACGAGGAGGACGACAGCGTACAGGGAGCGAGAGAGAAACGAGCCTTTTTCAGATCGGAGGTCGCGGAGGAAGGGTGGGTCTGCCGCACGAGATGAGGAAGGGGAGCGAGATGAGGGAGTTGGGAGAGATCTGGTGCGTCGGTGGAGCGCCAGGGTGAGGATATGTATTTATGGGCAGAGGACAGGAGTCAGGTCTTGTACGCGAGACGAGAGGGAATTAAGTAGCAACCCTAAACTTGCTATTACCTGATGCTTAGGACGCAACGTGACGGACGGCTCTTGCTCTACAATCGAGACTCGACAGCCAAAAAGTAGTGGGTGCGTGCGTCAAAAACGCCCACCCACGTCACTGCCGACGACCGGTCCTGCCTTTTGACAGCCTCTCGTCGAAGCTGAAGAACACACAGGTGCATGCGCCTTCCTCGTTGATAAAGCGACGCGAGTCTTTGTTATACCACGTCAACAGCGTGAGCCGTTATGTTTACTGTACATCACCTGTCCTCCGCCTTTCCCCTCGCTCGTCTCCAGCGTATCACCTTACTATTCTCCATCCTCCCACTCGTCATTCTCCGCGCCCAACCGCTAGAATCATCAAAGCGCCCGGTACTTCTCCGGAGCCTCTCTTGTTTTTGCTCTCCAACCCATCCGTCTCACCCACTTCTCTTCAACTTCTTGCTGCTGGTTTCTCGCTAGCCACGCGAGCGCATCGGTAGCAGTTGCCGCCTTTGCCCATGACCACTGCTCTTCTGACCGGTGTTTTCAAGCTCACTGGCCCAGTCTTGCTATCCGAACGTGTACTCTTGTTGTACGACCACGGCTTCGTTTCGGCTTTCCTTGGCATCAATCGGCTGCCTCATCCTCCGACTCGGCACCGTGCTCTACTCAAACACGCCGCCGAGAAGAGCCGAGAAGCACTGAGGGGCTCCACGGGAATACTAGCAGCCCCGAGCAACATCTGGGCTCTGACACCCGTGCCAAGTAGGTCTTTCCCAATAGGCAGTTGACCGTGTGAACATGACCATTCAAGAAGTCTGTCAAGCATCGTGAGTGTATTTTGCTTACCCTGTCCAAGTTATGAAGATCAATTGCAACCTGAAGCGGCACCCACGCCCAAGAGTAAACACCGATCGGGTCACAAATGTATCGCATTTGTTCGTTCGAGCCTCGGGTTGAAAACAAAGTCTATTCGTCCAACTCAAGACGCTATCTTCATAGCAATCGATACCGAAGGCACAAAGGCTGATCTCACAGAGTTGGGAATCTCGACCTTTGACACTCGTGACATCAAAGATTCCTTTCCTGGTCCTTCAGCTCTGGAATGGGCAAGACACATCAGGTCTCGTCAGTTTCGTTTTAAGACTGGGCAACGCAAGCCGTTCCTCTTTGGAGCTATCGAACATCGAATCCCTCTGACCGCGATTCGACCCTATCTCAAGCTACGCTCTGATAGGCTGTATATACTCGTTGGGCACGCCTTGCACCACGACATTGAAAAGCTTGCTCGTGTCTTGGGCTACGAGCTGCGTAACGAGCCTAATATTGTTGCCATAGTGGACACCTATACTCTAGCCCAGCAATGTCGGACGACCTTACCTGGTCAATTGTCGAAGCTTTGGAGATTCCTCGTGACCTCTAGCCCAGGAGATGTCACACCAGCTGATGTTATCAGATTGTTCTCTCCCAACTCAGACGCTGTAGACTTGGACTACGAAAGTAATCACGCTTTCCACAACGCAGGGAATGATGCTTTTTACAACATGCATACCCTCTTGATGCTGGCACTACGGCCAGAACTTCTCAGGGAACCTCAGTTCAGGTCTTCACTAGCTGGCGTGTTCCTCTCCGCCCGTTCTGCAGCATGGCAATTAGTACGACGTCTGACGAGTAGATCGTCGACATCTAAGATCAAACCAATGACTCCGGGCTCATTCGTCAGACGGCCTCAGGGTGTAGCAACTGTACAGCCTGCGCAGAATGCAGGCACTAGAGACTTGACACTTCGATTCGAGACGCCAAAGACCTGAATTCTTGATATTGCATACAGAATCATGATTCCAGCACAGTCTGTTTCGCCACGTTTGCCTTTCGCCGAGCATGCTCCGCTTTTTTCTGACCAGTCTTGTTCGAAATGCACGCTTCCAGAATTTCTTGTTGATATTATCCTGGACGCGATTGCCATGGTATCCAAGGCTTGTTGGAAAGAAGATTTGAATTATAGCCAAGCCTGCTCCAGGAACCCACTTCTCCAATTCTATTGATGGGATGAACAATACTCTGCTGTACAATCTTCTGTCGACATCACCCGAGTATGGAACCGAGTTCTAGGAGGGAATGTACGAGCATCCATACGACGAAGCATCTATTGACGATTTACGAGGATCATTATTGATTGCTATCAAGAAGGCTCTTACGAAGGTCCAAACTCGAATCTTCCTAGATACGTTCGACGAAGCCGGAGACAATGAAGCACGAAATATCATCGCTGATCTCAGCAGAATTAAACCCCGGGAAAGATTCCTCGAGTACGCAACAACATATCGGTTCAAGCACGTTGCTATCGCAGATAAAGAGGGCATTTCCCAAGTTTTTATCAAAGACGAGATCGCAGGAGCAGGATGTGATTCTCTACTCCAGATAGCGCATCTCTGAGCGAGCATAGACGATACGAACAAGCATTGCGTACCGCAACTACAGTAAAAAGAAAATGTATGAGCAGGCGATACAGAGAATGACAGACAAAATAGAAGTCAGGATGCAAAACATACAGCAGCAGGGATTCCCACGTGGTCACCCACCGTAGTACTAATCTGCCGTTCAACTGCTTATGTATGGCAGAGCGGACGGGATGCCCAGTTTTCAGCTGACTGTGGCCGTATGTGCTAGAAACCTGAGCTCATACGTATATAATATCTCAATCTATCCACGATCGCAACACTGGACCCGCGAAAGGTCGGAAGGTGATCGTCCCCTGAACCTTATTAGCATCTACACAGCGAAAAGATAGTCGGTTCTACCTACTCGTAGAACATACGAAAAATACTTTCCTCAAAGGAGGGAGAAGCAATCTTGTCAGAACAAGCAGATAGATAATAATATGCTAGAACCGGATAATATAAGGTGACCCATCGACCAATTAGCCATATAACATCTACTCGCTTGTGGACAGCGAAACATTAACTGTCTCTGCGAACCAACACAACACAGGTATTAAGTATTAGGAGGTTGATACAAGTCCTACTCAGTCAAAGATATGCCAGCTTGCAATGGCGCTGTCAACCCTATCCTCGAATGGCCGCCTAATCAACATCGGCACTCACAATCTAGCCCTGTATACTCATGGACCTGAACCCAGAAGACCCAACGAACCGGTCATCCTGTTCATCTCAGGTGTGGCAAGCGATGCTCTAGATTGGCAGGCCGTGGTACGACAGCTTTCTCCATCACTGCGCAGCTACACATACGATCGCTCTGGCTACCGTAAATCCGAGTCTTCACCGCTCGCTCCTACAGTCGAGAACGTCGCTCTAGAGCTCTCGCTTCTGATCGGCAAGGCACCCATCCCTCATCCTCTTATTCTCGTCGGACATTCCTGGGCAGGCGTGCTTTTACACGAGTTCATCGCTCTCAAAAGGATCGCCCAAATAGNNGATGCAAACCACGAGACAACACCGCTCGTTGTGAATGTCAATGACCCAATTCTCTGGTCCATTGCCGCAGGCGTTGACGTATACTCAGCTTGGGGCCTCGAAGCCAATCACAAGTTGACGCCTGAAGAGTGGAATGCTTTTATAGCTGCGGAATCTACTGAAAAGTTCAAGCTGATCGCTCACCAGGAGGACGTCGAACAGTACGCTCCAAGTTTTGAGACACTACGAAAGAAGGAGCTAGGCAAGAAGCAGCCACTACTTGAAGACAAGCCGGTCTTCGTGGTTGGCGGCACGCGGAGTAGGGACTGGAACGGGTTGTACGAGGCGGGCGTTACCAAAAGCAATGGGACCGAAGAGGAAAGGAGCTATGTTAGGGATTTGATTGCGGGAATTGATGAAAATATGGCCAAGTTGATGAAGGAGTTCTTGAAGCTCTCGACAAAGAGCGAGCTTGTGTTTGCCATGGAGAGCGGACACTTCGTGCAGATGACGCAGCCGGAGGTTGTTGTTGATGGAGTAGGATGGGTTCTTGACAACCAACCAGCATGATATTCATAGGGCAAATTATGGTTCAAAGTCCTGGCAATGAGCTTCAAGGTTAGGTTGAAGCCTGGACGAAACACGGCAGACAGCTTCCTGATGCTGCCCATGGTGACCCAATAAGAGAAGGAAAAGGTGTAACCCGCTTTCAGCCATTAGCAAAGTTATGCATACGACAAATGATGTATCTCAAAGAATGCGTTCCCAGTCCCCTACATTTTGAATCTTACCTAGGTAATGCACGACACATTCGATAAGTCACAAAACAAAAGAGTATACTCGAACCGTTGGGAACGAGTGACGCTCATTCGTTGACATCTGTCACCTTCAGTCATCAACATCGATACAATTTGCTTCTCCTACCACCGCGCCGCCACACGTGTCTTCTCAGCTCGTGGTAAGGCATGTGGCGTCTAGAGCATCAGCTTGCCATCGAATGCAGTAACCGAGAAGAGAGGCGAGGTTGCAGAACACACTGGAGTCGCACGAATCGGAGCTTGCACGAGAAGTACCCATGCAAATATCGATATCAGCTTCGGTGAGCGCGACGGTTATTGACTCTTGTAGGGTCGAGAGAGCGCTGACTCGAATGGTCCTCTTTATGGCACGGGTAATCAATTCTTGAGCGCCTCAAAAGATCCGGCGCGATGCTCGTTCTCGCGATAATGAAAGTTCGCCAAGAGCGGCCTACAAGGGGTGCAATATATAAATGTTTCCGCTATCTGTCGTGCCTCTAACCTTGCTTCTCCTTCGACAGGACATCTGAAGACACGTTTCCTTGTCCTCGACGTCGAAGCCTGGCACTATCATGGCATCGTCAGTCTCGAACCGTGCAATCTTCCTGGTGGCAGCGGCTATACCATATGCCCTCGAAATTTTGACTCCAGGACATCTGTACCATGATTCGAAATGGCAGACCGCAATAGTTGCATTCCTGGCGGTATTCATACCAAGGTTCATGTGGTTGAGCATCATCTATCCCTTCTACTTCAGTCCCCTCCGCCACTTGCCACAGCCCAAGCAGAACTCCCTTCTTTTTGGCCAAATGTACCGCATCTTGACTGAATCCATTGGAAGCCCCCAAAGTCAATGGATGCGAGAGATCCCTAACGATGGCCTCATCTACTACAGGACTCTGTTCAACACCGAGTGGCTTATTCTAACGAGTCCCAAAGCACTCTCAGATGCCTTGACCACGAAAAGTTATGATTTGATAAAGCCGCCGATCATCGTTGGCAGTCTGGCTCGTATCTTGGGTGCTAGTGGTATCCTTCTGGTGGAGAATGAAGAGCACAAACATCAGCGCAAGAACCTTCTCCCGGCTTTCCAATATCGCCACATTAAGAATCTCTACCCACTGTTCTGGAACAAGGCCCGAGATATGATCTTGGCCATTGACAAGGAGCTGTCTGACAAGAAGAAGAGCGGTGGATCAGATCCTTCCAATATCGTAAGTGTGGATCATTGGACCTCGAGAGCAACCTTGGATATCATCGGTCTTGCTAGCATCGGCCAGTCTTTCAATGCCATCGAGGACGAGACGAACAAACTATACCAAAGCTACCAAACCATCTTCGCTCAAGATCGTCAAGCACGTATCCTCGGAGTTCTCAATACTTTCTTCCCATTCTGGTTGGTCAGGAAGCTGCCTTTCCCTCGCAACTACCAAATCGTCAAGGCACAAAGCATGCTACAGAAAATGTGCTTAGATCTGATCGGCCAAAAGAGAGCGAAGTCAGCCGCTACCGAGAGAGAAGGGTCAAAGGAGATCGTCGACGACATTGATATCCTCGGCATCGCTTTGAAGAGTGGAGGGTTCAGCGACCAAGGGATCATTGACCAGCTTATGACTTTCCTCGCAGCCGGTCACGAAACCACGGCGACTGCGATGACATGGGCCTTGCTAGCACTCTGCAAACATCCCGACGTCCACAAGAAGCTACGCGAAGAACTGCAGGCTGCTAACCTCCCCAACATCAGAGACACCGAAAGCCAGATCTCGGCAGAGCAGATTGACCAGATCGCGTACCTTCAAGCCGTTATGAACGAAGTGCTCAGAGTCTATACGCCCGTACCGGCGACCTTCCGTGTTGCTCAACGAGACACCACAATCTGCAACCAGTTTGTTCCCAAAGGCACAATGGTCCTCACTTCCTCTGTCGGAACAAACCATCTGTCAACACTCTGGAGCGACGACTGTGATGGCTTCAATCCCGACAGATGGCTTGACGAAAGTGGCAGAGCGAATACTTCAGGAGGCGCTGAGAGCAATTACGCAAACATGACATTTTCACATGGTCCTCGTGGTTGCATTGGTGCGAGCTTTGCGAAGGGGGAGTTTGCTTGTCTGTTGGCGGCCTGGGTTCTGGCTTACGACAGTGTTCTCGTGGATGAGAACATGAAGGTCGGAACAACTCCTGGAATCGTTTCGAGAATTAAGGATGGTCTTGATGTCAAGCTCACGCCTTTGAAAGCTTGATGAGATATCTGGTCGGAATCATTTTTCAGCATTTAGATTGGTGATGGATCAAGATAGATTGAACGTCGGGCACATGAGAAGATGTATGAAGTTAGACATTTCCTCCAAGTGTAAAAGTTTACCAATGCCTAAAGCAGCACCGAAAATTGTGATGGTTGACTCTCCAGATGGTCGTGAATTTGCAGTGGAGGAGGAAGATGCTAACTGTTGCCAAGAGATAAGAACGATCTAATCCATCGAATTACGGTTCAAGCAGCCTGAGGACGGCGACACTTCCTTCCTTTGTTTCTTCTTCTCTTCCTCTAGGGTTTAGATCATGGCGTCGCCACCGTCGCAGACTCTCACCAAGCGCAATGCCGACACATCACTCATGCCGCCCCCGCCGGCGCCAAAACGGATCAAGAGGCCATCCCAGGTAGTCGACGAAGATGTCTATACCGACGCCCTATCACACATCATCGCCCGCGACTTCTTCCCTGGTCTCCTAGAATCCGAAGCACAGCAGGAATATATGCAAGCGCTGGACTCGAACAACAACGATTGGATCCGAGATGCTGGCCGCAAACTGCATCAAGCCATGACTCCCGGTCCAAGAGCTAGAAGAGGCACCAGCTTAGCGACAAGTACCAGCCAAACACCGCGCGGATGGCAGGGCGCCACTCCCTCAAGGACACCGAGTGTTGCTCCCTCAATAGCATCCTCTGAGACGGCAAGGTCAACAGTCGATACCTCGTTATCCTTGGGCGCATTCCAGGCCAAATACACATCCGAAGACAACGAGTCGTTCAACGCCCTACTTGATCGTCAGAACCAAAAACGAGCAGAGAAATACGCCTTCATGTACAACGGCAATAAGCTACCCTCGAAACAACAAATCGCCCAGCAGAAACTGCTTACTCAAAATGCCGCCACTTCCTCGACGGCGCTTGTCAAACGACCTTCTCAAGACCTTGACGAGCGTTCCGCAAGCTACGACTCGTTTCCAAATCGCCAGGGTCCTCGCAACACTTTCATGTTCGACCCCGAGGGTGTAGAAGACACGCACGAAACCGTTGCTCAAGCCGCTCAAAGCGCCTCCGTCGCACCGCCAAAAGCGATCTCATACGCCTCAACCCGCCTCCCTACCTCCTCCTCGCTGGAAACCGACTCATCAATACCTGCCTCTCCCTCCATCTCCGCCATCGATGCAGCAATAGCCGGTCGACCCCGCCATTCCGACACTTCAACAACAGCCTACAGCGGTGCCGAAACCCCTCGTGTAAATGGCTACGCTTTCGTAGACGCTACACCCCTGCCCCACGAGTACCCCGGCCAGCCTGTCTCCGAAGCTGAAGTTGAAGCTGAAGAACGAGCATCCGCATTAGCACTCCTACCCTCCTACGACCCAGACGCCGATAATAATCCCTTCAAACTCCAAGCCGCAAGCAAAAGAGAAGAGATACATAATCGTCTGGTTGAAAAGTCAAATACCGCAAGACGGAAGCCGGGAGGAGGCGGAAGATTGGACTTCTTGAGAGGAGAAAAAGGACAAGGAAGGACTCCGACACCGAAATTTGCCACAAGTCCTGCTGTCGGGAAGAGGACACCGGCGGCGGAAAATATGACACCGGCAGCTAGGGCGTTGGCTCAGAGGATTGGCGGTACGCCGGGGAGGAGTGGGGGATTATTTGGAGGCACATCGAAGAGCTGGACACCTACACCTAGGGTGAAAAAGCCTGGTGTTTGACGAGGTAAATGAAACGTTTATGTATCTCACGAAACTAATGAATTAGAGAAGTCATCACGGACGAGATATCGTTGACCTGAAGAACGATATGATGACTTTGACTAGACATAATGACATGCTCCAAGAGTTATTGACATGCTCCAAGAGTTATTGACATCCACAACCATTGTAAAGTCGCACCAGTACATAGCAAATGAGCATCAAATCTAATTCTACAGATTTACAGATTGTCCACATGACTTGACAGGTCAATAAGGAAGAAGAAACTGGTGGGAAGGAGCAATAGAGTATGAGAGGAAGGAGCGACGGGGCATGAGAGAAAGGAGCGACGGGGCATGAGAGAAAGGAGCGACGGGGCATGAGAGAAAGGAACGATCAAGCGAAAGAGGCATGAATGGATGGCCGAGTACATGAGAGACTCGCGATTAACCAAGATAAACAGGAGCAATACACAAGGCTCGATGAGAAGCAACTGTTGAGCGCAAAGGGAAGGAGCGATACAGTGTAAAGGAAGGAGCGATTGAGTATAGAAGGAAGGAGCGGTTGAGAAACAAACACTCTTGATCTCATGGCCAGGACGCTGAGCAAAGCAAGTATATCGACAATGCTGATCTACCGCTGCATCATTTGATATTCATCACTCCGTCCTCTTGACTTTATCAGGTATCGCATACCAACATCCCACCATAACAACAAACAAGCCAATACAAATGGGATGCAAGACAAAAGTACCCACAGCCTGCGCCAACAATCCAGTCAAGAATGGCGCAACAGCACCACCGCTGCTTCCAGCACTGGACACAAAACTCAACGCCGTCATCTGTACATCCCTATCCATCCGCCTGGTAAAGATGGTCGTGGCACACGGATACACCGGACCCAACAGCAAGCCCAAAAGCGACACAGCAACAGCCTCGCCCACAATGTTAGGGATAAGCCAGACCAAGAGCTGGAACGCGATGGACAAGACAGTGAGAATGTAGACGAAGCGCTTCTCGCCAATCCTCGGTGCCAGGTGGGAAAGTACGAATCTGCCCAGCGTGATGCCACCCCAGAAGCCTGCAGTGACATAACCGACCTTAGCAGGATCGCCACCACGAGCTTCGATGAGGAACGAGATGACCCAGCCGGACGTACTGACCTCGGAGCCTTGGTAGGAGAAGATGAAGAGAGCGGCAAATACGGTTACTCTGCTGTTGAGAGCTCGCTTCATCATTTGTAGCTTGGTTGGTTGGATTTCGCCGTCGCGGAGCGGGATACGGTTGCCCATTTTCAGGGCGGAAGGTTCTTTCTCGTAGTTGTGGAAAGCCCAGCCGGTGAAGAAGAAGCAAACAACACGAAGACCGAGTGTGATGAGATAGAAACGACTCCAGAGAACGCCCCTAGAGACCAATGCGGTAGCCATGATGGGACCAACCACTCCTCCAAGGCCATAGCTGCCATGCAAGGCACCGAGGATGACGGTCGAGTTTGCGAGATTGGCGCAGAAAACGTTGTTCAATGCAAGATTCAGAGCTAGACCCAATCCTAGCAGAAGGAAGNNCTTAAAAGCAGTCAGTGTCTTGTTTTTGCTAGTAGTGTGCTGTGATAGTATGACTTACGCAATGACAACCACTGGAAAGGGAGGCGTGCAAGCAATAATCACGTAGCCAACTATGAGCACGGCCTCAGAGAACATGCAAGCTCTTGCTCTACCCAGTTTCTCTAACGTGAAATCGGTAAAGAATGCAGCAGTGATGAAGCCAATGGCATTCGTAATGAAGATCAGCGAAACAATCGCATAGCCAATATCGTATTGTTTCTCCATGTATGGGATCAAGGCACCAGCANNGCTAATCCTTGTGTCAGCACAGAACACTCGGTTGCCTTGGGATGACCTTGGCATATAAACCGGCTTACAAGCATCATTCAGGCCATTGGCAAAGTATACTGCACAAGCCGCGAGAACGCGATACTTGTTCATAGATGGAAATCCCCAGCTCGGCACCACCTCAGTGGCTTGACTCGGCGATGATGCTCGACTCATCTCAAGCTCATTGGGTGTCTTTGTCGTCGTCGTTGGTACCTTTCCAGACGCATGCAGTGCTGCAGCTGTGCTGCCATTTGAATGCTGCGAGTGCTGAACCTGCACTTGCTGAATGTAATCTTGGAGCTCGATGGCTGACTGAGGTCCTGCTGACTCCTTCTTTTTCACAGCAGGTGGAGATGTCAATTTCGGGGAGCTGGTGAGCTCTAGGGCAGCTCCGAAAGTGTACGCCGACATGATGGTAGGTGATCAAGGGCAGGATGTCTCGAGAGCGGAAGGACATACAACCCTTTTCAATTGCTAGAATCTGTCACATGAAGAGGGAAGAAGCAACAGCAGAGCTTACAAATCTGCTCTTTAGGGCAGCTACGACCTTGGTGGATACAAAGTCACTAGTTCCAGCCGTCGTTGCCCTGAACTTAGCAAGCAAAAGAATGTTGAATCCTGGATGCCATTATCCGAGGACGTATTACTCATGCACATACCTATACGTGGTGCCACTCGTGATTGCCATTCAGTAAAGTAAGAAGTCGTTGAGTCACTGAGTCCATAGTTCGGAGCCGCCCAATGCAGCCTCCACACCGACACCTCTCCGGAAAACTGTTCCCGTGAACAGACTCAGAAGGTACAGCGAACATCGTAAAAGCAGGTAAGGAACATGTGACTGCAGTTTCCAATTGCTGACACACTCCAAGTACTAGGCTGCATGTTGTTCTCGTTTGACAACTATGGGCTGATGGTAGAGAGAAACATTGAATACGTACGAGCCGATTAAGCTGCGTGCAGAAGCAAGCTGAAAGAATCGCTAACGATGGCAGAATCCAATATCTAAATGATGCTGGATCCGCAAAGAAGACAAACATGACCATGTCCAGCATGACAAAAATGCAGCATCAAACATCAAAACATGAAGCAAGTCGGTGTAGAAGGGGAAGCGACAATATGTACCTCAAGCATCTCCATACATCCACTTGGAGATGCTCTGTCGAAGGACCGAAGGTTCGGGTGTGGACACTGCACTCCTGGCAAAGCTGAACAATCCGCCAGAAGACGCGTTGCTCGATGTGTACTTATCAGAAGCCACGGCACTGACAAGACCTTCAAGCGCATCCTCGATGATCTTTTTGCTCTCATACTGGAGCTCGGTAAGACCTGACCCACTGATGGAGTTGGAGCGACTGGGTGCACGACTGTGTACAGAGTTGGCCCGGGAGTGTACGCGTGAGCGCGCCTCACTAGTGGCAAGCATTTGTTGCAAGAGAGTGACGACTGCAGAGTCAGGCTTACTGATCGTTTCTTCGTCGAACTTTTCGGCGAGAGTTTGGCATTCTACGACTGGTGCTGCTTTGTCAAGTCGCTTCTCGACGAAACTGGTTGGCAAGTCGTTCACACCAGGTTCGTCAGGTTTGTTGGTGCAGACTTCCTTCCAACCACTGATCTTGCCCTCTTTGTTGTGGATGGGCACTCTTTTCGTGGCAGTCACCATTGCAGATGCTTCTTTCGCAGGGAAGCTGCTGACCTTGCGATGATCGATGAATTCCGACAAATCTTCACCAACGACAGTAATGGTACTGGGACGGTGGTCGAGAAGCGTAGCCTGATCCTTGACCATCATGGGCGAGTCCACTCGACCCCCGTTAGTGTGCGAAGATTGCGAACTCGAGGAACGAGTCTCCATACCATCCGTTGTCTTGGGAAGAACATTTCCAAGCGCATCGATCGAGTGGCGGCCCGCGACATGATTGTTGAGCTCGCCCTCTGCCAGGCCTCCGTTGGGGAGGTCAGTCTTGAGAATTCTCTTGTCACGGAAGCCAGTCTTGTCTCCGTTGTCGTTGCGCTTGTATATGCGCTTGATCGAATCCATGTCGTCTGACTTGATGACCTTGATCTGACTATCTTGGTCCGATCCACTGCCATTTGATGAGCACATTGACTGCTTTCGTCCATTTGCAGTAGCGACGTGTCTCGGCAAATTTGGTGAGTCGTCAGGCACAATCAACTTGTACCGCACACGTCGACGGAGAGTCAACTTCCTCACCGTCATAGCCTCAGCATCCATGACAACAGTCGAGCAGACGTCGATCCATGTTTCTTGACTAAAGACCCTGAGATTTTCCGATGGTTCTACCATAGGCGATGGCTCAGCCCGCATCGCGCATTTGATCTCGTTGACAAGCTCTGCATAGGGTCTGGTAGCTTGCAAAGCGAAATCAGGATGAAAGTTCCCAAGATATCCAGCGATCCTGTCGTAGCGGGCAAAGCTTCGGGCGTCTTGAACTGTCTTGTGCTCGCTATTTTCATGTGCGGCAACTTTGTGAAGAGGAAAGTAGCCCCTGCCGCTTGGTACTTTGAATCTAGACACTTTGGGTGAAAGACTGCGGGTGACACTGACGGCAGGTGTACATCCTGGGAAGTCAACATCAACGATACCCTCGTCCTGGTTGTAAGTATAGGCAATATCAGCATAGTCAGAGGCTGGTGGATCGAATTGCAGAGCGGAAGTCTTGTGAGCCATGGTGATTGGCGATACACGTGACGAGTTCTTCTTTCTTCTTGATGCATGTTGACCGTTGGCCTTATCGGATTCCTCTGTGCCATGAACTTCTTCAACCATACGCACTAGCTTGTTGGAACTTTGGCGAGCCGCAAAGCTTTTGCTAGTCTTGAGAATACTTGCAGGTTGCTCGCGAGGCCCGCTGCTGGCAAAGCTATCGCTTCTTTCAGTCAGCGAGGATTCACGACGAGGCCTGAGACTCCAAGTGCTGCTTCGCAAACTGTTCCACAGACTCGTGTTATCGGTGCTGGCATCGCTTGTGGTCGTGCTGCCTTCGCGTTGTAGATGTCGCATCAGATTGCCTTGAGCATTCAAACTACTACTAGGACGGGTCTCTGGAGAGCCCGAGGGTGTATTACGGCTTGATGTTGGTGCACTAATGGGTACGGCCATAGTCGCTTTGCCCAATATGTCGATCTTACCCGAGGTATTGACGATGCTAGACTTCCGTGTGGATGATACTGAGTTGTTGATAACCAGTGACTTGGCTGGCGAAGTGCTAGGAGAGGCCTGTACCATCGGTTCGAATATGGTCGGGGTACGAGGCGCCTCGTTTGCGTTATATCCATTTGTCTGCGCTTTGACACTATCAATTGCCAGACTTTGGTTTGGAGCGTGCTCGACACTTTTCAGGCCCTGCGTGAGTGCAGAAACTTGTCTGTTTGGAGACGTCTGGCTGCTCGAAGAGGAGCGCCTGACACTTTCAAATTGCGTTTCCGATGCTGGACAAGGGAATAGCTTGGCAAAGATGAAGACAAGATTACGAGCCTTGTTTTGATCCATGCTCACAACCACAGTACGATTTTGAGCCACATCAAAGGTTGATTGAGTCTCCCGGCGTTCTTCACGTAGACGAGCCTGATGTTGTGGAGGGGCAAAGATACTGAGCCAACCGAGATCCACACTCAAGGCGGCCGTTAAGGCGGCTTGCATGAAGTTGATTTTGTGCAAGTTGAAGAAGCCTCGCTTGGAATCAGCATCTCGTGAGACACGCGTGTAGTCTCGCAACTCGTCTCGCCAGATACTCCAGTCACGTTGAGGTTCAGCCTGCAGCACCTGGTACCTGCGCGATATGCGATCCACAACTGCAGAAGACATTTCGAGGATCTGTGGAGTATGCTCAAATGCGCTCGGTTCCAGCTTGACTAGGCGAGGCACTGTAGGTGAAACAGCAGCTTTGGAACGTGCAAGTACCTCGGCCTTTGAGCGAAGTCGTTGCTGAATCTGCACCAAGGCAGTGGTTCTAAGAGCGTCCAAAGCTCGAGCGTATATATGCCAGTCGTCAAGGACGGTTTGCACAGGATCGGTTTCTTCCAGAAGGTTATTCTGTGAGGCAGTATCGAGATGTGAACTGCTTTTAGCCAGAGGTATGAGAATGGCTACGCCAAAGATGGGAGTGCTGAAACGTTTCTTGCGCGTACACGAGTGGCGTGCTCCATGAATAGACGTCGTATGTTGTAACTGCTCAGGGAGATCTTCGTCATGTATGTTTACGGCAAAGGTTGTGCACATGAGCAAAGCATCCTTTCTTCGCTTGTTCGAGGCGTGAGAGCTAGGCTTGAGAGGGGAGCTTTCTTTTGCTGAGTATGATCCAAAGCCGGCACGCGGCGACGATCTTGGGCGAGGGAGNTCTTGCCTGTCATCCGGCGGCTGACGTTGGACATGATGGATTTTTGTGACGGGACCCTTGTATCTCATTGGGGCTTTGCCGAACATGCAATCTAGCCATGAATCCATCTCTTCAGCCGTGTTTTCTACGGGAGCGTTGATGTCTTTGCGAGTGTCGGCGAGTGAGGCTGGGGTAGGCGTACGGCGGAATTGTGTGGAAGGAACGAAAGTCGATTCGAGTCGGGGCATGGACGGACGCGTCGGAGGAGAGCCATTGCGTTCTGGCACAACAGAAATGGTGGATCTGTGTCCACGAGAGTGCTGAGCTCGCAAAAAGCCACTGCTGGTCGGAGATTGGGGGCCCGCGGACGAAGACGGCCTAGCAGAAAAACTCTTTGACGGGCTGTTCAAGTCGTGGGATTTGTCTCTATTGCTCTTGCGGGACCAGTGTGAGTCGAAAAGAAGGCGGTCAATCGAGACACCCGTGTCATCTTGGGCAATGATTATTCTAGGCTCGTCGTCTGGCGAGAGCGGGAAAGTAATGGTCGTGTTTTGGTCGTATAAAGGCTCGATCGGCGTGGTTGGAGAAGTCTTGGTGTTCTTGTTGGCTCGGTCATGGGACTCCCTAGGTGGAAAGAGAAGTGACAGACTACGCGTCGAGGGCACGGGTGCTTCGTTGCGCTCGGGCTCTGTTGATTCTCCACGAGAGCGCGAGAAGCGGTGCATCTTGTTTGGGACGGCAATTGTTTGATCGACGGCGTGCTAGGCTTCAATTGAAGACAGGCATCTGAGTATCCAACCAAAATCTGATTGTTGACTGGAACTGGCGGGCGTAGCAGCACATGCTAGGCGACAGCGAGGTTGGTGTCGCGTGATGGTTGTTGGGGAAAGCAAAGCCCAGAGAAGACTGGTATACCCCACGAAATTTGTTGGCGTTGGCGGCGGCCGTTTAGGTTATAACAGAAGTCGGGGTCGACTGTAGACACAAGAAACCACAGACTCGCAAGATAAGAGCTTTGTCAGGAGATGGGACCAGGCTTGAATTGACTTTATCCAATGCAGCGATGTGAGCAGA